CGACACAGCAGCACCTGCCCTGCCTGACACCGCCCACTATGCTCCTTCCTTCCCCCTCCCCCGCATAGGAGAGCTTCCCTTCGTCCTGCCTTCCCTGCGTGCAACTCACCTGTAATCTTAAAGCTCAACCCTTCCCAAGCAGTGTCTTCTCCCCCAACACCACCGTCTCTTTACTTTTTCTCATCTCTCTCACATTTCAGACCATCTACATATTATCCGATCGCTCAATTGACTCAATTGACCGTCTGCATACTCATACACATCCAATACCACCGGTACGTTTTCCGCCCCGCCTTTCGTAGCCTCCGAGCTCTCCGCCAGCGTCATCTCCCTGTGCAACCCGCCCGCGCCCATTGTGTTTATCTGACATTTCTTATTTGCAAAAGAAACCTAGCACCAACCCCGAAAAAAAGAGGCTAACGATCGACGAGTCACAGATCCTTCTGCGAACGAGCAGCCAGTCCCCACGCTACTTAATTCCCAAGTCCTTCAATCGGGGACCTCGGTTCTGTCTCCGGTCACGGCGTCCGCCCCGCTGAAGCACCTTGGTTGAGTCAATCAAGCCAAGATTCTCGACTGACCTCACATCCCTCCCGCCCCAGCCATTATTACGAAACTTCTTTAAAAGGCCCATCTGGTCTTTTTTTCCCTTCCCTTCAAGTACCTCTCAAGTCCTTCACTCTGCAGGTCCTTTTGAGGAGGGGTTCTATTCATCAACCCTTTCCGCTCGTGTTCTTGTGAACAGAGCACCGCTACCTTCACACACATATCGTCATGGCGAGCGATAAGACATACCTCCGCGAGGAGGCCATTGATGACTCGGACGTCGTGGATGACACCTTCCACGCCGATTCCGTTCATCACCGTCTCCGTGCTAATTCCACCATCATGCACTTCCAAAAGATTTTGGTCGCCAACCGAGGCGAGATTCCTATTCGTATCTTCCGTACCGCACACGAACTTTCTCTCCAGACCGTCGCTGTCTACTCATGGGAGGACCGTCTCTCAATGCACCGTCAGAAAGCTGACGAGGCCTACATCATTGGCAAGCGAGGCCAGTACACTCCCGTAGGTGCTTACCTTGCTGGCAACGAGATCATCAAGATTGCTCTCGAGCACGGCGTCCAGTTGATCCACCCCGGTTACGGTTTCCTATCCGAGAACGCCGAATTTGCGCGCAATGTCGAGAAGGCCGGCCTTGTCTTCGTTGGGCCTACTCCTGACACCATCGATGCCCTTGGCGACAAGGTCTCTGCTCGTAAGCTTGCCATCAAGTGCAACGTCCCCGTTGTGCCCGGTACTCCAGGCCCTGTCGAGAAGTTCGAAGATGCCAAAGCTTTTACCGACGAATACGGCTTCCCTATCATCATCAAGGCCGCCTTTGGAGGTGGTGGTCGTGGTATGCGTGTCGTCCGTGAGCAGGAATCACTAAAGGACGCCTTCGAACGTGCCACATCCGAGGCCCGCTCTGCCTTTGGCAACGGTACTGTCTTCATTGAACGTTTCCTTGACAAGCCCAAACATATCGAAGTTCAGTTGCTTGGAGACAATCAAGGAAATGTTGTCCACCTCTACGAGCGTGACTGCTCTGTCCAACGTCGTCACCAGAAGGTCGTTGAGTTGGCACCCGCTAAAGACTTGCCTGTTGAGGTGCGCGACAAGATTCTTGCTGATGCTGTCAGACTAGCCCAGTCTGTGAACTATCGTAATGCCGGTACAGCTGAGTTTTTGGTCGACCAACAGAATCGCTACTACTTTATTGAAATTAACCCTCGTATCCAAGTCGAGCACACAATTACCGAGGAGATTACCGGCATTGATATCGTTGCTGCCCAAATTCAAATCGCTGCTGGCGCCACACTTGAACAGCTTGGCTTGACCCAAGATCGCATCTCTACTCGCGGCTTCGCCATTCAATGCCGTATTACCACCGAGGACCCTGCCAAGGGTTTCTCTCCTGACACTGGAAAGATCGAGGTTTACCGATCCGCTGGTGGTAATGGTGTCCGACTTGATGGCGGTAACGGTTTTGCCGGTGCTATCATCACACCTCACTACGACTCCATGTTGGTCAAGTGTACTTGCTTGGGCTCAACTTACGAGATCGCTCGTCGTAAGATTATCCGAGCTCTGATTGAGTTCCGTATCCGTGGCGTCAAGACCAATATTCCTTTCTTGACCTCGCTCCTTTCTCATCCTACCTTCATCGATGGCAATTGCTGGACGACTTTCATCGACGACACCCCCGAGCTTTTCTCTCTTATCGGTGGACAGAACCGTGCCCAGAAATTGTTGGCATACCTTGGTGACGTTGCTGTCAACGGAAGCAGTATCAAGGGACAGATCGGTGAGCCTAAACTCAAGGGTGACATTATCAAGCCGGTTTTGCTTGAAACTACCGGAAAGCCTCTCGATATCTCCCAACCTGCTACTCAAGGATGGAAGCAGATTTTAGACCAGCAGGGCCCAGAGGCTTGGGCCAAGGCCATCCGCGCCAACAAGGGCTGTCTCATTATGGACACCACTTGGCGTGATGCTCACCAGTCTTTGCTCGCTACCCGAGTGCGTACTGTTGATTTCTTGAACATTGCTCGTGAGACTAGCTATGCTCTCAGCAATGCTTATAGTTTGGAGTGCTGGGGTGGTGCCACTTTCGATGTTGCCATGCGTTTCCTCTACGAAGATCCATGGGACCGTTTGCGCAAGTTGCGTAAGGCTGTTCCCAACATTCCTTTCCAGATGCTCTTGCGTGGTGCCAACGGTGTTGCCTATTCTTCTCTCCCCGACAACGCCATTTACCACTTCTGCAAACAGGCTAAGAAGAATGGTGTCGATATTTTCCGTATCTTTGACGCTCTTAACGACGTTGACCAACTCGAAGTTGGTATCAAGGCCGTCAAGGCTGCCGGTGGTGTTGTTGAGGCCACTGTCTGCTACTCTGGAGATATGCTTAACCCCCACAAGAAATACAACCTCGAGTACTACCTCAGTTTGGTTGACAAGATCGTGTCCATGGGAACCCATGTCTTGGGTATCAAGGATATGGCTGGKGTCCTCAAGCCTCAGGCCGCTACTCTCCTTGTTGGCTCCATCCGCAAGAAGTACCCTGACCTTCCTATCCACGTCCACACTCACGACTCTGCGGGAACCGGTGTTGCTTCCATGGTTGCTTGTGCACAGGCTGGTGCTGATGCCGTTGATGCAGCTACCGACAGCATGTCTGGTATGACTTCCCAACCCAGCATTGGTGCCATCTTGGCATCTTTGGAAGGAACTGAATGGGACCCCAAGCTCAACATTCCTCATGTCCGCGCAATTGATGGATATTGGCAACAGTTGCGTCTCCTTTACTCTCCTTTCGAGGCTGGTTTGACTGGTCCTGACCCAGAGGTCTATGAGCACGAAATTCCTGGTGGTCAGCTCACCAATCTTCTCTTCCAGGCCACTCAGCTTGGTCTCGGAACGCAGTGGGCAGAAACCAAGAAGGCTTACGAGGCTGCCAACGACCTTCTTGGAGACATTGTCAAGGTTACTCCTACCTCCAAGGTGGTTGGTGACTTGGCTCAATTTATGGTGTCCAACAAGCTCTCTGCCCAGGATGTTATTGACCGCGCTGAGCAACTCGACTTTCCCGGGTCAGTCTTGGAGTTCCTCGAGGGTCTCATGGGTCAACCTTATGGTGGATTCCCTGAACCTTTGCGTTCCAGGGCTTTACGCAATCGCCGCAAGCTCGACAAGCGTCCTGGTCTGTACCTTGAGCCTCTTGACCTTGTTAAGATCAAGAACGACATCAAGGAGAAGTTCGGCAATGCGACCGAGACCGATGTTGCCAGTTACGCCATGTACCCCAAGGTCTTTGAGGATTACCGCAAATTCGTTCAGAAGTATGGTGACTTGTCTGTTTTGCCGACACGATACTTCCTTGCCAGACCTGAGATTGGTGAAGAGTTCCACGTTGAGCTTGAGCAGGGTAAAGTGCTTATCTTGAAGTTGCTCGCCATTGGACCCCTTTCCGAGCAGACCGGTCAGCGTGAGGTCTTTTACGAGATGAACGGTGAAGTTCGTCAAGTAACAGTCGACGACATCAAGGCCGCCGTTGACAACACAGCCCGTGTCAAGGCTGACCCCAACGACAGCAGCCAAGTCGGAGCGCCAATGAGCGGTGTTGTTGTTGAAGTCCGTGTTCATGAAGGTTCCGAAGTTAAGAAGGGTGATCCTATTGCTGTTCTCAGCGCCATGAAGATGGTGAGTTCTCTCTATTTCAAGTCATGTCAACATTTACTAACAAGTTGCAGGAAATGGTTATCTCCGCGCCTCACCACGGCAAGGTCGCAGGCCTTGCTGTCAAGGAAGGCGATTCCGTCGACGGTCAGGACCTTGTGTGCAAGATTTCCAAATAATGATTAGCGTTAAGTTTATTACTTTTCTTTGTTTATGACGACTATAAGTACCTAGGTAGAGGTCCATACCTGAAAATTAGGGCGAACGAGTAATGGCTATTAGGATGAATTTATTTCTATGATTTTTCATTATGTTTCTTCAAAACATTGTAGATATGTCTTTAAAAGGTCAAGATCTTGAAGTTATTTTATCTGCCTGAGGCATACACGCGGAGGTGTCTAGACGACAACCAATCATCCTACGCTAAATCTTGACCATCAATCTTCACTTCTTCATATACATCGCCATTATTTGTCTATTCTTACTAGCCGTCCATATCAAGCAGTACATAATCATGAAACATACGAAAAAGCACTGATCAGCGACACAAGCTACTGACTTCGGCATTAAATTTAGTGCCGAAGGACATGGAAGAATTCCGCTCTTCCACATACATGTTCCTACTGATCGCTATTTCTGTACAATTCGTTGGAGGTGTCTCTATCCTCGCTTTTTGGGTATTGATTAGACGCAGAAAGAGACGAACAAACCGTGCTAGCCAGTTGGCGACGCTAGACGAGGAATTTTCATCAAGCACAGAAAAAATCGGCACCATCGTCATGACGTCCTCTGAAGTACTGGACGATACAATCCTCCTCAACTTAGGTTCTCACGGCTGCATCCAAGGCCGTTTGATCCGTGACACAGACGAAAATGCTGCGAATGCAGCACCATTAGCACAGTATTTCGGCGGCGTCCGCTATGCGCTTCCGCCTTCTCAGCGATGGGCAATGGCGCGACGATTGCCCGCTGAATTTACGTATGGCACTGAAACCAATCCTGGGAAGTGTGATGGACGGGCAGTGACTTGTCCGCAGCCATTTATGGAGGATCAGGGGAGTGAGGATTGTTTTGAGTGTAATGTGTGGATGCCGGTTGGGAGGTGTCCTGATGGAGGTATGTTCTATCATTACTTGGATCTTATTGATACAATGACTGATAGGTGGTGTATAGGGTGGCCGGTAATATTTTATATTCGTGAGTTGCCGCTCCCTATATAAATATGGATATATGCGTACTAAACTTTCTAGATGGCGGATTCCTCCAAATGGGCAGCCCGAACGATATAAACCCAGCCCGACTCATCGGCGAAACAGATTTGAAATGCGTCATTATAGCTCCTGTATATCGTCTCGCTATCCTCGGATTCTTGAGCTCGGTAGAGCTGTCACAGGAAGCTGCTGCACAAGGCGAACCGTCAGGCAATCAAGGATTTTGGGATCAGCGAATTGCGCTTGAATGGGCTTATGAGTATGCTCGATATTTTGGGGGAGATAGGTCTAATATTACGGTTGCTGGTTACTCTGCTGGTTTGTCTGTCTACCTTACCAAGAGGGAATATTCGTTGATTTTCCAAAGGATCATTCTCGGTGTTCAATCAACTCGCGCACGACTTGTATCTCCCGCGAGAAAAGAGTATCATCCGGCAAGCGATTATGCTTTCGAATGGACCCGGTGTGCAACCCAAGTCGGCATCTGAAGTACAAAAACAATTCGATCAACTTCTCACAGCATTGAATATACCTTTGCATCTATCTGCTACAGAAAAACTTGCGCGACTACGAAGAATACCTACAAGTCAGCTCATCGCTACCAGCCTCGAGACGCAATATCACCAATACAGACCTTGGCACGACGGCCAATTTGTCCCAACTACTCTATTTCCAGATATTGACAAAGGCACATTTGCGCGGAGAATGGTTGAGCGCAACATTCGCTTGATCAATGGTGAATGTCGAGACGAGCATTTTTTGTATGGAACATGGTACACTCCTGAGAATTCACTGGCATCATTACGGCAACGGCTCGAAGCGGATTACCCATCTGAAGCGTGCGACGCATTAGTCAACCTGTATTACCCTGATGGCCAACTCCCCGCGGGAGTCGACAACTGGCAAGATGCATTTGGCAGATTATACGCTGACGTGCAGGTACACATGCTCGAGCGCGGGTTCGTGAATGCGCTTGCCCAGGGCGGTGCGGGCCATCTTGTCTACCGCTATCGAATCGAGTATCGCGTTGAATGCGTTACACTCCCCCCTGAATGGGGAGTGACGCATTCATCGGATATGGCGATGTGGCTATGGGGCAATGGCGCGCGATTGAATCCGACTGAAAAGGAGCTTGTAAATGAGGCGCTGATCGGGCCGTTGGTGGAGTTTGTGAATGGACGGCCTCTTGATCGATGGGTTGTTGATGGTGATGCGGAAGGGGTGCAAAGAGTAAGGAGGTTGAGATCGGACGGGAGGGTGGATGTTTGGGTTGATGATGAGATGTGGCTGAGAGGAGTGCAAGTATGGAGTGCGTTGCGGAGGGCTCGCAACACACCAGCGAAGCTGTGACTGGCAAGATAAGTTACCGGGCTGTTACATACACATACATTCAACTGTAAATAAAATTTAAAGAAATGTCTAAAACTTTCCATACACAAAAAAAGAAAAAAAGGAATGCCAATCAGGTCCAGTAGAATGATGACGTAGGTCTCCTTCGACTTCTGCTGAACACGGCATCCCATCATCAACAATCAGACAACTATCAATCATATTATTCTGCAGAAGTTATCTCTACTGTTCAACTACTTGATTGCTAATTCCCTTCGTGTTGGCACAATTATCAATCATCTAAATCAGACAAGCTAAGCGTTACTAAACCACTTCCCCGCATGACTAAACCCTGAAGCATCCCCGCAATTCTGATAGTACTAGCCATACTAACGACCAGCATATCGCAACGAGACCACAAGAGTCCAATGGGAAGCATACCCATTCACCCTGCTACTTCTTCGAGTCTAGCTCTCGATCCGSGAGCCTGTCACAGCCCATCCATTCCTTCCAGTCATGCAATCCATGGATCTATGACTAGCGATGATGATTATGACTTGATGATTTTCTGGCCCCGAGTGAGCTGCGCCCTTGACAAGCTCTTCCTCTTATCTAGACTCTATAGTATTAGCTAGGGTAGCTACCTGTTTCAAAAAAACGAAATAATAGATACATACCAATCATAGCCCAGGTAGCTGCCTCGGATCCACGGAGTCGTATATCCTATCTGTTCGTGGTCGTATGACGAGGTATGGTTTAGGCTCCCTTGCTGGCACTTCATTCGATCGTTGGTCGTCGTACGTCGTACGATAACTGGTAACGTTAGCTAATTTGACGATTATTAATTCTCGATCGATCGACTCCCCTCTTTGGAGCTTGGGGGAAGGAAGTTTGGTACTTATAAGACGCTGGGCGCTGGCTTGTAACTCTTACGTTTAAACCACTATAATAGTAAGTTAAAACTACAATACGTTGAATCATACAATCACTTCCACTCAATAAATTCACACAATCTTATAACATACTCAGTCAATCGAAATAATGTCAGACTCATCCTCACCACCCCGTCGTCATTGGAACGGCTCTGTCGGCGCGCGCCACGAACATCAAAACGTCTGGACAAACGGCGGCGTGCGGTCAACCGCTCCCTCAGCACCATGGGCAGGCTGGAATGCCGATAAGAAGCGTCGCGTACGTCTCCCTTAATTGAACTACTCCCAAGCACTTACGTCAACTAACAATGACTGGTTGGTGTCGGTAGGAATCCGAGTCATCCACAAAATCAAACGAAAGTAGACGCTCCAGCGGCACCGGTAAACCGCTTTTCGAAACTTTACATTCTCAAAAGAGGGGAAGTTTCTCAGACCCGAGCGATGAGCAGAGGAGAAAGAGTTATGACGAGATGATGCCTGAGAAAGGTTTTTTTGGGAAGTTGTGGCATGGATATACGAAGGGGGCGAAGTAGTCTCTTATCAACTTGTGCTGCGTTGCTGATATGAAGTGAATAATATGCGTCGCTGTATTCTTGTCCAGCTGAGATGTACCAAAGTCGTATATTACGGATGAATGCAACTATGTCAATCTGTGACTGATACTCGAAAGATAAATTTGTAGATTCGTCTTCATTGATCATAGACTGATATGAGCTATGCTAAGGTTCCCAGTTCCAATGTGAATGGAGTAATTGTATGATATCGCCCCCTAGACTCTAGTGCAGCCCTCATTGGGAAGCATGGCATTTCCTTCCACTCAGCGATGAATAGATAGTTGCCTTTTTGTATTTTTATTGAGAGCATATGGTAGAAGAAAGAAAATATCATTTTGTTTCCTTTCATTCATAAAACAGCGCCATTATATCACCATTTTTGAAAAACCATTTCGAAAAATCAAGACACATGAACATAAAGTACCCCTTATCGCACCGGTTTTCCTGGACGAAATGCATTTATCGGACAATTCCCTCGAAGCGGTTCTTGAACCACTTGATGGTCTCGCCTTGGGTGATCTTGTGGTTGGAACCGATATGAGCCTTAGCGCGGCGACGCTTGGCGATACGCTCACCAGGACGGGTCCTATTCTCGTCAGCTCGTCTCCTTGCAGAAAATATTATATTCTCTCGCAGTTATGATACTCACATGCAGCAGTAGAAGTCCATTCCGTAGATACCAATACCAGGGTCGTACTTGATGCCCAAGTCAATGTGTTCGCTGATACCGAAGCCGAAGTTACCGGTCTCGGAGAAGTTGCGCTTTCTCAACTCATATTCCTTGACCTTGAGGCCACGCTCGAGAATCTCCTCAGCCTTGGGGCCACGGACGGTGACATGCACGGCAATCTTTTCGTTACGACGGATACCGAAGGTACGGACGGTGTAGCGGGCCTTGCCTAGACGAAATCAGCATCATTCCATTGTGCGCTCTGCCTATCGATTGTCGGTGACGAAGTGACGATTCGTTGCGTTCGTTGTCCAACTTTTCCTCATTTCGACATCTTCGACTCTCGACTCACGGCTCACGGCTCACGGATTCGAATCGCTTACTGTAAACAGGGGTTTGACCGCTCAACTGCTCGAGCACCTTAGCAGCACGGGTGAGTCTGTCACCAGATTCGCCGACCGAAATGTTGAGCACGAGCTTTTGGATGCGCAGCTCGCGCATGGGGTTGGCGCTCTTGTCCTTTCCTTCCGACTGCACTCATGTTAGATGATAACAGTTCTGTAGAATGAATAGACTCCTCAATTGATAATGATAGTACATACCATGGCGACGGTGTTGTGCTGGTCGACTTGTTGGATAGACGATAATCGATCTTAAATCAAGACTCCAACTTCTTCCCGCTTTCAAAAGTTGTGCAAAAGTCGTTGTGGGCGAGACATGGAAGCGAGAAGCCCTAGCGCCTTGGCACCAGTCGCCTGCGCTTAGCGCTAACCGCCACCAGACTATACCCGAAGAGGAAACTATTAGCCGCCCGACGAAGCTAGCGCTTGTTCTGTTCTTTTGAGGCTTGACTTTGCGGTCGAGCTCAATTATAACATAACATTATACTGTCAGCTTTGACGGCGTTCTGGTTCTGATTCTCGTTTCTGCGTAGCAAAGACAGAATACTGCCACAGAGACAAGTGAACATTTTTTGAGAGAGAGCAAGTCGCATTCGTGCGCATACAATTGAAATGGCGGCGAACAAGCAGGGTAAAATGGTAAGTGGGAGAAGTGTTTATTTCATGACGACTGTAGCTGACATTTTATAGCAAAACTTGGTATGTCCTGGACTCGTTCGGTTTTCTGGTTAACGCTCTAATGGTTATAGATCAACTATCGCATGCGCGTCACGTTAAATGATGGCCGACAAATGACAGGCCAGATGCTGGCATTCGATAAGGTACACAGCCTTCGAAAATTTACAAATAGCTATGCTAACTTCTCCAGCATATGAACTTGGTCCTCGCCGATACAGAAGAATTCCGTCGCGTAAAACGAAAAGTCGCCAAACAAGCCCCCGGCGCTGCGGCCGCCCCCCTCGTCGAAGCAGAGGAAAAGCGCACCCTCGGCCTCACAATCGTTCGAGGTACGAATGTCGTATCATGCTCGGTAGATGGTCCACCTCCTGCAGATCCCTCAGCTCGTCTGGGTACCAGCGTGCCGAACGTGCCTTCGGGTGCCGCTACACTCTCTGCTGGTCCTGGTATCAGTAGGCCCGCCGGACGAGGTCTGCCTGTTGGACTTGGAGGCCCGGCTGCTGGTGTTGGCGGTCCTGCTCCCGGTGGGTTTGGCGGTTTCCCTGGTGCTCCTGGATTCCCTGGTGCGCCTCCCCAAGGATTTGGTGGACGCGGTGGTCCTCGTAAGTTATCCTTCTGAGCCATTACGACATTTTCTAATATATTTTAAAGCTGGCTTTGCTCCTCCTGGTTTCCCCCAAGGCGCTCCTGGCGGTGGTCCTCGTTAGTATCTCTTTACGGCTATTTTCTCAAATGGTACTAACTATGACACAGCTGGCTTCCAACCACCACCTGGTTTCCAACCTCCCGGCCAAGGTCGCGGCTATCCGCCTCCCGGATTCGGTGGGCGATGATTAATGCAAATATATCCAATTGAATACAACAAGTGACTCGCAATGGCTACGAGATTTCCATTCAATATTCATCACCGGTCGACGTCTAAAAGTCATTTACACTACAGCTATCCATTCACACGTCATACCCAAAGCGAAACCCCGAATGGAAATTAGCTGCAATACGAATGTCCGCCCAAAGAGTCACTATCAAAATAACAAAATCAACTGGCAAAGGCGTTGTGGCGTATGTGGATGTAGGTTGGCGGTGTCAACAGTCCAGCGATACTAAGTCCAAAAAGAGCTATCAAGACCAATTTATCACATAACAGAATATTTAAGCCCATTCTTCTTTGTAATTATACATAAATGTAGATTCATTGATATATGACCACGTGACCTCCTTTCTCGATCTCGGAGATTACGGCGGTCGCAGCCGACACCGGTGAAGCGCGGGAATCTTGTTGAACCTCTGCTAACGCAGCTCCGGCATCTCTCTTGTTGCGACTCCATACCGACGTTATCATTTCTCCAGAGTTGTTTAGGAGAGAGAAGTCACAATGGCCGCCGCTATCAAAGCCATTAATGCGAAGATCCGCTCCAATAAGGTGCTGGATTATGTCTTCTCAACACGTATGTTTACCATCTCTTTCGTTGATTTCAATGGATGGACATCTCCAATCGGGACGTGCTTCATGTCTCGTTTGAACATGTTCAATTAATTCCATGCAATCGCTTATGTTTGTTTGCCAATGCCGTTGTACAAAGCTGACTCTTTTACTTCCGTCCAGATTTCTGGGGCCCAGCCTCGAATTTCGGTATCCCCATCGCCGCCGTGATGGACATTCAGAAAGACCCTGAGATGTGAGACTACCTTCTCCCTGTCATCTATAATCCGCCTCTATTTCGAAAGCTCTCGTGTGGCGGAACTCCCTCGACTCAAAGCTGACAGAAACCACACAGCATTTCCGGCCCCATGACCGGCGCTCTCGTCGTCTACTCCGCAACATTCATGCGCTACTCCCTCGCCGTCTCGCCCAAGAACTMCCTCCTCTTCGCCTGCCACGCGATCAACTTTACGTCTCAGACCATACAGGGATATCGGTACTTGAATTACTGGAAGTATGTCCGCTCCGCCCCCAACATCCACACGAATCATTCTCAATTTATGGAAATGAAAAGAAAAAGGAGAATGCTAATCTGTTAATAGCTGGGGAGGTCGTGAGAAGGCACTCGCTGATAAGGGTGTGGCCGAGGGAGCGGTTGCTGGTGCTCAATAAGATAGATAATTGATTTCGTTTTTAGTGAATTTGATTTGATATATATATTCTTCCTGCATGCTGTATGTGGCATTCATACTTTAAGTATGTACTTTCTTGTTTGTGGTTGCATTGATATGATAGAAAGTTGTAAAATGTAATATTGTTGAGTCTGACTCGAAGATCTAAAATCGTCCTATACACAAGATCGCTCTTTCGTACTTCTAATGCATTTCACTTTACTTCTGGCACCAGAAGTGATGATGTAACGAGGAAATAACGGGAAACACATGGCTTTACAAACATTCAGACAACGAAATCCAAAATAATGGAAATTGAGAATATCACGAGACAGTACATCCTGAAAGCAGATGGGAGTATTCTTCCATCACAGGAAGGATGAGAACAAGTTGTTTGTTCAAATCGCATCGTCATCATACGTCGCAGTACCCGGGAGCTTCTGGAGGTGGTGGAACACCAACCCAGTTATAGATGGTCAGCGATGTGGTATAGATGCAGCAAATCACGCCAATGACGGCCAGGCTAATGTCAGCACCACGCTGGAATCTGGTAGTCGCGCAAGCTTTGAGATGGAGCAGAGGCTGATCTGATGTTAGCAACCACCTAGGTAAATAAAAACAGAGTAGAAGAACTTACTGGGTAGACATAGACAAGGGGTACGCAAGCAAAACTACCGACAAGTGAAACAAACTTGTCCAGGTCGCCGGCGCCACCCCAAGCCACCAACGCGCAAAACATGACGAGCATGAAGCGGAAGAAATTCTTCTTCCACTTGATGCCAGGATTGTATTTKCCGCTGCGAGTAAACAGCTCATTTTCGCAGATACGGATTGCAGGGAAGAGTTGCAGCGGTGTACTCAGCAGAATTGCCAACGAGTAGAGGAATTGTACTGCATTGACAAATTTGTCGTCTTGCGGCAAGTTAAGAAGCACAACGGTCTTCGTAGCTGATCCATATGCAGCATAGCTAACGGCACCAGCTGATAAGAAAACGACGGTAATGATAATCATGACTGTAGCCAAGACTCCTGGAAACTTTTTGGGCTGCTTCATTGACTCTTGAATGGGAATGATGAGGCCAACACCTTCGTATGTGAAAATCGCCGTACCAATGAAAAGAGTCCATGAGTTTGGGTTGAAAGCCTTGATATCGGATACCCCCTTCTGGTCAACAATGGTAGAGATATCGTAATAATAGAGGTAGATCAACCCCAGCATAATGAATACGTCAGCAACGAGGGCAGTAAAGCCTAGCTTGCTGATATCGCGGATCAATGATAGCGGAAGGAAAATAATCAGTTGCATAAGAACCATGTACTTGATGTCAATGTACGTCAAGCATTTGCTGACAGCGAGAATAAAAGCTTGCAAATTTTGAGACGTAAAGACGATGTATGCCGAAACGAAACCCAACTGGCTGAGAACAATGGATGCAAGAATGATTCGTCGCATCCATTTTCCGTACAAGACACCGCCAATGTCACCGAAAGATCCCTCAATCTTGAGTCGCGAGTTGACCAGCAGTATGAAACAGTAGAAGCTGACCAGTGAAACAACCAAAAGAACAACAGAGCTGAATAGCATTCCTCCATTGAGGAAAGCACGGGGAAGGAAGAGAACCCCAGTACCGACGAATGATTTGAGCAAAAGTAGCGCAGCACCCATAGATGTGTTGTTGCCTTTAGGAGCACGCTCCTTGTGTTTGCGTCTTTTCATTCCAGGTGTCTCAGGGCGTAGCAAAGACGTGTCTTCTCCGGGTTGTACTTCATCTCCCTCCTCCCATACATCGGATGAAAAGTATTCACCCGGTCCCAGTACTTCGTCGTCTTCCTCAAGCTCTTCGCCAGCAAAATGTCCGTACAAGGTCAAAAATTCGAGAAAGTTGCTTGTCAAAAACCGCGGCTGGTTCGACACTGGATATACGCCGTCTTCTGACCCATGAGGACCAGGGCTACCCAAAGTTCTCCGTATATAATCTCTTCTAAAACCTCCAGGAACTCGAATGGAGTTTATATTCATGGTCTCGCTCTCCGGTTCGGGTCTTTGAACCGTAAAACTGCGGCTTCTCGTCGGCCTCCTCAACCCAGAAGCTTGAGCTTCAGCGTCCTCCGTCCAGCGATATACCTGTCTTGTCACATCGCCACCTTGTAATCGCAAGCTCGAGAATTCGTCGTCATCAAAAGCGCCTGCCGCATCGCTCGACGACTGCGATACCCGAGTATGATCGAGGTCTGGAGGGAGTACCAGATGTCTCTTTACAACTTCCGGGTCTTCGGCCCCGCGTACGCTTTCGGCTACAGATTCGGTCGACTTGGGGTCGAATGACCCATAGTTTGAGCGCAMAAGCCTGTCTGAGGACGGATATTCACGAAGGTCTCGCAGCGGTGAATGTCTCGGAGGCGTGCCAACAGGTCCAATAGCAGGAAGCGTGGCAGTCGAATCCTGAAGAGCAGAGGCCAGAGCTGAGGGACCCGGACCCGGGAGCGAAGCTTTATCATTTATCGTCGCAAGACTCTCATTTTGTGCGACCGGGGTGGCTATCCTTTTTCCCGATCTTACAGACGAAGGCGTTCCCGTAAACGAGTTTGCTGGTAGTGGTGAAGCCAACCTGGCTAACGATGTTTCTCGACTAGCTGCTTCTGCTCTGGGAGAAGAGGAGCGAAAGGAACGAGGAATCGAGCTTGGGATCTGCACGGAGCTTGATTTGAGGGAGGACGGTACTTCCTCGTTATTGTCCATAGCTGAGTGTTACACACCAGGCGAGGCGGGATCTGTCGTAAATATTCAAACAGCAGTCATAGATAATTCGAAACAAATACTGATCAATATTCAAGCCAATGGTGATATGCGAGGAATCCAAGTCAGCGTGAGAATGCCGGTCTGTGGTCCGTACCTGGTGATGATTGATCTGATATCAGGCGCAGGTGACCCGCAGGTGAGAGTCTGCTGGTAACTTTCGTCATTCGTTTACCGTATCAATACGTTGATATACATACGTACATACGTACCGGTTTTCGGTTAAGTACGGTCATGGTAGGCACGTGGAGCTCTTATCAGCAGTTTGCACTGTTTGTCTTCACGGCGATCATCAATCCGTCAGCCTATCAAAGCTCGAGCATCCGATCGTTACGTATCGTTCGCAGCTTCCCTTTACAACAGAGGGGAATGGACGACATTCTACTTCTCTTTAGTGACTCGACAATGTTTTGAGGTCCTTCCCACTAGACTGGATAGAATTGGCTCTATCTAACGAATCAGAGAACCCGTGTTGGCTTATTGTGAGAAACCTGCGGTGTACATTTGGAGGCGAAGGCGTTGCGTTATGCATTGAAGACAGCTACCTGGCTAAGGAGATACTGGATTTGAACTGGGAATGGAAATGGCTTCCGGAACCACTAGCCCATCCCACAGATCGGCTCATTCTCGTCAACGGCCTGTCTTCTCGGCGCGTTCGGCCACAGAGGACGCATCTAGATTGGCTCCTAATGAGGCATCTCCAGAGACTATTCGACGGTTGCCTTCTCACTCGGAGAATCCATACGAACCGATGACATCAGCTTCGAGATTGTCCCCTCGACAATTTAATCGGACAAGTGCATTTTTCGACGGTGTGTCCCAATGGTTCGCTCGTCCAGGCCCTGAGCCGCGACGGGATATTTATACGACCTCGACACAGTCGACTGATGCGAATGATCCTTTTGTGGAAGTAGCCCCAGACCAGAGGAAGGATCGAAGATCTCATGACCTTCGTGTAGGCATGGCTGCTCCATCGAATAAGCTAGGCACCTTCTCTGGCGTTTTTGTGCCCACTACTCTAAACGTTCTGAGTATTCTTATGTTCCTTCGTTTTGGATTTGTTCTTGGGCAGAGTGGTGTTCTTGGGATGATGGGTAAGTTTCAGCCACAGAGTTTCGAACTGATGCTTATGACTATCAGGAATGCTTATCGCATCGTACATTATTGACCTTTTGACGACAATGTCCATCTCAGCAATTGCAACCAACGGAACAGTACGCGGTGGTGGTGCTTACTATCTTATATCTCGCTCTCTGGGACCAGAATTCGGTGGCTCTATTGGGATCGTGTTCTATATGGGGCTCATCTTCAACACTGGCATGAATGCACTCGGTTTAGTCAACTGTATTATCGAGAACTTTGGTGTGGAATCCGGATCATGGTCGAATTTCTTGCAGGAAGGTTTTTGGTGGAACTATCTCTGGGGTTCGATTGTCCTCCTTGTCTGCGCAGCAATTTGCTTTGCTGGTAGCTCCATCTTTGCCCGAGCCAGCAACGGTCTACTTGCTATCCTATTGATTTCGACGTTCAGCATCCCACTCTCGGCGCTGGTCCTACAACCTTTCAAGTCGAGTGAATTGGGAGTTGAGTTCACTGGGTATAGCATGAAGACATTTTTGGACAACTTGAAGCCTCATCTTACTAAAGGTGCTGCTGGAAGTCAATTGCCGCACCGGGAGAACTTTCAAGATCTCTTTGGCATTCTTTTTCCAGCGACTAGCGGTATATTTGCGTATGTTTTTAACACCTGATTCAAGGACTTTGCTAACCTTATCAGTGGTGCCAATATGTCCGGAGATTTGAAAAACCCTAGCAGATCCATTCCTACAGGAACACTTTCAGGATTGCTCTTGACATTCTTTACCTATGCAGCTGTCATTCTGTCGATGGCCGCTTCAATAACGAGACAGTCATTTTACAACAATGTCAATGTCATTCAGGTCGTAAGTTTCTCCGTCGTATGTACAGGGCTTGGCTAAAATCTCTAGACGAATGTGTCTGGAACTCTTGTCTTGCTAGGAGAATTCGCGGCTTCCTTTTTCTCGTCGCTATCTGGTCTTATCGGCTCAGCCAAGCTTCTGCAAGCCATTTCACGAGATAATCTAGTCCCAGGTCTGACAATTTTCGGCAAGGCTGGCAACAAAAGCGACGACCCTATCCTGGCCATCATTTTTTCGTATATCGTTGCACAAATTACCATGCTTTTCGACATCAACAAGATTGCTTCATTCACGGCCATGACTTATCTCATGACGTTTTTGGCTATCAACCTTGCTTGCTTTCTCTTAAAGATTGGCTCTGCGCCAAACTTTCGACCATCATTCCACTATTTCAATTGGGTCACAGCTGCATTGGGTGCCGTGTTTAGTCTTGCCAGCATGTTTTTCGTCGATGGAGTCTACGCCACTGGGTGCATTGTCATACTAATCTTTTTGTTTGTGCTCATCCACTATACTTCTCCACCAAAGTCCTGGGGAGACGTCAGTCAGAGTCTGATCTATCATCAGGTCAGGAAATACCTGCTCCGACTCAAGCAGGAACACGTCAAGTTCTGGCGACCTCAGATTCTCTTGTTTGTGAACGACATAGATGCGCAGTATAAAATGGTCCATTTCTGTAATTCGTTGAAGAAAGGAGCACTTTTTGTCCTTGGTCATGTCATTGTGACGGATGACTTCACCACCGCAGTCCCAGAGGCACGTCGGCGACAAGCAGCCTGGACCAAGTATATTGAGTATTCGAAAGTGAAGGCATTCACAAATATCACCGTGGCACCGACAGCGGAGTGGGGGGTTCGCAACATTGTTCTAAATTCTGGTCTCGGCGGCATGAGGCCTAACATCGTGATTATTGATGAGTACCGGCAGAATCAAAGCATAGGAGACATATTCAAAAAGCAGCGAAGAAGACATTCCAAGGCTATGACTGTTACGTTGAATCGGCAGGAGTCAGATGAGTCGGACATCACAAGCTCCACGAGTGCACAAACATATATCACAATTCTCGAAGATTTACTATTCAAGCTGCGAATCAACGTTGCCGTTGCAAAGGGCTTTGATAACTTGGAGCTACCCAATCCTGGTGGAAAAAATGGAAAGACATTCATTGACCTCTGGCCCATACAAATGTCTGCAGAGCTCGCTGCGGATCGCCAAAACGTCTTGACTACGAACTTCGATACATACACACTTATCCTACAGCTTGGCTGTATCTTGAACACAGTGCCGTCATGGAAGAAGAGCTACAAGTTGCGTGTGGCGGTTTTCGTGGAGTATGAAAGTGACGTCGAGGAAGAACGCGGTAGAGTATCAGCGCTTTTGGAGAAGCTTCGAATTGAGGCCAAAGTGCTTGTTTATTGTCTGGCTGGTGGCGAGTTACAAACATATCAGATAGTTGTCAACGGTGATACGTCCTCCGCAAGTGAGGATACATTGGAAGATGTGAACACTGTCCTCAAAGACGAGAGCTGGTGGCATGACATTCAGGAATACCGCGACAAGGCCAGCAGCAGTACTCAGCAACCCGGCCAATCATCCGGTGCAGCAGATCTACTAGGTAATTTATCCCACTGGCCTGTTGCGTCGTTTCAACAGGGAGCACAGCGGCAAGCAGCGCCGAGGTTCGAAGGTATCAAGAATTTTGTACGGTCCGACAGACAACAACGAAGGAAATCAATCTCTAGTTTTAGAGGTTTGAATGTGAATATGGGTATGCAGACGAGCAGACTACTCGATGCCATGGTAAACTACCAGTCCGACGAAAGTGAGGACTCAAGCAGCACCGACGACGAAGAGCAGGAACCGTACGTGAGCGATAGCGAGGACGGGTCTACGACACCGCGTACTGGAGCAGCAACACCGGCGATCAGAACCACAAAAGAGACACCGGAGAATCTATCACCTAGCAATACATCTTTCCTGCAGAGCCAAAACTTGCAGGACGAAGTCGCTGAGCAGACCAACAATGCCCTCCGATCAAACAGCGCCGGAAGTTCGACCGACACCGTGACACCCGCCGGTCTCGCAGGACAATCAACATCATCCCTGTCACGGCCCATGTTCAGTCGCGCCCCATCCGGAAACCGATTCTCCTCATCACCCATCCCAGAAACACGAGTCAATCAAGCTGAAGACACAGGTCCATCAATCATGTTCTCCGAATCACCGCCACCGCGACGACCATTCGACGGTAGCCTGGTCTCTGACGACACCCAACCGCGCGAATCAATCTACGTTCATCACCGCCCAACAACCACCCAATCCTCCTCCTCTCGCCCTGCCCCGGCGACAACTGGGCCAGCATCCGGCTTTCCCAGCCAAGCCGCCATGCCGCTCTCTTTCAACGACCTCCCCTGCCGCGCCCAACACTTGATTCTCAATGAACTCATAACCCGCCAAAGCCACGAAACCGCCGTGATGTTCACAACCCTCCCTTCCCCTATCGAGGGCACATATCTCGACAATGTGGCCAGTGAGGCGTACGTGAGTGATATGGAAGTATTGTGTAGGGGTTTACCGCCGTGTCTGTTGGTGCATAGTAATAGCATGACTGTTACTATGAATTTATAGTACCTTTCCCTCGGTTTTCGTTACCATTCAATTATTCTTCCGGAGAGCATGTTTATTTCTTTGAGATTGTGAAATTGAGATTGAAATCCATATTATCGAAGCGGCATGGCAATGCGTTTTTATATTTTGAAGTTGCATATATGATACCAGGAGGACGTTATATCATATTTGATTAAGTTTGAGTACAGCAAGTGTTTATAGAGAATGTGTACCAATTAAAACATGCTATGATTAGAACAACACAAATGAATATATACACATTAATAAACCCACTTATCCGAAAGAAGATCCGAGAGAAGTTCCGAAAGAAGAAGGAAACCCTGATGGAACAGAAGGAGATTATGTAGTCGCCCTCTTCCAAAACTTCCATCCTTCTCTCCTCTCCTGCATGGTAGAATGAGTGCCCACCAGCCTATCAATACCGTCCATACCAACCGCATTCTCAAATTTCTGCTGATCAATCTCCTCCCCTCCTTCCTCATTCGATCCATTCCGTAACACGGCGGGATACAAAACGCCCACACCGTCGCCGCCAAGCGTAGTTTCGAACTTCTCGAAATTTTCCGCTGCGAGTTTCGCTTCCAGATCCTTGAGGGTTTGGGCCGTGGCGTCGGGCCGGATCAGAGTAATGGCGCAGCCGCCGCCGCCGGCACCGGTGAGTTTTGTCCAGCCTATGTTTGCGTAGTCGACCAGTTCGCGGATGCGTTCGAGGCGTGGGTGTGATACGCCCAGGGACACGAGCAGGCCATGATTAATACGGAACAAGGCACCGAACTCCTCGAGGGCATCCTCGTCGTCTTCAAAATCGTTCTCCTTGATCATCTCGCTAGCTGACATGGTCACTTTATCGATCGTGTCAAGCATGGCCTCTGTGACTTCTGGATGCGTTTCGCGGAGTCTGCCCACTTTGGCGACTTCGATGGCCGTGGAGCGCGATTGGCGCGTGTTGACCAACAACAAAGGTAATTCAGGGAATTTGTTCAATGGGGTAACGGTGGGCGGTTTGCTGTAATCGCTCCGTCGGAACAGGACTGCTTTGCCTCCGGCGGATACTGTGTTGTCGACACCACTGGGGTTGCCGTGTATACACATCTCGCCAACAAAGGCCCATCTGTTAATACGCTCAATCTGCACCTCGGCCTCTTCGGGGGGTTGATCCGGGTGTGGTCCAGCTAGTGTTCGGATTTGAAGGAGGAGCGCTGCACTGAGACAGACACTTACACTGGCGCTGCTTCCTAAACCAGCGCCAATAGGGATTGTAGACCGTAATGTGTAGATTGCGGCGTGGGATTCGGGAGATCCCAACGACAAGAAGAGATATAGGAATTGCGCCGCAGAATTCTGATGGATCTTGCGAACGTCGTCTGGTTTATCTGCCGATACGGCGGCGGCATGTGGCTGTACTGCCGCCACAAGGTCTGGGTCTAGCTCGGTCACCAGGTCGTAGTACATCTTCTTCTTGGAAGGGTGTTTGAACACGTTCCAAGGCAGAGAGTCAATATCCCATGTATGATCCAGCCCAATGTCGCGGAAATTCAGCGTGACGGTACGGTGTGATTTGGAGAGTGTGGTGACGAGTAGATACGATCGTAACGAGATTGCAGCGGCCAAAGCTGCTTTGCCATGAACAACAGCGTGTTCGCCAAAGACGATGACCTTCCCCGGTGCAGAGACCATGAAGGTCGGCGCCATTGGCGAGGATTGTTTGCGCTGCATTTGTATTCGCGACATTTTTGCGTTTGTCTGAACTGCCGAATCCGAATTCGTATTCGAGGTAGGAGGGGTAGTCTGCGCGTTCGAGACAGAATCCGGGGTGGAAGCGGAGGTGGGAGTAAGAACGGTGCCGTCCGTACTACTGTCGGTGGTCTCACCGGAGATGTTGTTTTGGGACTCGAAGCGACTTTGCAATTCGCTGAGTGTCAATTGCTGCCTTTTACTGCTGGTATGTGTTCTTTTCACGCTGCCGTGTTTCTTGCGACCTTTATCATTGTGCATGTCGCAGAGGAAAAGTGGAAGAAAAGAACGAAGGAACGAAGAACGGGGGGGGGATCAGGGAGAATTCATTGGTTACACTAGGGAGAATGCGATCGGACAATGAATGATGAATCAAGACAAGCAAGGAAGGACTGTGGCTTGAGGTCCTGTGTTGCACAATTCGTATCTGACCAGTTACTTTGAAAATATCGTGCTTGAGGACCGTAGAAGAAAATAATTTTCCCAGGTCGGCAATCATCGACGCTGCATGATAACGTTTGTCCTAAGGCACAGTTACATAGGAACGGACTAAATGAGATGCCTAGAAAATCAGGAGTCACGGAGTCGGGGAAGCCAAGTGGGCTGCCTGGGTGCCTCAGGCCCAATCAAACACTCCCCAGCCATCGGGCATTCCTCGCCGGGCTTAGCTGGGCTGACAAAACGCCGTTTGCGATAGGCTGGTCGGACATACAGCGTCGTCTCGGAATGTACTTCGTAGTAGACATGGACCAATGACATGCTGTGGAACAGCATAAAACCGCATAAATCACATAAATCGTGGCATCATAATATATACATCCCGGTCGCTTCGGAAATATTTACTTTGTACAGAAACAAATCAACCCATTGTCGTCTCCCAGCCGTTATCAATCATCACATCCATCCAGTACACATCCGACTCTCCAGCATCCATGCGGCGCCAGACCTCTTGCACCAGGTCAACACATATATGGATGGGCTTAGGCGGGAGCACATGCAGGAATGAAGTTAGCCGGCCCAGGATGAATTTGCGTGTGCGAGAAACTTCGATGGCATGTGCGGACAAGTTCAGTGAATAGTCGTCTCGACTAGGATCCAAGGACGGTAATTCCATGGCCGGCAATCGAAGTTCGCTGGAGGAAGCCACCAACAAGAAAGGCTGCAGACATCTTGTCCGAGACTCGAGGGGTACAGTTTTGAGACGAGACATGGCCGTCAGGGCTATGGTAGTCAGCCATTCTGATTTCACATCCTCCGATAGGTCATCCGTATTGCAGTCGCCCTCGCCGTCGTCCTTTTGTGGGTTGTCCAGATTTTGGAGATTCTCCAGATTGCTAAATACGTCAAAAGAAAAGTGAGAGCTGTTTCCAAGATCCTCTGGTTGGTACAATATGTTCGGATCTAGAGTACTAGATATATCACCTTTAGATATGCTCTCTGCCTGTAATCGATCACGCAGAAGATCCGGAAATACCCGATACAACTGCAACAGTCCAGTGTGTCGATAAACCTCAGCCATAGCAAGTAAATGCCATACAGGGGTTTCGTCATCTCCAGGATTCACGACCTCGGTCTCTGCTGGATGTGCCAGACTCAGCAGTCTCTCTTCCAGCTCCTGTGCTTCTCGGATAGCTTCTTGCGCCTGCGCAATGTCTCTTTGCGATGTAAACCGTTTCGCACGAACCCGCTTGCGTTCTCGCCGGACAAGTCGGCCGACTTTGTTCACAATAAATTGTGTATCACGAGCAATTCCCGTCCATGGATGCGGCACTTTTTGCGTCAAGAGTTGATCGTTTGCTGCTTGTAGATCCATCTTTGCAGATGAATTTAACGTACCGGTATCTGCCACGTACGACAGTAGCATTTCCCAGTATACAAGTGCTTCCTCGAAGAATTGATAGTTGTTGCGGTTCGTCAGTAGCGAACCACTGTTGATTCCGCTGGTAAGAGAATTGAGGTGGTTCCGAAGAGTGTTGAAATAGGATATACCCAAATCATTCGGGTTGTGCCAGCTTGCCGTCTGGCCGAGCATCAACATGGCAAGTAGCGATTTATCGTCGTGTGTCTCTTGACCTTCCAGTAATGATATAGCCTCCTTGCGCATTTTGAGTCCTACCGGACCGAACTGAGGGAAATCATCGACCAGCGTTGCGGCCGCCATACTCTGCAATGTGCGGCACATAGCCGGCGAGGAAGCCCACAGACGAGAGACCGTCGTTCTAAATGGGTTCATGTGACTATCGTAACTTGAAAACAGTCCAGCGACTTCTTTGAAATAGTATTCGACTAGCGTTGACGATGGGTCTTCCAGTGTCTTGCGCGGTAGAGGTAGTATACTGAACTGACCAGCTGACTGCCAGTCAATTGGAAACTGACGCCTGAACAACGATGATGGTGACGGGCGGGTAGATGGTAGACTATTATTGCGCATTATTTGGTTGTACTCAGTCGGTATACTTGATCTCCGTCGCTCGATATTCGAGGTTGATGGGAATTCACTGAAACCGTCCAAATCTATACTCGTCCTTGTCGCAACGGATGGCGCGTCCAGGTGTTCCAATTCCGGTAGAGTTGTACTGAATTGATGATCTATATGCTCGATGTCAAGACCTTGATCCCAGTTGTTGAGTAGTGTTGTCCCACTCCCTTCAAAAGTTGACGTCTCCGGAGATCTGGCATTGATATTTGGCATACCTGGAGAGACATCTCCACCATTCACTCTACCATCTTCGAAAGTCCCAGGGGATGTCTGACCAGGAGTATCTCTGGATGATCTTGGTGTCTGGGGTGCCTCAAAGGCTTCGTGTTTCGTAACCCATCGGAGCCGTTGTGTATAGCCGGGGCATTTGATCCTTAGCCGTACACAACGTCCACAGGCTGGTCGAGATTCGTCACATTTCAACTGCGATAGTTAGACCTACGAACGATTGTCAAATAGAATAAATAAGCATGTTTACCCTTTTACTCTTACATGTTGCACAGCCATTTCGAGACTTTTTGATGCCGCGCATTGTTGGTCTCAATGCTTATCTCGGAACAAACCCCGCATTCATTCCATGTCAGGCAGAGCCACGAGTCTAACGATAGTCAAGGACGATCGGATTTCGAGATCCACAAACTTTTTTGTCAAAAATAGACAAGCGGAAAGAAGACAGCGTCATGAAAGATGAGTGGGCTGCGCACATACCTAAGCATGAAGTCTCAAGGATATGGACCGAAATACGGAGGCGCTTATCTGCGCGGAATCAAGGGTAAATTATCTGCCGGATCAAATGCAGCGTCACGTGCTACCACCGTGGAATAGGCACCGTCTCTGGTCGATGCTTATAACCAATCAATTCCCGTTAATGAAACTATCACGTGCCCAGTTCCTTGATACGGAAGAGATATCTGCGTCCGCAAACAACCTCACTCTTTTAATCCTCATTTGTATCATTAAGCCCTAGACCCATCGAGAGGGATGAGACTTGTAGGGCCAGCTTAGGGTTATACCAGTGTCTGTCAGAAATTGTCTTTGCTCGAGCATTTCAATGATCCGACACCAAGGATGGGTCTTAGGACTGTGATTAAGTAGGGTTACGTCTGTGTCAACCAGGGCTATGTCCGAACGAGTTCTCACTCAACAAACTGGCTATTCCTCGAGAAAGGATCGAGTGAGACTCATGCGACGAAAGAGAAACTCACTGAGAGCAGGCTCTACCAGGTAGCTAAACAAACCTTTTTTGTTTGACGAGCATCAATAACCAAACGACGCTTTTGGGGATAGATCAGCTGCAGGCTCTACATGATTCGTTGTTCCTACCGCCTTCAAGCTTCTAACAGACTCATTGTTCCTGCGAGGAGAAGCCGATGACCTCATACAATGGAATCAGCGCACATACCCTCGCGAATGAATATCATCATCAGCGGCGTGAGATTATCCTGGATGAGAGCGGGGATGTGGAATGTTCCTCGCTGGCTCGTACGTACTGTCATCATATTAATTATTATGTAAAAGTAAAAAGGAGGCGACATGCGACGCTGGTGATTGGGTGGGCGCAGGTGGACCGTTATGGAGCATGTCTTGGAGCCGCTCCCGCGTGTAACCAGTCACACAAACAAGATGTTACGAACGTAGGAGTACCAGTGTGACTAGTTAATGATTTAATACGGGGTAGCATTGCCAATTGGCAGTGCCAACACCATTGGTCGGCCAACCGAGTCGCGTAGCACAGCAAAAAGCTTGTCCTACAACTGGAAAAAGGAACGAAAATCCCCCTTGATGGCGACAGATTGACAGGCAACGGTCACCCAACCAGAATTTGCCCGTCTCTCCACGGAGTCCACACAGCACCAACATGAAACAAGACAGGCTGACTGTATCAGTTCGGATTCTGGTCAGAATGTGTCTGTTTCGGTGACTTTGCGTATAACTTTTTGTCATGATTTTGGTTACTGTCCGGTGGTTGATCCACGCCGTTTTCGTTCACCTTTGTAGCCTTACTATGCAATGTCACTCGGACAGTCATGACTGAGGCTGAAATCTGGGCTGGGGTGGATACGCTAAATCGCATCGGGCAATCCTTCACGCAGAGACTTGCCAGATCAGGCGTTGTCTCTGATATTTCATCTGATAAAATTAAAATTAACAGAGTTTTAATAAACATAGTAAAGCGAGTTAAATGAAGCGAGGCGGGCGCGACAAAGCCACCGCCGCCTCTATTGGCTTGACACGTCCAGCTGGTTTAATTTTAGCTACGTGCCTACTATGGCTATTTGCGCCTCCACAGGTCCACAGTCCCCCTTGTGCGTACAGCCCACAATTCGCGCTGAGCATTAGAGTCAAGACCTATCATAGAGTAGATAATATCATAATACGAGTACGGAGTAAGAACGAGTAAACTATGGTTGGTCTCGTCCCTGAAGATTCGCCTTCCCCCGCCTGCTACGTAGTAGGTAGTAGGTCTGAGCCTCTCCTTCCTCCTTCCCCATTCCCCCTGCCTAGACTTTTTTTCCTTCCGTCACATCGCGTGCCTCTCTCTTACTTTCCTGGCAGATCATCATGTCGTTCGTTCTTTCCGACTACTAACTTTCCAAGTATTATTCCCCACGTTCGCTTTTCAATTGTTCCAATTCAACAGACACTCGCTTGACCTCGACAGACAGCTCGCCGAGGACATACGATGAGCCTGGACTCTCCGTCTCCAGTCTCTCTCCCTCATATCGTTACCGATTGATCGAACAACATTATTTATACATAGTAATAAAATTATGAGACTCCTCTGTCGTTCCCCTGGCCTGAGGCCGTTTCTTCTTTCCTTCGTCGTCGTCCTCACATTTGCTTCCAAAATCTTGCATATCCTCCAGCATCTTCGCAGCGTTCCTAATTCGTCTTTTTTCTTGTATCTACCCACATTTTTTGTCACTGATTTCCTTGTTTCTGTCTTTGCATGGCTGGCGTTGTCGAAACTTTCGGGTCCATGGGGTGTTGCTGGGTCGGCCGTTGTTGCTTTCTTAGGGTGAGTCCTTCCTTTCTTCCTTCCTTCAGTAGTGTCTGACCGGGATAGGACCATTGACCTTGGTGCCGTGTCTTCACAATTTGGTTTCTTCTATGTCACCGGTGCCGAGGTGCGATGGAATGCCGCATCAAGCCTCGCCACTGATACCGCAGGCCTCAAGCTTCTCTTGAGCGGGTTGATGCCTGTTTTTGCCTTTGGCACCCTTCTACTCTTTCTTTGCTGGACATTAGCTCCTCTAATCACCCTCATCTTCGATTCGTGGCTCTCGGCTGTCGGCAATGCCTTCGTCGGACTCTCTTGTCGTACTCGCAAATACCTTCCTCTCGCCAACGAACCCAAGCAGCCACCGCAGCGCAGATATACGGGACTGCTTCTTACCGTGGCCGGCTTACTCATTATTCTAGGTCTCGACATAATACGACCCGATGTGCCATACGATCATATGTCCGGAACGGTACCATTCACGCTCGCCGCGGCCTTGCAGAATAAGAATCGAACTTGCCTCTCATCGGAGCAACAACCTTTTCCATTGTCAGATTTGGTTGCGCCTAACCTGTGGGAGCCCAAGGACGGTCGATACAAGGGTTGGAAACCGGGTTATCAGCCGTCGGTAGCGGATCTGGCAACGGTAAAGGCACCGTCGTGGGCTCCTGAGACCTGGCCCGTGGGATTTGGACGATGGGCAGAGCGACCTACGAATTCATCAAAGGATACTCTTTTGTCTGTTACTGATGCTGTTTGTCCCGGCGGTAACTCTTTACACCACACGTACGACCCTGTGTTAGATCCTATGCGCATCACCAATTTGGATTTGGAGGTGTTGGCACCGGTCCAAAAGGCTCTGAAAGATCACGCAGTGCCAATCAAACACGTCTTTTTAATCGAAATGGAAAGCGCACGAAAGGATATATTTCCGTTGAAATCGGACTCACATCTCTACCAGCAAATTATCGAAGCACATGAATCGGCGAGTCAAGAAGATCTTCAGGAACTCAAGTCAAAACTGGCTGCTATGACCCCAGTTGCCGAGCAAATCACTGGGGAATCTGGTAATTTCGACCTGGAATCTAATGAACTGCGAAACAATCTCACTGCTGAAACATGGAAGGATCCGTCTGCACCAGGAATGGGCGGGATCAACGTCCTCGGCACAGTTACTGGGAGCAGCCTTTCTTTCAAGAGTGTCGTGGGCAGTCACTGTGGTGTTGGACCTATCCCAGTAGACTTTATGTTCGAAACCGAGGCCGAAATCTATCAACCATGCATTATGCATATTCTCAAGCTATTCAATGAACTCAAAAAGGAAGGTGAGATGTCTACGGATATGCGCCAGCAAAAGTGGAGATCCGTTTTCATGCAGTCGATTACCGGCGAGTTTGATAACCAAGGAAAGTTGAACGAACAGATGGGGTTCGATCAGTCCATTTTTAAAGAGAACATCAACACTAAGAAGGCGAAGCACTGGCATAAAGGCATGACTGAGATCAACTATTTTGGGTATGAAGAGCCAGAAATTTATCCCTATCTCAAGGACACGATCGAAGAAGCCAAAGCAAACGGAGAAAGATTGTTTCTTTCTCATTTTACGAGCACCACACATCACCCATGGGGACTGCCATCAGAAGTTCAAGTCGAGAACTACTGGCCTGGCGGCCGCTTTGCGTCAGAGCACCAGCCCAGCAACAAGTACCTCAATGCTGTCCACTACGTCGACAAATGGCTTGGCAATGTTATGCAAGTTATTGAAGAGACTGGAATTGCAAATGAGACGTTGGTTGTTTTTGTCGGTGATCAGTAAGTCATCTTTCGAATACCTTTACTGTGATTGCTAACAAATTCTAGTGGACAAGCTTTCGCTGAGGATTCACATATCATCGGAACTTTTGAGAATGGACACATCAGTAACTTTCGAGTTCCTCTGGTATTCCGTCATCCATTGCTCCCCCGTCTTGAAGTGCGGGCCAATGCTTCCTCCATGTCTATTCTACCTACAATTCTTGATCTCCTGATCAATACAGATTCTCTGGACGATGTTGACAAGAATGCGGCTTCCGATTTGATTCACGAGTATGAAGGTCAGTCATTGTTGAGGCCGTACAAAGAAAGCCACAACGGAAGACAAGCGTGGAACATGGGTATCATCAACACCGGCGGTACCATGTTGAGCGTTGCGTCAGCAGCCGCTCCTTATAGACTCATCCTTCCTTTGACCCGTGAATTTACTTTCATCTTCTCGGACCTGTCTCAAGATCCGTATGAGACGGATGTTGTAGAGGACTGGGACATTCACTCCCTGCTTCATACCGTCAAGAGAAAGTATGGCCATGATGCCGCTCACTGGCTGAAAGAAGCGGAGAAAGTAGGAAGATGGTGGGTGGGTGAGAAGAAGCGAGTCTGGAACTATCGTGATGGATAAGAGGTCATGTTGATAATTGTACAGTATACGAAGTATATAGATCAATAATGTTATGATAATACGCCTGTCTAATCATGGTTAAAGTGGTTACTTCCTAATGAATAGATTTGATGCCTGAGGCATGCTTCCCCACCACGATTTCTTTGTTTGGCGGCGGTCTGGTTCTCAACAATCGCAGGCATTCTTTGATGAACAAGAACAATACTTAATATCCTTTCTCGTATTGTGGTAGCCATTGAGATTGGATCTTTAAAACTCGACAACTTTCCTGCCAACAACTGACTTTTCTCATCCCGCCACACAATCATCTACATATTCTGAACCTTATCAAACACCAACCTGTAATCATACACTCTACAAATCCTAGGAGAAAAGGCAAGCAAAATGCAAGAAGGAAAGTACACCACATCACCCTCCTGGGCCGACATCGAACCCATCCCTCTCAACGACGGATCCGAGGACGCCACTCCGCTCGCCGTCATCACCTACAAACCTGAATATGTGGAAGCGACGTCCTATCTGCGCGCCGTCATGGCTGTCAATGAGATGTCCGAGCGGGCGCTGCAGTTGACCGAGGATGTGATTATGATGAATCCTGCGCATTATACTGTTTGGTATGCATAAACCTCACTCGAGAAATAGGATGGATGTATGCTGATCCAAATGGGCAGGCTGTATCGTGCAAAGATTCTATTTGCTCTAGACAAAGATCTAACGCAGGAATTAGCGTGGCTGAATAAAGTCTCTCTCAAATATCTCAAGAATTACCAGATCTGGTACCCCATTCCCTTCTCTTCTTTCTTAGAGGTGATTACATGCTAAGATGGATAGGCACCACCGCCAACAACTCCTCTCCTCAAAAACACACTTTACTTCTCTACCCGCAGGCGAACAAGATTTCCTAATGCAAATGTTTGCGTCTGACTCCAAGAATTACCACGTCTGGTCTTATCGGCAGTGGCTCSTGCGACAGTTCAATCTGTGGGATGAGCCGCGCGAAATCGCAGATGTGGATGCGCTGATTGATGCGGATGTGAGGAATAATTCGGCGTGGAATCATAGGTATTTATTGAGGTTTGCGCCGAGGCAGGGGCCAGAAGCTGCTATGGCTGTGGCAGTCACTGGGAATGGGGCCATTTCAGCGGCAGGGAAAGGGAGGTTGGAAGTGGTGGATGAAGATGTTGTAGATGCTGAGCTGGAGTATGCGCAGAAGAAGATTGCATTGGCGCCTGAGAATCGGAGTCCGTGGCTTTATGCGCGGGGGGTGTTGAGGGCGGCGGGGAGGTCGGTGGTTGAATGGAAAGGGTTCGCGAGTCGATTTATTACTGAGGAGGTTGGTGATGATGCGGTTGTGCATGTCAAGAGCAGTTTGGCCCTGGAGTGGCTGGCTGATGTCTACGGTGAAGAAGCCGGTGAAGGCGCGGAGGATACACGACAAGGAAAAGTGGACGAAGCAGTCAGGATGTTGAATTTGTTGAAGGAGAAATATGATCCTATTCGGAAGAATTATTGGGATTACAAGATTGGGCAACTTGCTATTGCTGCTTAATATGCTTTAGGTATTTTGACACGAGCTATGTGGAATAAAGACATTATATAAAACGCTCAGAACAAAGAATCAAATCCATCCATTAGCTAGTCTCTCTCGCCATTCACTCGCCAACCCGGTTGTAACATTGCTTCCACCACAAACAATGATCACCACACGACTCTGTGGCGTGAGGTCCGGGATCATCTGTCTCAGATATGACGGAGTCAACTGATCAGACACAATATCACTCTCTGTATCAGAAGATGACGACGAAGCAGAAGACGCAATTCCACTATCCGACGGACACGCCAGCGGCGATGCACATACTCTTTTCTTCTTGATATCACCATCATATCCCCCATCTCGATCCGCAACCCTCCCTCTCTTCCGACTGTTTATCTTCACAGAAGCATCCCCGACAGCAGCCTCAACACAAACACCACAGGCCAACTCAACAAGCACCCTCTCATCATCTGCCAACCGCAAACAACCCCTCGCCGCAGCCGCATCCGACAACACCGCACTATGAATTTTGATTTTTTCCGGAGGGTCAATGCAATACTCAAACGTTCTCTGCGAAACGCGCACGCAGGCAAGTGACACGGCCATGGACGTGATTTTGGGCAATGTGACGAGCTGCCTGGACGATATGGCAAGGTTCATAGACTGCGTCCCATCCGTCTCGACGGCGAGGATGTGTATGTCTTTTCTCGGAGATCGGCGGTGTCGCTGTATACCTTGTATCAAACCATTCATTAGACCGCCACCACCAACACTACAAATCACCGCATCCATCGGCAATTCATCCTCCTGCTCCTCTTCGTTGTCTGTCGCAGGCGGTAACTGCACCGCCAGTTCGTCGACGATAGTACTATTCCCCTCCCAGATAGCCTCATGATCAAATGGGTGCAGCGCAATCTTCTCCACCTTTTTCTTTTCTCCTTCCCTCTCTTCTTTCTGATCCTTCATCAGGATATTAGTCATATACTCTCCCGCCGCCGCAATCGTATCACCGAATTGAATCACCCTCGTCGCCCCCGCAGCACACAACTTATCAACCATCAGCCGTGACGTGCTCAGCGGCACTACCACTGTGCACGGATATGACAGTGAGCGCGCGGCACAAACGGCCGCGAGTCCGGCGTTTCCGCCCGAGTTGATGAAGAAGTGTAGTTTCTTGTGTGTGTTTGATGGGTGGTGGATGTGGTGGAGGATTAGGGAGGCCATTGCTCTGTTCAGTCAGTTCGATGTTCAAATCTTGTGTGAGATGATAGAGAGGGGGTACCTTGATTTGAATGATCCGCCTGGTTGGAGGTTCTCTAGTTTTAGAAATATTCTACTGTATACTCGAACGAGTTACGGTTAGATTCTCTGTTCTTGAATCTTAATAAGGAAAGATGGAGGGGGACATACCAGCCAGCCTTCTTCGAGAGAATGGCAGACTCGATGAGCGGTGTTTCAATCCATGGTTTCCGGGGTTTGTATGCTGTTTTTGTCATTGTTGTGGACGAAGATAGGGGCTTCAGGGCGACATCGTGGTTTTGCATGGCCTGCGTTGTCATTGTGCTTTCGTTCTTGGTCGAGCCAAGGCTTGAATATAGATGATAGCTGCCCTGGGTGGTAACGAGATCGATATGATATTGGTATAATTCGAGTATATAACTAGGGGTGTATAGACAAGTCCCTGAGTAGATAGATACAGTAGACAGGGCAAAAACGAACCACCTCCTATATGTATATGTAATGATCAACCAAGTCAGATCTTCTCCACGTATTCCTCCTATCATTTGACAAAACAAAAACCCTAACCAGATCTACGGAAAACCGGCTTACGATACAGTATGTAGTTCGTTATCAAACTCTTCTCCAACGGAGATACACGGGTACGCAATCCGCGCTGGACATTCTTCCCCTCACAGACCAGGCGAGTCAGCGGTCACTGATAGATAGTATCTACGACATGCGAACCACATGTCTCAGCACGTACCTATATGGAAGGAGAAGATAGGGCTTTGTGTCACATATCGTCGGGAAACTTGGGTCTTGTTCTCCGCGGGAAGGTTATGGGTCTGCTTACCGGGGGAGGATAACCCTAATTATTTTCATAGAAGTGACTTTATAGAGAAGAGATAGGAGGGAATGGCAGTAGACAGAAATATCCCACGGATATTGTTGTGTTGTTGAGAGTGTTTGCTCTGAGGTACAACGACAACTATTGACGAAAGATGAGTTGATGCATGGTCTCGCCATACTTGTGATCCTTTAACGGACAACTGAGAGTCAGTTGCAATAACAGTCTATACTCTCTCAGCTGTAGATAGTCCAACAATGTACGAATCAGGGACGCAAGATAAGCCTTCAATGGCTTAAAAAATGAAAAAGGATATGGACGATGCCGGCACGGCTCGAACGTGCGCGGGCGAACCCATGTTCTATAGATCGATGGAGCAAATATGCATCTTATGATGTCCATAGCTCCAAAGGTAATCCAAGACATACTCCTTAACCACTCGGACACGGCATCTCTGTGCCCTGCGTCACCCGTGCTTGTCAAGCGCCTGGCTGGGAGAGATGAGATGGGATGGACAACTACCCTCAACTCCAGCCTTTCATACAACCCTTATCGCGCAGTACATATCTCCTCTATTCAAAGAAACAAGATAAGACTTCAGTGTAGCTCTGCTATCATCGGAAATCTCTTGCTAATCAATAGGTAATATGTACCTAGGTAGGTATCGTCCATTCTCCGCGGAAAGCCTGCTTCCCGTCAACATAACCCTAACATTGAGCTCGAGTCAGCGCATGGCAAGTTTCCCGGCGGCAATCCTTTCTTTTTTTCTCACTGATCTAGATGGTTCAGGATGATATATGATGGTATCATTGTGTGGATTCTATGGGGTAATGGATTCGTGCGATTTGCTCTGATATGTACGTGCATGATAGATGATGAGGAGAAGGTAGCCGGGTCTAGCCGTTCATATCCTGAGGCCTTATTGATAGATGATTGATAGTGTACAGATTATACATGTCTTAGTTATTATACAGAGTCCAATTGTCAGACATACAGATGAGCGTCAGCTAATCCTCAACCATAAGCGGCGGAAACAAAAACTGGCGCCTGTCAACAGGCTTCTCAACGATCCCATACTCATAATCCGCCCCGTACTTTGCAGCCGCAAACCCGCGTTTGGACGCATCTGCACTAACGCCTATACGGTCCAGAAGCTCGGAACCCTTTTGCGGCATGAATGGCTGCAGCAAGATGCCAGATATGCGCAGAAATTCGCTTACGTTATAGATGACGCGATCGACGCGGGCGAGGTCGTCTTTGTGTTCCCAGGGGGCGGCGCGGTGAAAGTAATTTTGTGTCTTTCAAGAAATCAGTATGTAATATTCGACGGTATTAGGGAAGAAAGTACCTTCATGGCTCCGTCCATAAGCTCGCGAAGAGCAGCCTTGGAGTTGAAAGCGTCCATAAACCTTTCGACTACCGACGGCAATTCTTGGAGCCATTGCTCAAATTCCTTGTCATTTTCGGTCGCTTCATGCCCAAAACCATTCTTCGCTGCGTCTATACTTGGGTAGAATTTCGATTTCGTGACACCCATCAGGCGCTGATATACATTGCCCAAGCCATACTGCAAATACTTCTTGTAGTCATTGACAATGTTGCCGTTCTCGTAGTTTGAATCATCACTCAGTGGGCCGCGAAGACTGAGGAAAAACCGCATGATATCGACCGAGAATCGATCAATGGCAAAAAACGGATTGACGACGTTGCCGGTGGATTTGGACATTTTGGCCCTATTCATTGTCCAGTGGCCATGCACAAGGACGTGTCGCGGAACAGGCAGGTCGAGGGCCATCAGGAAGGCAGGCCAGTAGATGCAGTGGAAGCTAATTTGTAAGTTCTTCGTTCGTACCATTCAGAAAAGAGTGACAAGAGACCTACCGAACGATATCCTTTCCGACGATGTGAAGATCAGCTGGCCAGCCCAGCTCGGATTCCTTCCCTGGAGTGAAGGGGTAGCCAGCTTTTGTCAGGTAATTGATAAGTGCATCCAGCCAGACATATATGGTCTGAGAATCGTCTCCGGGAACTCTGACACCCCAAGTCAAACGCTCAACAGGCCTGGAAATTGACAGATCCTGTAAGTCATCACCCACCGTCTTGACTAAATGCCTCATATGATTCTTTGATAGGATGAATTTTGGATTCTGCTCGTAGAACTCGAGAAGTCGATCTTTGAACGCGGATAGACGGAAGTGATAATTGGTCTCTGACGACCACTCGACTTCTTTGCCGGTCTCGGTGGAGATCTTTTCACGTTAGCCAAGTTCGTCTTGATCGATTAAGAGAATATACCATTCGTTTTCTGCCAGTCGCAGGATCCAGAGATGGCTCTACCTGTGACTGCGGATAAAACGCCTCGTCGCTCACAGAATACCATCCCTCATGCTTCTTTGTGTATATATAACCCCGATGTTGTAGCGATTCCCAAAAGTACCGTACCGCGTCCTTGTGGGCTTCATCCGTAGTCCGTATGAAATGGTCATTACTAATATTTGCTACTCTTGCCAAATCCTGGAATGTCTTGCAGTTCATATCGCAGAAGGCTTGTGTATCCATCCCGGCCTCTTGGGCGGCTTGTTGTATTTTGATTCCATGCTCATCTGTGCCGGTGAGGAAGATGGCGTTGGAATTGCCTTTTAGTAGCTGCCATCGTTTGATCACGTCGCCGAGGACCATAGAGTATAAATGGCCGACATGGGGGGCTGTCCAACAGTGAGCATTTTCGATAACCAATGGTCATACAATCATACCAGCATTGACGTAAAAAATAGGCGTCGTCACATAGAATGGCTTCTTATCCTCGGGTTGTGTCTGTGTCGCAAATGTTGCATGATTTTGACGCGGAATCGAACGTCGACTTCTCAACGAACACGAAATTGAAGATGTGGATATATGTCTGGCGAAAATTGGGCGCGAAGTCACCAGACACCGATACGACCTCGATATTGTGGCCATTGTTCAATGCATTGTGAATGACAGAAATAAACAGAGAACGAAAAGTTGCGGCGAAGCAGTCAACCTCCGAGTGGTCCAAGCTCTAACTTTTTAAGCTCAGTGGTCCGCTACTTTTCTAACTTCTGCCTAAGAAACATACTCCCCGCCTTTTCTTCATTCTTCAAAACCTTACCCAACACTGTCACAGCTAGTAGAAATACAAAAGTGAAGTCGAATATTCTACAAAATGGCAACTCCAAAAGATGACATGCTCACCAAAGTGTCTACAGAAGGTATGCCATGCCTCCCTCTATCGCTCAATGAAACACAGCTAATCATGTAGGCGCAACTGATTTTGTTCAACTCTACCATTCCGCCCTCTCATCAAACAAAAGCTCGATAGCCTCCTTTTACAGCTCCGCTATAACGAACATTCTCTTCAACGGAAACGTGATTGCAGACGGCGCCGCGGTCGAAGACATCTTTACCAACCAACTACCAACCACACGTCATGATATACAGTCTGTTGATTGTCAAATTATAAACAAAGCCTATCCTACAACAAAACCCGGAAACACCGCCAGAGAGAATGCCAAGAATATTTCCATGCTTGTGACAGTGAGCGGCTCGGTGCAGTACGGAGGCAAGGACTCGCCGCAACATGGATTCAGCGAGACGTTTGTCCTGATCCCCAACACGGAAAGCAAGGAGAAGAACCGAAAAGATTGGTTGATTCAGAGCCAGAATTTTCGTCTAGTCGTTTGATGTGTCGTTTCTGCTGCAGATGCAACGAGTTCGCCCGTCGAAAAGAGCATCCTAAATCGAAAACGCCGCCGGCCAGCGAGGCAAACATATATACATTGACTCAAGCTTATGGCGGCATAACGTTGGAGATGATCAACTCCTCGTTGGTCGCAAATTTGCTCTGACTCGTTCTATGAGTACTTCACGCGATGCCTTGTCGGACGGCATAAGATTTCTCTGCAGACAGTTAGCGTCACACATAGACAGCTTCATACCATGCTTACTGCTCGGAGCCATCTTTTCAGCTCTTCTGTCGTCCATTCTTCGGGTTCTGTGGGAGTTAGAAAGTGCACCAAGCAGCAATAAATCTTGATTACGAACCTCCTTTAGGATCTGGCTCTGCAGGAAATATGTCGCTGCCCCATATCGACCAGGCAGATACGGCAGTGACGATGCCGGCAAACCCTGTATAATTAATACAATTTGTTCATGCGTGCATTGAGATTGAATATACCGAGAAGAAGGTTCTACAAAGTGTTAGCTAGATGTTGGCAAACTTGGATGAATCATACCTTGGAGCTTAGGGCTTTGTCTAGTTGAGTGGGCATCTTTGTTCGATCGATTAAATATGTGATCAAGGATAGTAAATGAGAAATAGAATAATGATGATAGATGTAATGTTGTCCTGTCGCAAAGGAAGAACCAAGGCAGCTCCATTACCTCTCCCCGCATATCTATCTGGCTGCCCCATTATTCAGGCAGTTACATGCACCGCCACATTTTCACAAGCCMCCAGCCATATCTCCCCACTAGGGCTCCTAGCTCGCAAACCCTAATTTCCGGATCGGATCCCACATTCAACTCCATTGCAGGCTGGGCCAGTCCAGAGACGTCAAGATTGTTGTTGTTGCCTTTGCTGGAACTTTGAAGCTTTTCTCACCAACCCTTCGACAACCCACAACATCCATCAAGATGCCTTCCGAAGTCTCTGATATCAAGCAGTTCATTGAGATCTGCCGCCGGAAGGATGCTTCCTGTATGTTCTCCTGGTGTTGTTTTCTGTCAATGCGAAGAGCACGGTCAATTGTTCGATTGGATGAGGGACTATTTCAATGGTTTCCTACCAGCCTACAGTTGACTGAATCTCATCTCATGTTCGAAAATTGTTGAGCTTTACTAATAAACCGATAATACAGCCGCCCGGATCAAGCGTAACCGCAAGAGCAGCCAGACCAAGTTCAAGGTCCGCTGCCAACGCTTCTTGTACACTCTTGTCCTCAAGGACTCCGACAAGGCCGACAAGCTCAAGCAGAGCCTTCCTCCTGGTATGATCGTGCCTTCGAACTCAGGCCAGAGATAGACAGACTAACAAAAAAACAGCTTTGAAGATTGTCGACGTCTCCAACGGTTCCAAGAAGAAGTCCACCTAAACAACACACCGACGAACATGGCATTACGGCGTTGAATTTAGGAGGAGGAAGCCAAGGGATTGCGACATGATACCAAATCAAAATCAAAATCATTCGAAGTGGATGGACTCGACATGTCCGTCATAACAAGACAACAGACATATTGCAGTAATAAATGTCAATACACCGATGTGAATGGGGTTACTCTTCTTACTTCTTTGATCTGTCTTATAAGATCCACCGGTCGGTCTCTACCTGAGATGGGGGCTTATTTAGCTATAAGTCTCCAATCACAAGACAAGAATAAAAAAAAGTTTAAGAAATAGCTCTTCTATCTCTATTCCGGTCACTCGCCTCTGTAACTCAACTCCCTATAATCCTTCAGCCCATATGCATCTGCCATCTTAGCAACAGCATCCCCATCCAACCCATACCGCCTCAACTCAAACTCTCCAAAATAATTCGGCTCCGGCGATCTCTTCTCAAACCCCAGAGACTCGAAAAGCGCCAAACTCCGCGCATTATCCTTCCCAATCTTGACACTCAGACACTTCATTCTCCTCTCCTTGCTCCGTTTATTAGGTGCTGTCGACTGTGTAAATTCATCCAACATCTGCTCCTCGTGGCGAGCAATATACCACAAAAATGTCAACAATGCAGCCCGGCCAAAGCCCTGCCCTTGATTTTGTTTCTCGGCAATCATTAGTTCGATTTCGCCTATTACTCTTTTCTCTTCATTCTCTCCGTCCTCTTTCTCGTCAACATCGTCATCATCAAAACGTAGGAATAGATTCGTATCCCCAATCATCCTCTCCGGTGCATCATCATCTTCTCTCAATACCAACAACGACGCCTTAGTCGATGATAAGTCCGAAGCTGGCAAAGGCAGGCAAGCAATAAACGTCAGTTTATCCTTATCTTGGCGCCAGCTTTGTTGCATGGCATATTCCTCGGAGAGGGTTAGGGGTTCGGAGGCTGTTGCTTGTTGGATTTCCTATATATATCCTCAGTACTTCAATGCTATATAGATAGACCAGACCAGGATGGTAGTGGTTGGGTGAGTACCTCATCTTTCATCCAATCGTGATATTTTAGGACGTGTCGTTGGGAGTAGGGGACTAACAGGACAGTTGATGTCGAGATTGCTGTGGTAGATGTCAACATGTATGATTTGTTTCCAATACTGCGGGGAACGATAGGATTGTACCTGTTGTTGCGTTTAGAAGCATTATTTTGATTGAGCCTAGTACTTTGTTATTATTGATATATAATTGTCGAACTCCTTCGAAGTGATAATCGATAGATTATGGTTAGAAGGCGGTTGCAATTGAAGAGTGGAGTCGATCAAAGCAAATTTACTGGATGAACGTTTGTATGTTCACATAGCCTACAACCAATATACCTTCATAAGTCGTACTATTTTCAGATTATCTATATCCTATATAGCTAATCGACACTTTTATTTTGTCTCCTGATTTCCAGAAAATATCTGGAATTTCACTACTTCGACCTCCAACGTCTCCGAGTCCACGAGAATCAACTCTCCCGTTTGATGAAACTTTGGAATTGAGACCAAGCGCACACGCGTGGGCTCGTCCGCTGAATTGCTCATCTCTGTATCTGGTCCATCTAGTCGAAATCGTGGCTCACTCTCGACAACGACGGATTTGAACTGAGGCTGATTTCCAATGAAGAAGAGATGGGGACAGGCCTTGATGATGAATGGGTCATGCGTTTGGAAAGGATAGCACCCTATGATTCCGTTAGAATGTAATTGACTCGTATAATCATGAACTCACATAATGTATCAGGAGCGGTAGGTACGGCACATCTCCATCTGAGCATAGCTTCCATAATTTGAACACTAGTCTCCCCATCCCCATCCCCATTCGTGTTGCCATTCTCGTCCGCAAAGTCTAGATATCGCAGAACATCATCCACATTTTGGCCACTGCATCCCCATAGTCGCCATCCATCAATATAGCCTTCCCAAGGATTCGTGACATTGTCAAACCAGCCGGGCTCTACACTTGTATCTCCAGGTAAGCCATCAGAGCAGTATGTTTTAGCCCGAGGCAGCATTGCTCGATGGATCCCTTGCTGAGGCAAGGAAAAATTTGCTGGATCGCTTTCGCCCGGCATTATTGTCACCGGTATACTCGGAAGTAGCTCGGAAAGGAAATTGTCAAGTTGAGTAATCGGAGAGGCATTGTAAGAAGACGCGTCGTAGCCGTATTTCTTCGGCGCTTTCTTCTTAGCTGGGTCTCCATCCATAGCTGTTACTGCAGTTATTGTTTCCACATTACCCAATGAATTGCCTGCGATGACCAATCGAGATATTCTTGCTGGCGATTCTTCTTCGTCACCGGTCCCTGTATAACCAAGTAGATAATCTGTCAATAGCTCCAGTGTCAAGGTATCACTCGATGAACCGGTGATGCCTAGCCCGCTAACGAATGCTATTTTTGACGACTTGCCACTCGTGTTCTCAATGCGTTTTATCGTGCTTTCTGTCTTATCTGTAGGCGCCTTTTCCCACCTTGGCGGTTGCGGTGCGAAATCAGGGACTTTGATATCAATGACTTCGAAATCACCATTGGAGTTCTCTGTGCCCAAAACTGCAATAATGACACCAGTAACCAGATGCGTCGTTCGAAGCATACTTCCTGTCATTCTAAGACGACCTGATTCATCTTCTAGCATCACTTGTGTGCTGTCCGGATTCGAGAGGTCGATATATGTTTTTCGGGGTGGAGGTGCGGCGGCGTAATTCTTCAGAACATCAATCAGTCAATTGTCTTGAACACCAATTATTTGCAACTCACGTCTTTTGCGACATCATCGAGAATGTTAGGCTTCAACGGCAAGTCCATATAGACCGTACCAGTAACCCAACACAAGGCTCCTTGCCGGACATCCAGCACTCTGTCCACTTTGCGAGCCTTTTCTCCCGCAATCTGTCGATTATTAATACCTGATCGAGCGGCTTTCCTCAAACTGAATCGCCTACTGTAAACCCATCCCATGCCTCTCGGCCCACCTTCTCTGCGGCCGGCTTTAGCTTGGCCAGTCGTAAGAAATACAGATCGCCATATTGTTGTTGGTACTGTCGCGAATCTGCCTTGGGCAATTGGAAGGTGTGAAGCGGTGTGTAAGCAGAGGGGACGCGGTATTCAGCTTGATATTCTTCGCCGCTGCAATAAAAAAACATGGTTAGTGCAGTTCAATCAGGTCGATTGCAAAATAAATGGCGGGGCTTATCTACCTCGGCGGTTGGAGAAACCTGTCGCTCGGAGTTTCGTAGCTCATACTGAGCGGATCATCATCTGGATATGGTAAACTTTGCGATGTGTGAAGACGAATTGCGCTCGTATAGCTGATCTTGGAGCTTTTGGGCCTGGTTGTTGATAAAGAAAAGTGAAGCTGGGCAGGTATGCGGAGTGTGGAGAAGGCACTTAACGCGGCAGGACGCGTCTTTTGGCGTTCCTTCCCAATTCGTCATTCTACTATCCTAAATCAACCCTAACACAAATCTACTTGAAACTGACACCTCTTCTCGTACTGCTAGGGATCTCTATGTACATGATTTGATACAGCTGAGCCACAGCAGCCATTATGTTTCCGCATTTGCCGCCGAGCGCCCATGTGACACGGTACTCCTAATGGCAACGACAGACAGCTTACGATGTTAATCTCAATTCCCGGCCTCCGAGCTGTGCAGAATTGATTCCTTCGAAGATCGACCTGAATAATGAATAATGCTCTCGATACTAGCTGCGATGCGCTGCCTCGGATGTTTGGCCTCGGCTGTTTTTAGCTCTTCGTGAGGGGAACCTCAACCACTTAGACTACTCCACAGGTTCTTATATCAATCAATCTTTACACTCTTTTGCTGTGTTCAAGCTCAAAGATACCCTTGCATATTCATATTTCTAGAGCATCGCTCATTGTCAAGCTACCGCATCTCTTTGTAGCAGTTACTGCGACTGGGAATCGGGTCACACCGCCACTCTACACAACCCAAGACCTAGCACAGATACTCTCAAAATGTCTTTACACACACCACTATGCGACTTACTCGGGATCAAACACCCCATCCTTCTGGCCGGTATGGCCAGAGCATCCGGCGCCGCACTCGCAGCCGCAGTATCTAATGCCGGCGGTCTCGGAAGTATAGGTGGCCTGGGCTACACTCCAGCGCAACTAGATGAAATGCTCATCGAGCTCAAATCACTTCTCCGTGACCCAAACCTACCCTTCGGTGTCGACCTTGCGCTTCCACAAGTCGGTGGTGGAGCACGTGCTACGAACCATGACTACACCCATGGTCACCTCGATGAATTGATTGAATTGATCATCAAGCACGGCGCAAAACTGTTCATTTGTGCCGTCGGTGTGCCTCCCGAGCATACTGTTAAGCGTCTCCACGAGGCCGGTGTTTTGGTTATGAACATGGTCGGCGCACCCAAACATGCCGAAAAGGCCCTTCAGCGTGGCGTGGACATTGTCTGCGCCCAGGGCGGAGAAGGAGGCGGTCATACCGGCGACGTCCCCTTTTCCGTCTTGATCCCTGCCGTCGTCGACGCTGTGCAAAAGTATAAGAGTCCCCTTACGGGCAAGACGCCCCTTGTCGTTGCTGCTGGCGGTGTCAACGACGGCCGAAGTCTGGCCGCTTCAATCATGCTCGGCGCCGCCGGTGTCTGGGTCGGCACTCGATTCGTAGCCACCGTCGAAAGCGGTGCCAGTAAACTCCACAAGGAAGCTGTTGTCTCAGCCGGGTTTGGAGAAACCATTCGCACACTGGTTGTCTCCGGTAGACCCCTTCGCATCTTGCCAAATGACTATATCAAAGAATGGGAGAGTAGACCACAGGATATTCAAAAATTGACGGAAAAGGGTATTGTGCCGATGATGCATGATATTGAGCAGGAGAAGGAGGATGTCGATTTCCCGTTTTTGATGGGAAGTGTTTCCGCGGTTGTCAAGAAGATTCAGCCGGCTGGTGAGGTTGTGGAGGAGATGGCCAAGGAGGCTGTTGAAGTACTGCAAAAGGGTCAGACGTTTATCAAGAGCAGTAGCAAACTATGATCGTATAGCAATACTTTATATTTGACGTTCATATGTTTCTAAGAATGTGATGTAACACAACAAGACATTTCGTTGTGCTATCCACCATTTATGCTCTACCTTTGTTGCCTTTTTTCATGCTTTATACCCGCGAGTCTTAACAACAAAACAGTCGAATTTCCAAAAATAATACAATACATTGAGGATGATTGCGAGACTTGTCAATGGACATCTAACATAGCCCATATTCTAGTATACTTATTGCACACAAGCGCCGATAAGTACTGACTAGGAAAGCCATTCGTCCATGATACGCGCTCCCCCCTAATAACTTATTCTATTGCCGTTGGTGCGCGCTTCTGTCATTGCCGGGGGAGGTGGTGGTCCAAAAACGGGCTTCTCCAAGGTGACTTGCTCGGGGAAACGTTGACGTATCGCTTCGTATTCCTCCTCATCGCTCATGACACCGTCTTCATCTTCATCCTCATCCTCATAGTCGTCGTCCTCATCGTCGTAGTCACTTTGTGTGCCTTCTTCGTCACCTTCGAGATCTCCGGAAAGTGCATGGTCTCCGGCATGGTTTGCGTCGCCGCTGGTGAATCCGTGTCCTCGACCTTGCTCTTGCATGCGGCGGCACAGCGCCTCAAGATGGTGACACTTTTTCTGGTACTTTTCTAGCTCCTGCTGGTTTCTATTGCGCTCTTCCGCCATCTCGAGAATGTTGCGATTGGTTTGGTCGTGTTTGCGGGTCAGCGTGAGGTTTTCCTTTTCCAGCCGCTTGGTCTTTTTTGACATCTCCTCCATTTCCTTGCGGAAGGTCAAAAATAGCTCATTACTGTTGTTCAGCGTATCCTCAACCTGGAACTGAATAAGCGGTGGTACGTCTAAAGGTCGACCAATCACCTACCTGTTTGAACTTTTCAACGTATATATTGAGCTGACTACGAAGTTCGACTTCTGTGTGAGAGAACGTCGAGACTTGCGCAGTAAGAGCCCGACATCTCGAAGCTTCACTTTCCGCAGCACGTTTTTGTTCTTCGTATTTTGCAATAAGACTTTGGATTTCCGCATCCTTGCTGCGCAAAAGGGCTTTGAAGTGGAATTCTCGCAACTCGAACTTTTCTCCGATGGTCTTGATCTTTGTACGGATTCTAGGGTATTATTAGCAATGTCAGTACTAAGGGGCAAAAAGTAGTGCTCACGCATCGTCCATATCAATGTCCATCTTCTCATACTTCCGGGTCTCTTTGGGAGCCATCACATCTTGGATGTCGGTAAGGAGAGAGCTCAGACGTTCATTGACAATCATGCGAGCTCGTCTTTCAGTTTCCTCGAGCTTCTTGTTTTCGTCCTGCAACACAGTCAGCTTGACACACATGCGATGTTATAAGACCGCCTTCTTTACCTTCACTTTTTTGTTCTCCTTTGTAAGTTCCCGACAAAGCTTCTCTAACTTGTCCTTCATGGTCGCCGTTTTGTTCAGCTCCGACTTCCCCTTGTCCTGATCCTTTTGTAACTGATCCGCTCGTTTCTTGCTTTTTGTATAGTCGCGGTCCAGCTTCTTCATCTCCGCCAGCAACTCGGTGTACTTTTTATGGACTGTTTCAAGGCGAGTCATGGGCGATTCGATGTTGCTGAGTAGTTGGTTCAGGTCTCTCGTAGCTTTTTTCACCTCGCGTTCTATAAAGTGTTAGGACTTGACTCGAGGATGAAAACTTTTCCCCGCGAGGTAATTCACAACATAAATCGAAGAAGACGATAAACGATAGAATGGAAATATTACACACCTATTTCGGCTTCTTGATCCTTCTCCCCGGCTGCATCTTGCTCCAATTGCGAAATCTTGGCTGCAAGCAACTTGGAGGTCTCATTCGGATCAGCCATTTTCTTCCCTTTGGCCTTCTTGGACATATTAGTCGACGCCATTGCTGAGTTTGACTATCAAAAGAACAAGATAGTTGCGCAATAATCCAATGAAAGTTGTGTGGCGTGTTCGCGTGACCGATCACTGCAGAAACAATGTACTCGGTAGGCCCTCTTCGATTTCGCAACTTCCATGCCTTGACCGCAACGGTGTGATTGCAATCAAGGCAAGCTAATATAACGATCTTCCAAAATGCCCTCTGATTCTTCGAATGTCGGTTTGCGCCGGTGAAAGGCTCGTTGATTTCGCTTGAATCGGATCGTTCGTACCTGGCCTGTCCGCAAGGTAATCCATGCGACTGCAGCAAGTTAGACGGGAATCTCTCGCAAGCTGCTGCAAGCGTGACCAACAGCAGCGGATGGTATAGTCGTACTCCGAGAGTGAAACAGCGCTGGTCTATCGAGCACTCTGGCGGGATTTCCTCTTCTTGCGGTGGTCAGTGTGGTTTGAGGACGATGCAGAGGGGAGACCGAGAGGCCTGGCCAATCAAGGCTTAGCGTAAAATTTCTCGGCTCTCTTGGCGTCTCGATCTTAGTAATTATCAATCTAAGTTACCTATTCATGTCATTGTATATATATATATTTTTACTCGGATTTTAAGACACAGGATACATGCGCTGAATCGCGATCCTTGTCACCGCCGAACATCCAACTCGTCGACGAGCTTGACGAAACTGCCGCATAGCTGCTCGATCGACTCAACTTCTAGCTCCACCTGGAGCTATCGCACTCGCGATGCTTCGCCTAGCTACCGGCATTCGTCGAAACGGCCTCGTGGCCCCTGGGAGGATATGGACCCAGAGGACATGGTCTGTGGGAGCGTTGGGACTGCGGAGGATGGCATCGACTGTAACAGATCTCAGCAGCTATCCCTCGGTGGGCGAGCGTCTACACGGCTTTACAGTCAAGGAAACAAAGCATGTGCCAGAGCTGCACCTTTCAGCTATCCTCCTCAAACATGACAAGACGGATGCGGATTATCTTCATGTTGCTAGGGACGACAAAAACAATGTCTTTGGGATTGGGTTCAAGACTAATCCCCCGGATGCCACTGGTGTGCCCCATATTCTCGAACACACGACACTATGTGGAAGTGAAAAGTATGTTTTATTCAACACCCAATCTGATAATGGCTAACATTTCAAAGGTACCCAGTGCGTGATCCATTCTTTAAAATGCTCCCTCGGTCACTGTCCAACTTTATGAACGCTTTTACCTCTTCCGATCACACTACGTACCCCTTCGCCACGACGAACAAGCAGGACTTTCAAAATCTTCTGTCCGTCTATCTCGATGCGACGTTGCATCCATTGTTGAAAAAAGATGATTTCAGGCAAGAGGGATGGAGACTTGGACCCGAAAATCCACTTGCTGCAGAACAGTCAGATGCAAAGACCAAAGAGCTGGATGATATCGTCTTCAAGGGTGTCGTCTACAACGAAATGAAGGGACAAATGTCTGATGCCAACTATCTCTACTACATCCGATTTAAAGAGAGCATTTTCCCGGCAATCCACAATTCCGGTGGCGATCCACAGTACATCACAGATCTGACACACGAACAACTAGTCCAGTTCTCCAAGAAGAATTATCACCCAAGCAATGCCAAGATAGTGACCTACGGCGACATGCCGTTAGCTGATCACTTGAAACAGGTTGGAGAAGTTTTGGATGGGTTTGAAAAGAAAGAGGGGGACAAGGATGTCAAGCTGCCACTCGATCTCAGCCAAGGGCCTGTAGAAGTTACTCTACCTGGTCCTATTGATTCATTTACTAGCGAGGACCGGCAATCCAAGACTTCGAGCTCATGGCTCATGGGCGATACGACTGATATTGTGGAAACCTTTTCGACCGGTATATTGTCTTCACTGTTGCTCGATGGCTATGGATCTCCTATGTACAGAGCTCTGATTGAAAGCGAGCTTGGATCGTCATTCACGCCAAACACCGGGCTTGACACAGGTGCCAAAAAGCCAATTTTCTCTATTGGTGTAAATGGCGTTCGCGAAGAGGATGTCGGCAAAGTCCAAGAGGTGATTCGTGGTGTTTACGAAGAAGTTATCGCGACTGGATTCAATGATGAAAAAGTACAAGGCTTCCTTCATCAGCTAGAACTCGCATTGAGACACAAGACCGCAAACTTTGGTATTGGAGTCATGGAAAAGACGTTGTCATCGTGGTTCAACGGTAGCGATCCTTTGAAAGAGCTTGCCTGGAACGATGTCATCAACGAGTTCAAAAGAAGATATGCCGAGGGCGGATACCTCGAGTCTTTGGTACAAAAGTACTTGATGAACGACAACTATATGAAATTCACAATGGTCGGGTCCCCAAACTATAATACCAACTTGGACGAGCAAGAAAAAGCTCGTAAAGATGCGAAGCTTTCTGCGCTGATCTCGGAGCACGGTTCTGCAGAACAAGCCATTGCAGAGTTGGAAAAGTCTGAGCTCGATCTACTCAAAGTGCAAGAAGACGCACAGCTTGCGGATGTAAGCTGCTTGCCAACCGTTCATGTCTCGGATATCTCAAGACAGAAAGAACGCAAGCCCATTCGCGAATCCAAGGTTGATAATATTGAAGTGGTGTGGCGTGAAGCTCCTACCAATGGTTTGACCTACTTCCAAGCATTGAACCCATTTGACGGTCTGCCTAATGAGCTCCGTTTGTTGATGCCACTCTTCCATGACTGCATCATGCGTCTTGGTACACCTGGAAGGAGTATGGAGCAATGGGAGGACCTGATCAAACTCAAGACCGGAGGGGTTTCTACCTCGTCTTACTTGGTTTCCTCACCGACTGAATTGGGTAAGTTCAAGGAGGGCCTGCAAATCAGCGGATACGCTATCGATAAAAATATACCTACTATGTTGGACATTATTCGCACTCTCATTACAGAGACGGACTTTACAAGTCACGACGCTCCACGCATGATACTGGAATTGCTTCGATCCACGACCAATGGCGCCCTGGATGCAGTTGCTGGTACTGGCCATCGTTTCGCAGTCAATGCGGCGGCAGCTACTTTGAATGAAAGTTTCTGGGTTCAAGAACAGCAATCCGGTTTGGCCCAGCTGCAGGCGACAGCTAATTTGTTGAATGATGCGACTACATCACCTGAGAAACTTAATGCTATTATTGAGAAGCTGCGCCTGATTCAAAGCTTTGCCATCTCTCAGTCGTCCAACATTAGGGTACGCATGGTCTGCGAAGCAGAGAGTGCCGCAGGGAATGAATCATCACTACAAAAATGGCTAGCAGCACTTCCCAAGTCAGGCACGATGCCTATTGTATCTCAACATCAATCAGAGATGCCTCCCACTCCTGTCGGAAATGTTTTGTATGATATGCCATACAAGGTGTACTACTCAGGTCTCGCCATGGAGACCGTTCCCTTTGTCGACCCCAACAGCGCATCATTGAGTGTCCTCTCCCAACTCCTGACTCACAAATACCTACACCCTGAAATCCGCGAAAAGGGCGGTGCATACGGCGCGGGAGCCAGCAACGGACCCATTAAGGGCATCTTCACACTCTCCAGCTACCGCGACCCCAACCCCACAAACACATTGAACGTCTTCAAGAAAACAGGCATCTTCGCCCGCGATCGTTCATGGTCCGACCAAGAACTCGAAGAGGCGAAATTGAGCATCTTCCAAGGCCTTGATGCGCCTACAAGCGTCGACGAGGAAGGAGCACGCTACTTCATGAGCGGCGTGACGCATGAAATGGACCAGCGCTGGAGAGAGCAAGTTCTAGATGTTACGGCCAAGGATGTCAATGAAGTCGCTGCCCGGTTCCTGGTTGGTGACGAGGGCTCAGTGCCACCCCGCCAGGCGCTTTGTGTCCTAGGTGAGAAGAAGGGGGATCTCACCGCCACTGCGTTTGGGGCTGGTGGCGAGTGGGCTGTGAAGAAGATTTCTTTGCAGTCTCAGGAAGCTGAGGTGGCGGATGGTTTGGATGTCAGTGCTGCTTCGGCATGACTCTCTCTAATGCAATCCAGCATTTGATCACTTAGCATGCATCTTCACTCAGGCGTTTTGTTTTCATATTTGTTGTATAAAACCCTTTATATACCCTGTATGATAAAAGAATGGGGCGATTTTCTCATTTTGTTTACATTCTTATACATCCTTCCTTTCCCCTTCCTTTATAAGCAAAACACCACCACGCGCAGCTTCGAACAGAGCAGACTCATCTCCAGCCCCTCCGGCAGACCAAGCTACTTTTCTAATCAAAAAGTATCTGGCAACGGATTTCTACTCCATGGCTGTATCCGAGATTCAGGAGTCACCCTTGACATGTTCTATGTTGAAGGGATACCAGAAACGCGCAACATCAACCCCATAGCCCTACCCTAAACCCTCTTCAGTTCACAGTCTCGAGTTCGCGAGAAGTGCAAAATTCCGATTTTTTTTTTGCGCCGGAAGGATTTTGTGTGAGACTCGTCTATCGTATACCGCTCCCTTCTTCTTCTCCTAGATGGAAGAAGGGGATGTGTATGTGAAATCGGAGTTGATTTGCTAAATTCTTCTAGTGTTGCGAAGAAGATGGGGTTTCATGTCTACGGGCGAGAGGCAGGAGACTGGGAAAGTTGGGGTTTATGGGCTACTCCGTTTATCAGACCTGCCCTATTCCTGTGAGATACTGGGGGGCGGACTAAGAACGTGAGGACATGTATTGTAAAATATTACCTAGGTATCTATAAATTGATTGCAGACTGGTGTTTGATCTACCATGGTAGTTGCAAAGGGGTTGGCAGGTTCTTGCCGAGTACAGGCTCTGCGGTGCCAATGTCCCTGAATCAACTCATTAGAATACAATACATTAAATAACGGAAATGTATGAGAGACTGACCTCGGTCCCCTGGGAGCCCAATACGTCCCCGTCTTCTCAATATCAAAATCCTTTTCGACAAACTCCGCCAGCGATTTTGCCGCTTCGTCGGGTGTTACGGCTACCCAGACATATCAATTAGCATCATCCACCCCATATCATACCATACCACAAAGCAGAGAGAAAAGAAAACGCAAACGTACCACCTCCTACATCCCAGTATTTATCAAAACCAACCCCTTTGGTCATCTCCGTCCTCATAAACCCCGGATGAACCAGCCCAACCACAATCCCCTTCTCCTTAAGATCCAATGACAACAACTTCCCCACCATATTCAGGGCTGCCTTACTCGCATGATGCCCATAATTCCCACCTCCTTCGGACTCATGCCGAAGCGTAATACTACCTGCCTCCGACGAAATTAATATAATTTTCCCTCCTCCTCCTTCCTTAACGAGGCCTCGTTTGACGAGCGCCTGAATCACGAATACAGGCCCAATAGCTGAAGTCGTGTACATGCGCACCTGTTTTTGCCAGTCGGGTTCATCAAAGGACTCGAACCCGAAATAACCGGCGTTCACAATCACGGTGTCGAGTTTTAGGCTGTCGGGCACGATTTGAGAGACGAGAGTATCGCCGACGTCAGGCTCCGAGATGTCGACGTTGAGGAGCCAGCGGATTTTATCATGTTTGGGCGTGTCGGGAGCTTTGTAACTGCGGGTTGTTGCGTAGACGGTGGATGTGGTTGGGAGGGAGGCGTAGTGGGTTGCGAGAGAGGCGCCGAGGCCGCGGGTTGCGCCGATGAGGAGGATGTTTGACATTTTTATTTTCTGTGATTGATGTTGTGATTATGGTGAAATGTAGGAGGTGAGGATGTTGATATATGATAAGGTGGGATGAATGACGTAGAAACCATGAGCTCATGTCCAGCCAATCACGTTCATTTCTCATTCGTAAATCATAAATAGTATACATACGCCTGATATCAATGGCAGCAAGACAAGCTTTGAGCTATGTACTTATATATAGGTGGAATACAGAGGACTGTCTCCAGGTATGGATAGAGAATAGGCAGGTTAGATTCATTCGCCTGCATCATCATGGTTTTCGTCGCGATCCGTGTTGAGATCCGCTCCATGATCCTTCGCAGATAGCGGCGTAATAGATCTTTGTGACGTTGGCGTCATTGGATATGAAGGAAAAGGTTCTGTTGGTTTATCGTCCTCTTGTATAGAAGCCGGATTGCTCCGTCTAGTTTCTGGAAAATTAGCAATGAAGTCTGACGTGGGGGTCGCTTGAGACTACTCATTCATTCATTCATTAGCAATGCTCGTTACTTGATTTCATCAAGTCTTACCGTAGCCCGAGCTAGTCCCTGATTGACAGCCAACTGATGAGCTGCACTGCGTCTGCGTACAATTTCCAGCTCTTCCTCCGCTTCCGCTTCCTGCTCTTCTTTTGACAGTTCTGCCATGGACGCAATTTCTGCATTACGAGCAGTATCAATTTCAATGCGCGACTCTTTCCGTTCTCTGGCCTTCCCACTCCGCGACGACTGGCCCGACGTTGTCCTTCTAGAACGACCTCCGCTTCCAGCCAGATGCTCATCCGAAGTGAGCCCCGTATTTCGACGCGCTAATACAACAGCGAATTCGTCGTCTAACGGTACTGCATCCTCGTCCTCATCGTCGAATATAAGATCGCCTCTTGAACTCAACGAATTGCTCGTTTCCTGCGAAGACTGCGTCGTACTGCGATTCCGTTTTTGCCTTTTTCCTTTCCTTATACTTCCGGCAATGTTGTCTGCATCTTCATCCTCTTCTTCTATCAAAGGCTGTGCCTCTGAATGTCCAGGCTGAATATAATCATCGTCATGCGGCAGTCGACCCGGTCTCTCCTGCAAATCAGCCGCAGACGGCCGATACTTGACACCACGAGGTCCAATCTTCCACGGAAGTCTTTCCAAAAATCCAATAAACGACGACTTGGGAATCACCGTAGGATCATCCCTCTGATCCGGCACAATTGAGCTCTTGCGTCTCGTCCGCGCAGCACCATAGCTCATCTTGCGTTGTCGACGGGGCTGTTGCGCTCCACCMCCAGCCCTTACACTCCCACTMCCCGCCAATAACCGATCCAACTCATCATTGCCCCATCCTAGTATCCCCTCATTAGCGCTCTCATTATCCCAGTCATCATAAAAGTCGAAACTGAGCTCGGCGCGACCTCGCCTGCGACGTCGGAGTTGAGTTTCACGATTTGGAAAGCAGGTCGCAGTGCATTCGGTAAGACAGTTGCCGAGAGACGTGAGACAAGGTGCGAGGTATTGTTGGCCGAAGCGGTAGAAGCCTTCCTGGGCGCTTTCGTTGGCGGATTCAATGTTGTGGGAGATTTGGTTGAGGGTTTGGCGGATTCGAGGGTCGTTTGTGCGCATCATTTTGTGTCAATGTATTCCAGGTTGAAGTAAGGTAGATCGGATGGATGCCCTCGGGCTGTATCGCAGTCTAGTTGATAAGAGTCATGAGTGACAGGTCTACCCATACATCAACAGAAAGAAACCTGCTAGCGACACCCCTGGCATGGATCACGTTGTTGTGAGCTGGTCGAGCGTGTCCATTGCATGCCACAGAAATCCATCAGCAATGATGGCATGAACCGTATGTAGTATGACCAGTCTAGTCTAGTGTCGCCCACGCACGTGAGATAAGCCGTCTCCACCAATCAACTCGATCTATCATTACTTTTTACACAAAATGTAAATTCGATTTAATTCAAGATCAATTAATTGGATCAACATGGTATACTATATACGCTTTCTGAAAACACCCCGAACGCAAATCGCCAAGCCTGGACTCGTCTCAGTCTCGGCACTGATATCCATCACCACTGATTTGGGAGATGCATTCCTTGCCGAAGATGTTGCATTGCAAGTGCAGTTGATAGATGCTGGCGACACCACACAGACCAATACAAGTACTGTCTTACAAGAAAATAATACATACAAGTGGGAAGCGGGAAAACGGGAATTGGCAATTTCCACCGGCCTGTTCAAAGCGCCCCGAAAAATCTCAAGGGTTGTGCTAGCAGTTGGGCCAAAGACAGCATCTACCTTGGACACTGATCTGAGCGATGCAGAAAAAATACCGTTGGTGATTTCAGGATGGAGTGCGCCGTTTAGTCTTTCTCAGAATGGTACGGCCGAAAAAGTGATTGAAAGGCGATTTGTGCTACAGAATGACACCCAACTCAGGATATGGGAGGAGACGGGGAACAACATCGCGCGGCATATATGGTTTGCCTTCTTTCGTGTACTTGCAGGAACTTTACTAAGAGGATTAGGGATGCTGCTCTAGCGGCTATCGTGTGTCTACAGAGTACTATCAACAGTTCCGGCCGGTGCAGTATGCCGCGCCTTCAATCGCGGTTTCAGGCCATAAGCAAGAACCATTTCCAAGTCATTGAATTGGGATCTGGTTGTGGTGTCGTCGGAATCGCTCTTACGCAGATGCTATTCGGATGCTCAGTGACACTCACAGATCTCGCAGAAGTAAACGATATCGTGGCGCGCAATCTTCAGATCGCGCAGTCAGCAACCAATTCAGAAACTAGATTCAAGGTTCTTGACTGGGAGGAGGAACTCGACGCAGAGATCACCGCAGAGCCAATTGATCTTGTCTTGGTATCAGACTGCACGTATAATGCTGATAGTCTCCCGGCGTTGGTGCAAGTGCTAGATCGTCTGGTTCAGTCGTCGCCCGATGCCCTTGTGCTGGTGTCTCTGAAGAGGCGGCATGAGAGCGAGGCGGTGTTTTTTGATCTGATGCGACAATCTGCGCTGGCTATGCTGGAAGAGTCGGTCCATTCGCTGCCGGCGGCGTATTCTGAGAAGGATAGGATTGAGATGTACCTTTTTGGCAGAACAGCATAGAGACAGAGGTAATCAGAAATCTCCGATTGGCGGCGGCATCAAGTGCGTCATAGTGGGTCTAGACCGCTGTGAGTGATGGCCACATTTCTCAGGCAGAAACAGGTTATTCAGGATCATTGCTAGGAATATCCTGGTGATACATTCTACTATTTTTCTTCCGGTCGCACGAACACGTTGGGCCACAGCTATGTAGTGTTACAGCTTAGCTGTTCGGCTGCATGTGAAATTGCACCGCCACCATCCCACTGTTCGACTTCAAGTTTTGGGGGTTTGTGCCAATATTGTACCAATATTGAGGTGAAATATAGCTGTAATCTATCAGGCTAAAGGGCATCCAAGCGGTCAAGGAACAGACAGGGCCTAAATCGCGCATCTTGACCGCAACGAAGAAAAATACACGGACGGTAGTGGATAATATCTGTAGCTGCCGGATTCTGCAATGAGCTGCATACAGCATGCACACTGCATGGAATTAGCTATCAATTTGGATGATGTTTCCTGGCCAGTCCGAGTCTCATCTACCTCGCGATTGTGTCTTGCCAACGCGGGAATAATTATAACCTGAGAGTCGTCCTTTGAGTCATACAGATACGAGCATAAGCTGGAAAAGCAAGCAAGAATGGACATAGTGCGTTTGTTAACAATAATCGCTCATAGTGCCAGATAAACAGCGTGCGTCATTCCGCCGAAGAAAAATGGCCGGGAAGACGTGGTGGTGCCTGCCCGGCCAGGCCCTGGCAGAAAAATTGTTGTGTCCCCCCGCAGTCCAAGCCTTTCTTCCTCCGCCACGACCAACTTCCTTCTTCCTCTTCCTCTTCCTTTTATTCCACCACCCTCTTCCTTTCTTCGTGCTTTCTTCATCTGTCGTCTCGAAGATTACTTCGTATATACTCTGTCTTTCTAGGTAAGTCACCAGCTGCAACTATATATCCTCAGTCTGTTACAGTCGAGCCTTGCGTCAAGTGTGCTCGTCAATGAATGCCCGTGCCCTAAGAACACACACCACCACTTCAGAATTTTCAAAATCCCGCCCACGACAATACTCCAAACAAGTCATTGTTTCTCTGTTACATCGACTATTGCTGACGTCCAATACTCAGACTTCATTTCTTTCACACGCCTTTGGACACCAAAGGCCCTTCACCACGGCTCCCGCCGCAAACTCGCGATTCTTCCAAATTGTCGCATTGTATCGTCTTCGACAGACTCTCAACAACATCCCACCTCCTGCTGATCGCTAAACTCTTCGACTTCGAATCCACGGGCGCGCCTTTGTCCCCCCAATCTCCGTCCGCTGATTCCCCAATTTTCTTTGAGCTGCCGCATAGGGTTACTCTGCCGGTTCTTCCTCTTCTGGGGGAAGGGTCGAGGAGGCTTAGCCCACTTTATAACAGCTGCGAATCTTTTCGCCCGCCTTAACACAACTACAACTAAATCAATTTACACATTTTATTCTTGCAGACTTCCGCATGGTTATGGCACCTTCGCTTCTTACTCCTGATGATGTATACGTTTTTAACAACTATCATCCTCATACGAAAGATCCAGATACGTCTGTGACCTATTTGGATATTGATCATGGAGTGAATGATGCTCTCGTTTTGCGGGGTCACTCCTCCCCAAAGGAGATGATACTGGGCGAATTGAAGAAACGCGTTGACCGTATTGACATTGCGGGCTGCGAGCCTGGCGAGGAGGACGCGTTTTATGTCGCAGACATGGGCGAGGTCTATCGCCAGCATATGCGGTGGAAGATGAACCTAGGCCGTGTCAAGCCTTTCTACGGTATGTCACTCTAGCCCATTGCACTGTCTCTAGAACATCGACTGACCTGTACAGCCGTCAAATGCAACCCGGACCCAGAGGTCTTGCGCCTCATGGCCAAGTTAGGCAACGGCTTCGATTGTGCTTCTAAAACCGAGATCGACCTAGCTCTCAAGACGGGTATTGACCCGAGTCGCATCATCTACGCGCAGCCGTGCAAGACTAGGTCGTACCTTCGCTATGCCCGCCAGAAAGGTGTCAAACAGATGACCTTTGACAATGCAGACGAGCTGTACAAAATCAAGAACGACTTTCCCGACGCCGAACTGTACCTGCGTATTCTGACTGATGATTCCACCAGTTTGTGCAGACTTAGCATGAAGTTCGGTGCCTCTTTGGACACTGCTCGCGCGTTGTTGGATTTGGCCAAGAAACTCGAGCTTAATGTTGTTGGTGTCAGCTTTCACGTTGGATCTGGAGCTGAAGATCCAGGCGCTTTCCTCAAGGCCGCCCAGGATGCACGTTGGGTGTTTGATCAAGCTGCTGAAGTTGGCTATGAGCTGCACACACTCGATGTTGGTGGGGGTTTTTGTGACGACACTTTTGAACAGTTTGCTGCTATTCTGAGCAAGGCCGTCGATGATTTGTTCCCGGCACACATTCGTATCATTGCTGAGCCAGGTCGCTACTACGTTGCCGCAGCTTTTACACTTGCCGCGAATGTCATTGCTCGTCGTGATGTGTTTGACCCACAGACTTCATCAGGCAGTTACATGATATATCTGAACGATGGTGTTTATGGCAACTTTTCCAACATCATTTTTGATCACCAACACCCGATTGCTCAGATTCTAACATGCGCCAATGGCAGCGTACCTCCTACCCCAGGATTGACCGCCTCGGGTTCTTCCACTCCGGATCCATCCGCTGATGATCCTCTACGTGTCCCTGCCGGGGTAGAGTACAGCATCTGGGGACCTACCTGCGACGGCATTGATGTCATCAGCTCGCAGATCGTCCTGCCGGGCTTGGTTGACGTGGGTGATTGGTTGTATTTTGAGGACATGGGCGCATACACTCGTTGCAGTGCCACCCGTTTCAACGGGTTCCCTGACAACCACGATGTCATTTATGTGTCCAGCGAGAGCGGAGCATCCGCCTTGTTGGAGTACTAGCCTTGTCTTAATTTCTGTGGATATTTTCTCTTTTGTTTTGTTTGTTTTTGCTTTCGTCTTCTTTTCTTTGCTCACGCAATAGAATAGATCATATGGTTATAAGTCAGGGCTCATAACCGCTTAAAAGTTATGTTCATAGTCACTCTTTGTCCATAGTCGAGTTGAATTGTTGCAACGCACTAAACCAATTTTAAATAGACTTGTTTCAGTTCTATATAACATCTATCTATCTATCATATCTATATGCGTCAGAAATCTAGATCACTTTCTCCACCTTGATCTCAAAATCTTGTGCACCCTTAACAGCGACATACGCGCCAGTTTCGAGCTTCTTCTTCCACTTCGCAGACTCGTACCGCGCAAGTATGAACGTTAACCTGGCTACATCCGCGGTAGGTGTAGATGTGGGCGTGAATGTCCATCTGCCAAATGCCCAGTTGAGAATATACGTACTAGTTTTTGATTCTGAAGTAGTAGTGGTGCTGGATGAAGTAAGAAATGTCGGATCAGAGTTTTCAGGGACTTGGTCTGATGAGCACCGGACTGTCCCCTTGATGCGATAGACTTCTTCTTTGGAAGACGATCTGAGCAAGGACGTAAACTTGGCGAGATCTACTACGCCGTCGTCTTGTGTGGCGGGTAGCGTCAGCGACAGAACCTCCACCTCCGACTGATGATCATGCCCATGCTCATGCTCATGCTCATGTTCGTGATGGTCATGGCCATCCAAGGTACCCCCTTTCGCAATTAACGCCCCATCAATCCCCAACAACACCTCCATCTCCACCCTACCCTTATCACTCTTAACCCAGGGCGTCGGCGCCTCAAGCTCCAAATCTCCTAACCTATCTAAACAAACATCAAACCTCCTCTCATCCACAAGCTCCCACTTATTAAACACAATCAAATCTGTATATTTTGCCTGCATCTTCGCCGTATATGACGTATCTTCGTACCCTTGCCAATTCTCGACGTCAATCACACTAATCACCCCATCGAGCACGAAGAACCCTTTTGTGGCTGCGTTCTCGGTTGAGAGCCGGTTGACTTCCATTGCTAATGTGGCTGGGAATGCGCTTCCGCTGGTCTCGATGACGATTCTGTCTGGTTGGACTTCTGTGCGGAGTTGGGTCAATGCGTCGCCCAACTGGCCGACAAGGTTGCAGCATATGCATCCGTTCAGAAGTTCGCGGACGCCGGAGATGGATTGCTCAGAGGCGAGTTGCGAGTCGATTGCGAGGTCACCGAATTCGTTTTTGAGTAGAGCGAGCTTGTAGGTGGAAGGTAATTGGGGAATGAGATTGAGGAGGAGTGTGGTTTTGCCGGAGCCGAGGAAGCCGGTCAGGATTGTGATGGGGATGGGGGGTTGGATTGTCATGTTGTTTTCTTCCAGTTCGCGGTTGACGACGAGGGATGAGGATGGCGGGGTTGCCGATGGGTGAGACTGGTAATGCCTTTGTTGGGGATACGATTGGGAGCTTTTTCAATGAAGAAATGTGATGGAAGAATTGGTCCGGCCCAAAATTGCGATCTATATCTCGCTCTTTGTTCTAAAACGGTGGAATGTACAGAGGATAGAGAATGAGAAGAAGATGATAAATTTGATACGGGAATTATTTTTATCTCCGCTCCCCGCTTTTGATCTTCAAGGCACACCGAGAACGCCATCTGCAACATTGCATGCCATACCTGCGCTTTTGGGTGTTGATGATATAAATACAGGCTATACTATGTTAGCGTACCTTTGATTATATCTATATTAATATCAATATAGAGGTCTTTTCTCGTCGATATAATGAGGATGTTATGTAAATGCAACGGTCTAGGTGGGCCCAGGTACTATACGACGTCATAAGCTCTGAAACGGTCCATGCGTCTTTTCATACTTCATTTTTCTTTTCAACCTATATTCATCTACAAGATTCTATAAGCACATTCAATTCTCTATTCTCGACAACCTCACACATTAAGATGACAGAAAAAGAACAAATCACGAACAGCGCCATGTCTACCAACGCAGCGGGCTCAACGACGACAACGACAACCTCCAACATCGTCCAAACAGCAGATACTGTATTAAACACAGTAAGCGACAAAGTCGCCGATATAACCGGACAGCACGAGACAGTCCAAAAAAGTAATCCACCTCATTCATACATAGAAAGAACCATATCTGACGTGCATAGCCACCGCTTTCGTCGAAGAGAATGTACTCAGAATCAACAAACAAAATACAGACAGCTCGAAAGAAGGATGCGATGTTGAAGCAGTGCATGGCTTTGGAGCGGCAAAGGAGCATGTGGATAGTGCTGGAGATGAGAAGATCGAGGAGTTTCTGAGGCATCAGACGCGGAGTTATCAGGGGTAGCTGCTACCCGTCCTAAGAGATGAGTGTGAGACATGACTGATATTGTATATACATATGTATGAAGATGAGAATGTACTATATGATTGCTCTGTGGGAGAGGTCTACTGGCAGTCGCTCCTTCCGCGTGTGCACTGAGACGTCTCTTTCCCCGGCACTTCGTGACTTCCATTTTGACCGTACAGTCCTCAACTCTTGTATAAAAATCAGATCATTGGTATCTCAACCGTTTATACTGTATGATAGCATTTACCATGTTTCAACAGGACTACCCCGGGCGACACAGCTTTGGCTCTCTCCCATCAAGCAACTGTACCGACGTTGTAAGAACTTCTCACATTGCTGATGCCCTAAACTCACACACGAAATTGCTAGTATACATGCCCCCGTACCATCTGCCACTGTGAAGTGGCAAACAATGAGCAAATCGGGCCGGGCGACTCCATCTCTTCCAGAAGCTTGTCCTCTGAGCGCAGACACGCCGAGTACTTCCACCGTCCTCCTATCCTGAGCATATATCGTGAGCAGCTTATATCGAATGGATCGCCGTACTCGTTTTTTGCGTATAAGCACGACCCGAACGCCGAAGCCGAATACTGCGAGCAATGTCAATTTTGTTCTGCGTCGTCGAAGTGGTGTGGAAGGTTACCCAGTGCTCAGATAGTCAAGCTGCCTAGATCTTTTCTTGACGATACTCTTTCAGATACAGGGCTGTACGGTGCTGAATCCCTGAGCAGTATGAATGGTGTGAAAGTGCAGGTGCCACATTCTACCTTGGTGCAAGACCCTTTGATCGTCAATGCAGCTCACATCAGGTTTGCGGATGATCGTAGTCCTTTGATCAGTCATTCAGCTTGCAGAAGTTTTGCGGATGATCTCCAAATGACGAGAGATCAACTATTTCTTGAGAATGTTTCTGTGAGTCGTCCCTCTTTGTCTCAGTTGTGACTCTGCACACAACTTCTTTTGTATCACCTTCATCACTTCACTAACACTCTTCAATAGAGACAGAGTCTTACTGCAAGAACTGAAGAGGGACCTTCATCGGGACTTTTATCGGCTGACATGAACCGCAACCCATCTATTGACGCAGTTCTGTATGCTAACCAGCATAACCTGTCCTCAGACAGCTTCCGACAGCTCAGTGAGGTTCCTCAAGAGCGCGCCCAAGGAACTGTCCATCTCAAATATTACCGCGATGTGAGAACGATAAAACATGAACACCTGGCCATAGAAGAGGGCTCGCTTGTCATGTCCATCGCACCGTATTTCACGAACTTGTCACAGCAGCTAACTCGCTCAGACGAGTTTGAATTACGCATCGGAGAGGTCTACGTCGTCTCTCACATGTACGCAGACATGTGGGCTCTCTGTGTCCGCCTCAGAAACTCAGAGGGTGTAGCTGATGTCAAGATTGACGACCTAAAGGACTCACCCAACATCAAGTTCATCCCTCTATGCGCGGTGACACTGGCTTCCAATTTCTCTGCGTTTTATAGACGTTGTGCCAGCTACCGCGACAACCCCCCGTACACTAGGTTCTTTCCTGCTGGAGGTAGCCTCATTACTCCACCTCGCCGTAAAGAATCTTTGCTGGTGAGTCGCAAGTACTTTACAGAATGCACCCACCAGATTTCTTTCTCTCTGCCTCCAATTGTGTACACTCTCTGCCATGCGCCAAGGAAAATGCAAGCTGGTCTTGCCTACGAGCCACTAGACTATGGGACTGAAAGTCAGAAGGAGGAAACCGCAGCCGAAGCTGCAGTCGATGACCACAAACAGCAGCACGGGACTCTAAGACAACGCTTCTGGGCAATGTTTGCAGAAAGAGAATCAAAATCATCAGACAAAGGAAAACAGCCAGAGGTCTCCCCGAGCAACGATGGTCTCGGTTCAGGTGGGAAAACGATTCACACAAAGTCAACAGAAAGCCCCCCGGACCACGATCACGATATGGATGCTGCAGTAGTTAAGGCAAAACGGCCAGAGGTCTCCCAGAAAAACGCAGGCCCCGAGTCAGGAGGAAAAATGAGTCATCCAAAGTCAACAGAAGTCTCCAAAGACCACGATCAAGACGCTGCAAGAGACGATTCAGAAGACAGAGCTGGCAATGCAACTGGTAACGGAAACAATGTCAGCAAGCGTAAGAGCGTCCGCAATTTTTTCTCTCGATCCATGCGCATTAAGAACGGAGATACCGGGGTCGAGGTCTGATGTTTAGGACTGCCCCCAATGCACGATTCGCACCGAGGCTAAATGAAAAGTACTTCAAACCTTTGTGGTTGAAGTTGAATATCTTCTTCCTGATGATTGTTATCGGGGCATTTTGATGTTGTTGAGGCGCAGAATTCGAATTGCACTGCATGTACCTACCTGGATATGATGACTGCACCAAGCTTGACGTCCCCTTAAAAAGTTCGATAAAAGATTCAAGTTCTATGGAATAGGATAATATTATTAATTTGCTTTTTAAGGAACTTGGTGATGAATGATGTCAGTAAAATAGGTAGCAAACGCGATATTAAATTGATGGGTATAGTACACGCTGATAGACACATGCAAAATCAACACACCAGCCTCTGCCCTAAAAGGTATTGAATATATAAACCATACAATTACAAAAAAGTATATGACCCCAAAAGAAAGGGAATCAACAGGATCAAAAGAAGAGAAGAGAAGAGAAGAGAGGACAAAACTACAACCACAAAATCCACCTCACCCCCTTAACAACTCCCTTCCCAACACCTCTTATAACCTTGAACACCATCACAATCAACCAAAGCCACCACATAACGCCCACAAGCGTCCACTCCAACAAAGAGAACCCGATTCTTCTAATCGACCTTAGCCGACGATTGCGTTTTCGTAGTCCCTTGTCGAGGGTATCGCTGAGCTGTTTGATTTCAAGTGTACTTGTTGTATTGAGTCGCGTACTCAGCGCCTCTGCCTCGAGGGCTGCGGTGCGTACGCGGGGAGTAAGGTGATTTGAGATGAAGTCTTCCAGTGTAGCGATCTCCTTTTCCAGGGGTAGAAGGGTGGATTTGGTGAAGAGGTACATGGATTTGTTGAGACCCGTTTTTGTGTTCTCGAGGCGTTCGAGGAGGTTGCGCGCTGCGTAGTTGAACTCGTCGATTCGGGGCAGGGAGTGTGGAATGGGTGCTTGGGCGTCGACGAGGCTTCGGATTAGGAATCGGGGTGGTGGGGTGAGGGATGGGTCGCGAGGCTTTTCGTATCGTTGGACGATTTCACTTGCTTTGACGCCAGAGGAGAGCAGTAAAGCTTGACAGCGCAGTATTTCACGTTTCTGGAGGAGGGTTGTATCGCTTAATGTTGGCACGCTGCGGTCTGATAAGCTCCAGCCGTGACTGCCTGTGGTTGCGGTTGGGCGGTGGTGGCGGTTGGTCGTTGTGGATGCCTCTGCGTTTGCGAGTCCGGTTACAGGAGGTCGGACTGAGCGTCCGATTCCGGGGAGGGCAGCGTTGGTGGTGACTTCATCATCGTGTTTGTGGAGTTTTGAGTTGAGATCTTTGCTGGAAGGAGGTATAAATCCGTAACTCCCCCGCCGTTCGCTGTAGGGTGTGGCATCTACAGATGATGGCGCAAGATCTGGGTGTGCTCTAACGAAGTGCACGTCACTGACCCGGCTGCTCTCTGGTTGCTGATAATAAGGCCCCTCCTGGTCGTTGATGCGAAAAGATGGTCCGATTGTAGGCAGGTTAGACAAGAATGTCTTTGTCCGTCCATTCGGCTTGCGCCACGGCAGACCAATTTCCTCATCTGAGAACGTACTTCCTCTGCGCAGAGAGTTCCGCTTGCTAGGCGTCGATTCTCCTTCGCTCCGTTCTTCGTCCGAATCATGAAGATCAGATACAATGCTCGATGCATAGGACGACTGCCGTGAATGCCCACCCCCGTCTTTCCGGCGTATCATATCTCCGACTTTGGAAACCTCACTTCCCACAATTTCGGCAATTCGACTGTTTTTCAAGAAGCCTTTGAGCCTCGACTCGTGACTTCCATATGGCTTGAAGGAGCCATGGGTGTCGCTTCGTCGGAAATCGTCAAGCAGCATGTCATCGTGGCCAAGCGGTGTTTCAGGCATGAAGCTCGGTTCTAAAGCCCGCGGGCTGACGTTGTCCTTGGGACTAGAATCAACCGTTGGTCTCTTGCGTAGATTTGAATCGCCCGAAGGACTTCCGTCAAGTCCTTCTTCTGTGTGAATGTGACGGCGAGGTTTTGCTTTTTCATGTAACGTCTCCATGATGCGTGGGAACCGTTTTTGAGGTGAAGGCGAACGACTAGACGGCGGCGAAAGATTGACGGTAATGCTTGGGAATATCGGGCCCTGAGCCGGGGAATTCGGCGCGGTACTGTCCATTTCGTCAAGAGACATTCGTCGCTCCTCTTTGCCTGTAACACTGCCTGCTGGTGATATCAGCATCTGGGACTTGTCGACATCAGCCTTGACCGAAGATGGATGCGAAATTGGTTTGGAGCGCTTGGAAGCTGCATTCGATGAATCAGAATGACCATGAAGTACTCTATGCAATTTCTCGGCCTGCAAAACAGTTTCTGCTTTCATCTTTGCCTTTCTGCTTATACGCCGCGTTCTGCCTCGCGGCACCATGTCATCACTGCTCGAGTCGCCTGATATGCTACTTGAGCGTGTCCATTTGGGTGCATAGCCGACGTGGCTGCGGGGTGTGGCATGTCCATTAGATACTTTCGCCAAATGCTCATGACTTTCTCGTCCATCATGCTTAGTAGTAGTAAAGCTTGGTAAATTGACGGATTGTTCTGTTGGTATGGTTTCACTCTGTCGAGGTGGCTCTAGGCCTTCAATAGACGGACGAGATCCGGTAAATTTCAGCTTTGAAGAATCTGGATACAATTTCCCACCCTCTCTGTCACAAATTTTCAACTTGTTCGACCCGCTCTCGACCCAGACTGTATCCGCAAATAGCTCTGCTGGGGTAATGGCCCAGTCCAGCCGCCGCCGGTGCACCTTTGTCGTACCAGACCGATTCAATCCTCGTACGCTGGACGGTGGCGACGTCGTCTGCCACGACTCCTGCTGTTCCACTGATCCGCCTTCACGGTGACCATCAAAAGGCGGAAGTGCTACACATTGATACGGGTCATTGCTGTTTTTCTGGTGGGCCGCTTCAACCGATGAAAGCCATTTTTCAACCCTTGATACATCTTGCCATTCTTCTGAATCGGTGGTACTAGAGTTTTTCTCTCGTACGCGGATTTTCCTGTTCCGGATGGATTGAAGAGGGTTATATGCCCTGCCGCTGGTAGATTGTACGCTGTAGGGTGAATGCTGAAGTGGAGGCAAGTAAGACAGCAGCTCCAAATACTTTGAAAATAATTCAAAATGCTGTTTTGCCTTTTCGATCCTGACCAATGTCGCTTGAGAACATGCAATATCCACATCCTGTGTGTCGGAAATCGGCAACATTCCAGCAATCCCATTATTATTAAATCCTTGTGGTATGGATGGCGTTGAAGGGCCAGAATTTCGAGATAGTCTATTTTCTGAGTATAAACTAGAGTGTCGTGGCACCTTGTTCCCTGCTAGAGGCCTAGCACTGTCGGTAGATGAAAATAATCCCTGATTGTTTGATATACTCCGAGGAATGCCTGGCAAAGGGCTCGACGGTGCACGCCCAGCATTAGTCGCCCTCCTCCTCGATTCACTCAAATTCAGTGCTAGGTTGACGATCTGCACCTGATCTGTATCCAATTCAACATTCGACGAATATGAGTTGCGAGAGGAGGCATGTCTCGAAGCTGCAGCCTCGTTCTGACTAGAATCATGACCTTCGGAAGTAGACACGTTCGTCACCGCAGCCAACGGAGACGTTCGCAATGACCCTCTCAACTGATATTTCCCCCGGTCAGATGTCGCTCTCTTCTTCGGGACTATGATATCATCGTCAACGTGTCGGCGTTTTTCGCTATCCGCCGCATGCGTTCGCTGCGTAAAGCTGCCATGTCGCGGATTCGTATATATGGAGTCAAGCAAGAAGCCACCACCAGATGTCCGGTTTCTTTTTGTCCTGCCTTTCGGTTGACTCGCATCCCTGGAATTACGGCCAAGTGTTGTACCCTCCAATTCTGGCGCCGTACCGGGGCTGCTTTCCATCTGTGTAACCCCTTATCTATCGTATCGTGCCCTAACACTCCTCTTCCACGTCGATAAACTCAGTATAACTGTATCGATACAGGCAAGCCGTCTTCAAGCCATCCCTGTTTGAGTTGACGGTAAGTCGCCGCGCGGGTGCGATGAAATGGGGCGATGGTTTTGCCGCGCAAAGGTATAGGATGCACAATGTAATTCTATTTATGATACTTGTGCGAAAAGGAAGATTACCTCAAATGATAGTCGACAGTTGCAAATGACAGATAGGGATCACCTGCGGACTTTCATGTGAGTCGGCCGGTTGACGGCGGGCAATGCAAACAGTGCAAACTAAACTAAACAATCAGCTGTTTTGCCCATATAGTTAGAACAGGCTACCACGACACCTCTTTCTCATCAGTCATACTACGTGTTTCAGTAAAAATCGCACCCCGTTTGATCCTTTCGCGGGGGCGCTTGAAAATATATCAACAGGACGTAGTATTGGAGATTTGCGCTCCTTTTAGTATTCAGGATCCTCAAATCGTTCTTTTCGCCCAGCCAGAGTCCACATTCATCCATGCCAGAACACTGAACAGGATTCAGGAATAAACTATACCCAGCAGGAACACACTCATGGCTCCTATCAAGACCTCATCTTCTATTCCCGCCACCACGTTTCATCTCTTCCCTTGGCTACCAATCGAGTTGCGTCTTGAGATTTGGCGCCTATGTTTACCGCACCGTGTTTGTGAGAAAGACGTGGCCTGCTCTTTCATCTTATTTAATCTCCTAGATAACTCTGTACCAGCACCGTGCTTCCTCTATCAAACAACTAAAGTGAATGGTCGGCCACCTGTCATCACTCGCGTATGTCACGAGTCACGTGCAGTTGCCTTGAAGGCTGGAGGATACTACGAGTTTTATGACACCGAAGATTGTGACACTGACGATTGGGACGCCGATGATGGCCTACCCATATCTGAGACTTCAGATAAGAAGCCTTATTGGGACGCTGTGAATTGTATCAAGGAGGCATGGTTCGACCCAACGCGAGACGTAACGCACCTTCATTGGGAGCCCAAGTACCAAGAGTTCTTTTGTATTGGCTCTCCGCTCAAAAGCCTTGCATGGGATGCATCTCGAGCAGCTAGGGGTGGATCTTTCACAATTGATTTTTTTCAGAATATAACTTATCGCAAGGCGGAGCTGATCGACTTCGTCAAGCAGATGCCCAGCTGGAAGGTTGTTATGCGTGTGATCGTAATTCATGCTGACTCTGCTACTGCTGCGAGCACAGGCTTGTTTGGGCTTCTGGGCGATGCACCTGTGCAGCTTGTTGACGTGTACGATGAAGCAAAAGTTGACGCTTTGTGGAAGATGGCCAAGGAATGCGATTCCAGAGAGCTAGTCACTGTCTGCCAGGGTTTTCATCGAATATCTGCAATGGCGTATCATCAGGTACTAAGAGATATCATCTCTTACACATTACGCTTCGAGGATGACTTCAACGCCGATGCCGAGGATGTGATCTCCCGAATGCGTCCGGTCATTATGTTCCGATTATGTACTGAGATGTGCAATCGCATCGGTTCTGCTGCCAAACCCCGAGCTTGGCCCGTTTGAGGAGTGGGCGTGGCCTAGGACGACAGCAAAGATTAGCCAGGGAGAGATCTTGACCGCGAGGGTGGGTACTCACCGGACTGTACAGATTATTCCAACGCAGGTGACTTCCTCATGCAGCCACTCAAACCCCAGTGAGCTTATGCTGTTGTTTTCAGCTTTTCTCCATGTCAGGGGGGTTGAAGGTAAGTCGGTAGGTGTCGGTAGGTATATCGCTCAATCTATTACTTTGACGTTCTAGTCGTACTGAGCCCTTTATTCCCTACAGTACTTGTTATCACCCACAGTGAATGAAGGGTTGTAAGATCGTTGACAAACATATATGATGTGAGACTTCAAGTAGTAGAGCCACTTACATATGAGCTGGAAACAATTATGGCAACATCGCCAATCAGCATATACCTATTTGAGTTATAGTCTGGTTGTCATTAATGATACAAGGAAAAAGATCTCCCTGCCAACCAGGGCTTTGAATTTGCAATCAATCTCAAAAGGGCTTCTTCGCCTCTGAGCCGGCTCGTCGATGTAGTGTGCCGTTGAAAGCGCAAGCCCTAATTGCCTACATTGAGTCACCTGCCTAAGCAATCAATACAAGTCAATTACTAGCGATCCCATTCTCCCATTCTACACATACTCAATACCAATAAACAAAGACTATTTGAAAATGCAGTTCTATTAATTGTATGTTGTAGAAAGACCTGTTCAAAACATAGGAAATGAATCATATTGTTTGGGGGTCTACATGTGGCGAAAGTTATATTTTACACTTTTTAATCACAACAAACAGCAAGAAAATTAATCAAGACTCGACTCGTAGACATTGCAGACGAGCCTCGGTCTCCATCACCTATACTTCTATTAGTTCGTGTTTCAGAAAAGGAGGGGATGAATTAGGCATACCTCTAGAGCTTGCTTCACTTCAAGCACGCGTCGTACATCCGMAAGCCAGTCTTTGCTCAAAATCTTGGCCCAGCCCTGGAGTGTGTTCATTTCTCGAGCAGCTGCGTCAAGGTTTCCTTCTTCCAACAAATTCTCTGTTCGCACAAGCACACTCTCGACGTCATCGCCGTCGGTCACAGCATCGCGCTTGAACATGACTTTGCTGAGAACAAAGCTGGCGGCATGGCTGGCGATACCGGCATCCTCGGGAAGGAGGCTAGCCTTTCGGACTTCGCCGGCAACGCGGCGGAATCGTTCAATGATTTGGGAAGATGTAGGGATACCGCGCTGGTAGGCAGTAGGGTTGATGGATGCAATGGCGGCGGCGACAACTGGGTCGTCAGCAGCAAGTTCCTTCACAGCAACGAGTTCGCGAACGAAAGGTTTGGCAACGGTAGAGCTTTCCAGTACTGAACGAACAGCATCAACGGCGACCTGGAGTTGTTGGGTTTTCAGGTTGCTTTCAATAACGTCGCTCCAGTCTGTGGTGAGTTTCTCAAGCTGGCTGACGTTGGCGGTCAACTCGCTGATCTTGCTAAGACGACCGTCACGTTCCCGCTCAACCAATTCCTTGACGTCGTTCAAGTATTTGCGGTTCAACTCGATTGCTTGCTCCACAAGCTCATTCTTCAAGCGTTGCTCAGCCAATTCCTGTGCTCTTGAAAGTTCGGTCTGAATTTTATCCTGGTATGCGCGCACAAGCTTTTCCCGCTCAGCTTCGAATTCTTCGCGGAATTGGGCGGCCTCTGCGGCACGAGCCTGTTCAATCTGCTGCATGAGCTTTTTGGCGGATTCATCGAAAAGCGCATGTGCCTTTTCAACTTCTTCCTTGGCTGCTTTCTCAGCATCGGCGCGGAGGGAGATAATCTTTTCGCCAATGCTTTCCAGCTCAGTACGGACTCTGGAGACAGGTGCAGCGTATTTGGCAGCAGCACCCTCATCAGCGCCAATAACTGTAATTATATCGTTGAATATTCTAACAAGTTCCTGAACGACCGGTTCATCGGCACCTTCGACCTTAATCAACTCAAGGGTCGTGGGTGTGGCGATGGCAGGAATCCTGGGTTCTTCCTTGGGTGCTGTAGGAGCCGCAGCCTCTTTCTCTTTCTTAACAGGAGCCTTCTTCTCGGCATGGTCTTCCTTGGCCTTGGTTACGGTTTTAGAGGCAGAAGTATCCTTGGACACGTCAACAGCGCTGTTATGGGGTCCTTTCTGAGTCAGGCTAGCACCGTCGGTTTCTTCCTCTGTAACCTTCCAAGACAATCCGCTCTTGCTAGGAATAGTGACTCTTTGCGCTTCCTCCTTGTGGATGGGAGGAAGACGGTTGGTGTGTCTCGTGGCATTGGGGAAACGACGGTAAAAATCGCGTTCCTCGAAGTAAAGAACGGACTCTTCGCCGTATGGTACATATTCGGTGAAGAAGTCGTGGAAATTGTCCGACTTCAAAGCAAGGAAGACACCACCACCGTAAGCTATACCTGATGTGAGGATGAGGTAGAGGAGGAACCGTCGGAAACGCCCTTTTCTCTTGGGTGTAGGTGGCGGAATTGGGCTGCTGCTCGGGGTTTCCACCGGTGGTTGAGGTGGTTGTATAGAAGTTGGAGGAGAAGTCTGAACCTGCGCAGTGGGCGTCGTAGTAACCGGGCTAACAGTCTGAGGAGGGACTACCGACTTTGATTCGGGCGTCACCGGTGTCGGACTGCTTGGCTGGACATTCTTTGGGTCTGCGAAAAATCTCTATAATGACAGACGAAACGTCAGTAGATCCATTGGATACCTCAATGGGGTGGAGGACTCGGTACCTGGCCGGTGGTGGTGCGGTTGCTTGCAATGGGATTCGCAAGCAATTGCGTCGCACTTCGCTGTCTGCTCGCAGACAGCAGCCGAGTCTGACTTGACAATACCGAGTAGCGCAGCATGGCGAGCTGCCCTCCCTGATGTCGGCTGAGTAAGTGGTAGATGGAGGGAGTTGTTGTTGTGGTAGGCAAGTCCTGTGAAGTGACGGAAGATAGATTGTTGCATTTTACGATCTGCTCCGAGCGGGCTACGATTGGTGCCGGCTGGTTCACAGCGGGTACCTGGGCAAGGCCGTCCCGAGCTGGAAAACTATGACCTCAACGATTCTCGCTTCTATACTTTCATATCTTTATAGCGTAGAACTGCTCAAAATTATAGAATGTTATTCGTCGCAATTAATTACAGCAGCCCGACAACACCTGCCCGAGCCATTCACTAACGACAGACAGATCTAGTGAAGAGGATGCCGCGGAGTCCATTGTATGAAATACGAGAGATAGGAAATAAGAAATAGCTCGAGTAGCTTGACAAACGAAGAAATCTGACCAAAAACAGGTATAACGACGCCGTCGGAAAAAGGATGAACAGTAGACATAAATATAAGATGAAATACAGCAAGGAAAGGGATCAACCTCAAACAGCAAGTTGGTTGGCCTGTATATCACTGGCCCAAATTCCATTGCAAAAGCAAGCGAGGTGAACCAGTTATGTGTGCACTGAAAGGGAAGATGCACCAGAGGAAAGAAGAGGAAGCTGAGGAAGCTGGATGTGGACCGAATTATTGTGCCTGCTTGGCTCCACAGAATTAGAATCCTGTCACGGTCGCAGCAACTTGATAGGGCATGTACTATGCATACATATCGCAGGATGTGTCAAGAATGAAACCTCGCCGTTCGAAAAGTGCGAATAGATAAATTAACAACTGCAGCCATTAGCTCCCTGTGTGCCGGAAGCCTCCGGTCGAAGATCGACACCAGGTCTGGCGTTGGTTCGCAGATTGCGTGGTCCGGCTTGGTCGAGCGGCAACTTCTTTGCAATGGCAGTAAACAATTCTTTCACGTTGGTGGTGGTCTTGGCCGATGTCTCGAAGAAGAGTAATCCAGCCTCTTTGGCATATGCCTCCGCATCTGCAGTCGCAATGGCACGCTTGTCAGGGTTCTCGGTTACCAAGTCCAGCTTATTTCCGGCTAGGGCGATGATGATATTCTCATTCGCTTGACGCTGCAATTCCTTGACCCACGATTTGGCCTTATCAAGTGATGCCTGAGAGATATAGGATTAGTCGGAGACGGTAACTACATAGGCATGAAGCAGAACAAACCGATTGTGTGATATCATATACGACAACGGCACAGTTTGCATTCCTATAGTACATGGGCGCCAATGACTTGTATCGCTCTTGGCCTGCTGTGTCCCAGATTTCGAACTTGACTGTCGTATTCTCGTCCAAAGAGATGGTCTGTGTTAGGAAGGCGGCGCCGATCGTGGATTCTCTGTAGTCATCAAATTGATCCTATGAACGTAAGCATCTCCCTCATATCGTCGTAATGCGGCAGAAGTACCGACCTTGACAAATCGAAGGACCAAGGAACTCTGTACTCGTCAATCATGATTAGCAAAAGATAGCCGCCGACCGAACGAGGAAGCCTAATTTTACCTTTCCAACAGCAGATTCACCTGGAGCATATCGAGTCAGTAAGTAGTTTCATGATTTAAACCAAAAGGAAAACCAACCAAGCAAGACGAGCTTGAACTGGGCGAATCTCGCACCAGGGCGACCTCCAACTGGTGCTCTCGCAGCCATATCTTCGGTATCTGGACGGCGGTATTACTGTTCGAGAATAGGACGGGTTAAAGTCCCTCAGCTGCTCAAGAGAGAAGCTTATCGTATCTGCGTCGTCAAGGAGGATAGGAGTGTGTGGCGTCGGGGTGGTTGAGGTGAGGTGCAATGAGGGAGTGATGGCGGCGGCCTGGTCTGTTTCTGGCTGTCCGCGGGATGACGGAGGCAACTGACCATCATGCACTAGCCACAGGGCTGGTCCTGCMCCTGCCACTGTGGCACAGGACTAGTGCTGTGTAATCCGTATTTGCACTATTTGCATTGTGCAGTATACAGCACGTGACCTGGGACGTTTGTTGAACAATGAATCACGTGATACAGAACGTCACATGCAGCCATACAAATCCGTCACAATATTGCCCATTAAGGGGATCTTCTTCTTGGTAAAATGGTATTTTAGTTCCAACTACATTCATAGTTACATTACTATAGAAGCCGAAATCAAGTTTCTTACACCCATCTTTTGTTCTACACAAAACTCCAGACTGGCCTACCTAGCTCCAATCCTTCACTCACATGCTTCCTCTTGTGCGGTGTGTTCTGTGGAACTAGCTGCCGCAATAGGCTTGTGGATTGGCTGTTTATTCTTCATTCTACGTTCTAGAATCTAGTAATAGAAATGGATTCTGAGGACATGCAATCTCGCGGATAAGTATAGAGGAATTAACTCCATTTATGAAGGCAATGCCGAATACCGGAAGACCCAGCAAAGGCTGCTTTTCCTGTCGACAGCGCCGGATTAGGGTCAGTCAGACTCCATGTAATCGAGGTCATTATTGATGTTTGGCAGTGCGATCTGGCGCGTCCACAGTGTACACAATGCACACGACTACGCTCTAAATGCCCCGGGTACCGCGATGAAACCAGTATGTACTTCCGAAACGTAAAATTATCTTCGTTTGAACAAAAAACACGTTCCGGCCGGAGAATGAAGCTGCACTACGACCAACCCGAAGCCACAGAAGGGATGACCAGAGATACCAATAAATGTTTACCAATTGAGCTGCCCCAAAGATGGAGCCAGCATGTCATTCCACTTGTCCTAGACAAGTTCTCGATTGGTCTAAAGACCAGCAACATCTTTGCCACAGTCACTCGGATGGTTTCGATGGCCAAGCAGGGTTCTCCAGTATACGCAGTCTCCGACGCCGTCGCCTGTGCTTATCGGGCAAGTGTTACAGGATCTGCTGATGCAAGGTCGAATATGGTTCATGCATACGGAAATGCCCTACGGACTGTGAAGACGGCTTTAGATGATCCGGTGGAGTATAAGGAAGACAGTACTTTATTAGCTGTGTGGATGTTTGTCGTCTATGAGGTATTTCTTGTTCTGCTATGGTCTTTTGTCTTCTAACACTTCTGACAGTTCCTCTCGAATGCGCGTCTTACTACGATTGCAGGCTCTGAACAGGGAGATCGACACTGCCAGGGAATGGCTTCGTTAATCGCTCTGCGTGGCCCCGAACAGTATACTATACGACCGGGACGGGATCTCGTCTGGTACGTGTGTCATTGCACAGTAAGTCAAATCGAGAATATCTACACTTGACACACTCTTAAAGTCCGTAGCAAGCAAAAGCACTCATCGCCAGACGAGAATCTCCTCCCGAGGTCCTTACTTGGCTCCATCGATTAGACAGCCAAACGTCCGAATACGATTTAATTCAAACATGCACATTTTCGTACCACTGCACTCAGCTCTGCAGTCAAATCAAAGAATTACTTCTTGGTTCTCCGGAGCAGCTGGTAAACAATACATCCTCGATAATACAGCAGATGGAGGAGATTGAGAAAATAAGACCAACGCTAAACACGAGCACTGCATCCTCCGGTGTGTTAGTCTACCAAGGGAACTTCCAATTACATCTCTCCGCGAGCGTGTTGATGTTTCTATCTATGGCGCCTGAAGCAGACGCCTCATTACAGCAACGAGCCCATTCAAACTCAGCTCGGCAACACTGTATCTCTGTGTTCCAGAAAACAGCATCGAGTATTTTGATAATGGACTACCACTCTATCGGCTGGGGAGATACAATTATGGTATTGGCTGGKCTACATACTATTGCGACGTCCCATGTTTCATTGCCTCTGCAGAGAGATGCGGCGCGGAGGATACTGGGTGTTGTGAAAGAACAGTCGGGTTTTAGGATTGGGAATGCTTAGTTTAATTTCCAGGCTCTGTCAGAGGGGTGGATTTTGTTGTTTGTGGTACGTACCAATTTCTCGTAAATTTATAGAAATCACTGCGCTTAGGTATATGTCAATTTACCTGTGATAGTGATAATAAATACTGGATTAAAAGGTCAAAACACACAACGCGTCGAGTATCCATGTCAACACGACGGACGGTCAAAATCAAAAAGCAAACGTGGAGGCCCTGACTCTAATGCAAAACACCACATTTTTTATCTCAAGGATATCAATTGATGCCATGCGGTAATCACAGCTCACAGCTAATAGAACCACATGCCATCCTGACACAGCTTTCCTTCTTGCTCAATCCTGTCCATACAGCTCTTAATCCGCTTCACGACATGTTCTGCATAGCCCGGCCCAACTGGAGGTTTAGGCACCGCGTGGTCCATCCGCAGCCAGGGCACAGAGCTGATTCCCTGACAGGCTTGATACATTCTATCAATCTCCGCATCAGTATACACACCTCCTATACAGACAGCCACAGGTGGGGAAGAGTCGCCGTTGAGTCTGTCGACGGAGGATGTCTGGCCTTGAAGGATGAGCGGAATGTTGGCTATTCCAGAGTCACTGCTCGTGATATGGTACGCAACTAAGTATGATTGTTAGATATATTCTGGGTTATTTAGGTTCTTGGTAATCAGAGGAACATCTTACTCTCATATTGTGGCAAGTATAGAGGTTGAATGGCATTGAAGACCCGCGGATCAGCACTGCCGCAGGCAATGACAGGGAGAGACATATTGTAGAATGTAATTTTTTTTAACAAAGAAGGTTTAGTTACTCTTCAGCTACCTACATAGTTTAACATTGGAATTTTCTCTTCTATTTATATTATCTTCTGTTGTCACTCGTACTGACAACGACCTGTCATTGGCCTCACGCATCACTTGCCAAAAGAGGCTAGCTGAACACTTATGTACGCATACGACTTTATGTCCAATCATTCATGTTCCTTTACATCAATTATTTACCTGGATATCTAGTCCAGACGTCCCATGCATCTTACGTAGAGTCTTACTCATGGTTTGGAGTTTATGCTCATTGCATAAACGACATTTGAAGCCTTAGGGCTTCTCTCAGCTCCGCCACGCCACGCTCACTATTCAAGTAAGTGATGGGCTTCTTCGGAGCTTTTATTCGCTGTCAGTGGAGTTACAGCTACTTTTTTTTTTTGGCTGAAAATGATGCCTTGTTGATTATCATGTGCAGCGGTAAGGTCCCTGACTCCTTAAGCCATACGCCAAAACCCTGACATTCTGTCTGCTTAGACTTTCACGCCACAGATAGCCTCACAAAGTGACAAACAACCAGCGGCTAGGGAAGCTACCGAATCAGGGCTAAAAGACAGCGACTGACCGGTCATGGCGTGGTTATAGATGGGTTTTGCATACTCGCTGAGTTCTTGCTGGATCCCGAGATCGAGTACAATGCGCGTTACCTTGTCCGTGACTGTGTCATGATGCTGAACGAGGAATGGTAGACAAGTGACGGCAGCTCTTGCTGCTGGGTCTTCTAGCGGTGTAACAAAGAAGGCCTCAGGAAGTTAAGGTAGCCAGCATTCAAAGCGTGGACGATCACGCACCCTGCGGTACCGACACTGACCTTACTGGCGAATGATGAGATGATACTGAGATTCACAATTTCAAACTGTCCACCCAGAAGAGAAGTTTTACACTGGAGTCAAGCAAGTACTGTTTGAATTCTCCGCGTCCTTTGACTAGAAGAAGTACAGGCTGTGGAGAGACAGATGGGGAATTATAAGGTTGTCGGGGTAAAAAGTGTAAGTAAGTCTCCACCGCATTCAAATGTTGGAGAACTAGATCTACTATGCTGCTTTTGGTGAGCATCCCTGATTCTGTCCTTTGTTTGAGAACCCTTGTCATATTATCCTCCAGACGTCACCTAAGCTAAGTCCAGACCTCGGATGTCGGCCTATAAACTCTTCAAAAATGGCAGATTCCGCAAAGACATCCATTGCATTCAACTTTCTCCTTGCCTTTCTCGTTGAATTGGGCTCTTTCACTTATGGCTTCAACTCTGCATTTATTGGCTCCGTCTTGGGCTTGCAATCGTTCCTGATATCTCAACACGAGCATCGGTAGGCTCATATTGCTAGATACATTCTAGAGTACCAATAGACTTGATTTTGTAATTAAAGTGGCGCAAAGTCCTGGAGGTACTAAGTAGAATCTTACGTATATAGCATAACGATCTGTTGCCGGCGCCAGGCACTTACATAAGCAAGCCAAGCACGGCTGCGAATCACGACGGTAACTTCATAACATCACCTATCATAACGTTCCTGTGGCTGCGTTTCTCTCTTTAATGTTCCATTACAGCTGATAAGCTGTCGACACTCGCTTGATTATTTTCCAGGTCTCTGCCAAGCCTAGCGATATTTAACCTATTCTCGATTTTTGATTTCTTCGCTGCTTGCCCAAGTCAGCGAAGTGTTGATAGGCAGCATCATGGCTCSCCCCATACTACCATTCAAGGATATCAACCTCCATTCCTCTCCCTCTCACTACGCATTCACTTCGCCCTCTACACCGAATGCTCCGACTCTGGTGGTGGACCGGCCGAACGGCGATTTGCGCCTGAACGATGGTATTCTCCTTGGATCGAAACGAGTGTCTAGCATTGCTGGAATTCTCGGTATCATCAAGTTGAAGCTAGGTACTAAATCGCTTTCCATAATCGCACGATGTCATCGCTAATATTTCTTACTTGCAGACAAGTATATTATCATCGTTACCAAAGCACAGCCGATGGGCCGCCTCCAAGGCCATATGGTATACAAAGTTGTCGCGACCGAATTCCTGCCTCTCCGCGAGCGCCCGCTGCACGACAAGGATGAAGACACATATCTCGCTCTTTTGAAAGACTTGATCCGAACAGGACCTATGTACTTTTCGTATTCCCTCGACCTTACAAACAGCTTTCAGCGACAGTCGCAGAGTGATCCGAGTACCCCGCTATGGCAACGAGCCGACGACCGCTTCTTCTGGAATCGTTTCATCCAGTCGGACTTGATTGACTTCCGTGTTGGTACGAGCGATACGACTGGAACAAGATACAGTCCGCAACCCGGCGTCGATCCCTATATCCTTCCTGTTATTTTCGGCATGCTGCGCATCACGCCTGCTCGGGTCAAGAATACCTCCTTCACCTTCGCTTTGATCACACGGAGGTCGAGACATAGAGGCGGTACTCGCTATTTCTCCCGTGGCATCGACGAAAATGGAAATGTGTCCAACTACAATGAAACAGAACAGATTGTGATCTTGAACGATACTACTGGTGGCCTGACTGGCTTTGCTGGTGGTCAGGGCCTGCCGAGCGGAAAACCAGAAGAGCCTGGTCGTGACTTGCAGGTGTTTTCGTTTGTTCAAACGAGAGGAAGCGTTCCCGTTTTTTGGTCCGAGGTGAACAACCTTAAGTACACGCCGAAGCTCCAAGTCAGAAGTGTGGAGACATCTATTCAGGCTGCACAGAAACACTTTGCTCAACAGATTCAATATTACGGTGATAATTACCTGGTGAATCTGGTGAATCAGAAAGGCAGAGAAGAGCGAGTCAAGAAGGCCTACGAGCAGCTAGTCCGTACATTGGTATCATCGCCAGGAGAGACGTCTGAACAAGATCAGCCACGCACTGACGAGAAAGTACGCATCGTTGAATCTGAGCGAAGAAAGGAGCTTCTGGACCGAATCCATTATATTTACTTTGACTTTCACAACGAGACTAAAGGTCTACAATGGCACCGCGCACAACTTCTTTTAGATCGACTTCAAGATGGGCTCATGCGCGGCCAATACTTCCGAGGCATCGAGAGCCCTGGTGATGCCAACGGGCGTTTGGAAGTCCGGACTCAGCAGAGCAGTGTTGTACGAACTAACTGCATGGATTGCCTCGATCGTACGAACGTCGTACAGAGTATGCTTGGTCGCTGGACGATAAGCCGTCAGTTGATGGATGCTGGCGTTCTGCGACCGGGAGAGGCTGCAAGCGACGATCCCGAATTTGAGAACATCTTCCGCAATATCTGGGCTGACAATGCCGATGTTGTTTCAAAAGCTTACTCTGGCACTGGAGCTTTGAAGACCGATTTCACACGCACAGGCCAACGTACGCGCGCCGGAATGTTGCAGGATTTCTCGAATTCAATCACTCGTTACGTTCGCAATAATTTTATGGACGGTCCTCGCCAAGATGGGTTCGACTTGTTCCTCGGCACTTATTTGCCGCAAGATTCGGCGTTGGGCAGTCTATTGCTTTTCATTGATCGCCGACCCGTCATTATCCAGGCGATTCCATACCTCCTGGCAGCAAGCGTTTTCATGGTGCTGGTTGCCATGTTCACCCGCCGCCTGCCCGATGCTGCAGTTTGGCCATTAAGGATATTCACACTCGTCTGGATAGTTATTGGCGCATGGACATCACACTTTATATTTAGCCATGGAATGCTCTATGTAAGTTCAAGTTTGACATTTTCATTGTTCCAGCAGCTGACGGTATCGCAGGTCAACTGGCCCAAGCTTAATACACCGAGTGCAGCTTCAGAAGGCTACCAAGAAGCTCTCAACCATGCTCGCTCTGATAAACTCATTGGCCGTCTTTTGGTCAACAAGCGACACCAGCGCGGTTTCAGTAATGCCCGCTTGGGTTACTTGGAGGAGGGGAAAAAGAGGCTAGAGTAGACTTCTTTCTTTTTACCTCATGCTTCACGTTGTTGGGGCATACTATCTACCGCGACGCAGTTTCTCTTTTTTTCTAGTGTCGTGCGACTTTTATCATCTTTTAGTTACATATTCACTTCACCTGTCGTCAGGTTGTTACGTATTATTAGACTCATACCATTTCTATGAACGAATATCGTAATAGCACACTTTGTAGATTAATTAATATATAATTCATACCGTTGAACATAAATAACATATATAATCTCTCGGCATTCAGCCTTATCGTTATCGACGTCCATCGGCGAGCGAGCCGCTGGCCGAACTCCGGAGCTCCCAAAAAAATCACTCTTCATGCGCCTCAACTAACACCGACTCGGTCCATTTTATTACCCCCAGCACCTCCCTTTTTATTCTCCGAATGCTTGCCTGGCGACAGACTTGGAGATTTCGGCCCTCTTCAATAGTATCCCGGCAATTGCGCTCAGTTTCTTTCAAGCCATTCACAATGGCGGGGCGAACGTATGACGTGAGTCGCATCTTTCCTCTTGCATGTGCCCATGACTGACAGATTTGAATCTTAGGAAGCTATCTCGGCGCTGAACACGTTACAATCGAATTTCGCAATCGTTAATTCGTTTAGACAGTCCGGGGTAAATAAGAATCAATATGCCATTCCGGAGATGATTGAGTGGTGTCGGAAAATTGGCTATGAGGTACGTTTGTCACTTACCAATTGAGGTCTTCGTGTGCTCACTACTGTAATGTCGCATAGCCATCCGACTTCAACCGCCTGAACCTCATACATATCGCAGGTACAAAAGGCAAAGGCTCAACATCCGCATTTATCTCCTCCATACTGACCCAATACATCCCCTCGACAACGACAACAAGCACGGACCAATCCACCGTCCACAAAGTCGGCCTTTACACCTCGCCACACTTGCGATTTGCGCGCGAACGAATAAAGATAAACGACGAACCCCTGACAGAGGCCCAATTCGCTCAATACCTCTTCGAAATCTGGGACCGTCTGGAACAATCCGCGAAAGCCGCGGGACATCAAGATCCTTCAAGCCCCGAAACAAAACCGGTCTATTTTCGGTATCTTACGCTCATGGCACTGCATGCGTATTTGAGTGAAGGTGTCGATGCGGCTGTCATCGAGTGTGGGATTGGTGGTGAATATGATTCGACGAATATTATTGATCGGCCGGTTGTGTCTGGTATAACAAGCCTGGGAATTGATCATGTTGCTATGTTGGGGTCTACGATTGAGGAGATTGCATGGCATAAGGGTGGTATAATCAAGACAGGTGCAAAGGCGTTTACGGGGCCACAGGCAGAGACTGCGCTTCAAGTCTTACGGAAGAGAGCTGAAGAGAAGAACACGGAGCTCATTGTTGCGCAGGGTCAACCTGAACTGGCAAAGGATAGTGAATTGAAGTTGGGTCTGGATGGGGATTTTCAATATACGAATGCGAATATAGCTGTCGGTGTTGTTGCGGAGTTTTTGAGGCGTCGTGGTGAGCAGGATATTCCGGCGGATATATTCAGCTCGCCACTCCCTGAGAAGTTCCGGACTGGGTTGGAGAAAGCCAGACTGGGCGGCAGGTGTGAGACTCGCCGAGAGAAGACGGTCTCTTGGTATATTGACGGTGGGCACACGCTCGAAAGTATTCGCGTTGCGGGCCAATGGTTCGCATCAAAGCTGGTCGACGATGCTGAGAGCCAGAAACCCCGAGTCCTCATCTTCAACCAACAGACACGAGACAGCGTAGCATTAGCGCGAGCGCTACATCAGACTCTAGCCGAAGTTCTTGGATCTGCACAACCTTTTACGCATGCCATATTCTGCACAAACGTCACGTACAAGAATGCAGGTTACAGACCGGATCTTGTCAGCGTCAATGCCAATGCGTCTGAAGTCGAGAAACTAAGCGTCCAACACACACTAGCTGAGTCATGGAAGGATATTGACCCCAAGGCGCAGACTGTGGTCTTTTCTACGATTGAGGAAGCGGTTGATTTCGTGCGTGATCTTTCAAAGCAAACTTCTGACGATGGAACACCTGTCAAGACATTGGTGACTGGTAGTTTGCATCTTGTGGGCGGATTTCTGGATGTGATTGAGACCAAGCCGGGAGAAATCGTGGTATGAACGGAGTTTTACGAGATACCCATGTACTTTTGTGCCATATAGAGCATCTGAAACATCATAGAAGACCTCGGCAAAGATGAGGGTGTTTAATCCGGTTTATCTTGACAGTTCCGACCTTCGAGTTGTTGACCAACAATATTTTGGACCTCGGTGACAGATGGTCACGCACCTAATGAGTCTTCATAAGCTTGGAAATACTTGATAAGTTGAAATAAACATAGAGCATGTGCTGTTGGGGCTTTGAATGTAGCACCTAGATAAGTACTCACCGCCTGCCATTTCGGTAATGCGGGGTTGCCAAATTATTGGTAAACGCGACAGTTTCATCAGAATCGTTCAACTAAATCCTATTTGCCTCCTCTGAATAACGCACTCGTGAGATCTCTGTCATACAAGCTGTCTGCAAAAATGACAGACTCGCCAGATTCCAAAGGCAAAGCCCGCGTCGAGGACGTCACAGACGACAATGCGCAGGACAGCCCAGCTGTTGACAATGCGGAGAACACCACCACCACCACAATCGAAGGCTCATCGACCGACTCGAAAGAGAAGAAACCTCTCGCTAAGAATATCAAAGATAAGATTGGCAAAAAACTTGGCCGTTCCTCTGATGAAGAGAAAAATGTCACACCCCAGATGCTCGAAGCATTACTTTCGATGAACCCCGCTCTGGCCAGTGAACTTGCGAACATGCCGCACGACAAGGCTGTCGAGACACTCGGCAAAATGGATGTTGCCGATCTTTTGACGGGATTGTCATTGGAAAAAAAGAATGCGAAGGATATGGCGTCTTACAAGTTTTGGCAGACGCAACCCGTACCGAGATTCGATGATCAGGAGAATCTCGCCGAGGGTCCAATTAAAATTATCAATCCGGAGGAAGTCTCGAAGGAGCCGCCGCAGCTTATCGAAGGATTTGAGTGGGTGACGCTAGATGTCGAGGATGATAAGGAGGTGGCTGAGTTGTATGAGTTGTTGTCAAATCATTATGTGGAGGATGACAATGCCATGTTCCGATTCAATTACTCACGGGCATTCCTCAACTGGTGCGTTTATAGATCCTTTGTCCGCACTTTCAGCTTAATACTGACATGCGCATCTTCTGTAGGGCATTGACATCTCCAGGTTGGAAAAAGGACTGGCACGTAGGGGTTCGAGCCTCCAAGAGCGGCAAACTCGTTGCCTCTATCTGCGGTGTACCAACATACATCCGAGTCCGCGACCAGCGACTCAAAGTCATCGAAATCAACTTTCTCTGCGTACACAAAAAGCTGCGCTCAAAACGTCTTGCGCCCGTATTGATCAAGGAAGTCMCCCGCCGCTGTTACTTGCAAGGTATCTACCAAGCCATCTACACCGTTGGCATCGTCTTGCCCAAACCTGTGACATCCTGTCGGTATTACCATCGACCATTGGACTGGCTGAAACTGTATGAAGTCGGCTTTTCTCCCTTACCGGCTGGCTCCACCAAAGCACGCCAGATCACGAAGAATCATCTCCCGAGCAGTACGGCAACACCGGGTTTGCGGAAGATGCAAAAGAAGGATCTCGATGCGACTTATGATCTGCTCGAACGATTCCAGAGCCGCTTCCAGGTCAACCCGGCTTTCACCAAAGAGGAGATTGAGCACTGGTTGCTTCATACCGAGGCTCGTGGCGAGCAAGTCGTCTGGTCTTATGTGGTAGAGGATCCTCAAACGAAGAAAATTACAGACTTTGTCTCGTTTTATAATCTGGAGTCCTCAGTTATCGGAAACCCGAAACACAAGGAAGTCCGCGCCGCATACTTGTACTACTACGCCACAGAGACTGCATTCAATGAGAAGGAGAAGGGTTTCAAGGAGAGATTGCAATTATTGATCAATGATGCTCTCATTGAAGCTAAAAAGGTAAGTAAAAGTATTACACAGGTTTAAAGGAACTCGATCTGATGATTACCAGGCTCGCTTCGATGTTTTCAACGCTCTCACACTCCAGGACAACCCCCTTTTCCTTGAACATCTCAAATTCGGTGCCGGTGATGGTCAACTACACTACTATCTGTACAATTACCGTACCGCCCCTGTCCCTGGTGGCGTCAACGATAAGAATCTTCCTGATGAGAAGAAGAGAGGTGGAATGGGCGTGGTCCTTTTGTAATTGGCTGCGTTTCTGTCCGCTTCTTGAACATGCATAAGAAAAACATTTGGGGGATCTTTGTTTGTCACCTAAGCATTTTAGGTTTGGATTTTCTGAAGGATAAACGTTATAAAAGCTATGGGCTGTCTAGCAGATTGAAATCATCAATGAGAAATGTACATTCTAGAAATCTATAAACACTAAGAAAGTATCCATTCGTCGTGAAAAGGTCCAGACTTAATCAGCCTTATAACAGCCCCACCGCGTTGTGGATGAAGTCATTGGCCGGAGATCAGGCAACCTTAATTTGACCTCTTCATCCTCCATTCCCATTTGGCATCATGCGCATGTAAACTCGTAACTTGTTCAAGCCTGATATACTCGAAATGAAAAGTCTACATTCAGTCAAATTGATTGACTGAAAAAAACGGCAAAAGAACATCCATCGGTTGGATCTCAGAAACGATATTGACAAACCCACCTTATTCGCTTCCGTAAACATACAATTACCTCGCTTCCCACAATATGGGCGCGTCACAGTCTACAGGTGGACTGGAAGGCACCGGAACACCTGGTACGTTTTATATCACGGGGGCGAATTAACTTCCAAACTCGTAGTTGAGAGACTCATTTACTCCGGCCACAGAACAGCTTAGCATCCTCCTCGCCGAACGCTTCGCCACCAAATGCTTCACTCCCCTGGAACTCACCCATTTCAAAGACAACTTCTACTCTCGTGCTCTCGACCAAGCAGGTTTCCGGTATTGGAACGAGAAGATACTATCGGATTTCCTCTCTGTTCCAGATGGAATCTACACCAACGAAAAAGATGGCGGACACGATGGACGTCTTGATGCAGGACCGGTTGTGTTCAGGATGGTTTCGTATTTGGGCGCATTCCCGTTCCAGAAGACTCTCGCACCGAGTGTGTTGACGTTTGATGCTATGGTGAAAGTTGTCGTGTTGTTGACGGAGAGGTATGGCAAGGTTCTGAGGAGGGGACGGAAGGATCGGATTAAGTTGTTGTTTGGGAGTTTGGCGGATGTTGGAAGGCCGGTTTTGCAGGAGGGGCAGAAGAATGAGGGTTCATCTTCCAAGCCAGAAGACTCTGGACAGTCTTCGCATGCTCAGGGATTCTCTGTTGATGCGTCGGCAAATGACGAGTATGATGAATATGAAGACGATGATGATCTGGCCCTTGCTGCATTGGAGTCTCTCGACGCTATTGAAGTCTTCAAGCATGATCAGCGGATTGATCGCGCAGTCTACGAAGCGCGTATATCTGTCGACACATTTCGCCGTCTGCTTATGCTGTTGCTTGTGATCGCACCGCTGAAACCACTTGAATCAGTCACGAAATACACATTCAATCTGAGCTCGGAGGAGCAAGCCGCCGTCAAACGCGAGGCTGATACTATCATAGCTAGCTTTACGGAGGAAGAGATTCGTGATGGCATTGGGTATAAGAGCTTTGCAAAGACTCTTAGCCTCAGTTTGCCTCATCTCTTTGACCCGTTGACACCCCTGTTTGAGCATCTGCTATTCAGTAGGAATTTGGACTTATCCAGAAAGCAAAATCTTGCATCTGAAACTCCTCCCGAATTTCCTCCGCCAGTAGAAACCCCGAGGGATGAGGAGGAACACCCGCCAACTATCATGCTACCGGGGAGTTTTGAGTCTGCAATCCTAACTCCAAGCATGGTATCGCACCTCTCATTCTTTTTACCTGCATCTTCAGGCCAGAATCTCTACAGAAGCGGTATACATTTACACCCCGTCTTTTCAACCGTCGCTCACGGTGAATCTCTAACATCATTCCAACACAACGTCTTCACTTGGCAAGCTCCCTCAATCCTCATCGTACAAGGAGCAGCCCCGGGAAGCTCTGATTCTCCTGACGAACTGATCACATTCGGCACATACATTCCCCAACCATGGAAGCCATCATCATCATCCTACGAAAACACCCAGAGTCTAAACGACCGCTCCAGACTACCCTACCTCTTCCAAATCCACCCCAAACACTCCGTCCTCCCAGGTAACCCTTCTCTCCTATCAACAAAAGAGCAGCCATCAACAACACCAACAGTTCACTTCTCAACCACAACCGGCATCGCAATAGGCTGCGAAATCCCGGCCTCCGCACAACAAAACAGGACACACTACGGTCCCGGCGTCCCTTCTCCACGCGAACACGTCCAGCACCGTCGTCAAAGTAGCGGTAACGGTACTCTCCACAAACCTCAACAAGGCCCCTTTCCCCACGGAGCGGGAAGTCTAATCATCGATCCGGGCCTGGAAACCGCGCAACTACACATTTCATACCTTACGGGTGGTACCACGGGAGTCTTCACACCCGCCATCCCACCCATCCTCCCCACAACGACACACATCGATATCTACAGCCTCGAGATATGGGGCGTAATCGAGCCTGCGCCATCGCTTGTGGCGGTAGGAGGAACTGCAGCGACAGGTGACGTCGCCAAAAACGCGATTTCACAGCAACGCGCGGCATGGCAGTTCGATGCCCGCGAGGCAGAGCGCAGAAAGGGCGTGAATGTGAAATTGGGTAGTGGCACGGATAGCGAGTATCAGAACGCGAGGGCGTTGTTGGAGATGGCGGGGATTATCGGTGATTCGGCGCATCAGCGGAGTGGGGGGAGTATTTGATTTCTCTATCTATGTAGTGAAGGGTTTGAGGCGTTCTTATGGTTCCTCATTTTAAAGGAGTTTATAATAGTGTTATAGTGTCATTAATGATCCGGAATGATGGAATGAAATCAATGGAAGTTCTCCCTTCATTATATGTCAAGTATTTTACACAGTATTTATCTTACACAGACTCTAATAAAAACCATCAAGCTCGTATAGGCACAAGCCCACTAGGCGCATCATAATAATCCTTCAATAAAAACTCCAAATCCTCCTGCCCCACATCCTCTACAGCAGCAGCGTCACCGCCATCTTCTCCGTCCCGCGGAGTCGCGATGGCAAGACTTTCATCCCTGGATTTCGATTTCGCGTCCTCAGCGGCAACGGCAGCTGAGGCATCCGCTTCATCGACAATCTCAAGAGGCTTTTCGCGCGGTAAACGAAACGGCAAGAACCCAGCAGGCGCACGCTCGGCTCGTTCCATTATTTCTTCCATATATTTACGGACTTCGGCGGCGGGTTTGACGATGCGGGATAGTGGTTCTAGGGTTGCAGGTTTGCTGCTGTAGAAGCGCATTGTTATGGGTTGGTAGTACTCTTTTAGATTTGATGGTTCTTCCTTTTTGGGTTGCACGTTTGTTGTTGTCGGTGTCTCCTCCTTTGTGCCGTTGGTTTCTGGTTGCTTTTTTTCGTCTGTTAGTGCACCGGCCGCACTTGCTTCGTTATCAGGAGCAGGAGTGGATGGTCCGCTTTCGTCTGCAGCTTTCCCTTTATCCTTCTTCTTGGATTTGGATGCTTTACTCTTAGTCTTTGGGGCAGCATCGGCCGCCAACTCAAGCGGGAACTTCGTGTTGGGATCAACTTTGCGTACGAGCAAGAACGATGCAAGTAGCACAGTTCCTCCAGCTTGATATTCCAAAATCGTGTATTCTGGGAACAGATAGCGATCACCTGATCCAGCATGACCGGACGTGCTGCTTCCGTAGGGAGTTAATGGAGAAGTAAACTCAAAAACAACAGCCTTGATAGGTGGCTTGGGAGCCGGAGGAGCGGGCACTGATTGGTAATAAGTGTTTGACGGGCCATAGTTTGGAGGAGCACCGCGAGCTTTGATAGGGGGCGGTCCAGTAGGGTAGTAAGGTGTATGGTATGGTGAGTGCTGTGATGGACCTGGAGGGTACGGTGACAATGGCTGTGGTGATGGGTTCGCCGAAGCGTAACCAGGTGCTGGCGAGACTTTAGGTGCGTTGTAGGGAGCTGGTGAAGGAGCAGCCGGGGTGGATATAGGCGCCACAGTCGGCGGTTGCACAGGAGGGGTAGGGGTTGGAGGTGCTGAAGCTGCTGGAGGAGGAGTGGGAGCAGCGGCAGCAGTTGTAGACATTTCAGGTTCTGTCTTGATATTAGGAGTGTCGTTAGGTGTGGGGGTATCGATATTAGTGTTGCTCGATTGAGCAGTGCTAGGAGCAGGTTGCGATTGGGATTCTTGCTTGGTGGAATTAGCTTGAGACGTTGCTTGTGCTCCTGATTGTGATGGTGCCTCTGGCTTCACGGTATTACTTATAGGTACCGGTGTTGAAGGTGACTTGGGTGTAGATGAAGGCGCAGGAGCAGGTGTTGATTGAGTAGACACAGTCTGCGATTGCTGCGGAGGTTTCTGGGCTTGTTGCGGAGTGAGTGGTGCAGCAGGTGGCGAATTTTGAGGCTGAGCGGATTGAGGACGCGGTGCTTGTGGGTTTTGCTGATAGTATTGCTGCTGCTGTCTTTCTCTTTGTCGAATGATGGCATTAAGCTCGTCAATATGACCCTGAAAAATGCGCAACTGCTCCTGGGTCGCTTTGCTTGACGCCACAATCCTCATCAACGCCTTCAATTCAGGATCCGAAGCTGCTCTTGTTGCGAGCATTTGAATAACAGGGTCCGGGCTCGGCTTTGCAGGCTGAGGCGGAGGTCCTTGTGCCTGGACCGGCGGTTGGCGAGAGACTGATTGTGGTGGCTGCGGAGCCCGCGGAGGAACATGTTGCGTATTCGGAGTTTGATAAGGATATGGAGGAGGTCGCATCTGCTGCGGAGGAGCATAATGCTGATATTGGTATCCGGCTTGGGGTGGCGGAGGGCCGTAGTGGATGATATGCCGTTGCGGCGCAGTTATCTGAACGGTTGGTTTGGCGTTGGGATCTTTGACGGTATAGATCATACCATCGAAATGATGGGGCTCGATGATGATCTTGCAAGCTCCGATTTTAGTCATCGAATCTTTAGGAGGGTTTTTGCCTTCGAGCTGCTCCCTTTTCGTTTTCTTGGGTTTCGTCCAATATCTTTCGAAGATGCCATCGCTTAGCCACTTTTTCTTGGATCGGTCGAGGGAGATGCTGAGAATGGCACTAAATGAAAGATTAGATACGAATTAAAAGAAAAGAGTCAAGAAGCAATACCTCTCTGCAAAGGACTGATATTCCTTGTCGGACAGAGTAAGTGACGGCTGAGCTTTTATCCTCGTTGGCAAGGGATCTGCCTCTTTGACTTTTGTGGGAAGTGGTTCTTCGATTGGTTCGGGTGTAGCTTGACGTTCAGGTGTAGGCTTAGCGACCGGGGTGGAGGCCTGGGTTAACGCAGGAGTTGATTTTTTCCTTCTGCTCGAGCTCTCGGAAATCGCCTCGGAGACTCGTCGTTTGGCTGCCGGTTCTCGACGTTCGCGCGCCGGGAGTTTGCGCTTCTCCGCCATATTTGCCTCTGGCCGTTTATATCATTTGTCAGGGCTGAGTACCATATGATTAAGGCAGCATCAGGATCTTCGAGATCAGAGGGCTGTGATGGATAAAGGTTGGTTTTGAACTGGAGGCGCGTCCGAAAATTAGGAGCTTTCGGAGATGTCTGCGCGTTAATTATTTAGCATGACATGTATCCATCCAATCATCAGAACACGTGATTTCCCGTGCCCGCTGTTAGCCTGAATTCGCAGGCATCCACTGACAATGAAGGAAACTACCTGATCATCTTTCTTTATACTTTCTTCTGTTCCACCTAATCTATATCCTATCGACAAGAGAATACAATCATCGATCCAGTTTGTTGAATCGAGCTCAACTGAATGCGCTCCAACCTTCGATGCCATAGGAACTAATTGCCGGAATTTCCCTACAATCGCCTCACAAACATGGTTGAGCTTCAGCCGATATTCAAAAAGGCGTATTTGGCCTTGGTAGCTGGGGGCATTGCATATGTATCATGGCTGTACGCTATGACATATCCAAGCTTTCAAAGAGCGTATGTCTTTTCTGATCGGTAACCCTGACGTAAAATTAACTCATTCATAAGGGCGCTTTATATGAACCTTGCCAATCCAGCTACATGGCAGGACTTGAATGACGTAGAGAATTATGGATTTCTTAGTAATGGCTATTCATTGCTTCTCTCGCGACTTGAATTACGCTAATTGTGGCACAAAGAGACTCAAGTACAGCCTTTCTATCTAAGGACTGCAGATAATGAGACTATTTACGGATGGCATATACTTCCACTGCATCTCTGTAGAGAGCATGAGGGACTTCTGAATGATAACTGGTCATACGGACCAGCAGAAGACTACACCAGCACGGTAGCATACAAGCTACTCAGCGAGAATCCTAATGCACGGGCTGTTGTGAGTTGTGAGTATATCTATACAGTACTTGCAAACATGTTCCCCTTTCCTTATGCTAACAGTATCTATAGTCCACGGCAATGCAGCTCATCTAGGCTCTATCATCCGCCCAGACATGTACCGAATGGCTTTGGGTGTTTCTACTCCAGAGCACCCTCTTCACGTCTTTGCCCTTGACTACCGAGGATACGGCATATCTACAGGCACTCCCACAGAAGAAGGAGTCATCACCGACGGCGTCACACTACTCAACTTCCTCACCTCTAACCCATTAAAAATATCGCCTTCACGTATCGTGATCACTGGACTGAGTCTCGGCACCGCAGTAACCTCCGCAGTCGCTGAACGCTTCGCTTTCGGCGCCCCTTTAACAGCCACCGTCCAACCAGCACTCAAAGACCCCGAGCCGTTCGCTGGTATCATTCTGGTAGCATCTTTCAGCAACCTTCCTGGTCTGATTGAAACATATAGCGTCAAAGGTCTTACACCACCGATGCTATCACCGCTGAACAGCTTTCCGCAAGCAAAGACATGGATCAAGTCTCGAATAGTCGATACTTGGAAAACTAATGCCCGTCTGGCACGCCTTACAGGTATGAAACCGAGTAAAAATGACGAGGCTGATGAAAGACATGCTCAGAAGGAGGTGGACATCACTATTATTCATGCACGCAATGATGCTGAGATTCCCTGGAAAGAAGGGTTCACAAATTGGATGTGGGCGACTACAGGAGGTGACAGCCTTGACTCCGATCAACCTCAACAAGGCAGCATTGTCTATGAACGGATTGAAGACGGTGGTAGAACGGAGACCAGAGTCTGGGAGAAAGATGTCTCATCGCCTAGCGGCAGCAAGAAACGAGTGAAGCGCGTGAGGTGGGAGAAAGTTGGATATGGAGGTCATAATCAAGTCGGCGCTTACTCGGTTGCGGCCCTGGCTATTCTGCGCTCGTTTGAGGAATAAGCAATGATGATTAGAATAAAATCTCACCAAGATACCAGTACCTCGTGCAGCGGGAAGATAATTGGATTGATAGATAGCCAGAATGAACTTTTTATGAACTTAATGATAATTTAACTCCATCTCAATATTCTAGTCCATCCGTAATCGCACGCCATGCTTTTCGTCACGTCCATATTCAATGACGGCCATCTGAATCTATAATTCCGGCGCTATCGTACAAAAGTCAACGAAGAGAAGAGATGGCATGAAAATGATACAATTGGCCAACCGCAAATGGAACAATCTCAGCAAAGGTAGTTATTCAGACAATACGTTATGTTGAGATTAGAAAGATGACAAGATAAAAGACAGGCGCATGCTCGAGATCCACCAACAGTCGTCAAAGGGAAGTATACAAAAAATTTTCAGTAATCGTAGTTATAAGACAAGAAGTGTGAAGGTAGATGCTGGTGACGCTGCTGGTTCAGGATGTTCGAAGGATCGTCAGTCTCCAGATTAAAGGGGTCGTTAAGAGTCAAGCGAAATAGATCGCCAGATCTATTTCTTGTGTCGGTCCGCCTGAGCCTTGAGATACTTTTGCACTAGCTCCTTTTGCAACTGACCAGGCGCCTTCTCGTAATGGCTGAATTCCATCGTATATTCACCCTTACCCTGCGTCGCGGCACGAAGATGGCTACTGAAACCGAACATGCCGTTCAAACTGCAGTCTGCATAGACCGTGAACTCATCAACACCAATCTCACTATCATTGATGGTCGCGTTGCGCTTGTTCAGGAGGCCGATAACATCACCCTGGAACTCAATCGGGGCAGTAACGACAGTCTTCATTAGAGGCTCCAAAACATGAGGCTGGCTTTCCATAAATGCCTTTCGGAAGGCTTGTTGAGTGGCATTCTTGAATGACATTTCAGACGAATCAGTCATGTGGGTTGCGCCGTCGTTAATGACCATTCTCGTTCCGAGAACCTTATGGCCGATCAGGGGACCCTTTTCAGTGGCCAAGTTGAAACCCTTTTCACAAGCAAACAGGAATTTTTCGGAAATGGCTCCGCCGACGATCTGTTCTTCGAATTTGTTTTCTTCGAGGGATTCAGAGGGTTCCATCCAGCCCACGACGCGGGCATAGTCACCGGGACCACCGCTCTGCTTCTTTAGCAAGTGGTCGAATTCGACGCGGCGGCCGATGGTTTCTCGGTAAGCGACTTGGGGTTGGCCGGTCTCGCAGTCGACTTTATATTCGCGACGCATGCGCTCGACGTAGATATCCAGGTGCAATTCGCCCATACCAGAGATGATAGTCTGCTCACTTTCGGCGTCATATGAAACACGGAATGTTGGATCCTCACGCTGGAATCGAGCCATGGCTTTGGAAAAGTTGGCAGAGTCCTTGTTGTTTTTGGGCTTGATGGAAAGAGAAATAACCGGTTCAGGAACGAACATGGACGACATGCTGTATGCAAGCTGCCCGTCAGTAAAGGTATCACCTGACGCGCAATCGACACCAAAAACGGCACAGATTTCTCCAGCTCCAATCTCTTGCACTTCCTCCATCTCGTTGGAGTGCATACGGACGATACGAGGAACCTTGACTTTCTTGTCGTTTCGAGCATTGAACACATTAGCACCCTTGCGAAGAGTACCCTGATAAACACGGATATAGGTCAGTTGACCAAAATTACTTTCTTCCAATTTGAAAGCGAGACCGACGAATGGCTCGGAGCCATATGGCAGCAATTTAACCTGAGCTTCTTTACGCTTCTGGTCAAGAGCAAGGTTGGTCACTTCGGAGGGGTTGGGGAGGTAATCGCAAACACCGTCGAGCATAGGTTGGATTGATTTGTCGGCCAACGCAGAGCCCATGAAGACTGGCGTGAATTTCAAGGCAATAGTAGCGCGGCGAATAGCAGCTTTGATTTGATCGTTGGTTGGTTCCCTCTCATCCAAGAAGATCTCTGCAATCTCGTCATCAACATCGGCCAAGGTCTCGATAAGAATTCTCCTTCTCTCTTCCGCAACAGGTTTGAGGTGTTCAGGAATTTCGTCCTTCTCAACAATGGTTTCTCCTCGGGGACCTTCGTTGTAGATGGCCTTCATGCGGATTAAATCGACGACACCCTGAAACTCATCTTCGGCTCCAATGGGTACCTGCACTGCAGCGGCAGGTAATTTGAGCTTGTTGTTGATCTGATCAATAGCCTTGAAAGGATTGGCGCCCATACGGTCCATCTTATTCACAAACGAGATTCGGGGCACATTATAACGCTTCATCTGTCGATCAACAGTAATGGTTTGCGACTGCACACCAGACACAGCGCACAGGATCATAACAGCGCCATCAAGAACACGCAAAGCTCTCTCAACCTCAATCGTGAAATCAATGTGACCCGGTGTATCAATCAAGTTGAAGTGATATTTCTCATCCTTGCCGTCCTCTTTCTTCACCCAGTCACAGAATGTGGCTGCAGACTGGATGGTAATACCCTTTTCACGCTCGAGGTCCATAGAATCCATCTTTGCGCCGACGCTGTCACGGCCACGGACTTCGTGGATAGAGTTGATTCGACCGGTGTAGAAGAGGACTCGCTCGGTTGCGGTGGTTTTGCCGCTGTCGATGTGTGCCTATTTAGATCAGAACCATCCAGTGCATACATACTAACCGCGATCATTCACATACAGCTATACCAATGTTTCGGACCTTCGAGATACGTTTCCATTCCTGGGCGTCTATATTCGAGATAATTTCTTCTTGTGAAAGTCCTTCAGGATCGGCGGCGGCTTGTTCGGCTCTGAAAAATCATATATCAGCACTTGCAGGCAGTCGAGTACCTAAAAACAAATACATACAAACTCGCCGTCGCAGCCGCCGAAGCATTTCTGATCTGATGCCATTTCCTCAATGGCGATGATGTAATCTGTGTAGCCCGCAAAGACAGGGTGCTGAGCCTAGAGCCAGGCAATGAAGCGCATCTCAACGCATTCTGGCTCTGTGATGGGATTAATCGTGTCGATGTCGCTGATCTGGCAAGGCCAGAAAAGGCGCGCACTTGCGCCGGTCGCACCATCGCGTGGACTCTCATTCTGATCCCCTATATCCGAACAGATATCCCCACAAGAGTTACCTTTCAGAAACAGTGGAATAGGTCAATTGGCGTGATGAAACACGTTGTTTTTTCAGTGAATCTGCGGAACGGAGAAAAAAAGTTCGGAGATAGGGATCCTTTCCACGTGATGTGGAGCCAGGGGTTGGCCAGTAATATTGCTCGTATTCATCAGTCAAATTTCGTCTAAGCAGAATTATTCATATATTTACTGAATAAGTAATTGAAAGGGTATTTGAGATTCTGGAATGTCTTCCTGGCCTAATATAATACATGATTGTTGTGAGTGAGTGAGCGTGTGTGTGTGTATGCCGACGAGAAAAATCACGACCCAATCCCTCCAACTCCGACAATAATACATCATGCGAATCTACCAGTCCTGCCTTATGATAAGACCTAGCCTATCCAATAAAAAAAGGCCTTGTCCCACTCGCCTGGCTGCTGTATTTCTTTCTCAAAACCAGGCATGAATGAAACCGACCGGGATACCGCACACTCGAATCGATTGAACTAAACCATAATCACCGTCTATTTGCCTTGACGCTGCTTATGTTTCGGATTCTTCGAACTAATCACAACCATTTTATTAGCCTCATCTCCCGTCATAAGTCAAAACCAGGGGAAAAGACATACCAGATAATGTAGACTCTATTCTTCCGTCGCACAGGCTACCACACCAGTCAGAATCCCCGATTCATTTTAACATCCTAATAGTCTCTTCCAAGCAAGCGACCAACTCACCTTGCACCCATCACAAAGCCTCTTAACAGACGATCTGGTCTTCATCCCACTAGCCTGCGAGAAAACATATGTCGACTTCTTGCCGTCCTTCACTCCCGCAATCTTTGACCGCAAAAGACCACCCCACTGCCCCTGAGTCATCAAAGCCGAAAATTTTCGTAATTGTGAGAATGGACTTGTCGAGGCATGGTTCTTATACACGGAACTGTTCTGGCGGAAGGATGTGAGAGCGAATTGGCGGATGGAGAGAAGGGATCGGGACGCTGTTGAAAGCGCTGAGCGGAGGGGTGACATGACTATGTGTATGTGTTTCGGAACCTGAGTTCCTTCTTTCTGTGGCTCGATATATGCTTGAGTCGAGCGTTGGTCGTGTCGTGGACGAGGAGTCGTTTAGAGGTGGACGTTGAATGCTGAACGAGAAATGGGTCGGAGATATTGCGGAATAACCTTGGTGGTGAAATTTGAGGTCACGTGATCCTCATATATCAGTCACAATCTATCGAGTATATTTTATTTGTTATGCTATTCACGAGTCTGTAACATCAAAGCGAAATATTATTGCTATTATCAATCTATATACTCGAAAACAATGAATGCAACCATGGTAGGTATATCTACTGACCAACGCCATCCGAAGAAACACCTCCGAAACCGACTGAAACTTCCCACCCAGTTATAATTTGATGTACAATCAGAATGATCTTACAATGTAATAAACTGCTTTTGGTAAAACCGCAGGTCAATCAACACGGCAATTAGTCATGTCGGAGGAACATCTTATAAGCCGCAGAGTCGGTACATTCTTCATAAGGATACCCGAGCTCGTTCAAGAAGCGAGTTAACTCGGCGTTCTCTGATGGAGAGCATTGAATACCGGCTAAGACGTGGCCGACATCTCCACCGTGGTTTCGGTAATGGAATAGAGTCACATTATCGGTTGGACGCAAGTGGCCAAGGAATCGCTGGAGTGCACCCGGTCGTTCGGGGAACTGGAACATGAAGAGACGCTCGTCTTTGACGCCGCTAGGTCCGCCGACCAGATATCGAATGTGTGTCTTGACGAGTTCGTCGTCACTAAGATCGGAGGCCTTCATGCCGGCTTTCTCGAGTTCTGAGGTTATACGTTGGAGTTCACTAATCCGTAATGATGCAGGCAAAGATATACCCATAAGCACATTGGCGAGGTCTTCACGACCAAAGCGATAATTGAAAGCGGTGATTGAATGAGGTGTAACGATATCGATCAAGGTAGCATATGCACCAGGCTTCTCGGGAATGGTGACGCTCAGTAGAACCTCCTTCTTCTCCCCAAGTGCAGCCCGCTCGGCAACGAATCGAAGACGGTCGAAATCCATATTAGCGCCCGAAGTGACTGCCACGAGCTCTCGCTGTGGGTTGGGATCGGGATTTGTCGCAACATATTTCTTCAAACCTGCAAGGGCAAGCGCGCCAGCTGGTTCGAGGATGGAACGAGTATCCTCGAAGACATCCTTTATAGCTGCGCAGATCTCGTCGGTTGTAACTTGGATAATGTCGTCGACAACGTCTTGACAGATGCGGAAAGTCTCCTCGCCGACCAACTTGACAGCAGCTCCGTCCGCAAAGAGACCGACTTCTTTGAGCATCACTCTTTCTCCCTTCTTCAACGACTGTACCATCGCATTGGCGTCATATGTCTCGACTCCGATGATTTTCACATGAGGTGCAATGCGCTTAATATAAGCTCCCACGCCAGCAATGAGTCCACCGCCTCCAATGCAACAAAAGACTGCTTCAAGATTGTGTAGCTTGGCTTGGCGCACGATTTCCATGCCAACGGTTCCTTGGCCGGCGATAACGTAAGGGTCGTCGAAAGGTGGGATGTTGGTTAGATTGTGAACCTTTTCCAATCGATGAGCTTCTGCTTTAGCGGCGTCAAAATCACTGCCATGTAGAACGACACTACCGCCGAGACGCGAGACGTTAAGATGTTTGATTGCTGGGGTGCCGGACGGCATGACGATGGTGGCCGGGATCTTGAGTTTGCGGGCAGAATAAGCCACGCCTTGCGCATGGTTGCCTTATCAAATTAGCCGTAGCCCCTCCCAAATCTTCAGGCTACACATACCTGCAGAACATGCAATGACTCCCTTCCATCGCTGTTCCTGACTCAGATGCGCCATTTTGTTATAAGCTCCTCGCAACTTGAAACTGAAAACAGGCAATAGGTCCTCTCGTTTCAATAGAACATTGCACTCTAACCGGTTGCTAATATTAGTAGCATGTTGTAAAGGTGTCTCTTCGACGACATCATATACGCGTGACGTGAGAATCAATCGCAAATACTAAAAAAGTGTCAGTTCAGAGCTTTGCGATCGGCTTCATGGTTGGATCGGCGGCGTACGTCAGGGTAGCCCGTAGGCAGAATATAATCATCAGGAACTGATTTGGAGCCATCCCTGACTATTCCTTCAGCTCGTTCAGTCTTGGGAGTCGGTATTGACGAATATTCAGTCATCGACAGGCCGTTGACATGAGGCCGGCGCGGAGGAGTCACCGGGTCGTTGGCCATTGTTTTTTCCGCCGCCCTCGAATCCTCCAGTAATTGAGACGGGTAGGGTATATTCTTCCGTAAAAATAATTGATATCTTGAAAAAGACCAATTGCTCGAACCTCAATGAGTCAGAGAATGTGAGTAGGTACAATTGGCGGTGTGGCACAGATTGATATGGGTGGGATGCGGCTTTGGTTCACCGTTTTTTTCTCGTTGGGCGGAGAGTTGCCCGCGGACTTTACTTTTCCCGTTATGTCAGCAACCCTAACTTGGAGCCCTAAGTCCATGTCCGTTTATGGCAAAGACAGCTTCTCCCTATGATTTGCTGTGGCTACTCCGATGATTCATTATTAGACTCAGGGCTAAGTTAAGCAATAGTCTAAAGTTCATGCTATCTGTTAGCGGTACCCATGTCTGGGATGTCCAAGTGGCCTCCATGACCTGTCTGTGCCCGCCGATCGATGCCTCGATTTTGAATCCCTGAATTGTTCGATGTTGACCGAAAGCAAGCGGTGGTTTCGCTTGACTTCTACTTCGTATCATATGATCTGACGATCTGATAAAGAAGTGGGAGACGAATTGCCGGCAGTTCATTGCTGGCTCCAACTCCCGGGAAATTATCAACGTGGTACGTACCTGGGTATGTGCTTGGCGCAGCAGGGATTACAAGCACGAACACGGTAGCTGTTATATCCCAGTATCCTCGTCAATATGGAACAGTCGGTGTATGCCGCCACTCGAAAAACGAGTGACGGACTTTGCAGAAGTCACAGCCAGATACGGTGGCTCAGTCAATGCGGAGTTGAATACACATGCAAATCAGTACGCATAAGGTTATAAGACTAAGTCAATTTATCCGGGGGCGATCCACAGCTGCTTATAGGCTATGTATCTTCATCAGTCGCTTGTAGCCAATCTGTGATGTGCAATAGMCTCCTCCTGCTCCTGGTTCATCACCCGATCACACCCCGGAGGCGCTAAGTTTATTGTCAAGAGCCTAGCCAAGACGTCCGGAAATTGAGTCGATCAGCGTTTCTTATTTTGTGCTTACATGCGTTCTAAATATTCAGAATCTGCTCTATAACTAGATCAGTAGAGGCATCCGAGGTATTCCGTGCGACTATCTGTGCAGGTGGGTAGTCGATTCAGGATAGACAGAAACGGTGCCGTTAGACCAGTCAACACGACGCTTCGACTTGACTTAAGACAAGTAAGCATTATTTCCCAGAATGAGTGTGTGGCATTGGAGACTAGATCCCAACCCTTTATGGAGAATTGAAGAATAAATTGACTCATTCAACGTTCAGAGTCTCGAAACGACGCGGGCCAAATGACGATAAACGCCCTGAAATCCTGGCCTTCCCCCGCAATTTCGCTTTTTATCGGGCATTAGATCGCCGCTGAATAGTCAGGGTTGCATTTGCCGACATAATGCATGCATTATATTTGCTGTTGTCGAAAACGTGAAACGCCTCTGATGAAAAAAGCCGAGTCTGACCAGGTTGTTGTCGTTGTTGCCTCCATCCCCGCTTGGAGGAATAGGAAAATACTCCCAGTGCGTCTTTCCCTCAAGCATGCTCCGGTAGTAAGCAAGTGGCACTCTGCATGCCTGCAAGACGCTGGACGGACCCCTGGCATATTAATTTTGGCAATTTCCCCCAACACGGACAGACGTATTAGCGGCTCCGTGTGATTTGCCCCGTGCCCCATCCCCTGCTCTTTTGCGGAAAATCACCCGTATATTTTGCTTAAAGAGGCCATTATTAGTGAGGCCATCTCACATTGTGCCAGCCAATCCGAGCATGTCTCGCAACTCTCAAGCCTCGAAACGATCGTTGACCCTGTCTCCGTACGTTTTAATATTGCAATCTGTTCTGAGCCGCCAAGATGGCGAAAAAACGAAATGAAAGGATCCATCATCCGACCATGCCACTTCTTTCATTCTTCCGTCCAGCCGTTGACTAGACTAGATCGAGCAAGCGCCAGTCATTTAGTCAGTTGCTGTAGCCTATTGGTGTTGTTGGGCGTGTCTGTTAGAACTTAGTGCTGAGTGAGAAAGAAGGTTGGTTAGAGCGTCAGAAGAGCCGAAGTTATTTACCCACGTTTTCCCCAGATTTTCTCCTCCGCTCTCCACCTCAACTCAACTCAACAACCACCACAAATACCACCACCACGACACGCTCAACATGCTCATCAGGTAGATGATGGACTACAAATTGTTCTCATTCATGAAATAGCCCCAGTTTGTGCCACGCAAGTACGACGTACAGCGATTTCACACTGCACATCCGACCTTCTCCTAGTACCATGAGCAGAATGCCCCACCCCCGATATTCCGCACGCTCTCAGACTACGCAGTAACTCGCACGTACCATTACCACTAGCCACTAGCCACTTTACTTTACTTTACACTTGTTTTATCTTCAAGGATACGCCATGATGGATGATTCCTTGCAACAATTACTTGATGCCGCTGAACCAGAGTTCCCAACGCAAAATGCAATCATCCTGTCCACCACAACCGTGGGATCAGGCTCCGATAGCGCTGCTGAGCTCAACCATAGCAAATTAGAGGCTGCCATGACCCGACGGCGTCCGGCTCCCAGAGGCACAGCAGCCTATCCGCGCAAGCGGGCAAACCGCGCGTGTCAGGTGTGCAGAGCCCGAAGAACGAAATGCGATAACAAGAAGCCGTCGTGTTCGTTCTGCGAGAAAGTGGGTGCTAAGTGTATCACGAGTCCGACGGACCTGTCGTCGTATGGCCCCTTTTCTTTTTCACCCTTCTTGTGTCCTGTCATGGATATCAATGTACTCTGACGAGTGTCCGCCGTACTGACGATGATTTGAAGCTTTGATCCTGCGAGCCTCGCCATCTTGGATCGCCTCGAGCAGCTGGAGAAATTGATCCGGGAGAAGCCGTTGGAAGTGAATGTGCATCCAGCACCACCGTCAGTTGAACAATCAGCTTTAAGCTATGGTTCACCACCTCCCGACCTCCAATTCGGACCGGATCTCAGTACAGTCACCATTGAGACCGTGCTGGCCTGGGATGTATTTCAAGGCCGCTTCGATCACCAGTTGGACATCAAATCAGTCCTCAAGAATTATGAAATGCCACCTTCGCCGATGACTTCTCCTGTCGGTGAAGCCATTCCATTGATCAACAGTTTAGAGCTCGGATCCTGCAATAGGCTGCTCGATAGCTTCTTGAGCCGTGTGCACATTGCCAATCCGATTCTAGATGTTGAGTTGATACGTAGCTATGTGAACAATGCCTGTTTGCATGGCGTTGGTTGGGACGCTCAATCATGCCTAGTGGTGAGTCTTCCCCGCTGCAAATCCAAATCGATCATAAGCTCAAAAATATCTGCAGCTCCTTGTATGCGCTCTAGGCTCTATTGCCGAAGCATTCCACGGCCTCCACCCACACACATCTCTCATGACGAGAAACAGCCCTAGCTTCGGATTGGCCAAAGTCTTCTTCGAAGCTTCACAGAAACGTATTGGATTACTAATGCGTGGCAGCGGAGTCCTTGAAGCCCAATGTTTCTTCTACTCTGGTGTTTATCTAATGACTATACAACAGCCCATGGATGCATGGAGACATTTCGTCCAAGCTGCTGCAATCTCACAGGGGTTTGACTTTCTGAGGAGATCCCTCACTGCCGACATGTTGATCGGCGACAGTTTGCAGCGGGAGCGAGCTTCACAAGAGAGCATTTATTGGACTTGTTTCAAGTCAGAGCTGTAAGCTTTTCCCTCTTTTTGATTGATATGACCGGGTCCTAAGTATCTATTAGCGAAGTTCGAATGGAACTATCGTTACCAGGTTTCGGATTACAGGATCTATCGTATCCCAGTTCGTTCCCTAGTCCACCACTAGACGACCTGGGAGACGACTCCGCACGAGCCTGGTATTATTATCTTGCAGAAATTGCATTACGTCGGTTAGCAAACCGCATTTTATACAACCTATTCCGTCACCAAGACAAAGGTCGCTTTCCACGGATCGTAGATATGGTCGAAATGACCTCAGCATTCGAATCACAAGCCATCGACTGGTAAGTATTCGTTTTTACAGAGAATGAAATACACGAGCTGACTATGTTCAGGATGGCCTCACTCCCCCCAATCTTCTCCCTCCAAACGCCCGAAGAACAAGACGACGTCCTCAAATTCGTTCTTCGTGGCCACCTCCTCGACTGCTATGAATGGATCTATTTTCCCTTCATGGCTGAAACCATCAACTACGGACGCCGCGACCCGATACTCGACGAATACACCCGCAAAGGTCTACAAATGTGTGCCGAGCGCATCCGCAAAAATGAGCCTGGGTTCCAGCACCGACATCACGGCGCATGGCTAATGTTGCGGACGTGCACGCGAAGCGCGCTGATCTTGTTGGCGGCTTGTCATAGCCAAATGGTGCAAGACCTGATGCCGCAGGGATGGAAGGAAGCTGTCCTCAGCGCAATGAACATGTTGCGGTTTTGGGAAGATGAGGTTGGTGATGCACAAGATCGGCTGCAGATTCTGACTGTCTTGATGGCAGAGGTGAGCTGGTAACTGACACGACTGTAAATGCTGTTTTTCATTTTTCCTGCTCTCTATCTTTCCTTTCCTTTGAACGAAAAGGCAAAAAAGAGAAAACGGTGACATCTATAACGAGCCAAGTATAATGATGATATTGTTTCCGGTCTCGCTTTCTTATATCTTTCCCTGCAGGACAGGCTCGCATCTCTTATATGTGTCTATATGTACATATTGTAACAAGTGACAAAAATTCAACCTTGAACTTGAGATGGTAGGCAAGGATGTGACAAAACACACAAAATGCGTTTCATATACAATCTAATACGGTACCGTATTGAAATGTTTCCGACGTCATGATCACCCAACTCCGGCGGGAAGGTGATAACGATCGGAAGAGCTCAAAAAGTTCCCCATGCTCCCCTTCCCCTTCCTGCCTCATGCCTCACAGTCGATGCAGCACTTGAGTTGCAGCAATTGGATTTAGACTGTACATTTACTCGTCTTCTTGCTGCTATTTCAATCGAATTCTACCAGCTCGGTATTTTTTCAAATTGAAGCTCCTGCGGGTCCGGAATCTCATCCTACGACTTGAGCGTCTTTCTCTTCAAAATCGAATTCGACACCAAACCCCAATTAATAACAATATTAGCGTCCACAATGACCGATCAAGGCGATGTATTCGTCCCTCCGTAAGCTACCCACTCAACCCACTGTTCATTTCAATTCGCACGCGACTAACACATGCACTCGGTAGCGACTTTGAGGAGGAGACCTCAATGCAAAAATTTAAACGCCGTCTTAAGGAAGAACCATTGATCCCACTCGGTATCCTTTTCCCCTCCCTCTTTAACAAATTCAACCCCGAAATATCTCAACTAATCGTGTATGACTAATAGGCTGCGCCGCAACATGCTACGCCCTCTACCGCGCCTACCGCTCCGGCAAAGCCAAAGACTCCATCGAAATGAATCGAATGTTCCGCGCCCGCATCTACGCGCAATTCTTTACGCTGCTAGCCGTCGTCGCGGGCGGAATGTACTACAAGACAGAGCGCAAGCAGCGCCGCGAATTCGAGAAAAAGGTCGAAGAACGAAAGTCGCAGGAGAAGAGGGATGCGTGGTTGAGAGAGTTGGAGGCGAGAGATAAGGAGGATAAGGGATGGAGGGAGAGGCATGCTGCTGTTTCGGAGGCGGCGAATCAGGGTGCTGTCACGAAGGAGTCGGCGGTGACGGCGAAGAAGGAGAAGAAGGAGAAGAAGAAGGAGGAAGACAAGGAGACTGCGGTAGATAAGAATGTGAATCAAGCGCCAACGGAGGAAGGGGATGAGAAGAGGGGGGCAGGAATACTGGATGCTGTCAAGGCGTTGGTGCAGGGGAAGAATGATTAATCTGGATTCTCGTGGTGATGGATGTGGTGATAGGTGTGGTGAGAAGAAAGTGTATGCTCCACTCTGTATTCAATATTGTACATATGAAATCGATTTCCATGCAACCTGTTTCACTGATTCCAATCGTGCTATCTATTATCTATTTACAACATACAAAATATGATACAAGGCAATACTCGAAGAAGTAGTCATCGATTCACAGAAGCAAGTTCATCAATGTATCTCCTCATCGTATCAAACTCCGTCTTCCCTGCAGACAGGAGATATCTAATATGTGCCTTCATTCGTAGTCAGCAACTAGAATATCCAATCCCCAGTACCGATAAGAGAGAGATATACGTACAACATCCTCAACGCCTCTGTTCCGATCAAACTCCCTCCGCGCATAATCTACCAATTCAGTGCGTGTCGACGACGGTGGTATTTCTGCAGAAGTCAGTCATTTGCATAGCACATCACATCTCAATACTGGGAGTGATTTGGGGAGACGTACTATAAACAGCACGAATAATCTCACGCCAGAACGAGAGCACTCTCTGCCTTTGAATGAACTATATTACACCAAATCAGCCATGGCTACTTCTCTGGGCTGCGTTACGGGTGTTATTACGTACCTGATCAAGACTCAAGGCCGGCTTGCGCAATCGTGAACCTCTTTTAGGCGTTGATGATGATGATTGATTGGATGTATTTGCAGCTACTGGTTGGTTGCTCGGCGCAATTGAGGCGAAGAGTCGCGGGGAGGGTTTTATGTTTATTGACCGGAGGAGCATGTTGGATATACGGTTATGGGGAATGATGATCGTTTCTCATATATAAAATGTATTGAGAAGACAAGATTGGTGGAAATTGATAGATGATGGCTTTGCCGGGCGGTGAGGAAGTGAGATTCACATCGTCTGGTATTATTAGATCGTAATATTTTACGGGTAAGAGGGTGATACAGATGCAAAACGGCATCTGGGTAATTTTTATCGACTTTCCTATTTGGGAAGTTTTCAGAAGCGAGGATGCGAAATAGGGTGAGAGTGCCTGACTACCTAGTCTAGCTTGTGCAAGCTAGCAAAAGCAAGGCTTTTCCGTATTGATTAGACTCGACGACCGGCACGAGGCACTTGATTTACATGTCAGGTGGAAGTGTGCCCCAGAAGAATCCGTTTGTAGCTTGACGCGAGATTTTTCGTCCTTGATAAGCACTTGTTTGTTAAGTCTCGAGGCTCTTTTCCTCTCTTCTGTAACTCCGGGGTTCTCAGATATTTATGTGATATGCAGATGCCTTCAGTCCGGCATCGGTAGAGTCCAGTTATCAAGTATCACGACAAGGGAGTTATCTTGATACAGATTCACTATCAGCCCTCAACACCATGGCTAGCCTGAGTGCGACTCCAGACAGAGAAGATAGAGACTCTGCTGCTTCCATCGTACCACGACCAGCTCCATCTCCCAGCGCCACCAGCAAGAGCGTCCTCCTGAACCCTCGAAATGATCCCAACGAGCTAATGAACGACTCGGCTGAAGAAAGCGACAACGAGCATCTCAACGATACATTAATCAACCTGACCCCATCTCATATCCGCGCCATCATCCAGAACGACCTCATAAAACGCCTCTCACAACTCTCCGCAGACTATTTTGGCCGTTACCTCCACCTCCAACTCAACTCCCCTTTCTGGACCAAACTGCTCAATCCAGCAGATCAAAATACAAATGCAGACGGGTCTACTCGTCCCCCATTACTCATAAGTCGCGAATGGGCCGAATACGTCGTCGACGCAAGCCGCATATTCTTCGACGCGGGCCTCTCAGTTGACAAAGTGGTGTCCATCATCGACCGCGCCATCTGTTTCGCGGCGATTTGTCTCTTGGATAGACCGACAGAAAAAATCTACTTTGGGGATGGGAGGAATATGTTCTACGAGTTTGAGTCTCGCGGGATGCCGAGGGAGATGAGGCCGAAGTACAAGGCGTTTTTGACGGGGATGAGGGTTACTCTTTTGGAAGGTAGAGAGGAAGCACGGTCAGATAGTGGAATGGATGTTGTGCAGGGAAGTGGCGAAGAGTCGGAGGTTGTTGGCGAGGTTGAGCAATTGGAAGATGTAGTTGCTTCTTCTCCGGCAGATGGCGCTGTGAAGGTCACCACCGGTATTCAACAGGAGACCACCGACATTCTACGCTGGGAACCATCTCCGACAGAAGTAGAAACTTCCACTCTCAATAGCGAGGCAAAGGGTGACAGTCAGGATCAAACCGCCAAGAATCATCCGCTATCGAAGAGGGAGCGCAAAAAGTTAAAACGCAAAGAACGGAAGAAACGCGCTCGCGCACAAGCAAAGCTACTTTCTCAGAGCAAGGATACAATGGAGGTCAAGGTCAAAGAGGAATTACGGGTAAATCAAAACCAGAAACAGAAGGAGAAGACGAAGAAGGTCAATGCAGCGATTGGACACGGGACTGGGTTATTATCATGACAGTTTGTGTTTATGGCTGTATGTTCTACGGTCAGCATTCGAGTCAGGGTGAAAAAGGTTAGATTTTGACTATGAGGACCGTCTCTTGTGGAAGGAGAGTCAGTCCAGATTGTAACTGTGAGATGCATCCCAGTGAAACGCATCTTTGTCTGCAATTGTTAGCCTACTTGTTACTCATATGCTATGGATGCTAGCAATTCCATTTCTATCCTATCCTAACTCCTAATTTACTCTGACATCCATGAAAGAAACAATAAATCAAACTCGATTGATGAACCCAGTTATCCATTACATACCCAAACTCGCCATTGAAACCGCATCATGCTGTTATGCTGATGTTCAATAGTCGTAGGCCAAACAACCCTGTCGAGTTGTAATGATTCCCCTTATCATACTCATACATTAGCAATAACGCTGTTGATGCTGTACTTTCTGCGCTCGTAATGCTCTGTTCGGTCACGTCGTGCTCGGTTCTTGCTCCTGTTGGGTGTTTTCCTGCGCTGGAGTAGCGAGGTCTCTCTTTCGAGATTGTCCCTATCTGAGTAATACGTGTGTTGACCCGGTCTATCCAAACAGTAAAGACCTTCAGTCTTCATAAGACGCTGCCGAATACGCTCCGGAAGCGAGTTCTGAACGGTGGCTGAACCACGTCTCTGTGTCTACTTGGTATCGTTTAGAAACGACTTGACGAGTATGCAGACACCGTGTCCGGCTGATGACCATATCATCTATGAATGCTCGAATATCATGCCATTGTCAAGAAACATGTTGTCACTAATAACTTTGCGCAGAAACAACAGCGGGCTGACAATCGATTAGTGAAAGTCAAATGATGGATAGTTGGTAGAACTTACAGGACTGTTAAGCATGCTGTTTCGCTTATTTCGTCCCTTCTTGATGTGATTCTTCAATGCACTCGAATCCAATGGCTTGAGTAGCTCGAAACTGCACAGCAACTCTGCCGATACCGACATAATGGCACCCCAATTGTCAAACTCGCCGCAGTACTAGACCATTGTTAGTAACAAATAACCAAAACATTAGGAGAGCTTACATTTGGAGCAGAAAATACAGTGACCAGGATCCGGTCCTGGAAGAACTCATACCCATCCTCTACAACCATGTGCGCTCGGCATACAAGATCGAAATCGTGTCGTTGTAAAAAGTCCATAATGACCTTCTTGCCAAAACAATAACTCACTCCGCGCTCATTGGGCTCCCAATCTTCCTCCATATCTGCGGGATCACTCCACAATAAGTCGTTCAAAAGACCATAGTCCGGCACGTCTGTCGGTCGTGCAATGCCGCGGATATCGTCCATGTGAGAAAGACTGGGTGAGAGGCCGCCGTGAACGCAAAAGATCTTTCCTGCAACAATCGCAGCAATAGGTAAACAGTTGAAGGTGTCGACAAACGTCTTCCAGATCTTGATATTACATCTGCGTTTGCATTCGTCGTAAAATCCGTAAACACGAGTCACATTCGCGCATTCGTGGTTACCACGAAGCAGGAAGAAATTTTCGGGATACTTGAGCTTGTAGCACAGTAACAAAAGAATCGTCTCAAGACTCTGTTTTCCTCGATCGACATAGTCACCCAAAAAGAGGTAATTTGCGGCCGGAGGAAAACCGCACATCTCGAATAACCGAATTAGATCGGTATATTGCCCGTGAACATCGCCGACAATCTTCACCGGCGCTGACAATTCTAGCAAAGCCGGCTGAGAAAGTAGCACCTCGCGCGCTGCGGTACAAATGGCAATGATTTCTGCATTCTTCAAACAAACAGCTTTGGTGATCTTGGTCGAGTACCCGGCATCTAGCAGCCGCGAAATCATGTCGTCCAAATCAATTGTCTTGAGTGCTCCCATCCCCATACCAGGTGATGTGCTCGTATCGGACCCGGCGGAAGCGAGAATATCTAGCAAAACGGGGTTGATCTGATTGTCAGGCCTTACCAAGATGGACTCTCCAGGGGCCTGTGGCGTGACAGGCGGAACGGAAGGCGGTGCATCCGATACAAGATCGACTTCGCCACTCTGTTGAGCAGCGTCCACATCCTTGTGGCCTCGATTGAGAGAGGTAGATTGTGATGGAGATGGCGGGAGTTCTGGGGTACCGGTGCGGGAAGGAATTGGGTCATTCGAGACAGTCGACTGTTGAGCGACTGACTGTGGCTTCAAACTACTTGTGGAGCGTACAGAAGCTGCGTCGGATCGATCATCACCAAAGCCTGCTGTAGAATTCCTCGGACTGTCATTGTTCTTGTCGCTGCCTCTGGATCCCGGAATCTTAGACCTGATTGAGCCTTTGAGTGATCGGATGGATTCTTTGGTATCAGTGCGCGAGAACGATGGATATGATTGCAGAGGATCGCCGGAGCGGTCTCCGCCTTTGGACTGAGACTGGCCCATTATGGACAGCTCAGGTTTGAGCAAACGCGATCGTCAATCCCGCCTACTTCTTGAAGAAGAGTTAATGCTCAGTTAGATGGATTGAGCTGTGAAGCTGTTCACGCAGTCGATGGCTCTCGCCTGATAAGCGAGATTTTCCCGGTCGGCGAAAACGTAAGGAAATCGGGCAGGAATAGACAAGGAACTGAAAGGTGTCTCAGCCTTTCAGGTCGCGGAGATTGATGTTTGGAAAGTTCGAAGGTTGGTTCTGATACGGTCGGAGCATAAGCTGGCTGCTTCCGGCAACGATAGCTGAAGATGAACTACCGGACTAGCAGGTAAAGTGTCAGCCTGGAACGGTAGCAACATCAAATAAATAGTGTTGAGCATGATGACAGTAAATCAAATCAAAAGTCAAAATCAATAGCAGAATTATCCGTGCACAGGAGCTGAAGAGAAAACCGATTGCATCGGGGGGCAAATCGTATAAGAGACCTCGCCGTGAAGCTTCATTCCCAACGGGAGCATGTAGACATGCAGGTTGCTAATCGCATCACATGAAAGCTTACCGAAACAGGAGGCCAAGAACCAATGCAGCAGAAAAAAGAAATACTACAACAAGTAGTCGAATGATGAATCTCCGACAGAAAGGGATACATAACACAGCACACGTGTGGTTGGCGTCAGCCATGTGCGGGGGGTAGGTTGGAATAGAAATGAAAATACGAAGTACGTCGTTCATACGACGAGCGAAAGAATGTGCGTCATGGCAGGGATTTTGTAACACGAACCTCGAGATAAGCACTTTTGCAGCATACAGAATGTCCCACGAGAGACAGGATGTCGGACAGTAGAGTTAGTGATGTCTCCTTGGTCGACTGTTGCAATATATCTGCTGCAAATTGAGTTGTTAAGATGGACGATGTAGCCAGGAAAGAGAGGTTGAGTTAAGATGGAATGTATCTATCGCCGTTTCTGTCTAAGATTGGCCTGGCCTGCTTATGTAAACTGTCAGGCTTGCCAAGACCGGTCTGGAACTTGCTTATCTGTTCCCTGATTGGCTGGAATGCATCCCGTGACCTGTCTGTGTTGATACGTCAACTGCGCCAGCTTGGTATCTAATACGCATGCGTTACCACTTTATCACATGTATACAATTATCGTCATGCGTTTATATTGTCTAGTATAGTCAACGTGCCCCTATCTAAAAAACGCCCGTATCGCTTCGTATCGCTGGGCGGCTGAACATGAACACGTGAGTATGCGACTGGGTATTCCCCGGAGAGCCAGGAGTCTAGAATTACGAAGTAGAATAGAGAGGTGAATTCAACATCATAATGCAAAGCCAAGCCCTTGACCGCGAGTACTTAGTGGATCTCGCTTCTTTGAAAATGCCCTTGATCGAGTCTAGCTGCATAAACAGACAGAAGTATTGTTGATACGTATACATGGAGATGTATGTCTGTCAATGCGTATGTAGTCCTGTTGACCACTCATCTCGCGTTCCGATTTCTTCCTAGATGAGATCGATGCATCATCTCATATGCCTGCAATGCATGCGTGCGTGCTTCAACAGCACTGGTGAGACTCTCTGTAGGTCTTTTGTACCCGAGATTGGGCCTCCCCATTTCAGCTTTGACGTATGTTTGGTCGTTTATCGAACCACGATGATCGAATGAATGGATAGTTCCGACACCCATGCATCTTGAGGCTGTCGAGATTATCGATACACCCTGTCTGGCTGGCTGGTGCTTCGCTATTGGATGATGCTTCGCCATTTTTTATTTCTTGATTCCCGTATTCGTCCATAATCCCATGCTGTAAGATCCAGTCTAATGCATTACTGGTACCGTCGGCTGAACTCGCATCTGATAAGGGTTCTCCTCCAATTCAATCTTGGTAATGTGTTGACCCGGCACAACGACCAACCCGATAAAGCGACTGGTCATGTCCATTTTGAATTTGCCCGTTGCGTTGTCGGATGTGCATGCGGTTTCTGCCGCGGCGGCCTGGACGGCATTTTGGCTCGGAAGACGATATTCGAATGTGTTTGAGAGGATAACGTTGCGGTCCTGTTTTCGTGGGGCAAGATTAGTCAAATTGTATTCTGCGTTGTGAAGTAAACGAAGCAATCGTACCATATCGGTGCACTTGAAGATACCCACAAACATGCGAGTGTCGGTTGTGTGAATGCGCAGGTTTCGTCCTAAGAGGGACTGGAGGTAATTGATATGAACTGAATTATCCATTTTAATTAATAGATGAATTGTATAGTACAGGCTCGCATGTCCAGGTGATTGAAGTGTGGTATTGGAGGAAAAGGAAGCGGTAGGGAAAGATTTATCTGGAAAGAAGCTTCCCCGCCGTCATCGGGTTCCGTGTCGCCTGGCTCTGCAATGCAGTGATTACTTAAAGCCTTCCAACCTCCAGGTCAATTACTGAGTAGCAATGAGATGATGTGGACTATTTAATTGTCAAATTCTTCATTGCTATCGGCAAGCTCATAATATTTCTACTGAGATATATGACATAGATAATCGAACGGATAATACAAATAACTCCCAACACCACTTTAAACATATTCAAGGTATTGCCTAAACGCCGATCATAAGATAATAACAACACATACGCTGCCATAAAATTGAAGAATTCGCTTCGTGAATGTCGCTTGGTTGTGGAATCAAAGGGTAGATATGAGTTGGAGAACATGGCAAGATTTCAGACGAGATCACATCCAGCTTATGCTGCCAGAGAAGTTGCCGGTCCAAACCTTTTCCGGGGTGTATATTGTATTCTGATTCACATCCATATTCATGTCTACATCCATAACCCCGGTTGATAATGGGGTTGAAGAGCCACTGGTGGAACTGGATTGATCGTATTCGATTTCTATGGGGTGATACTGGGCCGGTTGAACATCGAACGCCGAAACCTCTCTGCTGTTATCATGATGTCGTGCGTCGACTTGTTTGGACGAGGAACCGGGTGTAGGTCGAAAAAATTTGAGCAAAGTCTGTTGTCGTGGATCTAGAGCATCGGGCTCTGAGGGTGGTTCGGCAGACGGCGAATGTTCATCGGATGGCGCTGATAGGATTGGCTCTTTCTGAGCTTGAAAAAGCATTCTCAATGTGTTTGCTAGTTCGATGTTAGCTCGGTGTTGTCGCTGGTTATAAGAGTATCGGCTCACCATATACTGTTTGTTGGTCGGGACGATTGTCACGCACTCGCTTCCTCGTCCGGCTATTCATGTGATGCGGTACATCTGCTATAGGCTGTGAATCGAAGCTTCGGCCGTGCAAGACTTCGCTTGAGAAGGAAGCTTTGCGCTTGAGAGACATGTTGTGGCGACGAAGGTGTTATAGCGTATTGGTATGTAGCGAGATTATAGATGAGGAGGTATAATGTATGCGACTGAACCATGCAATTGGATTAGACTTTTGTTATTTGAGCTCGAGGACAGTCAGATCATAGATATTGTGTTGATGTTCACATTCCAGGTGTATCGAAGAAAGGCTCAGCGGAGCTGGGGCTTAAAAATGAAGGCGCGGAAAGACGCGCCTACCAAGGCAACGCCGCGCCAGTACACAGCGCTAACCCAAATAGGCCATATTGTTACCATTCTCCAGCATCAATCGAGCTCCCCAAAAAGCTTCTCCGACAATGTTTCTAAGCGACAAGCAAAAGTGATTGTGAAGCTGCTAAAATTCGCATTCTTTCAATGTCTGTTGAAAAATTTGAACGAATCCTTTGTATCAAAGTCTCGAAATCTGATGTTGTTGCCCACACGTGACAACCGCGTATATTGTTACGGTATCGCTGTATCATCAATACACCTCCGCTTTACCTAGGTAACCTCGCATTCCATCGTCATGTAACAAGTCAACAGCCCATGGCAGGAGATAATGTAAGAATGTACTCAGAAACTCGTAATTCAGTATCTACTCGTATGTTTCAAATGGAACTATACATAGTAAAGGTTATTCTCGACCACCTTTCTCAGTGGGCCATCTCCAGATTGCAACGGCAAGCCGATGATTATTGGTGGTTGCTGTCTCGGCATGCCGAACGCTATGACGACAGGCACCCCTCCCCCGCAATCTCCAATAACCTAGCTTGTCTATCTTCCCAGACAACAACTTTCCTATTACCTATCTCATCCGCTCCATTACATGCGCTTTCATCTGTTTAACTTCAAACGTACAAAGCAAATGTCGACTCGCAGACCCACCCATGCTGGTTCCTGGTACGAAGATGATAGCACAACGCTAAAAGCTGAACTGGACAGATGGCTCGATGCTGTTCCTGACGAGATTGAGCAGTTAGGCAGTTTGCCAATCCCCGGGGCGAGAATAATCATAGGACCGTTAGTTCTCCTTGTTGTAGTGTCGAGTCTTGAAATTACTTTTATTCTATTGTTTTCTCTCTTTCCTTTTTTTCTTCCAAAGCTAACAAGGCAGTCACGCTGGCTATGCATATTCAGGACCATGTGCTGCTTGGGCTTACAAGGCTCTCGACTTGTCCAAAGCGTAAGCTAGTCTTTGACACAATACGCCAGTCGTATGTTTATCAAGTGGTAATGTACTTTGACAACAGCAAACGCATCTTCCTGCTCGGTCCCTCGCATCACCACCCCCTCGCTACAATTGCCTTGCCTGAAGTATCCTCGTACGCGACACCCGTATCCGACGAGCCATTAGCTCTCGATACCGAAATAATCAACAAAATCCGCACCGCCTCATCCACATTCGAAACCATGTCCCGCCGTGTGGACGAGCGAGAGCATAGTATGGAGCTACATCTACCATACATACATCGTAAACTACAACTCACCTTCCCCGGACGTCCTACCTCAGAGTATCCACCCCTCGTCCCGATCATGGTGGGAAGTACCAATCCCGAGACCGAGCGTGCTGTGGGTACACTGCTTGCTACGTATCTGGCCGATGTGTCAAATGCATTCATTATTAGCTCTGATTTCTGTCACTGGGGTCAGCGATTTGGCTATACGTATTATGTGTCTGATGCACCGCAGCAGAAGCCGCCGTTGCCGTTGTCGTTTGATAACCTTCCACAACCACCCACCACCGTCTCCGAGGCCCAGGACGCTCTACAAAATGTGTCGGGACGGTCACTACGCAGTAACAGCGAACTGCATACTGAGATTTACGATAGTATCTCAGCAGTAGATATTGCGACCATGAAAGCCATTATAACGGGAAGCGCGACCCAATTCTTGAAAATACTGAGAACGACTGGGAACACAGTCTGCGGCCGTCATCCCATTGGCGTTATCATGGCTGCTTTGGAAGAGTATGCTTCAGTCTCTGGTGAGGAGATAGGAAAGTTTCACTTTCTCAGATACGAGAGAAGCTCAGATCCAGATGTTGTCTCGGAGAGTTCGGTGAGCTACGTGTCTGCAGTAGCGGTCATCTAGAGCTACATGTTCATTTTCAAAGACTTGTTAAGCCAACTTGCGGGGGCGTTTCTTCGAGCAACACAACTTGCATTCATTATAGCTAGCCCAATACCACACTCTAGCCCTTATGTAGCTACAATCTCTTATCTTCCTTATCAATCAAACATTCCAATAACAAACCACTGGACGAACCGCACTGCATGACAGCTAAATAATAAGCGGTGAGACTGTTTAGCAAGATTAATCACCAATAATCCTCCATTGTGGCATGGCTACTTTAAAAAATAATTTAGATTGCTGTTGGGGCCGACTGGCGGTGATCATATCAATCAGTTGACCCCACCGGAGAACTGCCCCTTCACTCCGACGTCGGTGCTATCGACTCACACTTATCCGACTATCCAGTTCTTCTTTCAATCTAAAAGATGGGAAATTGTTCATCTTCTTGAATTACTGAAACACTCCATGTTTGTTGTGTTTATATACAAGGCTGATTTGAGCTGATGATTGGTGTTGGGTATCATGGGCTCTATGTACAGTCGGGCCTAGATTGAGCATCTTTGGGTTGTTGAATACGCTCAGCTCAGTTCGATCGCAGAATCCGTTTTCGAATTCAATCAGTGGATATGGCCAGGCTGAAGAAGGGAGGTGTCCATTCCTGGGAAGATGTGCTTGCCCAGCGGTATCAAAGTACGTCAGTCTGGCACTTCAAGCTATAGAGGCCTATGAACCATCGCATTCATGACGGAATAAGAAACTAAAATGATCATCTTCTTGCAGACGATAAACCATCCTCACTCCCTCGCTACAGACGCCGCAAAGGCAACATCCGCGGCCCAGCACCCCGAGGCCTCGACATCAGCCAAACACCAGACCCGCAACCACAATGCCATCTACTGCAAACCTTACCGCCAGAACTGCGTCTCGTGATTTGGGAAATGGTCCTCGGCGGACTGCGATTACACATAATCCAACGCTCCAAGCGACGATTAGGCTGTGTCATTTGCCCGAGCCCTCAAAAGGATACGTGCGACATCTGCCGGGGCGTACTGCAACAGCCTGTTAAGAGTGCAGAGACACACTCAAACGTGAATTTGATAGCGTTGTTGGTTACTTGTAAACAGATGTGAGTCCTCTTTCATTTCAGAACTCCCCCCATTCCTCCCTCTAATCCTTTCAACAGATACCGCGAAAGCATCCACCTCCTCTACTCCTCCAACACCTTCGAATTCAGCAACACCTGGACCCTCGCCTACCTTCGCCCAACGCTCCCTCCCAACCAATGGACCGCAATCCGCTTCGTCGACCTCAAATGGGCATTTCCAGGCCACTGGCTGCCCAGCAAGGACTCCGTGAAGTCCGTATATGTTTGGGCGGGCCGCCAACAATGGATCGAAACCTGCAACGCGATCTTGCTACTCAACCATCTCGAGGAGTTTGTGCTGCATTTAACAGGGAACTGGTTCGGGGAACCTATTGAGAAAGTGCCTGTGTTTCTGGATCCGTTGAGGGATCTGCGCCTAAGGGGTGGGCGAGACAAGAAATGGAGGATTTATTTGCCGCCGCAGCCGTATTATAAGATGGAGATTAGAAGGTTGAATGAGTTGATGGTCAAGGAGGGGATTTGTTGTGAGGTGTATGAGGCTGGACAATGCTGATCGACCTAGGTAGGCTCTAGACCGAAAATTCTCGAAGTATACCTGGGTAAATAATAGAGGATCGAAACTTTTTATAATGCTATACGTATCTACCTACCTATGTATAGGCAATGAATGCACCCAAGATGAAACAAACCAAAAAGAAAAGAGGAACGAGAATGGAACGCTCGAATGACCCACAAACATGATATCTCATAGACACTTTGGCAGAGAAATTTAAACATACAAACACCATCTTCTTCTTGAGAATTAAACTATTCATAATCCTTGACATATCTCTCACCCAAGTCCATATCCCACATCGGCCTCTCAATAACCGCCAACTCCACGCTTTTCTGTGTAGTTGTCGCTGCTGACGATGACGAAACGACATCAAAATGAGAAGCAGAGCCAAGCGGTAACACACCAAGGATATCTCTGAATTTGTACGAGTGCCAGAATATGGTCGTTGGTTTTGAGTCCGCTTGATGCGCAAGTTGTTGTTTAGGGTTTTGTTGGTTTATAACGACTGCGAAGGAGGCGCCGTTCGTAGCCGGTGAGTTGAATATTGTGCCATTTGTCGATTTCTTTGGTGTGTCTGTCGAGGTGGTGGTAGGTTCGTTGGCGATCTGGCGACGAAGACGCGCGAAATCCGGTTCTCCGTTCACATGGAACGGGTGGCTATCTCCATCTTCCGCCTCATCGTCTTGGTTTTGATGGAGACGATGTTTCTCAACGTCAATCCACTGCTGTTTACGGTCTGCAGCGATTTTGCGCATTTTCGTGCCCATGGACACCATTGCTTGGGACTTGGGGATCAGATCTCCTGCTCCGCTGTTGTATTTCCTACGCCAGTGCTCGTTTTCATCGCCATTGGCGTCGAGGTCGTCTCTGTCCACGTCTTCATGCTCGTTGTCGTTGTCATTTTCACGCTTCCGTTTGCCCATTGCTGCCTGCACAAGTTCAATGGCCAAAGCCGCATCTGACATTCCTCCGGCCGCTGCTCCCGCTGGTGCGTCTCTCTTGATATCGTTAGCATCAACAGACTGCGACGGGAAATCATGTGTGAGGTCAAACATCCACATCCACGATGGCCCATAAAGCAACAATTTCGGCATTCCCTGGAACATATCACAAACACCGCCAATTGCGCGGTCTTTGAGACCAGTAAACTCCTCGGGCAGGCACGATTTGGGGTTCCGTTGAGACCACTCAGAAAACTTGCCAGAAAGTACTTCGTATTCTGTTAATTGGTGTTTGCTTGTGAGAAGGAGTAGGCGGTCTTCTGTGGTGGAGTTTGTGGATGGTCGGAAGGACATGAAAATGACGCCGGAGTGGAGACAGGGGATTGCACTGAGGAGTTTCCAGCGTTGGCCGTCAAGTATCTTTTCGACGTTGTCATCGTCGTCGTAATCATCAGAGGACTCGTCGTCGGATGAGGTGTTTCCATTAGCTATCTTCTTGGTGGGTTGATCTGAGACGTCTTCGAGGGCCCAAGAATCGACAAAACCTGCCAAATCGCCGACTGCGAAGAGTTTGCTGTCACTGCTGAACGTGACTGTGCGAATGGTTCGGTCGTACTCGCCAAGTGTGCCATGGTTGATTCCACGTAACGTTTGCATCCGACCAGATGATCGTTGTAGACGCAGAAGCTTAGGGTTGATCTGCACATCTTTGCCTGCATCGGTATCTGTAACGGACAGTTTCGCCAGATATACCTCGTTACCGGGTCGAATGATTGACATCCATTGAAGATCCGGCGACAGAGAGACATTACGGGCTCCGTTGTCGGCGATTGGACGAGAAAGTTTCACGTCTGTAACCTGTAGTGTGTTTTCTTCATCTTCGTCTTCATTTTCAGCGAGTGTGAACATTCTGATCGTGGTCATTGTAGACAGCACCAAAAGACTACCATCGGTCGAGAGAGCGGCTGATGTGATATTTTCGTCGCCCTTTATCAATTAGCAAAATTCAATCAGAGTCAAATGTATGACAGGGACTTACAGGAATCAACACTCGGCCAACTAATTGATTCCTCTGACTCTCTGCATCTGCTCCGCTTTCAGGCGCGATTTTGTATATCCTAACTTCTCTCTCCCAGAAACTCATGATGAGCCTAGACGACGAACCGGAGGCAAGTTGACAGATCTGCGGGAGACTGGAAAGTGTCCTGTGATGCTCTTTTCCGGATTCGCGAAGAGGCAAGACGACGAGGGATGCATCGGGTCCTGTACAAGTATAGTGTCAGACAGTTCACAGAACGAGAGGGGAAAAGAAAGGGGGGTGGGCTACCTCCGGAAACCGCAATACTCATATCCTTCGACTCATAAACAGCAAACTTCTTGACATCATGCGTATGATATCGCCGGTGCATAACCTCCGCCCATCGGCGCGATTTATCGTTCTTCTTGCCCGGTTTCAATCGATACAGCACTGTCCGTCGATCTGCTCCACCACTAACGACCGTTTCCCCGTCGATACTAACAGCGACATCCAGCACATCGGCTTGGTGGCCCCGTATTCTCTGCACAAGCGAGTAATTCTTCGGGTCCCAGAATCGGATTTCGCCTGTCGAATCTCCAGAGACCAATGTACCATCGGGCAGAGATTTTACACTCCAGACCAGAATATCCTTGGGTCCTCCGATGGGTCCTCGACCGAGCGACACCGTCCGCAAAAGACGTCCATTCCGAATATCAAACAGTCGAATCGAACTATCCGCATACCCGGCGGCGAGCACGTGTCGGCTTTGGAACGTGATACTGAGCACGCGCACATTCTTCGTAACAGACGCATTTAAACGACGCACAAATCTCAAATCATTCTCGGCCGTAGACAAAATCACAATCGATCCATCCGCGCATCCAATCGCCAGATGTTGACCTGTATATTCGCCTTCCGCGGGAGTAGCAGCAACAGCACCTTTCTCAGCTGAAGGAGTCCATCTCGGTTGCGCTGTTAGACACCAAATCTCTCCATAACTCCCACTCGAATGCCGCGCGGGTTTCCCTTTTTCCAAATCCCACTCCGTCACCGTATTCGTATATCCAATACTAAACAGCCGCAAACGACCCGCTGTTCTCATCCCATCAGGCGAATCTCCAGACGGATCGAGCGTCCAGGCAAGCCCCTCAATACTCCGCCCTTTACCGCCACGAATAATCGATTCCTGAAACCAGGCACCGCGCAACGGGTTCCAGATCTCGATGTCGCCGTTTGCGCGACCGACGGCGAGACGAAGAGTTTGCGCGCCTTGGCCGGCGGCTTTGGAGGATGGGGGGTGCGAAAACTCGAGGGCGTTAATAGCCTGGGGGTTGTAAGGGACAAAACGGCAGCGATGAAGCTCCATGTTGGCTTTTTCTCCGTTTCTTTCTGTGTTGTTGAATTGGTCTGCGTCGATTTCTTTCTTATCCGGTCTCGTTCGAGGAGACAATCAACCAAGCACAATCTCCCTGCTCTGCGAGCTGAGAGACGACTCAAATGCGATTATTTAGACAATGATAGCCATTTGAAACAACACACTCAAATCCGGAAAAGGCGCGTCAAGACTCAGGCAGAAAATGCGATCGATTGGAAAAGAAGCTAGGGTACAAAAATCAAGCGGATAATCAAAATTATTTTTCTTCCAAAGGGCAGTTTTTCGCGGGCCTTATCAGTCACGTGAGAGCGGCTAAACATTCCCTTATCAGGGCAGACTCGAGTATAAGCTTCGACCAATCGGAGGTCAGATTGTGTATGTCTTCGTCTGATCTGCTGTTTGTACTTTATATAAACGCACACTGATGTTGTGGGATCTGATTATATCAGACATCTAATGACTGTCACTTACCTATAGTCCTACTATTTGAGTGTTTGTCGCTACCAGCTACTTGAAGATAGTCTCCGGGCGTGCCACCCGTGGCTCAATATATTTATAATATCCCCTAATTAACGAAGAACAGAGCCTAGCATTCCTCACAAGCACAATCTACCAAAAATAAATATCAGACGAACGACGGTATACGACTACATCTTACTAAAAACAGACCGCCTATGGCCACATCGGTTTGCTGTGTATACCAATTGACATTTCCTAACTACCGCCTAGGAAAGGGTGAGGCCTGAGGGCTATACCAGGTCTAAGAATGCCCTATCAAAGGTTCAAGTTGAAGCGGAGACTAACATACCTAGACAGGTACCAGCAAATCCCCTCCGAGAGAGGCATGAACTACTATGACAGGAAATTCATACATGTCAAGTAGGTACCATGATGATCTCGGGAGTATTCGCATATTACCCATCTTCCAACGGGATAAATAATCGTTACATAGACCAGAACCCGACACTCGCCCATTTCGAGTCGGATGTTGCATTACGTACGTACAACACAATCAATCGTAGTAGTTGCGAGCCCCTGCTCACTCGAACTTCCCATTGTTTGTGTAATATACTTATAGAGAAGAGGAGCCTTTATCCTTTATCCATACCCAGGGCGCTTCAGCGGGTAACGGAGGGGAGGGGGGAGGAAGGAGGGTTTGAGCAGTACAAAGGAGACCAAATAAGCAGGTCTCAACAATGCCCTTTGTTCAACCACTGCTTTTGTCGTTTCGGGTTTACCAATCCGACCGGCGGGAAAAAAGTACGAAGAGGTAACAACCTAACAAGTCTACATACTATATTATACCACTATATCCAGAGAAAGAAACAACTTAATTCCTTTCCTCATTGATAGATAGATACGTATGTAGGCATCTCTTCCCCTCTTCAGCACGAAAAGCCATCCCCTTCCGCGCATACTGGGAGGCCACAAAAAGATATCGAAACACCGCTTGTAAGCAGAAGAAAAGCATTATCAAATGAGAATTGTTTTGGTAGCAAGAGAGAGAGACGGAAAATGAAGGTAAATAGAATCAATGGGGGAGTTTCTTGAACACCGCCAATGATATTGGTATAGTAATGATATGATGACAGACAGGCATGGTCTCTCCGTTTCGACTTCGGTAGAGTAAGGCCCTGTGGATGGTGAGGAATGACTCAACGCGGAACGCTAGAAGGACAGTATTTGAGCAGAAAAAAGAGAAAAAGTATGATAATAAGAAGAGAAATGAATTTTTTTTGTATCAGAAACGACTCGCGCTCGCAATGCCAGATCTAAAAACACAAGACAAAGATGATGATGATGACGATGGAAAGTGAAAGGGGTATGTTAATATTCTAGGATGAAATAAAAATGCAATCCGTCCAGGCCCTCGTATGATGATGAAAGAAAAGAGGAAAAACAGATCCAATCGACTCGCTCGTGCAGTATTTATGTCACGGTTGAAGCAAACTATGGCACACAGGTCGTGGTAAATATGCACGTCCGAAAATTAGGAGAGTTTGATGTAGCTCTGAAGATAGTCGACTGATGTACCGCTAGAACGCAGTAGTATACCCGACGTGAGCAGGGGCATACTGAACGTATACTGGCTCGGCATCGTACATCTGGGTATCATTGAAAGAGACGTTCGGGGGGGTAGGAGACGACGGGCAGACGGTGATCGCTGCCTGTTTGTTCATATCCGCAGCAGCAGCAGCATTGAACCCCTCGCTCTCCGGGGTGATAGGGGGTGTAAGGTATCCATGGGGTGGCATTGGCTTTTGAGGAGTGGACAAACCGACTTGACCGGCGTACTGAGTCTTTGACTCTTTGGCGACGTCGGTCGGCGGAGATGGAGGAGCATAAGCACCGCTGGCAATGGCGGCCTGACGTGCGAGGAAGTTGTCCAGAAGTTTGGAGATCCGGGAGTAATGTGCTGAAGAGTACTTGCGGTATAATACTTGAGAGGGTGAATGCAATTGCTGGGACAGACCGACTAAGGTGTTGGGGTCGTATGTGGCAGCCCATTCGGTAGCCTCCGGCTGACGGCGGTTAAGGATGCACCTCGACAAAGCGAGGGCAGCTTTAGCGAGGTCGGCCGAAGGTTTAGACACGAATTCTCTGTGGAAAAGCGCAATCTCTAGGATGTAAAGTGCAAGATGCTCGACCTCCGGATCGTACTGCATATCCACAATCGCAATGTTCAGAAAGCTGTCCACTGTTGGGTGGCCAACGGTCCAGCCAAGTGTCTGCAACACATGCCACTCCATTTGAAGAAACATGTCGTCGTCATAAAGTGAACAGCACATAGACTTCAGCTCACGGATGGTTGGAACATGCTCCTTCTTGTCACCGTACTTGGCGGCAATCAGGAGGGCAGAGCAGCCGACGAGTTGGTAATGACGTTTGTAGACAACACGTTTCGAGCAGTAACGATCAAGGAGGTTGATTGCAAGGAACAGTGTAGAAGGTTGCAACTGGAAGGCCGCATGTGCTTCGATGAGGAAATCGAGGAGGTATGGCCGCATGAACCATTGGATTTCAGTTTGAATGTCAATGGATTCTACATCGGGGAGAGTCGCAGTATCCATGTCGAGCATGTGCTGTAAGCAATCATCGAGATACTCCTCCCTTGCCTGGGCAGAGAGTTGATCTGCGATTGCGTACTGACGCTCACGAGCAATGATTTTTGCGTGCTCCTTGGGATCGAAGCGAGGACGGACGTCGTCAGTCTCAACGAAGAACGAGTCACACGTCTGGTGGGAGGGGCGAATGGTAGCCATGGTGGAAGGATTTGTAGAAAACTGTCTCGAGCTGACCGGCAGGAGGATCTGAAGACTTTTCTGTTGAGGTTATGGTACGGAAGCGAAAGTATCCTGATGATGATAACACCTGTGTATCACTTGTGTTGACGAAGGGAGAAGAGAGTGACAGTCGTAGGATTAATTAATGATTGTAAGTAGTTGGAAAGGCAATTAAAGAGCGTGGTGCCTAGACAATAATCTGGGCGGTGCGAGAACAGAAACAAAGTGCGATGAGAAGGACTTTTCCGGCGTAGCTAGGAGATAGAAATATTAGTACCGGTGAGCAGTGAGAAGCGATGTGAACAGAATCGTAGTATTAGATGATTATAAAGAGAATGTCAAAGGCTGAGCAATGAGAGGAAGAGACGAGGAGCAGAAAGCAAAGAAAATAAACCACTTTGAACGGGAAAGGGCGAGAACAAACATGTTGCACTTACCCAGGATGAGGACTGCCCTTACTGTAGTAACAGCTCTGGCATCTAGGCTGACAAAAGAGGCAGGAATGAGGTCCTATCTGGCGGTACCTGTCGACAAAGAGGTGAAGTACGAGTCAACGTCTCCACCCTGTCAACGAGTAGTTTTGAGAGGTTGCTGGCGAGTGTTCCTCGTGTTCCGGAATGTGGAGCGGAGCGATCGAGGCGGCACGAAACCCTATGTAAGGGCAAGGGGCAGTCAGCGGACTTCGTCCTTGGAGAGGTCTTGGTATTAGGTAGAGGGTAGCTCACAGGCTTATTTAGGAGGTATGCAGGTCCGTGTTGTTAAATGTTTAACAACAGGTTGCGGTAACCTTGAATTAGGGCTAAGATTCGACTTCGTGAGAACACGACAACGAAGCTCAACCTATTTTCTAAAACAGCACGTTAGCGAGATTCGAAGTGACCTTGCAGTTGCAACAATGATGAAATGGAAATTAAAGAGATCAGCGTGGATGGTTTGGTGCTGTAGTTGGGTGCACGAGCAGAGCTCCATTCTTCCATGCCGAGAAAGGCTGCAACCATGGTGATCCTTCATGCCACAGAGACCAACACATGACAGCACGGGTATTGAGCATTTGAGTATTCGAGTATGTCACGAGCGAGCAAGTTTTGATGGGATAGACAGGCCGTACAGAGACTAATCTCTTTTCAAATACTGGCTGTTGTGCCACCCTGAACCTCCATTGACCGGAAGACAGGAGCGAGAGGAGTCACGAAATCTACCACCAAAGCCATTGTTCAGACTCGATGGAAGATGGAAGATTTGTTGCCCAATTATCCATAATGCAATAGAGGTTGCAAGTCGATCGTTATTAACGAAGGTACGACGGACGCTCGCTAACAGGAGGACCCAGCACGACCACGGAACGATCGGACGGCGCCATCCACTTGAAGTATCTGGTACGTTTCCCAAACGAATATACACATCTCATATCATCTGATACCAATCGTTCATGAAGATTGGAACGCTCTGCTCAACATCGACTATTCGATATTCGTGGTTCGCTGCACGTGACTCTCGACTCAGGGTACCCTGCCGAGCGACTCTCACAACCCAGCTTGAAGCTGCTCTCCAGTATAACAAGGTATATATTCGATAGGGAAAAATAGGCTCGACATTGCAGAGGGGAAAGGTAATCTCACCGTCGGTTAGAAACGAGGTTGTTGGAGCGGCTCTGCACAGGACAGAACAGACGTCGGGAGGGTCGAGCTGCAACGACACAGCTATCGGGCGGGACGAGGAGGATTAATTGCTGGGGGATCAAGGGACTGATTCTGTCTTTGACTTGTCGAACAAGTATCTCTCACGAGACCTTTCTCTAACAGTCAAAGTCAAAGCCAACTCTCGACGACCACGAACAAGGCGATCTCACTCCCAAACTCTCCGAGCAGAGTCAGGGAAAAGAGAGAAAAAGGAAAAGAAAAAACTAAAAGCGGATATGAAGAAAAGAGGAAGAGTCGGATATAGAGGAGAAGGAGGAGAAGAGAAAAAAAGAGGATGTTGAAGGGGTTTTTTTCTTCTCTCTCCAAGTGGGTGTGGTAGAGAGGAAGGAAGAGAGAGAGGTAGGTGAGCGAGAGGTGAGAGACCAGCGCCATGCTTTCCTTAGTGAGAAGGTCCGCTGGCAACGGCAGAGAAGGTACGTAATTTTGGTATTGCGGAGACGAGCTACACTTGCAGCAGAGGGTCGTTGAGTAATTGAGTGCCAAATGGAGCCGTCATCGAGGCGTATCGGTACGGTATGACCGGACTGGGGCGCGTACGACAGGGGATGGGTTAGTGCGTTTGGAGCGATACGGCTGTGGTGGTTGACGACTGGCCAATCGAGGTGCAATTTGTGCCGTCCCTCTCGATAGCTACAAATGTTGTTATTTGACCGGGGTAGTATATGAGATGTCGCTGCTCGATTGGCTTTGACTATTGACTTGATTGATTATCGTCTTCAGAATGTCTTTTCAGACAAACGAGCACAGTCATTTCATATTCAGCCATGTGCGTACTATTGTATGGAATCGATCAATACTGCTGCGCAAATCTGTAAATAATACAAAGCACTCCGTCGTAACAGGATCCGATCAGCTCCATCTGAAATAGACGGCAGGCGGCAGCAGCCAGTAGGGAGCGGCAGATTGCGTTAGGTGGTGTAAGACAACCTGTTTTGCGGCTCGTATGGCTGGTTCCTGGTGAGCCATCTGGTAAGAACCGTACTAGTGATACAACGCGTACCGAGCCTTCAGAGTACAAAGGCTGGTCATACCATACACATTCAGATGAATTAATTATTCACTACGTGGTAGCACTTGAGAATTGAAAATTTTTTTTTCTTTGAGAGATAATCGCCCCGAGTGTCAGCCCGATGAGTCCGAGTACAGAGTAGAGCATTGGAGACATACGTACACACCTTACCGGGTACAGCACAATTGAACTGCAGCGACATACAGAACGCCTGAGCACAATTACCGAAATACAGCTATCTGTACGTAGTAAGGAACATACATCCGTACATACAGGCTACACTAATATTGGACTAGCGGCACAGCTTGCATGCAGCAAAGTCCAATCACAGGCCGTACATGGCCGGAATCCCCTGACTCTTGGCAGACTCCAGCTCGACGCGTGGAGTGTCTGGGTCTGTCCAGTAACATTCAATTACATAGTATACGCAGAACGTAGGCACTCTAGGCAATACGATGGACAGCTCCCCGCTTTTTCGTGAGATTTTGTCTTGTGTCTCCATTCGTCAGAGACTGGTTGGGCAGGAGGTGATGATTGGTTGTGAATTCGATATGTCGATGTTTGTCAAATTAAGTGCGAACGAAGATGATTTTGGTCTATTGTTGATTGTTTATCCAGTCGACTATTGTCGGATTGTTTGCATATATTGGTGCTGCTTGATTTGCTTGAAGGGCCATCTCGGCTCCTTTTCGCCAATACGAACGACGTCATTTCAAGAGACTGGCACTAGCCTTGTACAGACTAGCGCCTGTATCAGCCTAGCTCCAAAATGGCCTAGGGCGGAATAATCTTGATGGGCATCCTCGGTACGGGCTTAACCTCCGGGGCTTTGCAGGCCTAGAGCAGCTGAACCTTAAAGCTGCCTGGCTTATTATCGGCGCTGTTAGGGTCTGCCGTCCTTGTAACAGGCATGTACCTGGTGCCTGGGTCAGGAAGATACTTGTACTACATAGGAATTCMCCAGCCACTAACTTACTCCGTACGCGCTCCGTAACACAAATCACGTCCTTATCTTAGTCTGCCGACAGTACCTGTACCAATTGAGGAATACCGTTACTATTTTAGTGGCCTCGAATCAAGATCCTAGCTCAACTAACCCCTTGGCTAAGCTGCTATGCTGCAAAGTGCTAAGTCTAACCATGTAAATCCTAGCCTGAACCACACTTTGAACAGAGTCAATGTATCATCCAACGCAACATAACGCCATTTAACTCGCACTCAACGCGCTTAGGCGCGACACACGTTTACGTACCACTGTCTGCACAAACCAGGTCCGTTGAAACATTTGAGCGCATGGGCCGGGAAAGACTGGGGAATAACGTTTTAACCTTCTACACAATAGTACACAAGGAACGTGGATTTCTTGGATAAGTTGGACTAGATGCGATTAAACAGGAATTGAATTAGATTGATGCTATTTACTGCAGTTGATTGGTTGGTTGTCTATCGACGGTAATGTCAGCTCTTTGAGACAACGTTCACTGCGGAGTAAGTAGTTAACATTGAACGAACTCGATGAGATGACCCCAATTAATTAGAATAAGTTGATAGGACTTCGATAGCTTGGACAAGATCCATGGTTCTTGAGTCAATTTAGCTTTCTTTGACTTGATTGATGCCGAGTGATTAGTCTTTGATCAGCTACGTGTACATAACATGATCACGAATGAATGGATGAATGGATGCGATCGCAAGCCGTATTGCAATTCGTCCTAATAGCCCAGGCGTCAGTTCAGCCAGACACAACCATCCAGATTTCCGATCTGACACTCTTCCTCCCACTCAGGGAAGCAAGCAAGTTTGCCTGCGTTAGTCTGATGAGTTGTCAAGACCAGACTAAGCCGCTTTGGCACTCACCCAGGCGCGGGGAAGACAAATCACAGAAACTTGATGGTCCTGATCTAGCAGATAAATAGATTAATCGATTCACCAATCATATCAACAAAACAGGGATTCGCAGTGTGCACGAGTCGCGAGCTTCCCCTTGCAAGGATTCGAGGCATCGGTCAATGCCAAATGGTCAGCCCTACTGTTGCATATCGCTTGAATCGCCTATCATGATTCATCAATGATTTGACATTCAAGCTACTAGCACCAACCGAACACTGTGTGCCTCCTGGCAATAAGACTCTTCCAATGATTTGGCCAAGACGAACATATTTTCCGATTTACAGGTTGAATTCTTTTGCTTTTCATACTGTAGATTCTACGAAGTTCTTAAATGATAGACATGAAAATTGGAGATTGAAGCCGATCTACCCCTCCGTCAACCTTGGAAAAATGCTACACACTAAATATTTAGTAGATGCTAAAGACTAAATGTCAGCATCAGCCCAGCCAAGCCCAGCACTTTGACTTGGTGTTCAGCTCGCCTCCGCCAACCTAATCCGATCAGGATCACTGATCGTCGGAATTGACTCCCAGAACCCGTACCAAATATTCTTTACATCTTTTGGTCGGTCGTGTTCATCGTTTAATCAATGACCGATAAGACATAATTTTTTTCCGCCCACTTTCAGTCTTCCACGTCCCTCGAATAGATCAGTGCGGTGGCTGGTGTCCATCCTGGAGCTCCATCCTAGGGCTCACGGCGTACTCCGTACATAGACCACTGCTGGCGTCTTGCGCAATCTCGATCGATCTGCAATAGATAACGAGTCGTCTGCCAATTATCGTCGATACCTCGAAATCTCATGCGATGCGAAATACGTGGTTATCGCTTACTAGTTAATAGTTAGCTACTTCTTATGCGATGTATGTGATGAGAACCGAGGTCATGGATCGAGTTTCTATTCGTTGAGATAGGGGTGTTTGCGACGAGTCATATTTCCAGCCACACCGGGTGATTGTTCAGCTGTTCATCAGCATTTATCTACTCGCTTGGCCAGTATGTTACTAGAGAAGCGAGGTTGACCGTGGCGATTAGCTAGAAACAGAGAGATTTCAAATTCTTTCACGTGTCTCGCTCAACCCTGGCCTAACGTGCAGTTGTAGTGCAGATTTGTCCTATCTTTCAAGCGAGGAAGATGAAATGAGATTCGATGCGCATTGCATGATTGTGATACGAATGACATAAGACGTAGTGCGAAATTGCTTTTTATTTATATACCTTAGGTTCCAAAACCAGCTTTTCGCTCTAACTGCCTTAATCGGAGTTCCTCACCCTTAATGACAGTTAAAGTATTCAAGCTCCTTGCAGCTATCCGACCTGTTCCCAGCGCTGTGGTTCTGATTTTAACTAAATAGACTCATTCTCTCGTATCGCATCTGCTTATTTAAGTAGGTACGTAGGCAAGGTCATGATCCTTACACGTGGTCAATCCTTTCGTCATGTATGTAGCCAGCCATACTGCTAGGAACTTAGGGTTTACGGTAAACTATCGAAAGCCTCGAATCCCTCGCATCTGTTTTTAAAACCAATTCCGTTAGTACCGCAGACAATCAAACATCACGTAAGGAGATACGAGAATTATATTAAACCTGTATATATCTTCGCTTCATTCATTTATGAAGCTTTCCTTAAACATACCGTTCCGTATGTACTTAATGTATGAACCTCCGTACGTAAGTATGTATTCATACAAAACCAATAAAATCGAAATAGGAACCCTTCTAGAACCCGCAGACTCCATTTGTATTGTATGTACATGTATCGTCGGGCTCTTGTTGAAAATCTTCATACCGGTGAATTTCGATGTGATTCATCGAGTGCTAAACTATGTAAGTAATCATCACTGAACCGGATTTTTATCATCTATGGCTGAGTTGACGTCGTGACCATGTTTCTGAGGCGACCGGGGATAATAAGAGTAGGATTATTTACGGCGGCAGTTTCATACGGATACTGTCAATTTTTCAAGACGGCCGTTAACAGATATGAAATTGAACTTTTTTTTCTGTATGTAAGGCGTTTGGGTTACCGTTGTTAATGTCAACGGCTTTGATTCTCTAGAGAAATGCTTAAAATATGAAAACGTCTGTATAAACAGCCTGCCACCGTACATACTGTACGTTGAAACCAAGGGACAAACCGCGAAAAGCTTCACGATACAAGATCCACAAACGGAGCTCTTTCGGGAAGTACGGGCGTTCGGGTACTCCATATAAAACTCCATATAATGGATATAATGGAGTCATACAGCAAAATTTTTTCTTCCCCTCTCTATAAAAATTTTCGGGACGGTGAGCACTGAGTGAGATTTTGATTGTTCGTTTCCTATATAGCCGTTTACGGGGTTGGTGACGAGGTGGGATGTTGACTTGACGGTAGGACAGTACATGAGGTTATGTATGTATTGGGCGGAGTATGTATTTGGTATGGGTAATTATGTATTCAGTTAGGTATGCAGGTAAGGAGAAGACGTTCGGATAGTGATGATCATGAGCATTATGCTTGGTCTCATTTTCTAATTTGCACAGTGATTGATGTCATCCAAGGTTCATCTCCTGTCACCGCTGTCAGAGCCATGTCAGATCAACTAATCCATAGTACGTACCATACCGTTCGATTGATCATGACATGGTTGATGTCGGATGTCGCGCGACAGTAATTTTGACTTTTGAGATTTCGAGATCCACCCAAAAACCGTACTCCACAGATGCATATTCACAGACACTTTTGAATACTGCTACGTACTGGTACAGGCAAAAAGCCTCAAGTCCATGCATGCGTATTGCTGTATGCATTATTCATTTACAGTTACTACATCGTGCGTGGGTATTTAGGTCAGGTAATCGCTGATCAACCGGCGGTTTCGGCGGTTCCATTAACTTGAAGGCTGAGGCCCAAAGACCAAACTTTGAGCAACGCTAACCAGCTTTAAGCTCGACTTGTTAGCGTAGCTTATGGCTCAGGAGCTATTGACTCGGATCGACCGGTCAACAGCTGTCAAGAATCAGATGTCGAGGTGGTTCTACGAAGACATTACATAGTTTGAAAGTATACAAGCCTTGAAAAAGAAATGCAATGTCATCTATCATGTCACTCGATGTAACTTGTAAGTGTCATTCAAAACAAGAAATGACCAATATAACCCTATTCAGAATGGTCCGGTCCACTATCCATGGATGTGCCTAGCTCAGTGTACGGACCGTCGGACTGCCCCTTTTAACGTGCATGTACTATACTAGTATTGAATACGGGACAAGGATGGTCATTGTGAGAATAGAATGATCGATCAACTATACTTTGATAAGTCAGTCAGGCTGTTGGCATCAGGAGTCAACGTAAAGTTGTCATGTACTCAATTGAATAATGTTACTTGGTAGGTTTTAACGATACGGATAGCTTCATGTCGGGTACTTTGAGTACCAGTGGATATACATGTAATTACATACCAGCAGTAACTCAGTGTCCGTAATACATCGCCAACTCCACAATTGAGTACTCATTATTAACAGTATGCAGTATGGTATCAGGAATTTGCTCTCCTAATAATTCGACCAAAGTCACCAAACGCATAAACTCGGAGTACGTAACTTACTTGAAAAATAATTTATACTGTACTACGTACGATCCGATCTCTCACCGCGTACCCGTCTTTTTCTTTCATCTCGTGCCACGCGACAAACCTTCCAAAAAGCTGAATGTATTTCGGACATATGGCATAAAGATCTGGMTCGCGTGTTTGTTTCAAAGAGCACGCGAGCGCGTTGATTAGTTACGTTTTCGCGCATTGCATTACGGAGCTTTCGCCGGTTTCGATGGTCCATCAGTCAGCGCTTATTAGACTACGTAGTAACTAGCGCGTTGGCAATTATTCTTGGGCTTGCATTCTGATTTGTGATCTTTTCGATAGATGTTTACCTTCGATTTCTCTGAGATCTTCCAGTTGACTGATTTCTATAATGATGTATCTATACAGGCAATTGCTCTTGAATTTGTTTTTGCTCAGTACATTCTGCGAATTATGAAAAGCAACAGTGTTGGCTTTAATGATATCATAACGTAAATCATTTACCCAGCCATGTAAGTTAGTCCAAGTTGGTCCGAAGCCAAAGTTTTTCGACTCCACAACCGCGCTTCAAGCTTACGAACAGCTCAGCACAGCCCGCGCTGAGTATGTTACCAAAATGAGACTTTCTTTGTAACCTGCTGCATGAAGCCTGCAATGCGAAAGTTTATTTCGAGTACGCATGTACTATGTATGCACATCATACGAGGTTGTAAGTGTTAATGCATCCGCGTTCTCGCTTCCCTCGATGTATGTTGTACAGAAAGCGGTCTGGTTTGAGACAGACGCGTTTGAGCGTGTCAGTCTTGAACATACATGTGAGAATTCGAGAATGGGCTGCATTAGATGATAGCTTAGTCTATGTATATACTGCTCAACATTTTATCCTGCGTAGGTGTCAACGGAAGTATAAAGCCTCATGTTGAGAGATCATTCTAAACGACCCAACAACCATTTCATCCCCTCCTCGAAATCTTTCTTGGCTTTCTTTCCCTGCGTCAACATCCCAAACATATTCCAGAACGTATGTGGCATACCCGGATAAACATCCAGCCTCGTCTCTACCCCATTCTCTTCTCTCAGCACCTGCTCATAAATCAACTCCTCATCACGCACAATGTCCATACCACAGACTTGAAAGTATGTCCGCGGCAAGTTCGCATGGCCTGTTGGCCAGATGAAAGGGACGAACATTGGAGAAGTGAAATCTCCGGCCGCCGAATCGTGAAAGATCTTTTCCATCTGAGGGGTCAGGATGGGATCGTGTTGGCAGGCTTCCTGTGTGCGCGAGAGGTAAGAGTCCTTGTATTTCCAATCCGCCGGCAGAGTCTCGAACGTCTCAGGCGGTAGAATCATAGGCGAGAGAAGGAAGCATCCCGTGATGGGCGCAGCGATGCTTTCTTTCTCATCGCGTGCTAGATGGGCCAGAATAGCTGCCATCGAACCTCCAGCCGAGGACCCGCCAACCACAAACCCAGTCGACAATGAGACTGGAGTGCCAGTAGCAGCTAACTCAGACTCTGCGTAAAGCGCAATCCATTTTAATCCATCCCATGCATCATTGATACCAGCCGGAAACGGATCCTCAGGACCCTGTCGATACGACGGCGCAATGCAGACTACGCTGAGAGTTTGCACGAGGTTTCGGCATGATGGTGCCGCATCTTCGGGGGAGCCGATTGTCCATCCTCCGCCGTGGTAGTACACTACCAGTGGCAGAGCGTCCTCGTCCTGAACGGCTGCTGCAGGTCTGAACACGCGAGCACGTAGTTGATGACCATCGCGAGCGGAATAGAAAATGTCATGTTCGATGACGCCGCTGTCTGGGTCTGCGGGTTTATGTTGGCTTTTCATGTATGCGCGTATTCCTGCGATGATCCTTGCTGGTTCTGCATCGGGGCTTGGGGCAGGTATGGTGATTTTCTTGAGGGTCTGATGAAGTGTGAGTCGGTATCATTGACTCGACGCAAGAGAGGTGTCAGATACGTACTTCGGCAAGCTCGGGGTCAATGTCTGCCAATTTAAGTCGTTCTTCACGAGTCAAGGCCATGTTGGAGAATAATATCAGCCGTAATATTGCGCAAACAAAGAGAAAGATATCGATGATCCTTCGTACAAGGAAAGAAGTTCATTTTCCCACCTACAACTCCCTTTTATATACACAACGGCAATATTTGAATTCACCCGCATCTCGACTCCATCATCACTAATGAATCTTCGAATATATCCTCTTACAACGGGCTCACGGATTTCGGGGGAACCCCACGAAATCCGTGCTGACATAAATTTCCTAATTGAGTAATTCTGCCTCGGTAGAGCCTGTTGGGGCGGATGGTTTTGTGTCCTACTTTTTTGTACGAGTTTTACCTTTCTTTTGCGAGAAATCGTGCTATAAACGCAAATAAGAAAGGATTTTGATGAGATTATCAATCTTTGCAAAATTAGCTCACAAATTCTTCTCCGTTGTACCGTGGAGCGAATCTCATGCCCTAGTCTACAACGAGTTGCACATTTCCGAACTACGTATTGCCGGGATTATTCACCTACATAGTCGGGATTCAGTATTTTTCTGCTATCTTCAAGGTCTGTTAAGAATAAATTGATTTTATCCAGTGTCATACTACTGAACCCAACAGGTTGGACCTGATTCCTTAACAACATGCTTGCCGCAAACGTGGGCTTACTTCACTCAATAGTATTCATGTCTGCCCATAACCGATTACAAAACAAGCCGGACCTTCAGCTTGTCACCTTGTATAATCTCGTCTTTTCTGGCAAGTAGCTCTTCCATGTCCCACGTGCAACTGAGGTACCTTCCAGCAAGCCACTCGCGCCTCTCCTGAGTCAGAAAAACGACCGTATCTCCAGCCAGTTCAGGCTTGTCCGTAAACCCTAGCCAATTCTTCAGTTTCTAGCCCAAAAAATACGGAGAAGTTCAACTCGTGGAATGAACCTGAAATCAGAAACCTACCAGCATGTGTTTCTTTAGGCATTGCTTCAGCCAGCTGGGTCATGACTCCACCAGGAAGCACAGAAAACGCCAAAAGCCCATCCTTGGCCTGCTCTACCAGCATAAACTCCGTAAATTTCAAAACCGCCCACTTCGAAGTCCCGTACGCACTTGCTTCCGGACGCAGATTATGAGCTGCGACCGAATTGATATTCACCATAGTTTTCAACCCATCCACTGTCGCCGTCAACAGCGGCGTGAAAAACTTGGTCATAAGAAAGACGCCCTTTAAATTAACCTCAAAAGTCTTCCACCAAACGTCCTCGTCCGCCTCAACGACCGGACGCGCTGGTGTCATGAATCCAGCATTATTCACTAGTACGTCCAGCCCCCTTGGAGAAGCCTTTTGGACTTGAGCGGCGGCTTCAGCCACTGATTTGCTACTGGTTACATCCAACTCTAGACAAAGCACAAATGGAGAGGTTGACCTTCCAGCTTCCTTTGCTGCACTCTCAATCTCGGATTTCACATTTGCGTCAAAACTTTCTGGGCATCCGAGGCCGATAAATGAGGCCCCTGCTCTTGCAAAGGACGTGGCAATGGCTTTCCCAATACCGCGGTTACCGCCTGTGATAAAGACGGCGCGACCGTCATGACCGAGTGAATCTATTCGCGAATTGATGAATGGGTATGTGTCGCTGTGGATGGTTTTTGTAAAATTTGAGCCTGGTGACGTTCAATATTAGTCAAACCATTGGCCTTTTAGAAGGAGTTATTGCTCCCATTTTCAGGGACTACCGGAGGATACGAAGACATGTTATTGTTTCTTGTTGTCTACCTACCTACTTGATTTTCCCTGACGCGCCGGGGCTTTTCGGTTCCGTTTTAGTGCTCAGCTCTCGCCGCTTTTTATTACTGAGTAGAATTGAGCATGCCTCTGAGCGCCGAGATCAAATCAGTGAGCCTTATCAAAGCTGTTACGAAACCAACTTGCATGATGCTAGGCAGAGATATGACCGCTTGGCTAGTTTATATAGTTTCGAGAGGTTCAGAGTCATTATATTGTATGGCTGACTGCTAAATGACTAGGCTAAAATAGACTTTATGTTTTGTTTATGGTGATATTACAAAGCGTAAGTAGGCTCTTAGACAATGTGCTTTCAGGAGAACACCTGTAAACAAAATGATGCTATTAAAAAGGTCACAATGTAGCTGCCGTATTAGGTGATCGTGCTTAATGCCACTACTTCCAGGACTAATATTTCAGGACGACATGTTTCAGTGGTTCCAATACCTAAAGATACATTCTCTATACTATAATAGCATGAGCAAATAAACCAAATCATTTGTCAAATTAACACCGACAATGAACTTCTCCATTATCACGCCATAACCTTCTACCCGCTCTTATATGTTGTACGAGGAAGCCCATTCTATTCCCCTGATGCAATAATGGAAACGCCTATTTGTCTGATTTACCTCCAGAAAATCGGAATCAAATTGTCGTATACGTCTTCACTGCTCCAATCCTGCACTTTTGGATATCTCCTCCTCACGTCAGTTTTTGCTTGATTCAGCCACTCCTCATCGAGCCATTTTTTCGCTTCTTCACGTTGGCTGTTGTCGAGGCTATCCTGACTTAGCGCCTGCGACAGCTTAATATGGTTGCGTATATGCTCGACAGGCGTGCCATCTTTATGATAACTAGTGGCCTCCATAGACACGCAGAGATTTTTACTACATACTCGATTAATATGGGTCGAAAAAATCATTTCAGACAGTCAGAATGAAAATAAAGCTGGACTCACATTGCTTCCTCGGTTTTGCCTTGTTCCAAGCAGCACGCCCCGATTTTATACATACAGCCGCCATAGAAGGGATGAAGGCGTTTATCATTCTTCATCCAGGAACTTGCGGCTTTTCGAAAGGAGTTTTCGGCAGATATAGAGTGTTTTTGCCGTTGTTCCAATGTTCCCTGGACAAAATATGCGCTACACAGCATAGTTAGCCCTTGAAAAGAACAAAATATCGATGTATTAGAAACTGAGGGACTCACTAGGCAAGCATAGCCCAGTCCTTCTTCTCTTCTTTCTCTAGCTGCTTGATTGCCGTATCAAGCAAGTCTCTTGCCTTAACATCGTCGCCAAGGTAGACCATACATCTAGCCCTGTTTGTGTGTAAAAAAGAGGGAATTGGTTTCTCATTGACTGTCCACCAGTTATACGATTCTTCCAACCATTTTTGAGCTTCCTGGTGCTTATTGGTACTGTTGTAACAGTATCCGATATTATTGGTCACATGACCAAGTAATTCCTTTCCAATATTTTGGCGAATAACGTAGATTTTCTCATTTAAATTGATGGCTTCCTCAGCGTTACCCAGGCTTTCCGCTCGGTTGGCTTGGTAAGACATAATATCGGCTTCCAAGCCCTCCTTTCCCGGCCCGTTTTCCAGGGTACTCACAGCACTCAAGCTGACATCGCAAAAGCTCTTAAGGTCGAGCAATGCGTTAACCTCATAGAGATATCTAAATGAAGAAAAACGACCAGTTAGTTGTCTGATAATAAGTAAACCTCTTGCTCATGAACTTACCGTTGGCACTGTATGAGAAGTTCGCAAAATTTTACCGTAGCTTTAAGGGGTTTGGAACCTCTAATTTCCTCCACGAAGCAGTCTTTCAAATAGGAAACGTGCTGCAGATAATGATTGTAGATTTCCCAATCTCCATATAAATGACCTCTCTGAGTGTCTTGCTTTGGAAGGACATTAGAAAGGAGATCAACCGCTCGATCGAAGTTATGTTGTCGCTGCTTTTTACTCAAGGAGCTTTTGAATTGCGTCTGGATCACCCTATGGATAGATAGCACCCGTGTTTTCTCATTCTTTTTGACCAGATATGGCCTCATCAAATTGGTCACAACGCGCAGAAAACTATTCGACTAGGTTAGTAACCATCTTCATAATTGACATGAAATGCGACTCACTTGAGTTTGTTTAGGCAAAACTCAAGACCATCCGCAGACTCACGATTGACGCCCTTTTCGAAGAGTTCTTGCGGAATAGAATCTGGCATCAACCATGACATTACTCCGAGTAGTGTATGGCTCTCTGGGTCCAATTCTTTGAACGTAGTTCTCCACACTATAGCTAACTCATCCATACCATGAATTTGATTAGCGTCTTCCACGTACATATCCATAAATTCACACGTCGAACAGCTTCCATTATGGATGAGACCTGCGATTAGTAATATTGACAATGGATGTCCACTCAATTTCTCAGATAGATACACAGCAGCTTCATTTTCCTCCGAATCCGGATGAATTCCATCCTTCCGTTTTAAGAGAAAGAAGAGATATCTCGACCCCTCAACGGCAGACCAAGGTTTGACTTCCAAATTCACCCCGGAAAGATAAAGGGTATCTGGATAAATGGAAGTCGTGACAATAATTCTGCCTTTGGTCGTTCTTGGCCAGTAATGCGTACGCGCTTCGACCGTCCTAACATTATCATAGACCACGAGCCACTTGCATTCTATTTGAGTTAATTTTGAGGATTAGTATGCCAGACGGCCGAGTGGTGAAAGCTCTACAAGAATAGTACTTGCCTGTCGTCCGAAACCACTCTTGAAGAAGACTGAAATTCTCGTCGGGAGTCTGGTGGTTTGCTCCTGAGAGTCTCAGTCCCATAGCCAGATCAGTGAAGCTCTGTCGCAAAGATGTGCGACTCTCTCCGCAGATCCACAAAACGACATCGTAGACGTTCTGTCTGTACCTTTTTTCGATGTAAGTCGAAGCGATTGCACTCTTCCCCATCCCTTCCGTACCATGAAGAACCACGCATATTAACCGCTCTTCCTCGACCGATGGAAGCAGAATCTCATCGAGTTCCTTAAAATAAGAGTCTCTGTCAAAATGTCGTGCCGTGCGTGTGGGAGGTAACATCTGGCAGCGTCTAGTGGAGGCTGCTTCATTAGCATTCGTGGATGACGGAATCTGGATGCGTATTGGTAGGTTGGCTCGACTCGTATTCTCGATCCACGCCATGGCTTGTTCGATATCCCTGTTGGTCATTTCATAGTAATGATTGATGGATTTGGATGAGTCTCTGCTATCCTCGCCATGTTCTGAACGGATAGCTAGAAATTACGTCAACTGTGAGGTGCTTGAAGAAATGAAAAAAATGCTAATTAACATACGTTGTTGTAGATTGTCGTCAGTTGTATAGATATACTTGATCAAATCTGTGAAGAAACCGACGAACAATGTTTGCATATTGAAGCATGTTTCCCTAACTGGGTAGCCAACAAGCTGGGGATCATTGCACTTGTCGTTAAAAATATTGGCCTTAAGGGCCAATGATCTTACAAGATGAGGAACTTCAACTAATCCAATTGGATAGCTGTCGACAAGCTGTCAATGTGTTAGCGTACATCGTCTACATCAAGGTAACACCTAGGGCGACTTACCTGTAAAAGGCATGCTAGGGCACCCCAAAAGATATGAGCATCAAGATTTGCCCCCAGCTTTGTTTCGAAGAACTCAACGAATGCTTTAAAGGAACTTAATGGAGGTCCCCACACTGTTCTCGGCCTTGTTCGTCCGTCACGTATTATGTGATGGACACTTTCAAACGACCCATCTCGGTCAATAGTATCCAACTGCTCGCTGTTTAGAGAATTTCGTATGTTCTCGATATATTGAGTCCATTCATGTGCGAAATCTATACTTCTGTGAAACTTCCTTTAGTACCAGTAAGCAGAATTGGTTGCCAGAGCGACTTACAGGTCTTCCTCTACCATAGTAAGTATAACACGAAGGTCAGCGGGAAATATTCCGACACCGACTAGCAAAGGATCGTATATTAAGATAGATGTTTGAGAAGTTGATCGGGTCTCGCTCTATAGAAGCATGCAGATGGACCGAACACGTTAGTCTGGTATAAGGTTGGTAATCCGCTAGTAAGGGGTTACGTAGATCTGATTCGTCAGGGGCAGAGCAAACAGGTAGGTCAAGATGTAGTAGAGATACGTGAGAATGTGAGTATATAAGAAGCAGAAAGAATATTATCAGAGCTGCTTGTATGGTTGGTTTATATATGTACTACCGCTTGAACTTTGGCTATGAGAACTATCATTCTCTCCTACGGCGGCCTGTTTTTGGGGATTAAAATTATACTTCTCCCAGATACACACTATGGTCAGCCGGGAACCAATTAGGCTACACTACTCACCTCACGCTAAATTAATTAGCCTATGATGGTGCTTATCTCGATCCAATGTTTCCCTCGTGCTCAGCCATACCTTCAGACTACTTCTCTTTGTTCCGGGAATGTTATTATATCTAGGTCGACTGTTCTAGACTAGACTCGTCATATTTGCTACCATGATTCATCGCTTCTAGGTGCCCTTCGTCGCGCCGGGGAAGGCCCTCGAATCTTGCTAGCTTTCGTTTAACAGCTCCAATCATTGAGGATGATGCGGAATACAACGTGCGAGTTCCGATCTAAACGGGAAATGGAAATTCTTCCTTGACATCGACAGTCTTATTGATCACAAAGGCGCTTTCTTGATCTGGACTACCCCTCTCACTCACTCCACTCTCTTGTAAAGAAAACGAATGGGAAGCCTTTCCAGCGCCGCATCCTGTTTCACAACCACGTTTATGCTGCACATGCAGTATCAGGTTCTGCGGGGAGWTTTTTAMAAGCCGCTAAGCGTTGAATCGACTCTGTCATCGGAGAGGGAGTCTAGAGTTGATAATCATTTAAAAAGGAAATAAAGAGGTGAAACCGAAGATAAGAAGAATGTAGCGAGGGTGTCATTGAGCTTTTCCCGATGGATAGGTGGCGGTACTTTGCTCGGATCAAACTAGTCTCGTGAATAGTGCTAAAGGGAGAGTGCCAAGTACGTTTTGATGTCATATGTTCTTAATGCACTGCAACTGTAGAGACGACCCGAATAACAGTCGGTTTAAAAACTCTATTTCCTGAGCTCTAAACCAAATATAGCAAAAGTCCCCTCAATAGAAGCACACTTAGCACCTTTACCCTCACGATCAACACCAATCTTCCTGTAACTACGGTCGGATAGTGACGGCAATTTGCACAACGCCCACCACTAATTGTAGCACAGCCAATGCACTAGTCAGTCCACCGATCCACAGCACAGCCCAAAACGTATACCATTGTAAAGGGTTCCGCCGGTCTCGCCAAAAGTCTCTGACTCTACTCGGCTGTTGTCTCATACTGTAGCGTTGTAGTTTCAGCAACCGGTGACCAAAGACGGGAAAGTCATCACACGCCGAGTACGTGTCGCATTCTTGAAGCTGGTCATGGATGTCGAGCACTGAGGAGGGAAACAAAGCGCCGGGGAGAAGGTCGTAATGCTTTTTCTGGCTGGTAAAGCTGAAAATGCGCAACCGCGAGAGGAGTGGTGTGGTACATATGGTAGAGAGAAATGGATCAATGTGAGTCGTGGTGAGGGTGCTAGAAGAAGTAGAGGGGTGTCGATACTTGGTAGTAGAGTGACAATTTTGTGCTTTTGATGCTCTTTTGGATAACTGACTGAGCTCCTTACCAATTTGTTTGCGAGATCTGGAGGATTGGCCGAACAACAGGCGATAAGACAGCAGCACCTCGCGATGTAGCGCTGACTTTTCTGCTGGAGAATCAGTAGCGGGATTTGGCGGAAGAACTCCTTCTGCAATGCTAGAGTACCTAAAGCAAGATGCTAACCAGTTATTCCCCCGCATAAAGAATATACTCGTTTTCATCTGAGAGGAGAGCACAAGGAATGGGTATGTTTAAAGGTGTGGAAAGCAGAAAGCTATGATAAATAAGTACGCACTCTTTGAATGATCCAATTTCTCCGTCATGTAGCACATTGATCGCACAATAGGAGGGAAAGCGGAAGATGTATAGAGTGCGTTTCGAGCGATTAAAGGCGAGGTGCGAAGTCAGTGTGTCAACCCATTTTAGCTTGACTCGGCCAATTGTTAGGAGCGAAAAATAATCTAAGCTTGATTGGTAGAGTACATCGTCACTCCGGGTACTCTCCGAATACTCGGCTTTCGCAGTGCGGCCCCGAAGGTCTTTGAATATGATGTGCAAAGGTCGCCCTAACTGGATGGAAAATTCTATCTCAGAGTAATTTTTCGCCGCCACTGAAGGACGCCTGCCCGCACTTCGTCCATCTCTATTCACGATAGCGACAGCTATTGTTTCATCATCGAAAATGGGCTTGAGTGTTGCTGACGTCCAACAAAGCACAGCAAATATTGCCCGCAGCACTTGTTGCTTCTCGGGTGACGTTTCATCTAGTGATATTTTTGAGTCCGCTAAGAGTTGCTCGTAGGCACGCTCTATGCTTACATCCCTATCTCTCGATAACCCTTGGAAGCTTTTCATCACCGCAAGACACCAGTGCCAACCATCGATCGGGATTGAGGGAGGGTCCCGAGCAAGAACCTTCCAGATAATGTTGAATCGGTCCTCTAGCAATTCCTCAAAGCAGCTTTCTAGATGGGAGCAGAAGGTCCAAACCCCTGGCCATTCCGATGCGCGATCGGCAGTACAACCGAACAGTAGCTCGATGGCCTTGATGCGTAGTGCTGTTGTCTGTTTGAGTACATGCCGGTCAGAAAAAGAGAACCGAGAATCTATACAATTGGATTACCGAAGTGTCTTCAGCACTTGCTGTCAAAAGTTTTTCCTATACACATATATAGAAGTCAGTAGAGCTGTCTGGACCATTGAACAAAAAAGGTGAGGTTGGGCTATACGGACGCTGTTGAATTTAGGCCTTCCCAACCAGCTCAATAACCGCTGATAAGGTCTGGTTGAGTCTTCTTCAATTGCCAGGACAACGGTATTATCTTTCGCTTGTCGCTCCATGTCAACGTCAAAGGCGGGGCCATCTGTTTGCTGGCTGCGTGTGCCATTGCTGGCAGAGTCGTTCATACTTTCTAAGTCCTGTCTGTTTTGTAAGTTTTCTTAGGTGGTATAATGATGGAGGCGTTACCAGTAATCTACAGAACCTGGCCCACGATCCGATCGGATTAATATTAATTATATGATCTACAGGTTCGATAAGGCTGCCTTAGCAATGATTGTGCCTTGCGCAGCCTACCTTGATTGAGAGACGGCGGCAAACTATAGGATCTACGTAGTAAGTCATCTTGTCCCAATGCGTGGTGGCTGTTTCAGTGGCACAGTGCGCTGGTAGGCGGAGCTCCTCTTGTTTTTTAAACCCAGCTGTACGAAGTACATGATTTTTACCGTCACCAGTCTTGCATTTAAATGCTGCCGAGGGTCTAGAGCAGTATTGTAAGTTCATATATCGGACTCGAACGAAGGACGTATGCATTGATATGAGAACAGTTCGGGGAATCATATTGACCCTTCAGGACACAAAGCCGACCACTAAGCACTAAATTGTGGAGCTCATTTTGTATGGATTGATGCCTAGAATAAATCTTTCGATTACGAAGACGAGCGAGGGGCCTGAGCTGACCGTCGACAACCATCTAGGTCCAGTGAGTGCCGACGGCTGTCATTGGACGACACATGTGATGGACTTGATAAATCACATTTAGCGTGGCGCCTAGCGACGCCATGAGTTGGAATTAATTCGCGATTATCACGTCCGAAACGTAGCGCCAGATTACCCAAACAAACGTTGAAAGTAAAGGTGATGGACATGGTCATGGGAAAATGGGAAATTGTTTGATGGACCAATACAGACTTCCCGGAAAAAATGGTCTGGTACTGTACTCGATTGCTTTACGGCGATCCCAAATCTGGTGAAGTTACCATATCTTTCTCACTGCTACTATATACTGTACCACCGATCGATGACGCCTTTCAACACCAAAAAAATGAATAGTTTCCATTACTCCAGTACGGTGATTGGGAGGAAGGTCGAACACATGACGAGGATCCAACGGCTTGCATCCCCTGCTCGATCGAGTGGACGGTCACTCTCAATAATAGGGTCGTGGCGAAAGATACAGATCAAGACCCGGTTCTAGCCCCTCAATTTTGCAAGTTCGAGCGAATATGGAGTATAGTCCACTGTTAACGCCACCAATAGTGTAATAATGAATGAATAGCATGCAGCACCCTGCGTCCCTGCGTCCTCCACAGGAAGAGACATACAACGCCTCAGTTTCAACCGCCCCCGAAACTATGCTTCTCGAGGGCGAGGCCACACAGTGGACAAGAATGTGGCTCCTCTTCCGAAATACAAGCCTCGCAATATTTTGCCCTAGTGTCCCTCCGGTATCCCTGTGGTGTGGTCGTGGTGCAATTTGTGCAAGAAAAGTAACACAAGCTATATTGAAGACACGCATCACAATCAGCAGACAGCAGTGATTGCGGGGTCCGCGAGAATTCTGTGTTGTATAAAAGGTCATCGTAATCTCCGCCTTTTATTTTCAGCAAATTGTGCAACTTCCAACGATTTCTAAAATGTCTTCTCTTGTATGATTGCATGAGTGGAGTATCACCAAACACGTCCGTTGCTTGGAAATCCGTGCCCGGGTAATCAAGCAATAGCAAAGCTGTAGATTCGCTGTCTCCGAAGATAGCGTAGAAAATCGGTGTTCGACCAAATGCGTCTTTAGCGTTGACATCTGCACCATTCGCTATGAGACATCCGAGAAGATTTTCGTCACCATTCAGTGCTGCCAAGTGTAAAGGTAGGCGTTGATGTGGATCACGGATGTTGGGGTCAGCTCCTTCTTCTTTCAAATATTTGAAAACATCATAGCGTCCTTCTGATCCAGCTTTCAAGAGATTGGCCAGTGTCACGTATGATGCTGCACCTGTTCCTCCATGAACAGATACTGAGTAGGCTCCTGCATTGAAAAGCAACCGTGCCGTTGTGGAGTGGCCGTTCATGGCAGCGTATGCCAAAGGGTCTGATTCGCCTGAAGTGGGGGATGTAGCATAGTAGAGATGTGCATTTCTTTCAATCAGAAGCTTCACCACAGACTCTCGTCCATTGCTTGCTGCAACAAAAAGTGGAGTTTGGCCAAACCTGTCGACTTGAGTGGCAGATGCCCCATGGGCAAGTAAGAGTTCGACAGAGGCTAAGCAGTCACCTTCAAAGGCAAAAGGCATCAAGTGCAATGAGTCACCAGCGGCAGCATGGAAAAGTGGTGTTCTGCCATTTTGGTCAACTGTATCGACTTGGGCGCCTCCCTCAATAAGTCTTTGCATCATCTCCACTCTGCCGCTGACAGCTGCGTAGAACAAAGGGGTGAACCCCAATTGGTTCATGCTATCCGGATTAGCACCATTCTGGAGAAGCATATTGAAAAGTTCTTCGTGTCCGTATGCAACAGCCCAGGACAAGGGCGTGCGCCCGACATGATCTTCGATGTCAACTTTGATCATATTCGAGTTTAGCATAGATTCCAAGGGATTCGTCAGACCGAAGAAAGCTGCAAGATGGGCTCCTTGCAGTGGTTCCTTGATTTTAATGGCGGTAAGTAGCGTTTTTGAGACACCTCTAGCGTTCCGTTCGACCTTGTACACAGAGGTGGTTCGGTCAAAGGAGTACCCGAATATAACTTGGGAGCTTGCATGAATTTTGCTCTCGGCACCCAAAAACTCCATCGTCATGGATTCTTCCCCAGCATGCTTTTTGTAATGATGACCCCAATTTTGAGCCGAGTACTTGTAGAACGGATATTTGTCGAGCCTATCATTCAAGTATTCTTCAGTCCCACAAGGTCCTTCGTCAAAAACATCCAGGGACATGTATGCAAGGCAAGCGCTTGTCATAATACGATGAATGTCGGGGAACCATTGGGTTAAATTTCGCGCAAAGTACTCTGCGGTAGTGTAATGAACAAACTTGAGTGAGTTGGACTGCGCATCGATCGTGACCAAGCCAATGCAAATGGAGATCAGTTCTTCGATGTCGATTATGTTTGTCTCGTCGAATTCGGATTCGCCGATTTCAACAGCAAGAGCATGTTGAATTTCAGGGAGGGAAAGCGGCCATGTTGACAGCAATACCCATCCAAAGATGGTTTTGGCAGTTTCTTGAGCATATTGTCCTTGCTGCTCAATTCTCTTCATTGTCTCATCATAAGCTTTATCGTAAGCTGCAGAGCCGTTTTGAAATCGCTCTATCACTTTCCGAATCCGCTTCTCATTAATCTCATCTTGTACCAGATTGAGATACAATTTGGCAAGTAAAAACCTCAAAGATGTCAGTAGTGTTCCATGATACATGATGTATGTCCCACCTACATTCCTCCCGAAGACTTAACGATCTCATCCTGGATGTATGTCAACAAGCCGCGCTTTTTAGCCACAAAAGGCGAGAAGTATGCCGCTCGGTGGTCAATATAGGCTCGAATGTCATCCTCACTGGCTTGAATCTCCAGAAGGACCCCTGTTTTTGTAAACAAGTTTGCAGTTTCTTCGTTGAACCGTGAAGTAGCCAGAATGTTGACGTTTGCTTTCCGTTGAAGACTGAACAGAAAATCCAATGATTGTCGCATAGTACCACCAGTAACGGAGCATTCATCTAAAGCATCGAGAATTATAAACGTTTTCGTGAATTCCGACACACGAGCCTCAAATTCCTTCTGAATCCACTCCAGCTTCATCAACTCCTCCCTTGGCGGCATTTTATGGGACCAATACTTTGATTTCTTAGGTGCCCCTTGCCAAAGCTGCCGGAAAATCGCAGCTAAGATCTCAAACACACTTAATTGCCGTCTGAAGTCGAAGAAGATATACGTGATGGCAATGTCATCCTCATCTGCAAATGATCCTGTGAGCCATTCGATGACGACGGAGCTTAATACTGTTTTCCCCGCTCCAGGGATGCCAGGACAGTATAAAAGCTGCATCTTGTTGTTCCGCCATGTCTGAACCTCTTCTTTGTTGATGAACCACGTTCCCGTGCCCACGTGTCGAGTTCTCAGCACTTCCAGATAGTGTTTCGAGCCATCGATTGGGCTGAGCCACGAAAGATCCCTTCCAAGCTCTTCAAAAAACTCTTCACGTATAAGCTTGGTGTCGTTCCGAATGTCTAGGGATAGACTCCTGCTCAAAATGACATATTAGATGCTGAACCAGACCCGTAAGCCAAAAGGCTGAGAGAAGATCGTTAAAGGGACTGAAGGAGCCACACTGGTTTATCTTGCTCATCAACAGATTGAAAAGTGTTATAGTGGACGTGATCCTATCACGGAGTCTGTCAATCTCCACTTGATCCCATGTGATCCTGCTCCATGCATGACGAGCCCTAGTCTTCCAATCAGGGGTTGTATAAGCCAACACCTCTGATTTGTCCAACTTCACCTTCAAATCCTTGAGAACCTCTCGACAGCCTTCTAATATTGTCTGGAGGTCCTGCTTCTGTTGCTCATTCAACCCGTCGGCGGGAATGTCATGAATGTCATGAAGGACAGTCCATACTCGTTTGACCCTGTTTTATTCATGTATCAGTATCTTTTTTTTCACCGGTCTCTATTCGTTGGTAGGATGACCGGAGTATTTTGTGTATCATACTCCTCTGAGATTGTCTTGAACTGTTTGGGTGCTTGGGAGAAGCACTTCTTGAGATCGTTGGCGAGCTTCAAGATTGCCAAAATATCTCCGACGCTGTAGCCGAAGCTCATATTCAGTACAAAATCACACTATATGATCCTTGTAGTAGAATGATGCAATGTTTTAAGTGCTTTGACTAACGGGGGAGGGTAAGTTGATCGTTATCTGTCAAGCTGAGAAAGGGTATTTTACTACTAAGAACTCGCTGATTTAGCCCTCCATATGTTTTGTATGGTAAAGCGGGTCAAGCAGGAATGCCTGCGTTGTAATACGCTAATACTAGCCCATGAGGCTATGAGACGCTCCCAACAGCGATCTCCGGAATCCTTCGATCAACTCTTTCAATTGGTTCCCTCAGTACTAGCACATACGGGTATCCTGTGATCTGACATTATCCCCTAACCCGTCACTCAGTTCACGTGTCAGTGAAGAGTAGTGTTGTGGTTTTAGGGCTTTCATTGTTTTAACCTATCTAATTATGTCTATGTGTGCTTTCTTAAACTTCCGTGACTTCCAGTTTGTCAACGCAATTCATTGGAAGATGTATTTGAAAGAAGTAAACTTATTTTGTTGGCTTGTGATCAAGCTCTTGGAGATTCTAGTTAGCTCCTTCATTTGAGGTCGTGGACTTTAATTGGCACTGAATGTGTAAAGTAACATTTCCTTTGTATTTCCCTGATGTGTATAGTGATATTCTACAAACATCAAACATATGCCTTTCCATTAGGACCTTTCCATGGGAAATAAATAGGTAGTTGCATAAGGTATGATGTAGGCATAGGTATTACATGTATCCAGGTTTAAACTCTACGCCCAAATGACTAGTTGCTCAGAACGATTTCATTTCCAGAGCATTAAGGAAACTCATCTATTGGAAGAGTGCATTTGCTCACATTCATAATATGACGGAACTCGCAAAATGCATCTTAGTAGAACGCCACCAATCTGACCTCGACACTTTCTCGGAGCGGCCCCTTTGCTTGTGGATTGGAAACAGCAGCATGGAAACCACCTGCAGATTGTGTTAACAGAAGAAACGACAAACATTATCGATGGCACGTTTTATCGAGACAAACATGTTTGGGTGGACCACTCACGCGCTCGTTTCCCGTGTGAATCCGAGTTTCGAAACACAATCAGGTCGTTGACGCCTTGATTCTTGAAATAGTACCATTTATGAGCATCGTTATAGTGTAATAGAAGGCCTTCGCCGATCAGATCCCGTCTTATCGCATCGTTGAGACGTATATCCTCCTCCGTGTCGATCGTGGTATAATCGCAGAGTGCAAGAGGCCAGTCGTCGGTGGGTTTCAGAGGTCGCCATACACTAAGTACTCAGTAAATTGTTATCTGTCTTGTCTGACGCTTTCTCTCTTTTATGGCAATTTATGACCGAGAAGATGACTCACTTGAGCATGTCGAACTCTTTATTTTTCCAGTAGTCATCCTGGCCAGGGAAGCAGTGCTGGAGAGTGAGAAATCCACCGGTTTGGGAATAATCACTGTGAGCTGTACTCGAGGGCTGTTCATATTCGTCTCGGTAACCTCTCACGATGGCAGGAAACTCAGGATCTCTTTTCCTAACCTGCAGAAAAGCCCGTCAGCGGGATAAAAATTGAATAGGAGAACAAGACTGAAGGTTTTAGTACCCACCGTTAGATCGAAACTTTCGATCCTCGAGTACTGTGGGAAGTGTTTGTGTAGTATAGCTTCTATCTCATACCAAAAGGCGTCCTGCACCTCTCTCTTCTTCGTGTAGACGTCATTAGGATCGAGGTGTGTTTCGGCGTGCAGGAAACAGAATCCATGCACATCTAACTTCCAGTGACTTGGATCTTCGACCGCGGCTACAGTCACTTTTCGGTCGTCCGCTTCATGATTCGTTCGACGCGCTCCTTCAACGTGATCGACGGGGTAATCTGTGCTGAAGGCTTTCTCTATCTCGAAAATGGGGCTTCGGGCTAAGTATCGGACGCGTGTCTCCATTACCGTGGGTGAGTCTTCACCTTGCGCGTGGATACTTCAGGGGTCGGACAGCGCACAGGTTGGAGAGTCTTTGTCCTTGGGAATGCCGTCAATTTCCGATATAATTAGTAATAGAGTATTTGATAGTGTTGGTTCAACGTTCTTGAAAGTAAATTTGACGTTTTACTTCGGGGAGAGACTTAACGGATTGTCTGGGTAAGACTTACTCACGCTACCAGCTCGGTCGCACTATGGATTCCGGGGGTCTACGGCTGAACACAGCAAAATGCAGTCTGCCATCGTACCCTGATTAGCAAGGAAGCTTTCACTGTGTCATCGCATTGGAGGAAATGTGATGTTTACGAGATAGCCAACCAAATGCGGCTTTCTGTCTGGTATTGCACAGGTTTAGCTACATGGACGCGTAGCGACGTGTTATGACCCGCCCCTTTTCAAGTACATACCTTGCAATATGCGTCCGTTTCTGCATAAAGACATAGTATCAAGTGAACAATGGTGCACTATCGCACTTCTGAGCAAGGTAGAGTACATGTCTAGTGGGCAGTAGTCGAAAGTGATGGCCGTCATTGGTGTGACAGCGTTCTCGTTGCCACTGGAACATGAGGATATAAATACCCATTCGATTCCTGTTTCCCGCGCACAAAGACATACCCGCTCTCCTACTAAGAAATCGGCAAATCTAAAAAGTTCTTATTCTCAATACAATTACCAACCAACCTTTAAGGCATCAAAGCGTTCACCATGCCATCCGAAGCGCAACAGTCCAATCTTCAGCAGCCGTGGAAACAGTGGCAGGCTTCACTTAATCCCTGGAGCCGGAAAGACGTCCGGGACGGCAACGTTATCCTTGAAAATGCGGATAGCGGGCACGGCACAACCGCTATTGATCAGAAGAACATCGACCTAAAGGCCGACAAGAAAACCCCCACGATGTATGTGACAGCGTAGGCATTCATGATATCTATTTGACCATTTCTTCGCAGTTAGTTCGCCTCAACTGTTGATTGCCACAACGAAGCAGATTCGATTTCGTCAAGGAACTAAGGTTTATTCATGTGTTTGCACGGAAAAGACAAGATGAATCATTTATTTAGCTCATAGTTGAATCATGTTAATATAATCATAATCTTGTCTACACACGCCTATAAGAAATTCATACCTTGCTTCATGCGCTTTCATCCTCTTGCGATCTGTTGCGTGCTTAAGGGGGCTTGCTGAAAGGCCCACTCCGCGACCCGTACCGAGTCATTCTTTCGTTAATATGCTATACCGTAAGTGATGTAGCCTAACATACGGTAAGAATTCCGTTACATGATTACAGGAGCTCTTCTCAGCGTTGATACTTCCTAAATACGTGTTGAAGCCTTGATATCAATCCAAAACTGCACGGATTCTCCATCTGAAGATTGAAGACTTCGGAATGATTGATCCCTCTTGCGTTATCACAGGCCACGACATCGATGCAGTGGCAGCCACTATTACAAGCTCTTATCGGCCAAGTCATCGGGTGCTTGCAGCACGAACTTAGAATTTAGCCAATGGACAAGCATAGGAACAAGGGATATTTATTGTGGCTTGCCTGTCAGTGTTGGCGAGCAGGAACTTGTAATATAACTAACCAGATTACCCACCAGTGACGAACCGTACTACCGGTAGTTGTGGATGACACGACTAGTATCGTGTATTAATTTACCAGCGTTGGGTTTGGCCGGGCTCGCATAGTGTGCGGTGGGTCAAAACAACACAACTCCAGCTCGTTGGAAGTCGAGTTGAAACCTAGCTACATAGAACCCTTACAGCGTCATGCGTCCTGCATCTCGGATTCATAGAAATTCTTTCTTTTGGACTCCATCCTCCATTCATAATGTAGTCTCGGAAGTTGGGATGGGTAGTTGTTGGTTCTGGAGCTTTAGTTCACGTATCCTCCCTGATGCATTAATATATAATCTTTCTTTTGCGACAAGCCATCGCTCTTAACCCCGCCAAATTAATTGGACGAAAATGTTCAGGCTGATGGATGGTTATTCGGTCATTCTTTAAGGAAAAACACTACTCAAGTAGTATACACAGTTCTCCAGCGTTCCGTGGTGTGACATCGGCCCGTCCCGCATACCTTGATTGAACTATAACTAGATCCACGTTTTGCGAAGACCCGCTACCAGTAGTGGATCCGACCTCTAAATTAGGAGGAATGCTGTTCTACACCAATTCTTAATAGACTGTACGTCTCCCAGGGGTCGCATGGCATTTGATAAATTATTTGACTTTTCATGATTACTACGCTGCAATATTATCACTTCCAGCTAACTTGAATATCAAGAGCTCAGCAATCGTTTCTGCTATGAGCAATATTGACATCTACAGAGAACGCATCAAGGCCGTCATCTTGATGAGCTTTCAGGAGAATCCCAATTGGAAGTATCTATCAAGCTACAGTATCTGAGAAAACTGCTCATGTTGCATGAGGCCAGGTCAAATTGAATCATTCACCCCGTACCTATCTGAGACTCATATTACATTTCGTCGAAGTAATTCATGCATTCTTTCAATACCATTGTTGCAGGTACTGGACAGATACAATCAGATTTGATAAGCCTAATCTCATGAGAGCCGCAAACCCAACCGAAGCTGTCTCGAAGAAATTCTCTTGTGGTAAAGGGTAGTTTCTCAAGACAATTTTTGAAAGTAAATTATCTAGAAGAGTAGGTCCAAGACTTTTAGCTAAAGATACGTTCATTAACAAATTCTTTGACACTAATCTGTGAATATCAGTATGTAAGGGATATGGGCAGGACGACATGGTCAAGGCGCCTTCTCTCTCCAAAAACTTATTGATATGTGCATTTTGAAGTATAACTAACCCCATCCAGATCAGGCACAACCACTTTGGAGAGATCTGAATTGAAAAGGCGCAACTGCTTTACAGCATAATCGGCGACACACCCTGAGAGCAACTGGCGAGGATCTTCCAACACGACGCGCATTCGAGTATTCATGGAAAATCAATCACTGGGGTTTGATATTTTAGACAGTTCCGATACAAAAGTAGTGGCATTATTGAACAGTGGCATGCTGTTTGGCTCGGGCATGAATGCAGAACATGCGTCAAACATAATCCGTCCARGCGGGGCCTGCCATAAAGTCTGCTTCACGATTTCTGAAATTGTGGCTCATGATTGTATATCTTTTGTGCTGCTGTGGTGCTCTCTGCAACAATCATGTATACTTGATCTTGCGCGATGATTTCACGACGTCTGTGTCCCAAAGTTGGACAAGCTGACTAAACCTCGAGGCCGTCTCCTTCCACACGGTAGATGACGGATTCAAGAGCTGGATTTGATTTACTACGACCTCCTATGGTGAACTGACGTGTATCAAATACATATTTTGACCTGCTTTTATCAAGGTCAACTCCCTGCCTCCAGCTCCATCTGGAGACTGATGGGCCTCGAAGGACTCACCACTCTAGCAGTACAATAGACTCTCCGAGGAAATTCGAGAAAATGCAAGATACGCGGCGCCGTCTTCAGTGCTGAAAAAGCAGAATGCTCGCCCATGCATGCCTTCAAAATCTTGAAAGCGATCAATAGATGAGCCATTCCATTTCAATAAAGTGGAGCCTGCGACATGGTCTGCATAAGCGAGAAATTGATACTGGTCAAGAGAGAAATGAAGCCAGTTATAATCCCATTTAGACGGAACAGTCTAGAATACCTTGATTTTTGATCCATCCACTCAAATACGGTGGCATTACTTGGAACTATGGCCACAACTCCAGGGATCTCAACCCCCTGGGCAAGCGCAAGAAAGTGTCTCCCTAAGAAGCTGAAGTATCGCCACTGCTTCACAGCGAATGTGAGAATCGCCTGGAATTCCTCAAAAATAAGGCCAATCTACTCAAAGATAGCCGATGTTATATCTATATTATATGGGCCTTTCCCTCAGAGCATGCTAGCTGTCGCCATAAAATGGCGGTCATGAATTCGAGGAACTCGGCACCCTCGCCTCCTGGAATGATCCTGGAATGATTAATTATTAGAACAAATAGAAATCATCTGTGTTATTTACTCGATAAATTAGCAGCGGAACATTGCTATCCCCAAGGTTCATGTTCATGCCCGCCTTGCCTCCAGGCATGTCTTGATGTCCTTCCAGGCAAAACGAAGCCACAGCTCGGGCAACCGGACGTTGAAAGGCTTTGCGCCAGCTCAACACGAATGCTTTGAGCCATATTGTTTGTGCGGGGAATTTTGTGTCAAATAGAGCCATAGAGTAGGTTAGTGTCTGATACTTGAATACAATCACGAGGTCATGTGGAGACATGACTAATATACTGTTATCTTGGAGGATATTGTATAATTTATACTTGCTAGTTTCTGGAGTATACAACATACAATATACGGAACATGAACAGCTGGAGATATAAGAACACTCATCCACCATCATATATTTAGTCCTTCATAGCTCTTCAATCTAAGTCACTTGATATTAGACTTTGACAGTGAGAGTCAGCAAGGCATTCCATCTTTATGCAACATCAGCGCTAAGGATCCTGTTAGCGTCATTATGTACTTCACACACGCATTCATAGATACTGACTTGATAGCTAATATTCCCGAATCGAGGAGAACTATTGAAGATATACTTACATCTAATCTCTGATTGGTTCAGGTTTAAACTGGAGACATCAGTTGACGATATAGTAATATACATACGGACTCACGGAGTAACGGAGTTCTACTATTATCACTACTACCTACTATTACTACGTACTAATCATTACTACACTGCTCTACCACGATAATATAATCCTTCAAGCCTGATGTTTTAAATGACGAACATGCTGCTATTCGGATATCTCTGAGATTTTCAACTTCCTCTTACGGACATACTATTGCATCTCTATAGAACTGATTAAAAATGGCCGTCCTTGATTTCAATCAAATCTACAACGACAATACCTGGGGCTCAAGCGAATCTCGATCCGGCCGGGGCTCTGAACTGGCACAGACACAACATATCCGTGGCGCTCTTCCTTCATTACTAGCAGAACTAGGTGTATCAAGCCTTCTCGATGTACCCTGTGGCGATTTTCATTGGATGCAACATGTCGATCTAGGCGCAATTAAATATATTGGAGGCGACATTGTCGAGGATATCATAACAGAAAACCAGCGCACTTTCAAATCCCGGAAAAATGTGTCCTTCAAAACTATTGATATCCTAAAAGATGAACTCCCCAAAGCAGACGCAGTACTTTGCCGAGATTTATTTGTCCATTTCACCTTGGATGATGCCCTCCGCGGGATTGCGAATGTCTGCAGAAGCGGCGCTACGTACCTGATTGCTACTACTTTTACCGATCGTCTAACGAACTCAGAGACGCTATTGCTGGATATGTGGCGGCCCTTGAATATGGTGCAGCCGCCATTCAACTTTCCGTCGCCGGTGGCTGTGATCAATGAACAGTGTACTGATATGGATTTCGGGTTGGATTATTCGGACAAATGTCTTGGGGTATGGAGGATTTGTGATATCAAGAATGTCTCGGTTTGATTATCGGGATTATTGTCGTAATAATGTACAGATCGACTAGAACAGATTTGAGACCATTGGCTCATCTCAGTGACAGCGATATCAATCAACCGACGAAGCACTAGTCAATGTAGGTAGTAATGTGTACAGCCACGTGACAAGTGCTCACAATTGACATATCAAAGCTTATTCTGGAAAGTATAGAACGTGTTTCCTCCGATTTGTACAGTCACCCATATCCCTAAGCTCCATATCCTTAAGCTCCTTCACCACCAAGAACACTCAATGGTCTAAGCATACGGCCGTAACTACGCAGCAAGAATCTTATTAACAATAATTAATAAATTAAAATATTACATATAGACAGTCCAACTCCATGTCCTTCAACTTGATTGGGACTTGTGGTTAAATCCGCGGATTTACAGGCTGAGATTTGTCTAAGTCCGGCTGCCAACAGATTCACCGACTGATATGGCTATCATCGACGAGGTATTTATAAAAGACTGTGAAGGTCCTTATAATAGATGATTACAAAATGTACCTCCACAAATGAATGATGCAATGGCCTCCAACACAACCGTCCTCGTAACTGGAGGCTCAGGCTTCCTAGCCTCCCACTGCATCATCGCCCTCCTCAACGCCGGCTACCAAGTCCGCGCCACAATCCGCTCTTTGTCAAAGACTACCACAGTCAAAAAAGCACTCAGAACTGGCGGCTCAACAGACAATGATTTGAGCCGACTAACATTCGTCGAGGCTGATCTCGACCACGACAAAGGCTGGAATACGGCTGTTGCAGGATGCACATATGTACTCCATGTAGCTTCACCCATCCCCTCGGCAGAGCCCAAAGACGCAAATGATCTAATCATCCCTGCTCGCGAGGGCACGCTGCGCGTCCTCCGCGCTGCCGCAACTGCCGGAACCGTGCAACGGGTGGTATTAACCTCCTCCTTCAACGCCATCTCATATGGCCACGCGGACCAACCCGAGCCCTTCACGGAAGAATCCTGGTCCAACCCAAACGCCAAACTTGGCGCCTATCCACGCTCAAAACTCGTCGCTGAGCGCGCTGCCTGGGATTTTGTGCGCAGCAACGAAGGCAAAGGCTTGGAGCTTACATGCATCAATCCTACGGCTATATTAGGTCCTGTTTTGAGTAAAGAGCATATCCAGTCAAGTGTTCATATTGTGCAGAGTTACTTGAGTGGTGAGATGCCGGCGAGTTTGAATCTGTATATGGGTGTCGTGGATGTGCGTGATGTTGCTGCGTTGCAGGTAATCGCTATGACGCATCCGGCTGCTAAAGGGGAACGATTCATCGCCGTCTCTCCGGGGGGTGGATGGATGCTCGATATCCCCCTGACCATTAAGAAACGGTTTCCGGCGGAAATTACCAAAAAAGTTTCCACAAAAGTGTTGCCGGTTTGGTTGACGAAGGTGTTGGGATTGTTCAACTCGCAAATTGCAACCTTTGTGTCTGAGTTGGGGAAGAGGAAGATTACTTCCAGTGACAAGGCTGCGAGGATACTGGGGTGGAAGCCGGTGAGGGCGAGAGAGGAAGTTATTGTTGATACTACGCAGTCTTTGATCGATTTGGGTCTTGTCAAGCATTGATTATATTGTATTGAATTCAGTGTTGCGGGTAATAGAATCACAGTTCTTAGCCCTGTCTGAAAATAGATATTTACAATGAGTCTAGTCGAAGTCATCTAAATCAGGATATGGTATTTGTTGGTTTGAATAAATAACTTGAACAAGTTACCCCATTCAATCAATGAACAAGTACGTACAATCGTATACGTGAACCCGTGCCTCTCAGTAGGCAGAAGCTGCTTCGGGTGGTCCTTGAATCCCTGAATGACCACCATGCCTGAAGCGTATCGTTATACTCTGATAGTGAGCCATTCGAAGAAACAGTCTACATTATGACGACAGCACGAAAGCAGGCCGTGCGATGCAATCGCATGACCCAGTTTAGGAAGAGCCTAAAGAGGATACGAAAGATGCTAGCAGATATCTGGATAGAAGAATAGACTGTTATGATAAGTGAGGTTGAGAAGAGGGATGGCTTGATCGCTTTTATGTAGAGTAGCCCTAATCCCGAACCCTAAGTGACTGGAAGAGACACTATGATTGGCTGAATCGGAGTATGCGGCTGACTCGCGGAGTTAGTTTAGCCAATCTACAGGCCGCCAAGAGCCTCTTGGCCCCATTATGAGGATCTGCCTGAGGCAGCAGTTGCATTTTCAATCTCAGGGGTTAACGAACATTGGGAAGGGCTTCTGAACTGATATCTTTAATATGACTCGTGAAAGGACCCGTTGAAAAAGTAAATGTATACATTGTGTATTGTATACATGATGATTATTATGATTGTCCGGAGTCCGGAACCAAATGGATGGATCTTAAAGAATGGAGAAAGGTCACGTGAAAGACCAGCATAGCTTCCCTCTAGTCCAATCAGACAAGCTTGACAGTCGTGGCTGATGTCTTGGCAGTCGTAAGGTGAAACAACAGGACATGCCAGCATGCAACATCATGTCTGCCATTAATCAGTTTCTCCAGCCGAAACAATCAAGTGACACAGCATTGACTCCTATACCGCATCGCTAATGGGCTTTTTTCGAGGTGTGTGCGACCTGTCGATTGCTTGAACGATCGATCGACTTCACCTCTCATCAGCCGCCCGCAAGGCTGCTGACAGCAGCAGCACTTCAACTTCAGCTTCAGCTTCAAATATTCAACATGCCGCAAGGATTCACCAGACGGGCGATTGGCGCCTTATTAACGGCCACCGCTCTGCTCTTAATATGGAGAGTTTCAAGTTACGATGTTGCCTCTTTAGCGCCGTCGTCGTCGAATAATCAAATCGCCAAATCCGGCGGAAACCCGAGACGAATTGCCAAAGTGTCGATGCTGTATGGCAATCCGAATCCATTATATGAACGAGCGCTTCAGAGTCACGAGCGACATGCAAATCGATGGGGGTATCCCATGTATGTGCTACAGGAGGATATCTCAGAGGGTTTTTGGAATAAACCGAGTTATGTGTTGTCGCTTGTTATCCAGGAGCTTGCGAAGCCAGCTGCGAAGCGGTCTGAATGGTTGATGTTAGTACCCTGTATTCTCTCTGCCTCAATTACGATAAGCTAATCAATACAGGTGGGTGGACGCCGACTCGATAATAATCAATCCCGCAATCCCCGCCGACATCTTCCTCCCTCCCTCCGACCTCTCCGAAATTCACTTTGTCGCCTCCAAAGACCAAAATGGGTTGAATACCGGTATCGTCTTCTTCCACGTCCACCCGTGGACAGTCAGCATGCTCGTCGAAACGCTCGGACATCCTCTGTATCTCCCCGAAATCGACCTAGGACGTTCCGCAGACCAAGAAGCCATGGCTCGGATTATGAAAAAGACAACCGGCGGCCCCGAAGGCCAAGGATATGCTGCTGGAATGGCATACCTACCTCGTCCCTGGATAAATACCTACGAATGGCACCACGCCTACGAAGGGGAAAAGGGGAATATGCTCGTCCATTTCCCCGGATTGGAGGACGATCGTTGGCCTCATATGGCGAATTGGTTGGACATTGTTGAAAAGACACCTCTGGAATGGGAGGTGCCGTTAAAGGAATCTGGGTACGATGAACTCACCCGCGAGTTTTGGGCCAAGTTCCGTGCTGCCAGGGATCTGGCCAATAGCGTGCAGGAGGATATCTGGCTGCTGCCGACGGGTACGTCGACGTCGCTGCGCCAGGCAGCCGTCAATAACGTGCGGCTTGCGCTGCAGCAACATGCCGATGAGCCGGAGCTGCTCCAGCAGCAGGTTGATGAGTTAAAGGCGGCCGTCAAGGAGGAGTCATCTGGGCGATAATAATACCATTCATTGTTCTGGGGTTTTATTTGATTGTTGTATCATCGGGGTTGGTTTTTGGCATCATATCGTGGATCATCTACCTATCGAAGGGAATTATTCTACACTCTCTGGAATCTGTCTATTTCGGCGCGGAGGCAACAGGAAACATTAATTTCTTATCTACACCTGGGCCTATCATACTGTATATACATCGCGTTATCCAAGACTGCATGTGCAATCCCGCTCCTTCCAGGGATGGTATGTCGTATCCGATCCAAGATAAACTCTCACATGCAGGGATCTTGCCGGTTGACCTATGTAGTATGCACCGCTGCCGTGCGTACTACGTAGCTATACCACGACTCAATTATCAATGTTTGGGTTGCAATTCGCTCGCTCCGGATCGACATGTTGAGCTTAGAGCCTTAGTTCTGGGCTTAGGATGGCCGACGTCGGAGTTGCTGCCTTGTTGCCTGGGGTGCGTGCACCTGGCCGATAAGATAAGAGCATTTGTCTTTCGACAGCCTCAAAGCTTGTTGATTTCTGGAGGCTGAGATCCGTGAAAGAGAACATATGTGATAGAAGTCTTGATGATGATGATAGTCGTGAGCATGTACTAGCACTAGTCAAGAAACGACGATCCGCCGAATCTATACGCTGCTTTGAGATTTGTACGACTTTCATCTCTTGATAGAACATCATACATAGACAGTAGTGCTAAGTATGCAGTCTACCCGGACTTAAGCTTCCACTCCGATTAAAAGTCAAAGCCAGCGAAAATTTCCAACCAATCATATGCCCTGCTTATGAGAGCACCGTCCAGGCTTTCGCTGGTCGCTGATTCAGTCAGTAGTTTACTCGTATGTATTCCAGCTGCCTCTGTTGAATGATTAGGGCTCGGACAACATGTGACGCAACGTCACTGCCTGTGACTCGTGTGACTCGTTGCGACGTATCGGGAAGGAGCAGTAAATCTCTGAGAGAGGAAGGAGCCAGAGACACCCAGGAAGGAGCGACTGACGCAAAAAAAGAACGACTGGACTGTGCACAGACCAGCCCCAAACAGGAAGGAGCGAAATCGCGCCCACGCCAGCCAAACCCAAACAGGCAGCTGACTTTTCTCTCTCTCGATATTTCTTGTTCGAGTATTTCCTCCGGACGCTCGTTCCACTGCGAAACCGGTGAGTCTCGCGAGACTCTCTTTTTCTTCTCTCTGGGTCTCGCAGTGATTTGATCTTCTCTCTCTGTCGAGTGACTCAGTACGTAGTGAGTGACTCAGAACCTAGAACCTAGAACCTAGAAAGAATGCTTTCCTGGTTTGGTCCAGTCGGAGACTCCGTCCCGTTTTCTACCATGCAGTTATGAGCTCCGATGAAGGGGGGATTATCGATTATAATACCACCTTCATTCCTGTTTGTGCTGTCAATAATTCGATCCTGCCGCACATCAGTTAACAATTTGGAATACTTTTTCATCCATCCCGCCTTGGTCGACCTCCTCGACAATGAGTTGATGAACGTTGGATCACTGTCTGATCTGCCGCACCGCATCACCCCAGACTAAAGACATTTATCTTTCTGACAAAACTTTTCGTCCGACACGCGGTTTCTAAATTCTTGATCTGTCAACATGTTCGCCAAAAGCCATGTCCACAGCCATCACAAACACCTCAAATGGTCCAACAAACAACCACCCGTCCTGACCGTCTCGTCCGGTGACGTGGTTACCTTCGACCTGATCGATAGCAGCAACGGCCAAATCACCGTCGACTCCGACACCTCTTCTCTCGATTCCTTCAAGCTGGAACTCGCCGATCCTGCCATTGGTCCCGTATACATCCGCGACGCCGAACCGGGCGATGCACTCAAAGTCGAGGTCTTGTCGCTAGAAACGGGAAACTGGGGTTGGACAGCCGTCGTGCCTGGGTTTGGTCTTCTAGCGGATGATTACAAGCAGCCTGATTTGAAAATTTGGAATTTCGACCCCGAGGCTGGGTATGCCGAGTTGAAACCTGGTGTGCGTGTACCCTTGCGGCCGTTCCTAGGGATAATGGGTATTGCGCCGGGTGCCGATGGCGAGTTTTCGACTATTCCGCCTACTGTCGTGGGAGGGAATATTGATTGCCGTGATATGGTGGTTGGTTCCGCGCTGTATCTACCGATTCAGGTGCCTGGTGCGTTGTTTAGTTGTGGTGACGGCCATGCAGCGCAAGGTCACGGGGAAGTCTGCGGAACAGCCATTGAGACGAACATGAAGGCTAAAATACGTCTGACGGTCTGTAAGAACCATCCCTGGGTTCGGTCACCGCATTTGTCGCTCCCACCTCAGTCGCCCGCCCCAGTCGCGTTTCCGGATAAAGGGCAATATGCTACCATGGGGCTGGACGCGGATGTATTGCAGGCTACTCGCAAAGCGACGCAATCTATGATTGAATGGTTGGTGGCTACTAAGGGATTGACACGAACAGAAGCGTATATCCTGGCTAGTGTTGCTGGCGATTTGAAACTTGCTGAGGTTGTCGATATGCCGAACCATGCTGTTACGATGAGCATGCCATTGAATGTCTTTATTTAATCATGTTGCCTTAGATTGTAGTCTCACGACCTTGCCTTTGTCCTGTCTTCTTCTTTGATGCCCGGTGTTGGTGGAACCTTGAATCATTATGTTCGTTTATTGGTGTTTGGTCATTACCTGGTTAGGCTTTTTGCATTGTGTATCAGCAGCGATATGTACATATGTTGGTGGCATTTGTCCTCTTGAGATTGAATTTATACCCTGACCACTTATTTTGCTCAATAGCGTAACTTGTAGATCTCGTTTTAATGCAGCAACATACCTCTGCACGGTGTTTATGACCTCATGTACGCGCTGCACGTACCTGTCGTATATTCCGAGCTTTACGCCCCCTTTGCTAAAGGAATGAGCTAATTGATTTTTGTAACGAGTGGTCACTGCTGATCATGGTTGCCTTGAAATATCACCATCATCGAGACACGGAATTCGCCAATTCCGAAATCCGATGTTGGTAGCCAAGTACAAGAATCTGTTTTTAGACTGAATTTTTAGTTCTTAGCTACTCGCTCCCTGGGCAGGAAACCACAGCAAGCAAAAATGACCGACTTCGACGCCCTCCTCACAGAATACACAGCCAAACCGAACCCCAAAGTCCACGGCGTAATATGCAAAGTCGTCGATAAAACTGGTACCGCATCCCCACCTTCCCACCCTAGGCACTCTATACAGCATGTTGAAACTGCGTTATATCAGGCAAAGAAATATACAGCAAAACACCAGGCTCAATCTCCCTCCTGCCAGATGCAGCACCTCTCCGGGATGACGCCGTTCTCAAACTCGGCAGCGCCACAAAACTAATCACCAGCATCGCACTCCTCCAATGCATAGAGCGTGGCCTTATCAAAGGGCTTGATGATCCATTAACTGGGATATTGCCGGAGCTGGACGGTATACAGATTTTGAAGCATGTCAATGGATCCTCAGAATTCATATATGAGCCTACCAAAACGGCGATTACGGCGAGGCATTTGCTGAGCCATACTTCCGGGATGGGATATAGATTTACGCACCCGTTACTCGGAAAAAGGGCGGAGTACATGGATAAGCTCCGTGGTGGGAGGACGTTCAAGGTCACGGAACGGTACGATCTGCCATTGATATATGAGCCGGGTGAAGGGTGGTGGTATGGCTGCAGTCTGGACTGGGCCGGTGTCGCGGTAAGTCGTTTGAATGGCGGTGTCTCGTTAGAAGAGTACTTTGTGCGGCATATATGGACCCCCTTGGGCCTGCAGGCGCCGTTCCCGAGGTTTAATATTGCGCGGTATCCGGAGTATGAGGCTAGGATATTGCATGGTGCGAAACGCGTGGTTGATAGTGATGGCAACCAGAGGCTGGAGGCGTGTGATACGTGGGCGTTTGATAATCCTGAAGATCAGGATGGGGGTAGCGGATTGTCGTCTACAGCGAAAGATTTTGTGGCTGTTTTGGCGGATTTGGTTTCGTCGTCACCACAACTCCTAAAAGAGGAGACGATTGAGGAAATGTTCAAGCCGCAGATGCCTACTGATGGGCCGGGGGTTGAGATGTTGCTGAAGTTGAGAGTTGCATGGGATGCAGTTGCAGGACCTATTTCCCCGGAGTATGTGAATCATGGTCTGGGGGGATTGTTGTGTACGGGTCCTGTGCCGGAGACAAAACAGCCATGTAAAACGTTGGCATGGGGAGGAGCGACGAATGTGATTTGGTGGGCTAATAGGGAGTTGGGTGTTGCAGGTTTCTTTGCGACTCAGCAGGCGCCGTTTGGGAATGAGACTGTTAATGGGCTGGTAAATGCTTGGAAGAGGGATTTTTGGACGCAGTATGAGGCGGTGCAGTGATAAGATTGGTATTATAATCAGCTACGGAGTAGGTCAAATTGTAAGACCGTTTGCTTTCGTTTGTAGGGTAAAGAGATGTCGGGGGTTGGGGCCAATGAAAGTGCGTTATGATTGGCTTAATCCAAGTGAAGGCAAACACTGCCCACAGATTAGTGTCCGCAAGCAAGCTGACTTCTTCACTATTGGCATCTATACTATGGTCATCTAGCTTCAATGCTACGATCGGACTACTTATAATACGAACTTTACGCAGCACATCATTCAAGTCTGTGCTCTAACATCGCAGGGCTATCATGAACAGTTACTATACCATGCGACTTCCCACAGGAATCTATGATATTGTATGGGATACGAGCACCCCTGGTGTCACCTTGACTAACAATAAATGCTATATAGATTGTACTCTACGTGGAAAGCAATGAAAGTACCGAGCTTCGCCGCAAGAGGCAAACCTGGCGAGACGATCGCTACTACGAAGAACTCAGTGAGGAAGTTCACCAACGACTAGCGAACTTACGTCTGGTCAATAAGACTTTCAACCGTAGCGTCTCACCGCGAATGTTCCGTTACCTTGTTGTGAGGAACTATCATTCATTCTTATTTATCTGTACATCGGTTCGACAGAATACCCAGAAGCAGATACGCCGAGTATGTGCGCGGAGTCACTATTCAATTCTGGTTCTTTTCACAAATCGATGCCAGCGAAGAATATGTGAAAGACATCACAGGATTTGTCAGATCATGCTTGCTTCGATTCAACAATCTGAGAGCGCTCGAAGTGCGAAGATTACCTCATGACACCTGGTTTTCTGCCGGCACTATCGTTGAGATGTTCGAGGCATATCATTTCCAAATCTCGAGGAGCTTACAATAGCTCTCTCGCTTACTCATGATTTTGGGGCGTTTTCCCAACAGTCGTCGTCACAGTCACAGATTCTACCTATCACGAGCATCCCCCTTGAAAATCTTCAATATATTGATCTTGAAGAGCCTCCACTAGAGCTGATACAGCAGGTCCACTTGGACCTAAACGTATCTTAGTCCTTGACTGGGATCGAGACACTCGTCGCTTCGAATGAGCCGCCGTTTGCCATGTTTCCAGGAGAAAGCAAAGAGCACATACTCCGATTGAGGGTACACTGAGCTAGGAGATGGAGTCTAAATGTTGAATTATGTAAAGACCTCTGGAATAGTCACTTCGCCCTTGTTCCGATGAAATGTTGATATCCGAAAGTCACGAATTAGGGTTAGGGTCAATATAATTAAGCTCATGTGGAGTGCCCATTAACGCGGGTTCTGTTTACGTGCTCCACTCCATCTGAATAACTTCTACCTCTATAACCACCAGCCATTTCCTTCTTTTTAAATTGTCCAAATGGAAATCGACCCAATCCTCAATGGACTAAACGCTGCGCAACGGACAGCAGTCACATCTCCATCCTCAATCCTCCAGGTCCTCGCCCCTCCCGGCTCTGGCAAAACCAAGACCCTAACCGCACGCGTCGCGTACCTATTATCGTCGAAACATGGCTTCCGCCCTCAAGATGTCATCTGCTGCACATTCACGATTAAGGCGAGTCGGGAGATGCGTGAGCGGCTGGCGCATTTGATTGGTGACAAGGTGGTCTCGAAACTTGTCTTGGGGACGTTCCATTCGATCTGTCGGCGGTATCTGGTTGCTTATGGCCATTTGATCGGGTTAAAGAAGGGGTTTGGTATTGCGGATAGTAATGACAGTTTGGCTATTATTAAGGTATGTCTTGCATTTTTTTATACACGATAACAGCCCGCTTACAGTGACAAGAGAATAGTCAAACGCTTGAATCTCAATATACAGCCCAACCCTGCTCGGTCACGAATATCCGGTCAGAAAGCGCAAGGAATCAGCTGGCAAGAACTTAACGATGCCAGACACCCGAAAAACGTGGACCAACAAGAATTTGTCCAAGTATATCGTGAATATGAAGCTGCATTGGCAAGTTCAAACCTACTCGATTATGATGACCTACTCTTACGCTGCGTTGATCTTTTGCGGCAACATCCGCATTGCGTGTCGAATGTGCAGACTGTACTTGTGGATGAGTTCCAGGATACGAACGTCATTCAATACGAGCTGATGAATCTATTTGCTGCGCAGAATAGACGCATCACTATAGTTGGCGATCCTGATCAGAGTATCTATGGTTTTCGATCAGCAGAAATCAAGAATCTAGAGCGCATGCAGAGGCGGTATCCGAATACCTCTGTAGTTCTATTGGAGGATAATTATCGATCATCAGGCTCGATTTTGGGGTCGGCTGAGCAGGTCATTGAGCAAGATACAGCGCGACCCGTGAAGAAGCTCCACCCGACGCATGGGGTGGGAACGATGCCGGTTTTACGAAAATTGCCGACGGCAGCGGCGGAAGCACAGTGGATGGTGATGGAGATCAAAAGGTGTATCACACTAACGGGCCAGTTGCTCAAGCCTTCTGACTTTGCTATATTGCTACGCTCAGCTGCGCTGTCGCGGCAGATCGAGTCTGAGCTTGGAAAACAGGGAATTCCATATCGCATGGTTGGTGGGTCAAGATTCTTTGATCGAGTTGAGATTCGACTTCTGTTGGATTACCTCCGTGTCATCAGTCATCCAGAGAACAATGATGCCCTTGCTCGCATTATCAATGTTCCTACAAGGAAGATTGGGGATGAAACACTGAAAAGCTTGACTGCAGGTGCTGAAAGTGCCAAACTTCCGCTGTGGACATTTATCAAGGATGTGGCGCAAGGCCGTAGGTCTTKCCAGAAGAATATATCCAAGGCCGCCAGCACCGGACTCTCAGTGTTAGTCGGTCTACTTGAGGCAGCAAGACAGAAATTACACGATTGTATGGATGAGTCCTCACCTAGAGTTCTTCTCGAGTTTGTCATCAGCAAGCTTGGATTTCGAGAATACCTTACGGCAACTTATCCCTTAGATGAAGAGAATAGATGGGCGAATGTGGAGGAGCTCCTCGCGCAAGCTGGTGATTCCTCGGCACCTTATCCCCAGCAAGACGATGTTCTCCCGGAAATCGAAGGCTTAGAGCAACATCAAGGTCACATAGGAGAGGAAGCTCTGTCGAGGTTTCTCGCGAATGTAGCTCTGTCGACAGAAATTACCACTGAAGAAAGCGACCAACCACAAGAAAAAGTAACAATCTCTACAATTCATGCAGCCAAGGGACTAGAATGGCCTGTCGTATTCGTCGCTGCTGTCTACGAGGGGATTATACCACATTCCAGAGCCGAAGATAGCGATGAAGAAAGAAGGTTACTATACGTAGCTATGACGAGAGCGCAAGCACTTTTGTATCTCAGTCTGCCTCGTCGTGATTCGAAGAATGGCGAAGAGACGAGGACAAGCTCGTTTTTGCCTCCGAGTATAGTTAAAACCAAGTTCCGTGCCGTTGGACCAAAGCTTGTTGACAAGAGTATCTTCGCTATCGCCGATATTCTTGGCCGTGAGCATCCGAGTCAGGAAGCGATAGTCAAGGGTTTAGAGGCCGGGCTGCCGAGTAACAACGACGACCTCTGGACCCATGATGGCGAGTTTACAGGTGATGCAGCTACAAGATGGGATGGATCAAAAGCGTCGTCAGCACCCGACGCCCGTGGTCAAGCGCAGGAGAATTGGGCAAAGCGTCGTCGATTGAATGACCAAAAACAAGATTCTACTGGCGCCAACTCATCAGCATCAGGCTTTGTCACTGCGACCTCTTATACCATGAATAACGCCTCCGGGTTCTCGGTATCGACTAATACAGTGTCAATGGGATTTTCTTCTGCAAGGCAACATATGAAGATAGCACCCCCGTCTCCTGATGAGAAGGAGCCAGTCAAGCCTACACAACGGAAGACTGTCACTTCTATGTCTCGGACGAATTCGGCACCCCCTGGACAGGGAACATTATCAAGCTATTTCGGTATCAACAATCCCAAGCCGCAAACTACAACAAGCACCTCAAATGACGATAGAAGAAGACCTGTATCACAAGCAAACCGTGACTCGCCCGCTGCCCTCAATTCTGCAGCGATGGATGCTCAAAAACTTAGCACGGGAGGCTATCGTATCCAGCCTCAGGCATACAAACCACCCCGTCCTGTCCCACTAGCAGCTAAAGATGTAGATAATTATACATGGCTACCACCATCGGACAAAGCCTCGCCGCCATCAGCTTCAAAAACCACATTAACGCCTACATCAACGGGCGATTTCAAACCTCCCAATAACACGATGAATAATCCGCCATCTACATCGTTCCATACAACGACAACGATGATGGGAACAACAATGAATCAGCTATCAACGGCACAGAGCGCTGGGGGATACGGTGTTTCTATGGGACGCAAGACTCTGGGTGTGCGACGGAGTCTGAATAATGGTTGGGCGGAGAGGATGAGTCGAGGTAATCAGCAGAATCATCCTAAGTAGCTACTGGATGACTAGATCTAGAGAAAGTTAAAAGAGAGGGATGAAACGATTACGAGAGACGATAATTACGAAGAATATAATGATGAATACATAAAGATCTAGGTGCCTGAGGAATCTAGGCACGTGGGCTAGTGAGCCCTAACTCCGTCTTTTTTGATTTACGCAACAAGCAGACTCGAAACATTATATATTAGGTATATCTATCGGGATGAATCAAATGTTTCTCAAATCTGACTTTTCTTATGTTGAAACGATGCCTTGACATCACGCTCCTCATTCAGCTCATCCTCAGAAAATGGCCACGGCATTAGGAGGACTCGCAACACCACCCGGAACCTACAATAAAGCATAACATTTCAGCCAAAACCTTAGAAACAGAGAAGCTAGAGGGATCACTCACCTTAATAGGCACACTAGTTAGAAAAAAAGAATACCTCCCCAACCTCCTCGCCGTCTCCGCCAACTCCTCCAAATCAAACATCTCGCCCAACGGCAGTCCCCAACCCGCCAACGCCCATTGATGGATACTCACATCAGGATCATTATAAGATCCCGTAGTGGGCCCCCTCTCAAAACTAGGCGAGTCACTAGCCACGGCCGCAAATCTGGACTCCCATAACCATTTCAGTGATTCGTGGGTTGCTTCTAGGCCTAATAGGCCTGGTGGTTGACGATTTGGGTAGTTCACTTGCTCTGTGGATGTGAGCGCGTTGTAGGCTGTTGTGAATCCAACGCGGATGAAGAGGATGTCGCCGGCACGGATTTGGATGTTTTGTTCTTTGATAATGGTCTTCAAGTCGTTGACGAGGACGGGGCCGGATTGGAGCGGTTTGATTTCGCGACCGTTGCGGGTTGCCCATGAAGCCCAGTCGAGGAGGATACCGCGGCCTATTATGCCGCCTTTATCGACCCATTCTGCTTGGGGTAAGGAGACTTGTAGCTGTGAAGTAAATAGAGGAGAGCTCACTGTCTATTCCGAGTTTATTCGGATCCTCAAAATCATCTTGTGTATGACCATTGAAGAACTGCCTCGATGACCGGAAAGCTATTTATTCCTGATATCAGAAATCCATCCACACTATCCCCCAGAGAGTAAAATACCAAAATGCCGAAACCCATCCCACTGTGTACTGCTCTGCGTATTGAAATGAACCTCATCATCATTCATAGGCGTTTTCGATTCATGAATGATTCGATGCTCAAACTGTTTTCGCGTAAATGTCGGATATGAAGGTTTGTCTAGCGGCCAGTCTAGTGATACTCGTATTCCTTGTTGGATTTCTTGCGCGGCTGATGCGATGACATCTGGAGTCAGCAGGTTGAGCATGCCGAGCTGGTCGTTGGGGCCGAAGAGGCCCCAGGCATTTCCTGGAGGACCATTGGGTTCGAGAGGGAGAGAGTCGAAGGAGGGCCAAGGGTTTGGCGTCATTGTGTTGATTGCTACTGACGGATGATCTTAAAAAACGAAGTTTACGGCCTTTTGCAAATTAATGTAAATCCAGGTAGAGAATGAGTCATGAGGAATTTCGGCGCTTGGGCTGCTAAATCATCAATCGCACTTCTCTCCTTCTCCGGACTATTGGCGGCCCACAGAAAGGCCGGGGAAAGCGGAGAAATAACCCTAAAAGTACGAAAGCACGCAATGACTTCATCTTCGAAACGTAACCTGATTTGCGTCTCAAATTTGGTTTTATGTCAGCTGTCGACTGTAGTGATATTGCAAACTCCAAATGTTCTGATGATATTCATGATTCGTTAACCACGAACAGTCTTTCTAGCTGAAGTCTATACGACCTGAAGCATCCCACTTCATCTCTCCATCATCATTTGCATTCGCAGCATCCCAGCCCCAGCCTGTCCTCCAGGACCACGTCCGTAAACCTGTTCCCCAAGCATTCGCAACTGCATCGGCATATTTGAGTCTCCATAATGCTCAATAATATCGCCTTTCTCTACAGCACTTGCCAAACTGCTCCACCCAGAATTCCTCATACCCAGCCGCATACACTCGGAAGCTTTTTCCTCTGACCACCACGACGGAAGCAAACCCCGTCTGCTTTGAGCGAGCGACAGGAATCGTTGGAAMCCTCTCCCGCCGTTGGCTGATCCGCCGTAGATACTATCCTCATCGGCTTCGCCCTCGAGATTATAATCATCTTCCATTCGAAGACGGTAACAATCTATGAGGAGCTTGTAGACATCCTTTTCGGGTCGGTTGTGAAGCCATGTTTTATCATTGAGTTTATGGAACGGCTTGTCAATGGCGGCAGTCAAGCCCTTTGGCGGCGGCCCACGAGAGGTGCTTGATGGTGCCGTTGACGGCGCTGTCGATGATGAAGGGACCGTATTAGTCGCATTTCTTGCTGCATTACTTGCGCAGACTTTCTTGTGCGTCTTCCAATCAGACTTTTGACAGTCGCGAGAGCAATAAAGTGTTGCTTTGCATTTTGCGCAGCGTTTCAGGCCATTTTCGATCGTGCCGGCCTTGGCGCAATTGGCACACTGTTGCGACTCGTCCAATTCAGTCATTGAGCTTTGTTTATTGCACAGATAAGATTATCGAGTTCGAGATGGGAAGTATTCGAAATTCGAATGCGTGGATTTTTCTTGGGGCGGGAGATTGCAAGAAGACAGATTTAGGAGTCGTCCGGCTTTGTTTGTCTGAAGGAGGGGTCAAATAGCGATAACTATGTAACTAGCGGTCAAGTCACACGGTGTATAGATCCTAAATGATATATCATATCCTATATCACTTTGTTTTTTAAGCGACCAAGGTATAAGATTAGCTCTAACTAACCCTGAACCCAAATCAGCATTAGTCAGCGACGCTATTAGTTGCACGAAAATCAAAACTTCACCTTCACAAGTCATGCTACATCGAGTTCATTCCTCCTATTGAACATAACACGAATCAAATAGAGAGATGCCTGCCTCCGATCATGAACTTAGCAGCGCTGACAAAGGACGGAAACGCCAACGGGACCGCGACAATCAGAGACGGAAACGTCTCAAAGAAAAGGAAGTCCTACTAAATCTTCAAAATGAGAATGAAACTCTAAAACAACAGGTCAGACTTCTTTCGGAAGGAACAACCTCGTCTGAGGATGCGCGAAGTCTATTTGATATGCTGGAAGAGATGACGGCGCAGAATGAAGCTCTGAGGAAACAGGTGGCTGCTGTTAATGAGTTTGTCGCTTCATGGACCTCTTTGAGCACAGACGGCTGTCAGCGGCATGAGTCAAAGCTCGCTCAAAAGCCAGCACCCTGTGATGGTTCCAATATATTGAATGGAGCGTCATCTACATATGCTAAGACTCATGATGCGGCCCCAATAACTGATTATAATGATGCTTTTCTGCCTACAACTAAATTGGACGATGGGAAGACTTTATCAATCACATTTTGCAACGCTCCAAAACGTCCTAAAATATACGAGGCAAACACCGGTGACCCGCAAGACATACATACAATTGCTGATTGGCAAAGGTTACCAGTCCTCGTCTCGGATTACGATGGATGTGGGAGGCCCTTCGATTTTGCAATTGAACTGTTACAGAGTCAGCCAGACTTTGCTAAATTCTGCACCCCTTACCCAAAAATACTTGATTTAATGCTCGGTGGATCTCTTAATGAACTCGCAAATGCCGTCTTTAGAGTACTAGCACAGAGTACCATACGTCGACCTGAAAGAATTGCAATCAGCTGGAATGGCTATCTATTCATACGGGTTAGCCATTTTGATTTATAGCGTCCTTTATTGTTGATACTAATGGAGATTATGAACAGTGGACAATCGAGCCATCCCCTGAAAGTTATGGCCGAATTTCACGTGCACTAAAACCAACCTCGATGCAACTCGAAGTCCCGCATCCTGGCACAATCGACCACATAATGTGGCCACAAGTTCGTGACAACTTTATCAGACTTGGACCAAGATACTGGCGAAATGAAGTCTTTGGCCTACTCTTCTGCACGTGTCGTATCCGCGGTACACCAGATACCGACTTTCAAACAACAGATTTCGGAGGTAACACATTTCAGATTGACCTTTCATTCTTGGAGAGAGCTTCGCATGCAGATGACTGGGTACTATTGAAACGATTTTGGGACGAGTACCCGGAGTTAGTTGACGGATTGGATGCAGAAACCTATATGATTACAGAGAATGAACTTCTTTGATTTTTGGGAAATTGAACAAGCTATAGAATAAAATCAAATAAATCACAAACAATCTAAGACTGAGAACAGTCCACTACTGATATACCCTCAAGAAATATCAATAACAAACTTTCCGATGATTCCTTTCTTTGAATAAATCCGCTGACACTCCTCACGAATCTTTTCCAGATCATCGAAAGTAGCCTTCACACCAACAACCGGCTTGACTTTACCCTTGTCAATCCAAGTAGCCAACCTCTTCAGGTCTTCTGCGCTAGGCTCTATGAAGAGATGTAGATAAGTCACCCCATATCTTTGTGCTCGGAATTGATTGATGCCGCCAATGGTGTTCAGTATCCATCGCATTGCTGATGGCATTTCTGGCATTCCTGTCTTCAATTTTGGACCAAACGGTAGACTACTGATGGTCACGATGATGCCTCCTTTCTTCATCAGGGGGAGGAGTGACACGCCGTGACCCATGGTGTCGTACATGAAATCAATCGAGCCGGGAGGGATAACCTTTAGTGGATCCTCTTTGGTATAGTCGACTATCTTATCGACGAGGTCTTTGTCTAGGTAGGTATCAAGCTGCGCAATTTTGGAAGTCGACAGTGTCGTAATCACGCGTCCTGCATTGAATACACGCTTGGCTAATTGGACTGCTATGCTTCCTGTACCTGAAAGACCCCCAGGAATCAGAAGTGTCTTTTCAGCCAGTCCACCCTTGTCCTTGAAATGAGACGCCGCCAGATCAAATGTTTGGAGAGTAGTCAGCGAGACCAGCGGGAAAGATGCAGCTTCAGAGTGAGAGATTGATTGAGGTTTCTTTGCCGTGGTAGATACAGTCGAGATCGCATAGTCTGACACAGATCCTCGACAAGATTCTGGAAGACGTGTATATACTTCGGCGCCAGGTGCAAGGTCTGGGTTCGTATGGGCGACAGCTGAGCCAACTGCAACAACAGTGCCGGAAAGGTCGTATCCGATCTTGTACGGAAACCTAGAATACATAGCCGTGACAGTTAGTTTTTGGTTGATGTGGTTCCAGGGGTTGAGAATTTTAGCTCACGGTTGAGGCCAGAATTTTTTGGCCATGCCAGAGGCCACCTGGACATCAACAGGATTGATTGATGCAGCATGTACTTTGATGAGTATTTGGTCTGGCTCTTCTACCCTTGGGATTGGCAATGTCATCATTATGTACTTATCAGGTGTGCAGTACTCTGGGATAGCGAGTGACTTCATAGTCGCATTTTGAGGGCTTGATTTCCTGTCTGACATGATGATTGATCGATATGATGTTTGCATGGAAGAAAATGTGACGAAAAAAGAATCCTGAATTGAGTGAGAACACAGGATCTTACTAAAATCCCATTTGATTTATACTCATCATCTTTGAGAAGAAATTTGGCATTCATTGCACGGAACTGTTTTTTATCGTGAAACCTTGCCCTAATCGATGGCGAGTCACTCGCACTGACTCGCTCGTGGAAAAGAGTTAGCGCCATACGCCAAACCCTTCCCTATAAAAATATTTTGCTCACATGATAAGTAGTTGGTTAAAATAGAAGCATATATTTAATAAAAAATACGAAATTGAGACTAATCAAGAAACATCCATCCTTGATGATGTGATCATCAGTTCTAGAATTGTGGAATATGGTAATGGGAAACAGTATCCCAATAAATGAATTTCAAGTCGGGCGTACATTCACTGATACTATTGTCAAAGCAGACTAAAAGAATCCTTATGATCTCCATGCTTTGCGCACATAACGATTAGAACATATGTCCCGAAAGCATCTCAGCAACCTCAAGGACCTTCAGCTTATAGATGCTAGTTAGATGGAAATATCCTGGCGCTTTGAACGACCGACTATCTGAAACGCCATATTGCCATAAGCATCGTCAGCGATTGAAACATAGAGCCTAAATGCGCATGTGCGGACTGCTAATCTAGCTCGGACATTGATCGTATTAACGCACTCAAGAATCATTGTGGCGCTGTTTGATGCAGTGGTGAGCTTGATTTACGAGACCGCCAAATTGAATATAAGCTACGAATCTTCATTGATACGACTACTTGCAGACAGGTTGGATATGAACGAATTCGTACCCGGCAGCTTAACAGTAAATACTTCTAGATAAGTGGGACTTCCAGAAATAGGGCACACTCTAAGCCATAAGCGCGCCGGGAGTCCTCCCAAAGCCATCATCTGAATGAAAGGTTCGAAGGGTGGTGCGCCCATCCTATTTTCCAGACCTAAATAATCCATGCAGACCCCTCTTTCTTGGTTGTGAGACGTTCTGAATTGTCTATGTGGTTCGGTTGGCTTACGAATTCGTAAGCACAGGTAATTACGACTAAGGTGTTAAGGGACTTATCGACTATACATCTATTTTTGTTACATTCTGTCAAAACCAGCCTAGCTTTACTGCTATCGCAAAACCATTGTCTTGCAATTTCTCGTTAAAAACACCAAAGGCGTCTGGCAATATGTCACCGCTGGACTTGAAAACCCTTGTATTCATCATCAATTCCAAGGTTAACAGTATTAGTGTGCTTCCAAATGAACAGGGGCCCCCTTTTACACTTCCTGCAATACAAATGCCTGATGGCTCCTACAAAATTGCCGATATAATCGAAGAGAAACATCCAGAGCTAAGTGTGCATCTGATTACACCAGTGCAGCTCATATTTAGAAACATTCTCATGAAGCTAATGCAACAGCTCACACCAATCTATGATCCGGGAAGAGCGCAGCGTATCCTGAGTAATGAGAGTCTTGACTTCTTCATTATTGCACGCCAGAAGGATATAGGTATGCCACTTGATAATTTTGGTGAGCAGCAGGGCCCTGGGGCATTTCATAGAGCTGAACCATTCATACTTGAAATGACAGCTTTACTAAATAAGACTTCCTCAGGGCCATACTTTTTGGGCGATATTGTCAGCTATACTGATTTTATATGGGCTGTTTTCTTCAAATGTCTCGGCAATGACATGATGAGGAACTGCTATTGAGGAGTGGGGATGCTGAAGCGCACACTAATTTCTTAGATGCATTGAGCCTATGGATAAAATCTGATTAGGGCTACTGATGCTAGGGGTCAGTTGAAAGGACCGGCTTCGTCTATGTTTCTTTTGAACATTGAATAAAGGGGAATTGGGTTGGAGTTGAGATCCTTGATCCAAGAACTTCCATGTTAATACACCAAAATGAATAACTCAGGAGTATATGTTGGCGTTACCGCAGTTCCTATACCTAGATAGACAGACTTTCGGCTTGTAGCATATAGCTTGTATTAACTCATGCAAGATTTAAATTTGTTCGAGTTGTTTTATGCCCTAAAATCTCACATATTTCCCTTGATTGGATGATTTGATCCCGGTAGAAAAGAAGGATCTAATGAGACCCCCAGGAGACCCGCCCCAATAGAGAAAAGATCGATATGCTCTTCCCCACACTAAGCCAGCCAAGAAGGACTACGGCTATGTGTTTCTCATGCGGGGGCCCCGGACGGTATTCTTTTTAACCGTCTACGGAGACAACTCCGTGCATTTGCGGAGTTGCAGCGCGCGTTTCCTCTGTCCTGAAGGTAGCTAACTCTAGCCCTCCGGAAAACATAAAGTGGGCATTTTTGACTTTTATTGAAGGCTACTGAGTGGATTCATCTTATTCCAATCTGACTACATACCAGAATCTCATACATGATGAAGTGGTTCGGCATAAATAGATTGAGACATGCTCCTGAAGGCGACGAGCCTGCTGAAATTTATGGTTACCGACCATACTTGGTCGCATTATCTGGTGCATGGGTAAGTTCTCACAACTATTATGCTTCAGCGTTATAGAACATGGATATTTGATGATTGATATTCATTCCATCGAACTTCTAGGCTTCTGCCATGTATGGATATGATTCTGCATTCATTGGCACGACTCTCACATTGCCTTCCTTCAAACATGCCTTCGGCCTAGACACGGCTAGTAGCACCGCTGTAGCTAGCCTATCGTCAAATATTGTCTCTACATTCCAAGGGGGTGCTTTTTTCGGATCCCTGTTTGCCTTTTTTCTCGCCGAGCGATTTGGTCGTAAGCCTACCTTGCTCGTTGCCGGTGTCGTTTTCACGATCGGAGTCATCCTGCAAATGATAGGACATTTGGGCCTTCTCTACGGTGGGCGTGCACTTACAGGGCTCGGTGTCGGAAGCTCAGCCATGATTCTCCCCATATATATCGCAGAGTGCTCTCCGGCAGCTATCCGAGGCCGTCTCGTGGGTGTTTTTGAGGTCATGCTCCAAATCGCACTTGTATTTGGGTTTTGGGTCAATTATGGCGTCAATAAGAACATCTCCCCCATCGGAAACACACAATGGCGGATTCCTGTTGGTGTACAATTTGTACCTGCCGGGTTGTTGCTCATTTGTCTCAGTTTCATGCCCGAGTCTCCACGTTGGCTGGCCTCCAAAGGGAAAAGAACCCGTGCGCTGCGCTGCCTGTCGTGGATCAGACACCTTCCTGAAACCCATGCATACGTGCAGCAGGAATTGCTGATCATGGAAGCGGGTGCGCAGCAAGAGATCGAAGAAACCGGAGAAGGATGGCGACACTGGGTACAACTTCTACGTGAGCTCGGGCAAAAGGGTGTTCGTAACCGCTTGATTATCAGTGTTTTAGTGATGCTATCGCAGAACTTCACTGGGTAAGTCGATCTTCTTGTTTGCTCCTATTCAACTGATTTCATGCTGATTTCTAATTTTTCCGATAGCATCAACGCGATTAACTATTACTCGCCCACCATCTTCAAATCCATCGGCTTTACTGGTACAAGCGTCCAACTCCTGGCAACCGGCGTTTACGGCCTCGTAAAAATGGGCGCCACATTTGTCTTCGTCGCCGTGATAGTCGATCGTATCGGGCGGCGACCCGGACTCTTAGTAGGCTCAATTGGCGCTGGATTTGCCATGTTTTACCTCGCCATCTACAGCAAAGTCAGCAATAGCCTCCATGCAACACCGCCGCGAGATGCTGGTGCTAATGCTGCTGTTGCAATGGTCTACATCTACGCTGTGTTCTATGGGCTTTCGTGGAACGCTATCCCATGGTTGTTCACTGCGGAAACTTTACCTACCCGTGTCCGAACGATGGGTATGGCTATATCGGTCTGCTCTCAGTGGCTGGGTCAGTTCATAGTTGTATACTCTCTTCCGCACATGATTACTGGTATTGGGTATGGCACTTTCTTATTCTTCGCATGCTGTACTGTCTTAGCCTTTGTGTTTGCGTACCTTTTTGTGCCGGAGACAAAGGGTGTTGCTATGGAAGATATGCATCTGATATTTGGCCCTGATGTTTCTATCTTGGCTACGAAGGCGCGGAAGAATTATGATACACATCGCGAGGATCGGTTGGAGGCTGTTATTGTCCGTGAGAAGATTGATGTGGAACAGGTGGAGACTGTTTGATATTTGAAGTACTATTTTTATAGATACAATTACCTAGATAGGCACGCGTACGTAAATGATTCATGGGCCATCTTTGTGACTATGCTGCTTCTGATTAGAGCTGCAGGAGTCCTTTACAGCTGAAAATAGTCTGATATCAGGTATTCGCATAGGACAGAAGCGCACTTCAATTCTCTATGCCTTGCTATTTCATTCTTCTTGATCTACTTTGCTGGCGCGTTTCGATGTGCTATAATACAGAAGCTCTATAAAATGGAGATTAGTTGCAAGAAAATTAATGAAAACTTTTGAATAGATCCATCCTTATAAATACTGGCTATGTATGTCGATTATGATGTTGTGCCATGTATTCTGAAGCTACTAATAAATTATTCAGATGACATTGTTAGCACTAACTAGTCATGAGTCTTCCCAATCTTGCCACAATGTGTCTCACAAAGTTGGGCAATAATCATCAATACGCGCAGAGGTTGTCAGCTGCATAACAGTCTGATTCTCTGCAAAGAGCAACATATTAGAAGACCCTTGCTGGAAAGTAGGCCATGCAAAATAGCTACTATTGTTCGGATTCGCCGCTACACCGTCAAGGGCAAGACGTGCCGGTCCGCGAGATGGATCTTCCGCGAATGATAACCAAAGTGCCTGCATGGCATAGCTTACGTCCCATTGAAATTGGGTAGAAGCATCGCGATACTCGTAATGAGTACCAAAGACCATGGGAAGTTCTGAGCTGTGATAAGCTCCGAACCAGGGGAGTGGGGAGATGTTGGAGAAATTTCCCGCGTATTGGTAGCGGTATGTGGTCAAATTTGCGAGATTGCGGTTTTTGACCTCGGCGGCTACCGGGCAGGCAATGATGGATTCGGTCAAGCTGAAAAGTGTCGTGGCGCCTGGTCCGTTAGGGGTGAATGAGACGAAGCCGGCTCCTTCGTTTGTGTTGCTACCAATGATCAGGGGCTGTGTTTATCAAGCTGTTAGCACAATTTGTATACAAAATTTGAAGAGTTATCACTCACCGTCTTAGCTATCTTGCCTTCTTGAGCTCTTTGTGTCCAGTTGGCAAATACAGTTTTGTTGTCGATGCTGGGTGTGAATGCCATGGTTGGTTTTGTCGAGTTGCCGATATAGTAAGACAAGGCATTTTCCAAAGTCTGACCCGGTACCCGTTTCACACATTTCACCAGTTCGTCTGCATTGCTACTATTGCAGCCCACCAAGGCCGCAAGAGACGTGAAATTGGTCTGCGCTACATCCTTGTTGGTGACAATTGTTGGGCCACCCGAGTCGGCAATGAGGCCGGCGACAATTGGATCATCCGGATATCCGTATGGATAGATAGAGACGCTCGCTGCACCAGCTGACTGGCCCCAGAGAGTGATTCTTGCTGGGTCACCGCCAAATTGACCGATGTTCTCCTGAACCCATTCAACCCTATATAATTGTCAGCACCTCATCCTGTCTGCATTATGTAAAAAGAAGTAGAGTGTGGTATTACTTACGCCAATCGTTGGTCCAGAAATCCCACGTTCTGATCCGTCAAACCCTTTGCATTTGGGAATCCAAAGACGTTCACACGATAACTAAAAGGAGTTGTTAGCATGACAGCTAATGTATGTAGGATAATTCTAGACCCACTTCATGATGACAACAATGTGGTCTTGTGTCCGCTGAATCCACTTATCAGGAACCTTATATAGAGATGCCTCTCCTCCACTGGTGAAACCGCCACCAGGGATATACAGGAGCACGGGCAGCGGACGCTGCTGGTCGCGTATATTCTCCACTCGAGGAGCCCATATGGACAGGTAGAGACAGTCTTCCGAGTTGCCACCACTAATCAAGAATCCCGTCTCATACTCGGTGTAAATAGTCGAGCTGTTTGAATTGAATTGCTGCATGCAAGAATTCGGAAGTGTAAAAGCATTGACGGTGCCATTGGGACTCTTTTTTACGGGCTTCTCAAATCGTAGGTCACCGACTGGAGGTTCCGCAAAAGGGATACCGAGGAATTGGCGAACGTCTGGAGCGGTTTGGTTGAAGAAGCCTTGAATGGGTCCGCTAGAGGTATTGACAAGTAGTCCATCGCCGACTAGGCTTCCGGGACTTTCGGTCGTGGTAGGGGCACCGGATACATAAACGGCTAAAAGAAGGCTCGAAGCGAGCTTGAGGAAGACCATTTTGTGGTGCTCGAGGTAGTCTATTCGTAGGCGCTGTTTTTGAATAATGATCTCTTGCATGAGGGAATGACGTCCATTTTTAAATCTGCAGAACGGACAATGAATGCCGAATGCATTTCCGGCATCTGATTTCCATAGTGGGGCTTCATATGATGATTAATAGCTGTTTCTCATATCCTTTGTCGACATCGTGAGAAGCGCGGAGAACTGGGGAAGCTAGCAAGCTGTAAACGTCCCACAGGCAAAGCGTTCTTCCGATATGTATAAAGGCGGAGGAACGAAGGTATTTCTTAGGGTAAAAATTCAGTACTACTAGAAATTCATCCATCTGACTAGCGGCTTCTCTATTGAGGATCTTTACTCAAATCGAGATAGCACAATGTGAAAATAGAGGGGAACGGCAAATGATGGAGGGTTTTACCCCGGATGGTGGAGTACTCCACACTGCCTAAACCCTTGACTTGCCTCTCCAGTTGCACAAACCTCAGCACGAATGCAACCAATATATTAAAGTGCTATGTCAGAATATAGTCGCAAAATGTTTGCTCCGCATCGGATATACGCTTCTCCGACGATTGGCCTTTCTCTACCAGTATGTACTCTTTAAACATTCACGCCATACTAGAAACCCTGTTGAGAACACTGTGTGCTTAGTTATAGACCCAGGGAAACCTTAACAATCTCTTCGACCAATGCAAGAAAAATCAAACAACGCCTGAGACTTGTAATATCTTCAAGTGCTCGTCTCAACTTACTTTTTTTCCGAAATCTCTCTCCATGAACTTGAAAGCACCATGGTACAGGCGCCATAACAAGTGTCAAAAATCCCAGCATACTCGTTGCCCATCCTACACCAGGCGCCTTGTACATTTGAAGTGCAAAAAGCGGGAAAACCGCGGCTGCAGGATATTGACGGGGCATCATCGCGCCAGCTGCAGATGCTGCATACAGTTGGGCGTATGCGTCCAACATATAAAGACCGACACTAACACAAATAAGCATAGAGCTCAACATCGTTATTCCCTGAAATAATATGGACACCAACTCAACAACGCTATAATTTGTTGTCCAACCGACCAGAAATAGACTTACTGGGAGTAGAAAACTGCCCAATAAAACGGCCGTTAGACGAACTTCAGGAGGTAGATTGGTTCCTATCCCAAGTTCATTTTGCCAATTTTGGAGTTTATCCTGGTAGAAGAACTGATTAAAAAGTATCAAAGGAATAGATGTGCTTAGTTTTCCAATGATTGCGCCCCAGAAAGCGAGCGATTGCTAGTTGACAGGTCGCCTAATTTTGCATTGATGATAAGCTTGATATGTCGAGGCTGAAACAAGATCGGATCGTCGAGATTCTAGAGTATTAGGAATCAGATTTACATCCGGCAGATACCTGCTAATTAAAATATGAACTGGGTCGTTATGAGTCATTTGTGAAGTAGCTACAGTCGGATTTGATGCTTTTGGCACAATTCGATTCTACCGTAAGCTAAATATCGGAGCGTAGGTTATTCGGTTAAAACGACTGATCTAACACGAGAGTTCGTATACAGCACTCGATTCATAATCTGTAATATTAAGCCCTATATATGTACAAAGCTCCCTGGATTAAATTATTTTTACGTCTTCAAAAGATAAGTAGTGGTATGAAGCTTGGACGTTCTACAACTCAACTTTATTATGAAGATAGCAGACTGGTAATCAGAATTGGGCAATTTCTGCTACTCCGAGCGAATGAGGTCAGAAGTTAGGGCTCAAATCAAACGATATAGAAATTTCCTTCTTGGGACTCATACAGTTACGTCTTGCTCGGGCGGGCACCTGTCTTTGAAGATAAGTAGATGGACTTGATATTTGTCTTCCCAAGGCCTTTAATGGAACTGATCATGATGATTTGTCGCTTATTGCACTGAGAACAACCTTTGACAAAACACATTAAAATGAATGCTTCTTTGTATTTGTACTTTGGCACCTACACTTTGTCTTGATGCAATCCATTCAATACTGTCTTACTGTAATTATACCATGAAAACAAATCCCAATAAGTGTTAGTGATCAGGTCGAATAAGAGCATTATAACAGAAACGTTACACTAATCTCAGACGTTTTACTATCTGTTTGACTATCTAGGTATATCATTTGTTTTCTTTATCTTTAAAAACACACTCGGGGCCACAATTACCTAAGACTGTTTCATCAACCGAAGTTTTTATGGGCAACAACTGTTGATTCTACCTAAGATCATAGAGAACCGTAAAACATGGAACGAATCAAGTCAACATGGCTTTCATCCACTGAGACAGGTGTTGATACTTGGATGTTCAAAGGCTTCAAATAATCAAATCAAGTCAAAGGGTAGTTGTTTGTTTAACTGCGTAATGAAAAACATTGACTGCCTTCATTAGGGCTTGGATTGAAAAACATAAAAAGCTACTGCTGATCATTTCGAACATGATCCGATACGACCTGATCAAGATAAAATTGATAATAGCTATTTATTCCTACGCGAGAAAAGTTAATACAAGAACCTTTCAAAATGTCACAGGCTCACCACACGAAAGATGGGAACGAAGCCAGCCATGATTTAACAAAGCGCTTACAGGCCCTAGAGGTCGTTGTTCAACAATCTTCCAAAGTACTTCAGGCTCTCGAGAAGCTTCCACTGGGGACACATCGAGCAGTCTCAGAGGAACTTCGAGAACTTATCGAAAAGGCAAAAAAAGCTACAGAGGGAATGCGAGCAACTTTGGAACAGCAGAAGTCCCTCGAGAACAGACGACAACGTAACTCTGATCAGGGGCACGAAATATCCGACGAATATCGGAAAGAAATGCAGTTCTATGCATCCGGATTGGAGGTTTTCAGTTCACTTGAATACTCTGAGAGGAATCGACGTCTCGCCAATTATCATGTTGTTCATGAAGGTGATATCAAGAAAGATGAAGAAGCCATATGTTATCTGGCGCAACATGAAACACACAGGTCAGAGAAAGCAAGTGAAGGTTTCAAACTACTATATGATATTTCAATAAGCGAGTACGACAACTTCCAGATTGCAACTGCACCTCATGAAGTTATCAACGCCTTGAACAAGAAGAGTGATATGAATCATTTTCATTACTCTGTCACACAGCGCAAGCCGCAGTTGAAAAATTATGTCATCAGCATCTGCGACTCAATCATCAATCGGTGGAAGACATACATTTCATCGTCTACTAAAGATGGCCTTATGGCTGAAAATATGCACAACCAAAATCGAAACCAGAATCGATGTCTTGAAACGGAGATTAACGAGATGTTCTAGGCATTGATCGAGTCTCTTTTCAGATTAGTTCCCTGATCCTAAGTTGTACTTAGGTATTTATCAGAAGTCAATTGTGTATCTGGATTAATTGCTTTTGCTAGCCTCGGAATTAGACTTTATATCATCGTACGCATTCATGTCTGGCAATAGCACTTCAATTATCAACATAAACATATAGCGAGGCCGAGGTGTAGGGAAACGAGATCATCAGCATTGCAAGGTTCTTGATCTGAAACCGAAATTCTATTTGAACAATGTTTCCATCCTGTACATCGGGCTCGCAGATGTATCTAAAAGCTCTTTAACTCGCTGTAAAATTCTAAGGTTTGCACAATCTTGGTGAGTCTTGCCATGTATCAGATGTCTCCAAAACTACAGAGTCAATTATTTTACACCTGCAAACAAGTAGCTCATCGTAAATTTCTTGAATACTTGAGGATCACTCCAGAAATTGATCAAGAATAAACTTTAATGACATCTCCAGATCTGTATAGCCGTCACCGAGATGCTGACAAGGAAACAACCATTTGTGGTTGATCGCCAGAGTACTTTGGAATTTAATTCGCGACGTCCAACCGGATATGGATGCACATTCTAATTATTCTGACCATGGCCGATATTCCGCGAAAAATATTCTACCAAGCCTGAAAAAATCAGGACAATCACCCGTCGAGCCCTAGATCTGTGCACCTTTCCGGTTTTCAGGCCCCAAAGCATTCTCCGGTAAAGCCCATGTCGATCATTAGGTACCGTGAAACTGGGAGATCAAACTCAAACTGTACTGTCCCGTCTTCAGCGACGCCGGCTCTAGGTTTGATATTGATATTGATCCCTGTCCGTGAGGGGTGAAGAATCCACTTTCTGCACCCTCAGCACGGCAAGACTTCTAGATAGATATGCACATGCACCAAAGCCGACAGCAATAGTACCTAGAATATACTACATAAATGTACCTGCATAAACAGGTCTCTCACGCGGTCACGCGGCTTGATGCGACGCGGGGGAATACATGAAGAACATCCCACTTTCTCCGCATTCAAGGATGTAAAGCTGATTCACTCAGGTTTCTTCATGTAACTCTATCATAGTTTCAATATAACGTATCAATGCCGTTCAAAGTCACCGCTGTTCTGCACTATGCCCTCTTCTTGCCCTATGGCTTAGTTGTACTGTCCCACCAAGAATGACTGAATGACTTGTCGACATCTGAGAAATCGATCACCAGTTGGACCTATATTCCCCGATAAATTAACAATGTGGGTTACATGTTACGTCGAAATAATCCCCCTCACATTTCGACTGGAAAATATAAATGAACAGTCTCTCCAATAACAACAACGTTTGACTCTGAATATGAGTAGACTTTTGACTTCCAAGCTCAACCCGAAACCCTAATCTCGTAGGTAGTGTGTGCTGGCGTCTGAGGGCGCAGCAAAAAACAGAAATGTATGCTGCATTCATCTTACTCCTCGCATCGGCCATTCCCGCGGTCAACGCCCAGTCAGCTTCTTGGTCCGCAGCCTACAGTAAAGCCACAGCTGCTTTGGGCAAACTATCTCAAAATGACAAGATTGGTATGGTGACAGGCGTCGGATGGGGAAAAGGTCCATGTGTTGGTAACACCGCTGCACCTTCGGGCATCTCGTATCCATCACTCTGTGTTCAGGATAGTCCCCTAGGTGTTCGCTATGCGAMCCCCGTCACAGCGTTCCCGGCGGGAACAAATGCTGGATTGACTTGGGATCGGACCTTGATGAACCAGAGAGGCGCTGCTATTGGAGCAGAATCCAAGGGATTAGGTGTCAATGTTCAGTTGGGCCCTGTGGCAGGACCTTTAGGCAAGATCGCGCAGGGCGGTCGTGGTTGGGAAGGTTTTGGGACAGATCCATACCTCAGTGGTGTTGCAATGATCGAGACTATTACTGGTATGCAAAGTTCTGGTACCCAGGCATGCGCAAAGGTAAGCACATCGCTGCAATCGAAAGCCTTGTATGAGAAAAGTCTAATCTTCGACAGCACTTTATTGGTAACGAGCAAGAGTTAAACCGAGAGTCGATGAGTTCTAACATTGACGATCGTACTTTACATGAGCTATATCTGTGGCCCTTCGCTGATGCCGTCCGTGCCAATGTTGCCAGTGTGATGTGCTCCTACAACCAAATCAATGGATCATTTTCTTGTGAGAATGAAGCATCAATGACAGGCATTTTAAAAAAGGAGCTCGGCTTTCCCGGGTATATTATGTCTGATTGGGATGCGCAGCACACAACAGTCACTAGTGCTAACTCTGGGCTCGATATGACCATGCCAGGCAGTGATTATAGTGATACGCCGAGCAGTGTTCTTTGGGGCCAAAATCTGGCTAATGCTATCTCAAGTGGTCAAGTTGCCCAGTCACGACTGGATGATATGGTAACTCGAATTTTGGCTGCTTGGTATTTGGTTGGCCAGGATCAAGGTTACCCTGCCGTTGCCTTTAGCTCTTGGAACGGTGGCCAAGCAAGTGTCAATGTCACATCAAACCACAACGTAGTTGCCCATGCAGTCGCTCGTGATTCTATCGTTCTTCTTAAGAATACTAACGGCACGCTTCCGTTGAAAAAACCATCAAGCATCGCTATTATTGGCACTGACGCCCAGACAAACCCTTCCGGACCAAACGCTTGTACTGATCGTGGTTGTGATACTGGAACCTTAGCTATGGGTTGGGGCAGCGGAACTTGCCAATTCCCTTACTTGACAGATCCTCTGACAGCCATAAAATCTCAAGCGGCCAGCGATGGCACTACAATCACGACTAGCATCAGTGACGATGGCAGTGCTGGGGCGTCAGTTGCTCAAAACGCCGAGTATGCAATCGTTTTTATCAACTCCGACTCTGGGGAAGGGTAAGTTTATATCTTTGGCAGACTCCAATAGCTTTTAATAATTGAATATTAGTTACATCACCGTCGAAGGCGTCGCTGGCGACCGCAACAACCTCGATCCATGGCACAGCGGTAATGCACTGGTACAATCCGTTGCCGCAGTCAATAAAAATACCATTGTCGTCATCCACAGTGTTGGGCCCGTCATTCTTGAAACCATACTGGCGCAACCCAACGTAGTAGCGGTGGTATGGGCCGGCTTACCAGGACAAGAGAGTGGTTCAGCCCTTACAGATATCCTCTATGGAAGTACAGCTCCCAGTGGCAAATTAACCTACACGATTGCTAAACAAGCCTCCGACTACGGCACTGCAGTAGTCAGTGGCAACGACAACTATCCTGAAGGGCTTTTCATTGATTACCGACACTTCGATCAAAGTAATATTCAACCTCGATATGAATTCGGCTATGGACTGTCATATACAACCTTTGGCTACACAAACTTGGCAATTGGTATTACGGTTTCTACTGGCCCGACTACAGGTCAAACTGTCCCCGGTGGACCTTCTGATCTTTTTGCGTCTGTTGGAACTGTTACGGTGCAGGTCACAAACACAGGCAGCGTCGCAGGATCAGAAGTTGCCCAACTCTATATTGGATTACCATCGTCAGCACCGTCATCGCCGCCAAAACAGTTGCGTGGGTTTGATAAGCTTTCCCTCGCTGCTGGAGCTAGTGGTACAGCAACTTTTGATTTGACACGAAGAGATTTGAGTTACTGGGACGTATCACAGCAAAAGTGGGTGGTTCCAAGCGGAGCATTTACCATATATGTTGGAGCGTCTAGTAGGGATATCAGATTGCAGGGGACATTTACGGTAGGTTAAACAATATGGTCAATCATGAGACTAGATTCAGGTGAGCGATGCTGACTGTGATTAAGCCCGGAGGTAGCTCGACCACTTCTACTATAAGTTCATCTAAGACATCGACTACTACTAGCACTTCGGCTACTACCAGCACATCGGTTACTACCAGCAGCAGTACTACGATAAAGACTACCACAACTAGCTCGACCACATCATCTGCCGGGCCAACACAGACCCCGTATGGACAGTGTGGTGGACAGGGCTGGAGCGGTCCTACAGTTTGTTCATCCGGCTGGACTTGTAAGGTGACGAATCAGTGGTATTCTCAATGCCTACAATAGGTTGATTGTACTAAAAAGTAGATAGTGGAAAATTTTAGGTATTTATTTCTCAATACTAACCAAGTAAGACCTTCACAAACATTTCAATAACCATTATGCACAAAAATCCCAAAAGAATAAATTCCAGTCGATTTGGACTATGCTTCAAATCATAGGAAATCGTTGAAACAGGGACGCAGACTAGATAATCTAGTATAATTAAGCAATCGATGTATTGTAGAGCCCTTTTGTGAAACATGACCATAATATTCTATGAAACAGAACTTTCCACATGCACTGGCATAACTACTACATTGCATGGCAAGCAAGGTTAGTCATTTTGGCCACCAGTGTAGGTGGAGTCATCATAGCCTAAATTCCGTATCTGATAAGCTTCTTTCTAAGCCACAAATCCTCGAATTTCATGAAATAGTGAAATCAGGCCTGATAATCGCAAAAGTCGTACATCTCGCCCTTCACGATGACGAAAAGTATGCTTTCAATATCACGGCATTTCTCACGATCATCCTGACTGGCTATATAATACCACACTGCCATCATCCAATCGATCATGGAATCACTCATTTACCCAGATCGCCAAGTATCATGCATTAATTTCAACAAGAAAGAAAAGACGGAAAGGGGTTGATAGTATTTCTTAGGGCTACATTTGGTCAAACCTCTGACTCTTTGGCTGAGCACGTAAATCGCTTGTTGTTGTCATGACTTGAAAATCAATATGTAAATATCTTTAATTTATTGAAAAGATCACTATTTCTCAGACAATTGACAGTAAAAATGTGTCGACAGCATCTGCACTAAACCGTCGGATAAGAAATCACGTGACTTCTCCGGATAAATTCCGCCAAAACATCAAATTCCCGCTCCGCGAAAAGAACAAATACAGCCTATCATCCTCCCATGAGAAAAGACGACAAGATGGTGCTGGAACTTCACGTCTGGGGACCGGGATTTTCCCTTCCTTCGATTGATCCCCAATGTCTCGCTACAATCGCATATTTTGTCAAAACGGTTCCCAAGGATAAATGGGTGTTGGTTGCGTCCAGTGATCCTTCCGTGTCGCCTAATAGTATGTCGTTGACCCCTCGAGCCGAGGTTTAGGTTTCCTTGATGTTGGATCTGAGTTAACAATGGTGCTGTGAATAGATGAATTACCGGCCTTGAAAGACGGGCAGACTTGGGTTTCCAAGTTTCGGAATATAGTCGATTATGTGCGTCAGTATTCGAGCGAGGAATGGGATCTTGATACGGATTGGGATGGGTTGGATAAAGCAGATATTACAGCGTACGTATCTCTCTCCTGAATTTTATTCTAGAGACTGAGTTTTTATCCGACAGATTCTCCGCCTTCCTTGAGTCCAATGGACAACTCCTCCTCGATCTATCCCTCTACGTCTCCAGCCAAAATTATTATGCCGCCACGTCGCCCGCCTACGGTTCTATACTCACCTGGCCGAATCAGTGGATTCTCCCACCGAAATTACGCAATGCTGCTAAACATCGCACAGAGCATCTAGGTCTGTCGTCGCTCGACTTGGAAGCTACAGAAGAACAACAACGGGAGCGCGAACGGGCAGCGGCGGGAGTCACGGCCGGACAAATCCCGGCAAGTTTGATTACGCGGCCTCGCGAGACTGTTTCGTCGTTACTAGGAAAGACAGCGCAATACAGTCAGTTCCGGCTCGATGGGTTGACGGCCGAGTTGTTCGAGCCGCTTGAACAGCTGTTGGGCGCAAAGAAGTATTTGCTGGCTGATGGTCAGCGGAACTCGAGTCTGGATGTGTTGGTGCTGGGGTATTTGTCGTTGGCATTGTTCGCCGAGGTACCTTCTAAATGGCTTCGAGAGTCGCTTCGAACGAAAACGCCTCGATTGGCAAAGTATGTGGAACGAATGCGCGACGAGTGTTTTGGTGGTGTTGTACGGCTCGAAGAGGCATTTCCGGATACTGCTGAGGTGAAGACAAAGTCTTTTCTTCCATGGAGGCAACCCGAGAGAATCAATGCGGTCAAGATCGGCAGCACGCTCCTCAACACTCTTGCAGATGCTACCCCCATTCTGAAAGATTTCCGCATGAACAGCCGGTTGCAACAATCTGCCAAATCGATGGGCGGCTCAAAGGAAGAAGGCGACAGCAAAAATGCAAAAGCTGTATCGGTTTATGCGAATGCTCAACGTCGCGATCTATACATCTCCATTGCCTCCGTAGCTGCTGGGTTGGCAGCTATGGTTGGGTACTTGACATATAACGGGGTCATCGTTTTTGGTAGCGAAGACGACCACGAGGAGGAGGAAGTGGTATACGAGCCTCCGAGCTGGGATTCGATTAGTGCTCCTACAGTGCAGAGTCTGTTTGGATGACCGCCTCTTCTTCCCTATCTTTTCCTTTCATCTTGAACTGTACACTGACATGCATCTCTCTTCCTCTCTCTTCCTTTCTCTTTTTCTTGCATATATAGACCAAGCGGGCGTTTGTTTCCTTTGTTCTGGTTTTGCTCCGAGGCTTCGAAGCGAACACAATGCATGTACCATAGTGTATCAATGAATGTACAACATCACAGGTGTGGTCTGTCTGTATGTCGGAGCATAAGCGATGATGATTAAGCAAAGACTCAAGCCGGATAGCGATATTGCACTAGTCCTAATACGGTTAGACATAGACCAGCCAAGTAATCCACCTTCCTGAACAGGCTTAGAACGTCAATCAGGAACTGCATATCCACCAATCGCAGCTGCTCCAAACTGAAGATGTCATCGTCCCCAAGGTACTCACATCCACTTTCCTTGATGCCTTAACACTGTGGCATCTCTTTTTTGCTGCTCTCCCAAGGTCCTCATGTCGCCATGCCCACTTTCTCTCTCATCCTTCCCCGCCGTCTTTTTTTCTCTTCTTGACTCGATGATACTCTTTTCGTCCGCTTTCCATTCCTGTGCTGCGTGTCTGCATTGAGCAAGCAACTAAGCTAGTCAGAATTGCTGCAGTCATTGTTCGTCCATGATTGATTCGGCCCAGGCAGATTGATCAGTTTTCGGTTTTTCCGGTGACGGTCATTCCGGTAAGACTAGGGACCAGACCAGACTGAACAGGATCACCAGCACTATATATATATCCAGTTGTATCTTCTTATTCAAAGGTGCTGAACGTCAGTACGCAATTCCAAGAACCCGACACCCGATAGGATATCAGGATGGACACCTGCGACAACTCCAATGGCTTCGATGGTCGCATGGGACTTCGCATATCCTCCATTTTCGTCATCTTGATAGGCTCTCTCTTCGGCGCTGTTTTTCCAGTACTTGCCAAACGACTTGGCGGAAATGGCATCCCGTCATGGGCTTTCTTCATCGCCAAATATTTTGGGTCAGGGGTCATCATTGCCACAGCTTTTATTCATTTGCTGGGCCCTGCTGAACAGGCGTTGACGAATCCGTGTCTTACGGGCCCTATCACGGAGTATAGTTGGGTTGAGGGGATTGTGTTGATGACCATTGTGGTCATGTTTTTTGTGGAGTTGATGGTGATGCGGAATTCTTTTCCGGATGGGCACGGACATGGGCATTCGCATGATGAGGATCATGAGGATGAACTGCAATCCCATTCACATTCACACTCAACTTTGCCCACCCCGGACGTGGATGCGATAACGACTGGAATGCCAATCGACACCACGTCAAAAGAACATGAACATATCCCCGGAAACGATCATCTCAGTCATAGCCGGGATCACCGCGACCTCGAATCCGATAAATCTCCTCTCATTTCTGCCGAGGACTATGCAGCTCAAATCACGGCTGTCTTTATTCTAGAATTCGGCATTATTTTCCATTCCGTTTTTATCGGGTTGACGCTTGCCGTCTCAGGCCAGGACTTTGTAACACTCTACGTCGTCCTCGTCTTCCATCAAACCTTCGAAGGCCTAGGTCTAGGCTCGCGATTAGCGACACTCCCATGGCCAGACTCAAAGCGCTTTACACCATACCTCTTAGGAATAGGATACGCAATCTCCACCCCCATTGCAATCGCAATCGGGCTCGGCGTACGAAACACATACCCGCCCGACGGCCGCACAACGCTGATTGTCAACGGCGTTTTTGACTCCATCTCCGCCGGAGTTCTAATCTATACCGCTCTCGTTGAGCTCATGGCACATGAGTTCATGTTCAGTTCATCCATGCGCAGGGCGCCGCTGAGCACTGTACTATGGGCATTCCTCCTGATATGCCTTGGCGCTGCATTAATGGCATTATTGGGTAAATGGGCTTGATTCTTTTGATTTTTCGTTTCCTCAAAAGAAAGTTTGCTTTTGCTGTTATGTATCTATGATGTGCGTATGCATTTTATTGGCGTTGGATAGATGGGTGGCTCTCTGTTTCGGGTTTATCTGCATGTAGCCTTGAATGTTCCCAGGTATGTCAATGGGCAGGCTTAGATTTTAGATGTTAGCTGCATTGAATATATAATTTATATCACAAGCTATGTTGACAATTAGACCAACTAGAATGGCTTTTTTGGAATATTTGAACCATTCGGCGTTCCTAGATAAGCTTGCACTATTAAGCTCTAGCCCTAACATAACAAGACCACACAACTATCCTACGAAGAAACGTACGAGCGTCAAAAGACATAAGCTTTTGTACTAGGACTTAGTCTATTTTAGTGCTTCGTATGCTACGTACGTTCTCCAATCTCCGCAATCTTTCCGCGGGGAAATATGCACTTTCTACCAATTTGGTTGGTCGAGTCTATGTTGGATGTAACATAGGCAATGATCGACTAGATAAGAAGCTAAAAGCGACAAGGGAAAATTCCTTTCCTTTTTCTTCTTCTTTTTCTTCTTCTTCTTCGACTTCTTCAACTTTTATTATCGTACGTGCCTGTCAATATGGCAGATATACAAGAACAGCATCAAGAAGCGATTGCGTCTTTAGATGAGAAAGGGACGACGACGGAATACACAAAGACCGAAGGTGCTGTGCATAACAACAATGATGAAGAAACAGGACCCTCAAATATGGTATCGAGAGCTCGGCAGAGTTTATCTGATCTATTCACTATTGTGACTTCCCCTAAATACACATCTCGGAAACATAGTAATGCTAACCTTGTAACAGTTCGCGGCTGGCTTTGCCCTAATTTCCGACGGATACCAGAACAACCTCATGTAAGTAGCACGCAACACCCGCCGGTCAATCGGCAATTGAGCTGATATCTGACATAGGACAATGGCCAACGTCCTCCTTAAAAAGGAATATCCAGATCAATACACTTCATCCGTCAGTACGCGAGTATCCAATGCCCTTTTGGTGGGTGAGATTATCGGCATGCTCGTAATTGGGTATTTCTCCTCATCCGGATGATACAAACGGAGGTACCAGGGTACCAATTACTGATATTTTTAGACTAACATGTGATTATCTCGGTCGCAAATGGGCCATCGTCATAACCACGATCATGATTGTGGTCGGCGGTATACTCGCCACGGCATCGAATGGGCATACCATCGCCGGCATGTTTTGGATGATGACTGTTGCGCGTGGAACAATTGGCTTTGGTATTGACCTAAATATCCTCTGATTTGTTTCAATATCGATATTAATGGAGTATCAAGGCACCGGCGGCGAATACCCAGCATCCTCCGTCTCCGCCTCCGAAGCCGCAAACGAGCACGCTCTCAAACGGCGCGGTCCAACATTCATCCTCGTCACGAACCTTCCCTTATCATTCGGCGGGCCTTTCGCCGTCATCGTGTTTCTCATTGTCTATTCGGCCTGTCATCAATCGCATTATAGTACTGTATGGCGCGTCTGTTTCGCGATTGGCTGTATCTGGCCGTTATCCGTATTCTATTTCCGAATTCGAATGCTCAATTCTGTGCTGTATCGTCGGGGCGCAATCAAAAAGAGGGTCCCGTATAGTCTTGTGGTGAAGTATTATTGGAAATCGTTGATTGGGACTTGTGGTGCTTGGTTCTTATACGGTACACCCCCTCCTCCCTTCTCCTCTTTTTGCTCGTTTTGCAGATAGATACTAAGTGGCGAATGGCAGACTTTGTAACGTTCCCCAACGGCGTGTTCTCAGCAACAATCATCTCCTCCATCGTACAGGACAGCTCCATCCTTCGAACCGCAGAATGGCAACTCCTCCTCGGCATAATCAGTCTTCCCGGCGTATTCATCGGCGCCTGGCTCTGCGATCGTATCGGTCGTAAACAAACCATGATGCTCGGTTTTGGCGGGTATCTGGTTTTCGGGCTCATAATAGGCTGCGCATACGAGAAAATTACCAAGATCGTCCCTTTATTCGTCATCTTCTACGGGCTGATGCAGAGCTCTGGCAATCTCGGCCCAGGGGATATGCTCGGTCTGATATCAAGTGAGAACTATGCAACTGCTGTTCGTGGCACATGTTACGGTATATCAGCTGCATGGGGCAAAGCCGGGGGCGCAATTGGCACTCAAGCATTCACGCCTATCGAGAACAATCTGGGGAAGAGATGGACATTCATTGTGGCTGCGATCTGTGGTGTGGTGGGGATTATCGTTACGTACTTTTTTGTGCCGAATGTGACCGGGGAAAATCTGAAAGAGAATGATGAGCGGTTTAGGGCGTATCTTGTTGCGAATGGATGGGATGGGGAAATGGGGGAGGATGATTTGAAGGGTATAGCAGATGAAGGGATTCCGCCTGCTATCATGGATAAGTCGGGGTAAAGACTGAATGATTCTTCGGATAGCATGCTATATTGATATATGGCTGTCTAAAAAGGCACAGGTCTAAAGTTTTAAGTGTACATGCTTGGTATGGACCTACCAATCCGGACTCGTATCAGTGCCAACAGTCACATTTCTCACCACGCATCCGCCAATTCCAGGCCACCCAGCACCTAGATTTCCATTCAAAGCCTTGCTCAAAAATTCCACCGCAGACGCGTCTGCGTTAGACTCCTCCGCAAGATGTCCTCCAATCGTGTTTCGCTCATACAATATCTGTACTCCGCTCTCTTTCCGTGGTGCAACAGCTTGTCCCTCAGCACAATACTTACCAACCAGAGCATCAGTATCCTGTACAGGCGCCAACTGATCCGCAATAGCCTTGTAGACGTACATGGGCATATCTGGCAACCCGTGAACACCCATAGTGCCCTGCGTATCCCAAAAGTACTGCAACAAGGGACTACCGAGAATATCATCTTCGCCCCCGATAAAGTACGAATAGACATCGACATAAGCGTACGTGACAAATATCTCATCGATGTTCAAGTTTCGTCCCGCCGTAAAGTTGCCGGATGTCTTGACTTCGTCCGTCAAGCGACTCAATACGTACGATTCCACAATAGGAAATGCATTTGCGTACCCCCATAATCCGGCTACGATCAGCCCTGCGTAAGGCGTCTCATTTACGGATTCCAGCACTGCAGTAATCGGGGTCGGCAAACCGCCAATTGCAACTCCTGCAATCCCGATTTCGGGTGCGTACGAGGCGTGGAGTTCGGCGGCGAATTCGCTGGCAATTGAGCCCCCGGAGTAGCCCCAGAGACCGATTTTCCATGCTTCAGCACTTTTAGAAGCCGGAGAAGATGAGGACTCGGTCACAGCGCGCAACCCGTCAAGAACAGCGTGGCCCTCTGCAAGGCCCACGGCAAAAGTAGCATTCGGACCTTCAAAGTCGGTTACGCTAACGTACCATCCTTGAACGAGTAAGGCCGCTATATCCGAAAATGTCGAATTTAGTACCGTGGAAAGTGTCCAGGAGGGACTTGCGTCGACAGAGGGAGAGTTGTATGGTATTTGATACGAGACCAACCCTTGAGTCTTTTTGCTGCCACTTTTCTTTGATACAGGGACGAAAAGAGTGGTAACTGCGAAACTGGGGATGTTGTTGCCGTCGGTCGTGCGGTACAGAATGTTGTAGCTTGCAGATGTCAGGTTTGTGCCGATTGCGGCGTAGATAGACAATGGATCTGGGCGGACGCGAATTATACTACCTGCTGGATAGGAGAGTAGGTCGTCTGGAGCCGTGTACCAGGGGTCTTGGGATGGAGGTAACGCCGCTGAGGAGCGTGCTGGAAGGGTGTGTGAGAGGGCAGATGATGCGAGGCAGAATACCGCGGATACTATGTACGAGCAATGCATTTTGCGAGTTGATGTTTTTCGCTAAATGATGTTCTCAAAGGGTGTCTGATTGAATGGCGAAAGTATGAGGCAATCCTACTTATTTATACCCGGCCCAGACCTGCGTACACACGAAATACTCATGGAAATAATCGCTGAATTCTTATAATTGCCGTTATACCGGGTTTAAGCGGGTCTTAATTCAAGTCAGACTAGAAACAGGCAGCACGTTCCTAACTCCAGAAAAAGTCCAGCCCCGAAGCCCTAAAACCGTTTAGGGCTCAAATACTTGGGCGGATGGCGTATAAATTTCCTGGTCGGGAAAGGTGAAGAGCTTAAGCATGTCAGATCGACAGCATAGAACTCCACTTTTCCTCTCGATTTCTAAGCTTTATGACGATTCTAACGGAAGTTTTCGAAGGATGATGATGAAGTTTTCAAGATCGGGGAATCAATCTCACCGGTACATTGCTTCGAGTTGTGTTATGGTAAATTGGTGTGAGAGCGTATACGTATGAACCGACTTTTGGGTTCTAAACCAAAATGAGAACAATCCTGAGACTAGTCCACTTTTAGGGCACTAGTTCAATGCAACGACATTGTCGCTAATGAGTCAATCGCGTTGTTACGCTCTACATACTGTTATATCCGCTCTACTTTGAGAGAGAAAAATGACTGAATCGATTGCGCTAGAAGAAAGGCCGGTTGTCCACCAAACTGCAACATCAGAAGAACCAACACCCGCCAACCAAAATGAAGCATCCGTCACAGGCATCAAATTCATCCTCCTCACCCTCTCCATCATCTTCACCATCTTCCTCTCAGCGCTCGACTCAACCATAATATCCACCGCCATCCCCTCCATAACCGCCGAATTCGGCAATCTCAATGATGTAGTTTGGTACTCGAGCGCATACTCACTCACAAACACTGCTTTTCTGTCCTCATGGGGAAAAGCATACAAGTATTTCCCCCTCAAAACCAGTTTCTTACTTGCCGGTGTAGTATTTGAGATTGGGAATGTAATATGTGCTACTGCCACCAGTTCGACGGCTATCGTGGTGGGAAGAGCGATTAGTGGTATGGGTGGTGCCGGAATTATGAGTGGTGCGTTTATTATTATCGCCGTTACGGCAAAGCCGCAGTATAGAGCGGCGTATATGGGCATTGTGGGTGTTACATTTGGATGTTCGGGGGTTGTTGGGCCATTGCTGGGGGGCGTTTTGACGGATAAGGCTTCGTGGAGATGGTGTTTTTGGTACTTTCACCTGTCTATCTGCAAATGAGACTAAGAAGGATAATTGACTAACTGGCTGAGCAGGATAAGTCTCCCCATCTGGGCAACAGGTGCAACAGGAATACTGTTCAGCTTGCGCACCACCACTGCCAATAGTGAGTTTACTTCGGCCAGTATCCGCGAGAAACTCTTCCAGATGGATTTCACCGGTAGTCTCCTCGCAGCCGGGTCAATGATCTGCTTCGTCACAGCCATGCACTGGGGCGGCGCAACCAAACCCTGGTTAAGCGTAGCTGTTACCGGCTCCCTCGTCGCCAGCGCTATCCTAGCAGGCCTCTTCATCGTCAACGAGCGACTAATGGGCAAGCGCGCAATGGTGCAGGCCCGCTTACTCCGAAACTACACCTTCGTCGCAAACCTCATCTACGTCTTCTTCCTTGCTGGGCTCTACTTCCCACTCCTATACTCCCTCCCCATTCAGTTTCAGTCCATCGACAACGTCTCTGCATCTCAAAGTGGTGTGCGGCTTATCCCCCTAATCCTGGGGATATCCATCTTCACCATGATCTCAAACGCGCTGTTGTCCATGTACCGCGTTAAACACCTTCCACTGACCATGCTTGGTGCCGTCGTAAGCACAATTGGCGTCGGATTAATCTATAGCATCGACGACGCAACTGCTTCCACTAAAAAATGGTTCGGCTACGAAATTGTAACTGCCATCGGCGTCGGCCTAGCGCTACAATTACCCATGATCGCAAACCAAGCCTTGGTGGTAACCGACGACATCCCCGAAGCCACGGCTTTGACTCTATTCTTTGAGAATATGGGTACGACGCTGTTTAATGCTGCTACTGAAGCGGCGTTCACGAGTAGTGTTGTATCGAGTCTCAAGGGTGTTGATTCTGCGGCTGTTATTGCGGCTGGAGCGAGTCAGTTGCGCAAGTTATTTTCGGGGCAGGAGTTGCAGGAAGTGTTGAGTTCGTATTTGGATGGCTGTAGAGTTAGCCATATCTTGTCACTGAGTTGCGGAGGTGTTGCGACGGTTGTGTCCTTGGTTATGGCCGCGCCTGTGGTTAGGGATTATTTCTTAAGGAGGAAGTCGCGTGCTTTATAGATCAATGATTGAATCTCCTAAACATTCAACTATTCAACGAGAATATACACCGCCATGCAACATGCACATGAAATTTCACTTCAACGCTTTCACTCCATCCAAAAACGCAATCACGCACGTACTATTATCGCTATGCGGCTGCTCCCCCGTCGCTGTCGTAACCATCCGCGCGATATCCGTTGCCTTACTGCCCGCCACAGAATCGCTCACCACTTCCTTCATGAGCTCTTTCTCATCTGTGACATCTGTGACGCCATCCGTACAGCACAGTACCGCATATCGACTCCTCTCGTCGAGTTGGATGGTTCGTACGTACGCTTCGTTGGAGAGGATGTTGCCTCTGACTTTGGAACCGCTGGCATTTGCGCGTTTGGCCTTTTTTGTGCCGCCGTCGATGCTGAGGTTGTTGATTGGATTTTTATATTGGAGATCCCCTAAAGCGCGGGACATATTCAAAGTTCCTTTGTTTCATTAGTAAGACAGTTTTTCGGAGAATTTGTAGTTTCATGCATACACACCGAGTCGAGCGGTTCCTCCGTATATACGCACTGCACCACCAGCCTGTTCAATCCGGCTCTTTTCCGACGGCTCGTTCGGTTTGTGCGCTACAGTTAATTGTTCCTACCAGAGTCAGTACAGCTCGATAGGCCCATAGATAATAAGACGAACCTGCCATGTTATAAAATCCGACCCTTCATCCCGTCTCGCAAGAAAGATATGCGAATCACCCACGTTCCCGATAACCATTATCCCCTTTGTCAGATTCACCAAACACAACGCCACCGTCGAGCCCGCTATGATGGGCCCGGTATTTTCATCCATAACCGATCGAAGCAGGAGTTCGTCTTCATCCTGAAATGATTTGATGATTGCGGTTTCGTAGTCTCCCTTTTCGAATTCGGGCCGGTTGACGAGGAGGTTAGGGAGGTTTTGGCGGACGTGTTCGGAGACCTCTGCAGAGCCACTGTTGTTGTTAACTGTGTACTAACAGTAACTATAGGTCAAGGTAAAAAACGCACTGTCCGTCATAAGTCGCAAATAAGACGAAATTATCAGTCGATTTTGTCGGCGGAAATTGGTTCGGCAGGAGGATTACATGGCGATCCTCTTGGGATACTCGGCCACCTTGTGCCTATTGACTGTTAGTTTCATCACATTTGAAGTGTAAACAACATACTGTAGCGGCTCCAGCGTCGAAGAGGAGCACAGCGTCCTCAGCGGGCATAACTCGTGTCGGCGACATATCGGCAGGGCTTTATTTTCATATTCTCTACATGTACAAAAGATAGTAAAACGTTGTATAATCTTCCATAGGAAAACATTCAATGTTTTGAGCTTCATCCCCAGAAATGATGAGCGGTGACATCATCCACGGTAACGGCTGAAATTACCGAGCGAATAATGCACTCGCGGTGAATCACCGTGTTTCTTGCAGTCATTCAGGTCGCTTGATCTGCTAGGATGGGACTTGGCGTATGTCGTAATGTCGAGAGAGCGCTATTGAGCATTTGATATTAAAAGATATGCCTCGGCAGGGTGTATAGTGATCCCGCCATGCTTGCAGTCGTCTCGACTTCCCTTCTCTCAGTCTTTCATCAAGTCAGTCAATATTTTAACCGAAATAAATCCGAGATGAGGCTCTTTTCTTATGAATCTGACGTCCATGTCGTACAAGCATTTTGTAGCTCGTTGATAGCGAAGTTTAAGGCGAGGAATGGCGGGGATAAGCCATAGGATTAGTCCGATAAGATAAGAAACCTCCGAGAGTCTCGCCGCAAAGCCTGACTAATTTGCTCTCTCCTTAGAAGTTACACGTTCAGCACGCTTGACACTCCACATTGTCGAGCTCAAAGTACACTCAACTTATATTTCGGAAGACTGAAGTCGCTCTTACCGTGATTAACTAATCGAACGTTCAAAATGTGGAGTCTGACCGGCCTGTTTTCACGGTCGACTCAGCAACCAGAGGTCACGCAAGCAAAAGCAGACGACGTCTCAGGAAATAACGCCGACACCTCGTCGCATCAAGAAACAGACTCTGCGCAGTCAACACCAAAAGCCTCAGCGACGGTCTCGGTAGTTCAGGTGCCGGAACTCAATCTACACGAGTCCGACAAGTCGTCCGACCAGACAAGCCAAAATGCTCCCACGATAATCTCGCCGACCACGAATAGCCCCTCTCTTATGCCTCCTCCATCTGTTCCTCGACCTACTACTTCACCAGATAAACAGCAAAGACGACCACCAACCCTCAAACCCACAGGTCAGGGCCTCCTCGTACCCCCGAAAGTGAAAGCATCCGCCCTCCGCCCACCCCCCTCAGCCGCCGCAACTCTACGCACTCCATCAGCAGCCAACAACCTCACAACCAGCACCCTCGCCCCATCCCAACGCTCATCCCGCAAAGTAATCCTCGGACCCGGCCACTCCCCGCTGGATTGGGCAACCCTGACCAAAGATCCGCGCAACAACCTCCGTGGCGCAAATCTTCCGCCCACACTTATAAAAGTTACACCGTCCATGCTCAAGACACAGAACGGGCGCAAGGGGACAGATGCATGGACATCATATAACGGGAAGGTGTACAATATCACTCCATATGTGTCCTTTCATCCCGGTGGAAAGGGGGAGTTGTTACGCGGTGCCGGCAAGGATTCGGCAAAATTGTTTCTAGAGACGCATCCGTGGGTGAATTGGGATGGGATATTGGGTGAGTGTTTGGTGGGGATACTAGTTTCAGAGAACGATAAAGCGAATGAGGCGAATGAGCTGGATGCGATGGACTAATCATTTTCAAGGCTGTATAGAAGATACCCAGACGTCGTTCATTTTTAGAAACTATATGTACAATATGCACTCAACATAGACTCTATTGCAGAAATCATGATTTCTTGTTCGCGTAGGCGAGTTGTTCAAAGTTCGTCTTTGGGCACACCGACAATCTCAACCAACTCCGTCTCAAAGACCAGCGTTGAGCCCGCGGGAATCGGTCCCATGGCCCTTTCACCATATCCAAGCTCAGGCGGGATGGTCAATGTTCGCTTCTCCCCAACACACATATCCAACAATCCTTGATCCCACCTGCACAACAAAATCATGTTAGTCAATCCCCATAGAAAAACTGTGAAGGAGGAGTGGAAAGCAAACCCTTTGATAACCCGACCAGTGCCCAACTTGAATGACAACGGCGTGCCACGATCATACGACGCGTCGAATTGTTTGCCGCCGTCGGCCAGAGTGCCTCTGTAGTGCATCTTGACGGTGTCGCCGTTTGTGGTCTTGCGGTTGCATTCGACGGGGTTCGTGACGTCGATTTGGAGTTCGGCGGCTGTTGCCAGGGTTGCGGCGAGGAAGAGGTTGGTGAAGAGGGTTGAGAGATGCATTTTGTCTTTTGTTTTGGTGTATACTGGAAGATGGGAGAGTAGTTCGGCGGATTCAGCAATTGATACTGTTGAGTAGTTGTTGAGTTGAAGCTATCTTGATAAGCTTATCGGACCTCCACGTATGCGATTACGATAACGCGCTAGTCTGGAAAAGGTAACGCGTATCGTTTTATGTTTCCTATTCAGGAAGTTTGTCAGGATCTCTTTCATCTCTTTACTGGCGGTTATGACGAGTAGTTGAATGATAGCGTAGAGAGTAATCAAATCAGACTATTTTACGCTCTTGCATTCTAACATTATCACCTTCCACACTATCAACTGTCAAGCGCACAACTGAAAAGCCAGGTCTGTATAAACTAGGAGGTTTTACCAGAAGTTTGCTTAATGACACATTTAATAGGGCAAGTACACTGTAATCCAAAATAAAAAGGCTATTTCTCATATGAAAATCCGTTCCAATTCATAACTAGCCTTGTATCAGATGTATCGCCCGTTTTCAGGATGTTTCATTTTCAAGGCAGCTTCACGACAATCTTCTGAGCTGACTGGGGCTTTTTGCAAATATCTAAAGCGTCGTTGATCGCATGTAGGCCTTGTCCCACCACCTCTGGATTCGGGGATGGAACGAACTGTCTCTGAGCCAAAGCCGGTCCCAGAAAATTTGAATAGATCTGAGATATGCAACTCGTCGGGTCAACAATGTCAGTCATCAAGATGAAGCTGATCTCGATGCCCGTCACCAGCTTCTTCACGGCGTTCTTCCCCAACATACCCACCATACCGCTGACCAGTCTGTAAGTGCCGAGAGAACCTTTCAATGTACCCGCATCTCTTCCCCCACCGCCCGCCAGGGAGATAAATTTCCTTGTCGGTAATTCAGGTGTCTTGGACAGGCGCTCCTTAATAACGGCGGCACAGACTTGGTCGGCGTTGGCGCCCACGGTATAGGCTCCAACAAGCTCATGGCCGGCGAGTGCACGAACAAGATCGTCAACCAGTGTTGCACTATTGTAGTCAAAGACATGGGAGGCGCCGAGGCTCTTGACGTATTCGAAGTTTCTGGACGATGAAGTGGATAGAACCTTGTAGCCCGCGGAGGAGGCGAGTTGAATGGCACAGCTACCGACGCTCGAGGCACCACCAGTGACAATGATAGCACGATGGTATCTCTTCCCTGGTTGTGGGTTCGCCGGCGGTGGCACCTGCGGCATATCAAGACCCAGATATTTCTTATGAAAGAGACCGTACGTCGCCGTGGCAATACCAAGCCCAAGAACACAGGCTTGCTCGTCGGTGATGTGGTCGGGTATTGGGGCAATCAAATGTTCTCGTACGACGCAGTATAGCTGGAAACCACCCTCTGCGGCATTGGCAGATTCCTTTGTGATGGAGGCGGCGCAACCAGCTACCCTATCGCCGACTTTGAAGCGCGTTACCTCAGGCCCAACCTCAACGACAGTGCCGGCTATGTCGGTGCCAATCACCGTAGGATACTTGAGATGAGACGCGAAGATGGGACCCTGATACTGTAACGCCCAGTCATAGGCGTTCACAGCAACAGCGCCGTTTTTCACGACGACTTGTTTGGGGCCAGGCGAAGTATATGGTGCATCCCTGACTTCAAGTACTTCCGCCCGGCTTGCGGGAATCCACGCTGCCTGATTTTTGGATGTCATCTTATGGAGCCAGGTGGAATGATGGCCAAAAGAGAAGGAATTGATGTTTGCAAGGATCGCGACATTTAAAATTTACAATGTCGATTACTGGTATGAAGCAGGAGAAATATACAGAATTCGTGAATAGACTAAATCCCGAATCACGGATTTCAAATAAGAAATCCGGGATCTATGTCACTCTATTTTACGGTCCCAAATCATTAGCCAGTCTTCCAAATGCAAAAATATTAGTGAGTCAAATGCATAATTAGGTACATCGCCTCATTGACTTAGCCATATATCTTATTCGACGAAAAACACACCCACTAGCTGATATAAAGAAAATTCCGTTGGACTTTCCGACTAACTCCGTGTCATTCTCTTTCGGATCGTATAACTTCCCTATTGTGGACATCGGTCTCTCAAATAAGCACCAATGATGTTTTAGTACTGTAGATTGTCAAAACAGTCAGGGAAGTAAGAGTAAAAAGATGTTTAACAGGGGGTCCCAGACCAGCTGTTATGCTTCCCTGAGTACAGAAGCATAGGTGATAAGAATTGCTAGCTACCTAGGGCGCTCGGCTATAAGTGATCCAAACATGAGATAAGGATGAAAAAAGGTAGAAGGCAGGCTTTCGTCACTATGCCAGAGATTTATACACCACTGTGAGAGGGTGTTGCTTGAGGCTATTCCCAGACCCGGTAACTACCGGTTAGGGCTTCAAGCCCTATCTCGGATTTCGATTTGTCGCTACCGCGCCTAGTAAATGAAAAATAGGCTCTAACAAGACCCTATTCGACTATCATATTAGGCCATTTCCGTATTCAAGACCTTATTAGAAGAACAGATTTTATACATCTCAAATTCAGAAATTATTGAACCGTTTCTCGATATACCGCCCATGTAGGACGCCACTGCGTCCTGAAGTCCTGCCCGCTTCAAACGAGTTAACTGGCACAGGTCTCAATGGAGTGCTCACCGTCGATCCTAGTCGTAGAAAGTCAGCGGCAGAGTTGTCGAGACATGAGTGGTTGGTGATGCGATTTACCTCTCGAGCTACTACTATTAAGTATGGAGGCTATTAAAGTACTATCGATAACGTCTGATGGTATGTGAACAAGCTTGCGCTTCAATCTGTATTCCAATCTGATATAAGACGGTAAACAAGTATGTGATGTATAGTACACCCCAACTTAATAACAAAAATAACCCGAAATAATAAATAAATAGTTGTGGTACAATCTTGATCTGACCTTGACCTCTGCCCAAACCAAACATGGCAAAAAAAACGCCGTCATGAATGCATTAGTAATGGTACATGGCATGACATATGACCTGTTGATGGCTTGACTGTGCTTGACAGAAGTGACAGCAAGTGCGACGCCTTCAACGAAGTCATGTATGCGATGCCAAAAGCAGGAAAATGAGAAACAAATGCACGCTAATCTGAACATGAGAAAACGCCAAAAACAAGCAGTGGAGAGACAATGCGGAGTAGTTGTGTCTGCCAGTGGTTGGCATCGAGCGGTGAGACTTGAAGCAATCACCATCAATAGTAGACAGAGACAACAAACTAACATGTCGTGTCCAATGCAGACAAAGAAAAACAGCGGAATTAAACATGCAGCATAATATATGTAGTATGTACTGCACATGTACTGTACAAGGTACATACATACACATATGTGTGTATGTCGCCGCTGGACTGAGCTGGCAGTCCCGAACAACGACACATTGACCCCAAAAAGATGATAAATGACAAATCTAAAAACAAGCAACAAAAACAAACAAGACAAACAGAAAGTCAAGTCATCCACTCATACAAGATTGTACACGTAGTAGTACAGGGTGCGTGCGTGCAACGAAACAGAATAGCGATGGAAAGGCGGCTAATGCAAGGGCAGCGTGGGCGAGTAGGACAAAAGAGAGAGCTCGACGAATGGCGCGGTCGGTCTGACTGGCTGGAATGGATGATCCGGAAATGGAATTTGGATCATGAGAATGGATAATTTGTCGGGCCGGTCAAGATGATGCGATGCCAGAAGCCAAAGACTCCAAAGAGAGAGAGAAAGAGAGAGGGGAGAGCAAAGGTATCGGAAAATTCAGGGGGTGAAAGAAGGGAGAGTCGGAGACATGCGGAACCCCCAGGCTAGTAAGCCTCACTTTCTGCCGCGATGCAGAAAGAGGAATAGTACATAGCGGTACTAGCATGTAACAAGTATGGAGCATTTGGAGCTCCTCAAAATTGGCGCAAGGGTTGATGAATGAATGTTCGCCTCACTTTTTCCTCCTTTTCTGCAAGACGCGCGGGAAGCGGAAGCGGAGCCAGTCAGATCCCGTTTCGGTCGGCGCTTGATCTTTCTGTCTCTCTCTCAACAAACAAGTAACAAAATAAACGAGAGCCGGCCTTTCGAACTATTCGTCTCCGCTTGACTATCTGACGTACCAGTCAGATAATCCACGCAGCTTCACATTCGAACATGTTTATTTCCATCGACTCTTGTCCCAGGAGGCAGGTCTCTTGTCGTCGTAACTAGGTCCGCCGCCATTATGTACGACGACCAGTTTGGGACCGGATCTGCGCGAAGGATCTAGATTTGGCGACAGGGATTAGTATATGGCTCTACAAGTAGTGGGTAGTGGATAGTGGATAGTGGATAGATAATGAGGCAGATTCGAGACTTTGAGATCGACGGCAGATTGATGATCAAAGGGAGTAACCTACCTGATGCTTCGACGCCAGGTATCCTGTCGCTGCTGCTGACTGTGCTGGTGGAATTCGAGTCGGAATAGTCGCTGAGTTTGTGAGGCATGGTGATGGTGGTAACGATAACGGTAGATAGAATCAAGTTTGTAGTAGGTATGATATCTCAAGTGGCACAGCCAGGCAAAAGAAGATCGAGACGATAGAGGGTTTATATCAAAGCCGGGAAGAAGAATGGCCCTGAGAGTCGATGACCGAGGAGCTTGGGGGCGGTGTTCTGTTGAAACGAACACGGACAAAGGGTAAAAAAAGTAGATGTGTATGAGGTAGAAGCTGAATTGATTGATGATAGATAGAAAACAAGAGAGGAATTCAAGGGTTTATTTATGTACGATCATACTACACTACGTAGAAAGTAAGTTGAGATTGATTCCATTTACGGTCTGGTCTGGTCCCAGGCAGGAATGCTTCTCCAGACTTGAACGCCCTAGTGTCAAGCACTCCATGATCCAGACAGGTTACGTACATGTACATATCTCCCGTGTACAAATATAGCTAGGTACCTAGCTATTGATCCAATAGGATTGCTCGATAAGTCATACATTATGCCAAGCTAGTTACACCGTCGTTCTTCACAGCCTTTGCACGGCCAGAGTCAATGGCAGCCTTGTATCAAGGGTCACGATGGCGCCAGGCAGCAGAGTCACAATCATACTGATGCCTGCTTGCAAGGCATCCCGATGATCATTTTGCTTTCGGTTTCTGACGATTCACAAAGCAGAATGACGAAGTGTACACAGAAACGAGCCTTGCTGTTCTGGGATGGGTCCAGCCTCGCAAGACGCCTCGGCCTCAGCCCCATTATTGTCCGACCGCCAGTGTCCGCCACAGTGTTCAGTCATCGACCAATAAGGGCTATCCACGGGGCTAATCATTAGGGGTGATTGACGGTGTACCTGGATAAGGCACAGCCCAACTATCGGTACCGGGCGAACCTTGCACTGTATGACCCTTGGTAACTACGGAGCAGTAGCTAATGCTTCATAACTAGAAACAGTGCGATGAATTGAATCAGATGATAAATGATGATAAGACAGGCAATCGCGATAACTATCCAATCAAATAATACCCCTTGGGGCCAGTTCCTGGCCAATCACTTTTTGTCCTTCTGTTTTATTTTTCTGCTAAGCAACTATCGTATTAGCTTCACTCACCATCGACCACTAACCCGTCACTACGTAGTAGTCCATACAAAATTACGCTCAATAGAAGCAAATAATTCTGACCACATGACCTCGTCGAGCCTCGCGTATTTGTTCGCGCCAAACCCAACACCGATTGGGATGGACCTGCGTTGATCACCGCCATTTACGTGTTTGTTGACCTCTCCGAAGAAGCATTGTTGGGAGACCAAGAATCGCTACGTAGTTTACTCTCCGCATTACGCAGGAAATAGTTGTCGATTAATGAGCTCTAGAACACCAGTCAGTTACGTGGTAGGCGCTGATTAAGCGATAGAATGAGCTCTAACATTTTATTCCCTCTTTCGGTATTCCGAGACTGCTGCTACGTCACAGGATGAGTTGGACATCTCGACTTATGATGGCCAGCACTGAGCAACTGGGTATTCATTAGTTAATTACGTGTAGCAAGCTTGCTTATTCATCATTTGTGACTATATTCAGGTACTAGCGAATGTCTATAGACCACGACAAACGGACTGACACTGCTGTGGAATTGTCCAAGCCCGTCTACTCGCTCGAAACCGCCTGTAACGGAAATGGGGTTTAGGGCTGGTCTTGGCGCTCAGTGCGCCTAGCTCTAGGCTATTATTAGGCGGTTTTTGGAGGTAGCCTTTAGCGAAAAAACCCGATCCAGTTTCAATTATGATTCAGGGGCCTTAGCTTCGTCCTTTTTGCTCCAAATTTTAAGTACATGATAGGCGATCACTGAAAAAGCCTTCTTTTGAGGTTAGGATTAACATTTGATTTTGAAACGTAGTTCATAGTCAACTACACAGAAATCATGTATGCATTCGACTGAAACTTCTAATTCCTTGGTAAGCTAGAACAGACCGGATCAATTTTGTCTTGACAGCGGTCAATACAAGGCAATCGTCATTGAAAGTTCCCGTCTCCATAGACATAAGGGTAAACGAAATATATCTCGTTTTCCATGCTGGGCTTTAGGTTGAACCATGTATACGTCCAACTGAATAGGCGCCCTCATTCAACCGAGCGCGTAGCGAATCCAAACCAGAATACTTGAAAATAAAGTATACCACTAGGCCAGTGAATAACATCTGTGAAATGGTGACCATAAACTGCAAGGCAGCATTCAACATCTGCCTCCTATTGCGTCGGCGACTCCTTGCAATAAAGCTCGAAATATCATTCGAGCGCGGAAAAGGCTCATCGGGGACACTTTGTCCCAGAAATTTACAGAGTGGTTCCCACCCATCACTAACGTTGAACATTAAAAGATTCTTCGATGGTACGAGTTGTTTGACTTCATTGATATGGTCGAGATAGATCTTTTTCCCTTGGTGAGGAAAATCACCTCGAAAGAACGTATCGAAGAATTTTTTGAGCATTGGGTAATACATGCTCGCGGCCCAGCTGATGTTTGAAACGAATCTGTGCTCAGGGTCTGTTGCTCTCCAATATACTGTTTTCATCGTTGAACTACAACGAGGAAAAAGGTTGATTAAAACCAGATTTGATATTATAATCAGAGGTTGAACATTACTCACGCATGCCACGAGTCGAGATCCCTGGTTGTGAGAATTACTTTAGCATCCGGATACGCTTCGACGAGCTCCTTTGCAAAAGCGCATGCCGGCCAGTCGCAAACAGCCTGACAGTCCCCCAACAACTGGTCCCATTGCTCACGACCGAATGGTGTCCCAGTGCCGTCATATTTAGCCGTCAGCGCATCCATCCACATCAGACAGTCTGGTGGATTCTCGATGCTGGCGGACATCATGTGGTATGTTTTAACATATCCCAGTCGGTGAAGCGCTGCTCGGAGAGCTATGAGGATGAAAGATCTTACGATAAGTAGACTTCCTTGTGACGGGGATTTCTTGAAACATACAGGCTGTTCCGGTGCGGCCAACGCCCAGTGCCAACACTTTCATGGGCACTGTACGATGGCAATAACGCCGGTCTATACACCCGTCTCCGGTGAAGACGTCAGTCCACGGCTGAGGAGCTAGGGTATCTGCATGGCAGGAAGACATTTTGAAGATAATGCTCGTGTATCAACTCTTCGCAAGGGAAGAGGAGATAGAGAAAATAGTTCACTGAACTGATTCGTGTGTAAGAGGTTTCCCGGTCTATGCCATCTATAAAGGCCCAGGTTATATCTCTCGAACGAGACACCTGAAGGATACCTAAGCACTGGCCTGAAGCCACCTCCACCCAATGGAAGACTTTTGTGTCGTCAAGATCATCATCACAGACTGACTTATTATCTATAATACGTATAACAAAGAGAAACTCGATTGAAATACCACATATTACCTCTTTTTGCCCCCTATTCTTGGCCATACTGCCTTCTATACCCGAACCTGCGTAAATACGGCTTCAATCTGATGCAATGTCAGCCCATTATTGCGCAATTCTCTTTATCTATATCTATGCTTGGAGCTGAGAACGTTGTCCTTCGCCCCTTTGAAGATCATGAGATAGATGGAGCTCTGTTGAATACGAATTTGTGATATTGGTATCTGTTATTGACAAACAATACGGATTACAGTTGTACCGAGGGGCAAACATACAACCTGTAATACGTAACACACAGTATTACTGTATTACGGTTACTGTACAGGGCTTTGTTACGATACATTTACGCCGTGTACCGAATAGTTTCTTGACCGATTATAACATGATTAGAAAGAGGAGGTCTATGAGCCCACTTGTGATACATCTTAATTGGTAGCAACCGCTGATCGTCCAGATTTACGAGTCATTGATAGCCCGAGAATTTACGCCACGTGCATCTAATTGATGTACGAATTGATTTTGCGAGATTGTTGGAGCATTTGGTTCGTTATAGAGCAGACTTTTGATTACGTTCAGGTTACATATACGAAAATCTCGTATATCTGCGTAAACTGGACGCGGTCTAGTTACCCTTTCCAAATTTATGCATTTAAAGGACTCGACTTTGAGCCGAGGGTTTTGAAGCCCCTGTTGTCAAAGTAGTGAGACTTTTGTAATCGTTACGCAGATATGAGTGATGCATGTATGTATGCGAGGACTGAGTAGTGAGGGAGGCATAGCACGAAGACGATAATTCATTACCACCTCGTTTTGCTGAATATCCCAGTTTTTTTTCTAGAGTGTTTGCCTTTTCCGGTAACTAATCACACCTACGTCAAACGTCAGGCTCATGCTGATGGCGGTGTGTGTAGCTGAAGTGAGCAATATCCTCACGTACCTCTTCTAGCTAAGATGAGCATAGCCAGTGCACGGTGTTAATCTGTTGAATACGAGGTGGCAAGGTCAAGTTGAATAACAATCACATCGTATAGAGGGTATGATTGTAATTTTCATAGATGCCGAGGACGTGAGCAGCATCGTAAATCTTTGGCGTGCATATATTGGCCATGTTGATCGTACGATGGCTGAGACTACTTTGGTATAGCGTTAGGACTAGAACTAGAAATCGCTACGTACTATCTTCTTAGGTGCTCAGCAAAATAAGCATACTTTCAACTTTAATAATTAGCTTAAGTACTAACTAAAATTCAATAGAGTTGCATGAATGATTACCGCTAGCTACGGTATTTGGCATACACGCATGAAGATTACGAGTGTGTATCTAAATATTTTACTAGGGGCTACTTATTCAAAAATGGGGCGGAAAAAGAGGCTGTATCTATGACACACTCCATTTCAGATCATAGACCCCCAGATTATCAGGACTCTCAGCTATGCTGACAATCATTCGCTCTCATTGTCTTATATTCTATGTCTGTTGTGAGCCATTCCTACGTAGGGGGCTTTCTAGAGAGTGGCTGCTATGATTGGAGTAGCATTGAGGTCTAAATCTGGACTAATTGATTGAAAATCGTTTCCACGACTCGCGGTCACTTTGTCCATACTCAGAAGGTCATTATCTCGCCTCAAGACTTTAAGCAGATTCTTAATCTCTGTTGCGTCTGATAAATGCCATGGAACAAAAACAGTCTCAGAACCAACAAGGCTTGATGCAGAATCCGTCATGGTCCGAACTTCCTCGAAAAGACCAGCTTTTCCTGCTATTTCTCTGTCGATTATTTGATTTTACACAAGTAGCCATTTTCCAGACAATATGCTATTACCAGCTTAAGTCTTTCGATTCTTCTGTTCCTGAAACAACAATTTCCTGGCAAACGGGACTTGCAATCGGCGCCTTCACTGCGGCTCAAATCTGTACTTCGGTCCTATGGGGGATATGTGCAGATAAAGAGTGGTGCGGAAGGAAGCCAGTTTTGGTGATGGGGCTCTTTGGAACTGCCATATCATGTGTGGGATCAGCCTTCTCTCGGTCGTTTTATCAGATGATACTGTTCAGGGTCATTGCTGGTTTGCTTAATGGTACAGTGGGAGTAGTGTTAGTACCATTTGCAAATAAAGTCTTTAAGCTCCATAAAACTAACGATGCTAAATGATTAGTCGCACGATGCTATCTGAATTTATCGTGGAAAAAAGGTTAGCCTTCTGTCATATCCCGAGAGAATCACCTTTCCGTAGAGCTAAATATATGATACATGTGTAGGTTTCAATCACGGGCATTTTCATTGCTGTCACTGTCATTTAATGTTGCTTCAATCCTTGGGCCCCGTAAGTAGAGATCAAGAACCCGAAGCTGATTCATAAAATAACTTTTCAACCCGACAAGTCATTGCTGGTTCTCTTTCCGGTTCCCCAGAGGTTGACATGAATGTTCAAAAGTCGTATTCATGGCAGCGATTCCCATATGCTCTACCTTCACTCGTTAGTGCCGTTCTAATGTTTGTACTTGGAGTTGTCGTATTATTGTATACCAAAGAGGTGTGTTGATTTAGCTCCTATATCCATCTCTAATCATCTCTAATTACGCCTCAGTCAACAAAATTCTTTCTGTGATAATGACTAACTCTCCCATAGACTGCAAAGAACCTACAATCTAAGGCACACCCGAGAAAAAAACTGAGGACTTGCATATTAGGCCTTTTGGGACAACTCCGTCTATTGAAAATCCAGAAATACAAGCCGGACAGGGAGGAAAGTCTAGAAGATGACGGAGATGCAGCCGAGCTTAGGCTTCTATATGATGATACTAACTCAGAGCAAATGGAATCTGTTGAACTACGATCAAGTTCAGTGTCTACAAAGAGGCTTTGGACTTTCAGCTTCCTCACGACCCTTTGCTCGCAGGCTTTTTTTGATCTCCATATGGGGTAAGTATTCGGACTCTTCATGTTTTGATTAATAAAAACACTGGTACTCACACAAATTCTCTTCTCTTGCAGGGCCTTTACCGCTCTTTGGCCATTATTTCCTTCCAGTCCTCGTACTCAAACCCCTCGCACAGGTCATAATGGCATTGGCCTTGGTATGCCCATTCTGGGTGTTGGCGTGGCCACAAGCACTCTAGGAGCTATCGGCATGATCGTCCAGATTTCTATCTACCCACGCATACACGACATTATGGGCACGGTAAAAACCTATCGCGTCTTTAGTATTCTATTTCCTATTGCATACTTTGCCTTTCCAGTCATTCAAACACTCCCGATAGATGCCGCCGTCTGGGTCGCTATAGTCTGTGTCCTACTTATCCACGTCATGGGCCGTGTGTTTGTTATACCGGCTACGATAATGGTCTTGAACAACAGCGCCCCCCACCCTACTTTGTTAGGGAAGGTACATGGGATTGGCCAGACAGTATCGGCGGTGTTTCGTACCTTGGGCCCTTTCCTTGCAGGCTATTTATATCAGGGGGGCTTGAAGCTGGGGTCTGCACTCTTTCCATGGTGTATTGTCGCTGGAATAAGTATACTAGGGTTTGGCGCTGCACAATTCGTGAGAAATGGGACTGCGTCTACTGATTCTATCACTGATGAAGAGCAAGAGTGAGCTTTTTACAGACACAAGAGATAAAACAAAACCGAACCCAATATACGCCACCATATTACATTCTATTTTGCGAGGAAAAGTTGAAGCACCAAGTACCTTGTCATATTTGAGTATGTAACTGAACTAAAGTATTTATTGATAGATACAGTCAGCCAAAGATTACTCACATAAAACCCTTATTTTCTTATAATTTTTATAATATCACGCTATATATAATCTTCTGGAATTCTCTCATGGTCATTTTAGAGCACATGAATCTTCAGGCATGCACCGCAGGTCTGTAAAGCAAAATAAATCAATTTTAGAGAAAGGAAACAATTGAATTAAACATTTAACTGTGGCGAGACACTCTCCTCCGGAAACTGTATCATTCAATCAGGGCCGTTTAATGAAAAATCAAGAACAAGTCAGAACCCTCAGCCTACCTATAGTTCCCTTGATGTGAGACAGCAACCATGATCAAATCATGCAAAATCCGCATGATTTTGGGCAGTTTTTATACATCCATGTTATGTATATAGCATTGTAACAGGTATCTGTGTCTGATGGGCATTCGATGGAAAGATCTTGGCACACTTGATTGAACTCCTGATAGACAATCAATTTCTCATCAGTTTTCTCTATACCACAGATAATTTTATTTGCATGACTTCAAACTTCTTGTTACCGGTTGGAATGGCTGAGGCCCTCGATTGGCTATCTCCGGAGAGATTGAGAGAGAGTTCACCGTGGCCAAGTGCGAAATGACGAGCAAATACTTATAGACCTGCATCATTGCCCACCCAGGTGATCTTTGTTTCCACACAGAATAATTGAGATTCCTTCAATACAGCAGAAGGGGAGATGCCTATCAATCGAAATGAAGATATTATTCCAAATATCAGAAACTGTTGGTCGGCGAACCTAGGCTCACCATCGACTTCTTGCAAATGACTGTGTTTGTCTTCACCACATGCAGATCACTCCAGCTCTTACATTGCCCATATTGTCCTAGACTCGGCTATCGCCATTGTGATAAGTATGAGTCTATTAAGAAGGCTAATGCATAAGTGATATCTATTGAATACATGTCATTCGTTCCCTATGCTTCACTTTAGTTCTGTTTTATCATATCTCGCCACTTCCAACACCAAAACAAGCAGTTGATCCGACATCTTTTGGGGGATTTTTCACTAGCTAAAACACACCGCTCATGTAATTCTCAACAAAAAAGGGGCTTGGTTTTAAGTCTCTGAACGCAAAATGGTCATTACCATTTTACATGTAACGTCAACGGTGGCGAACGTAGCTCCTGATGGGACTTATCATCAGCTGAAGGACTTGTCACATCATATGATATTGATTTTATGCCTATACAAAACCTAATAATGCTTTAACTACGTCCTGTATTATTCTTGCAACCGTGCACAAGGCACTTTAGGGCTAAAGACATACATCACAGATTATCGGTATGGTTACGGTATCGAGACCGTATTGTGGGGTGTAAATGTTTTACCGATACGAGTATCATATGCGTTCCTCCAACCACTGTTATTAAAATCTGTCTGGAGCTAAGTTACAGTTTCTCGTGGGGTGTACCAGCGGTATCAAATTGCTTGCAGCTCTTTCACCATTCTAGACGCAGCGTAATGTCCGCTGATCATAGCTGCCACAATGCCTCTGAACAGCCCACAAGCATCCCCGGCTACATAAGCTGGAACGTCTGATAATCGCAGATCCCCGTCCACTGTGGGATACCATCCTACCCCCTCTAAAGTTGGCCCGATCAATTTGGCGTGAGGGTCAGATCCAAGGTCAGGGAATTTGACTCCAAGGCGTTCTATTCCTGCTGTCATGACACCACGTAATTTGGGCCCATAGATTCTATCGAACTTGGTAACCGTTTCAGTGTCACCATCAAGAAGCAGCTTCATGGGTACCTCGAAATAGGAATTGCGCTGAGCCATAGCCTTGATGACATATTCGACTACTTTTGAAGCCGTTTTTTCGTCAAGGATGAGGGTGTTGAAGCCTGAATTGGAACGCTGGGTTGGTTCACAATCGGAGCGCCCTGAGACCGTCCACAAGCCGTTCGTCTCGGTAAGGACTGTTTCGCCTTGACGACAGGCGCAAAAGGTTCGCCATTCCACGCTGTCATCACTTTCACGGAATCGATATTTCGGGTCCAGTTGTTTCATGTTTTTGAAAAAGGCACGGTCGCTGGATTGCTCTACCCGGAAACCAACCTCCAACCGCCTAAAGTTATAATGGTCAGTTAGGTTCGCCAATCCTTCACCAAGAGGCCCGAAACGACCCGTTGCAACCAAGAGACGCCGAGCATGAATAGTATCAGAGTAATCTGGACCGTCTTTGGTTTTGTTTGAATGCCTCGTATCGATTATGAAGCTATCAGAAGACTTGTTGTAGCGCATATTATCAACTTGGCAATTGTTGAAAATTTGGCCTTGTATTTCAGAGACCAGATCTTCGATAAGTCGTAGTCTTGCTGGTAAAGATAAGTAATCTGAAGGATAATTTTTCAATACCCAGTGGTCTTCAAACCCAGACTTGCTGCACAAGTTGCCCGAATACTGATCTGGATGCTCGGGAAAAGGGGGTGTATCCAGCCCTGCTGTGTTGAGAGTGCCACTTGTCCAAGTATAGGCTCTCTTCAGATCATTCATATGAGGCAATGTCCAAAGCTGAGTTGCGGACGGGAAGAAGGAGAATTTTCCGTCAGAGAACAGACCAGCACCACCATGTCCAGCAGTGGCATCCGATGCATTGTGTCGGTCTCTTTCGTGTGAGGGCTTTCCAGCATCAATTATGGCAAGGCGAAGACCAGAATCCTTGAAGCTTGCAGCAGCAGCCAGGCCACATGGGCCCATGCCAATAATGGCAACATCGAATACCTCTTTCATAGCAAGGAGTAGTATGAGAGATCACCCTCAACTTCTGTGCTCATGTAAAACAGGATTGCCTAACTTCAACACTGCAAATGATAGCAAGACTTCAAATATGTTTCGATTTGATGCTTCGCTGTAGACCCAGTGAAATGAACAGTCATTCTTATAAGAAGACAAAAACATCCTTTCCTCTCGTCTTTCGTTCTCAAAACAGCAACATTTATTGGCTAATTACCAAGCTGTTAATAGCCATTACATCTTTCAAAGACGTTGCATCGCAAAAGCTTTTAGTTCGTAGGTATTTTGGTATTATGTATCATGTATCAAATTTTCCACTGATACATTACCTAGGTATGTACCCAGGTATTTACCAAAGACGCTGCCAAGTTGATAACACCGTGAAATACCCATTTGTAAAGTGTGCCGCCTCGCGAGGAGCTTCCGTGATCCTTCACGATCGCCATAGTCTTGCTATTTGGAGAAATTGATCGTGTGACAGTTCCTTATCGCTCAATACGTGTATAATATCTGATCTCTGTGTTCAGCTTGTGCGGGTCCAAAATCGACACGATTCGTTCGGTATGGCGCCAGACCGGCCCCGAATTTGATCATGGAATTTGTTCGTATTCAAAACGGCATAGCAAGGTTGAAATATAGACTATCGCAACTGGCCCCTTTCTTCATAGCAACTTGACAAGAAAAGTGGTTTTAACAATTTGCCTATATCCCGCCTCTGCGCACACAAAACGCCACCAAAACTTTGCGGAGACCAAAAAAAGCAACGATATTCACAGTGTCGGAGCAACATCTCGAGAGCGAGTTGATAGAGCAACGCCTATCTGACTGCCTTTGTTTCATGCACAAACGAGGCGAACATCTTGAGAATACCTCATTACGGAGATGATCAAACTTGCTGTTCTCGCTTCTTCGGAAGAGAGGGAAATAGAAAGAAATAAAAACAAGGGCTATTAGTGTTCACCTATCTACGCAATCCTTTTTCCTTTTTTTGATTGCTTGTGGTGACAACACCATACTGCCTAATACCACTAGCGAAATACAAAACAAAGCTGACACAAATGGAATAACAACCCATCTACTAAAGGACCTCTCCATAAGCGAGACTCCATCTCTCAGCTTATACACTCTAGTTGAACCTAGAATATAACCTGAATTATCAAGACCATGAACACGAACGAAGCCCTGAAAATAGAACTTGGGGACGTCCAGAACAGTCTCGAAACCGGCTTTTGGCGCTGTAACAATGGCACGGTACTCATCTTCCGCTGCATCTATGGCAGGTACCCAGTCTAAAACCCAAGTAGCCACCTCAGTAGCTCCGTTCCAGCTAACATATACCTTATTCTCAATAATGGAAATGTTAGGATTTGTCTGGGGCCGCCCAATCCAGGAGTGTCTAGATGTTCTATATGAAATTATGTCTTTACTTCCATACCCAGATTGAGGACCATATTCCACATCGCACAGAACTTCACCATCAAGACTGTATTCAGTCCATGTCGGGTGAATACCGTAGCCCATAAGCACGTTGCCATTCTCAAGAATCTGAAGGGAACCTTGTGACCGACTGCTAACCCTGCGCGGGCTCCGATATACGTGTCGAATGCGAGCTGTCATGTTGTTGATATCTAAGTCGACATATAATCCCCGGGAAACGTGCTCTGGAGCGGAAGGACCTCGTGATGCGTTGTCAAAAAGGGTAATGGAAGAAGTATTGCCATCAAGAAACTGTGCATGGTGTTGCCAGCTAATATTTGTCGCAGCTCCATCAGAAAAATCTTCGAAACTGTTATTTTTCCCACCGAGCCTCCAGATGACTTGTCCATTTTGGCCATCAATGTATGAAATGCAGCTCATGTATCGTGAGGATACCATAAAGTTGCCTTTAAGGTCTTTATCGATACTGTTTATGTGGAAGAAGTCCCATGCTCGACCTTCATCTAGGCCTTCTTCTTCCTCCTCAAGCAAACGGTATGCATCATGGAATTCAAAATGATCAGATGCCCACCACTCGAACAGCGCCTCTCCTGTCTGAATATCAATCTCTTGAAACCCACTATCCCAGATATATCCCTCCTCGGACCCATTTACTTGTGATAGGTTTGCGGGAAAGATATCGTAGATAGTGATGAGAGCAGTATTGTCGCGGGTTACACGAAATTCATGTAGATCAGCAGATCGACCGTTCGCACCTGAGATATGAAATTTCTCCTCATAAAAGCAGTTCAGCTGTGATAGTTAGAAAACCTTTTCAAAGTAGCAATGAGAAAAGCTTTATTACCATATAATAACTACCGCTTCCGTGTCCCACAACAGCATCGTCACCTACCCAGAAGGTGAGATATTTCTCTCCTCTATATTCCTGAACTTTGAGATCGTACGTCGGTCCGTAGTATTTCGTCCAGACTAAGCTACCGTTTTGATCCAGAATCATTGGGCCCGGTGATGCAATGCTAGCTCCACGGGGTGTGATCAAGGTGTATTTGCCATCGCTGCATCGCTCGTCATGCTGAAGATAATTAAGGACAGGGCCGACGACAGGGGATGAGCGATAGGATTGCTGCGGCCAACGACCATAAATCCCTTGGTCATAGGCTTCCGAGGCAAGGAATGGCTCAACATCAGCGTAAACAAAATGAGAGAAAGCAACAAAGATCCAAGCAAAGAACATAATTGTTAAACAGCCATATGGTAAAAGGAACAAATGTGCAATTTTGTGTTTGAGGGATCTTGAACAAAGTCAAGATCATCCTCTGGCTGCCTCATAATTGTCATTCACAAATGGAGATGCAAGATATTGTGATCCACCATCTAATGGAAGCGCCGAGAGAATTGATGGACCAATGCAAGCCCTATTACATGTATCGCAAATGGCTAAGGCAAGCTAACCACAGCTTGCCTTAGCAAAGCTCACTAAGGCTTGTGGGCCATAAACCTTGTCAGACTTAATCCGCCAGGGTATGACGGGGGTGGCTGGGTCGCGGGCCAGATTGAGATAGGGAGCTATCAGCGCTGGTGGCAAGCGATAATAAAGACCATTTCCGTTTCGTTGATAGAGGTAATTTACAAGCTTGGTATTTATTACATAGTGTTACCAAATACCGTATTACAATACGCACATGACACACGGTACAATTACTGACATATACGAGGAGATCACCGTAATCTCATCAAGGCTTGGTATTTTGAAACATAGACAAACGAGAGGCCTTTAGCGTGAGGAGGGGGGGGGCTGATACTTTGAATGAGGAGAATTGAGAGCCCATTTGGGTACTTGACTAGATTTGATCTCATTTCCGCCAAGTTGTTAGTAAATATCTGCTCATCTGTTCAGGCGAGCAGTGGGCGGTAAGCAGCCCGCTACACTCAATTTTTTTTATATCCGTAAGTTCTCTGCGGCAAATTCACCTTCCTCTTCTATAACGAGACTAATTCAAAAGATGGTTGCCCCTGCAGTTCCAGTGAGCTATGTACTAGCACATCAAATCAATTGGGTCACCCCGAAAGACCTGACAAGCGACGTACCATTGCCAGAATGGTGTTATAAGCTTGATCAGGGTGGAGGTATCAGCATTAAGGATGCCTTCGTCATTCACTCCGTTGCAAAACTCCCACGAGAATGGGACAACCTGATTCAAAAGCCCTTCATCAAACATGTCCTCGCCAAGAAAGCATCGGCAGTGGCCGCAAATATCCCTTTCTACAGTGAAGGATCAGAGAATGAAAATGAGCTTCGAAGTTCTGTGAAGCAGTTAAGATGTGTCTGGCAGGAGGAAACAAGATCCGTTTTGATGAATGCTAGACCACAGTTCTTATTCAACTGCGCTGTCATGGAAAAACGCTGCTTGGTCGGAGAAGAGGCAGATTTGGTTAGGACTCTACTTGTACTTCTTCAGCGCCCTTGGTGCGTACTTGAGATTTGTTGTTGCGATACTGCCACACTTCATACGATGTTGGAGTTTGTACAGACGGCTGCAAAGCTCGATCATAAAAGCTATGCACTGAGCATGATTCTTTTGTCACATGAAAAGAAAACAAGAAATTTTCCATCTTATGAATCTCACCATCACTCGGAGCGTCGAGGCTGGAAGAAAGGAAACGAGACTCTACGACGGTATGCGTTCATCATTGAATCAAGCACAAAGACAGTATCATTGAATTTGCTCTGGTTACGGATACTGTCTATCTGTGGTTTGGAGCTGAACTGCTCTTATTCCGAGCTGTTGAAGTGCTTACACGATCGTGCGGAAGCTGAAATACCTAAATTGCTCTCAGTCTACAATCGTGTTTTGAGACAGTTGGTAGAGTTCTCCAGCTAGACTGTTATCAGAGATACATGACGATGAGTAGTCCGAGATCAGACACTTTTATGTGATACTCATTCGTGTTCAATCTTCTTCAATAGGCATCTTAAGCATGGGAGTGTAAATAGTTACGGTAGTTAACTTTCGATTTGCCCTAAGTTACTCCGTGCTTAACGATGTGTCAAAGCGAGGCCGCTAATGAACCAGCAAATGAGGGCTAATGTAAATCAAATCTATATGAATAAGTCCTCATTTAGAGACTTTTCTGGATTATATCCAGTTATCATTAAGTAATCAGCGGCAAACCAAGGACGTTGGACAAAAGGGTGGCAATTCATGATACTACACCGACTCGTGCATAGGAGCGAGACCGAATGATACCAAGGTCAGGCGGCATATGCTTTGTAGAAACCTCGTATGCATCTCAATTTGCCACGCGGGTCCAAAATCTGTATGCCCCCTGCTGTGAAGAACTATTTTCATCTCCAACATGGTTAGATTGCGGACATGCTCGTGTAGTTTAGTAATCCTATAGCATATAATACTTGTATTGTATTGAAGTAAATTACGTACTGTACAGGTACATGTATGGATACCGTCATAATCGTTGGTCAACGCCAGACATATTTTTCGGCTTCGCAGGCCAGCAAATTAAAGGTCTGCTTCTTTTCACTCATCCTTAAGTGATACTGTGCCTACAACACAGGCACCATTGAGGTTATGTGTTAATTGATTACAACCATGGGACAGAAAGACCAGTTGCCAACATTGCAACTATGCGTACTCTGTGAGTGAAACATCTCTGATATATCGATGAAGCTACATATTAATAGATCTCTTGCTCATTCCCAGCATTTTGCCGTTTCTCAGAGCCAGGTAATTGATACTCTGTCTCTCTCTCGATTAAATTTATCACTACCATGATGACCCTCTTCTGACTGACAATCAACGCTTTTCCGACATCAGTTGCCCTAACTCTGGCTTTGCCGTACCTGGTATGACTCAATCCTTTTTATTGGAACCAAAAAATTCGTCTTAATCTAAATTTTAACAGCCGCAAATGATCGAATCTTTCGGAATTCCTCGAAGTGAAATCACAGGATGGGTTGGAATAGCAACATCAGTAATCCCTGGTGGACAATGTCTGCTCGGGATACCCTGGGGTTTATTATCAGATCGCGTGGGCAGAAAACCAGTCATTTTGTCTTGTCTAGCATTCGGAATGATTTTTACTGTGATGACGGGACTGTCAAAGTCTTTAGTCACACTTATATTAGCTCGCGCAGGACTGGGTCTCTTTAGTGGGAATGTTGGCATTGCGCGAGCAATGGCGGCTGAGCTAGTTCCGAATAAGGAGAAACGGGCAGAAGGTTTCAATATCCTTTACATCAGTCTATCTATTGCTGGTATTCTTGGGCCAGCTCTAGGAGGGTCGTTGGCGGAACCTGGTCAGAAGTTCCCAACATCCATCGGGAAATCAGCTTTGCTGAAGAACTTTCCGTATCTGCTACCGAGTTTGGTTGTAGCCGGGCTTTACTTTGCTGGTATTACGGTGGGATTCATGATGATGGAGGTAAAAATCTTCCTCGGTGTGAATTTATCCGTCAGTTTTGACCCCATATCAGGAGACTTTAGAAAGGAAACGTTATCGCTACGATTACGGATTGGCAATAAGCCGACGTCTCAAACACTGCGTTGCAGGATTCAGAACAAAAGACTTCGCATATGAACCTGTCGAGTATCAACATGATGATGATCGCCAATCAGCCAATGATGAAGAGAATGATATAGAGCTTCCCCCCTATTCCGAACAGCAGCAATCAGAGCAACAGTCCTCATGTCAAGCAGAGCATAACCGCAATAAGATCAGCCAACTTTACCAAAAGTTCTCAAAACAGTCCAGATATATCCTTCTTACACACGTGCTGGTTGCGCTGCATAACATGGCTTTTGATGCGCTGTTTCCTCTTCTCATGCACTTGCCGGCGACAAGAACAGCAGATGGTGGTGGGTTTGGCATGGGTATGTAATGTTCAGACGTCTTTGATATATCCACAATGGCTAATTGTACAAAATAGGATCACGCACAATCGGGCTATTGTACCTTTTCACGGGGATTGCCGGAATCCTTTTCCAATTCGGAATATTCTCTCGCGCTACAAGGAGGTACGGTGTCGTGCGATGTATCAAAGTCGTCTCCATCATGGCTCCAATCCTATACATCATAACCCCACTGACAACCTATCTTCCCCCATCCATGTATATTGTAGTCGCTCCGCTACTCATGTTCACCAAGCTGGTATGCACAATATTCACTTTCCCGTGTTGGAATACTCTATTGAACAACTCGGCGAAAGAACCTGCAACGTTGGGTGCCCTCAACGGAGTTGCTACAAGTTTGACCGGGATTGGACGAGCTCTTGGACCACTTATTATTGGAAGTACTGCTTTTGGACCGACTGTGAAGACAGCTATGTTGCAATGGTGGGTCCTAGCTGGGTTTGGTGTAGTAGGTGCTATTCCAGCTTTTTTGGATGGAATCACTGGAGAGATATAACGTAGAATAATGTCATTAAAGAATTCGTATGCCAAACAAATTTAGACGCATGGCGAAACTAGAAGTCGGGCCGAAACAAAATGACCACTAGCAAATTGGTCTGTCAGCCTCGAAACAAGTACAAAACGGCGTGTCACTGGCAGACAGACGTTGCCGCTGTAAGATAAAAATTCACCGTAATTCTGTCTGCAATATCGTTCCTCCAACGCCATAAGTATATAAGTAGTCTAAATTCCGCAATTTTAAATTTATTTGTCCTTCCAATGTTGTCTTTTTCTCGTCTGTACAGCTTGGCTGCACAACCTGAATTCATGCTCATTACTATCTCACAGTTCTCAATACATCCCTCCAAGTACAAAGACTTACAATATGGGTAGCACATCGCCATATCAATTTCCAAAGCAGTTTCTCAAAACCAAACAAACACAGTCCGACAAAACACCACTCGTGCTCGTTGCATGCGGCAGCTTCTCTCCCCCGACACTGCTTCATTTGCGCATGTTCGTTATGGCAGCTGACTATGTTCGACTACACACCGACTATGAGTTGATGGCAGCTTACATGTCACCTGTTGGCGATACGTACAAGAAGGCGGGCCTGGTGGCTGCAAATCATAGGTAATAATATCCTACCTTGCATGGTATTAATTAGTGTTTCTGGGCTGGTATAAGCTTATGTTGGTTACAGGTATAACATGTGCCAAATTGCTACCAAATCATCTTCGTGGATGGATGTGGATCACTGGGAGTCTATGCAGCCCGAATATGTGCCCACACTAAAAGTCCTGGAGCACTTCGACGACGAGATAAACGGAGCTCTAGGTGGCGTTAGAGATGTCAATGGTGTAATGAAGCCGGTGAAGATCTCTCTTTTAGCTGGGACAGACCTTATGCAAACGTAATATTCATCTCTTTTAAGCCTTCTTAGCATAGTTTATATGAACAGCACTGACAACGTATAGTATGTCCCAACCCGGTCTATGGAGCGGTCTGCCCGACCTATTCGAATCATTCGGCGTATTTGTCGTTGGTCGTGCCGGAACCGATTCTGAAGTAGCACTAGCTGGTCTCAAGGATTACAAAAATGGTATTTGGTTTGTGCCGCAGGTACTAAATGACGAGAACTCGAGCACCAAAATACGGTTTCTGTTAATGAATGACATGAGCGTGGACTATTTGACGCCGCGCGGCGTGATTGAGTATATTAGGGGGAATGGACTGTACGTCAAGGATCAAGTTGGAATCGCACATCAAGATGGAAGATAGGATATGATGTGTTATGGCATGTATTCGCTATGAGCTACAACATTCTGCTAGCCAAATGTAAGCATATAGTCTACTCTAATCCCGAATGACGCAAGTTATTGCTTCTCCTTCCCTTTCCTCACACCCTGCTTATGTGCTATAAACCTCCCTATATGCTCTAATCGTATAAAACTCCTCCGGCGCCCACGGCGCCCCTTCAATTGTAAACTCGAACCCCTTTCGCTTTAGCAGCTCCTCGATCTCTGGACGAATACCGGACTTCTCCATCGTCTCCAGTACAATATTTTGTATCAGGTCCCAATGCCTATCGTCCAGCCCCTTGAGCACATCAAGTTCTGCACCTTCAACGTCGACTTTGAGTAGATCAATGACTCTCCATTCTTTGCTTCTGTTGTTCAAGTAGTGTCCTAATCGTTGTAACTTGACATCGATCTCGTACGACCCCCCAAACCAGTGATCTGCCATTTCCTGTCCACTCGTTTTCACAGCTTCTCGATGCAATAAAGCTTTCTCCTCCGGCTTTAGGGTCGAGTTACTTGGTAACGTGGGATAGTATGTCAATTTCTCCTCGCTCTCCTTAGTCGACAACCCCACTGGGAAGACCTCCACACCATTTTCAACATCATCATGCGGATGACTGCCGTTTTCCACGAACTGTATATCATTTAGCTCAAGGTTTCGACATAAAAGCCCAAACAACTGCGGCGCAGGCTCAAAGGCTAGTATCTTTGAGTTCGGGTATTTCTGTTTCATGTACAGCGTGAATAAGCCGATATTTGCGCCAGCGTCGATTATAAATGGGTCCGAAGATTCTAATCGCGAAGCAGGGAGGAGGTTGGGGATATCGTAGCAGTGGTCTTCGAAGATCTCTTTGTAGATGAATTCTGCTTCTTTGGGGTTGGGCGCGTAGCAGGATAGGGTGTTGGAAAGGGCGACTAGTTCTTCGTTTTCGGTCATGGTTGCGATGCTGGAATGAATGAATGTCTAAGTTATTTCGTTGTCTAGAATAGTTTCAGAGATACTGGTGCATTGTTTACCTTTCAAAGACTAAGGTACATACCCCGGGCTTATATATTACCCCCAGTCCTACCAGCTACTGCATAGAGAATCCTACATTATGACCTCAGCTGTGGTGACGGAGGCTACAGTTTGCGACTTTACTTCTCTAGTTTTGTCCAGTTGAGGGGCATGCCAAGGGAAAGTCCACAGAAGAAAATCTCCGAAAGTAACCTTGGTGCCTGTGTAAGCGCCGTTGATCGTTAGTACAGTACTAAGATCGCATGCGTTGCCTCAATTAGAAACTAGTCCAGGGTATTCTGGGGCTGTGGGGGAAAGATTAGTTTATCAGATTAGATACCAAATATCCTTCAAGCTTAGATTCAATACTACGTACTCATAGGAAAAATAGGTATAATGATGATATAACGAAGTAATAGCAAAGGTATCATGGTTAAAAGTTTCAACTTAAACCCATATTCACGTCGTCACCCAAGCCCAGCTCTCTCTCCGCTCTCTCCGTACCACCAGTGGCCCTCGCMCCCCATCGATCCAGCCGATTCTGAGCATCCTCAATTTCGCGATCACGAATACTCTTCTGACTATCTGCGTCGCCATCTTCAGTTCCTGTGCGACGGAGACTACTGGTTACGCTCCGCTGCCCGGGGCTACTGCTGTATTGGTTGCCAGGTTTAACTCCATAATCACTTGTGCGGGAACGATGTAGACTCACGGGTCGGGAATTCCTCGCCGTGCTGGATGCGGAAGGTGTATCTTGTGAAGGGGCGACGTTGTCCGCTTCCTGGTTGGTGAATGAGAATGTGGATGCAGAGGGCGATGGAGGTGTGTTTCTGCTGAGATCTTTGGAATTATTGAACCATCGACGCTTTCGCATGCTTCCTTGGGGATCTGCCGAAGCAGTTGATTTGATACTGGCAGAGTCATCCTGGACTTTAGTTGTTTTTTCGGGAACAACTCCATTTTCGTCAACTTCGACTAGCTCGGCATCCCTATACCACTTTCGGCGCCGAGTGTACCGTCCCCAGCTATCTCCTCGTCGACCGTCTTGCCACTGTAAAAGATTAGAGATATATCACTAGATGAAAGAATATCGGCTGACTTACTTTGCTGTCATAATAAATCCAACCACCACCGTCGCTAGTATTATCGCCACCCTCGATACGCCATTGACTCCCTTCAACCCAACGCCAGATTGCATTACCACCATTAGCATCAGGAAGCTCAAAGCTATCTTTCGATGGTACATCATTCAGATGCTCATCAGTCCAAGCTCCACGTTCATGCGGAAATAAGGAATACGTCCATCCAATACCCAGCCACCGTCGCTGGTTCTCATACACGATGAAAGTAAATCGCACACCTCCCTCGGCTTTGCTAGAAGTTGCGATTGCCGTGGCATGATTCTTGGACTGCGCAATCTTTGACTTGTCGACAGCTGTATTTGCTGTCTTATCCGTCGAAAAATTGAGACCCGTGAGGAAGACGCAGATACGTCGGACGGTCAGTGACCGCCACAACAGAACTCTAAAGACGCGAGCAGGACTGGAATGGTACGTAAGAATGATTGTGCCAACACTTAAAACAACGCGGCGAGTAGTGATGATATAGAAAGGAGGAAGGGTAAGAAGTATCCATATCGGCGTGATACAGATAATCCGAATCAAAAGTGACGTCAAGGCCGGCCGCGTAGTCGCCGATGTTGCACTGCTTTGCGTGGAAAGGAAATCGGTCATTTCTCGCAACGGGCCGAGCATAATGTTGCATCGAGTCGTGAACTCTCTCATGGTCTCAACAATCTCGTCTAGACTCTTCTGATGTCGTGTAGAAAGCGATTCAGACGTTTGTTTCCGATGTCCATGTTTCTCGCCGGTCACTCCGGTCGACGAGAGTGGCGAATACCGTCTCGAATACATTCCCAAAATCAATGAAATCACCACCAGTATCGGTCCAGCATATAAAATTATGGCATCGGAGTATAAAACGATGGCCCAGAAACCAGCTACGAGCAAGAAGCTTGCCCACGGATCTCCGCTAGACCATGTCAACAAGCCGGCGAGTTTGTTCAACGGCAAAAGGAACGGGTGAGAATGCGCCAAAGCGCGTGTGATAGGCGGAGGTGTAGCGACTAAAAGAGGGGACTTGCGATGGACGATGACGCTCGAGCGTTGCCGCGAGGTGAGTGATGATCCAGCTATGGTTGTGGGTGAGAATGCGGCCACCGTCGGTGCATGGGCGTCTCGGGGATTGCTCGACTGCGCGCCATTGTCTGATATATTAGACGGCGGCGACATGGGATCAGCCCAGGGTATTTCTATTGGGATAAGCACTAAGCGACATGTCTGCGAATAAGAAATCCAGCTTACCAAACGCTGCCATGCACAAGAGCTGTGTATTCCATGAACTCCCTCCCAAGGGTCATTGCGAGCGTCGCATTCACGGTAAGCTGTTGGAAAGTATCGATGAATGAGAAGTTCCGTGTAAAGTTGATGAGTGAGTGAATAAAGAAGAGAGTGAAATGAACGCTACCAGCAGAATGAGATGAAGAAAGTTGGAAGTAGATTATCGGCTGCGGGGAGCCGAGAAAGCCAGGCTGAGAAGTTGGCTCCGAAGCATGTGACCGCCTTCCTTGTCGGACGCCCTGCGATTTTCCTTTTTAACCTTTGATTATATCAATACTCGGAAACAAACTTCATCCTGTCATCTACACCAGAATAATCAACATCTCACCAATCTAACATCATGTTCCAATTCAATAGTTTAAAGCAACAATTCGGCACTCGGAGCTCTCCACATGACGCAACTCCAGCCCAGCTTCAGCCTCCACGGACGAACTGTTCAACCTCGGGATGCCTAATCCGCGATGGACTTAGCGGGCAATTAGTGAGTTTGCAATTGATTAGTGCTCCATGAACTAAATTTGCACTCAATTAGTCTACTAATCTATTATTTTGCCATCATCCCTCATCACGGAGGCCGTGAGTCTCGTATCGTCCCTCATATTTTGAAATAGCTTGGCTGAAGAGTAGAACTTTTGTTACTGACAGAACGGCCATGCAACATTCGGGTGAGCTCGTAGAGCATGTTGCCGAAATCTGCTTGCGAGTAGACGTTTCAGATATCCTACGTGAGTGCCAAAAGTGTCGACAGATGGATGGATCATGGGATATAAACACGAGGCACGCTTTTGTGAGTTATGTTCATTGACGCGACCTTTCATACTTTCACTGGCCGTAGGAAGAAGTCTCTGGTCCACCCAGTCATAGAGGAAGAAGGTGGAGGAAGATAATTGGAAGAATTCCTCTTCAAGTATTACGTACCTACATGTAGCTTGTACGTAGTGTTTTATGTGTTACGCAAAGGGCTCTTTATGATGGGATAATTTAGATATAACAGACAGAGGGTAGTTACCGCTTACTTGAAATCTTGTTTCGATGCCTTTTGCCATCATATTGTCCCGATCTCCAGTCCCGTCGTCCCATATCGCTGAATGACAAATGGCTACAATGTTATTCTTCCGACGGCCTCTTCTGGGAGCCTTAGTGCAGCCTAGGAATTTGTTGGTTTGTTGTATGGTAAACTTGATGAGCTAGAATCTGTACGTGAATGAAAAGAATACATATTTCTATATCAAGTCCAAAAACATATACCTATGATACCGGAACTTACGTGAACGAGACAATCCCATCACCCTCGTGCTTTCGTGAACATAATCAATTCGAGCTCGAGAAGCCGAATCAGCATATCGAGCCGGAAGATATTCTCTCAGACCGCCCACGGCTTTTCGGTATTAGTACCAAGTGGAACTCTCTACCTACTAACATCAAGAGTGTGGCATTGAGGGTTCGTAGTTTTATGACCTTCCTCTTGATCGAAAATTTCCGGATCCGGAAGGTGTATATGTCTCGATAGGACCTCATGGGCCGATTTCAACGGGTTTTTTGTTGCCATGAAGGCTAGTAGAGGATTGGACACCAGACACGTAGGCTATGTTCTTACTCACTAGATTGAGGCAAGCTGACATGTGATAGACGGCAATTTTGATGCTCGAGACTTTATGCTCGATGCTCTAGGGGAGCGTTGGGCTGGCGAATCATGTCAGGACAACCACCTGTCACATGTATACTTCTCCAGCGAGTCTCAAGATAGTGATCGTTGGGCTTAAAATCGATGCGGAACCCAGGGAGAGCATACAGTCGTATACAACCATAGCACCCAGGCCGTTATAGCGTATCCTAGCACGCATTTTGGATCCACTAAGAGTAGCCCGGCCAATGCTGGCCATGAGAACGAGTATGATACCAGTTTCTGGGTGGCTGACCTTACTTCCTCATACAACAACGACGCCCCAATACGGCGGGAAGTAAGACTTCTACCAGATCGCCGACAAGTCTTATTCAAGATTAACTCATATCAGCTCTGTTTGGCAGTTAATATAGAATGGTATAGCTTTCAATATTGTGCTCTAATACAACGACGAGACCTTCTAAAGTTTGTATTAGAGCTTCGATTGAATAGAAAGCAGATTGATGTGTTTATCGAATATCCCTCAGCGTTATACTTCTAAAGCCAAGAGGCTATGAGACATACAACGATCCTCAACTTCCTTCCGGGACATCAGATACGTCAAACCCTCAACGCCACTGTCTTTACAGTCGACATCCCGGTTGGTAACATAACAATGGCAAAAAGATTTCTTCCTCGATGGGAGAAGAGGTTAAATGATACTGGACCACCACTGAATAGATTTGGGAGATTGGACTTTGTCATCCCACGAGTTGGGCATCCATGTAGCATCAATTGCTTCAAGAGTTTATGACCTTCTATGAGTAATATTAGTCGATTCTACATATTTTTATTGGAGAAATCCCTACCTGGGATTAGAAAGACCATGTTGTAGCGAAAGGGCGACCACCAGCTATACCTCTCCGACAACTGGGTCTTCAAATGCCTAGGAATTAGACAGGGGTTTGAGCTATGCATAACAAGCACTAGTTTGCTGTATGACTAAAATCATTACAAGTACCTTGTATATCAATGGTGTAAATTATAAAATTTATAATCTCATGGCGAAGCGGCATGCAGACGAACCTGAGATCCGAGATTCTACTCAACAGCACGAGGGGTGCTAGACGTCTCGCAATCTCTGTTAGGGTTTTCCCGCCCCAGCCCTAACAATTCGAAAGTAAACACATCGAGCCCGAAAGTGGACTTTGTTCTGTTTTAATGCATTGATATACCGACAGTGTATACATGTCTACCTTACTCTTAGTCCTTCAAGACGTAGAGTTAAGCCTATGTGCCCCATTTACAAGATATATCTATTCCTGTGCAGGCAATAGATCTACAAATCTACTTTAAGTCCAACGCATCATGTTAATGGTCAAAGGAGACTTCGAACAAGCCAACCCTTGTCCAATTGCTTGATGCACGGTGACCTATATTACATGAGTTAAAGTCCTGTAATTTCATTGAGGAGGAAATTGAAATGAATCTGTCATTTCCTTGGAATCAAAGGTACACTGAACAATATAAGCATTCATCACAACATAGTGCATGTAGAAGTTGAAAAGAATAAAATTTGTCGCTGCATTCATAAATTCATAACAAATGTCAGATCCGGTCAGACCGAAACGCAACCCGATTTGTGAGGCCAAAAATACAGAGCACACGAGTTCCTCTCTCAAATCATCAACATCAGCGACAACCGTGGCCGCATAATCGGAAGATCGGAACCTAGATCAAACGCATCAAGATCAATCAGTCATAGCTCAGTACATCATAGACATTGAATCACTCACTGCTCTGGTTCTCCCTATCACCATTTTCAGAGCGTTGGAGTCAGAAGAACTGCCGCACAAGCTGCCTGGCAGGTTCCGTAAGCGGTGTTACAGGCGATGATAGAAGCAGGCGCGGTAGCACCTAGGGTTGCGCCCCATGTAAAACCTGCTGCGCTATAGCAGGCCATGACAACAGCCGCACATCCGGTCTGGCAGACACCGTAAGCCGCAGGACCGGCGGTCACGGACGTGGTCAGTAGCAATGCAGCGAGCGCTGCTGATAGAAGCTTCATATTGATAAGTCTGGAGCTAGATTTGTAATGGATGATGGATAGTTGGTGTAAGAAATATGGGATAATGGGTGAATGAGGATACGTACGTCGACCCCGCACTGAGTCGGCACGTCGACGGAGCGGATTATCATTATTTTTACTGTCTAAGTGATCATCCTGTACATAAATTCGAGTTATATAGGGGTCAGATTGCGTATGGGGTCCAGATCTCAATCTGACCACATATATCAGGGTTACACGGGTGCTGGTTTGTAACTCGGCTTGTAATTTGCTCCCTGATAGCCACCAACCTCATCCACACCCCAGATCCCTACGATTTTACTGTGTAGTCGTTATAATCAGAATATTCGTGCTTATAAGAAAACATATCACATCCACCCGCTTGATAGTGTCGCTGGTCGAAGATTATGATTATGAAACAAAGATAGAGATTAATCTGTTACTCATCTGTGGTCTTGAGGACAAGTTTGCCCTTCAGGAGAGCAGAGACAAGTATTTCTTAAATGACCTATTGGATTACTGATGTGAGTCACTCTACTGGTTCTTATTCCATGATGACCCGATATTTACTTACGCACCATTTATCGAAGCTGAGCACTAGTCTATGATAAACCCTTGAGCCTGGTACAATATAAACTACCATTGATTCGCCCGATTATGACCTATGAGGCAACCACGTATTGGCCTACCATGGAGCCAGTCTTCCAACGGGCATCTGTACAGTCATTCACTATCTAGGTAAAAATATAAACCCAATACCTATAAAGCTAATCTATAATTCAACTTACCTAAGAATTGAAGTAGCTCAGATCTTTATGGCGACGATGGAATGTGACGGCTACACTTAAAAAGATATGCACTGACATCCTCTCAAGTAATTGTATTAGACCAAAAAGACGCGAAATAATCTAGTAGCAAATAACCAAGTGAAAGTCAGATAATTGATATAGATAATTGAATCGTATTAGGATGCCTATCGAGCCTAAAGGACTCGAAAGTGGGAGAGAATAGAAAGCTGTGCCTAGCATAGCCATGAAGGAAAATCATGTGGAGAGAGCCGCGGGAACTGTCCAAGTAGGGACGAAGGAGTGTAAGGCTGGCATTCGGAAAGCTAGAAGAAATGACAAAAGAGTGTCTGTATGGATATTTGTCGACTGATGATAGCCCCGTGATGTCGACGTGTCACTTGGCATCTCGACTTGTGGAGTGATCGTATGTCATACCAAGAACCTCCTCGGGCTTATTCTCTATTTTCAGAGTCCACTCCATCACAGCATTTGTTCGTACGCCTGTCTCTGACTTAAATGTGATTGTACCCTTGTCGAAATGAACTGTAATGTCAAGAACATCATTCCAGATGATATCATCGAATCCGTCTTTGAAAAATACTGTAGAGATTCTGCCTTTGTCGAGACACAATTTAATAGGATCCCTGACTTTTGGCTGACCTGAGTCCGGAGTGTATGTTACTGTGACCTCTCCTAGTGGTCCGAATAATCGCAAGTCTGCCAGCTCTTTGTTCGGGTCGTTGAAGAGGGCAATTTTGAATGTGTATCTGCGGGGTTTTTTTTCTTCTACAACCAACCAACCATTAACGTCGACTTGAGCTTCTTCAATCTTAGAAGATGATTGTTTGGATTGGTTGCTGGACAGTGGCTTGGGKGGTTCGTTCGGCTTGGTCATATTGAAGAAGGCGTGGCTCGTTTCCACGACTTGTTCGATCGATCGATAGGAGCTCAAGAGATGATATTGTTGATATGATTCAATATTAATACTATCAAAGCAATGATTTAAAATATTTGAGAAAGATTGACTGATGCATTGCAACTGAGCCAATTTATGCTCCATCCATGTATCCTCATGAATCACAACTGACTGTCGTTTCATATACGTATATTGTCATTTTCTCTGACTCAATTACATATTTGAGTCAAAGATAATAGTCATCGAGGGGTCACTTTCGTGTTTGATGGGATGAAGAGCGATATTTCTATCTGATAAAATAGATGTATTAAGGAGATCACAACATCTACTCGGGCTGTATTTTAGAGGTCATGACTTAGAGGATAAGACCTTTAGGATGTAGAAACGGCGCAGTTGAGCTTTTTATGCTTCATTTTCTTGAGTCAAACGAGCGCTGTAACTCAAATTGACTTACTGAGACCTTGATTCAGAGGACATGTCAGTCGGGCGTATAGAGATAATATGCTCCACAGAGATGGGATGAGTGGGTATCAGGAATTGGCAGGCTGCGGATTAGATCAATAAACAAACAGCGTCCCCAAAATTAGACGTTGTGAGTAATCTATGATCCCAAACTTATAATTTGCTATAGAACGCTAGTTACTCCATTAATTCCTGGACGAAGTATCTAGGTTGGCTCCTAGAAGGGACATGTCGGCAGATTCAATCACGTTGTAACCTAGTACGTAGATAGCGTATACATTGACATATTATGTCAAGCCCCTTTGAAATCTCAGATGGTTTATAATGTAATAATAATGAGATTATCTATATTATTCCATAACGAAAGGAAAGAAATCACACTACAAGTCTAATAAATAAATAAATAAAGGAAAAAGCAAAGGAACTGCCTATCATGTCTCAGCTAGGATTGCGTCGGAGCAAGGTATTCTCCACGACCGTGGTACTTCTTTCCCCAGATTGTTCTAGTTCCGTTTTCGTAGGTATTGCGACTCAGTAGAGAGACCTTTCTCATCTCTTCAATCACCATCGGTCCATTCGACGTCATACGATAGTAACTGACTGTCCACTCGTCGAACCTCAGGCCAATAATAAGGAACTCTCTCCACGAAAAACCTTCCAAAGTATCTTCGAAAAAAGCACCAAACCTATACCGGTCGTTTGTGAATTTCACTGGAAGAGGCTCTCTTCTTGTGATCTGTGTTGACTCTGTATAATAAGTGACCCAGACGTTTGGTGGTGGCGAAACCCATTGTACAGCGATATCTGTCCCGTGCTCGTAGAGGCTAATGTCGACTCTGTACCCAAATATCTCATCATGGAAAACAAGTTCAAACTCCATATCAACGTCTTGAGCACGTGGAGCAGTATCAGAATGAAACTGCTGCACTAGGATTTCTGCAGCAGACAGGCGGGGGAGTATGAAAGGCATGGTAAGATAAATCGGTTTTTATAGACAAGTATATAACCCAAAAGAAGATACTCACGCAATTCTACTTTCTCGCAAAGAAGGTTTGGTCGTACATCTGAGAATAGAACAAGAACATTTCCGAAACACACATTGCACAACTACAGTTGATCTTTTTATCCTTCATTTGAATGAGTCAAGATAGTGATTGTCAAACAGCATGACCTTGATCCAGACTCATTTTATCTCCTGAGAACAAGTCATCAGGATGTATATAGTCATTAATGTGCAAAGGAGTTGACTATGTTCAGATGAGGAATAGGATTGATGGACTTTTAGATGACTGGGTTAGGCTACATGAAAAAAGAGCTGTTAGTGAATCCTGGATTGTTACTAGCCATCTTGGAGAATTGCAAACACGAATCCCCTAGAATGACAAATTCAGAATAGTAACATAGTCATTTTTACAATACTAAGTCCGACGTCTAAGTAGTTTGGTCTATTTCCAGAACTCCGTTGGCTATATACATGTAATAGCCTGGTGGGAGGGAAGCATCAACGAATGTCTATCTATGACCGTTGACACCATTGACACCGTTTAGACCTCTAGACTCATCAGATGTACTGAGCTCGAAGACAGTAGTTCATGTGTTGAGGGCATGAGCTGGGTTCAATTGCTCGATAGTAGGTAGACCCATCATTGCCAGTAGCGTCGAGATAGGGATTTCGCTTAGTGCTAGCAAATGGGAACTAATGTGTCGAAGTTCAGACGTCCCAAGCATACATTTCATCCTATAAGTAGACAAAGAAAATCATAGTCATCTCAATATCATAGCTTCCTATCAATGCTATAATGATCATTGACTTTTCAGCAAACTGATTTGAATACACAATGCAATCTAGTACCTAGGTAAATAATGTGTAGACAGACATCCTCTCTCGAAATGAATAGTAGATTAGCTTCAGGGAAGAGTTTAGTGAAGGATGAATCAATGAGGGACCTAAGTAACTAGTCAAATTAAGACTCCAGCGAGTGTCCATCCTTTATCGCGAGCGATTTCCCACAACCGATGTAATCCTTTCCCCAAATTTGCTGAGCACCTGAAGTAAACGTTTTATGACTCAAGAGAGTTACCACCCGCGTTTCTTCAACAAAAAGCTCATGAGAGTCAAATTCATACTTGACCGTGTCTCCCTCGAATTCCATGACAATAAGAAGACACTCACTCCATCCCCGGTCATCAAGATCGCCATCGAAAACGGCAAGATATTTGTCATTGTCAATCTCCAATTTCACGTTGAATTCAGTTTGGATCAACCTATCTGCGTAATGTTTAACCCGGATTTGTGGCGCTGGCTCGACCCATCTTAACTGGTCGTCTGTATCACAATCATAGAGTCCAATCATGACTGTGTACTCATGTCCAGTGTCCTCAAAGTGAACCTCGAACTTCATGTAGATGTCACCAAAACGATCAGGTGCATTATCATGAAAGCGTTGCTCAAATTGCTCACCGAGGGTGAGAATTTGAGGCATATTGATTTAGATCTTGCTTGTATATACTTCTTCCTTAAAGGTATATAGAAGATTGAAAATTTTATATGTTGGCAAAGATACTCATTAATATAGTTCGAAGAAGAAGAAAAATAACAAGAGAACGTAGATCTCTCCATTTAAGTAATTCTATTCATGCTTCATTTTATGACTCAGGAGTGGACATAGTCATGCAATATGACTTGAAGGATTATCATCTCAACTGTAGAAACGAGTCATCCAGGCGCATAAAGGCATTATGTGCCAAAAGATATGAACACATGGGCACCTAACACCTTCACATGAGATGACCTTTAGATGGGATGGATAAACATGGATGAGGAACTCTAGAGATACTTTCCGGGTTCGAATTGTCAAAGCAACTCATGATCATGTCAACTTCTGTGAGTGATGTGGAATGCAATAGTCGTATCAAGCTGTTGTGTAATGGTGGATTAAGCTATATAAGTCTATAAGTTAATAGACAAAAGTATGAAGATTCTATCATAGCCTGTAGACTACAGTAGAATCTAATTAAGTAAATTAGGACTAATAAAAGCAAGGGGAAAAAATCAGCGGGATCAATCTAGAGAAGAAGGGAACAAGAATGTAGAAAAGAATATCAGGAAGGAGTAGGTCAAAAGAAAAGGAGGGAATGTGATAAAGAAAAAGATCGCAGGGGACAACCATCATGGATTGATATACGAATAGCTGACTAAATGTGGGATAAGACTGGCAAACAACCTAAGCTGTCGGTTTAAAGAGCTCACTGTCGTTGAGACACTCGAATCTTTTTCCACAAATATTGGTCGGTTGGGCCTTAACTTTAAGGCTCAGTTGTCGCGCCATCGCTTTTGTTGCCATAATCTCGCTTGAGATAGCAGCTTTGATGTACTTTATTGTATTTGCGGCAAATTTCAATCCCAACAAAGATGCACTGCTGAAACACGACATCGCTTATGTTGTGTTCGAAATAGACCACTTGCTTGGAGTTCACATCACGGAATTGCAATGTAACTCCGTTTCTGATATAGTCTTTCTCATCGGTGTAATATTCGAGTCGGAAAGGTTCTTTTCTGTAAGTATTGTCATATCTTGAGTCAGTAGAGATGTTAGGTGATTCAAAAAAGTCAGTAAGTGTGTAACTCATCAGTGTTGAAAGAGAATAAAGACCTTTCGTTGAGCCATGACTCTAACCAAAAGGACAGAACGAGTACCTCTTTGACTAAATCTATAACCAGAACCTAGTGATGCCACCGATAACAGGGACACACTGCAGATGACATGATACAGTGCAAATGACACGATGAGGTCCATTTCAATTCTAGTCAAGTCTTTGCCTGTCGTTCATTTTGGTAAAAGTGTTTCGAGATTGGTGATACATCGAACAGCAATATCTTATTTGGGGTCCATGAAAGCTCCACGCACATAATACATTGTAATTCATCCCCAACGTATTCTATGTTATATGTAAACAGATAATTAATCCCAACTCCGTCTGGCACCGGCCTGTCGGGGCTCCATTTCCTCGTCACCATCGCGAATACGGTTGTAAAACCTGTACATTCATCTCTAGGGAGTGCACTTGTTAAGCATTTGAAGAAATTACATTCATCGAAACGCCATCCACGAATGTTGTATGTAGTTAGAGGTCAAAATAAAGTAGATATAGATTGACCAATCATCATCAAGTAAAAGCCTCTATCACGTGATATGGAAATCGAGCTAGCCGTATTGAGACGGTATTTTTTTTCTCCGACGATCTCTTCCGAAGACTCGCCGCAAAGTCATCCACCGCATCACGTTGTCATTATACCTACCCAGGGCCATCCTATCAATCATCATGGTACGTCGATGCAATTAGTTCCTATAAATTTACTTTCACGAGACTTGATTTACTAAACCGTACTATCTACAGGCTCACCGCATCATTACAACCCTCGTCGTAACCGGCACCCGAGTCTTCGGCCGCGCCTTCGCAGAAGCCTACAAACAAGCCTCTGCCAGCTCTAAATATGCCTCCGAGATGAAAAAAGGAAATGTCACGGGCGCCAGCACATATGCCTCCAGTGGACTTACGCTTGACGAAGCATGCAAAATCCTGAACGTCAAACCTCCCCAAGCCGCGGCTGCTGGTGAGGCACAACTCGAGACCGTCATGGAACGATTCAAGAAGTTATTCGATATAAATGACCCGGAAAAGGGCGGAAGTTTCTATTTGCAGAGTAAAATTCTGCGTGCAAGAGAACGAATTGAGATGGAGTTGCGCGAGACGGAGCGCAAGGCGACGATGGATAAGGAGTTGAAGGAGGGTTGGAAGCCAAAGGTCTACAAGGATCGGTGATCGACTCCAACAATTCACCTACTGCGCCTTTTCGTTCTTGAGTCGACTGTTGCCAGCCAAAAATCGTGTTCGAAACGATTACTTCTGACGATACCGACATTTTATTTACCATCTCCCTTCTTCGTTCGCCCATACCGGCATCATAGAACTTGTACTATACTTGTGACGAAAGACGTCCGTTTCGTTGTTTATTGGGTTGCGGCATAGCATGGCGTTTTCATTCTTTTCATTTGTTGGATGGTTCGATCCTATAACTGGCCAGTATTCCGCCGTATTAGTTCAGGAGTTTATTCTTGATGATATCAGTGATATATGTCGAATATCTGGCCAGTCATATCGATGGAATTCTTGTACTTATGTGATTATATAATAATGGCTACGGATCTACTGTCACAGTCAACTTCGTTTTTTGAACTGCACTCCGCGCGAGTCATTTTTAATTATCCAGGCATTACCGAGATGTGTTACATTGGTCTGAGTGACCTCAAGACTCCTCTCGATAGACACAGTGCGCCGTTCTATCTGCAACCAATTATATTTACCAGGATTATTCAGATATGCATCTGCCCACGCTGTGTATGTCATATTAATTGATAATCCGTCTTCCTAAGTCCGCTTACTGAGTCATCTCTGACTGATACATTACTGCTTGAATTATGCTTCCTCGGGAGGTGAGATATCTAGCCCTCCAGTTGACAGACGTCTATAACGTCCCTTCAGCCCCAGTATAGGATGGCAAGTGACGCGGTCCACCATTATCGGTGCCTCCTAGTCCTCGAATTGGTCAAAATATTTGATCGTCTACGCCTTTGTCACGTTTTATCCAAAAGTCTCGCTTATCCCATGTGCGAGGAAGCAGTTGGTTGGGAATGTGCTATGCAACCATTAGGTTCCGCCCCTTATGGATGACTCGAACGTGGTGCATATTTCCCTTGGCAGTGAGATTTTCTAGACACTAACCAGTGCTATGTGCATATCTCTTACGGGGCGTTTTGAGTAGCATGCCGTCAAGCCTTTTGGGCAATGGACGTGATTCGATCGGGGATGATGGTATGTTGGGACGGCAAATTGAAGTACAACTGATGCCTGCGTAGTATTTTATTCTGGATGATAGACAGTAAGCAATTGGTAAATTTTGCAGTGCTTGACGGATGATGTCTTCCGGTGATGGCGTCGGAGATCTGGTTTCTCTCCGACAGCCTCTCGATCTCACAGTCATTTGACGTCCATCCACAACATCTCAGCAAATAGAAACAGAGTGTGGTCTGTTTACCACAGGGCGTCACACAACTGCACAAAGTCAAGCCCTAATCAAGCGATCTCCAGCAAGCCTCGCAAGGACAGTTTAAAGTCAGAGTGAGAGCGAATGGCTAGGGTAAAATGCCAAGATCGGAGAACAGATGATGGATCATTCCCCGAACTTACTATTCCAGGACTAGCGTGTGATCCCCACTCGGGGTTGTGCTGGGTCACATGACAAAACTCTAAATATTGTTCCGGCTTCTTCTCTCCTTCTGCCTATCGCCAATCTTATATTGGTTGGTCGGTCAATATAAATTATACGAAGCCCACAGGCATCAGCTTACGCTGCGAGCTGTACGAGTTGACTGGGGTTTGATTCGCCAAATGGCTCGAGCCCCATCACTTTCTAGAAACCCCGTCCCATTCGAACGCTCCACTTTCTTCAACCTAGGCCTGAAGTACAGCAGACTCTGGCCACGAGCTGAAAACTGTCTAACGCGTTTCTTTCCCAAATCACTGATTGCATAGATTAATTGCTGATCCTCCTGCTGGCCCATGAGAAATTTAGCTCATTTAGCTCATTCTAAGGTCGAATTGTCTTCCAACGACAGCCTGTCTCTGTATCTGGCAAACTGTAACTGCCTATTTGGGGCCGAATCGGTGTCCGGTGCTTCGTACTATTACTTCGTGCTAATGCATACTCTGCTATTAGTGCGATGCATTCAGTCTGTCACTGTCGTAGGTCACAGCCTAGTTACACTGCACATTGTCTGAAAACCGGACTAAGATGGGTTTTAATGTTCCTTCCTATTATTACCAAGTGCACGTCCAAGACTTCTCCAAGACTTTCCAAGACTCTTTCTACTCTTTTTCCTTCTCCAATGTATCATCTACGTGTAACGTGAGAGGGCGGAAAAACAACGTATATGAATTGCTAATCCTTACATTTCAAATTTATTCCGACTCTGTGCGATACGAGAATGCTACCGTCGTTGTTGAAGGTTCTACGATGAATCCATTCGAAAATTGTGTTTGAAGTGGTGAGATAAGACGAGAGAGTCGCGAAACACAAAAAAATGCCTTCGCCAACAGAAGATTTGGGTCCGACGTTGATTGCTGTTACGACTGTTCTTCTTGTCCTCTCGATTACTTTCGTAGCCTTGCGATGTTATGTTCGACTAAGATTGGCGTGGGGATTCTGGTGGGATGATGGATTCATTCTCCTATCGCTAGTTAGTCTTATTCTTTCACATAAGCCTTTTCGGTTGGGATTGAGTTACTGACTCTGTTAGACCTTCCTGATCGGCGCACATGGTCTTGTCTACTACCTCGTCGCCAAAGGCTTAGGAAAACATACCGCCAATCTCTCCGACCCAATCCTCGAGATAGCCAGTCTGTTGGGCCTTCTCTACGACTTTACAATTGTCTTTGTCATTGGTTCTTACTTCAACAAGATTTCTATCGGCCTGTTTTTGCATCGACTGAAATTCAACAGTCGCTGGTTTATCATTCCAATGTGGATATTAATGTTCTTCCTTGGCGCAATCAATATCGCCGCGCTCGCAATCAACGTGTTTAATTGTGATGACCACCTGGTCAGCGGATCCAGCGGACATGTCGAGGTCCTCTGCCCGTCGGACAAAGATGCCACACCCGTCGTATATACTCAATCTGGGCTGACGATTGTCCTGGATCTGTTTCTAAGCATTTCGCCAATTCCTGTCCTGTGGAATACGCAATTGACCTGTCAGCAAAAGATCCGGGTATGGGGGTTGATTGCTCTCGGTTTGATCTCGACAGTTGCGAATGCATTGAGGAATAAGTATTCATATGTCTTGGCGACGTATGATCAGTCTTGTGCGTTCTTCCCATCTTTCGCGACGAGAAGCTACAAACTAACGGATTAGATACGCTGGTTGTATTAATTATTATATCTGAAATGGAATTCGCCCTAGGCGTAATAGCAGCATGCTGTCCCGCAATCGTCCCATTGTTCAAACGGCGGCAATTACGACAATCATACAACGACATTGACGGCACGCCTCCCATTCATTCCGATCGTGGCGCTGCCGGCAGCCGTGACGAGAGAAGAGTTTCCGGCCCTAGAGGCTGGCTTGAAGCTGTCGTTGGACTCGAAAGCGGTACGACGATAACTACGCATAGTATGAAAGATGATCGGGATGATGAGGAACAGCAGCATGAGCGAAGACTGAGTGATCAGAATATTTATTTGCTGACGATCCCTAAGCCGGCGTACAAGCAGCAGACGTCTATTAGGAGGGAATATCTGGGTAGTGAAAATACTTGATCGCGGCCCAGAAGCTGTTATAATATGGTTTAGTATTGATTGACACAGATTCCAGGAGAAGATCTGTAGATACGGCTGTCATGTTGCCGCATTTGCGAAAGCTGCACCTCGAGTCCATCATTTCGCAGCAGAAGTGGGATGCTCAAATAGTGGTACATCTCGCCATAGAGGCGATGAAACTGGCGACGATCATTCAAAGCCACTCACCAGAGTGATGTGACCTTCGAATAGAGTTCCACCCTGCTCTACCAGTGAGGGTCTGGCGAACGGATACTTGGTGGTTTAATCACTGCATTGACGGTATTAGCTTCCTGTACGTCGAGCAAAGAAGCACTTTCTCTTGGACTTTCACTATTTTCAGAGAAATAGACAAGATAGATTCTTGATATCCGATACCTCAAAAGGACCCATTCCCCGTCAAGTGACATACACTTCAGCCATATTGGGGATTTGTACATAGCTGATTTGACTGAATAACGAATGAACGGCTGAACGACTACTCGCAGTAGCCTGAATTGACCGGATTAAATCGACTGGTCTAGAGTGTCTGCTTCGTAGGTGTGCGACGTCAACCCTAGTACTTTACAAACATCTCAATACAGCTAGGAATTTCTCCTTCTTTTGGTACATATTATCCCAGAAGATACGAACAATGAAAAAACATATATGAAGATCAATATTATACAGAATATAAGGAGTACATTTCACATGCCATTAGTCGGCCAGTCAGCGGGGCGGCGATCGCGAAGGAGGGGCAAAAATTATTTTTCCGCTTATCGGATCGGATTGGCTTATCGATCTGATATATCTATCCCTTTCTTCTTCCTTTCCAGGCAAGCCGTCTTGTCTTCCAGCTCAACTTCTCCGGTTGAAGAAGAGAATACAAAATCAAAATGGCCCGATCACCTCCATCAAAAGTTCTCACCCCCCTCGTCCTCGGCACCGCAACCTTCAACACCCAATACAATGACGACCCCTTCTCCCTCCCCTCCACATCCATCGTCCACCGCGCACTTCGCGCCGGCATCCGCGCTTTTGATACATCCCCATACTACGGCCCCTCTGAAGAGATTCTAGGCCAAGCGCTCGCTTCGGAACGAGTAGCGTCTGAATTCCCTCGTCATACATACCAACTTCTCACCAAAATCGGGCGAGTCGCCTTATCGTCGTTCGATTACTCGCCTGCTTGGGTACGATATAGCATAAATCGCAGTCTGAAAAGGTTACGCACGGATTATTTGGATGTCGTTTATTGCCACGATGTGGAATTCGTGTCTGCGGCAGAAGTCCTCGAAGCGGTACGCGAATTGAGACGCATTCGTGATGCGGATCAGTCGATTCGGTATGTGGGCATTTCGGGGTATCCGGTTGAGACACTGGCGGAATTAGCGGAGTTAGTCCTCAAGGAAACAGGGGAGCCGTTGGATGTGGTCATGTCGTATGCGAATTATAATCTACAGAATACGCGATTGGCGACAAAGGCGTTGGCGAGGTTGCAGGCTGCGGGTGTGGATGTTGTGCCTAACGCGTCGATAATGGGGATGGGGTTGTTGAGGGGCCAGGGTGTGTTTGACTGGCATCCTGCGCCTAACGGGTTGAGGGACGCAACTTCAAGGGCTGTAGAGGTGCTACGGGATGAGAAGAATGAGAAGTTGGAGTCGCTGGCTACGAGATATGGAATTGAGTCGTGGATACGAGAGGGCTCAGCCGTGGGTGTGTATGGACATCCGCTGGAGGCGACGGATGGTGCTACTGCAAAGCTGAGTAATGGTCAACGACTGGGTGTCACGGTGGTGGGCGTGAGTAATGTGAAGGAAGTCGATGAGTTGGTAGCTATATATCGCGAGGTTCTCGATGACGTTGTTTACTCAGATGAAACGCCATCGACGAAATCCCTCGAGACGGCAGAGTCGACCAAGTTGGTGCGCTCGATATTGGGACCGGAATGGGTGGATTATGCCTGGCCGAGTCCTGGAGAGGGCTATGTTAATACATTACCAGATGATCATCACAAGTTCTTAGAAGAGCAGAACAACAAAACGACCACATATGCGGCTGGCAAGGCTGGAGAAGTTGCGGTTAGCGCAACTGAAGTTCGCGGTGTTGCAGCCTGATTGCGAAACACTCCTTCATGTTCATAGATAGCAATCCTCACCTCCTGCTCATACACCCGAGCCTCGGATATAATAATTGACTCACATTCCAAGTGGATATATAGACTTGCTGCCTAGCCCTAGTGTCCTAGATAGACCAATTGCAAATCTATCGAGGAGACGATCTTCTCGCGATCTTATCAGATGGCGGGGTGCTCGGCCTCTTTCTCCGAACGCGGTAAATCCGAGCTTATCGCTGGTCCACCCAGCCCCAAGCAGACCGTGCGGAGTTAAAGATCTCCGTGTAATTTTGAAGTATAATAACAACGCGCTTCCTCTTGTGTAGGAGGTCTTTTTCAACATGTTATTGTTTCGACTGTTTCCTCAATCAAGCCGGCTTCCATTTAGTCGCAATTGCAATTCCTTGTCTCTGCCTCGTATTATACATTCTAGTACTCGCTTCAACATGCCGAAACCTACCTTTGAAAACATCGGCTCTTACGATGTACGTTTTCCCCCATCCTCTCTTCTTTTTCAGCTATACCTAGGTACTAACTGTATGTAGGACCTCCGCGAGCTCCACCTCCTCCACTACATCTACTCCCTCCCACACCTCTCCACCCTGCGCAACAACCCAGCAGCCGTCCTGCGCGAAATCGACAACTTCTCCCAAGACACAGACAAACGACTCATGACCATCGGCCCCCAAAAGGGCGCTTTTCTCGCCGATATTATAGCAACTCGCAAACCATCCACAGTCGTAGAGCTGGGCGGGTTTGTGGGGTACTCTGCTATATACCTCGGTGATGCGCTTAGGGCTAATGGCGGGRAGAGGTATTTGAGTTTAGAGTTGAATCCCGTCAACGCGGCTGTTGCGAATCTATTAATTGAGCTAGCTGGGCTGAGGGATATTGTTACCATCCACGTCGCGGMAAGCCATAAGACGCTTGCCGAGTTCGTCAAGGATAATGTCATTGACCACATCGAAGTGATGTTGATCGATCACTGGAAAGATCGATACTTGCCCGACCTGTGGCTCATGGAGAACTTGGGTTTGTTGAAACCTGGTGTCACGGTCCTAGCCGCGGATAATTGTCTCAGACCAGGTGCGCCGGAGTACCTGGAGTGGGTGAGAGCTACAACCAAAGAAAAGGAGGCATTGTTGAAGAAATATGGGTTTGAGCCGAACGGAAAGTATGTGAAAGGGGAGGAGTTGGTTAAAACCATTAAAGAAGGAAAGAAGGACGTGGAGTTGGAGAATGTGCCTGGCGACCCGACATGGATTTATGAGACAAAAATGACGGAGTTTGAGTTGGGGAATGGACGACATGTAAGTCCTGCTATTTTCTCATACATGGAAACTTCCACTAATAGTTTACAGGATGGTATCGAGGTGGTCAAAGTAGTTGGCAAGGAGTGATCCATACATTGGATGATGTTTCGATATGTATCTGTAACTAGTGCTCAAATTGAATGAATCACAGCATAAACCTAAAGTCCTTCTTAACTTCAACCCCTTCAACAACCACTCTCTCCCCCCTCGCCAAATCTTTATTCATCCTCACATACACCATTCTCATCCCCGCACAAATCACCACAAAAACAGCCTGACACACAAACACTGTAATCAGAGCGGGTCTATACGTCGGCGCATCCTGTGCTCTATACGCCCCGGACGACACAATGCCACCTAGGTTCGTACACATCGATATAAATCCTAGAGCTACTGCACGCGCAGATGTAGATTGCGTATTTGCGCCCACCCACGCGGGAACAAGAAGCATTGGCACGAATGTGCCAAACGTTAACAAATAAGTCAGGAAATACCCGACCTTGACGTGATGCACTAAATCTAGTGCTCCTAGTAAAATCCAACCTATCATCGATACAACAATAACCACAATCGAGACCAGGGCGCGCTGCTGAATGCGGTCTGAGACCCAGCAACTAACATACATCAGCAACGCGCCTGTAAGGTTAGGCCCGATGGTATATAGATTCGCTCTCACAGTATCCTGCGTAAGCCGTTTGATCATCACAGGCAAGAAGTTGGATGTACTCGACGACCCAACACCGTATAATAACCCGCAGAGCGCAAAGGTCCATATTTTCCAATCCCTGAGCACGATGAAACCTTCTTGAAAATTGAACTGTTTTTCGGGGTTGTGCTCGAGGCGTAGAGAGGCGCATTGTTTTTGGGCTGCAGTGAAATAGCGTGATTCCTGGACGCTGTGCGGTAGAGCGACGAGAGCGATGAAGGCGATGCCGACGCTAATTGCGCCTTCGATGAGAAAAAGATATTGCCAGCCTTTGAGGGAGCGGTGCCATTGGAACACGCCCCATGAGATGAGGCCGCTGATGGCACTCTATTTGCAATTAGCCAGTACCTCGATTAAGTTAAAGAAGGGGCGACCAACAGCTATAAACCCCATAAGGAAAAACACAGACAGCCTCTTCGCCAACTCCGTCCTCGTGTAAAACGTCGACAAATAGAAAATCGCACACGGCAAAAACCCAGCTTCCATCGTGCCCAGAATGACTCTACAAGCCATTATCCCGCCAAAGTTCTTGGTCGCGGCTTGAATCATGGCTAGGCTACCCCATCCTAGAACCAACAGCGGGATGACCAGTGCAGAGCTGTATTGTTTCGCGAGTACGGTTGCAGGAATGCCGAATAGGGAGTAAGGGATGTAGAATACTATTAGGAGTAACGAGTATTGGTTTCCTACAAGACCTAAGTCTTGCTCGAGAGTTGCGGATTTGGCGTTTCCGAGATTGGCACGGTCGAGGCTGTGAGTTAGGTAGACCAAAGCTGATCGCCATTTAGCTGGATCATAGTTTTATTGTAGTAAAGTGCCTTACAGAGCGTTGGAAGTAATATCAAATCCATCCGTCGAACGAGTGATTTTTCGACCACAGGATCGATTTTGAAAGTCCCTCCCGAATTGACATTCTCATTTGATTCTGTGTCTACCTCGTTGGAGACTTGTAATGTTTTTTCCATGATGTTTAAGTCTAATCGTAAGTGAGGTATTGTGTGTATACCCCCCCTTAAGAGTTGTTTGAGTAATTGGAAAAAAGTGAATGACTCAGAGCCTGGCTAGAAATCGGACTTTCGTCCGAGGGCAGGTCCGCCTCTGATCAAATATAGACACCCTACTTCCTTGAGTTACCGAACAAAATTTCTCGGATAAACATTAAATACCCTCCATTATGAAATATATTCATCCAAATAGCTATCACTGAAGGCTCGCTTATACGCAGAACTAAATCAAGGCGTGCATGTGAAAAAATAGCAGTCATGTCCTGTAAGATAAATTGTCGGCAGCTAAGCGGTTAGATTGTGCCTAGATGCTTTTAACCGTTCATGGCTACCATTACGGAAGGGCTTGTAGGATTTGAGATGTATATAGCGTGTATTAAGGATAGGGGTCTATGGGAGCTAAATTGATGAGATTGGCCATAGATGAACGGACATTGGCTGTGAGTGTTCTGATCATTGGATTAGAGGGGTTCTCTTCAACAAGAATGCTTGTTATCTTTTGGCTGCTTGATAGATCAGCTAACTTAGGAGTAGTGTTTTCGTGATTTTCTGTTCCCCTCTATGACTTATAAGGTACCCCGCTGGATTTCACCCTATTACATTGTGACCCCCAAATTTGAGGGGTTTTCGAGAAGACACATTATCGATCCGGGATATTTGCAGCAAGTCGACCAACATTTATCTTAATTACATGCCCTTAAGTAATTAAGTGGTCTCAACACTAACAGCAGAAGATATAGATTGTCAATCTTTAGGTTTTTCGAAGGCCTCCTATGTATGATTCGAGATACCAAAGAAAATCTCTTGCGCCTTGGAATAAAATCATTCCAAGGAGTAGATGTTATTTTGACAAGACATTTGTATAGTGTAAAGCGCTTTAAATGATCATTTGATTACGGCGGGGGACTCAAAGTAGAAGTCTTTGCGATGTCATGGGATTAGGGTTTGGCGGCACATGTGACCTCATCCGATTCAGGGTGCTTGACCAAGACTTCAGTTATTTTCCGGAGGAGCATTTTATATGCTGTGGGTGCTACTTGTGTTACTACTCCAGTCAAGGGTTTGTCACGAACTTGAGCGGATTGAAAGCTATTCAACGAGTGTAATCTGATCTCGTTTCCCCCTACAAATGCACATGCTGATTGGTCAGAATGGGGGAGCATCTCATAGAATGTTAGGAACTGAGCATACAATTTTTGGACCTCGCATCTCAACTACGGAACATAATTAGCACAGTCTGCAATATTGTTATAGTGAAGGAGACTTGGGATATTCGGACATTTGAGTAGAAAGTTATAACTTGATACATCATTAAGTTGAAATCAAACCAGAATCTAACTAGTATCCATTTGGCTTAGGGCAATGGAGTGTCGATAAGACTGGTACTATCTTAATCTTTCTTAGTCGCGTCATAACGCGAAAATGTGCAGCAATCCTAGAAAAGATCAAAGTTCAAGACTACAGACAAGTATTAGCGTCCAAGATTGTGTAACGCAAAATGCCAAAGGCGAAAAAGCAAGAACCCAAACTAAAAACATCCTGCAGCAATTGCACCTCCGCAAAGGTCGGCTGTAAGAAGAATAACGACGGATCTGCTGATTCTTCGAAATGTCTGCGATGTAGTCGGCAGAATGTGGAATGTGTTTACGATGTTTCGCAAAGAAAAGGCAAACCTTTCCAGCCCTATCCGAATGGCAAATCTGCCGACATCGCTCGAAATGTGAGCCGCAGCCAGGGACAGCAGGATATCGAGAGCAACAACGACAACGACAACGACAACGGTAGCAAACCTCATAACGCCCCTAGGAACGTGGATAATGGGGAGGGACAACGGAATCCTGTCTATGACAGCAAAAGCAGCCGCAAGAGCGGCAACAACAGCAACAGCAGGACTATGAACAAGAATACCACTTATCCTTGGCCAAAAACGGGCTGGAATCTATCAGACTTGGGCCCAGAGATTGACTTTTCCTCGGTGTCTCAAAATCTCACTAATGATTCTGCATTGAACTTGCCTCAAAAGCATGACATGTGCAGCATAATGTCTAATCTTCGCGTACACCTGTTCAAATTGGAGAAGCTGCTCAGCAGCACATACGCATCCTACATACCAAAAAGCGTAGCTGATGAATACGCCATCGAGTTTCGCACAATCCGAGCTAAAATACAACGACTACTGAACTGCAAGTGTGATATATGCAGAAATGATCCTGCCCAGGCATTCCTCCTGGCTACGCTGAGTTTAAGTTTGAGCGAGAGCTATAGGAGCATATTGAAGAATCTGGACATGGCTCTGGGCGAAGTTTTTAAAGAAGCCAGTAAGATCGACAATTTGTCATCATTAGCTTCTTTGCTAAAGCTTGAACTTGTTCATTTTAGCGAAATTTGTCATCTGATTCGGGACAAGGGTACCAGGCACACATTTCTCAAAGCAGTGGGCGAAGCTTATTATGAGACGTTAAACGGCCAGGGAGAACTATGGTCGCGAAGATTAAACGCGTGGCTTGCATGTGCCGCAGATTACTCGCGTCGATTGCAATATCCGTTTCCAGTTCCCTCCGAGGACTGATAAGACGAGGCCGACTCAGAACACGACATGGGCAACAAAAGCATCAAATCTACATTCTACATCATGTGTCAGAACAGACATGTATTATAGCCACTGCTCCAAATTCTTCGCAGCATAAGCCTTCCACTGCGCTGGCTCTTCATCACCCAAAAGCTTCAAACTATCTGCCAGATCTGCCCCGGCATAGTAACCCACATCTTTCTGAAATAACATGACAGTTTCATATATCTCCTGCGCTTTCTCGTGTGGAAGGAACGACTTGAAGACTTCTTCAGGAATCTTCACGTAAACAGCGGGCTTTCCAATCACAGCCGAAAATTCGTCAACGATTTGCTGAGGGGTGTAGTATGCGGCGGACGCATATATTCTCTGGCCCAGTACGGATGATCGATTTTTGATAGCGGCTTTGACGAATAGACCTGTCTGTTTTTCAGCAAGTCTGTTTGAACGAGCATGTGGAGGTGAATGACTAACCCATATCCTGTCGTATATCAATCAACGGGATTTGAGCATCCTCGTCCACCGGCAACGCAAGCACGTACTTATCCCCCTGCCAATTGATCAAGCGATGCATCTCACTCGCAAACGTCCCAGCCAAGACAAACGTCGCCGGAATGCCTGAGTCACGAATATATCGCTCAATCTCAGCTTTACCATCGAAATGGTAGACATGTGCAAGGCTACCCTTGCTGGCTTCCTTGGCATCTATTAGACTCGAAAATATGAGGTGCTGAACGCCGGCGGTTTTGCAGGCATCAGTTACGTTTTTGCCTTGTTGGACTTCTGCGGGAAGGGACATTTGTTGCCAAAAGTCTGTTACGAGAAAGACGGTATGCGCGCCGGAGATGACATTGTGGAGCGATGCGGAAGATGACAAGTCGGCCTAGGGGTAGAAGTTAATTAAGAATCAACGTATCATGGGAGCAGAATCGTACTGTGACAACTTCGACTCCGGCCTTGGCAGCAAGCTCCTTTGCAGAGGGCTTAGAGGCATCTCGCGTAACAGCGCGGATCATGTAGCGTGAAGATAAAGCCGGATCGTTCAAGATGGCATCAACAACGGAGCCACCTTGATTGCCAGTGGCACCAAAAACGGTGATTATTTCAGACATAGTCGCAGCTTTCTGTTTCACTCGAGGAAGATGATGTTTGATATTTATGCATTTCGTGTATGGGTTAGACGCTCATCTTATAGGCACAGAGAGGACGAAAAACATTGAGCCGAATAGGCGCTCGGTTTCCGTACCGGTGCAATTGATGAATTCCTTCATTGCCATCTTATCCTATCCTATCCATCCTTGCAATCAAGTGAATTAAAGTGACGTAAAATATTAAAAGTTTTGGAGTTGGATTGACCCGCATCTCAAAGTTAGAACATGGCTCGGTTTCCGTGCCGGTGCAATGGTTCATCCGGGGTATTCTACCTACCCCCTCCCCTACCTGAAAGTATATGCAAATTAAACTTCAGAGAAAAGACTACTATCCATTCTATAAAATCATGTCATCTAAGGAATTGCGCTGCGTAATAATGCTATTCATTTACGTATTGCGATACTTTCGGTAGTCTCATGTAGGGAAGACTATTGTCCGGAAGTATGGGGAGAGCGGACCCATCTGTATACCGTATTCTAGCTATTGCCTGCATGAATTCGGCTTCAGATGAAGTAAATCTGATCAAGAGAGGAAAAGGTATTTCAGCATCTTAAGCGGAGTAAAGTATCCTTGATTGATGTACAATTAGTAACCCTCTCTCAAAGCGTCCCACTCTGAATCTTTTCGTCCGTGGTATTTCTAATAAACTCCAGTAGGATTAGGGGACACTATTGCCGATCAGAATTATCCTAGGTTTGTGATTTTAATTGAAGTAACCGGACCCTTGATTAACGCCATCATCACCACCCTGCAACGACAACCCCATCAAGTCCTCGGAACCCCAAGGATCAGCCGTTAAACCGGAAGACATCCACATATTAGGCGCATCCCAATCAAAATTGGCAGGCTCAATAAACGTGTCATACGACATTGTTGGATCAAAGTCGATGAGACTCGGCTGCTCGGGAGGTATTATGAATGGCGCCAATTCGAGCGGGGAGCTTTTGTTGGATGATTCCGGTTGCGAGTATTGTGGACTTGTGGTAGTATTCCGCGTAGCTTGGTCTGTTTGGATGTTGTGTGTATCTGAAGAGGGCCATGCTGCAGTGTTGTTGGCTATGTCGGCGTACGATTGTGTGGATTCGAATGGCGCCTGTGGATTGAGATATGAATATTGGACTTGAGGCAGAAGTCATTTGGAAATACTTACGAACGATGTTATGGTATGAATATTGGACTCGGCGTATGAAGACACATTCAACATTGGTTCTCCTCTTGACGAGAAATAATCTGATGGTGCGGTAAGATCGTTAGTCTCAGACGGCCTCTTCGTCTTCTGACTAGACCTTGGAGGAGCCCTGGCCACGAAACGTGTGGCAATAGCATAAAGCTCTTTGAACATGTTCAATGTCGGGGTGTCTGCGAACGATGTCCCTGGCTGGACAGAGTGGTTGATGAACGCACTAACAAGGTTCAATAACTGGACATCGGAAGCCGCATGCTGGTCTTGTGGATTCGAAAGGATGTTTGTAAAGAGAACTAGACTTGCACTGAGCGGATAGTAAAGCGCCCACCTATGCTCTTGTTAGCCAATTGAATATGAAAAGGCAAAATGTAAACGCACCACATGAAATGCTGATTATGCACATTATTATGACTGATTGTGTGCAATAGCTGAATGGTTCTTCGTGCAGCTGCCAGACACAGTAATTGGCTTGCATTAACTCTTGGATTCAATTGCGATCGTCCCTTGTCATTACTCTTTATAGTCTCACCATCCTTGAACGATGTTTCCGAGTGATGACCTGATATGCGATGTAACATAATTACCGCATCCAAATATGTAAAATGCATCATGACCACCGACACATACTGCTCATCCGAGCAATTTATCGGATGCTCTGGTCGAATATCAATCGGGATCGCATCTCGCCAACGCTGAAGATGATTGTCCAATTTGCCCAGTACCTTTATACGATGCTCCTGAGACTTAGTTTGCGAACTGGCCGTGTATAACTCAGTGTATATGCGACTCCCGATAATAGCTAGCGTAATTGAGTCCTGGAAAATATCATAGACCCCTGCTCCGCTGGGTGACAGTAAAATCCCAGGCTTCTTGGGTGGTAATTCGACGGCGATATCATCGTCACTGATGACCGATGGGCGGCCTAAATTGTGGCCTATTGCTTTTTCGAGCATATAAAACACCCAGAAGACATTGCGACGCTGCTCAATTTCCTCTGGGGCGAGACCAATCCCATCCAGACTCCGATGAAGGCCTAAGGTGTATACTATATTTCCACCTGCGGACCGTAGGGTGTAAGCAATTTGGGGGTTTGGACTTGAGGTTGTGATGAACATCTTTTTATCATTAGATAAGATCTATCCACGAAGAATGATAAAGAGTCTTACCATGAGAGTTATGGCTTGCATTGCCATGAGAGTAGCTTCACTAAACAATAGGTCGTGAAAACAACAGCTTGCGTTGCGAAAGTATCCAACACCAGTCTCGTGCGCAGTTGACGTGTAATCGATGAGACGGCTACTCCTTACGTGCCGCTCTCGCTCGGCTGTCGTCCTAATACTACCCAGACACAATACAGCGTTAAACAATGCGTACCAAGCATTGCTTTCAGGAGGGTTTGTTGAATATTGCCGTTCAAAGTAGGAGTCGAATACATTCCGATTCATGACCGGGTAGACACTGTTGAAAATTGTAAAATAGCCTTGATAGTATGAGCTTTAACTTGTTATCACCGTATGACTTCAGCGCTCACTTACAATTAACATATTCTAGTGCGACCTCCTTCGTTGGTAAAGGTGTGTGTTCGGACCGTGGCTTGGGAGCCCAGAGATTGATACTGCCGTGACCCCAAGACTTGTAGTCACGTTTCGAGATGGTACGATAGAGCGGAGCTAGCTCATCCTTGTCGCCCACCTTCTGTGAGATCCACCGGACGCCATGAGGCGAGAAAAGTGAAAAGCCAGAGGCCGACCCTAGATCTTACAGTCAGTACGAACATGCAGAGAGTTTAGAACGGTACATACCAATGAAATTAGAAGACCCATTAGAGTTGATGACAAGGTTCGCAAATTGATTGGAAAGTTTAGCCTGACTTTCAATCATATCGGACGAGGTCTTTTCCTCTTGGTCTTCCTCCTCCTCTTCTTCTTCTTCTTTCACATCGACTAGCCCCGCTTGTCCCTGCAGCCCGGAAGCAATAATAGCTGATTCCATCCGTTTAATTCGATCTTCCATATCTTGATAGTAAGAATCTCTCTTTCTGTATTCATTTTTAGCGTTTATCCAGTATTTTGTTAATGCGACCTTAAATTTGAAAACATACTTGGTGGTTTTTGGCTTCTTCCTAATCACCGGTGTTGTTATACAGTCTAGTTTTCGGGCATTGCATCGCGCGCACTTTTCATCTTCATTTTTTCGTTGGCATTTTATCTGATAGTTATCGGTCAACAACTATAGTACTTTATGCTCGAGGTCATACATGCCTTCATCTGCTTGCACAGGTCGCATGATGTCCGGAGACTTCGCGACCATGATAGCGCCTTTGAGGTCGCCGGCCCTCCGGTAAAGACAGCTTTTGAATCAGAGTTATCCATGTTCGTGCGAGGAGATGCGGCGGTTGGCACGTTGCAATAATTTTATCTACAGGGATTGAAATTGGGGAAGTTGACCGTTGACTAAATGTGATAGAGTGATATGGGGCCAGGTGAACGACGCGGTAACCGAAACAAGAATAGCTTCATTTCGTATGAAATAGACTTTCAGCTCAGTCCTACCATCCAATAAAAGTAAGAAGGTCAAAGATATCTCTGCTTTGAAGAACGGACTAATTTACGGGGCTCTTCACGTGCGGTCCAATTATAGCATTTTTCCCAGGCGAGCAAGGTAGGACTCGAGCCAATCAGAGGGCATGGATCTAGAAACGTTCTACATTTTCGGAACTTCCGATTCTAGATGAGTAAGAGTTACGGGACGAAGAGCCTCTCTATAGTTCTTGAGTAAGTAGCCAAATATGAATTCCAACTCGATGATATTATGCGCTCTAGAAACATGAAAGACAAAGAAAACATGTCATGACTATGATACATTGCTCCCGCCAGAAACCACTCATTTGATCTTACTCTTCTCCTTGACACCCACTCTCTTCCCAACATATTCACTATCAAGACCCTTCTCCAGATCACTAGCTATAACATCCACAATGTTTTCCAGCGTCGCAAAATAGTCCTGCGCCTGCGTCATGAGATTCAAGTACCCGCCGATAAGCGGAATCTTGACAAACTTCTTACTCCATAGTGGCGGAGAGTCAGCTTGTATCACGAGATTATCGACAGTACAATCTGCCGGGGCAGGATATTGCGGCTTGTCGTATTTGGGGATCAGTTCGTTTGCGCAGTATAGTGACCAGGCAAGTTCGTCGGCGGTATATGGTTTGATGAGTTGATAGTTTGGCTTGTGGGTTGGGAAGAGAGGGATACTATTGAAATGGTTAGATTCATGCAGAGCAATTATATGAATACCAAAGTACGAAGGAAACTCACTAGTCAGTGAATGAATAAGGCTTCTTTGGAGCGTCCAGTATACCAAAGCCACTCATAAGCCAGCATCTGATAGGCGCCTTTCCGCGCTCGTGCCCTGCATCCACAGCGGCCTTGACAACGGCCGCAAAGATGGCTGGGAAATCTCCCGCCGAGTGGAACGGCGTCTTAGCAGCTAACCCTGCCGCATTGATGACGGCGTCGCAATTGTTGTCGAGGATGGCGGCTTTGATGGCGGCGCTGTCGGTGGCAGATCCGACAACAATGGCATCGAGATTCGATTTGACTTCGGCAGAGAGCTTAGAGGGCGAGCGCACGAAAGCAACGACTTTGTGGTTGTGGGCGATGAGGGCGGGCAGCAGCCGGGAGCCAACGTTGCCAGTGACGCCGAGCAAGAGAACCTTCATTTTGATTATTTCGGGGTGTTCTAGTTGGTTTTGTATAATATCGATCAATGAATTGATGTTGTGTATCTAATTGATTAATTTTCACTTTCCTGAGCTGAATCGCGACCTTATTATATGTTGAAAGCTTCATCGCCTCTTCACGCTAGGTAGTTCGGACACTTGACAAACCTCCGAACTTTTTCTACCTATGGGATCCGAGCTTTGGAAATAATCGGTAGCAACGGAGCCAACGGCGCAATAACCAAACCGAGTCTACAAATTCGGGCGCATTCAAATATGAAGTTCTCTGTCGTTGGTAAAATGATTGTCCCATTAAATTCAGATGAGCAGAGCGAATTTGCCCGCTGTCGAAGAAGAATCGCCTCGTCGGACGACCGTAACGATAACTCCGCAATCTCCAAGGACCACAAAATCTCGTTTTCCAAATCAACCAGTCCTCAAAGAAATTGTTTAGCATCATGAGCAATTCGACTTCTACTCAACGGCAATGGGCCGATGGACCATATCTGCTGATTGAGACACCGAAGCATAAGCAAGGAATTGTAAGTCGCTCTCAACTTTTATGAAACCAGTAAAAACAACCACTAATGGTCCCTCTAGACTACAAATGACGATCCGTATTTGGAGACTGCGAGCACAATGTGTGTAGTACACAACACGCTCCTCCGAGGCCTAAATAGCATATACGTTCAAGGACCGAACATAAAACCCGCGGATTATAAAAACTTCATAGGATATAGCTTGTGTTGGCACTCTGCACTCCACGAGCATCATACGAGCGAAGAAGAGCAATTTTTCCCAGAAATCGAGGAGGCCGTTGGCGAGAAAGGATTGCTTGATGGGAGCGTTGAAGAGCATAGTAGGCCAGCCTTCATTTCGTTTTCCGTCCATTACATGCCACATGACTGACTAACGATCGTAAAATTCTAGAATCCTTCCACGAAGGCTTGGACGAATTCAGTAGCTACCTCGAAGGTCTAGCAGGAAAAGAATCGACTTTTGACGCCTCTCACCTCAATAAAATTATCGACTCATTCGCCCCGGCACTTAACCACCACCTCGAATCGGAACTGCAAAGTTTACTAGCTCTCAGCAAATACGGAGAAAAACTTCCAATAACGCGTCTATGGGACAGAGAGGGAGTTCGAAGTGTGGTGAGTGGCGTCCCAGCTATGCATGCATCGTTTTGAACATCCTCCCCGCTAATTTCGTTCTCACGACTAGACATCAATGACCAGATTCAATGCACTTCCATTCTTTTTTCTCAATATCGATGTTACGCATGAAGATTCTCTCTACAAAAATTGGCCTCCTCTTCCTGGCCCAGTCTGGTGGATTATCACTCATGTGATGGCTATACCGCATCGTGGATATTGGAAATTTGCTAGCTGCGATGGCTATGGGAGACCGAAGCCGCTGTATGCGCCGGGGCTGACACAGAGTCTAGGTCAGTGATCTATTTTGGAGACTTCAGCCTGCCGAAAATCGAATTACGCGTGTGAAGTATGGATTGGTAGGGTATTGATTCATGTGAACACGAAAATATTGTACTTCTATTTTGTTTCTTTGCCAGTAGTCTAGTCAACTAATACAATAAGCTTTCAGACGGTTTTCAGGCAGCACATTTATGTAGACTGGCTTGAGGCTTCGTGGATCTACCGCACCTGAAATCCATGCAGGTATCGCTTAACTGATCATATTATGGGTCCTTGCGAAAGATGCATTATGAATCGCATTCATCAATGAGTCATGCGCTAGCAATATGTAGAAGTTCAGGAAGAACTTTCACTTAGTAGAAACATAGCCAATCAGTAATGCGGGAAAGATCGCGAGAAACTAGAAAGAAAATCCTAACGACAGCAGCGAATATCACGAACATTGAACACAGAAAAGCCCTAAAGAATGGCCATCTCCAACTCCTGGTATACCCAATGATTCCCCACAAATCAACCTCAAGCCCCTATAGATGCATATAGTCCCAAAATCATTTCCATTGACTTAACTCTTTCTTTGTGAACGCTGATTCTCAAGGCCTGGCTTGAGACATGACTTCAAACATCGGCGTAAGATTTCTTGCCGCAGACCCTCCAAAAAGTTGCTGCTCAGAATTCGAAGTCGTCGTCCGATTTCCGAAAAGGTTCATAGATTGAGAGTTCGAGCTTAAATAGGGCATTGATACTGGCTGTGCCGAAGACCCGAGACTGCTAGCTGTTGTCCCTGTACTATTCCCGGTACTAGCACTGCCAAAGATGTTCGGCACTCCAGCTGATGGAGGTGTCTTGAACTCTTTTGCTCGGTGACTGTCAAATTGTGCTCTGGCATCACTCAATTGGTCGTACCATCTACTCGCAATTCCGGCTCCCTGAAGCGTATCACGGTGCAAGCGAGGGCAAAGCATCCAGTCAGCCAATTCTTGGAGAGCTTTCATGTCGAAAAGAACAGAATCTCCAGGACCCGGGGATACCATCTTCGCTATACGTTCGGAAGCGGACGATTTATCAAAGTTCGAGATCATGCTTTGCCCACATCGAGTTCCTTTCTTTGTCACACCGATGCACGTAAAGTGGGATGATTCTAGGTCATCGGCGAAGTCGAGTAGATCCGCAGGTAGGATGGTGGGTTTTTTGGCTATGGGAGAAATAGAAGACTGAATGGCTGAATATGGCGTCGCTATTGTTGCTGGTTGGCTCAAGACTCGACTTTGTATCTTAACTTCTTCTTGTTTTATTTGTACTTGTCGCATTCTGTCCGCTGCTGCTCTTGCTTTCTGCTCTTGCTCATCCAGCAGCTTCTGTCGATCTTGTAGAGCACGTTCGCTGTCTTTAATTCGTTGCTCTCGTTCATCTAGTGTCTTCTGTCGTGCCTGGAGCGCCTCTTCCCTATCTTTGACCTCTTTTTCTCGTTGGGATATCCTGTACTCTCGTAGTGTAAGGCTTTGCTCGTCTTTGATTCTCTCGCTCTCCTGAAATTCCGCCAGATCTTCTGTAATCCTTCTTACGATATCTTGTTTATAGCCCTGTCTCTTCCTCTCGGCCACCTGATCGACTTTGAGTACCAGCTCTCGTCTTCTCTTATCCAGTAACGCAATAACATTCTCCCCAACCGCCTCGGAAACATCGGCAATCTGCTTTCTTAATCGAATTTGATTCTGATCTGCTGCTGCTGCGAGTCGCGCAGAATGCCGTCTTTTGAGGGCGGCTGTGTATGCCAACCATTGTGTTTGAAGCCATGATATCAGCGTAACCGAAATTAGAGCAAATCGGAGTGTGCTCCCAACAACAGATAGTATGAGTAAAAGTCCGCCTACGTTCAGAACGTAGAAGGAGGGAGATTTTGTCTTCTCCTCCATTTCTTCGAGAAGTCGGGATGCCGAATATCCCTTACCGGTACCGATGTGATAATTTTTGTAGAAAGAAAGAAACCTGAATGGAGTTCGCGACCCAGTGCTATCTTATAATTATCGTAAATAAACTATGTAAAATGAGAAAAAGGGGGTACCTTGATCTAAAATAGCAACAAATTTACTCGTGGACCAGGGGTTCATAAATCAGATACACGATTTGTAGCGCAGCTAAGCGTTCCTCGAGAACGCTTTTATTGAATGCGACCGGAAATAAATTAAATGAACTAATCCATAGGCCACAATTGCAACATTCTAGACTTGCTCACGAGGCTGTGACAATTGTGACACACTATGCATGCAGCTAGTTTCGAGGAATGCTTCTAGTAGGTAGGGTTGTTAGCCTGCGTATTGTGTGTCGTGATGGCGCCGGGACATAGCCCCAACAGACGATTCTCTAATGCGAGTTACATGCAGTTCTTTCGAGATGTGTTTGTGCTTGGAGATGTTTAATCAAGGACGACAGGATGAGAATTTGAAGGTGCTTACGTCGAATTGCATGAATTCATACAAATGGACATCTGAAATACGACTAGTACATGGAATCTAAAGATAGTGAAATATGCCCTTCCGTGTACCTAGGATGGTACTTATCTCAGTTACTCATCCCCACTGGCAAGGAACTCTCATGATTTTTCGATTTTGGAACCCCATGAACAAGGCTGAGCTGGGTAGAGCATGACTTTTGGCTGTAGCTACCACCAATCACGATTGCAGTTGAAGACAAGGCTGTATGGGCGAGTAAAAATTAAAGCCGCGACAGAGTCCAAAGGAAAGCCGGTTTTACAACACTGAATTCTTTGTTCCTACCTCATATTGATCGTTAAGACCTCACGGTGGTTGGCTTCGCACTGCATAAAAGACCCTGTGACGAGCCTCAAAAAGCTATTGTGTTTCAAATTGCTTGCAAATATCACTACCTGATGGATGGTAGACCTGTCCGTCCGACATGTCGCGATGACTTTGAGATCGCAATAATCACTGCCTTGCCACTGGAATACGATGCCGTAGTAGATGTTTTCGATGGTTTCTGGAATGATGATGGAGACCCTTATGGAAAGGCCGAAGGCGACCAGAATACCTATACAACAGGATGGATCGGCCAGCACAACGTTGTACTGGTGATTTGTTCGGGTATGGGAAAAGTCAATGCCACGAGTGTAGCGACGAGCTGCAGCGCTAGTTTTACTCGGATAAAGCTGGCATTTTTAGTAGGTGTTTGTGGCGTGGTACCCCAGACAAGTGATGGTGATGAAATAGTGCTTGGTGATGTGATTATTCGCGACCAGATCGTTTCATATGATTTTGGGAGACGGTTTTCCGATGGATTGAAGCTGAGAAGTGAAATTCCCTTCAAGACCTCTGGAAAGAGCCATACTCTTCGCCGATTTATGGCAACTATGCAGACAGCTCGTTACTGTGAGTTAGTGGCCGAACGAGCCAGAGAGCATCTAAAAATGATTCAGGACGACTACCCCGACAAATATAAGCTCCCCAGAAAAAGTGAAGACAGGCTCTTTCCGCCAGAGTATCGGCATAAGCATCAAGTTCCGGGGGTTTGTCAGATTTGTTATAGATGTGCGGCAGCGTCAGATCCAGTTTGTGTGTCTGCATTGACGTCCACATGTGAGGATCTTGGATGCGGCGAAGATCAGCTTCTTCCTCGCCAACGGCTGGCAGTCAGTCAAAGTTTGGTAGTACACTGGGGTAATTTCGCATCGGCGGATACTGTTCTCAAATCTGCACAAGACCGCGACTGGATAGCTAGGGAATATGGAGCCATTGGATTTGAAATGGAGGCTACTGGAGCTTGTGATACACTTCCATGCATCATTATCAAGGGTGCATGTGACTATGCCGATAGCCACAAGAATAAGAAATGGCAAAACTATGCGGCGATCGCAGCGGCCTGTGTGATGAAAGCTCTCTTGAAATGGTATCCAAAGACCGACCAACGAATAACGCTATCACATTTGAGGACTTTGTCACGGCGTGAAAGAGAACTTCCTCCTCAGGTCTACTTCAATGATCTCATCACGGTCAACGATGCAATGGGAGGAACATACAGTTTTTCCATATCATTAATTGATAGTTTGGAGGTTTGACAGAATTCTTGCTCTACCCTCTGTGTCTACAGAACTAATTATCGTCTTTAGTTTTTCAAATCTATCTTGAAGCACAAATTTCAGGGCGTTGGAGTTGATAAAATTGAAAGGGGCGATTGGATTCTCCAGGATCGTCTCACCAACCATATTCTCGATTTGAAGAAACCCTGGAAAGCAGTGATAAAGGTGGATATCATCGTTCGCTTTTTAGTTTGAAAAAAGGAAGCGATTAATAGTAGTGCATAGTCTGGTCAAATTCTTGACATGAGTATGATTTTCAGGAGGGCTCATACTGTGTCTACAACCTGCCCGTGGTGCAATTCCCAGAATGAATTCTGCCTTGACGCTCGTGATATTGAATGGTATGTTCTGGTTACTAGATTCGATTTCTCCGACTAGCAGGAGAGGTAATAGTCAGGACTGCTTCAGACATTATCGCCGCATTGAAGAAGTTCATGATTTAACTAGTGTGCAGGATATCGATCCGAGGAATGGTGATAAACAGCCACCGAGGGGACCCAAAACAACAGGACCATTATCTGCTAATCAACTCCATGATGAGGACGATGACATACACTCGTACATTCGAGTGCAGATTCTTGTGATCACATTTGGCGTTGGCCAAACAGCTCCGCTCAATAATGGAATGCGAACGCAGAATATAGTGGTTAGCCATCAGCAGTTGGAAGACATGAATAGTCTTACTCAACCGCTCGCAGACAGTTTTCACTTGTCTGAGGAAGACTGCCGAGCTGCCATCTCGCATCGACGCCAAATCACTTCAACACCGAATTCTCGTGTAGCGCGTGCATACATTAGCGAGAGGACTATATTGATATTTAGAAGGGCCCAGAGTCTTACTCAATCGCTCGCAGACAGTTTTCACAGCCGAGCTGCCATCTCGCATCGACGCCAAATCCCTTCAACACCGAATTCTCGTGAAACGCGTGCATACCTTGACGAGAGGACTATAGTGATATTTAGAAGGGCCTAGTAAGGCCTGGTAACAGCCCTGTAATACTACAACGCGCTGTCATCTGGCGAAAAGGTTAATACATATGTGATTATTACGAGATTTGACATATAACAGATCTCTGTAAGATAATAGTAAGATCTCTATAACATAACAGTAAGGCTACAGGTAAGGGTATGGTAGTACCTTGAACACATTATATTAATATTACTATGATTATCTATATATTTATAATTATATATCAAATTTTACACGTAATTATAAATATAGATTTAAGCTATGAGACGCGTCAACACTCCTGAATATATACAACACCCAACACCMCCACCACGTCCACCACTAAACTCGTACGTACGTAGGCTCGTTCGTAGGCTCAATATAGATTCATGCCCTAGATTAGTATATGAGCGTGTGCCAACTAGATTAGGGGGGTAGGGGGATTCGCGCACCAAATTTAACATCAAAATAAGGCCTCGTACGTGAGCGCGCGCGCGGATTCACGCACCTAATTCAACCCCCAAAGGACTCGTACATGGATTTGCAAATAAGTGCAAATCAATTAAAAATAGAATTTGTACACGAAATTAGAATTCCAAATTAAGGCCTTGTATATGAGATCTATGTGGTGCACAGATGCGCGCTAGGTTGGCATAATATTAAATATATATATATATATATATATCTATCTACAAGATAGGTAGTAAGCATTGAAGGCTTTAAGGTAACCTAATAGAGAGGCACGCATCAAATTATATAAGCCTTCTATAACACTGCTACAAGATTACTGACTGCTATAGAGCTGATTTCATTAGATGTCCATGCTATAACAACAGGATGTCATCTTTTTTTGGTTACAGTGCGATGTCAATGGTTTGTAATATGATAGCGGGCTTACAGAACGCATTTCTCAATCACTGGGCGATTACCGAGTAAGAACCCGTCAACACGCTCTTACGACAAACCACTATTTGCCGCTGTTGTACGGCGCAGATATTTATGTAGTGGAACATCTGTCTTCGGGATCCTTCACAGGCACAGTACTCGCCCCATTTCAAGACTGTATGTTTGATTTTTGGAAACCTACAGACTTTAGGCGGTGCCATAATTGCGGAGAGTCTTGGGTTGAAGACGGCTCTAGAGAATATTATCCCCTAAGATGTTTAAGTCATAAATATTCAGGATCTGAAATCTTTTCTCTATAACTGAAGACCGCTCAACTGTGAAGTCATATCGGTTACGGGTCCTTGATGGTAGTAGAAACTACGTGAACTGTAGAGACATGAACGTCCTTTGGTTATATATTGATCTAATTTTTTATTACTGTAGTATCCTGCTACTGGAAAATTAATACATCCTCGACTTGGGATATTGAGCAGCTTACCATTGCCTAGGTGGTTGAATCGTGAGGAGTCATTGCTTCTCTGCCTATACATAACTGTAGAGAACAGCGTGACGACCAGGTCGAATTAGTCTACCGGATCTCCACGCCATTTAATTTAAAAATCTTTGAAAAACATGAAAGCATTGAGCTGGAACTTGCGCTGGTGGCTAGATAGAATTTCCTCGTTACCTGTAACATCCCAACTAAGACGCACTAACCGCAAGCTCAATGATTACCATGCCCTCAATTTGCCAGCATTGGCCAGGCAAGTTGTGTCATAGCCTACCTAGGTAAGGTTGGTGCAAGCTAATGATTCTAATACACAACATTTTTAGATAAGGGAAGGGAAGAAAAGATGTAAACTCCTTTCCGGAGACACTAAATGCCCTGTCCAGGTCCTTGGATAGATGTCTCAGTAGACTCTTCTCTAAAACCGTGTACGAGTAATTGAACGGATATGGTATGCTCATTGTTTTCAAACTTTTAGGAATTTACTCATTCGCCTTCTCGTCGATTGTTCCAGATGTATACCTAGGTATTGATTCTATCAGCGGAACACCCTATCCGTGAAATCAATGACCTGTGCCTTCTCAATAACACCGTCAAGACTTTTGATAAACTCCTGATGTGCAGGGTCTTTCTCGACGTAATAATCCCGATCTTCCTTATTCGCAAACTCAACGACAAAGGCGTGCGTGATGCCATTCTTCACCAGAAGTCAGCATAATTGTCATTCGCAAGCTTTATCCAGCAGAGTTCTTTTGCATTTCTGGAAATTTTGGCTCACCTGAATTCCTTCAATTGAATTATCTATACCCCCTAAAGAAGATTTGATATACGGTCTCTGGGATGACGGATGAAGACAGTTGTCCTTGAGACCGAGCATGCGATTGCAGACCTTGACGAGACAATATCAATGCGAGTACTTCTTCTGGCTAGTTAGATTCTAGACTTACATCATCAATAGTCGCAGTATCAGCACTGGGCTTGAATTGGAAAAGTACAATGTGCGTAACCGACATATCCGGTGATGATTGCGCAGACCAGACTGTCCTGTAATGTCAGACGAAAGACGATAAGAAAAGGAATATGATAACGATGGGTTAACGAATAACTGACGGATAGAGGGCAATCCAAAATAGGAGCTAGAATTGATGCTTGATACAATGCGTGGGATGGTTGCGAAGGATTCATGCCGGATAAATGATTAGAACTCTATTACGTATGGTCCCACTTTTACCCCATGTGGGAAAATGTACCCCAAAGACTCAAAGAGCTCCGGAGTATTTCACACTAACAGATACTTGTGTAGGTCAAAATGAGTTAATATTCGGCAATATTTCATATTTTCAGTGTGAGTCTAGTCTATTCGTTCTTGAATTGGGTAATCAAAGTTCCAATATATGGTTCCAACGAAACACGGAACTCGTCGCCCTCCTTGATGAACTGAGGTGAAGGCTTCTTTGCTGCACCGACACCGGGAGGAGTTCCGGTAATGATGACTGTACCGGCGGGCAGTGTTGTGCCTTGGGAAAGGAAGCTGATGAGTTGAGGGACGGTGAAGATCATGTCACTGTGAGGACGTTAGTAGATTCCTTTGGTAGACAGATACAGAGATGGCTTACGTGAGGCCACAGTTCTGAACGACATTGCCGTTCAAGGATCCCTTGATTTGCAACTTAGATGGGTCTGGAACGATGGAGGTCGATGCAACGACGGGTCCTAGTAGACAGTAAGCGATTTTATTCATATCACGAATGGCAGAAAATACACACCCAACGGGCAAGCTCCATCAAATCCCTTTGAGAAACACCATTGACTTTGGTTGGTCTGTGAGGTTCGGCTGGAAATGTCATTCGCCGTGGTATATCCAAGAACATAGTCAAGCGCATCCTCCTCGGAGACATTCTTTGCAGTCTTTCCGATAATGACAGCTAATTCAGACTCGTAATCACCGGTGTTGTCTTTTTGAGTAATCTTGGGGAGATAGCATGGCTCTGGCCATGGGTTGCCCAGGGCTGTGGAAGGTTTAAGAAAGACCGTTGGTAGATCCGGGAGAGCGAGATTCATTTCTTTGGCGTGCGAAACGTACTATTGCTATGTTAACCGTTCTGTTTTTTGAAAGGTGTCCTTATTGAGACATTGAAGGTCATACGTTCAAGCCGATGCATCGAATAGTGCCAACTTCCTCCTGCGCCAATGGCGAAAGAACAGTCTTGATGCTCTCGACTTCCTCGGTAGCCTGACCAGGTGCAAGAATGGAAGATCCAGTGAATCTTTTTACTTGCACATCCTTGCCATCATAGAGAGCCAGACCAACATCAACGTTGGCGTCGACGGGCTCTCCAATGAAGATCTTGGAGGGGTTAGATTTAGGCACGAAGCGCACGAGACCTGAGTTCTGATTAGCTCGAGAAGCATCCATTCAAGCGAAAGTAAACATACGGGAAAACGATGAAGCCATTGTGCTGAATCTGCTAAGTGACCGGAACATTCACGGTTCGTCGATATACTCTATTAACAGCAGTCGGTGTATATGCACGATGCAAAGAGATGGATAAATATCCAGAATGCGAGAAGTCTAGAAGAGAAAAGCAAAGTAGAACGAGATTCCGGAATCGCAGAATGGCAGAGCGAAGTCGCAATCATATAACGGAGCGTCAAGTGGGGAGAAGGCGCCGGCAAAGATCTTATCCCTGCCGAACGACCGGATATCCCGACTGGGGGAACTCTCTCATTTATAACTTTCAATTGAGCCATTTCTGTTTAGAAATTTGTGATTTCTTTGCTAAAGCAAAAACCATCGAATACATCCACAATGGCAGACACTCAACCCAAAGGTCCCTACAGACTTGTCACAGTCAACACTGCTCCTGAGCGAGCCAAGAGACTGATTGGTCGATTGGTTGAAGCGCTCAAGGATCGCTATACCATTATTCACGTCGACAACTGCGAGAGTGAGCTTGCGCCTAATTTCCACTCGTGATGAATGATTTGCATGCTGACACCCATCCAGCAATTGAAGAAGTCGAGCCCAAAGTCACAGAACACCAACCCGACGTCCTGGTACGCCACTCCCCCAGACAAAGCTCATTGCAAATGTTCCCTAACTAACAAATCACAATCAAGTTCTGCGCATCAATGTGGACAGCCGAGCAATCAGCAGCCATCTTCGAAACTGCCAGAAGGATTCGCCCTGGCATCAAGACACACGCCATCCCCCACGGACTCCAAGTTGAGCGGGGTCCCGATGCGATTGTTGAATATTTGGTGGAGAATGTACCCAAGTTGTTAGACGCAGAGTAAATATAGAATTCGATCAATAAAAAACGTTCATGAATCATTTACATTTAGTCGGCTTTAACTCTCAATCATTTGTATCGATGTTTCAATGCTAAAAGAACAGTAGAAAAAGACATGCATCTGGGCGATAAGATAAGGCCTTATCACGTGTACCTATCCTTATCTTATCAGCTCCATTTATTTCTTGCGTCAGCGCCGTTTCTTCATTTAATCCTCCGCATATCAACACTTCAAAGCTGTCAACAAACACTCCCACAACATGTTGTCGCACTCGACACAGCTGCAAGCCGTCGCAAAACTGTACACTTCTCAGTCCAAACGTCTCTTCTCGTCGTCCACACTCCTCAAAGTCGAATTGGCATATCAGTTGATTGAGCCATCGGCGCAAGACAAAAAGCGTGATGGACAGCCTATCGTGTTTATGCATGGGTTCATGGGGAACAAGCTGAACAATCGCAGTATTAGCAAGTACTAACTACAGTTCTATGCTTCTTTGGAAACAAGAGAATGAGGATTGACCGTTGATAGAGCACTGGCACGAGATTTGAATCGCGATATCTACATTGTGGTGCGTCTTGAATTTTCACTTCGCTTATGACTCGCATTGAAATTGACCTGGACAAACTTACAGGACCTTCGAAATCATGGCGATTCCCCACACGCGCCAGAACACACATACACCCATCTCGCCGAAGATGTGTCTGATTTCATCAAGCAACACCGTCTGGGAAAGACCGTCCTGATGGGGCACTCAATGTACGCCGTACTTCTTTTGTTTAAAGTTCAACATGTAACACAGAACAAAGCATATTGACTTGACTTTAGGGGTGCCAAAGCTGCCATGGTCCTTGCTCTGCAATCGCCCGAGACTGTTACGGCGCTGATTCCCGTCGACAATGCGCCTGTATCCGCCATGCTGGGCTCCCCATTCAATGACTACGTCAAAGGCATGAAAGAAATATCCGAAGCCCGCGTAACAAAGCAGAGTGAAGCTGACAAAATACTGGCCAAATACGAACCGGTACAACCCTCTGCTTGCACCTATCGTTGTCCGAATGACTAACATACTTGTTCAAAAAAAGTCCCTCGCAATTCGGCAATTCCTCCTCACAAACCTAATTCGCGACCCTTCAAACGACAACAAAACCCTCAAATTCCGCGTACCGCTCGACACTCTAGGGTCAAACCTCGGCGAAATGGCCGATTTCCCCTGGAAATTCGACCGCGAAAATGCCGCCAACAACGCAGATCTCCCAACGTACACCGGTCCAACGCTGATTGTGCGTGGGTTGCAGTCCAAATACGTCAGTCAGAAGAGGTTACCGGCCGTGAAGCATTTCTTCCCCAATGCTCAGATTGCGGGTATTGATGCGGGCCATTGGGTGATTTCGGAGAAGCCGGAGGAGTTTCGGCAGGGTACGTACTAGTATATCAACGCATCTAAAATCTCTGGACGGTATGCTGACAAGGTTGAAATTAGCGGTGATCAAGTTCTTCCGTGAGAACGATATTGAGTAAATACAATTCGTCTCCAGGTGGTGATGAGTGCGTGGCTGGTTTTTGATTTAGCGAGTGTTACGCATATCTGCATTTTTGGTGGAGGGGAGGCAAATCCTCTGTAAATTACATAGACTCTTAGACTTATACATAATCAATCCATAGACTGACTACCTATCTAGACATGTTTGCATGGTTCAATTCTCAGATGTATGCGGGTGGTTACATCAACGATTAGCCCTAACTTCTACACTACAGTGTATAATCACTGAACGGTATTCAAACAAGTCTTCTTATCGAGTTTACAAAGAGCCATGTTACTGTTGACTATTTGTATTTCTGAGCATTTATGCAGAACTTGAGCGCTGTAGTATAGAACAGGTAGTTACAGAAAGAGTCATGAGAATCACCTCCCCTTTGAAACAAAACACACTGATGCCTCGCTCTCCTGTCCTCCCAAAAGAAACTCCTGCTCCATAACGCGATTAAGTAATTAGTTGTGATACAAAACTGAAAACCCAGCTAAAGACAAATTCCGCTTGCTTTCTGGTTTGCTGGACCTAGTTCGCTGGACTCCTGCGCCTGTCGCATGCCTGCCGCTCCGTGATGAATCGAGGGTATATCTTCTTAAAAAAAAAACAAAAAGGAAAAAAGGTATATGCAATCGCTCGCTCCTTGGCATTGTATGAAAGGAAATCCGGGATAAAACGCCTTTATATCCTTGCCTTGGTTCGATGACCCCCGCGACGATGGTATCAATGGGGATGTCGCCCGAAAAAACAACAGATGCTAGAAAAAATCGTGGTGATAAAAGAGAATTTGATATCAATCGACATGGTCCACTAGATCCATAATGGATCTTTGTCGCTTTTTGAAAGCGGGCGGCCCTGTTCTTTCAATCAAGGATGCTGGTCCACGAGGCGGAGTACCTCCAAGAGAAGCAGCCTTTGGTGATTCAATATCTGGCCCCGATACCTTTGCAAATTTTCGTTTGCTCCTCTTCTTTGTGGGAGGCAGGCCACGGCTGTTATTGTTGAATGCTCTGACATTGTTCTCCTTGTCATCGTCTCGAGAAGGACCACCCGACCAGTTACTTAACTGTGAGGGTGACCGAGATCGCTCTGATCCCGGTGATTTAGAGTCGTGAAATATTCGTCCGATTGACTCCCTGGCGTCTTCTAGATCATCAATCCTATGGACGAGCTCTTGAAGAGTGTGTCTAAATTCATCATCTTCGACTCTTTGAAAATCAGATAATTCTAGCGCAGTGGCCTTTTGTTTATCCTCCAATTGAGCGAGTTGATAGGTCAAACTCTCGACGTGTTGTTGAAGCGCTACTTCGAAGTTCTCAATGATTGGCTTAGCGTCTTCCAGTCCACTTGCAATCAGCTTTTCGCTTATTTTCTGCTCAACATGCTGGATTGAATCTTCTATTTCCTTCACTCGTGCGGTAAGGCTCTGTTCAACGGATTGTAGTTGACTGCTTGTCGATTGGGTTAGAGCTATGTGTTCATCTTTCTGCGCTAGTACTTGAACTTTGAGTTCACCCACGGAGCCAGACACGCCAGAAAGTTCGCTAGCCACCCGAGCCTTTTCCAGATCCTTTTCCTTGTTCAGTTCATCCAATTTCTGGTGTAGCTGATCGTGCTTTTTCTGATTTTCTGCGACGCACGAGGACAGCTTACTGTCGAAATCCTTGAATTCGGCATAATTCTTCTGCAGTTCACCCACTTTTTGCACAATCTCCTGCCATTTCTTCTGCATTTCAGCAAGCGCAGCAGAGTTGATATTGTTCAATGCGTTTGGCTCGCTATTTGTACGTGGTTGAGTGGTTTGTGCTTGTTGAAGGGCAGCCAAATGTTGGGTATGAGATTCGACAATTTGAGGAAGATCTCGAAGCCTTGAGAGCTGTGCAAGATGCATCTCAATGACGTTGAATCTCTGCACGACACCGTGTAGTAGTTGAGGGTCCGGAAACCGGCTATGTATGATGGGTATCGCTTGATGGGCTAGGGCCTCCGCAGTGACGGAAGCATAACGGCTTTCCAACGAGCGGCATGCGATCGTTACAGATTCCAACCGTTCATTGAATAGCTGAGGATCTCCCTGACTGGAAGTTACATCCTGCTTGACTGGCGCACTGGCCTTCACCTCTGAAATCGCCCTCTCTAGATCTGAAGCTGCTTCGGCCTTGATTTTACCGACGGTCTCATCCAACTGTTGCGCCATCTGTTTCTGCTTGGCTTCGATGTCGTCACACAAGATTTTGTCTTTGAATTCCATGATTTCCTTGATGGCTTCTATATTTTCTTCAGCCTTTGCCATCCTTCCCTCAAGGGCTGAAGACGGAAATTGTGGCTGAACCGTGGTTCCGGGCACAGAGCGGCTTCCATTTTCGATTCTATCAAGACGAATAGCAATCTTCTCGACGCTCCTTGCCAGCATATCGTGTTCTGGTGCAGTGCTATAATTCCGAGTCTGAGATGACTCAAGAGCCTTCACACGATCTTCCAACGCCGACAAACTTTTCTGATCAACACCACTGGATTTGTTTTGACGGTCAACACTTTGTCGCGGAGATTCTCGGAATTTCGCAGGCGATCGCTCATACGGTAGAGAATTGATGCGATCATTGGTAGACTTGATTTCATCAAACGCTTTGTCTACTTGATCCCGAATTCTGTTCATCGACTTAAAGTCTTTATCCTGATGTCTTTGGACGGTTTCTAGTAGCTTGGAATGAGAATCCGAGGCACGTTGCAATTCCACGGTCTTTCTGTCGCTTCCTGCACGACTGTCTCTGAAATCTTTGGTAAGGTTTGAGAGATCCTCTCTGGTCTCTCTAACGATCTTTGAAAGATCGGTTTTGAGATTCTGGAGAGATTGCTTGATGAATTTGTTTTCAGCTTGAACATCTTTGGGCGCCTCCGAGGGGGTAATTTCACTCTTTGCTTCCGCATCTACCAGCGCAGCCGCACGTTTCGTTAAATTTTTCTGATTCTGGTTGCGCACATTCAGTTGTTCCTTGAGACTATCGACGTCTTTGTTTTGGATCTCGCGAATATGACCAACGAGATCCCTTGCGGCAGGGAATTGACTCAAGTTGCGGAGTTTCTCATAGTATTGATTGATGCCGACCTGGGCTTTCTTGGCCTTTGCGTATTCATTTTTGAGTGATGTAGCAATTGAGACCTCCGATGACAGATTCGCTAGGCTTTCAGCCAATTTTTCTCCATGTGACTTGGGTTTCGCAGACGGCGCTGGTGTGATCGGAACGTTAGACACGGCAGGGACGGTGGTGGATTCACTAATTTCTGGTCTCGAAGCACGTCGCGGATCACGCGCGTGGGATTGCTTTGATGATGCTGGCGCAGCAGGGAAGGTTCTCGAGATCTCAGCCATATCGAAGTATGCCCGAGACTCTCAAACCAACAGCTAAACTTGCACCTGTCTGATTGTCGAACATGATGTCAGAAATTGAACAACTTTCCTTGAGCAAGTTGCAGACTTGAATGTAGATCGAATCATGAATTCGAAATGTCACTGAGAAGGAAATTTTAAAAAAAAAAAAAAACTCACCATGTAGAAGTCATAGTCACAATATGTGAACAGACGTCACAGGGTCATATCAAAACAATGATTGGCTCAGCTCAGGTGTGCGATGGCTGTTATCTGATGCAAGGGGTCAAAGAAAGACAGATGAGGATAGAGCAGAGAGATAAAAGATGGGACGGACAGTGTTGACAGCAGTCACCAGGCTGGGCAAGAAGAAAAAAGAAAGAAGAACGAAGAAAGAAGAAATACTCTTAGAAGCCTTATGGTAAGCGCCGCTCTAGGGTTTGTTTTGGCAGTCGCAGAAGGACTAAGCTGGGATCTTGCATCAGTGGATTAGAGGGCACCAATCACAGACCTGGATCGCGTACAAACGGACTCTGATTAGCTGATGTTCGGGTTCAAAGAAAGGCGGCCAGGAAGGCGGTGAGCGCAGGGTCAGTTCTTGCTGACTTTCGCGCGCAAAGCTCAACCATCAGTCAAGTAATTATCAGAGCTGCTTGATCAACAACATCAACGACCTCAAAGATATCCGCTGATCAAGAACTAATAGCCGATACTCTCAGTCGAATTTTTCTTCGAGAGTGACGCCGGTGAATTTGTTCAAGGCTCTTGATTAGTCTTAGTCAAAATGGCTGCTGTAAGTTACCTTCAATACAGCTCACTCCTTCCGACACGATCATTAGCAGTGCCTAACTTGACGTCTCTCAGCCTATTTCTACTATCGCCGAGAGCAAAGAGCTCCGCGGCCTCAACCTCATTGCAGCTCACTCCCACATTCGCGGCCTCGGTGTCGACCCGGATACCTTGCAACCAAGGGCTTCCTCCCAGGGCCTCGTTGGCCAGGAGAAAGCAAGGAAAGCAGCGGCGGTTATTTTGCAGATGGTGAAGGCAGGGGATATCGCTGGACGTGCCGTGTTAATTGCTGGACCTCCCAGCACGGGTAAAACCGCAATCGCCATGGGTATGGCGCAATCACTAGGCGCTGATGTGCCTTTCACCACACTCGCATCTTCAGAAGTTTTCTCGCTGGGAATGTCGAAGACGGAAGCGCTCACTCAGGCATTCCGCAAATCCATTGGCGTGAGAATTAAGGAAGAAAGTGAGATTATTGAGGGTGAGGTAGTGGAGATTCAAATCGACCGCAGTGTTACAGGGGTATGTGAGATCAATCTGACGAAGATAGAGTGAAGGTAGCAATGATGCTGACCAACTCAGGGCAATAAACAAGGAAAACTCACAATCAAGACCACCGACATGGAAACCATCTATGACATGGGCACCAAAATGATCGATTCAATGACTCGCGAACGTGTTATGGCCGGAGACGTAATCTCCATTGATAAGTCCTCGGGCAAAATCACTAAGCTAGGTCGCTCTTATGCGCGTTCCAGAGACTACGATGCTATGGGACCCGACGCCAAATTCGTTCAGACTCCCGAGGGGGAACTTCAAGTACGCAAAGAGATCGTGCACACTGTCAGCCTTCACGAAATCGATGTCATCAACTCGCGTTCGCAAGGCTTCTTGGCTCTCTTCTCAGGTGACACGGGTGAAATCAGAAGTGAAGTTCGAGACCAGATCAACACCAAAGTCGCTGAATGGAAAGAAGAAGGCAAAGCTGAGATAATACCTGGTGTTTTGTTTATTGACGAGGTTCACATGCTCGACATTGAGTGTTACTCGTACATCAACCGAGCCTTGGAAGCGGAGCTGGCTCCAATTGTTATCATGGCCAGCAACCGTGGCAACACACGTATCCGTGGAACCAACTACTCTTCACCACATGGTCTTCCCCTTGACCTGTTAGACCGCGTGTCCATTATCAGCACTCAACCTTACACATCTGATGAAATCAGACAAATATTGGCCATTCGAGCTCAAGAAGAAGAGGTCGACTTGTCACCTGACGCTTTGGCACTCCTCACCAAGATTGGGCAGGAGTCTGGCTTGCGCTATGCCAGCAATATCATTACAACTTCACAGTTGCTTAGTGAAAAGCGAAAAGCCAAAGAAGTCAGTGTCGACGATATTCAACGCAGTTACCGATTGTTTTACGACCCCGCGCGAAGCGTCAAGTTTGTGAGCGAATTTGAGAAGCGATTCATCAACGAGACCGGCGATGTCAGCCTCGCATACACCAATGGCGATGCAATGGAAATATCGTAGAGCAGTTGACCCCTTTCTTTTGTCTTTTTTGAGTATCTTGTGACGGCGTACTTAGAGTGGCGATCCTCTAACAGCGGTTTGGATTTCAAAAGCAGGAATCGATTTCTTTCTAGCGAGGTTTTCTCTCCTGCTGAAGGCTATTTGATGTTTATTAAAATGTATGATATGACAACTTAAGCGCATTAATGGTATTTGAGGCTCGGTCTGGCTGTTTTCAGGAACTGATATCTTCGTTCGTTAATCGTACAGTATCTTCAATATCATATCATGAGAAAGAAGTAACACGGCCCCAATCACTCTCTGAACCCCCTACTTTGCGAAATTCAACCCCCTCTCCAAAATATCCCGCATCGTTCCACGACTGCATCATAGCGCCGTCGTATGGGCCATGCGTCTCTCCTCCATCTCGCGCATCCGACCATCGATATTCCCATAATGAGCCTGAATCTGCTGAGGCTTGTACGTCACCTGCGACTTGATCTTCATCTATCTCAGGCGGATCAACCCAATCTTCACCGGTTTCTCGCCGAAATTGCCGAGTGAGCATCTCCCTTTCTTGATCATATATCTCTATCTGGCCTCTCGTTAAGAGCAGATCAGCTGCGCCGGTTACTTCCTCAATAGCTTTCTTCCGCCTTGTCTCTTCGGGATTTTCTTCTGTCATCTCGACGTCTTCTCCCCCGTTTTCCTTCACTTTCTTGTTTTTGTTCTTCTGCCACTTCGGCTTTTTGCGCAGACCTTTGCCTAATCGCGCTAGAGCCTCGAGAACCGTCTCGCCGCGTTGCATGTGTTTAATAAGTGTGCGTAACAAGTCAGCTGTGATTATACTATCGTTTTGTTTATCGCGTTCTCGGCGCTCATTCTCCCTTTTGTCGGCTGCTTCTTTTGCGCGGCGGATATCCTTCTTCGACAGGCCGTCTAGCCATGTATCGTGAATAGCATCGGGGTCCACTGCTTTTCGGACGAAGTTTCCTGACTCATCGAATCGACCTTCTTCTTGTTCGGCGCGCATATTGAATGCATCGATCAGTGGCGCGTGTGTCTTTTTACCGCCAGCCCCAACTTCTTCGTCCATTCCCTCGTCGACTCGCGCACGCTCTTCCTCGTCAACTTCACTTTCACTTTCACTTTCCACATCTTCTGCATTCTGAGCTTCAGTTGGGTTTGCAAGGTCAACATGGACAGCGCGACCACCGCGCGATCTATTTGCTTGTCCCTCTATTTCCTCGTTTTTCAAAAACCGTACGTTCTTTTTATTTTTTCGGTATGCTTCGTCTTCGCCCATTTCCTCGTCGACCTCCTCTGCAGCCTCATCGGCAAACATATCATCGTCATCACCACCACCTTCTTCTTTTTGTTGTCGTCGCTTAGCTTTGGCTTTGGCTTCAACTCGCGCATCGAATCCCTCGTTTTCACTATCTGATTGATATCCGTCTAGATTGACCGCGTTGCGTCGGACGCCTTGGCCTCGACGACCAATCTCGTCTGCGTCAAGTACGGCATCATCCTCGAGTTCGTCTGGTGCTAGAGCGGAAGGGTTGCGTATATCGAAGCGTGGTTTTTTGGTCGTAGAGGGGCCGTTGATTTCGTCTTCTTCGGTTTGGTGGGTGCGGGCGTAGTCCTCACCGGCGCGTTTTGGGCGCACCGATCTGGACATCTTGCTGACTAGCTTGCAAATTCGTATATGTAGCTGGGGAGTGGTGTGACAAGATCAAAAGCTTGTTCCACCGAGCTGTGGTAGAAAACGAGCAGTCCGGGGACGGAGCGGAAAATCATGGCGGATCAAGTAAGCAGCTCCCCGAGCAATCAGCTTCCTTTTCCACTTGCGTCACCGGTAACTTTTCGGTTTCTCAACACCTCAACTGTTACTCTTCAATACTGTTTTCGCTCTTGTTGAGCTTTACTTCCATCATTTACAAGCATATACAGCTCATCCTTCTCGTATATTGTGATAAATCTCACTTGTACACCATTTGTTGCCACACTGAGCTCCAGACAGCTTCCCCGCATTGATTACTGAGCAGGCGACACACCATAATGGTACCTCATCTATTCTTTAATTTCACCTATATGTTACACCACAATACTAATCTATCTATTTCTCAGTATCGCTCAGGCTTCCTCGATCCAGACGCTATGGAAGGCATTATCGGCGGTGCCATGCGTTACGGAGCTCGTCGATTCGATGAATACTACCGATGCTATCCAGTGGCCATGCTCCCCGGCCCAGAGCGAGAGAACGTCAATCATGGAGGAAAAGTCATCATGCCACCCAGTGCCCTAGATAAATTGACGCGACTACACATTACATATCCTATGTTGTTTGAGCTGCATAATGGCGCCAAGGAGAGAATGACACATGCTGGTGTTTTGGAGTTTATTGCTGAAGAGGGAAAGATATATCTGCCTTTTTGGGTATGCCGCCTCTCTATCGTTACGTAAGATGATATTCACATACTGACTGCTATCAGTTGATGCAAACGCTCCTCCTTGAGCCTGGCGATCTGATCCAGGTCAAATCAACCGACCTTCCGCCTGGTCGATTCATCAAGCTTCAACCACAATCAACATCGTTCCTTGACATCAGCGATCCTAAAGCAGTTTTGGAAAACGCATTCCGAAACTTCTCCTGCCTCACAAAAGGAGACGTGTTCACATTCGCTTACAACGACCAAGTCTATGAAATCGCAGTCCTAGATGCTAAGCCCGAGGGTGACAAGAAAGCTATCTCGGTACTAGAAACAGATCTAGAAGTTGACTTTGCGCCTCCTGTGGGATACGAAGAACCAAAACGTCCCAGTGGTGTAAGCACGCCCGCCCAGGCTGGCACACCTCGTGGCGGTGTGGTGCATTCTCATGGAAGCATGGCTCAGGCCATCAACTACGCAGCTATCGCCCCCGAATCGGACGACGTGACGAAAGGAGCGAAAGCACAGTCATCAAACTTTTTTTCCGGTGGACATCGACTGAATGCCAAGAAAAGCAGCAAAACACCTACCCCACAACCCAATACGCCTGTTGCAGGAAGCTCAACAAATCCTAAACATCCGCCCCCAACACGGAAGACGAACGGCCCACAACCACTACGATTGGGCCCGAATAAGCTTTTCTTTGGCTATGCCATCAAACCAGCTCCAAAGCGTGATGAGGAGGGCAAAGTCATCGAAGAGGCAGACAACAAACCGAAGTTTCAAGGACAAGGTCAGACATTGCGAGCGCGTAAGAAGGGCCTTGGAGGAGATTCCGGCACGCCAACATCGGGAAGTGATGTCGAAGGTCGAAAGCGATAGCTCTTCAGCACTTTTGATCCGTCGATTGTGTCTAGAGCATAAGATCTTTTCTTTTTGGATTTGAGCGTGGGAGGTGGAATGGCGTTCAGGTATTCGTGCATGTTATCTAGACTTGAGTCTGAAATGAAATCGTTTCAATATGGTCCGAATCCTACTATTGTTTCGATGCTTGGTAGGATATGATCTCGTCACCAGCATGCTCGTGCAGCTGTCAGCCTCAGGCGTCGTCTACCTCAAAACCCACTGCATTCGATGTCACAGTAGCCATGACCCGATACGATGGCCTAGCATCGAAACCCGGTTTACGTACTCATGCTTTGTCCTCCACGGATGCGTGGTATCTATCCTGCGATACTCTTCACAGTTCGTGATTATCATCTTTCGAGATCGTCGTTTAAACGTATGCACGATGGATTATCGATAGCTATAGCGACAACTTCCTCCACCCTCTTCCTTGAGTGAACGATGTTTCTCTGGATCAAGATTTGGGCTCAGTTGATTTGAGGCACCTAAACTGTTACAAGTACGCCGTCTGGATTCCATACTGGGCCGTTAGGTAGTTACGATACGTATCAAAATCTTTGGAATATACAAAAAATCGCGATTGGCCTTTCTTTTAATTTTCTTTCCTCTTTACTCCTATGTAGTCCATTGTTTTGCATCCTTCTAACACCCATGACTAGTAAGTGGCCTAGCGATCAAACGTCCAATAAATATGGAGTCCTTCCCCCATGCAGACGCGCGTGAGACGGTTAGGTCAAGTACCTGTATATAATTGTACAGGGTATGAAGTTGATCGGCGTCTAAAGACTTTGCTTCCTGAATCTTAGTCCATAAGATTGTCCTTGTACTCGGCTTTCAGTGAGCTGAATCGAGTTTAGTTGAGAAATTGAGACTGTCTGCTTTCTTGAGTCATCACGTACATATCAAACCTTCAAAACTCACACTTCTTTTTCATACTTTCGTCTTCTGTCCTTGACCAGAGAGCGACAGCATGTTGTCTTGGTAGATAATACATGGCATATACTCGACATCGTCTCAGAGATCTTCTGCAACGGGTGGGTCTCCAGCTGTCAAGTGTACCTTTTACATCATGTGCCTCAGGCTTGCCTTCCTTCCTACATAAGCCACTACATTCAGTGCTCCTAGTACCCATGACCAAATGGCCTAGCGGTTAAACTCTGCCTACTCTTCCTCTTTCTCGTGCACTGTACGCACATTTTCTCAGAGCCACCAGGGTTGAATGGTCAACTTGCAATTATTATCGTACAAGTCATCCGTCCCCTGTTGAGGCATTGAGTGATTGACCCTGCCTACCTGGCTTCTCGCTAGAGAATACTTGCCTAGCATTCTTGCTAGAGAACCTTACACTGAGATCTAGTACGTTGAGAACAACTGGCTAGTTTGCCATTTCGATCATAGGTAATTAGTACATGTACTAAATATTTGGAACTATAAACACGACCGCGGTCGAATCCCACTGGGCCCCCTTTTTTTACTTTTTGTCACGTCCTTTCTCTTGAAGGCCTTGTCACGTATTCTTCGATGGAGCCACTTCATAATTATGATCAGACTTTCATTGATGGTAGACTCATTACGTGCGAACACACATCCGCGGCCTGACCAACCAAGTCAGTTGCAGTTGATAGTAGTCTTCGGATTCGTTTATAAGAAAGTCACCAGCTTCTCCAGGCTACGCATGCCTMAAMAAGCCACAACATACATACTCCCCCGTTTGACTCATGTAAAGGTAATTTGTAATAAATGAACATCATGACAGCACAGAGCTCCCAACCTCCTCGCAGGCTAGACACAGTTCTTCGAGTTGCGGTAAATGTACATTCCTGTTTGGCAAGCACGACAAACACTTCCCGATGTGACTTCCCCCAAGAGTCAAGGACCACCGATTGCTCTTCCTCAGCAACCTAGGTCCAAATAGCGCAGCGGTAAAGAGCTCTGAGATTGACATTGATTCCTGAAGAAGGAATACTGAACGCTGCTCTGAAAGACGAGTACGCTATATGTGAACGGCTAGCCGATGTTGAAATTGATTCTCCCGCGGGGGCCTACTTGGGCTTAGGTTACCTCTAATCTTTGGAAACTATCTCGAGTCTTTTGACTCCCCCCTTTTTTTATACCCGTTCTTTTCATCCTTGCGATGACCCATGAAGTCAGACTTGCGAGGTTATTATCCGGGTAACTGGCAACTGCAGTAAAAGTTCTTACTCCTTGCCACAGCTTCTACATTCAGTAAACTATTTTCTTCATTCCAAGTACGTAAACTTGCCACTACTTGCATTGTATGCAGGTTTGTCAGGAACAAATTTCGCCGCAGTCACGGAACTGGCAGGTGTGTAGTTAATATACATAGTGGAGATATGCGGAGTTTGTTGATTGTGGATTGTGGCGGGTATAGTGGGTAAATATAGTGGGGATGCCTGATATGACAGGCATACCCACTAGTTGGCATATGAGCCTCGATTTCTGTGTCTTTCTCAACATAGGCGGGGTGGCTCAGGGTTCGTGGTTCAGCAACGCCTGACGCAGGACTTTTTATTTCAAGTACTTATGAGACCATAGGCCGAGAATATTAAGTCAGTAATAAAACAATATGCATATAAGGGCGAAAAGTCTCCATTCTTATCTCGCAGAAGGCGACTACATTGGGTGTCATTGACATCGACAAGAACTGAGGCTGGTCTCACCAACCCCGTCCCCCAGCCAGGCGCGGTCGCGAGCTCCTGGAAGCTCCTGAGTTCGAACCGTCCTCTTGCCTCAATTCTTTTTACCCCTTTCTTGCTTCTTCGACTTCCGCGTCTTCTGCTCAAGTTTATGATGTCTCGTACCTGTATGACATTGACCACGTATCAACCAGATCAACGCAGCGTGCAATTTTCTCTTTCAGGGCAGCGATCAGTTCTTCTCTGAAAAGAGAGGCACTCATGGTAGACTGGGCAGACAGTGGCATTGATCAGCGGGTGATTCATAGGCCTGAGTTTCTGTTTTTCCTTCACCACAAGACCGCGGGATGGTCGAACGGTTAGCCTGACGTAGGCTGCAAAGCAGTACTGGATCGTCATTCCGAATCCACATACATACATTGCTGGATTCGTGATCTCGTAACAACAGAGATCTCGCCGCTATGATTTTTTGTCTCTTTCCAGCACCTTCTCTATCTCACAATCCATTTCTTTTTGCATTGTAGGATACATGTTAAATTCAGCAGCTCGTCGACTGGTTTGGCTCGTCGTGTTGTACCGTAGACTAGAGAACGTGAATGGCGACCGACAACAGGTCATACTAGCGATGCTTCAGCCGCCCAAGCGCAGCCAAGCACGGAGTTCGCAAACTCGTGGAAACTCCTGGGTTCGACTCATTCCTTCGCCTCAATTCTTTTTATCCTTCTTGCTTCGTCACTCTTTGGATCTGCACCCATGTGTCATACATGAATGGCGCCAACAACGTATCAACGACGATGAGACTTTCAGAAGAGTGCAATACTGCTCTTCGAATCAGGAAATCGTGGTTTGTAGACTGACACGGTCATTTCAATGGTTATGCTTGTTGGTATATAACCCTCAAAATCTATTTTCTTTCAATCAAAGGACGGTCCAATGGCCTAGCGGGAGGGGGAACCGTCCTGTTGCAGGCTTCCCCCAATGACCCTCCATTGAGAGCCCAGCATCGCGCTTGGGTTCGAGGCCGTCCTTTGTTCATGATGTTCTTTTTTTTTCGTCGCCGTTCGACCATACATGCTATACCCATGTTTTTGGCGTTTTCTTATCTGGCAATTTTCTGTATGATAACGATTGAGTAAAAGCATGCCTGCACGTCAGATGAACTGAAAAGATACTGCTGTATGCTCAGGTACGGTCGCATGTCCAGTGTTGCTACTGTCTTTCTCAACCAACTGATTAGTCACAGATCGCTTATGCCACCTTGTTTTCTTTCCCTCTTAACCAAGACAAGTGGTCATGCATATTGCATGTGTTGAATACTTTCGAAATACTTTCGAAATCATATCGCTCAACTTCAATATAGATTCAGCTACATCAAGGAACTGCGTTGGCGATTCGAGTTGGTGATGTAAGTATGCAATCGCGTCGTGCGTGATGAGCCCTCTCCCGAGAATATAGAACCAGGCATCTTCTCTGTGCTTGTAGCATGACGGTCGGCAAATGGCAAAATTGGATGTAGTCATTGACCAAGAATGCTCTGTAGCATGAAGTCCAACTTGACTGACAGTATCCCTGATCGTAGTCTTGCCAGTGTCGTCTGCAAATTGACTCCCGTACACTCTATGTACTGCAAGAGGCCATGGTCGTCTCATGGTCCTATTTTATGAATTGAAAGTTTCTGGGCCACTGCAATTGACGGGTGTCAACCCAGAGAGAGCGATCGTGGTCGTGTGGTAGCGCGACCTTCTGCCCATGACCCTCCCCTTCCTTTCCCTTCTTGCCAATTCGCAAATGAGGGCTACCTTCATGGCTTCGATCCGCCTTTTTGGTTCACCTGATTTTTCTATTTCTTCTTTTCTCATCTTCCATAATCTGCGCTTTTTCACCATAATCAATTTCATCTGATTCATCGAAGTTGATATTGAGTTGTGCCAAGCCACTTGCATACACTAGCTGCGAGATGTGACGTGCGTATGTGGACCTGTGCGGTACCTCGGCATTCCTGCGGTCAAGGTACCCAAGCCTATCTCAACGCGCACCCGGCAAATGTTGCGGAAAAGAAGTGGATCACTCAATGAGCAAAGCCCATTATCATGGAGCACCTTTGACTTTTTCTTCACCCAGACATCCTGAGCGAACTATTTACAACGGGATCTGCTTGGGTTCAGCTGGCTCGATATAGCATACCCCTATCTGTACTCCCGAGCCTAGCCCGCCAACACAAGAATGTCAGCAACCATTGAAAAGCCTGATCCACTCGCGCCATTCGTTCGTCTTGCGCCCTCGATATACTCTGTCGAGCCGCGGATACAACCTAGAGATGACGACAAAGGGCCATCGACAATCATCCTGCCATTCTGGATGAATGCGCCTCCACGAGCAGCAGTCAAATACGTCGTCAAATATGCCGAGCTTGTGCCCACTGCACGCATCATTTTCTTACTCACTAATACTGAGGACTTTTATAATTCGCGAACTTCGCATCAGCTTCGACTGAAGCCGTTGATTGATATCCTCGTCGCTTCTCAGGGAAACGATGCAGGTGCGTCGGAAAGTGGAGGTGATGGCTCGGCATACATCCATCTCTTCTCCAACGGCGGCGTCTTCGCAACGGCTCAATTACTACAAGCATACAAGGCCGCCACCGGTAAACCACTGCGAGTGTCAAGCATGGTTATTGACAGTGCGCCTGGTAAACCGACGCCGTCACTGTCAATCAAAGCATTTTCGTACGCCTTACCGCAGACAATCATCCTTCGACAGCTCAGCTACGCTCTACTAAGTACGATGATATGGGGTACTTATTTGACAAGAAAGTTCCTAGGCCTGATGTGGAGATTATTCTGGAAACGCCCTGAAAAGACTGATGATGTTATCGTTTATGGCGATGATCCATTGGCATATACGCGAAAGGCAATTCTGGATCCTGATTTCATTGTTGCTGGGACTCCGGCGGAGAAGGTCAAGATGTGTTATATTTACTCAGATACGGATGAGTTGGTGCCTTGGAAAGATGTTGAGGATCATGCAGCTTTGGCATCGAAGCGTAGCAGAATCGTGCATTTGGAAAAGTTCATCGGGACGCCGCATGTTGGTCATATGAGGGTTGATCCGGAGAGGTATTGGGATCTGATAGAAAGGTACCTAGGGTAAACTCGTTTATATCAGTGTTGACTCTGGAGCTATTGATGCCATAGGCTGAGCGAACGCTAGAATAGCGGCAAATATTGGTTTGTGGTGAGGACGTGCTGACAAGTTCATACCTGGTAGTTGCACAGTGACTGAGAAATGCGTTCTATAAGCCCGTTGCCATATAACAAAACATTAACACCTCATGTCAGGTTGAGCATATGACGACCCGTAGCCCTAGCACGAAGATATAACGAGAGAATTGGGACAAGTCAGTAATCTTGTAGCAATCTTACGGAGGGCTATAAGGCTCAATCTGATGCAGGCTTTTCTACATGTGTAAAATCTACATAACGACTCACTGGGCCGTGATACAAGTCTAGGCGCAAGCCAAATTGAAGGATATCAGAGAAGGAACTATCTAGTAATTCACGATGCGCACATCTCATCCTTGCTCTATTTGATTATCTGGAAGCCCACTCTACTCCATAATAGCGGAGTGAAGAATGTCCAAAACCTTGCACAGTACCCCCCCGAAGAACATTCTACAATTCTATTTCCAGGCACATTGACGAAGACGCAGCCGTCGATACTCAAAAACACAGGCCCAACCGTTCCCTTGGAAGTAATGCATAAATCAAAAGTCCGGATGCAATTCGTATCTTCGATTGTTATCATGTAATCAAATATTTGACACAAAAGGCATCCCGGGAGTGATTGATCAACTTCAATCAGACATCCATAGCTGGCATAGTAAGATGCAGACGAAAATACATCTGATGATAAAGCAGGATACGATGTCAATGATCATTTCTGTGAGATTTGGCAGAAGTCATTCCGGTATTGAGACACTGTTTCGTCTCTCAATAGGTGTTGATAGTATAGTTAATGTTGGAGATATAAACATTCAATACCATCCGGAGACCAAGAATATTCTTTCATAGAATTTGCGTTGTCGTTCTTCATCTTATATATTACAGGGAATAGGGGTAATTGGGTATGTCATCCACTTCTATACTGAACTAGTAGGACAATTCTAGAGCATTAATAAAGAAAAAGCTCAGCTTCATTTCTCGCGTCAAGAACGATCTACGTATTTCTTTTGTACTTCAAAGGATAGGAGACCTTCTATTAGTGACTAAGTAATGCGTAATCGTTTGACTATTCTCCCTTTTTCTCAATCAATCAACCCGAATCTACCCTCGTCGAAAGCAAGGGATGAAAAATCAAAGCGAAATATTCTTCGAATGAAAAGCGACATTCTGATAGTGATTGAACTTCTTCCGCTCGTCCTTGTTCTGCATCAAGATGTCTCTCGCCTCCTGTAAGACCCATGGGAAATCCCCTTCTCTCGGCAGAATCTTTAGTTTCTCCTCTACCGAAAGTGTCCTCACATCTATGCCTCTCTTTTCCGCCTCCTCCGTCTCGGGTCTCCAATCCAATCGCTGTGGGGGCACGTTTGCTGTTGAAATTATCCTGATATTTGGATCAACTAACATGAAGTTGACGGCGTGCACGTGTCCCACTTGTGATTTGTCTTTTAATGTGAAGATCATATTGTGCTGTACGGTGTTGGGCCATGCAATCATTTTTCCCTGAGCACATTCAATGTAACCGACGTCCTGCACCGGGGATTCATCATGCCTCAAACCGAAGATTTCTTCAAGCCAAACGGTATCTCCACGCTCGTAATTTAGGTCTTGGAAGGCTCGGGTGTCGGATATTTGCCGAAAATGCATACGAACACTATCGATATTTTGCATCTCAAAAATATAGATTGCCGAGGCGCAGATGTGTTCGTTCTAAGACCCCTTGACGTTAGAATATAACAAAGACAAAAGTAGCAAAGGTTAAGAAATGCAAACGTACAATCTGCCCCTCCATATGCCAGGGAACTTCGAATACCGGTTCATCAGGAGTCGGCTTCATATCTGCTATCCTCAAAAGAACTTGCAATCCTCGATGGCCATACTCCTTCTTCAAGTTCATCATGTCCAATATTCGATGCTTATTCTTCTCTGCAGGAGGCATTTCATCCATTAATTCAGGTGGAATCCCAACTGGTGCAAATTTTCCGGGTTCAGGTTGCACGGCTTTGAACCACTTCCTCCTCCAGGCCCGTAATCTGTCTTCATAGTTACCACGTTCCTCTTGCGGGCTTTCCTCTGGTTTTGGTTCTGTCTTGCCAGGATTCTTCTCCACATACCGAACTTCCTGCAGCTCGATTCGAGCCCGAGGATGAATCGGGCTCTTGATTGGGGTAAGAGACATATTCCACATGGGAATGATCTTGTCTAGTAACTTCTCTAGAATTTGATAGAGTGGTTTATCTCTTGTTGGGTGGATGTTGTTGATATAACTGGCGAAATAAGCAGTCCCATCAGGTCGAAAATAGACATCGGTAGGAAGCCATTGGAACCGTGAGCTATAAGGACGCGGCATGATATCCGAACGTGAGGCAATATTCCAGCTCAATTCTTGGCGCGAAGGGCCAGGGTCTTCGGGCACGGGAATAATCTCTCCCTGTCCCATGCTTGATATGGCATCATCAATACCAATTATACGATCTCGAAGAACCCTTGTTTTGCCGAATACCACTGGGAAGAAGGACGGATGTACATAGTCTGATTCTCTCTCTTCAGTGGCCATCTGATACTCTGGAGCCAGTCCCAATCCCTGCTCAAGTCTAAGAATTGCATTACATAACTCAGTCCGAAATTTCTCGTGCTGAAAGAAATCTGCACAGGATTTGACAACATCAGCGTAGAAGATGTTGATGAAGCCCACCTTTCCGGCGACCTTAGCTTTGAATCTAAGCTCGGCGGTTAGCCACTCAACCATTCTATCCGTCGTTTCTGGGTCTTCTTTCAATTCTTGAGTCCAGCTTTGCACGTAGCATTCATCAAAAATCTGAACAGACTCGTCAATATGTGCGAGTGCCCACAGCTGATATAAATATTGTTCTCACCTTCTCAAACCAATCCTTTATATCCGTAAACTCATTGATTATGCGGAGCATTTTCTTCTCTCGGATTGTCATAACAGGTTGACTGGAAAAAGAAATCAGTTAGGCTGCACATCGACCACTGCTATCGAAGGCCGCATGTAAATCGACTCAAACGCACTCGATATAACCGGCTTCGATATCCCGATCATCCAACACTGTTGGGAACAACGAACGAGTCCTGACTCCATATGCATTCATTGCCTTGGGAGTATAGTCCAGTCGAAGACCAAACCCCGGGAGAGTGAGGCGATCGTCCGGTCGTTGGACCTTGGTTTTGGGGGCGGCTGTGGAAGGGGATTCCATGTCGATTGAAACAATTGAGGTGGCAGATTCAATGGAATCACAGGTTGGTGGTCAAGATGGGGTCTCTCATCAAGAAGATTTCCCTATGTATGTCCCATTCGATGTGCCATGAGAAGAAGGAGAAAGGATGTGAAAGAGCAAGTGGAATAATATCTCAACGAATGGATAAACTTCCCCCACGGATCATTCGGTAACTCTGGAAAGAGCGAGAAGCAGACTCGGACAGAGACTTGCTGACTCTACTCTGATGGTGGTTCATTGGACTGTCTTTCGTAATACCGGAGTGACGTTCCGAACGTCAACATTGCGGCAGATGGAGAGTTTGGACCGGAACTCGATTGCGTGGCCATTAGGACGGAAGAAGCTGCTCTGAGATGTACTCTATTACATTGATATAGAAATAATTCGCGTAGGAGATTATCGAAGTAGTTTTTTTCCCCTTGAGTAAAGTCATGGGTTTGTGAAGAATTGAAGTTGGATAGTTTGTGCTGAGCATTGAAGCTTTCCCATGTCCATCCGGAAAGCCCTAGCCCTGACACCATGACGTACAAGTATCGCTGATAGTATAAGGAAAGAAGATAGACAAATAGTTATCAATTCTTAAGCAATCATTCTCTTCGCATAGACTCATTTCCTCATTCTATGAATACACGTATTTTTTTGTCTAATAACTACCACGCTATGCCAATATGCAAAAAAAGGAAAGAAAATACAGATCGCCGCACTCCCAATTCCAAATTCGTCAACAGTAACAAGAGGAAGTGGAATATGATATACTACTACATACCCTTCTTTTCCGGAAACTCATCCTCCAACTTCAAACGAGCCGTAACATTCATACTCAACAATTCCTGGATCAACAACTTCGCCGCATACGGAATCGTCATTTTGACTACTCCTCTCGACGAGCGACAACGTTGACACCAGTTCTGATAACCCATGAATCCACATTTCTCGCAGATATCGACTTCATGCTTGTCAGAGGATAACATGAGACGCTCAAGAAGGAGCTGACTTGTGCCGTAGGCAATCAAACAATCTCGCTCCATCTCTCCGAGACGTAGACCACCGTCTCGGGAACGACCTTCGGTTGGTTGGCGGGTTAGAGTGGCGCGTGGTCCAGTGGAACGAGAATGCATCTTGTCTTGGACCATGTGTTTCAATTTCTGATAGTAAATGGGACCCGTAAAGACGTAGAATGGTAGAGGCTCGCCTGTGATTCCAGATGTTAGGTAATCTTTGCCACCGTAACTGAATCCCTTGTCCACCAGAATAGCAGACATTTGCTCGACAGGGCTACCGCCGAAGGCTGTCCCGTAGCCGTGTTGGCCTGAGAGAACGCCAGCTTTGCCTGCTACGAGCTCTAGCAATTTTCCAACTGTCATTCGAGACGGGAAACCGTGAGGGTTCATGATGATGTCAGGCACAATACCCTGGTCAGTGAATGGCATGTCCGCCTGCTCGGCAATGATACCGACGACACCTTTCTGTCCGTGACGAGAAGAGAACTTGTCTCCCACTTCAGGTCGACGTGTTTGACGTGTCTGAACCTTGTAGATCTTGCTCTCTCCTTCAGTGACCGAGACCATGACTTTGTCAATGTAACTTGGGTCAGGCAGTTTGTAAGTCATGGGTGCTGGGTTATAGTCTGGTGGTCTGCCCATATCCGATCCCGTGATGCCAGCCGAAAACGCGGCGGCAGGAACTTCCTTGTTGATATACACTTGACCATGGCTAACTACCTCGCCCACTGCAGCCAACCCATCACTGTCTAGAAGAGAATGCTTTGTAATCGGCACTCCTCCTTCGCCAATTTCGGGTCCCCGAAGTCTATCTTCTGATCCATTCGGATAGCTCTTCAGGTTAGCCACGTACTTGCGGAAAACCTGACAACGACCAAAGCCTCTATCAACAGAGCCCTTGTTCAACACGAGGGCATCTTCAATATCGTAACCTGAATAACTCATCACGGCAACAGTTGCATTTTGACCCGCAGGAAGTTGATCATACTTGATAAGTTCGATGGTGCGTGTTTTGACCATCGGCTTTTGAGGATACACCATCAGATAGAGAAGCGAGTCTATCCGCAAGAACTGATTGGATGCAATAGCGCCAATGGCTTGTTTACCCATAGCACATTGGTAAGTGTTACGCGGCGACTGGTTGTGATGTGGGTATGGAATGAGACCAGCGACAGCTCCAAGAATAGTGAAGGGCTCAATTTCGAGATGTGTGGTTATGTCGATAACGTCTTTTTCGTAAATAGCAATATTCGAGTCATTCTCCTCGTTCACATCCAAGTATTCGACTAGGCCTTGAGCAAGGAAATCGTCGAACTGCATCGAGCCATCCCGTAGTTTCTCCAGATGACCAGATTTGACTAGAGGTTTGCCATTCTCAACGACGATGAGTGGCCGGCAAATTCGTCCATCGTCAGTGGCGATGTGCACTGCACGTTGATGGTGGTTGATATAGATGCTCACGAACTCAGAAATGCGGCCCATCCGTCGCAGTCGTCGGAAAGCGTTCAAGAAGTATTTGGGCCGCCGAGTCAGAGCTATCGGTGTACCGTTCATGGAAATGATATAAGCTCCAAGACCATAAATTTCTTTACCACTTAGCGTGGTTATGTCCTCGGCCCCTAACATGAACACCAGCTTTGACACTGGACCCTCTTCGTCGTTTGTTGTAATGTGTGTCATGAGCGCCAAATTCTTGACTAGACCACATGCTTCACCTTCTGGGGTATCAGACGGACAAAGCATGCCGAATTGTGAAGGTTGTAGAGCACGAGGACCACTGACTTTTCGTGTCTTCTCGAACTGACTGGAAATACGGGTCATCATACCCAGGGCTGCAATATAACTGAGTCGGCTCAAAACGTGGGTCACACCAGCACGTTCCATTCTGAAACGCTTAAGACTCCAATTTCCAGTTGAAATAGCTCTGTTCATTCCGTGGGTGATGTGGTTTCCATGCAGCGTGACGACGCTCATAGCATCAAAGATTTCGCGACGCCTCTTGCCTAGCACTTTGGTGATGTTCATTTTGATGTCGAATTGAAATTTCTTAAATAAATCTTCGAATAAAAGGGCGAGAAGTTGTCCAGCAAGTTCCAGTCGTTTGTTTCCTACGTAATCTCGATCGTCGACCATATCAGAATCGTGCTTGGCCATCAGCACACGCCTTGCCATGTTGGCCACGTAGATGGCCTTGGGTCTAAAATCCATATCGGTGACCTCCACATGCGAGATAATGACAGATGAGATGGCCTCAATAGCCTCCTCGGTGTGGGTTTTCTTATATCCGCCAACCTTGCCTCGATTGATCTTGATCTTGGAACCGATCCAGTCAAGAGCCTGCTGCTGTGTAAAAACGTTTTGTTTGATAGCTTCCTCGAAGTTGATGGCAAAGTCTTCTTGGTAGACATCATCAATACCGGCCACGAGGAGCATCATCTCCTTGTCAGAATGAACACCCATTGCTTTGAGGACAATCACCAACGGCACGTCTTCACTTAAAACGTTGTGTTTGAGATATAGGCGATCCTTTTTGAGAATAATGTAACTTTTTGATTTCCTCTCATTGGACGAACTAGTGACGGAGGCTTGAACGATTTCTTTCTTCGGATCCGTTTCGACAATGATACGATTCTTGCTGAGCTGCTCCTGGACCAAGATGACCTTCTCTGTGCCGTTGACGATGAAGTAACCGCCTGGATCAAGTGGACATTCGTTGAGCAGGTGCATTTCGTTGGGTTTCTTGTTCGACAGGACACATTTTGAACTCCTCAGCATAATAGGCATGCGACCGATGGGTACACGGCGTTGTGTGACTTTATCCTTTCCACGCTTGTATGTGAAATCCACGAAAATCGGGGCGGCGTAGGTCATATCCCGCAATCGGCACTCGTTTGGGGTAACGGTCGAGTCAGACTCCACGCTATCCTTGGGCTCATCGCTTCTGCGAGGACTTCCAACGTAGATATCGGTGAACCTGCAAGCCGAAGTTTATTAGAACAATACCTACTGCTGGTATACAAATGCCAAGCTTACTTGAGGAAAAATGCGGAATCCGCATCGCTGTATATCGTCGAACTTGCCTCCACGATTTTCTTGAGTTGGACCTCAATAAAGTAATTGTAGGAATCGATATGCTGCTTCACTAGACCCTTGACTTTCAAAAATGCCGGCAGCAAGTTCCACTTATCTCGTGCAGTATTGATAGGATCCGTCAATGACTTGTTATAGTAGAATGGTTCCAGCAGCGCGTCGAATGGGTCGGCTCTGCGGTTTTTGGCGGCGACGTGGGCATGATCCTCTTTGTGAGGATCTTGCGCGTGGCTTTGTGCCTTTGCAGCCAGTGGAGTTGACTTCTCGGCGACATTATTGACGGTCGTCTTCGCGACTGGCACCGACTTCTGCAAAATATGTCAGCTACTGGCACGATAAGAAAATGAGTCAAAGGTCAAGCTTTGGTTCTTACCACAGACGGTCGTGCAGTCGGTCTTGCAGTAGGCTGCGGCCGCTTGCGCGGGGGAGGCATGTTGTACAACTGTCTGACCCTCAGACCAGAAAGTTCTGTAAGATTGAGAGTCACAGGTAGTTCACGACGTAGAAATTGAGCTTTCCTAGTACGGACTTTTCTTTTTCTTTGGAGAGGGGCCGCGCCGGAGGTAATTTTTGCGGGACGATTAGCTAATCACTAGAGCTCGGAGCTTGCTTAGCGTCGATTAGCTTATCGCCGCTGATGCCTGAGGCTCCGTAAATACCTGAGGAACAAACACCCTCACAGCAAAAGCAATTTCCACAAGACTGACTCGTCTATGATCGACAGAACTACATTCGCTACGCATCTCCTCTGTGAATGGATTGTACACTTCATCGTCGTCGTGTCTGCTTTTGACAGGCTACTTGCAAACTGTGGGGTTAGCGCCGATAGAATTGATTTTGATTGCCGAAGCTGATATGGTTTGCGAGCGAGGTAATTGCACTGTATGCGATTGATCGAGTACCAGCCTTTAGAAGACCCTTTCTCACTGTTAGTCCAACGAACTCATGCGAGTCATAGATAGCATTTGTCGGAACTTTGAAAAACTCCCAAATTGCTTGCTGGCGGACGCAGTGAAACGTAGGTGGATGAGGGGCACCCAATGGGACCAATCAGGACTGTCACATAACGAGTGCATAATGATCAATAATTTTATCAATTGACGAATCCCAGGTAGTTTTAGTCGTGGGTAGTGAGTCTCTGAGACTCTGACAACCTCACTCGGAATGGTGCAATCTTAGCGTCCGTATAAGCGCTGGACCATAGAACCGCGATGCGACTTTGATGGATCATTGGGCGAGACTCCATGCTCGATTAAGTATGGCCGACGATCAGCATATCACAATCCTCATTCCATGAGGTTGGTACATACGTGCCATAAAGTAAACTGGGGAGTAGACTGCTCAATTCTCGAGACAATCCACGGTTGCTGATCAAAGAACGAGTAGAGTTTACAGTCAATGTCAATCGTGGGTAAGAACACGGTCAAATCAGTTTCATCTGTGCGGTGGACTATGGCACAGAGACAGCGCACTTAGAAATAAAATGATGAGATGAAATACTGAAAGAAAGTATCCAGTCAAGAGGAAGTGTGGATAAGCATGGTAACTGGCATAGCATTATAGTTGACTAGTTGATGCTTGGATGAAAGGTGTCTCTGGTTAAAATAAACGGACGAAATGCGCAAAGAGATAGCCATGAAAAGCGCATAGTATCCCTGTCTGATATTTCAATCCCAATATAACAAGTAGACATATAAAGCCCAAGAAATGCAAAACGATGATGACAACCACGCCCTTCGGACTAGCATAACCTATATACTTAATGGTAACCTTGAGCTAGTCTTAGAATGCGCAGCCATCTTGCCTTTGTTGATCAGAGATTGTGTAGCAAAACTGCTACAAGATGAACATTGCTTCCGCTGTGACGAGATGAATACTGTGGTAGTAATCAAGACGTGCATTTTCGAGATACTCCATTCAAAGGAGTAGGATAGAGTCTACACCGCTTCCTCGACATAAACCAATGGCGTCAGACATGCCTGGTGGAGCCTCAAAGAACCCCTTCCACAGCCAATCAGATCAACCAAATAGGGAGTTAGCCCTAAGTCACTTGACAGAAATGCACACTCTGGCCTGCACGTAGACTACTGCTGGCCAACATACTATGTATATGTACTACTACTACTACTCTCTCTACACTGGCAACTGGCGAGAAGAAATAGCAGCAGTGGACGTGGCAAGAGTGGAGCGGTTAGCTGTGGATCAGGCCGAGTGCTACTGTGCCATAGGCTCTCCGTTGAGGTAAGGTTAAGGCCCGCTMCCCGCCACTCCTCTCAGATTCTGTCCATGGGTAAGTAAATCTCTAGGATGCCAGCAGAATGCATGCAGAAGCCAGCACTGTGGTTCTCCTGCAAGACGTCTGCAGCCAAAGAAACCCTGCTTCTAGAAAGATTTGGATCTTTTTAATCACACTGGTACCCCAGCCGGTCAAACCCATCCTACCGCGAAACTCATTGAGACTCCATGATGAAGCTAGGCACTTAGATGTCAACACGTACTAACTAAAAAGTTCATGGTGGCCGCATCGGGGCAGAATGTATGTGCTAACAGTAGTGCGGACGGAGGACGGGCTCATGATGGAACTAGTTTCGACGTGTTTAGCTATATTAGACTTGTCAACCTGAAACACGTTGGCAATGCCAGCTCCGGTCGTCGGATTGCATTATTCATTCGTAGTATTAGTCTACTGACTACGAAGTTTATAGTATGCAGCCAGTTCGGCGAGGCAAAGGTCGATTGGGCCTCCCCGCCTCGCCGGAGAGTTACCGCCATTACTACATAGTATGTACATAGTAGTTAACGCTTGGCTAGCATTCGCTAGTTACTAAATTGGACTGCAGTGACCAGTCTAGAGTGTATTAGTTAACAATTAGTGTTGGTGGGATTAGTGAGATTAGATTAGCAATTGCTCGCTACTTAACTTAGTCTCGCCGCTCCGTCCCTCACTTACTCCTCTTTCTTTTCTTTTCGTCCGCTCGTCGAATCTCTTGTACAATATACTGTATCAATTTCCATAGTTTATTTTCCTCTTCTGACCGGTGACCGTGGTCGACCGTGTCTGTTCTTTCTCCAGACTTCGCACTAAAGTCCACTGTCGTTGTTGTTGAGGCCGAACTCCTCATCTGTAGCCGAACCCCGTCCATCTCGAAAATCCGCCGGTATCACTCCCTCGATTGTTTTCGTCTCTGCGCAATAAGGTGCTTCAGGGAAAAACGGAACAGTCGGTTTATCCGTGTTCGAGGCATCTCCGATATGCGATTTTCGTCCTCTGTCGTTGTCGAGTTCGTTCTAGGGTGATCCTGTAGTTAGTGCCTGGCGGTTGAATAGTCGGGCCATCTGATGTGAGTCCCCTCGTCCTGTTTCACCAGCCGGGCTAGATCAGAAGAGCGCAAAAGCAAGAGAAATAAGTACCGAAACAGTATTATTCGTTTTGCGCACGAAGATCAAAGCTATGTTTTTGAAGCCGAGATAAAATGTCATTCTCGTTTGGCCCCTCAGCAGCCTGCAAGACCCCTCCCCTCCTTCCTTGCGTTGCTGTCCCTGCCCCAAGACCCGCGAAAAAGGCCCACGGCACACCGCCAACTGATAGCGCCTCCCGCCCCTCTCCCCAGCCATTCACTCACTGCTTCAATAGCACGCCAGTCACACAAATTCCCTTCGTTCTTTACCACTCGCTCGCTTATCCACTCACTTGTTGCATATTGCCTGTGTATATTTGTCATATTTTGTTAATCCCTACTTCTCATTGTGTCTCATTGTGCTCTTCAGCTTGCATCCACTGAGCGGTTGAATCTGTTGTCCCTCTCCAATTTGCTGACATGTCCGCTGCCCCTGTATAGCTTCTTTCTTCTCCTGTCTGTACGATTACGAGCCCCTCAACCATGGCTTTCAAACCCGGCTTCAGTGACCGACTGGACGAGCTGCGTTTTCCATCGCCTCGGTCGCCTCCAGTCGACGCTCCGTTCGCGTCTCATACCCCCCTCTCTCCTCCTGCTAGCATGATGTCGGCCTTTTCGCGTCCTACCACCGACGTTCGCGCCAACCTTCAACGCCGATTCACAACCGATGCCGGGAAATTGTCATCTTGGAACTTCCTGAACCAGCAACCCACGCCTCCTGCTGAATCGATGGATTTGTTGTCTTCGGTGAGCTTCCCGTTCGCCTGTTTGCATTCTCTGCTTTGTTGTGGTTTATGTGGTGTTGTCGGCTAGGTGGAGGCACAACTGGGTTTGGGTCGGACAAACATAGTGTCTTGAAGAGATTCCATTGCCACTTGCAGCTTCAACTGCCCAATTGTCTTGCTCTGCGTTTATTATGGTTGTGAGAAAAAGTTGACTGACAGTCTGGCTTTTAGGCAACCCATATTCACAAATCACAATTGGTTAGTTGCTCGCCTGGATTCTCTGTGTCTTTGTACTGACCTTCATACAGATCGAAAAGAAGCGGCAGCATATTGAGTACATGCGCGAGCAGAGAAAACGATTCGAGGCTGATATGAAATTGCTGGACTTGCAACACGAAAGAGAGAGGCAGGAAATAGACCAATTAGCTCGCGACCTTGCGCATGCAGGTCTATCTGGCCCAGTCAGCGAGCCAACAACACCACCAGAATATCGAGATGGTGGTTTCCCTTCAGCTTTTGCTCGTCCCTCTCGCTTCTCTACCTCTAGTGTCACGTCATCTCCTGGTATCTTTAACATTTTCTCGCCTTCACAGGTTACCTCACCTCCACCAGCCTCCCATACTAGGAATGGTGGTGCCACTGCCACTGCCACTGCAAACAACCATCGTTTCTCTGTCCAGTCGGTTCCTGGTTCGAGACGTAATTCTGAAGAGGAGGAATATTTTCCAGAGTCGGTGGCTTCTTACAGGCCAGGCCCTTCGTGAGTTCCTCCCCCTTCAGTGTTCCCCCAATCACACAACACCATCCTTCTGCCCTTGTGTATATCTCAGCGCACGATGGCTCTGTTCACATGACCCATTTAAATTTCCAATTTTGCCGCAGCAGATCTTTTGAATCAAGCACAATAGGGCCTCTGACTACCATTGTGACTTTGCAATCAATGGCAGAGGCTAGTCAGACTTGGCTATAAATACGTCCTCGACCCCGCTCCCTTCTCACCTTTTTACCTCTTCTCACCTCTCACGTTTCCCCCCATCTCACTCGTTTTCTCTGTCCCTCGCTTTTCTACACTCTTTACATTGGACTAACATCATTTTGCAATCATCAGCATACATCGTTATTCTATGCCCACAACGAGCCTAGCTGCTCAACTGAAATCTGTTACAGCGAGTTATAACAGCCCAGCAATGGAGCCGTTCAACGCTGCTCGACTCCTGTTTGGAGACGAGAAAGGCGGTCCCAAGGACGAGGATCGTCTGCCTACGCCCGATATCAAGAGTTATCTGAAAATGACTGACCCTGATGACAAGTTTCCTACTCTTTCCCACAATTCAGGAGTGGTAAGTTGTTTTGTCTCAAATCACTTCCAAGAGTCTAAGCTGATAGCGAAACCCCAGCTTTCTGCAAACTCTGATGCGCTTGATTTGGCCAACTCTCGCACCCCAGAGCCTTGGAACTCGCACCACAATCGCTACCGATCCATGCCTCAGGGCGATCTGAACATGTTCCGTTCGGACAACCAATTCGGAAATCCTTTGGGAAGCGACACAGCTTCAACACCTCGTCATGTCGCTCGTCACTCAGTGGAGCTGAATATGTACCTAGGCAAACAGGAACCAACAACTCCAACTGCTAGTTCGTCTGCTCGACCAGCGTCCCTGCAGCCATCTTATTCCACCAACGACCTGCCCACTGTCAAAGGGAATGGCTTCGGCAGCAGTGCTATCACACCTCCGAGAACTCATGCTGAGCAATTTCACCAGCACAATGCTAGCTTGGGTCGTATCCCTGCAGGTGTCACTCGCTCAGCCAAAGAATCCCCCGAGCGCGAGGATTCTATTCTTGTATCCAACGGTGGCCCACAGTCGGGGCTCCAGGCAACCGCTACTCCTTTCGGACCCCAGTTGGCTTCGGTCGCAAGCCCTTCTCATGCTGGGCAGAATGGTTCTTCTGGTCTTAGCAACTTCCAACAGCAAGGGCAGTTCTACCCCTACACTGTTCAGCCCTATATGAACAATGGCATGGCTGTTAATGGTGGGGCAAATCAGAATTTCGGCGCTCAGGGTCCCTATTCTGGATTCAATCAGAACGGTATGTTCCAGCTACCAAGAGCTGCGGCACGTCCCAACAACGCTGCACTCAGCCGCAGCGGTGAGAGTGAGGCTCAGCAGGTTTCGCGCTTCAACAACCTTCCCTTGGAGCAGTACAGGGGTGAACTCTACGGTCTGTGCAAAGATCAGCACGGTTGTCGATATCTTCAGCGCAAACTTGAAGAGCGCAATGCGGAGCATGTCCAGATGATCTTCGAGGAAACCCATATGCACGTGGTCGAATTAATGACTGGTTCGTACCACCTTACCTTTTATATCAGTTGCTTATACTAACTTGTCTGGCTTTCACAGATCCTTTTGGCAATTACTTGTGCCAGAAGCTCCTAGAATACTCGAACGATGATCAGCGTACTCGCCTAATTCATAATGCCGCACCCCAGCTGGTCCCTATCGCGCTCAATCAACACGGTACTCGAGCACTTCAAAAGATGATCGAGTTTGTCTCCACCCAGCAGCAAATTCGGATGGTTATCGACGCTTTGCGTGGTCACGTCGTGGACCTAGTTCAAGACCTCAATGGAAATCACGTCATTCAGAAATGTCTCAACCGCTTGTCCGCCGAAGATGCTCAGTTCATTTACGATGCTGTGGGTGCTCATTGTGTTATCGTCGGTACTCATCGCCACGGATGCTGCGTCTTGCAACGATGCATTGATCACGCTTCCGGAGAGCAACGTGCCCGTTTGATCGCACAGATCACCTCAAATGCTTTCTCGTTGGTCCAGGATCCTTTTGGAAACTACGTTGTTCAGTACATACTTGATCTTTCTGAGCCTCACTTCACCGACCCATTGTGCCAGAGCTTCTTGGGCAACATTCCACCTTTGTCAAAGCAAAAGTTCAGTTCCAACGTTATCGAGAAATGCCTGCGCACTGCCGAGTACCCCATGCGCCGTCGCATGATTGACGAAATTCTTGTGCCCCGTGAGCTCGACCTAATGCTCCGTGACTCATATGCGAATTACGTGGTTCAGACTGCTATGGACTTCGCTGACGCTGATAATCGCAACCGCATCATCGAGGCCGTGCGTCCTATTTTGCCTTCGATCCGCCAGACTCCCCACGGACGCCGTATTGCTGGCAAGATTGCAGGAGCTGAATCTTCTGGACGCACCAGCGCCAACCCTAGCGGACAGGCGACTCCCAATGATATGACCTCTGGCCAGCTCCCTGCGTCCATGCAGATACCTCCTAAGTCTTTCATGCAGTCACCCCAGAGCTCCTTCAACGGCAATGGAACTGCTACCCAACAGTTCAATCCTCAACAGCCACATGTGCCTTCGGCCAACAACTTCAACGGCGGACCTCCATCTGAGGTTTCAAACTTCCCCCACGTTCCCAACCAGGGCCTTCCTCAGAGCCAAACTTATGGCAACGTTGGCAATGGCTTCTACTAAGTTGATCTCTTTTCGACAAATGCATCATCTTCACTCACCTTCCGTACAGTACACGGACTTTGTATTTTACTTGAGACGATGCCACGATATTATGAACTTACGGCCCTACACATGAACATGCGTCGACACTAGGGATTTTGGACAGAAAAGATTTTGATACCTAGACGCAGATCATCTCTTCTGATGTCGTCTCTGCGATTTCATGGTTGATGTAATTTCTCAAGATCCTTCATCATACAAGACGCATACTTGTACAACCTGTTTATTCTCCCCATTCTGCATGTGCGTGAGTTATCTCTTGCAAATAGAAGTAGGCTCATCCGAGGCCTCAACGATACTCTATCACATGTGCTGTTTTATCTGATCCGGTTTATTTTCCTTCGTCTCTGTTTCTTGCTATGTTCTTCATCCTTTGCTTGGTTTTTTATTCAATGGCATTGAGAAATGTATCTATTCTAGAATAGAGATCTTCCMAAGCCGATATTGTACACTTGTCTTTGTCTTCTTGTCTATCCGATTCTCTTCCTTCCGGCTAGCTTAGATAAATGTATTCATACTTTAGGGAGCTTCAGAAACTCTAATCATAGCCTGTAAAGATAAACACAAATCCTCGGCGCAGTCGGGTGTTGAGCCTACTTGTATAGATTTTCTGACGTGCATATTTCTTACATCTGATATATGATGAAAATGTCCACTGGAGTGAAGTGATAAGATAAGCCTGCGTGCACGGACCAGGGACATCATCTTGGTCGCCGCGGTAAATATTTACCTTGCTTAGCTCGGAACGCGCGACAAGAGCTTCTCCAGGATCCAATTGCAGACGCTGAGACCAGGTGGCTTGCAAAGTCTTCTGTTATTTTTCTAATGCATATCCAGAGACTGAAACAATACATGGCGCACACGCAATGACACGCCCCCTTCCTCATCAACTCAGTCAGAGCTTAAGCCAGCAATGGCCCTGTCGAGAGACGCAGATCCGTCAACTCGCTGCTCTTCTTGATGTCAGCATCAACCACCATCAGGAAATAGTGAATATCATGCTAATCTTCTTTGAGCAGCCTCGAATACCGTCCCCATCAACCATAGTCCTTCACGGCATCAGCGCAACATGCAAATCAACTCTCATCTCCGCCGTCCTCGACGCCCTCCCAGCCCGACACGTGATCATCCGATGCGTTGAATGTATTACATCGCGCCATTTACTGCAGAAAATATTACTGGAAACATTGCACTCGTTTGGTATGCAGGATGAGTGGGAGAAATTCGGCAAGGGAAGATGTGAGCAAGTCAGCACGCTTTTGATTCTTTTGAGTGATATTTTTGCGGCTGCAAGGAACGGTAAGATGTCCGACGGGGAGTTGGGAGGGGCCGAGTTTGTGTTGGTGTTGGATGGGATTGATAGGCAGAGGGAGGCGTCGCAGATGCTACTTGCGGCATTAGCGAGGTTAGGGGAGATGGTGAGTCTCTACGTTGTTGGAACTTGTTGAAGGCAAATGGTGAGCTAACGAACGCAGATACCCTCGTTGACCGTGGTACTAATCATGAACACTACGCCTCGTCCGCTGTTCCTTCAGTCTGCTGGTGTCGCTCACATCAACTTTCCACCATACACGCGCAAGGAAGCCATCACGATAGTCACAGCAGCGGGCCTTCCAATAGTCGATTGGCTATCCGAAGATCACAAGGATAAGATCGCTTCGACTACGTCTTTGCAAAGTATATACGCTCAGTTCGTGGCAACAGTCTATGACTCGCTGGTTGGACCTACAGCAGGCACAATACCATCTTTCCGATCGATCTGCGAGAGATTGTGGCCTCGCTTTCTACAGCCTATGCAAACAGGCGAGGCGGCTGCCGAAGGATGGGATTTTACAAGACTCTTGCTTCGTAATCGAGCCATGTTCAAGATTCAGGGTGAATCGATGCTGGTGCATCATATCGTTTCTGTACCTGAGGAAACAACAGGAGAGCACAAGACCAAGAAGAGAAAGCTCAATTCTCTGACGACAACGCCAAAGCTCCCATCATTACCATACTTCCCGACCTTGGTCCTAACATCAGCATATGTCGCATCCCATACCCCACAACGACTGGACACAATCTTTTTCTCCAAATTCTCCTCCTCGTCACTGTCAGCACGAAACAAACGATCTCATCACAGGCGACGACTGAAATTACTCTCCCAGGCCCAGGCAGACGATGACAATGATAACGGTGGCACGCCGAAGAAAGGCAAAAGAGTGAAAACCAAAATCACAAAATCAATGCTCAACTCCGCGTTTGCGACTACATCGGCAACGACAAGTGCAATTACCGGCGACAACGCCGCCAGCGGAGGTGCAGGAGGTGGCGGCGCGCAACAACTCACAGGCTCATCGACCCTGCTAACAGCCCGCCCTTTCMCCCTCGAACGTCTAATAGCTATTTATCATGCTATTGATCCCAACCCGCCTGCAAACGCACTACATACACTCCCGACAGCCGATGCAATATACAACGAACTTGCGACTTTGCGCCGATTGAGGCTTGTTGTCCCCGCCACGGGGGGCAGTAGTCATAATGTCGGAGGAGGAGCGACGGCCATGATGACGGCGGATGTGGGTGAGAAATGGTCCATAAATGTCTCTGGAGATTGGGTTGGGGAACTTGCGAAGGGGATTGGTGTTGAGGTTGGGGAGTGGTTGGCAGGCGGATTGGACTAATTGTATCTGATACATTTCGTATTTCTATAATGAGTATTACTACAATCTATATACCATTGCCAGAGTCATTCAAACACCTAGTCAAGCCAATGCAGCAAGCATCTACGAGCCTGTCAAAACACATACATAGTTCAGTCACTTTTCCCCAATGTTGAAGAATACTTTACTTACATAAGACCACTCAATCAACCCTTCACAGGCTTCACATCCGGCACCTCCAATATGTCGCCAGGCGGCACCGGCACCAAAGCCGACCTGACATATACATGCTTCGCCCCTTCCAGCGTCATCCCTTCCACACAACCCCCCTTCACCGAAAGGATGGGCTTCGGCGTGCCATCCGGCAAAATAGGTCTATGCAATACCCGCACACCACAACACTTGCAAAAGTAGCATTCAAGTGTATTGCCCGCATCAGTGGGGCGCGTCCATTTCTCTACGAAAGGTTGTACGTTCTCGGGTAAAGGCCACATGCCTTCTGCGGGAAACATGGCGGTTATGCCGAACGCAGAGGCGGATTGTTTCTGGCATTCGGTGCAGTGGCAGATATAGACTGCGAGAGGTTTGGGGAGTGATGCGGGGAAAGTGACCGTGCCGCATTGGCAGGATATTTTGGCGTTGGCATTGCTATTGTTGGTGGTGGTGGTTTCGGGTTTGGTGGATTGAGGAGTTGTGGTGGTGCTAGTGGATTGGTTTCGGTGTTGTTGTCTGGTGAAAACACCAAAGAGGCGCGATGCGTAAGTGTAAGGGCTCATGCTGTACTCCGCGACTTGATATGTGAGATTTGGTAGAGGGCCGCGGTAGAGTCTTGTCGCTGGCAGCCTGGGAGCCAGCGCCCTTAATGCGCGTGAGGAATTCATCCTGATAAGTATGTTGATGCAATATTGCCGGACAATTAGAAGACCCAGGAACACATCCGGGTATGTTTCTTTATCTTGCAGCAAGCAAGGGCGGCGGACTATTATTAAGGTATTTGAGTAGCTCGAAGCTGGGCAATGGTGATCGTGCATGGGCATTGGGGGCCGCAAATGACTCGCTATGTACTAGCCCGTATTGGCTATCACCTTGAACAACCTCATGACGAGCTTTATCATCCTGCAAGGGATTCTTTTGTTTCGCTTTTTAATAGTTAGATTACGGAACTAGTAGTAGAGATGTCCACCTTCACTTGAGGAGGCAATGTCAAACAAGCGCGTGTATGCAACACCGAGCGCATGGATTGCAATGCCACGCAATGCCACGGATAATTGTTTGAAATTTGATTATTGTGAGAGAATGTCATTGATACAAGTATGATATAGTATCATGAGAGGGCACTCATAGCATAGGTCAAGGTCACCATGCCAACTCGACTATGTCCGGCCCCTGAGCATACAGTAATCGTGGTGCCTGTCGCTGATGCATGGGATACTGATATTCTTCGAACCGAATTTTGCTGATAAAGGTACGGACATTAAAAGTTTCACGCAATGAAGCAGGCGACTGAACTATAGAGCCGTCGGCAAGAGAGTAGAAGCGGATATTTTGTCTATCCTCTGTTGCTATATAACATGTCAGTGTCTTGGAAGATGTTGCAAGGTTTTCGACGATACCTACTCGTGGCAAGTAACCCTAATTCTTTATTAATGTCCATCGAATGATAGTTCTCGCGGTTATAATTATCAAACACCAAGTATGGTCTTGTCGAAGAAGTGCTACCACCACGACGGCGCCGTTTTGGGCCTGTCTTCACTTCCATTTTTGCAAAGCGTAAATCGTACGTGTGAAGCTTTCCGAACATAACAACATTAGTGGAAACTTCATGCATAGGCCGGCGAAAGCATATACTTACGGAACGAGTTCCCGCCACGATGAATTGATAATCATCAATCTTCTTTATTTGTCCAATCATACCTGGATGTTTGATACGCTGGACACTGTCGTAGCTGCGCAAGTCACTTAGAAACAACAGTGAATCTCGAAATCCAGAGGCTATCACGGTTCGACTGAGCCATTCTACAGCAAGTACATCCTTTGGTCTTTGAAGTACATCCTTGGTAACAATGCTGTCAATTGTGCCGAAATGAATCGTTTGCAATCCATCAGATGTCCCGACAGCGAACAGCGGGTCAGAGGAGCTATTTGGTCGAGCCTCTGAACACCAGAAGGTTGTCTCAAGTGTCCTTGTAGAGGCAAATGCGACGACTGCTAGTAGGATTAGTTGATTAAAATAATATAGTGGATTTACTTTAGCAGCTTTGTCACTCACCAGACAAGTACCTAGAATCTAGAGAAGGAATGTGCGCAAGCTCTGCCATTGAGTCGCCTGACGGTCCGTTGAGGTACGTAGCCCTGCTGCCTGTCAATAATGAATTTTCCGTAATACATGCCTCAAGAAGTCTTACAAAAGATACCCCGAGTCGCACATAGACATAGATGACAGCTGTCTCTCTCATCAAAAAACGATCAGTCTTACTTCTAAGAAAGATTTCAACTGACCTCATATTGCACCTCACGACTAACGACATACTTTTCTGTGTCGTATTGCCATACGTCCGCACTCTTTGAGCTCGGTGCTGGTGGGCACATCCTGTCAATCAGATACTCATCAATTATTTCCCTGCGTGCTCAACATATATATAGATAGCAACTCACCGCATTGTAGTCTGATTTGGGGTACATGTTGCTACTTGAAAATCAGCCACAGTACGGAAAGGTTTGCATCGGTGTAGCTTGATACCGGTAATCAGAGTTCCAGAGGGACCATGGCGGGCAAAGTCAAACACGTTGAAGCCTAAACTGCATAGACTATGTCTTTGCAGTTGACCAACGTAGACCCTTCCTTGCTGAGATTTCCTTGCGAACCCCGTTATAGGGTTCTTGCTGATTTCATGATCTAGCCTAGTGAATGCGTAGTCCATGCACCTTGATCTTTGCACGCGTTCCCGTCGTACACGTCGATCAATGGCAACTTGTCGCTGTCGTTGCTAAATTTAGGCACGAGTGAGCTCGAGATGGCTTCATTCACAGTAATGCAATCATTTCATGCAGACATACCTCGTTGTCGAGCTTTCTTCTCTTGACGGCCTCTCTGGAATACTGAGACCCGACAGGTGCAACATGGTTGGCCTGAACACGAAAGTATTTTTTCTTTTCAGGATCTGCATATTCTTAGAACTCGAACATAATGTAGAACTGTGATTTACTCACCCCAGTAGAAGCCCGGAATTGGTCTGCCGTTCATTGCGTCGCCTTGCAATAGGCAATCACTCAGACAGTAGCGATAATGTTGATATATCGCAATACTGTCACGAGCTCACATATGAGCACTCAAAGCTCGAGGACATAACTCGTGAATACGACCAGTCACTGGCAGAGAGAAGGTGATGCTCCGAGAACATTTTGTTCTTATCTTATCGGGCATGACGTCGAATCGCTTATCTAAGCAATATCAACAGCTGCCGTCTTCTGGTCCAATCAAATCTTCGCTCCTTCTGTCTCGTCACGCAGTGGGTGAACAGCATCAATATTTAAATAGCTCCCTAATTTAAGATGTTAGCTACTACAATTACTCTTGAGGGAGCTCTTGGCAGAGGGCGATTGCTCCCTGAACCGATTGGCGCACATGAAGAGGAAGTGAGAATCTTAGCGAGAAGAGTGTGAAAGGTGCAATTACTCGATGTGTTGACGGAGGCAAGTGGTGGGATGGCTCTTGCCCTCAATGCAGCCTACCACCTTCTGTTTGTGCAATTTGCGTCTCTTCGGCGTCTTCTACACCTGATACGACTCACAAGTTGTCTTTCTCTCACTCAACACAACACTTGAATTACGCTTTGTCGGCAGCTCACCTCGTATATAGCATACTATACGTTGGCTTCATCGATATACCCTCATCGATCTTCTATTCTCACTTCTCAATATACGTTCACACATCGACACGATTCTTTTAACTGCAGCGTTACCTCTATATACCGTCCACCCGGAATCGATCATCAGCACTCACAAAACTAGCCACGACCTTGATCAAATCATCCCTGGACACTATGGATGGATATGATAGCACCCAGGACGGTTCTGTGCGGACATCCACTATAGTCTCTTCTTTCGAGGTCGGTGACTTACCTCATGGCTACACATACGAAGAACGCAGTCCCGCTCTTGAAAAGCCGGAGCTTGTCGATAACATAGACGCACTTATTGAAGAGCTCGAATCGCACAATGGTCAAATAGAGGAGGAGCAAGACACAGATGACGAGTCAAGCAGCTGTCATCATGTTCCAATCGAGGACTTACGAACAAACACACGTACAGGTCTGACAGACACAGAGGTGGCTATTCGGAGGAAAAAGTACGGACTGAACCAAATGAGGAAGGAGGAAAAGCAACACCCAATAGTGAAGTTTCTGATGTTCTTCGTCGGCCCTATCCAATTCGTGATGGAGGTAAGTTGTGAAAGTGTCCATATGAAATGTATATTGCTAATCATGGCTATCTAGGCTGCTGCAGTTCTGGCGGCTGGTCTTCAGGACTGGGTCGACCTTGGTGTTATCTGCGGGTTACTTCTTCTAAATGCTCTTGTCGGATTTGTACAGGAGTACCAAGCTGGCTCAATTGTCGACGAACTGAAGAAAACCCTGGCTTCGAAGGCAACAGTATTCAGAAACGGTCAATTGTTGGAGGTCTCAGCTTCGGAGGTTGTTCCTGGTGATATTTTACATATAGAAGAGGTAGAGTATTCTAACCACACTGTCCAGATGATGTTTCTAATCTTTTCAGGGTACAATCATCCCAGCCGATGGCAAGATCGTGACCGAAGGCGCATTCGTACAAATCGATCAATCTTCAATCACCGGTGAATCTTTTGCGGTTGACAAACATACTGGAGATACATGTTATGCTTCTTCTGCCGTCAAACGTGGTGAAACATTCTTGTTGATCACGGCGACTGGTGATAGTACTTTTGTAGGTCGTGCAGCTGCACTGGTCAACTTTGCTTCTGCCGGCAGTGGTCACTTTACGGAAGTACTCAATGGGATTGGAGCGGCCTTGCTTGCATCTGTCATTTGGACCATTATGTCCGTTTGGGTTGCTTCATTCTTCAGATCAGTCGAAATCATTAGAATCCTCGAGTTTACACTTAGTATCACAATTATCGGTGTTCCGGTCGGTCTTCCTGCCGTTGTTACTACCACAATGGCAGTTGGAGCTGCATACTTGGCAAAGAGAAAGGCCATCGTACAGAAGCTATCGGCTATCGAATCACTCGCAGGGGTCGAAATCCTCTGCTCGGACAAGACTGGTACTCTGACGAAGAATAAACTATCCTTGGAAGAACCATATACTGTCCCTGGTGTTGATCGAGAGGAACTCATGCTCACCGCGTGTTTGGCAGCTGGACGGAAAAAGAAAGGAATTGATGCTATTGACAAGGCGTTCCTGAAAAGCCTCCACAATTATCCTCTTGCGAAAAAGGCTTTGTCCGATTACCATATTCTCGAGTTCCATCCTTTTGATTCCGTATCCAAAAAGGTCACCGCAGTTGTCGAGTCACGGATGAATGGATACAAAATGACCTGCGTCAAAGGCGCACCTCTTTTTGTTTTGAAGACAGTCGAGGAAGACCATCCCGTTCCGGAAGCCGTAGATGCTGCATATAAGGGCAAGGTCGCTGAATTTGCTGCACGCGGCTTTCGTTCTTTGGGGATTGCTAGAAAGTTTGAAGATCATCCCTGGGAAATCATGGGCATCATGCCTTGCTCGGACCCTCCTCGTCATGATACATTCAAGACAATCAGCGAAGCCAAAACTCTTGGCCTCTCAGTCAAGATGTTAACCGGCGACGCAGTAGGTATTGCTCGCGAAACCTCACGGCAGCTTGGCCTAGGCACGAATGTCTACAATGCAGAGAGATTAGGTCTCGGCGGTGGTGGAGATATGCCTGGCTCTGAAGTCTATGATTTTGTCGAAGCGGCGGATGGCTTTGCCGAAGTGTTTCCTGAACATAAGTATGCGGTTGTCGACATTTTGCAAAAGCGAGGGTATCTTGTTGCCATGACCGGTGACGGTGTGAACGATGCGCCATCTTTGAAAAAAGCAGACACCGGTATTGCCGTGGAAGGGTCGTCGGATGCTGCTCGCTCAGCTGCAGACATTGTATTTCTCGCTCCTGGCCTCTCAGCCATCATTGATGCACTGAAGATTTCACGTCAGATATTCCATCGTATGTACGCGTATGTGGTTTATAGGATCGCTCTGTCACTTCATCTTGAGTTCTTCCTTGGTGCATGGATTGCCTTTTACAACGACAGCCTCAATCTCTCATTGATCGTCTTCATTGCCATTTTTGCAGATATTGCAACATTAGCAATCGCATATGATAATGCGCCTTATTCAAGAACTCCAGTGAAATGGAACCTTCCAAGACTCTGGGGCATGTCGATCATTCTTGGACTGGTGTTGTTCGCTGGGTCATGGATTACATTGAGCACCATGCTGGTTGGGGGAAATAACGGGGGCATTATCCAGGGTTATGGTGATCGCGATTCTGTCTTGTTTCTAGAAATTGCTTTGACCGAAAATTGGTTGATCTTCATCACAAGAGCAAATGGTACTTTCTGGTCGTCATTACCATCGTGGCAACTTATTTTGGCAGTACTATTCGTCGACGTCATCGCGACTCTCTTCTGTGTATTTGGTTGGTTTGTCGCTGGGCCTACATCAATTCTTGCGGTGGTCCGCGTCTGGATCTTTTCATTCGGGGTGTTTTGCGTGATGGGTGGCATTTTCTATCTTCTCCAGGGTTCTTCTGGCTTTGACAATTTGATGCATGGCAGAAGCCCGCGAACGAGTCCAAGGCAACGATCACTGGAAGATTTTGGTAAGTTCATTTATCAACCCGTGGTTTTTTTTTTCTAACGAGTTCGCAGTCGTTTCGTTGCAACGGGTTTCAACCATCCATGAGAAGAATTCAGGATAAACAACATGCTCGCATATCATTTGGAGTACGTTCTTTCGAATTACGCATACGACCATGCTGGGGGAAAGGTACAAGTGTTTGCTTGATATTGCATTTTTAAATTCTGGCGTCTTGTATGGAAGCAAAAGCTCTGTAGACCTATGTCTGTATTATAATATACTTTGTATTGAACGTTATTGCAATAGAAAACTGCTTCAGAACGGCTCTTGTTTGAGTGTAGTGCATACGAATGGAAACTGAAAAGACCTGAAATCAGATCTGTAACAAATTGAAGCTGCCAGCTGATAATGTGTATGTGACAAGCGGTCCCTACAGCTGGCTTATGTAGAATCCACGAAAAGGACCTCAAAGTTTTTAAAGAAAGCGGGTATGTATCTCATAAAAACTTGAATTAGATGTACACTACTATGTATCAACAGACAAACAAACACAGGAAGATTGAGGGAGAAACACGCAGGCAAAGAAAAGGGAACCATAATATGGTTCGAATCGCAGACAAATAGGAAAGAAGAAGTGGATAGGAAAGTATAGTATAGTATAGACCGTGGTGTAGATAGAAGAGGAACAGACAAATGAGATTATGAAATGGGGGGGTAGTATATACAACGGCGGATTTTCCGGATTTCAAATTTTTGTGCTTTATATTCACTTAGGATCTGGACGTGAGATAATCGGCAGCCTTTTTGGGGATAGATTAGCTATGCATGTTATGTTTTATGCGAATCTGGGAGCGGGTGGGTGGAAAGACGTACCTTGTCGATATTATAATCAAATTTCTCCAGAGCAGCCAGCGACTCGTCGCGCGGGAAGCCCATGCCTGTTAAGCGTTGCAGGATCAGGTCGTCTTCGCCGGTGTCATTGTTGAGAGCCCATCCTGGTTTCTTTGGGTCAGATGCACCAGTGGTAGTAGCGGCGGCAGCGGTGCCGTTGCTGTCAAGTGGTGACGCAGACTTGGCAGTGTCGAGAGGTGCGAAGAGAGCGTTCCAGTCGTGATCGGCCGCAGCTGAGGCGGATGCGGCATCGTTTCCTGCCGGCGAAGTCGCTGATGTGGCGACATTGCTGTCAAAGTTAAAGAAATCTGCTGCGGCTGTGTTTGGTTTCGCGGATTGGGCTACCGGGGCGGCGGCAGGGGCGTCAAATGAGAAATCAAAGTCGTTCTGTGGTCGATGAGATTGAGTCTCTGGCTCATCTTCGGACTCGTCCTCCGATTCATCCTCCTTCGCAGGTGCTAGGTTGAGATCGGCAAAAGCAGCGTCAAAGTCAGCTGGTCCCGCCTTTCTCTGTGGTTCTCCGGCAACGATAGGCGCGCCAGTGCTTGACTCGACGGCATGAGGCGCGTCAGGGGCCGCAGTAGGGTCGCTCCGACTAGGTAATAGACCTTCGAATGCTGGGGGGAAGTCATTAGGTTTTAAATCAGCGGTAGATGTATTATAGCTTGGTGGCGAGCGCTGAGCGTCAGGAGGGGGAGGCTGCGAAGGGGTCACGCTGCTGCCGGGAACTGGGAACGCGTGTAACTGTGTTGAGTCAATGGATTCGTTCTTGGAATGTTCCTCGTGACGAGGTGGAGATGCTGGAGCGAAATTGTCATCAAATCCCAACGGTGCTTCACTGTCTGTGCTATCATCGTCATCATCATCGTCATTCTCAAATTCTCTGATGGGCGGGAATTCGCCGGTTCCATTGGCCGGTGCAGGTGGTTCGGTGCTATGCGTGCTTCGTGGTTTCATACCAGCAAAAGCTTCATCAAAGTCGTTGGCTTTTTGTGACTTGGAGCGTTCACGACCAAAGTTCCCAAAAAGTTCATCAAAACTCTGCTCCTTTGTCTGCTCTGGCGCAGCCTCAGCTGGCTGTTGGCTTTCAACTGGTACTTCTGGAAAAGCCCCTGGTACTGAAGAGACAGGTGGAAATGCGCTTCCCTGTGACGCAGCAGGCGAAGCTACACGTGGCTCAAACTCGTCGAATGGAGATCGCGCGGTCGTAGTCTCTGTCTCTGCAAAGTGATTGTTGCTAGCTCCTACTGATGGCACGGCTGAATCGGTTCTTGAAGGCGTGCCAAACTCATCCGGTGCACCAAAGCGACTAGCTGGTGGGGATACAGCTGTTGAAGTATTGTTGGAGGGTGAGTCTAAGTTATGGTCTAGTGGAAGAAAGCTAGGAGTTATCTGTCGCGATTGAGAAGGTGCGGGTGGCTCAATTGTAGCCTGAGGTGGAGGAGAGACAGACGGGGTTGGGATTGCAGAGTTGTTGGAACTTGCTGAAGTCTCTTGTGTTCGTGGTGCAAAAGGCGACGCTGCACCAAATGAGGTTGGTGGTGGAGGAGTAGATGTCGATGGCTGTGTGAAAGAAGGACCAAAAAGACTATCAAAAGTTGCCTGAGTGGAAGGGGGAGCCGGAGAAACGGTCCTGTCAGATGTTTCTGTGGTTGTCCGTCTGAAAAAGGGATTTGTTTGTTGGCTGGCAGTAGACAACGCGGGGCTGGCCACGCCGGTCGGGCTAGAGATCTGGCGAGTAGTCTCTGCAAACTCTTGAGGTTCTTGAGCTTGCTTAGCTTCTTGAGCTTCTTTGGCTAGCGTATCAATCTCCCCCTGAATCTTGTCTCTTTCGCCTTCAACCGTAGCCAATTGCTTTTTGTTGATAGCAACTAGACCTTTCTGCTGTCGGGCATCAGAGCGGGCCTTTTCTAGAGCCGGCTTTAGCTGACCGACTGCAACATTGGCCTGGCGTATCTTTTCTTTCAAGGAAGCATTCTCGGTTTGGTCAGCAACGAGCGCAGCAGAAATCTGCTCGTATTGATTTTGCAGATCCTGACGGCTGCCTTCAATCAAAGCGTAATCCTGTTGAAGCCTCTTAGTTTCAGCTCGAGAAGCGTTCAATCGGTCCTCCAGAGCTTTGAAGTCTTTTACTTCCTTCTCATACATTGATCTGGCTTGAGCTAAACGTGCTTCAAAGTCACGCTTCTGCTGTGAAGACTGCGTGAACTCTTGCTCAGCCGTGGCACGCTTCGTCTGCACATTCTGCATTTCTTTGGATAGCGTTCCGATTTGGTTTGACAGATTGGCAAGTTCCATTGTTTCATTGCCGAGTTTCTTCGCCTCCTCTGGCTCATTATCACCCAAGAGATCGTCAGAAGGAGGAGGGGGGGACCTCGCCGTAGAGGCAGCACCCGTCAATTGTGGGCCGAGACTTTGACCGAACTGAGACGAAGGAACGAATGGCTTGAAGAGAGAAGAAGGACCTGACTGGGAGGTTCGCGAGGAGGGTGATCCAGGAGACTGGAACACTGGCGCATTGGAGCCTCCAGTAGACTGCGGGATTTGAGCAGGAGTTGCAGGAGTTGGCGCACTGAAAGCATCAAGGCCAAACAAGTCATCAGCCGCTGATCGCGGAAGTGGCGCTGGTGCTGGTGCTGGCACAGGTGCTGGTGGAGGAGCAGCTACAGCGGGTCTTGCGTCTGCTCGGCGCATACTGGGAGGGATAAGAGCAGGAGGTAGCGTTGCAGGTACTGGCTCTTTCTTACTGCGTTGCTGTCGTACGAGATACATAGCTACCGCGAACTCATCCTTTGTGAGCTGTCCGTCGGCATCAATATCCGCAAGATCCCAAATTTGAGCAAGGACATCTTCAGGTAGTTGAGCATTAGTAAAGAATGCAACTGCCTGGTCACCACTTATGATCCCAGCCTTTGCCGTATCAACAGTTGCAAATATAGTGTCAAACTGCGCTTTCTCTGGCGGGCTGATCAACCACTCGGCACCGGTAGACTGTGTCGAAAGGGGTGTGAATGGCTGCCTGCTCAGCGGGCTCTGCGTCCGTTGGCCAGTGAAATGCGTAGGGATTGCTGGGACTGGTGGAACATCGGGGGTCACGCGAGAGCCAGTCGAAGTGCGGACAATACCTCGTCGTGACGCTGCCTCATACAGGCCAGCAGGGAGGGTCGTTGGGATAACGCGCATTGCACCGGTCTTGAAGGAAGTCAATAGATGCATTGCAATTATGAAATCGGTAGCGTCAAGTTGGCCACGTTGCTTCGTATCGGAAAGATTCCATATCCTGCCTAGGACTTCGTTCGATAGTCGTGCACGCTCAAAGATCTGCTTTGCCGTTTCCCCTACGTATGGAAGTGAGCTATGATATCCAACGATGCTTCTATGGGCGACCAATCACGTACCTGACATGAATCCACCCGGTGTATCTGACTTCTCAAACAGAGAATTGAATTTATTCGCATCTTCCGGGTTCAGAGGCGGAACTCTGACCGGAGCCCCTGGGGCGGGAGGGGTAACACCAGGAGGTGGACTTGTCGTCGACGGGCGAGAAGGCGTACTGGTAGCAAGCTGAATACCTTCAAATCGAGGCAAAGGGCCGGCTATATATACTCGATTAGCTTGAGTCTAACTCGGAGTGATAGGAAAACTCACGTTGCAGAGCGAGTTCGTCCGTTGGCGCACGTCCAGCTTGCGCGTGTCCAATAAGTCGTAACACCATCGAGAAACCCGAGGGCGTGAGAAGTCCGCGGTTCTCCTTGTCTGCTATTTGCCATATCTATTCAAACCACAGCATAAGTTAGCCCGTTCCGACGTTACAGGAAGAACATCTCGGTGAAGCATACCAGACCCAGAGTATCAGGAGGAAGCTTCGTCTTCTCAAAGAAAGGAACTGCATGTTCGCCGGTCACGACACCGAGGTTCGTCGTATCGGCCGCTTGGAACAATTGGAAGAATACTTTCTTTTCCTCCTGGGTGAGGTTCAGGTTGGGAGGAGCTGTGAACCGGAATATCAGATTAGTTCCTATGCACTTTCCTTTGTGCAGTAACTCCAAGAGAGATGCGACGAACCTGCTTCCGCCATCCTTTCTTCTCTCGGCCGCAAGACCCGATGCTAATAATTGTCTCCTGTACCGCGCGCTCCTCGACGGCTCGTAACCACCTGCCACTGACAGAACGGCTGATGATGAAGATCAAGCAACCAGTATTCCGAACACAAGTTGCCAAGACGCAAATACCATGCGTGTCGTCACAGTCAATATTAAAACGTAGGTTAAGTAGAGCGCTGCGGTCCGGACCGGCTTGTTGTCACCTTCGTTTGCGGGATCGTCGAAAGAGGGCAGCCTAGGAAACAGATCCTAGTCGCGACAAGAGGACTCGATCGGAGGGAATTAATTCAGCGGAATATCCGCAATTGAGCTTCTTATTCAACTGTACAAACAGAATACGAGCTCAAGAGCAGCAAAGCTCTGATCAATGGGGGTGGGTAGAGATCGAACGAGATCGCGGAGGTTGGGAGAGTGACGATGGTAGGTGAGGTGCTTAGCGCAAGCTGACTGAATCCCCGGGCTCCTCGGCGAGTGTACTGTAATAATATTACAGTATTTTTTACATCATGGGACATATTTAGCCGCATACATGATTACGGTATTGTAAGTGTCTGTATTTATATTCTATTTACACCGACATGTATCATTGGTTGGTCTCTCTATATATCCTGTTCAACATGCAAAGCACTGCAATTGACTTGTTTCGAAGTTGAATTCAATATCTCAGGTAGTTTCAAGTCAGGTACTGCTATCAGGATGCAGAAGCTAATTCAAATTTCATAAGTGTCTTCTGTGTCTATTTCTATATATAATGTTATCACATGATATATATTTCTAAAATGCTTCGATGTTGATGTCTGTTAATGTGGTTCGGCTGAGCGTACCCAGTCCTCTCGCCATTTCTTTTCCGCGCCGCAACCTGACCTTTCATGCACTTTCATTGTTCCAAACTACGAACCTTGATTCTTTCTTCCGGGGTTACGAGGCCTCTTCCAGAAATCGACATCACACAGTCAGAATTGCTTGACCCAGCTTGAAGAAAGTAAACCCCATTTGATACCATGTCCAACTCGATATGCTGGCTCAGTAAACCCGGCCAGGACAAACCCTTCCTCCAAATAGTTGGAGTATGGGGTATAGTTACTTATTAGAGCGATAAACTTATTGAAATGTCTACGAAGAAGTAGCGTGTTGGAGATATTTTGCTCATTTCAAGCTGTCATCAACAACAGCGATTCGAAATTGGTGCTACAACAATCATTCTAAATACGATCCGAATAACATCAAGGAAATTTTTAAGACCTAAAACATTGTGTTGTGTTGCAGGAGAGAGAAGACGTTAAAAAAAAGTAACAAGAAATCGAATCACAAGCCGGCATTCTGGAATAGGGGAAACAAAGGAAAAAGAGACTATTAAAAAAATTTGAACAGCTAAGATTATGGATTGGGTATATAACGAAGCATTACACAACCCTCTTTCGAAGAAAATTTCCGTATGTTAGTGTGTGTGCGTACGGGCGAGGCGAGCTTAGTATTCGGCCTCGACTTCCTCATCCTCTTCGAGAGAGTCGCTGGCAACTTCTTCGTAATCGCGCTCGAGAGCAGCCAAGTCCTCACGAGCCTCGGAGAATTCACCTTCCTCCATACCCTCACCAACATACCAGTGAACGAAAGCACGCTTGGAGTACATGAGATCGAACTTGTGGTCGAGAGCGGACCAGGCCTCGGCGATGGCGGTGGTGTTGGAAAGCATGCAACTAGACATTGTCAGTCCTATTTAGTATTCAGACGGCTTGGGAAAAAAAAAGGAACATACACTGCGCGGTTGACCTTGGCGAGATCGCCGTTGGGAACCATCTGAGGGGGCTGGTAGCAGATACCAATCTTGAAACCAGTAGGGCACCAGTCGACGAATTGGATGGTGCGCTTGGTCTTGAGGGTGGCAACAGCAGCGTGAGTCTCCTTGGGGACAACGTCACCACGGTACAACAAGCAGGTAGCCATGTATTTGCCGTTACGGGGGTCGCACTTGACCATCTGGTTGTTGGGCTCGAAGCAGGACATGGTGATCTCGTTGACAGAGTTGGCCTCGTGGAGGGACTTGGCAGCGGAGATGACGGGAGCATATGCAACCAAGGGGAAGTGGATACGGGGGTATGGCACAAGGTTGGTCTGGAACTCGTTCAAGTCGACATTAAGAGAACCGTCGAAGCGGAGAGAGGCGGTGATGGAGGAGACAACTAATCAAGTTAGCAATTTGACTCACGATTACCAATTTTGAAAACTCACCCTGAGCGATAAGTCGGTTGAGGTTGTCGTATCCAGGGCGCTCAATACCGAGGTTGCGGCGGCAAATGTCGTAAATGGCCTCGTTGTCGACCATGAAGCTGCAGTCGGAGTGCTCCAAGGTAGTGTGAGTGGTGAGGATAGAGTTGTAAGGCTCAACGACGGAAGTGGCGTTCTGAGGAGCAGGATAGACACAGAACTCGAGCTTGGACTTCTTGCCGTAATCGACAGAAAGACGCTCCATCAAGAGAGCACCGAAACCGGAACCAGTACCACCACCAAAGGAGTGGAAAACGAGGAAACCCTGGAGACCAGAGCAGTTGTCGGCAACGCGGCGGACCTGGTCCAAGACACGGTCGATCATCTCCTTGCCAACGGTGTAGTGGCCGCGGGCGTAGTTGTTGGAGGCATCCTCCTTGCCAGTGACCATCTGTTCGGGGTGGAAAAGGCTACGGTAAGTACCGGTGCGGACTTCGTCGACCACATTGGGCTCCAAGTCACAGTAGATGGTACGGGGAACGTATTTTCCTTGGCCTTATCCAGAAAAGTTGTTGTTAGATGGGATGCTCATGTCGTCGATTCTTGTATCAGTTCCTTCACATACCGGTCTCGGAGAAGAAGGTGCTGAAACCCTCATCGGGCTCCTGGGCCTTGCGCTCTTCAGTCAAGTATCCATCGGGCTATTACAGAATTTGTCAGCCAGACTCGATGGACAGTGTTTGTTGTTGAGCAACGCATCGTGCATACCTGGATGCCGTGTTCGAGGCAGTAGAGCTGTCTAGATATTAGTCTTCATGTCTTTTTGGTTTGATGTTCGTTCTCATTGGCATATCGTACCTCCCAGCAAGAGTTGGCGATTTGGCAACCGGCCTGACCGACTGTTTGCACAAAGCAAGTCAACAACGCGTCTCGACGACAACAACAAACAACACGAGCGGTATTGAAACAAAGCCAGCTGGGATGGACATACCGTTCAAACTAATAACTTCTCTCATCTTGCCGTCTTTTCAAATTACTGCAACACGATTAGAGATGTGATGATTGATAATAACAACAACGGTCATGCCACGGGGAAAAATAGGGGGGACGGCAGTCTTCCCGCATTCCAGCGGAGGGGTAACCAAGGATATGGAAAAGCAACTCACAAATAACCGAGCAAGATAGATGATATGGATGATAAAGAAAGAGAGAGAGGAAGAGGATTGAGAAGAGAGACTTCGAATTATAGAAGTCAATTAAGGATTAGAGGAAACACAGACCACAGGCAGACAGACAGACCCAGAGCAGAGCGTGACTGACGAAGAAAAGGGCCCAACGTTTTGTTGTGGACAGCGAAAAAAGCATGCAGGGCCGCCCACCGCCTTTGCCAGCAACACGCGTGCGGGCCCCCTGCTGTCCTCTGTCGTACACTAGGGAGCGCACTCCATATTAAATGGCAGGCTAGAGCTACTAGGGGAACCTTAGTACACAAAGCTAAGCGTAAACACTCTTAGTTCTTCGGTTCGCGTTGTGCCGATGCCTGTTTGGGCCGTGGCCATAACAGAGTATCCGATATGATTGGTCGAGTCTGGAAAAGAACCAGCGGGGCCGTGGATTTATGCTTTTAATTGGGTTGCTGCCAAGCCCCGCCGCATCTCGCGCGTTGATTGGCCGGCTGTTTTCGATGTCGATGACGCTCCCCCCTTCTCTATACGCATCTCGAGTGCTCTCTGACTGATCAGCGTGGTACATGCCTTTGCCTGGTATTGCCTACATTGCCTACATCTATTGTCTCAAGCTAGAGTAGTCAGTACTAGTAGTAGTAGTAATACGCACTGCTACATACGGCAATTGCTGTTCCATCACCGATTGGTCGCTATACCACGGAAGCGTCAGCCCTTCATTCACTCCTCTCCGCATGACGTCTTCGGCTCCCATGTATATATCCCGCCAGCATATTTCCTCACGGTCAATTGCGCTCAATCTCTAGATGAGCAGGAAACTATCTCGACAGTCTGGTGGACCCTCGCACCTGTCATATATCCACCTTCAATAACAGCCAGGCAATGCATATACCTATCCAGAATGGCCTCTACTTCTACCTCCGCCTAATCTCCATCCTCCTTTTTACGCAACATGCAGCCGCCAACGTCGAAAAGACAATCTTTGTCGCMCCGCTGCCATGGMCCGTGCCCGCCGAGAACGCGGCCATCGATGACCTAGGTCTGGATCGTCTGTCGCCGGCCGATTACATGCTCAGGACGCATCTGAACGCATCGTTTCCAACAGATGACCAGCCACACGGAACTGAATCATGGTTCTATCTCGAAGACCTCGCGCCGGGCCAGCGGTATGAGGTGCGGATATGTTGGATGGCTACTGTGAGCCCCCCTTCTCTCTCCCCAAGTTGAATAATTATTCTAATGCGAAGACAGCAACCAACCGCCTTCGACCTCACGACCTACACCCTCCAAGAAGTCGTCTCATCACCTTCCCTTCTTCCAGCTCTCCTCAGCTTCTCCGAAGCCCTGCTCGCCGGCACATCACCACCATCCACCTCCCGTCCCTCCGACGACCGCTCACCCGCCTCACACCACAGAATCCTGAACCCGCCAAAAGCGCGACACCAACACACCTCCCGCCAACGCCGGCGTCGAACACCCCTCGAACGCGAAGAGGATCCTCTCGCGCTCACATCTCATGCCGAATCAGTCCTCTTCCTGCGCATTTGGGCTGCGGCCGATTACTACACCACAAACGCAACATTGATGGAGAATGTGCCGCCCGTCATGGCGGATGTGATATTAGATCCGTTTTTGTGGAATGTGTTTCCGCGGTCATTGATGCCCACGGCGGTGTATACGGTTGTTATTGCGGTGATTGCGTATTTTGTGGGTGGGTATTTAGCGAAATTGTTGAGTAACGTTGTCACGACTGCTGTTAAGAACGATGAGGCTGCTGGTGTTGGGAAAGTGGAGAATAAAAAGAGTCGGTGATCTGACTGATTAGGCTCGAGTGCGCCCATTCTATTTTATGTTACGGATACTGTACGATACCTATGAAAGAAGGAATCAATGATGATATCGGTCATTTATTTGCCGAAATAGTAAGCTATGCCGGAGCAATAGATGCCAGAGAAAAAAAACACATCTTAAATCACAGCAACTCCCAGTCAGCGAATCCGCCTATAATACAGCCACGCTATGCATCATGATTTGGACTTTTGAGATTMCCCGCCGCAACGTGAGAAATAACGTGAGAACAGAGGCTGTCCCTCAGAAACAGCACTTCAAAAATCCCGGAAGACAGCAACCAGGTCGTCCAGCCGAGCTATCTCTCCAAGCATCAAGCCTTCTTTCTCACGCCACTGCCGCAAAGTCTCTAATTCTGCTTCGGTTAGATACTTCTCTTCGTTCTCTCGCACGTCGCTACGCTCTGTCTTGTCCAGAAAGTCCTTGAGTCGATTCCGCTCAAAGCGCAGACGCTGGATGCATCGTGACATGGCTTTGTAGGTATCGTGGAGAAGGTTCCTGCTGACGCGGTCTGGGTCGTAGAACCACAAAAAGACTGTCCGATTGGGCAGGCGCTGTGCATCTTTAGGAATTTCTTGCAGGTCCACGAATCCATTTTCTTGCATTTGTGCAAGGACTTGACGGAGGTCCTTCTGCGATATGAGGCTGACTTCCTGTAGACGTTTCTCGTCTAGTTTCCCCATGGAAAGCAGAATCTGAATCACGCGAAGAGCCAATTTGCCGAATCTTATTCCGACTATGCGCTCGATTTCGAGATGGCGTAATTGACGAGCAAGACGTCGGTATTCTACATACCAAGCTGGTATGGCACCTAGACTGCGCCGTGTGGATAGACTGTATGGCGGTAGGGCTAGTATATTGAGGTGCTGGTCGATATCATGCGTCCGAGTAGTTTCTGTGTCATCGTCATCCTCGTGATGGTTTCCATTCACGCCGTTTGTTAACGACCGTTTATTGTTTTTGTTTGCTTTTGGATCCCCCGGTGGCCCAAGTGTTCCTTTAAGATCCAAACGAGGATCAACCTCATTTGCAAGTCGCTGTAATGTAATAGCTACCGAGTTTGTTTCGCCTTCTTCTCCTTCACGGGGAATCTCAGCGCCTTCTCGGCAGCAAGGCGTTTTGTATTCAATGAGACGTAGAAGTGTTTCGTACACTTCGGCCGTAGCGGGCGAGGTTCCCTGTAGTGCTAGTTCGACGAGGCGACGGTTTCTGAAAACCACATCTAGCTTCTGATAATTCACACGCACCACGAGAGTCGGCTGAACTTCTTTAGTGGTGGTCCATAAGTAATATTCAAAGCCAGTCTTACCCGCATTGTCTCCTGGTCCTTCACGTTATCCTCATCCCAATCGTCCTCGTTGTCCATCTCGTCGTCGGATTCGACGCGACGTCGTTTACTGGAATTCTCGGAGTGTCCATTTTCCTGTCGTCTTTTGATAACAGGCGGATGGGCATAAGCCGTCAAACCCTCACTTAGGTCAGCATCCAGACGTTCGTTGAGGATTTCTCTCTTTTTGTCTTCAATCTCCGCGGCTTTCTTTTTGCCTTTGGCATCCGAATTAGCAGCAGCCCAAAAGTCGGCTTCTCGTTCGGCGTCCAGAGCGTTGTCTGCAAGACTGTGAAGATGAACATCTTTGACTTGACAAATATACCCATGCCCCGCTAGATAATTCAATGCCGAGTGTAGACGAGTATTGGATGCGGTATGTTCGTCTTCATCGCCGTTAACGACGCCATTATTCTCAACGCCATTCAGTGTATTCTCGCTGACGTCGTCTTCGTTCTTGAGGCCTTCATCAGCATTGTCGCCGTTTCCGTAGTGTGCGTCATCTTGGACTTGGAGTTCCGGTAAAGTTTCCAGCTCGCTGACCATGATATGTCCGTGGTATGCAATAGCAGCCATGACTTGAGCTGCATACGAGCCTAGCCTTTCTTCCACCACTTCCAGGACTTTTCCCGTCCGTATCAGGTAGTAAGCGCCGTCTAGGTTGGCTTCATAGTAGGTAAATCCATCCTCGGTTGAGCTGTAATGATACACCAAGTGCATTTGCACGAGCGCAGCAAGAGCATGGCGTAGTTGTTTTTCGGAAACTTGCGAATGTTCTTTGAGCCGAAAGAGCGTAAGGCGACCATACTGGATCAGAGTCGAGTAAATACGCTGTGCGACGACGATGAGTCAGAAAAGAGAATTGTGAAGCAATTGGCCATTCCTTGACAGCCAATGTCGAATCAGTCAAGCGCAATGATACGTACTCCAAATAAGTCTCCAAAATTGTCTTCAACTAGGAGCGTGCACAGCTCCGCGGCATACTACAATATGTTAGTGTCTGAAGCTCCTCTGAGATGGAAAAAGCAAAGCTTTGTCACACTTACTTGAGACATTGTGACGCTTCTAGAGGAATGCCAGCCTCTCTAGAAGGGGTAGGGGGTCACCGCGACAATAGCATGAGCGATGGGCACGCGGAGAGAGAGAGAGTCAACAAGAGGAGGTAGGGGTATCAAATTGTCGAAATGTCGAAATTATCAGAAGCTGCCACTTGCTTTTTTGGCACTAGTGTGTCCCGCCGCGAGGAAAAGCAAACAGGACAAACACGACGATGACATGACTCCAGCCACGTGACAGAGAATCACATGACTTTGCAGCTTAGCAAATCCGGTTCCGCCCGCAGTGACCCGCCTGTCCAATCAGCGCGCGGCTAATGGTCGGTCATCCAGGGTCGGCTCGGATCTTGAAGCTTTTCAAACGTCGGTTTGGCAGACCTAAACAGCAGCTTGTCGTCTCTACGCCACCCCAGGGTCGCTCAATTGCTCCCCAGTTGCCGGCCATTTCATCCTTACGTCCCAATTCGTGCTTTCATCACACGCAATAATGTTGTCGAGGTCTTCTTTCGGTCGCACAGCGCAGCGTGCGCTCCGAACCAGCAGCCGTCGGGCCTTTGCTTCTGCTGCTTCTCCCAGCACTCAGTACGAGACCGCCGAGGCCGCAGGTATCAAAGTCGCCAGCCGAGAGCTGGAAGGTGCTACTTCTTTGTTGGCTGTCGTTGCAAAGGCCGGTTCTCGCTACGAGCCTGTGCCCGGCTTCTCTGATGCTCTTGCCCGATATGCTTTCCAGGTGCGTCACCTATCATTCGACATCCTGAATCGATTGGGACATGATGGATGCTTACATCTTAAATATCTAGTCTACATACAAACGATCGGCTTTGCGTATCACTCGCGAGGCAGAGCTTCTAGGTAGCAACCTCACAGCCAAGAACACGCGCGAAAACGTCGTCCTCCAAGCCAAGTTCCTGTCTGCCGACCTTCCCTACTTTGCCGAGCTTCTCGCAGAGGTTACCTCTCAGACCAAGTACAATGGTGTGTATTGTTCAGAAAGTGGCCCGGAAGGACGCAGCGCTAACACCTGACAGCTTACGAATGGGCTGAATTGGTCCTTCCCACCATCAAGGTCCGCCAGCAGGTCCTCTTCTCCAAGCCCGAGATCTTGGCCTTGGAATCTGCTCACGCAACCGCTTTCCACCGTGGTCTTGGTGAGACCTCTTTCGCCGCTGCTTCCGCTCCTTTCGAATCCTACTTCACCGAAGACGGTCTCGCCGAATTCGCCCAGAGCGCCTATGCTAAGCCCAACATTTCTCTCGTCTCTGTTGGACCCAACTCTAGCGAGGTCTCTAAGTGGGTGAGCCAGTTCTTTGCTGGCCACTCCGCTTCCCCCGCCGCTGGTCAGTTTAAGGTCAAGGACGCCGTTCCATCCAAATTCTACGGTGGCGAACAACGCACAGCCAGCAAGGCCGGTAATGCTGTTGTCCTCGGCTTCCCCGGCTCTGCTCAGTACGGCGCTTCTGGATACAAGGCTGAGGCCGATGTTCTCGCTGCTCTCCTCGGCGGTGAGTCCACGATCAAGTGGTCTCCAGGTTTCTCTCTCCTTGCCAAGGCTGTTGAGGGCGAGACTGGTGTCAGCGTTTCGACCAAGAACTACGCCTACTCTGACGCTGGACTGTTCACCATCACCGTTTCCGGAAAGGCCGCTGGTGTCGCTACCGTTGCCAAGCGCGCTGCTGAGGCTATCAAGCAGATCGCCGCTGGCGAGGTTCCCGCCGAGGTTGTCAAGAAGGCTATTGCGTTGGCCAAGTTCCGTGCTTTGGAAGCTTCTCAGGTTGCCGAGACTGGTGTTGAGCTTACCGGCTCTGCATTGATCAACGGCGGCAAGCCCTACCAGATCAGCGAGCTTGCCTCAAGCTTTGAGAAGGTTTCTCCTCAACAAGTCCAAGACGTATGTCCTCTTTTCGCTTTGATTTTTGATTAATTGATACTGACTTATACAGTTGGCCAAATCTTTCGTCTCCGGAAAAGCCTCCATTGCCACCTTTGGAGATTTGCACAAACTTCCCTTCGCCGAAGACCTCGGTCTCACCGTCTAGGTGCATTTTTGTGTCCGGTACGATATAAGAGAAGAAAAACAAGGCATGGAAGAAGGAAGAAATACTCCAAAAATGTATTAGATTTCGAAAAACTCTTCTTTTCCCTTCGTTGTCTGTCCCCCTTTTCTTCTTCTAACCTGTGAAATTATACGAAGCCTAAAATTTCATTGTTGCGAGTTCTACATCATAAATATCTATCTAGACCTCCCGTTTTCTGCTGTTGTCGCTCTTATTTCTTTTGTATTTGCTATATTTGATGTACTTGTATCATGGAATCGCAATATTTCTTTCATACATAAATTGTGTATTCCCACGTTGAGTATCGTGCATTGGGGTTATTTGACAGGATAGGAGAATGATCCCTGTGTTTGATTCAACATGCCAACCTCAAAGCCCCATTAGGACTGCTTTGCTCTATCTCTCAGCTCACAATCCCTCAACATCCACCCATCATACAGCATGTCTAAAGCCGTGATATATATACCTAGTTCGAGATTGGTCTTTCTCCGAGTCCGATGCGTATGTTTTCAGTACGAAATATATAGCCCCCCCCCCCTCCCCTGCCTAAACACCATTAGCCTATCCTTTCTGTATCTGATACTTCGATCATTGAGACGTGATACACATGCATAATAGTAGACACTGGATCACTCCACCCAGCCAACCACACAGTCGACGTGAATCCCATACCCCAGTGTGGCAAGTATCTGATATCGCTTATCGAGGATCACGGCGGCGTTGAATGGGTTGGTATCTTTGTGCCTTGTAGGTGGGAAGGTCTCTTCTTCAAGGAGTTTGATTCGGTGGAAAGTTTGTGGTTGAATGGAGGACGACGGGTTGGTATCCAATTTGAAATGTTGATATTGTTCTTGAAAAACGTTGAAATCAAAATTGATTTTACCATGACAACATGGAGTCTCTCTTTCCCAATAAATAAACTATTCTATAATTCTACCTATGGCACATCACCAGTATAGTCGATACAGTAAGTGACAGGGGTATTAAAAATGAAGCAAAAAGAGAATATCCTGCGAGCAAAGAAATATAACACTATTCAATAGACAACTGCGGCTCGTCGGGCGAGGGGKGTTTCAAACGCTCCTAGTGCTTTGCAGTGACTTTTTCGCCCGTGAGCTTCTCTACAGCATCTTTGGCACTGTTGCACGTTAGTTGGATGATCAGATCGAACGGTAGAAAGGGGGCTTACAGGTCACCAAGAGCTACCATGCACACGGTCTGCCACATTCCGAGACCGATACGAGGAGCAACTCCTCGGTAGAGACCCTTGATACCATTGCTCTCGTAGATGTACTTGAATGTCTTGCCCACAGTCAGGTTCTTGGGACGGTTAGGGTCCTCGGTCTTGCTCTGCATCTCAACACGAATAACCTCAATAGGCTGATTCCAGGCGGACAAACCACCACCGACACCAGAGGCGATAATCTTTTCACCGGCGCTCAATTTCTCGCCTTCCTTCTTACCGGTCGAGCTGCGGATAGCGTTTTCAGTCAATCGGGAAAGACCGAAACGAGAACCCCAGTTGGTGGTCTGACGGATTGCGACGGCGTTGACACCCTTATTGATACCGCGGATACCTTCCTTGCGGTAGATATCCATGAATGTCTGCCAGGTGCTGGGAGGCTTGACACCGGTGGCAGACAGCTTGTGTCGGGTAATCTCGACGGTTTTCATGCACGTGCAGAATCCGACAGTCGCATAAGCCTGAGCGACACCACCAGACATACCACCGACGATACCGGCACCGAAATCAGATGCGCCAAAGCTTCTGGCGTAGAATTCGGCCTCGGACGCGACGAACAGCAGCACGGCACCTTTAGTGGAAGCCTCAATCCAGGCCCAGGGAATGAGACCTTGGTAGTCTGTACAAAACATTAGCCTAAATTTCTGTTGCACTTGATCGATTAAGACCTACAGCCGAGGATGCCACCACGGCCCCAAATACGCCTCATGGCGCCGGCGAAAGAGTCGGTACGGTTGGCAGCCATGGTCGTCTTGATCACTTCCAGCGGCTGTCCGAGCGATGTGACCTCGAACATGTTCAATCCCGCGCCAACTACAAACTGCTCAGTTTCTGTTTTCTGTTTTCTACAGCGCATAAAGAAAACTTACGTAGCAAATTGCTAAACTTGACCGGCTTCTTCTCGAGCGGCTGAGCGGTAGTGGCAGACATCTCTGGACGTGGAACGCTGAAAGGGGCCCTGACCAAGGGATATTCGGGGGCTTCGTCGCCTGGAGGAGGAAGTCGTGGAAAACGAAAGGTCTGTAAGACAATCACTGACACTGCAGAGGTTGAAAGAGTCGATTGAGAAGATTGAAGGGAGGAGAGGAGATGCGTCCAGATGCCGACCGGAGTTTGTATGGGTTGCCGACAATGCTGTTGATTGCGTGGTTAGTCTCGAATAAACAAACAAGCAAGCACAGATCGCAGACAACAACAGGGACGGATGACTAGCCGACTTACCAGAGTCGAGTTGATGCAGACAGGGACCAAAAGAAACGAGACGAGAATTACCGAGAGAAGGAAGGGAAGAGGTGCTGAGGTCGGACTGGCATATCACAAGCCGAGGGAGAGAGGCCAACGGAGTCCGGAGCGTTACACGGGCTGCGCTAGGCTGGATTGGAACGGGCCAGCTACGGTGAACTTTTTGATCGTTCGGCTTTATTTAGTTTGCCTAGTACGTGCATATACACAGTAAGTGTATATGAAGTTGTTATATATGATATGCTCTGATATGATACAGTATGAGCTCTACTAAGTAGACGTAAGAACAATCGGGGCGATTCGGCCGCTGCATCGATGTTAGCTAGCTCGGACTCGTCTCAACGGCTCCGCCTCTGCCTCAGGCTTCTGATCGATCATGCTGATGCCGGGATGTACACCATGAGCCCAGTTGAAGAGACTGGCTGGCCATATATGTACCATCCATCATACGCAGGGCGAACATCTTTAAAAATATACAGATCTCTGGACTGAAGCTGTGCTGCCGTCGGAGTATCTCACTCCGCATAAAGAAGAAGTTGAAAGTTCGGGCCAATCCCCGAATGGCGGTGGCAGACTAACCCCATATAGTCTAGCAGCTCAGAGATAGCCCCAACGGAAAAAGAAGGAAGAGAAAAAAAGTATACAAAAGGAATGTTGAGCTCGATTATTGGTGCTGTTGTGTTTGCTTTTTTTTTTGGCGTCGAGGATTCTGCACAGTACTGTGTATATGTGAGTATCAAGACTGCAGTCTCAGTTTATAGGTCTGCAGCTACAGCTATTGATTGCTCAGGACTGGAAAGTTGGCATGCCATGACCTGCTAACTGATCAATCACATGCCAGACGGACAATTGCATGTGCCAACCACATTCGTCATCATCTATTAGGTATTCACCCAGGAGAGGAGATCTAGAATAATCAAGATACTACGTAGTAATGTCACAAAAGAAATGAATTATCATAAGGGGACTGGCTAGTAAACAATCCCAAACATCCGGCCTTTTTCTCTCCCAGTCTAGTTAAGATAGAATTGTACATCGGTCCAAGACCGTAAATCAGACAGACAGTTTAACCTGTCCACAACCAATTGGATATCAATTGCACATCGTCCTTTTTCCCTTTCGCATCATCATTCTGTAAGCTTAATTTAAAGCTTAGCACCGACGAGCTTGGCGTAAGCCTCGGTGCTGAAGGACTTGGGACGCTCGATAGGAGCACCGAGAGCACGGTCAATGATGATCTGAGGAAGGACACCAAGGGCACGAGAAACACCGAAGAGAACGGTGTAGTAGTTGGCCTCGGTAAGACCATAGTATTGGAGGAGAACACCGGAGTGCTTCAAAACAATTAGTACGTAAACTCTAGATCGATCATCAAAGGCAAACTTACAGCGTCAACGTTGGGGTAGGGGTTCTTGGTCTTTCCGTGCTCGGTCAAGACACCAGGGGCAATCTTGTAGACCTGGCTGACGAGCTTGAACATAGGGTCGTCGGGGAGGTGGCGGAGAGCAAACTCGCGCTGAGACACGTAACGAGGGTCGGTCTTACGGAGCACGGCGTGTCCGTAACCAGGGACGACCTGGCCAGCGTTCAAAGTGGACCAGAGGTAGTCCTTAATAGCCTCGTCGCTGAGGTCGTTGCCAATGGCCTTCTTCATCTTCTGAAGCCAGACAAGGACTTCTTGGTTGGCCCTGTGCAATGTTAGTGGCTATAATAGCAAGACAAACTAGTGTACGTACAATCCGTGGAGAGGACCAGCAAGACCGTTCAAACCGGCGGCCAAAGACAAGTAAGGAGAGCTGAGGGCACTGCCGACAAGGTGAGTGGTGTGGGCGCTGACGTTACCACCCTCGTGGTCGGAGTGAATGGTCAAGTAGAGACGCATCAACTCAACAAAGTCCTTGTTGTCACCGAATCCAAGCTGGTTGGACAAGTTGAAGGCATAATCCTTGTCCTTCTGGACAGGGGCGACCTTGCCATCCTTGAAAACGTTGCGGTAAATGCGGGCAGCAATGGTGGGGAGCTTGGCAATGAGGTCCATGGAGTCCTCGAAGGTGTACTGCCAGTATTCCTTCTTGTTGAGGCCCTTGGCGTAGGCCTTGGCGAAGGAAGATTCGTGCTCAAGAGCAGTGACGGCAAGGGAGAACTGAGCCATGGGGTGGAGGTCGTTGGGGCAGCGGTCAATGAGCTCCTCAACGAACTTGGGGACGTCGGAGCGAGCAGCCCACTCAGCGGACAAGTCACGGACCTGCTGTTCGCTGGGGACCTCGCCAGTGAGCAACAACCAGAAGAGACCTATTCATGTGAGCTTTCAACACGGATATATAGTCCAAGTGCGCAATTATCGTACCTTCAGGGAGAGGCTCCTCGCCACCAGGGGCCTTGGGGAGAATCTCCTGGCATTCGGGGATCTATAATCATCAGCTGTGTTCCGCGGGCGATATAGAGAGTTACTAACGGTGCGTCCACGGAAGCGGATACCCTCCTCAGAGTCCAAGACGGAACCCTGTCATTGAACAGTTAGTATGCGCAGTCAATTGAAATAATGGCCGGAGAATCTTTCTTACCTCCCAAACGAGGGACTTGATTCCGCGAGCACCACCGTAGACCTGGTCTAGGGTGACTTCTCCGACGACCTTGGAGCCATATTCTCTAGAAAAAAATGCATTAGCTATTGCAATAGCAAGTCGATTCGATTGTAATAGGAGAGCATAGGGTGAGGGAAAAGGCAAGCAATATGACGTACTTGCGGAGCTTCTTGACCTTCTCAATCTCGGCAGGGAGCTTCTCGGCGAAGGTCTCCTTGAGGGACTGCAAAACAAAGCTATGGTCAGTAAGTTGTACACAGTGAGAAGACGGAAAAGTAGTAACATACCTTGGCCTTGCCAGCGGAGTAGCAGCGCACACCGTTCAAGGCGGCAGTCTGGATGGCAGGCTTAGCCAGAGAGGAACGGAGAGCAGAGCTTCCCAATCGCAATGAGGAGGCCATTGTGATGATATATTAATTAAGTAATGGGAAGGACGAAGAAGCTTCCGAGGAAGAGAGAATATAATACAATTGTTGATGAATGTACAACAAACACCAAGAGGAGAGCAGAAGGCAAGGTCTGAATGGGGAGAGAGGACAAGAAAAGAGACCGGAAAGACAGAACGCTGGATGGAATAATTTGGGGGCTCCGTTTTTGCCGGGCTAGGCTCAAAGGGGTATAGGGACGTTGCCGAATGCCGCTGACGGTGCCGTCTACGTACTATGTACAATGTCGTAGTTAGTGGTTGGCCTCGGTGCCTGCCTGCCTTGCCGCCTTGCCGCTCGGACAGACGGATTCGTTTTCGGTCAAGCTCCTGTCGGACTTACTCGACGATTCCCTCTACAACTTCACACGGAGTGTCTCCGCCGGAGATCACTTGCGTAGTAAACGTAACAGTCCTGCTGGATTTTTTTCAGAAAACAACGTATGGAAAAATAAAATGAATAACAGATCAATAGATAGACACATCCTATTGACCGAGTTGCCGTCGCATAGTAGACATACGAGTACTCGCCATTGAGATAGACATTACGTATGGAGGGTTTGTTGTTATAGCATCATCAACAACAAAGAGCAACAAATGGCAGCTGCCGGCCGATCCTGAGGCATCAAGGCATCTAGGCACCACACAGAATTTTGCAAGGACCCGCATTAGATAAGGTGATACCACAAAGATTCGCGGCTTCTCTATTCACGTCTATCTGGTATGTAGATTTCAACAACTTACGGAGTACCACACCAATTTTTCATACATACTATTAAGCAATAGCGGTAGCTCACGAAAGAAGCTCTACCACCAATACCCCCTCCTTGAGCTCTTTACGAACGAACCACTTCCCAAGTACGGAGAGCTCACTACGGGTGTTAATACGCGAAGTTAGCGAATCTATTCCAAATCCGTGGAGGATGTAGGGGACCTGAATAACGTTCTGATGGGAATAGCTTCATACAACTAGAGGCTGAATAAGGATTCAATTTTGAAGACGTTACGAGTGTTGAAATTTATTTGGTAATAGTTAGGTAAGGATCATGCTAGATCGTTACGTACGGTTCCCTTTCGCGAGCACGGTCATGTGACTTTGCTATACCATAAACAGGCTAGTCCGTCATTTCTCGTCCAACCTCTTCCTCTTTTTTCTCCCCCTTCCTTCCTCACCCAACTTCGTGTACTTTCTTTTCATTCAACAACGCCTCGTTTTTCATCATTGTTTTCCATCTCCAAGTCACCATCACCGTCTTCATCGTAAGTGAAGCTATTACCGACTCGTCAACTCTCACAATACTTGGTGAGAGACTGTATTCGTACTGAAGTATCGTCACCTGCGCTAGCCTAGATTCACTGCCAGGTCATAACGCTCGTGAGAAGTGACGCGATCGCTTGGGCCACATTAGGATTTTTTGTCTTCTTGTCCTGCGGTTGCAGAGTAATATATTTCTCGAATTTTCTTCAGTTCTACACTGCGCGCCACAGCCATCGTCAGTAGACCAGGCGTGCTCCCAGATTGGAAGTCTTATCACTTTGGCAGCCATGTCTTCTGCCGTAGCAGAGCTCGATGGCTACCTCCAATCCATGCAAAGTCTAAAGCCTCCAGGTGTATCAGGTTCTAAGATCGGCAGCATCACACAGCTCTGTGTAGCCAACGTTCAGGTAAGGACATGTCACCAAGTCGCTTCCTCCCAAATCAGTCGCTAACCATCTCTCCCTACAGTCCGAGTCCGTTCTAGTCCAAAAGCTATACACACACTTCAAGAGAACTCCAGGCACACACAAGTTGGGCGTCCTATATGTCGTAGACTCTGTAACTCGACAATGGGTAGAGGCGGCTCGCAAGGCTGGTCAACCGCTTGGAAGCGGCGCCACTGATGGTACATTTGCGGCCGGAGTCAACAGAGTAACTGAACTTCTCCCGGTTCTGATGACCGATATCATAAACAATGCACCTGAGGATCAAAAGGTACGCTCTAGAGAATTACAAGAATATTCACATAACATTCCCTTTGTTTTATTGCCTGCTAGCACCAATCGGTCCGTGGCGGACTCTGGATTCGAATAAAATTGGCGACGTGACATTGTATGCATGTCTAGACGATGCATCGCATTTGTCGCTAGTCGTCCATTCGTATTCCCAGCTGGACGCTATCGCCGCGCCGCCCGCACCCTAAGATGGGAGTATTCGTCTCATGCTTAAACAACTCATATGTTTTCATACGTGACTGGATAGATGAACTTACGTATCGCCCTTGGCTATTATAGGAAAAAATCAGAAAATTGGTTGATATCTGGGAGCGTGGTCAAACATTCCCTTTACCAATGCTCGCCACAATCAAAGAGAAGCTGAACGCTCCACCGACTAAAAGTAAGCCAATCCGCGCCTAGATATGCTCGACTATGCAAGAAATTGCGACTTATCTAAGTATACCATTTGTGCCCGATTCTAATTATTAACTATCATTTGTATAGACATCGAATCGACAACACCAGAAGGATCACCAGCTCCTGGTGCAAACCCTCTCGCGGGGCTTCAGGGACAGGCTGCTGCTGGCGCCTCTGCAACTCCCGATACATCTAGTATCTTGAAAGCGTTGGCCGATATGGCTAAGCAGAATCCCTCGGCTCCAGCAGCGCCAGGGGTTCCTCAGGCTAATCCTTTGAGTATGCTGAGTGGTATACCTTCGCTCCCTGCGTCAACGTCTGTAGACCAGGCTGCCCAGCCAGCGACCGGACCAAACGTAAACCCGTATGGAAACCCTCTCGCAGCGCTAGGTAATTTTGCGCCGAATGGCATGCCGCCAGCTCCTACTGCTCTGCCTAGTGCTCAAGCCAATCCTTTGGCTGCACTGCTTCCACAAGCTGCAGCTGGTGCTCAGCAACCCGCAGCAACTAGTCCCGATTTCCTCCAGCAGATGCAATTGATACAGCTTCTTGCAGCACAAGGTATTCCCCAGGATCAATGGGCAACCGCTCTTCAAATTCTTAGCCTACAAAACAACAACCCGGCCGGTGCTGCTGGGTTGCCCAATATGGGCGCCGTACCAGGTGGGTATAATATGCCAGACATGAGCGGCCAGCAAGCTTGGGGCGGTCATGATCGTGACGGCGATCGGGATCGTGGTAGAGACCGAAACTTCATGCGCTCTCCTCCAAGCCAGTACCGTCGCCGTTCGGGCTCTCCAGCAGGTTGGGACCGTCGTCGTGAAGCATCACCCCCGCGTCGTCGCGATAGCCCTGTGTATGGTGAATACGGCGGAGACTCCCCTGGCCGTCGAGGCGGCCGTCGCAATGATTATCGTCAACGCAGCCCGCCAGGTCGCAGACGACGCTCGCCATCTCCTCCTCAAAAGGACGTTTCATTGCCTCCTCCCGGACCTAAGTTGGTTGAGTGGGATTATTCGATTGGACAGGGCAATATCAAAGTTTTGAGCAGGACATTGTTCGTTGGTGGTGTTACGTGAGTTTTTCCCTAGATTATGAGATGTAATTAATTGCTAACCTACGTTACAGCGCTCCTGAATCGCATCTGCGTGCTTTGTTCAACCAGTACGGTGTGGTGCAGACGTGCATCGTCAACGTCGACAAGAGACATGCATTCATCAAAATGATCAACCGCCGTGATGCAATGACTGCCAGAGAGGGCATGGAGACGTACAAATCTGGCGACATGCAATTGCGAGTAAGTTGTCTACTATTATTTAATAATGTTGTGATACTAATCGTGTATAGACTCGCTGGGGAGTTGGTTTTGGACCTCGCGACTGCAGTGATTATCAGACTGGAATCAGTGTGATACCAATTGAGCGTCTTACAGAAGCTGATCGCAAGTGGATGTTGACTGCGGAGTATGGAGGCACCGGTGGTAAGCCAATTGAAAGCGGCATGGTTGTCGAAGAGCCTGATATTGAGATCGGTGCTGGCGTTTCATCCAAAGGTTTGTGATAGCTTACCCATATAAACAATCCTACATCTACTAACCTATTCCACAGCAATTAGCCGACGCATGGCAACCGACCAAGGCGGAAAGCGTGGACCTCAATCATCTCGAACCTCAAATGACCGATATCAACGACGTGATCGCGGCATGGACATGAACGGAGGAGGCATGTACGGTGGCGGTGGAGATCACGACTTTTCCAACCCGCCAAACCCGGGTGTTCCTCCAGCTGTTCCAGGCTTTGGGTTCCAGCTGCCTGGTATGCCCATGTTTCCTCCTGGGTTTATGCTTGGTGGTGCACAGCCTGGATCTGCTCCTCCACCACCTCCGGGTCAATAAACAAGACTACGACGAACCGCTTCACTTCGATCCTCTGTGTTCTGATACTTTTTTTCTCCTTTAATGTAACAACTTCGCTTTATTTGCACAGGCTGTTCACGTCTTCATTCCATTGGTCGAGAGGAGCACATATTCATTGGCGTTGTTTCTTTTCGATTGATTCCCTGGATTTGTTTCTTTATATGGTGGTGGGAAGGAAAGCCAAAAAGTATTCTTAATTAGCTTGTATTCAATATGAAGTTTCACCATGTCTATCTCTCCTATCTTAACTGTCGTAAATACTTACTCCATAAGTACTAGTACATGCGAGTCAGGATCTCTAATCGACAAGCCACTGGCCTAACTCCCCGGTTCTTTCAATAGGAACACGCGTCGCCTCCACATGGAGTACGCAAGTTCGCAACTTCTACCGGTCTCAGCACCAGACTCGCTGTACCAAGAAGGTAGAACCAGGCAGTGCAGCGCAAATTTCTAGTATCAGCACTAAGTTCCCTGCACTACGTACCATGTAGCTACAAATTGAAATGGAGCGACAATTCCATCCTTTCATTTGCAGTCGCCAACCGACACACTGCGATAGTTATGACTCCAAAGAGATAACTTGATCCTCACAATGCGGCCCTTTTTCACAGCCAGTAGCAGCAAGAACCGGCCCTGGTATGCCAGGTACGCAAGCCGACTACCGCGAAACAATAAGAGCATCCTGATATGCCTTTTCGTCCTCACAACCGCCATCGCATCCCTGCACTTTTTGCTCATACCCGTCCTTTTGAGACTGCACATGCAATTCGGCCTCAGTCTCTTCGACTACGGCTTTCACGGTTTATATCCCACGCGGCACTACAATAGCTTCGAGCTCGACTCTCCGGACGTCGAAGTCGTGGTGTGGGACGACCGATGTAGCGATGGTTACGTCTTCATAGCGCCTCACGGTCCACCAATCGACGGCTCGCGACCCTTAATTCTCGATGCACGCGGAAATCTAGTATGGACGTTTCCGACAGATAAGCCGTCGACAGATTTCAAAGTGCAGGAGTACCGGGGCGAGAAGTTTTTGACTTTTTGGCATGGGACGAGTCTGAATGGGCATGGATTGGGGTCGTATACGATGGTATGTTCTTATCTACCGCTATATTATACATCAAACTAATGCGAGTAGCTGGATTCGTCGTATGTACACCGCTATGAAGTCACGGCTGTCGGCGATTTTGAGGGTGATATACATGATTTCCGTATTACGAAGAACGGCACTGCGCTTATCGTGATATACGACGTCAAGCCAGGCAATCTGGCTGAATTCGGCGGTCCGCAGAATGGGTTTATTTACGATGGAGTCTTTCAGGAGGTTGATATTGCCTCGAATAATCTCCTGTTTGAGTGGCATTTTTCGCATCATGTCCCATTTGGCGACACATACACGGATACTGTGAAAGGTATGGGCAAAGATAGCACATCGCCGTGGGATCCGTACCACATCAACAGCGTCGACAAGGATGTGCAGGGGAACTATCTCGTTTCCGCGCGGCATATACATTCGCTCTACAGTATCGATGCAACAACGGGTGATATTCTATGGACATTAGGCGGGAAACAGAACGAATTCACCGACGCATCTGACGGCCACGCTACAGATTTCGCCTGGCAGCATGACGCACGCTGGTACGACGAACGTACCATCACGCTATACGACAATGCCGCGAAAGATTTCCTCGGTCCCATAACTGCAAGCCGGGGAATGATAATCGACATTGACGTGCCGAATCGCATCGCAACTCTGCAGCATACCTACTCCCATCCCGAGGGAATCCGCGCGCATTCGCAGGGCAACATGCAAATCCTACCAGACTCTGGGCATGCATTCATCGGCTGGGGTCACTGCGCTGCATACACGGAGTTTGCGCCTGACGGAGAAGTGCTATGTGACACGCACTTGTCGCCATCGAACTGGTTCCAATTGGGTCTCGTGTATACATATCGAACCTATAAGAATGACTGGGTCGGTAAACCGGCTACTATGCCGTCGGCAGTCATTGTTGGGAACTCGGTGTTCGTGAGCTGGAATGGTGCCACGGAGATCAAAGCCTGGCAGCTGGAGCTGTGGGATGGGGTGAATATGCAGCATATGAATTTTGTCCCGGCAGGCAAGACTGACAAAGTCGGTTTCGAGACCAAGTTTGATCTGCCGGGTGATATTCCGAATACGTATTTCCGTCTTGTTGCGCTTGATAAGAAGGATGATGTGCTTGGGAGAAGTGCACTGCTTAGCAAGCATCACAAGCAGAGTCTGGCGGAGATGTTGGGAAAGGATATCTGGGATCAGATGTCATATCCTGTTATTGTTACAATCTTTTTGATCATTTGCTGTGCCGTGTTGGCTGTTCGGTGGATCTGGAAGAAATCGAGCCTTATGTTTGGCCGGTTGAATACTAACTGGCTGCGGCCCAGGGTCAGGCGTACTCTGCTCAAGGAGGATATTGAGATCCCACTTATGACGAATGAACATGAAGATTGACTTATCCATGTATAGAGATTCCATTCACATTTTACTCCTAATTCATTGTTTGCATTTGCCACACGGAGGGGGACGAATATTCTATGGCTCGTACCCCGGATTATGAACGATGTGGAGAGTAATCTATACCTCAGTAATCGAGCTCTCGCTGCGTAGGTAGTGATCGTTTAAGTCTCCTGTCCCCCACATGATTCAGATCTCATCTATAGGTGCATTCGCTATTCACTCAAGATGCATAATATCATATGCAGAACGTTCGTGCCGAGCGCACGGAATGGCTCGTGCGCCACTGTGCAGTCTATCATACATACATTATCTCTGGTTTGGAAATATCATCTTGAGAATTGACCGTTTCGCGCAGTCCTATGAGCATGTTATAGATGCAATCGTTATAGACTATGTAGGGACTAGCTATACTAAGTATACCTAGACCAATAAATCGTACCCCCACACATGCGAACCATACTCAATAATTCCTTTCCCCTCACCCAATAAAAGTCGATCCCAAACAGTCCCCGATCCAGCTGCGATCACGCAATTTGAGGGGTATTTTGCTTGGAGCTGTGGTATATATCCTTTCCCTGGAACCGTGACAATTATTTCTTCTTTTTATATCCCATTGCTACCATATACCCCTGTTTACTGTTTTGTTGCTTGCTGTTGTAGATACCTGAATTGATCAATTGTCGTTACCGGAAAAATCATGGCTGGCCAACGCTTCGAGACTCTGCAGCTGCATGCTGGGTAAGCTTTTCAGTCTGCATGCTTTGGCGATTGCATACTGACAATAAACAGCCAGGAACCTGACCGGGCCACCAACTCGCGTGCTGTGCCCATCTATGCTACTACTGTTCGTTTTTCTTTGATATCGTTAGATTGCTACGGCAACAAACTGACTGGTACAGTCCTACGTCTTTAATGACTCGGCTCACGGCGCCAGACTCTTTGGCCTCAAAGAGTTTGGTAATATTTACTCGCGCATCATGAACGTATGTCTCCCAGCCTCTCTCGGCGACCTAACAACTGACAATACTAGCCCACCGTCGACGTCTTCGAAAAGCGCATCGCTGCTCTCGAAGGCGGTGTTGCCGCCGTCGCAGCCTCGTCCGGCCAAGCAGCCCAGTTTATGGCCATCTCTGCCCTGGCCCACGCCGGCGACAACATCGTCGCTACCAGCAACCTCTACGGCGGTACCTACAACCAGTTCAAGGTCTTTCTACCGCGATTAGGCATCCAGACCAAATTTGTGAACGGCGACAGTGCAGAGGATATTGCCGCTGTTATTGACGATCGTACCAAGGCCGTCTTCGTGGAGACTATTGGAAATCCGCGATACAACGTACCCGATTTCGAGGCCATTGCCAAGGTTGCGCATGAAAAGGGGGTTCCTGTCGTTGTACGTATTCTGTCCGCCGTCTTTCTGACTACCTACTGATTAGCAGGTTGACAACACATTCGGCGCCGGTGGCTACTTTGCCCGCCCCATCGACCACGGCGCCGACATCGTCGTGCACAGCGCCACCAAATGGATTGGCGGCCACGGCACCACCATCGGCGGCGTGGTGATTGACAGCGGAAAATTCGACTGGGGCAAGCACGCCGCTCGATTCCCTCAATTCGTTGAGCCCGCCGAGGGATACCACGGTCTCAAGTTCTGGGAAACTTTCGGGCCCATTGCATTCGCTATTCGCGTTCGAGTCGAGATTCTGCGTGATTTGGGCTCGGCATTGAACCCTTTTGCGGCGCAGCAGTTGTTGTTGGGATTGGAGACGTTGAGTTTGCGTGCGGAGCGACATGCCAGCAATGCGTTGACTTTGGCGAAATGGTTGGAGAGGAACGAGAATGTTGCTTGGGTGTCGTACCCTGGTCTTGAGAGCCATGCCAGCCATGAGACTGCGAAGAAGTATCTGCCTCGTGGATTCGGTGGTGTCTTGTCGTTCGGTGTCAAGGGTGGTGCTACCGCTGGCAGTCAGGTTGTTGATGGATTCAAGCTGATTTCCAACCTTGCCAAGTATGTCTCTCCCCCCTCTCTATGATTGAATTTTTAATACTAACGAGTGTAGTGTCGGCGACTCGAAAACTCTCGCGATTCATCCCTGGTCAACCACGCACGAACAACTCTCCGAAGAAGAGCGCATCGCCTCGGGAGTCACCGAAGACGCGATCCGTATCTCGGTCGGAACAGAGCATATTGACGATATTATCGCAGACTTTGAGCAGTCATTCCAGGCTGCTAGCGCTGCTGGCGCGGACAAGACTGCGCTGCCTGATCGGGCGGCGGGAGGAGCTGCGACGGAGCATGAGGCAGGATTGCAGGGGTCTGTTTGATCAAGTATATTAGCCGTAATGATATGACGAATGAATCGTGTATGACTGAATACTTGTATCGTCCGTAGTGTGTTGTCTAAACAAGTATGTACTTCGTAGTACGTAGTTAGCTAAAACGTTAACCGTCAAGTGTAGATCCCCCGGGTATGATATCATCGATCTCATCAACACTTCAAAGAGTCAGGTGACGTTGGAATCATAAAGAATAACAAGAAAGAATGAAGATAATAATAATAAGATAATAATATAGTTAGGTAATATCCAAGTCACAACTTCAGCCACTGTCAGCTGTCAGATAAATTATCAAATTTAACAGGTATCAGCCACGTTCGTCATTGCATCATGGCGTCTTCTCCTCTTCTTGGCTTATAATCTACACTGCCTGCACCCTGCTACCTTTTTCTCTCAACTACAACAACTGTACAACTACACTTGCACTCCTTACTTCAGAGTAAAATAATCGGTTCCAGCATCATCCACAACATTCACATCCAACATGCCTCATCACAGCCTCCACCACCTGAACTGGGTGCTGCCCGTTCGCATCGTCCAGGCCGTCTTTGCAATCATCGTCCTCGGTCTGACAGCATACGGTGAGTCTCAGCGTCCCTCTCCAAATACCCAAAATAATCACAACTAATAAACCAAGTCATCAACGTCGAGCTAGAATGGTCCTGGTACTCCTCCGACACCGTCAACTTCGACCTCTTCAACGCCGTCTGGACCCTCGTCGTCGCCCTCCCATACTTGTCGCTGGTGCCCATCTTCTTCGCAAACCTGTCGCACCATTATGCTGTACTGGCAATTGAGATTGTGACCATGATTTTCTGGTTTGCCGGTTTCATTGCGTTGGGTGCGTTGTTGCCGCCGCCCAGAGCGTGTCATTACAGTGTCTGCAGTTCGTTGCAGGCTGCTACTGTGTTTGCGGCTTTTGAATGGTATGCCTTTTGAACCTGTGAGGACTACGGAATATTTGACTAATATGAGTAGGCTGCTGTTTGCGATTACTACTGCATTCACCATCCGTCTTGCTCTCCAATCGAGAAATGATACCGCCGCGGTCCACGCAAAGACCTCTGGCGTCCAGGCTCATGCTGAAGTCTAATCATCACCTACGAGCATAAATATGGAGACTAAATGTCCGAAGGGACCGAAGGAGTAGGAATTGGCACTGATTTTTATGCTGCGACCTTTTAATTGAATACCCTTCTAGCTTATGTTTTATATTCCCTGATTGTTACCTTTGGTCTGCGTTTTAGTTGACTATGAGACGATTTATGACGAGTGCATGATTATACCACTGTTTTGAGCTTAATGATTGGATTATGCTTCCATAATATCTTATACAACAATGTGACGTTTTGTGTTTCAGCGATCTTTAACTTTAGCACATACTTGCGACTGAAGAGATATCGTTCTATTACTTCAGGGGCTAAACGTTCAAAGGAACAATGCACTCAATGCTTCATGATGGAAAACAACAGCCGTAAATTGTGAAAAGAGTAGTCGATCAAGACCTGACGGATACTTCACTCCTCGAAGGTGGAATAAAACTCGAGCCCTGACTAGAATGATACCTTCGTGTCTCACTGGCACCAAGCATACCGTCATCCAGACTTATAACCTGCCGAAAGATCCTTTCAGCAATTATCCGAACAAGATGATTGTAACCGCGTTTCGTAGCATCTACGTTTGCGTCGGAATCAGAGAGATCCGGCCCGCGACATTCGAGAATCACCTTGGAGTGAGACCTGAGATCCCACACGCGCTGACATTGCAGCCAGTGGTAGCAGAAATAGCACGCTGGCTTGCTGCAACCGATATATTGATAGCCGTGTAGAAACTCCAAGCCGTTTTTCTCAAAGTAATCGAATATGAGAATCTCTGCATGAACGCGAGTAGATATCTTTCTCTTCTCCTCAAGTTTGGCCTTGAGCTCTTTCCTAGAATCGTGCCATCTCGCCATGAGAAGAAGATTGAATACCCTTTGAATTAGTGCTGATCGGTCGGAGTTTTTCGACACTTTCATACTCACCGCCGAGTAATCAAAGGCGCTATCTGGAAGAGTCAATAGTTTTTTCGGTGATGATGGTATAAAGACGATCTCTGAAATCTGTTGAAAAAAGGTTGCTTCTTGTATGCCGTCACGACTTTGATAATATGGTAGTTGTGTGCCCCGAGTCTTCCGATGTGGTGAATTAGATCCATCCAGTCGATATGACCGCATGCTGCTGCTGCTATCTTCAACTCCTTCAACTGCCTGCCGCATGCTTCATAGCATTTGACTACTAGCTGGTAATGATCCTGGGTTTTAATTAGAGGTCCAATCCACGAGAGTAATTCAATGCCTGGTCATACTTGGTCAACAATCTACCTTACATATATCTGCTGTCGAGGGATTCACCTCTAAATTGACTCTCAAGCGATGCCCTGCAAACGCCCCAGAATCGGCCCAACTGCTTCACATAAAACCCACCTCTACGCCACGCCATCTTTACCGCTTCCTCAAGGATCTCGCGAACAACAACTTTCGTAGGACGACTCAATATATCAGTCTTCGTGAGAACCTTTACAACAAAAATTTTCACAGACGAATGCAGGTTTGTGTTGGCAGCAATATACAGTTTAAGATTCTGATCTATACCATTCGCAGAAACGGTAGTTCCACCTTTCTTCACATCGCAGAGATATGCGACGCCTTTCAGATAAGCCTGCAGCAGCTTGAGGATGTTGCCTTCGTCTTCGGCTCTGTTCGCCATTGCAGGGTCTTCTACATTAACGTCTGGATCATGGTTGCTCTCGTCATGATATTCACCGAATGCTCTGAGGAAATTCGCTTTTGTGTAGAAGTCGGTCTCGTCGGCGGCCCATTTGGGGCGAGGGCCGGCCGGAGGGGATTGAGTAGTTGATTTCATCTCTCTCTCTTTTGTCAAGTTTCTTTCTGTTGCTAACTCCGCTGCTGTATCACATGTATTAACCTCCGCTGAGATGTAGAAGAGGGTCTAAACTCTTCGAATTCATGATTTTGGGAATAGTACGGGTTGAAATGAATCTAAGGAAGCCGATGATAGAAACCCTCGTGCATAGCCATGGAAGGGGGTGGAAACCCAAAGACAGACAGTATGCACATATGCATACCTACAGTAACTGCCGCAGATGTGACTGGTCCTGACTCGCAGCGGTCAACTTGCAAGGAGTAAACACAGCGAGGCTGAGTACATTTGGGGCATACTCGTGATTCGTTGCTAATTCCATAACGGTATATTCAAATTCACTGATAGAATTGGAACAATATATTCGTTTGTGTATAGGGGAACACTCATCTCAAGTTCGCAGAGCCAATGTCAAAGCCTTGAGTAAGAGTTAGGGCTAGAGCTAGGGCTAGCCTCTTCCCGTGCCTACATGATACAACACTTGCACATAAGAGAGACAAGAGAATTGCTCAGCAGATTCGAGCTTACTATCAGATCGAGTTTCATTGACATTCATATTTCGAGTGCCATCGTATCATCATGTCCAAGTCATATTCTAGAACATCGAATTTATACTTCAACATGCACCAGGGTTAGGGTCAACGGCAAGCTCCGTCGCGCTTGTCAGAAAAAGGTGCATGCCCGGACCCACGTTACATCTCTTCAAAAGCTTTAAAATGAATTAGAGAGGACTTAGAGTATCAAGTACGTAATGTTTTACCTGGAAGGAAGCCGAGTGGATGGCATAGCATAGGATGTGTTCTCTGTTGAGTCTGTTCAGAAGCTGTAAGCCATCCTGACTCAGCTTGTATGCTGTCTATTGCATTGCCTCCGATTTCGAAGATATCTTTATCACTGGATGTCTTCGTTCTTACAGTATTTTGATCGCATACATAGACGTCGTGGGTACCAGCTCAGAGTCTAATGGAAAGGATGTTAGGGCTAAAGTTGTTTCGGGAAGGAGTATCCTAGTGTCTTTTTCCGGCGATCTCTGAATGTCTGAATGTCATATCAACACTTCACGATGACTCACTGCTGTTGTGCAGACTCGACGCGAAATGGAATAGTAGTCTGTGAGACGGAGTTGCAATGTTAGAAAGAAATTTTCTCCACTTCTACAGGTACTCGTGTGTCTGTCAAATACACACTGTACGAGGTCGGGAGAAAATTTGCAGAGGCAAAAATGGGTGGATACCTAGGTACCTGCGAACCACCGAACCAGACAATTCCAAGGACACAGATCTTTTTTGTATGAGAATTTTTACTTTTCGCCGTTTGTGTGATTGAGTAATGAAAATATATTAGCTCTCGTCGTGTTTCTGATTTTCTCTTCTTTTTCCTTCTTCCGGATCGATTGAGTAATAGTATTGAGGGCTGGTGTACTGTTTCGCCTGCATCTGGTGCTAAGGCCGAACACCTGCATATACGATCCTTCTTATACAATCTATTCCTCAATTCAGACAGATTCACAGAATCGCTGGGATGGCTTCCGACAAGGTCGAAATCGCTCCCAAATCCAATAACGACAAGTTCATCACTGAACCCATCGTGGCCGAGCCTCACTCCGACTCAGGAAGCAACGGCCACGATGGCATGCACGATGTCGAGAAACATGGCGCTAATAGGGAGTCTCTCCCGTTGCCTGACTTGAAGCGCAAGCTCAAGAGCAGACACTTGCAGATGATTGCCATTGGTTTGTCTTCTATCCTCGTCGGTCGCGACTTTCATACTTATATGTGCATCTAGGTGGCACAATCGGAACTGGTCTCTTCATTGGTAGTGGAACCGCCATCGCAAATGCCGGTCCTGCAGGCGCTCTCATCGCATACCTCTTTGTCGGCTCTATCGTCTACTCAGTCATGACCTCTCTCGGAGAAATGGCCACCTACATCCCTATTCCCGGTGCTTTCACATCTTACGCTGCGCGATTCGTCGATCCCAGTCTGGGTTTCGCCATGGGTTGGATCTATTGGTTTTCATGGGCTATTACTTTTGCATTGGAATTGACAGCGACGGGATTGATTATTCAGTACTGGGATCAGTCCATTTCTATCGGTGTTTTCATCGCCGTCTTTTGGGTCTGCATTACTGCCGCCAATTTGCTCCCCGTCGGCTTCTATGGTGAACTTGAGTTCTGGCTCTCGACGGTCAAGATCATCACTATTGTCGGATTCATGCTTTTCGCTATTTGCATTGACGCCGGCGCCGGCCATCGCCCATACCTCGGATTCCACTATTGGCACGATCCGGGTGCCTTCGCGCCCCATCTCCTCGAATCTCAAGGTGCCACGGCGAAGTTCGTCGGTTTCTGGGCTGTCTTGATTCAAGCCGGTTTCTCGTACCAGGGCACGGAGTTGGTTGGTATCGCAGTTGGTGAATGCGAAAACCCTCGCAAGACTATGCCTTCTGCTATCCGCAAGACCTTCTACCGTATCTTGCTCTTCTTCGTCCTTACTATCTTCTTCATTGGCTTGTTGGTTCCTTACACTAACGACCGTTTGGCTGCCGGTGGCTCAGACGCTTCTGCATCGCCCTTTGTCATTGCCGCCGATCTTGCTGGTGTCAAGGTTTTGCCTGGTATCATCAACGGTGTTTTGTTGACCGTGGTCTTATCTGCAGCCAACTCTAATGTGTACAGTGGAAGCCGTATTCTTATCGGTCTGGCTCAAGAAGGCTTTGCTCCCAGATTCCTCAAGACGACCTCCGCCAAAGGTGTGCCCTACTACGGAGTCGCCGTGACTTCTGCCATTGGTCTTTTGGCTTTCTTGAATCTGTCCAACAACGGCAGCACGGTTTTCAACTGGTTCGTCAACATCTCCGGTGTCGCCGGGTTCATCAGCTGGTCCGTCCTTAACGGATGCCACATCGCCTTCATGCGCGCCCTGGCTGCGCGCAACATTTCCCGAGATCTGCTCCCTTACAAGGCCATGTGGCAGCCCTTCTTCGCCTGGTACGGCCTCTTCTTCAACGTCCTCATCATCCTGACCCAGGGATTCACCGCATTTATCCCCACATTCGACGTCTCGAGCTTCTTCGTTGCGTATATCAGCTTGATTCTGTTTGTGGTGCTGTATCTTGGTCACAAGATTGTCTTCCGTACCAAGTTTGTGAGCCCTATCGATGCGGATCTTGACACTGGACGGACTGAGCCAGATAATGCTGTTTATGAGTCGCAGGAGCCGACTTCGTTCTGGCAGAAGATTTTTTAACTAGTCTCGTGTAGACCATGTATAGAACGGGGTGATGATAGATAATGTTTTGATAGATAATATGAGGATTATGAGTTATTAAGCAACGGACTTCTCAATAAACATGTGTACTGGTCGTATCGAAATGCTAGCGCTAGACCCTACCTGAATCTCAGCCTTCGCTAAACAAAAATCTGTCCCTTTTCAGCGCTTCGATGCCTGGTGCCAGAAGCTCGTCTCTGGGCTTGAATCCTTGACGATAGATTGCTCAAAAGTCAAGTATTTGATTGAATATTTAGATTGTTAGTTACTTTTACTGTTTGATAATTTCTGAATGACTGCATCCCCAGCTATCAGTAGGAGACATGGGTATATTAGTCTACCCTTTGTCCATCCCGTTGTATGTCGGTTCGTCCGCAAGGACTAAATAATCAACGTGTGTGTCGATGTCGGTATCTCCGACTTTAGGGTTACATATATGAGATTATTTAGGCATGATAAGTGACTGTGTCGTTAATCAATCTAATGCTTCCATATCACTCTTTTCTAGAAAATAAAACAAAAGGTATTGGGCAGTGAAGCTCCTTAACACTATAGAAGTCACGCCTCGATTCACAGCTCTATACTACAACATGAGGTACGCTAGGGTCTGGTGGAGACAGTTATCGTTTACGGTAGGGCTGAAGAGTTGGCGGCGATGCTCAAGGACAGCGTCATCGGTTTTAAGGTGAAGGGGCCTGTTGGCAGTCATGGGGGAGATGGGGAAGTCTTTGAGGATATCTTTCATGGAGAGGATACATGTTGGGGAAGAGTATACTAGAGCTTGGTTGCGTCGAACAAGTCAGTTAGCTTTGTATCTTGCTTGAGGACTGTGTAACAGGTATGGCACTTGGCTTTCCGCAACTTTAGTACGATGGCTGGCAAAATCGATGATGGTGGTATACAGATTTATGGGTCTATATTGACATATCTACGGGTACTAGGGCAGTCAATATAACTGTGTTCTGAGAATAGGTGTTTTTACATCAATCCGGATTAATTTGATATCTGTCTTTCAAATGGCGCAAATTATGAGGAACATGGAACCAATGAAATGGGTAATTAGGGCTAGCTCAGGATCGTGGAGTAAGGGGCTGGCCTTTGTTTATCGACACGTACATATCCCCGTCGGCCTGACCGATCAGGTACCCCATGGGGCATATCTACTTCTTAAATGTATACGGAGTACAATTGTATCGGTCGCGCCGACAGTTACATGGTGTTTTCGCAAGGCTTTACATCATTTATCGCCTCGTATCTGATCATTCAAATGTCACTATTGACTCACAAGGTGGGCGATCATTAGTCTTAGGATTGTTTTACGGTGCATAATCTCACTTCCAGGTGAAACATTGGAAAGAAAAAATGAGCAGCATGACGCAGAATTCTGCTCTAAGTAACGATAAACTGCTCCTCTTCTTTCCAAAAGACCCTGACACGGAATGGATTAAGAAGACCACAACACAGTATCCCGGTTTAGAGGTCAGGTGGATCAACTCAGTCAAGGAAGACGGGACTTTTGTCAATGAGAAAGATCTACCGGCCGACTATTGGGAGGATACGACATTGCTGTTCGTCGACTACCTTCCGCCACCGGCTGAACTCATCTCTAATGTGAGATTTGTCCAGCTTGCAGCTTCTGGTGCAGATGCATGGCTTGGTCATCCTACATACCTCCGGAAAGAGACGATATTCTCGAACGCTAGCGGATTATATTCGTAAGTTATCACATTCGAGCAAAATTTGTACTGGTCAGTCCCTGATAAAGTCTTAAGACCTCAAATAGCCGAATGGGTCATTGGCACCTGGCTCATGAACCAACGGCAATTTTTAAAGTATCAGAACCAGGGCGACAGAGGGCCTGGTCCATTCTCAAACGTCGAGAGCTCATACAAACTTCGGATGTGAGTCCCTGATCGTGTAAAAGGCATCGAGCTCACATTAACTAGGGGCATCCTTGGATATGGATCGATTGGTCGCCAATGTGCGCGGATAGCCAATGCGATGGGAATGGAGATCTACGCCTATACTCGTAGCGAACGTAAGACACCAGAGTCCCGCAAAGACAACACTTACCGCCAGTTTTGCGTGCCTGGTACTGGAGATCCAGAAGGAATAATCCCTTCTCGATGGTTTCATGGGGCCTCCAAAGAAGATATCAACACTTTTCTCGCTCAAGATCTCGATATCTTAGTGATCAGCTTGCCGCTGACCAAGGACACGGAGAATGTCATTTCCTATAAGCAATTCGAAATTTTGAGAAAAAAGAGAACATTCGTGTCGAATGTTGCCCGTGGTCGACATGTTGACTCCCAAGCCTTGATTGAAGCTTTGGAAAAGGGCCAGATTCGGGGAGCTGCTTTGGATGTTACTGACCCTGAGCCACTGCCCAAAGAGCATCCGCTGTGGAACGCGCCCAATGTGTATATCACACCGCATATCAGTTGGATCACGAAAGATGTCTGGAACGGAGGTTTACAGTTGTTGGAAACGAACCTAGAGCGGCTGAATAATGGCGAGCCATGCATCAACTATCTTACCAGGAGCAGTGATACATAAGCCATAGTTAGTTGTCAATAAAAGTCCTAGTCAATCAACTGTGGGGTTGCAGTATTCAGGACGTATAAAGTATGACTTCATCCTCAGGCCGACACTAGTCCATACATAGAACTCTCGCCGAAGCACTGGCGATGTGGCTCTGGCGAGGAGAGAGAGCGATTCTTGATGCCGAGTTAGATGATAAATGGCGGGTGACGGAGCCTTCACATGAGACGGAGCGATGAGGAGGAGGGGGGGACCTGGGGAAGGGACAGTGATTTAGCCACTTTCATCCAATCAGAGCAGGTGATATGTCACCCGCTAAGCCATTTACGGATAAAGCCGAGGCATGTCAGACCGTAAAGCGTTCTGATTGGCTGCAAGCGGGCCTGCAACGGGGATGTGGCACATGCTTCGCTCCTTCCTTGCTTAAACAAGCACTTTCCGCCGGCTATCTCCATTGACCCCATCTTTGCTTGACAACAGCCTTCATACGTTCTTTGACTGCTACTCCTTTTCTTCTCTTCTGTGTATATATTCACAATAGTGTCATTTCATTCGATCTGCCATATCTCCACATCTTTTCCTTTTCGTTTGCCTTTCTTATCTTTGTGGTGAGCTCATTTGTTCAGTGTTCAATTGAGGTAAGCTATTTTTTTTTTTTTAGCTGAGCTAGTATCCCGCCTGCAGAAGAGCTGAACCCTGACAATCACCAATGAATCCAGTGAAAAAAACAACAATCCAACATGCTTTTCTCCAAGCCCGTACATATCGCCAAAGCGGAGGAGCTCCGCAAACCTCCCCCAAAAGGTTCCCCTTACTCTGTACCGATTCCAGGCTCAGCGCAGCCCGGTCGAAGTCCCGTCTATCGAGCATGGAACCACTCACACGAGCTCCTAACCACGCTTGATCCAGCAGTATGTTTTCCTTGTCCATAAATCAATGGCCTGTGGCAATGTGGCTGACGACGTGATAGGTGACTACCCTACATGAGATGTTCGAGTCGACCGGTAACTTTGCACTTCTGTACCATTTGGGATGCTCTTTACTGATGAAATGATTAATAGCCAACCGCATACCCAAAAGTCGGTGCTTGGGCCTACGTCCGTATGATCCGAAAACCAAATCCTTCGGTCCCTACCAGTGGCAGGACTACCAGACCGTTCAACGACGACGAGCGAACCTAGGAGTGGGTCTCGTGGAATTACATAAAAAACATGGCCATCCCGGAGGAAAGCATGGTGTTGGACTTTGGTGCCAGAACCGGCCGGAGTGGCAGATTACAGATCTTGCGTGCACCTCACAGTCGCTGTTTTCTGTCTCGCTCTACGACGTATTGGGCGCTGATACAACCGAATATATCATCAACCACGCTGAATTAGCATGCATCGTCACATCTCTCCCACACATTCCCACCCTTATCAAAATGAAGTCGAGACTACCGAGTCTCAAATTTATCGTCTGCTTGGATCCGCTTGATGGAAACGAGCAACCAGGCCTGTCGAAGCGTGCTCTATTACAGGAAATGGCCAGTGGCTCCGACTTGACAATCTATTCACTAAACGAAGTGGAGGAGCTAGGTGCATCTCTCAACCGCCCCTACAATCCACCTACTCCCGAAGACATCGTCACTATCAACTATACCTCGGGGACTACAGGACCCCCTAAAGGCGTGGTATTGCTGCACAAGAATGCTATAGCGGCCCTTTCCGTCAGCGTGATTGTCACCAAATGGAGCAACAACGACGTCACGCTTTCGTATCTCCCGCTTGCCCACATTATGGAGCGTCTTATTGAGCAAGCGTCTTTCTGGGCTGGCGGTGCTCTTGGTTACTATCACGGAGAAATATTGGAACTGGTCGATGATTTGAAAACGTTACGTCCAACAGCCTTTGTGTCGGTGCCACGACTTTATACCCGGTTTGCTGGTGCAGTTCGTACCGCAACTGTGGATGCCCCGGGCGTTAGAGGGGCACTGTCAAGACATATCTTGAGCACCAAGTTGGCAAATCTCGAAAACCCAGACACGACTAACGCGACCGAGAAACATGCCATCTATGACCGCATTTGGACTCGCAAAGTCGCCAGTGCTCTGGGTATGGATCGGGTCAAAACTTTGGCGACTGGCTCGGCACCTTTGGATCCATCTATTCAAAACTTCATGCGAGCTGTCACGGGAGCATCATTTGTGCAGGGCTACGGTCTTACTGAGTCATATGCCATGGCTCTCGTGCAGAACATGGAAGATCGCTCCGTCAATAATTGTGGTGCTATCTCGCCAGGTGTCGAGGCCTGCTTGGCGTCTATCCCTGATATGGAGTACTCTGTGGACGACAAGCCGTTCCCCCGCGGAGAGTTGCTGCTACGTGGAAACCACATTTTCCGCGAGTACCTCAAGAATCCTGAGGAAACAGCTTCTGCCTTTACTGAGGATGGCTGGTTCCGTACTGGTGATGTCTGCACGATTGATGAGCTGGGCCGGTTCAGAATCATTGATCGCCGCAAGAATGTCCTCAAGCTGGCACAGGGTGAATATATCTCTCCAGAACGTCTGGAAGGTATTCTCATGGCTCAGCACACATATTTGGCTCAAGCCTATGTGCACGGAGACAGTCTGCAGACATCATTGGTTGGTATTTTCGGAGTACAGCCGGACACTTTTGCTCCGTTTGCTAGTAAAGTTTTGGGTCAGGAGATCAGTCCCACCGATTTGGCTCAAATCAAGTCAGTCTTGGATGACGACCGGATCAAAAAGGCAATTTTGAAGGATTTCGACCGAACTGCGAAGAAGCACAAGCTTGCTGGATATGAGCGAGTACGAAAGTTCACTTTGATGATTGAACCGTTCACTATTGAGAATGAGCTTTTGACGCCAACGTAAGTTCTTTACTTCCCGCTTTTACAACTTGTCTAATTGTCTGCAGATTGAAAATGAAGCGTCCTCCTATTGTCAAGAAGTTCCGCGCGCTACTTGACAACATGTACGCTGAACTTGCTGAAGAGCAATCCGCTCCAAAGGCCAAGCTTTAAGCCTTGGTCATTTGCATTGTTCCGGTTGAATTATTGCATTCTTATCAAGGCTGCGTGTCTACGAATTCCTGTACATTTTAGTGCCATGTAGAACCCTTTTGTATGAATTTGTGTATCTATACCATTAGCCAAAATCATTCTTTTGCAACTGTTCGGAATCGTAACCCTAACAATCCTCACCGAAGTGTATACGATAGTGGGCCGGAAGGCTTGGCGCTGGTAACCTTAGGAGAAGCTCCCGAAGTTCGACTTCCACCTCATCCGATAACCACGTAGCACAACATTCATCCGGCGCATTGGACATCTTCAGAATGAAGAGCCCTCTGATGCATCTGATAGCCCTGTTATCATCATCAAGCCTCATTCTCCAATCAGCAGCATCCTCGCTCACAATCCAGATCCCCTCCAACAACGTCCTCCCGAACCCCCATGTCCTCCCACCAAACACCCACGCAACGCTGACAACATTACCTTCGTCGTTGTCTCACGATCAGAAACATGTCATTTCAGCACCACTGACTCATAACGCCGAATTCCAATTCACCGATCTACCATCTTCGTCATCGGCCAGCGCGGAATCATATCTCCTCGACATCAGATCGAAAGAATACATTTTCGCGCCGTACAGAGTCGACATTGCCGCCGATGGGACGGTGTTGGGGATCTGGGAAACATTTCGCGGTAATCAATGGGATAATCGAGGATTGGAGCGATATACCAAGTTGAAGAGTCAGGAGGGACTACAGGATATCGATGTGGTTGTGCAGGCGAAGGTTTTGGCGAGACGAGGTTTCTATGAGGAACGGCCGAAGTGTACGCATTTTTCGAGAGAAACTTCTAGCATTATCAAAGCTAATGTGTTGCAGTCTCCCCTCTTGATCTACTCAAGAATCCTATGATCTTGATGTCTGTTTTCGCTCTCGTGGCCACATTGGGTATTCCAAAACTGCTTGAGAACAGTACGTCAAGCCCAGTCCCTCGTCTGAATATCTACTAACGTGACTCAAGTGGACCCCGAAATGCGTGAAGAATTCGAAAAACAATCCCGCTCGGGTCCTCTCTCATCTGCTACTCGCGCTGCGACTGCCAGTGCCAATCCCGGCGCTGGTGCCGGAGCACCTGGATTCGATATCGCCGGCTGGATGGCTGGTGCGACATCTTCGCCGATGAGTGGTGCTGGCGGTGCAGGTTCGGCTACAGGGCGGGAACAGGGTGCTGCGGCGCGGAGGAGATAAACTGTTTGAAAGTGAGAATGCTTATTATCGCGTTTCGACGGCATAGCAGAGCATGCAAGACAAGGAAATTAGTATAGACCTGGAAAGCAACTACGTACACAATTCTATGTCCATCTGAAACTAATATCCAGCCGTCAAAATCTGCTCCATAAATCCTCCAAACTCCCCATCTGGGTCATGAAGATGAATCTCCAAAATCCAATGCATCAAATGGCCACCCTTACCGGGTCGAGTCATTGCCTCATTATTCCCCTTTGTAATATACAGCGTAATCTTGTCCCTGGGAATCCGCTCATGCGGGAAAGAACCAACAATATGTCCAGCTATCGGCGCACCAAACTTGAATCCCGCGTTCTCAGCCGTTTCGCATGCATACGCATAGAGTTCCTCGCCCGTGACACCTGCGTCGCCAGACTTGGTAGCTTGCTGCTTGTAATACCAATCCTTAACCTGAAACCAAATCGGCTCCAAGGCATCCCTCAACCGGATCTTCTTCGGATCATTGCCTAAGACATACGTACGCCCAAAATCGGCTTCCCACTCTTCGAACACGGGACCTAAATCGACGACTAGGATATCATCTTCTTGAACGATACGGTCGGGTGGATTGTCGTCAAAGGGCCGAAGGGTGTTGGGTCCGCTGCGAATCAGGCGTTTGTGCCAGTGAGTGCGTACGTTGAAGCGTTCGACGCCTAGGGCGTGAATTTCGTCGCTTATGGTCTTTTCGCTTACGCCGGGCCGGATGAGGGTTTTTTCGATCTCGGTGAAGAGTTGGATTGCTTTTTGTTCGGCGTCGACGAGGGACGCCGCGCGGGCTGCTTCGGTTGTTGCCATTTTCTTTTACACTTTGTGTGAATGTATCTTGACTGAATGAAAGATAGGAAGTTTGAGATTTATAACCCGATAAGTTCGTCGCGATCTATCAGATCTCGAAATCCTGTTGAATCAGGAAACATGGTTGTTTCCGATCCTTTTAAATCATATGTTCGGCTTAAGATCTAGCTTTGTCGGTCACCGAGCGTACCGACTTCTTGTTCAATTGCGTTGAGTCATGTCGTTATCGTCGTCTGTCCCGAGAGGGCTAGTTGGCTATCTCCAAAGCTTCCCCGCGCAAAATGGTGGGGAACTTTCGCGTCCTGTATTTCCCAACTAGGAAAGTATTGGAGAAAATTATTTAGATTAGAAATCAGGGCCATGAGCCGAGAAATTCTGTGGGTTTTGGATTCCGGGTACTCTTTTAAGTATAACACGCGAAAAAGTTTGTTCTAGTAGGGAAATCAATGTCAAAAGTCGAATAAGGTATTCATCAAAACTCCTGGGGGCAGCTACCCTCCACCCTTTCAGAAAGGTGTCCAGCTCAACACACGTCCAAGATGATGCGTAATCGCTTCTCCGAGAAATGGATTTTGTATTAAGCGGTATATAATGTTTCTTCAATTCCTTCATCTCATTCCATCATTCTATACATTTGTACAATGTCTCCCAAAAAGCCGCGCCGTTTTCTTGCAGATGAATTGTCATCCTCGAAGGTTTTGATTGATGATACAGGTACAGCGAAGCTCAGACTGAGATAGAGGAAATACCAGTAGTGATTCTCTGTAGAGTCCGTCATATCAGTCTGTTCCATGGGCTGGTCACCTTAATTTGGACAAGGACTACATACTCTCAGAGTGTCCAGATTATCAACAGACGTAGAAATGTTTGTGGCGGGGAATGCAACGTTTTGCGAGGKGAACTATTTACAGCAAGTGTCAGTTGATGAGGGCTGATTAACAGTGGGCTAAACAAACAATTTGCATGTCGATACTCCGTTCAAGTTGGTTGAGATTGATCAACAAGCCCGGGATATCCATATGGTTTTCGGCGAGAGTTCGAGGTACTGGGTTGCTTGGCAATCGATGGAGTGGTAAGAGATCTAAGTTATAGTCAATCTTGGAAGTACAAAACCCGGACATGAGTTTTTATAGACCTCACCTGTCCCAGGCGTTCTCCTTCGTATCTTTCGTTTCACATAAAACCAAAGTTTTATCGACAATGGTACACAAGCGACAAATAGGGTTATCAAGGCGATGATGGTTTCTGTTGGCCAAGCCATCTTAAAAGTATATGCTTTTTTTTAAATAGAAAGTGGAAGAACTTACTCATCCATGGATAGGAGGATGGACAATGGGTTGGAAGGGAGTTTATATATTTCTCTGGTTGTGCCATGATTTGGAAGCTCGAAAGCTTTACAACCTTGCAAGGTCGGAAGTCAACAACATGGAAGGGAAACAATATTATGGAGTCATCCAATAAGCATTTAGGAAAAATTGGGAATGGCGTAAAACGTGCCTGGCAAACTAAATTTGGCTCAGCCAGGCTATAGAATTCCGCATTTCAGATTTTGGAATCATCCAAATGACATGGAAATATGGGAAGATCAGATGCAATTAGGGCATTAGGTAAACTTAGAATGATTTTGAGAATCCTGACGAAACGGCAGACACTAAAGAAACTATAACAGCTCCTGCGTGCTAACAAATGAGATTTTGCATTCGTCCAATAGACATCATAACTTGTGGGCTTAAAACAATGCGGCTGGGGCAGATACGGTTTTTTGGTTTCCTTTCTTTTTTTTCCCACCTTGTCGTGACCGCCAGACAAGTAGATTGAAAAAAGATTTTGGACTCGACCAATGAACTCCTTCTCTACGAGGCTTGGACAGGGATTGGTACGACCAGGCTGCATCGGAAAGACAGCATGAATCGCCTGATATTTCTGGCGCCCGTGATCAGCCTGACTAGAGACCATGACGTGTCTGGCTTTGCGAAATGAGCATGAAGTTCGAGCAGGCCGTAGCTGCATACGCCGTACATTCCAATCTACGGAATTACCTGGGAAGAAAAAGCAATGTGCATTCGAATTTTGGTTTGGGCGAATCAAAAAACTTTGAAGTAAAATCGAATTGTGCAACACACCAATCATGTCGCTTGAGATGCCTCCTACAAATTTCCTGAGAAGGATTGACTCAGAACTAATGCTGGGAGGGAGCCTCCAAATCTTATAAAATCTCACCCATCCTCCCATTATTTCCTATCTTCAGTCACACTGAATTACTACCACCAATAATGTCAACGAAAGCGCCTCGAATTCCAGCGTCGACATGGGACGGCTACAGGGAAGAGATCACTGCTCTCGATACTGATCCGGACGGGACGTTGGAAAAGGTGATGGATACTATGAAGGAAAGACACGGCTTTGTACCAACGTAATGATTTCCTGTATGATGATGCTACTGCAACTTCATTGACAAGTCTGTAGCAAGAGCCAGTATCTTACGAAGTTGAAACATTGGGGTTTGCGGAAATATGCCAATGCCCTTTACTACACGTATGCAGACCAGAAGATAAAGAAGAGAGCCCTGGAAGGCAAGGGTACCGCCTTCAACATTCGTGGGAGGAATATGTCATGTAAGGACATGGAAAGGGAGATTGGTCGAAATACGACCCTTAGCAGTCGTCTGCAACATACGGAAGATATTCCTACCCCTGAAGGTGTACAAGTATTCACTCCTAGTTATGAGGAATTTTCCGAATCCATCACACCTGGGGCGAACATTGCGAACATTGACAACTTGTCGGTGTCTAGCTTACAAAAGTATTTTCAAGCCCTCACTGGTAAGCATTGCCGGACATTGGACTTGATTGTACTTCCTGACGATGACATTTACCTAGTGCACATGCCCCCCAATAATATCTTCCAGTCGACCATTCATAATATTCGAGACTTGCAAACGAGCCAACTCGATGACCTACACAATCCACAATTCGGGGTCAAATTACTTCAAATGGCTATCGGGGATGCCTTGAAGTTTGAAGGCTTGGACATGTTCATTTTCATTCAAGATCCTGATACAGGCAAGCAACAGCGTCGATATATCTCTTCTTATTTCCCCCCCAGTGATACCGAAAATGGCGCTATCTGGTCTCCAGATGGGTATATGGGTCTTGGTATGCTATCTCAGCTTGCCGCTGTGCAGAGATTCTTGCAATATCTTATTTGTTTGACGAACAACGATGCACTTGAAAATGAACATATTTTCAATGCAGTCAACTGGCTTTTGAAAAACTTTGACAGGTCTCTCTTTACTTATATCTTTAATCTCCGGACAACCACGACCAGGATTTTCATGAGAAAAATCTTTCCAGCCTCTGTGAACTCTGGAGACACAAAGCTCGTCGAGGAGATTCTTGAACGAGGGGTTCTTCTGGTTCATTACCACAACCACTACCTACGATTGGTTTTGAAAGATCTATAGGATTCCTGTATGACGATAGCAGCACAAAATCAGGACCAGCCGATGCTACACTTGCTCTGTAGAGCAGGCTTTCTTCCTCGCTTTTACCTACGTGGCAACCTTTCCTGTATTCAAAGTTACTTCTCATGGGACGCACATTTACCAAGGAATACAAATAATTCAGAGATTTTGCGGACCATTATCTCTTTCAACGCAAATACGGATTACACGTTCATAGGCAGGCCAATTTCTCTTCTAGTCATTGCTGCAGAAGCAGGGAATCTAGAAGCCGTGGACATGCTTTTGAAAGCAGGATCATCAGTCAATGAATATATGAAAGACTACTTTGGGACTCCGTTACAAGCAGCAATACACACGGCGCAGTTTAAAATGGCCAAATTTCTGATCGAAAATGGAGCAGAAGTCAATGTTCCGTATGCTGATCAGAACAAGCATGACTGGTCAATCACTTATAAGTTGACTACCAAGAACTGGGAAAAGCACAACTGCGTCGCCAAAACGCCGATTCAAATTGCTTGCGAGTTGGACAATATTCCAATGGTTGAGCTACTGTTAGGCCATGGAGCGCTTGTTGACCGCTCTCCACTCTCTCATTTGAAGGCCGAAGATATGCCCGAGACTGCAGATCTCAAGTCCATATATGATGACTCGATTTGCTATTCTCCAAATTACCAGACCATCCCGTATCATACTGCACTCCAATACAGCGTTCAAAACAGAAACATGTTCCTCGTACGCCGCCTTCTCTCAGAAGGTGCTCATCCTGACTCAAGAGTCCCATCCAACTGGGGAGATACGCCATTGCAGACGGCTGCTCGATTGAATTTTCCGGAGATAATTTCGGTGCTCATTGAGAAAGGGGCCGATATCAATGCCCCTCCTGGAAGGATAAATGGCAGAACAGCTTTACAGGCTGCGGCTGAAAGTGGAAATTTCGAAATGGTGCAGCTACTCCTAGACATGAATGCGGATGTGAATGCCCCTGCGGGATTCAAAAGGGGATTGACTGCTCTACAAGCAGCCATCAAAAACGACCATTCTGAGGTTGCGGCGCTGCTCTTAAGGTCAAATGCTGATATCAATGCTCCACCATCAGAAAAGGAGGGTCTGTCAACCATCGGCGCTGCAATATCAGGAAAGAACATATTCTATCTTGAGTTCTTATTAGAGCGTGTGTCTGGAGATACTATCCTCGGTGGCATGCCTACTATCTGTGCAGCAGCGAAATTTTGCTGGGTCGATGGTGCTCGTTACCTTCTGAAACTCGGAAATAATGTTAACTCCTACTATGTCGGATTTCTTCCAAGTAGTCGACACATTTGGGACGCAATCAGTGCCTTGACCTGGCCGATCGCCAGTCAAAACTTAGAAATGGTGAAACTGCTTCTGGATTCGGGTGCAGAAGTCAACCCCCGTTGCCCCAGAACGCCATCCCTCTCCTCCTCCTCCTCCTCCTCCTCCGACACTCTTTGTTTTGCATTAGAACAAAGATGTCACCATGAAATCATTTTTTTGCTATTTCAGAAGTATGCTGAGTTGGGCCATCTATATCTCCATAAAGAGGCTGTGGCTCTGGGGGTGACTTACGTGTATGACAAACAAGGCAGCACTGTGATATTGAGATTGATACAACGCATCATGTCCGACCTTCCTGAGAAATTACACTCGAAATACATTCTTTACGCATGGAGCCAGTTTTCTATCCACATAACCCAAAATGGTAAGGATGATATCGAGGAAGATCACCTGAAAACGATAATTGATTGGCTATTGGAAGTTGGTGCTGACGTGAATATCGTCGAACCATTTGATAATACGACCATGTTGAAAATGGTAGTCAAGAGCGGGAAAATGAAACTGATTAGATATCTACTCAAGATTGGCGCAGAAATAAAGGTACCGGGTTGTCACTGGATGGACTCCGCTCTCTTCATGGCGATCAAATCTGGGGGATATGAGCTCGCACTCTTTCTGCTGGAAAGAGGCACTATCAGAGGCGCTTCTAGGGCACTCGCAGTAGCGGCAAGGACAGGTAATATTAGAATTGCAGCAGAGCTTCTTCGACGCAGAGCACATGTCCCTGCAGTTACTCCACTTTCATATAACACAATGGCGATAAACAACGCTGCACTGTTTGGCCGAGAAGACATGCTGCAACTACTCCTGGATCATTATGGTGGTCTTCACGATTTGTGGCAAGTCTGTCAAGAAGCAGCAACTCATGCAGAGAAATTCCGTCATCCGGAGATCGCTGAGTGGCTTCGAGGATATGCAGTTCCAATGTATAAGAGCGACGCACAACCTTGAAGGTACCTAAGTACCCGGATAATAAAAGCCCTTTATAAATTGAGTCTACAGGGCGCAAGAATTGAACGATGATGAGTTGTCTGACTGAAAAACGAAGCCAACTACTTAGGAAGTGATTTCGACATTGCAGAATCATTGGACTAAGAGAGGTAATGAGTTGGTAGTTACATTTGTATGTATTTTGGTTTTATTGAGGAACTTAATCAAAGCAGAAGTTAGACTACTAGACAAAACCGAGGCCCCGTTATACATGTGGGATGGTACTTTGATGGTATATATACAGTGGGATGAAATAAGTGTCCGCACCCCCCTAGTACCCGCACAAAGGGTGCGAACACTTAGTTCGTGGTACTGTAGGTACACGTGGACTTGTCAGTGACTTCTATAATGGTCTGAGGAGGCACTTTTAGACACTAAAAGATGATCCCTGAGTACAATATGTCCTAAACAATTCCCAGAATGTTAAGCACAGGAGTCTCGTCGTCGTCGGACAGATAGACATATACATCCATAAGTCTCCAAATTCGGTAATTCCAGATTTGGTCGAAATCAGATATCTCTGTGTACGCAATGTTTAGAGATCACGTTCATAATATTTAATATATCATTTCAACTCATCGTAATTGTTTGCCATCGCTCGAAAAGGAAACCTATGAATATGCACTGAATGAAGCAAAGCAGGTAAGGTATTCGTCATAACAGGATCATAGCAACAACTTCATACATGAAGCAAAACGCAAAGCTATCAGAGCAACAAAAGAGTATGAGATGATGCAAGAAGACTAGAAGACTAAAAATCACCACCACCGAAGTCATCACCGCCACCGTTATCATAACCATTATCATAACCCTGGTCATACCCCTGCTGATATTCGGACTGATCATGATCCTCAATAGCGTCTGTAATCAAAGCACCAGCAAGCAGACCACCGCCAATACCCAATGCAGCAGTGCCGGCTGTACCTAGACCTCCTGATTTCTTAGGGGGTTGCTGTGCATAGCCCTGTTGCGGGTAATATCCTTGTTGAGGTGGATAGTAGCCTTGTTGAGGGGGGTAGTAACCTCCCTGAGGCGGGTAACCTCCGTATCCCTGAGGAGGAGGTGGTGGCGAACCATAACCTCCATATCCACCCTGCTGAGGCGGGTACTGTCCCTGGGGAGGAGGAGTGTTGTATTGCTTATTTGACGATTTGCCAAGCAGTTTGCCCAAGAAGCCACGGCTACCCGACGACGACTGCTGTTGCTGCTGATCATATCCGCTAGATGAAGTAGGTCGAGGCGGAATAGGAGGTTGTGACAGATTATTGTTTGAAGAGTTGTTATAATACCCCGAATTCTCCCCACGATCCCGATTGCCGCTAGCACGCGCATCTTCTTCGGCTTGTAGTTGTGCAGCGAGTCTAGCGTCATCTTCCACGCTTTGACGGCTTGATGCGCCACCAGCACCGCCGGAGCTATAAGGATTGTTGGATGCTAGATGAGAGGTCTTTTTCTCATCGCGAGCTGCTTCTGCGGCGATGGCGGGGTTCGCTGGGCCAGAGTCATGGTATGATGGTGGCGCACCGCTGTCTGGTGGTGCGGGGTGGTCGTGTTCTTCTGGGGGTGTCCATTGAGAGACGCCTGTTTTGAGGTTGACGAAGTACCTGTTAAAATCAGTACATTGGATTGCAAGAAAAGATTATTGAGATGCGTACCATGATTTGTAGCGGTCGTCGAACTGGGCCTTCCAACCTGGTGGGACAGGCGGAGGCGGCGGTCCTGGAGGAGGGGCAAAAGACATGGGGTAAAAGTTGAAATTGGCGAGGGAGTAGGTTGTGAGGACAAGTTGAACGACTGATTGATGATGAGTGAGTAAATTTTGGAAGATAGATTCTTCAGGTCTGTCCAACTATTTATGAGAGAGAAATCGTACCTGCCTGGCTGTGGCGATGCGTGTGGAAGTCGGGTAACTTAACGTAGAGAACATGACGGAATCAGCGGCAGCTTCTAGCTCAACGGCTTGGCGGTTACACAGCCACATCTCCTTATCTGGATACGCTCATTATTTGTTATATTATATTGTATTATTTACATTGGTTATTGGATATCTTCTGTTGATTGGAGTATCAGATACAAGAGAGCCCAGCCACAAGATATAGATAGTCGTAGTACCCCTGATATCATAAGCATATTCAAGCTCCTACTACTCCAACTACTCTGAATCCCGGATGTTCGGGTCTATTTCACCACTATCCGGAAACCAATAATCCTCTGCAGCATCATCCGAATCCTCTTCTTGCTTCATCTGCTTTCGCGCATCATTTTCGTCGTCAGTGTCTCCAGTAAGGTCGATACAAATGGGAGGCTTGGCCGACACGCGAGATGCTTTAACTGGCTTGACATCTTCCTCTTCATCGCTGCAGAGGTTAATTACATGATCTTTGATGTTGTCTTTGACCCGATGTTTCTTCTTTGGCCGGTAATGAGAACTGTCTTTTCGCTTAAGCAGGCTCGTATCGCGATTACGAACTTCCGCAGTCTTCCTCAGTTCATCAACCGTATGGTCGCCGGCAGGTAAACTGCCTCTGCCTTGATCGAGCTGCAAAGCCTGTATTTCTGCAATCAGTGGCGTTATTGCTAGCAAATCTTTGGGTGTTTCGTCTGGCCGAGCCCAAGCGGCATATGGGCCCTGGTAGGCTGGTCCTTTGCCGACCCCATAACGAGGATGCTGAATGAGTTGTCCGGTCTGTAAAAGCAATTTTCCAATCGCTTTTCCGGAATCGGAAGGCGCCGATAGCTCAGTGTCGCGTGGGATTTCGTAACGCAGTTGCTCTACGGGATCTGAACTCAAACCTGGCTCAAGGATATGAATCCCCCCAGCGGCATCCCCGATGAGCAGTGTCGACTTGTCTGGCGACCAAGCGCCTGACATGATTTCATCCTCAATCACAGCAACGTCTCGCACGTATACATCTTCAGGTGCGCGGCGGATGTCCCATGACCGGAGAACACCATCAGATCCGCCTGTGATAAACTCGTCAGACCCATTACCCCACAAAGCAACACGAACCCCGACATCTGCTTGTTCTCTCGTGAGTTCCTCGTCAAGCTGATTGATGGCGTCCCCATGACAGAGTCTGTGCAGTATCTCGGACGGCTTTCGGAAGTCCCATACGTAGGTAATGCCATCAGTGCAACTAGCCGATATGTGCAATCGATCCACGGGACAAAATGAGACGTCGTTAATATCAAGAGCCGGGCAGTCAAACTCAATGGCATACCTCGGCTTGTTTGACGGCTCATAGATTCGCACCAACGACCGAATGTCTCTGCCCCTTCCGTTCGTGCCTACCGCAGAGACTGAGCTACCAGTCGCAAACCAGGGAAGGAAAGGATGAGATTTCACGTCGAAAATATTCTGCGCATTTGGTTGTAATGGTACGGGTACTAAGGAGTCTTGAGCTACCTTCCACGCGGCCAGCAAGCCTTCCCGACATGCATCTCCATCATAATAACTTCTGCCAGAGAAGCCAGCAACGAGTAGATCCTGAGTGAGGGGCGACAAACCCCACGCTAATGATGAAGGTGTGAAGTCGGCTTCTTTGATTGCACGGGGATTTCTTGTGAGGCGTTGCGCCATGTAATCCAAATCGAGGCATGTTTGGTTAAAACTATCAAGATGCCACAAGTGCAAAGTTGAATCTGTTCCTGTTGCAAGTGGGCTGGCGATTGACGGTGACCGCGCCATGATTTGAACCTTGTGGTTATGTCGAAGGGTCACCTGACAGCTTGCATCAAGGAACGACGACACATCCCAAATCTTGACAGTCTTGTCATAGCTAGATGTGTAAAGAATGTCGTCGAACCATTGCACAGCTGTAACACTCATATATAAATGAGAGTTGTTGTGGTTTGCGACAGGGTACGGTTCACGATGGTCCGGCAGCTCCTTGATGGTTTTTCGCGTGTAATCACCCAGTATCAAATTGTTGGACCGGTTGTACTGCATATTGTGCTCGTCGCATTGCGCCGCTGCACCTACAGCAAATTTGCTGCCATCGGGGGACCAAGCCAAATTCAGAACATCGTTAGATGCTCCTTTCCATGTGAGAGTTTTCCGCAAGCTATACTTTTCAGTTAAAGACTTGGGCCATCTATTAAGTGCCGACGAACGGTGTTCGCTCCTCCGTATCGAGGCATGTTCTTGGCTAGCACTGACATAGTACGGTCTTGCTGGGATATTCCCCAGTCTCGCGTCCACAAGAAATGCCTGTATATCTGCCTCATAGCGCCTGCTAAGGGCTCCTGCCAGTGAAAGTAAATGTGATGTTTGAGCAAATGTGCTTTTCTCCGATAGCATCTCATGACACAGGTTGTCGATCAACGGGTCCGCAGAGTCCGCAACCTGATATGCAATGAGATTATCAAAGCCTTGCAGGTTGAGAAGCTTTTGGAGTCGCATCATTTGAGGTAATCTCCTCAGAAACCCCTGTTCCAAACGACTGCTGTGTATTGATTGGACAATATGTATGACCTGATCCGCCTGGCTCATTTCAGACAAACGTGGGTCAACGCTGTAAGGTGTCAATAGCCCAATGACAGCCGATACTTCATCTTCGCTGAATGAGACGTGGAGCAGGGAGATGTGCCGGTTGTTTCTGAAATGGCGCGCGTAGCTAGAGGGCTTGGTTTGCGGTAAATAGGGAATCATGTCAGGAAGATTAGGTATATCTTGTACTTTAGAAAATCCATGTCGAATAACGCGAATTCCTTGAGAGTCAAAAATGACACGGAATCTCCTTCTTTCCGGCTTTCTGGGGGTAGGTGGCACTACGGAACACGAGTTGCGATCAATAGACCTTGATCGTGGTTGCGATTCAGACCTGGTTTCTTCCTCGCCCCCAGACACGTATCCTGAATAGTTGGTATTGGAGTAATAATTGTCGACCTGAGTCCTGGACCGTCTCGAGCGAGAGACAGCACTTTGTTGGGGTGTCGAGCTCTTAGCATGTTGGTTGCTGCGGTGAAAGCCAGCCGAGTTATCGTGTGTCGTATGACTCGTCTGAAGTCCTGAACTTTGTCGTGCGTCGGCTGATAGTCCACCTGGGGATTCCATTGACGATCCCGCTTGTGGTCGTCTGCTCACTACATTCTGAACAGGTTGCGAGTTATCCAAGTCATCAGACTCTACTCGATTCTTCTTAGGCCTCCCTCTTGGTCTCCGCGGAATGTTATGTTGTTGCGAACCCTCAGAGTCCACCAGGTCAATTATGGGAGAACCTTTCGGCGGTCTGCCTCTTCGTTTCGGTGGGGTTGCTCGGTATCCAATGTTTGAGAACAAAGCTGAAGGTTCTTTGTTGATCGGCGGTCGATGATGGGATTGAAATGTAGAGAGCAGATTCTCTGCATCTTGGTCTTCGTCCGAGCTGCTCATATCATCGTAATTTCATGGTTTTCTGAATAGGTAAGGAGGAATGATATTCGGTGAAGTGAGACGGTCGTCGTATGCGCCAAGTGACTTGTGCTTCAGATTTAATTCAAATGTAGGCTGAGCACGTATCAGTGAGATGAGAAATAAGTCAGAATCATTCACCACGAGATTTTTCACATGGTAATGAGTCTCTCAAGTTGAAAACGAAGTAGAATATGGATATCGCAAGTCTCTGGAGAAGACCAACCAAGAGAACGCCACTAATTCAAGTCGAAATTGGAGATGGATCGCTAAGTCAGATGGATCGCTAAGTCCAAAAAGTGGCAGTTCGCTAAAGAGGAGGGTAATAGTGAGAAAGGGAAGAGAAGGGAAAAGTAAGTGGAACGTAGTGAGAGAGTACTGTATGATAACAATATCCAGACGAGATGGCCGTCGCGGAAGGAAAGCGCGTCGCCCACACGCCAGGCGCAGACGCATGTGCTCTCAGCATAACCCACGTTGTTCTCGATGAGGCAAAACGGCTTCTTCAGGAGTCATATTAGAGCAGGTACCTGAACGAGCAACATGTATCAAGACCTCTTCGATTCTAGCAAATTTCCACTTACAGGTTGGAAAACGCGCCCTACAGTTAGGTGTGTAATTCATATCTGGGTGATAAGTTCTTACAAAAATAGGGGGTCTTTTAAGGAACAATGTTATCATTGCCGGGAACGTGGTCTAGTGGTATGATTCTCCCTTTGGGAAAAAGTCTAGAATGGGAGAGGCCAGGGGTTCGATTCCCTTCGTTCCCCTCAACTTTTTTATCCGCAAACCTAGCTACTTACAAGTGCCTTTTTATTTATTTTATTTAATTTGTGAAGGTCAAAATTAATTATATAAACTATAACAGAACGAAAAAGGTAAAATACCTAACAATTACACACGTCCATCTGTAGCTTAATCACAGCCTTGGGGAACAATGCTGGTTATAATTGCAAATAGAGGTTACTTTATACCTTATGACAGACTGTACAAACCTCCAAAATAATATAAAGCAATAAAATAACTAGCAAAAGCGTAACAACAAGCGGTCCCATAATATACAGTCCGTAGCATCGGGTCTACCAAGGGCAGACTCTCGGATTGGAACTACCTAGGCCCCTAAGTCCCCAAGACTACTCTTCGGCATTCATCTCATATTCTTCAATGCTACGCAGTGTCCTCCCTTTCTGACTCCATCATTACATAGAAAATGTGTATTGATAAGAGAGCTCATTAGATACCATAGAAAAATGTAGACTATACCAAGAGGATTTATACAGCAAATTCGTGCATAAGGAATGACAGAGGAGACTGACCACATTTCAGCACAAGAACAAAAGTCCCGAGGAGTCGTGTGCAGTAATTTAAAGGGAGATATATTGCAAAGGACCAAGTGGATTACCTACAAATCGTTAGGGATAGATAGAATGCCAAGCTGGTGGTGCTATTCGAATTCAAGAMCCTCTCTCTGCTTCTGATACAGGCAAGCCGTAATTTTGACCTACAGGAGTTGGTGTAAGGAGTCTACGTAGAATCTCGCGTGTGACATCGTCGAGCCAGTCGGCAGTGTTGATGCCCGAATAGGTATCATACTTAATCAATCTCTTTGGGCGGTAGAAGATGCCGAAGATGTGCTACCCTCCGGATTTTAAAGAAAGTGGACCCAACAAGACCAATTCATTGATATGGTCGTATGATCCTGCAGGCAGTACCTGGGAAAACGATATAGGTTAGACACCAATCCAGAATGACTTGTGAGCAGCAGCCTGCAGGTTATTCTGCTGGATCTAGGTCTTGATGTAAAATGGTACCGGCATCACCATCTACGCGATCACGAAATGATTTCTCTTGATATTTTCACTATATGTTGGTGTGCTAAGTTCCTCGTCGAAGCGACTATAGCAGATCACAAGGTCCAACACATTTTCATACAATCTCCCTTCTTACAAACAACGCTATGGACGAAGAAGGGGCGTACAATATTGCAATTGGCTGCTGAATCTGTGACAAACCCTCAAGGGCTTCGTCCGTTTTACACTGCTAACTGGTCTGCGATTTCAACTATTTTACGAACTTATCAAGCTGAAATGACCGGTAGCCCAAAGATGACAATTGATGATATGAATTGGGCTATAGAGGCATACCTCTACCGAAGAGGTTTTCGGATCAAAGATGATCTCAGTCAACTGAAAAATTCGGAGGTACCTTGATACGAGGCATATGGTTGCTACGCTATCAGGGTGAGAGACCAAAAAGATCAGAATAATCATCAGAGGAGGGTGTGTTTGAGCAAGATAAACTCAGTGCGATAAAAACGCTGTGCGTGGACATTAAGAAAGCATATACTTCTACTGAGGACATCCCTGCATCATTCAAAACCGAAGAAGTAGAGCGGAGACCAAACAGTGGAAAAATCTCCCATGGGCGATCTTCGTGACTGCAAAAATTCCGAAAATGACAACGAGAGAATAAAGCTGCAATTGGTCCCAGTGGCTAGACTTGCGTTCAATGTGAGCACAGAAAAGGGAGCGATTTTTGTAAGGAACCTTAGACCTAGGGCTGCCTACGAAGCGAACGCGATTATGGATTGGGTCTCTGACGCTCCACTGAAAAAACTATTGCTACGACTACGAGGACTCATCAATGCTCACGGTCAGGAGTATGTATGTTAAAATGTTTGTGTTAGCTCGTCGAGGTACTTGGATGACTGGCGAGAAAGCGCAGTTACAATGGGCAAGGCGAACCGAACGAAAAGAGAAAGCTAGTTAAGTAATCGATGTCTGTATGTAACCTTTTACAGCATATCTTCTACACGAGAAGTCGACGAAACTTCAAAAAATATACATGAACATTGGGTTTTGCGCAATCATAACGGACAACTATACTATTGATACAACGCGCCAATTTATGCGCCTGGTGGTATATGGTGAAATCATCTCCTCTAAAATATTGGCAAAGTCGATGAAGTCGATAGAATGCAACCGGCAGTATGTGCAATCGATTGCAGAAAAAGCCACAAGCTGTGGCTATAGGGCCGGCTAGTTTGGTGGATGGTAATCAACCTCTCGCACAAGGACATCCACTATATCTTCCGAGCCGCAATACGCCACTTTCAGCTAGCGTTTTATTTTTGCTCACTTTGGCTTTACTTGGCGATTGAGCGGCGTCGGCGAGCGGCTACCATGACATCGTATAGAACGTCCTTGAACGCAAAGAGAAACGCAGCGGTGATGGCGCTTTGGGTCACCTTGGGCACGATACCTAAAAATTGTCAGACAGGATTATTGCTAACGAGCGCCTGCAAGTCATACCCTTGTAGAGACCTGTGTATCCCTCCTCATTGATAATCTTCTTCAAACTTCCGTTAAGAGTCTGACGGGGATCGTTCTTGCTGGCAACGTGCATACGACTCTTGACAGTGATATACGGGTAAGTGATGGTAGTAGCGAGAATCTTGCCTATTGCGCCAAGATAAAATGCGTCCTTGGGAGTAACTCGTCGCTTTCGCTCCAAGACGTTCTTCAATTGCTCAAAGATAGTGTATTGAAGGATTGGGTTGATAACCAACACCAAAGCTGGGAGCACACCAGCGAACAAGGCAGTAGGTCCTTCATTTTTGAGAAGATCCAGAAGAGTCTGAATCGTAGATTTGGACTTCTTTGGTTTCTCACCACCCGGTAATCCTGGCTCATCTGCCTCGTTCCGACGAGCGGTCATACGAGTGTTGATGACCCAAATCGGGTTTGTGAGGAGCACCGTTGCGCTGCCGGCAATGGCGCCTGCGATAATGGCTTCAACGGTTGTGAGCTTTTTCGAGGCTCGGCCGGCCTTTTCGGCAGCTTTCTCGAATGCGGCGCGAGTCCATTCGTACCAGTAATAGTATACGAAGTTTGTCATACTGATTCCGAACAAAGCGGAGTTCAAGCCGGAGTAGAGGCCGCTGATTCCTTCGCGTTGGATGATGTGTCGCACGGCGTCGAGAGTAGAGGTTTGGGCGCGCTTTGATTCGACTTGCGCGCGAGTAGAGAGGGTAATGAGGGGATAACTATGAACATCTGTATTAGAGATGATGGCTTACAATATTTGCAGCTTATGAGAGTGCATACGTGAGAACCATGGAGAGGATACCTCCCCCTGCACCCGCCAAAGCATGCGCAATGTTATCAGATTGCTGCGCGGCAGCCGATGCGGCCACGGCCTTCTTTTGTTCCTCTAATGGCGCTTGAGACATTTTGCTCGACTATATTTCTATGAGTGAAGGAAGATGAAGTCGGGGTTTTATCGACAGAGGCAGAGGGTCTCAGAGGAAGAATATATTTGAAGAAAGAAGGGAGCGGGTGATGTCGGAGTGTATTACAAAGGAAGTAACAGTCTTGAAGAACGACCCCTTTTCAGAAGGAATGTACGGGTATATCAATCACTGTCAAGGGCTGAATGTGAAGGAGCGAAGATCCACCTCGATAACAGTGAAGGAATCACCGAGGAATAACATGAGCATTAGTCGACCAAAACCGCACGGCGAGAAGGGAGGATGGATGAATGAGCCTTGGTTATGACGTTACAGACTATTTGCCTCGGCAGACCCAGAGGAGTTGCCGCTAGCCACTTCGGTCTCTGTGCGGCGGATGGTCTGGCTTCGTATTCAAATATCACTACATAGTTACATGTGATCTACTTGATGCTTCGAGTAAATATGTAAATATATACCTCTAAATTCAGTGTTCTTGCGAATCATTATTCCATATTGGAAGAAAAGACAAATAACAATCTCAACCTACACAAACAATCTCACATTACAAAGATCAATCAAGAAAAAAAGAAGCGAGAGCGGGAAAAAAGAAAGTAAACCGGTGGTAAACAAGTTGTTGGCCTGAAGACGAGAGACATGATACGTAAAGTGACTGAGCAAAGAGTAGAACGATTGATGATAGCGTCGAGAAATGACCTCGCTGGGGATGTTGCGAGGCAGGACATGATCCCGAATGAACGGATAAGACATCATGTAGGAATTGACGACTGAAAGAAGTCTAAGTAGCCCTCCATCCCCGGAACATCAGAACATAGCACTATGATCGCTCATAGTCCCAGCGATCATGAAGACGCAAGACCGCGTTCTTCCGTCCACATCAGCCACAGAAACACATGTCCTCACATGTCGCAACGGCAAGCATGACGCATATCCCCCTCTGTATTGACCGCTATTAATAATCGTCCTAGAGAAAGTCAAGATCCCATTTAACAGCAACCGCCCGCGGAGCCAGATTGAACGCCTTGACCCTGGCCGACCTGCACGGTAGGTTTGTTGTTGACCGTAGCAGTTCCCATACGCTCTTTGATCTGTCTGGCCATGGTCAAGAATGCTTGTTCGACGTTGGACGCGCTCTTGGCGGAAGTTTCCAAGAATGGGATTCCCAAGCTGTCCGCGAATTCCTGAATCACAAATTATCAGCACAGAGCGCCCGCTTGAGTTTCCGACTGTAAGAACCCACCTTAGCTACAGTGTATTCGACGACCTTCTTGTCCTCCATATCACTCTTGTTGCCGACCAAAAGTTTGTTGACACCCTCGGTAGCATAGCGATCAATTTCCTGCAGCCACTGCTTGACGTTGTTGAAAGAGTCCATGTCGGTCACATCGTAGACAACGCAGATGCCGTGTGCTCCTCGGTAGTAAGAAGATGTGATTGTTCGGAATCGTTCCTGGCCAGCAGTATCCCACTGTAGAGCAGCAGGTCGGTTAGTGATCTATAAATAGATCAAGTTGAGGGACATGGCATCACGTACGATTTGCAACTTGACAGTCTTTCCATCTAATTCAATAGTGCGGATTTTCTGTTTGAGGAAGACCATATCAGTATGATTTCAAAAAAAAAACTAGCCTACAAGGTCACATACGAAGTCGACACCGATCGTAGAAATGTAGCTCTCGGTGTATGTATCATCGGCAAAACGAAGCAACAAACAGGACTTTCCAACACCAGAGTCTCCGATAAGGAGGAGCTTGAAGAGGTAATCGTATCTATGATATGTCAGGTAAAAATGTTTCGGCGATGAAACGGAAGAGGCGACAGTCGTCAGAGCGGTTGCGCTCTATCGTGATATGATGAAAAGGCGGAGAGATAACTCTGTTATGATATCACATTCAAGTTAGCACCATGATTAAGGCGAATAGCCACAGCTTTGTAGCCGGGTAGAGCATCCACGTACCACTCTGGATTCATGATGGGCGAGAGGATGTGTAGAGTCTATGAAGTAAGGGTAAGGCGGCGGAGTTTGTTGTGGAAGAAAAGGAGACGTAAGACGTAAAGTTAAAGTAAGACTCGAGATGACTTGGCGAAATGAGACAGGGGAGGCACGATGAAAAAGTAGTCTCGGGGGACCGTGACTGGAACTGGGAGTGAGGTGATGTCCAGAGACTGAAGGCAGAATGAAAGACGATATCACAGGACCAAGATGCAAGTATGCTGAAGCAAGAGGTGAGATGGTTGAGTTGGCCAGCAGGTGGACTGCCCCGCCCGAAGTGGCTTAGCGCGAGCCACCTGCAGGCCCCAGCTGAGCGACGGGTCCTGTGACATCCATAATAGACTAACAGCACTCGATATGTTATTATGTACTGAGGTACTCCTATGTATGTAAAACATTTTTCATTACTCTATCTTAGCCAACTACTCAGCATAGCCATGCGCCTGGAACCACTCCAACAGCAGCCTCTCGTCTCTCTCCTTGTAGCGAGCATTTGTGCGGATGCTGTCAGAAAGAATCACCAAGGTCCGCTCAAATGCACCAGTCTCCTTGTCCTCGAAGAACTTGGCAATGTCGTCGGCAATGGCTATCTCTGAGAACTTAGACAGGCCTAGTCGTATGAAACGGTCGTAAACAATATTGTTGGCCGATAGCTGTTTCGACACGGCGGTAAAGTTGGTCTTGATGTACTCCCAGAGTGCGTAGCGGCCGATGGAGTTGACAGCCAATGACGCAGCACCGGTGTGCTTATCCTGAATAGAGACTTTGTCCGAGAAGATAAAGTTCAGATACTCTTGGATCAACTCAGGGTTCCTTGTGCGACCAAGGGCGCTGAGGCAAATATCCTTGCCATCGACAGAGTCAGTCTGGAGGAATTCCTCCTTCACCCGCTCAAACTCTGCTCGGTCACCTTCTGCAATATTGAGCGAGAAGATAGTGGATCGCAAATTAGAGTGGATAGCATTAGCGTCCTTGCCAGAAGCCCAGAGTTGGAACCGACGCTTTGCTTCGGTCACGATGCTAGATGAGTTGGCTGTTAGCTCTCTGTAGCAATTCACAGAAGGTTTCAAGGCTTACCCTTCATGGCCTGCTTCTCCTGCCATAGCAATGAGTAGCTTGCGAAGCTGTCCTGTCAAGTAGTCCTCTTCGGAATGGAACTCCCAACCAATTTTCTCGGCAGCTGGCGTGACTAGTTTTAACTTGAATTTCTTCAAAGCAGCAGCCGCAGACTCATTCGACGAGAATGTGGTTCGCAAATTAGCGAGAGTTGAGGAAATTTGTTGCCATACTCTGCGGAAATCGTTAGTACTAGTCCTGTATACAGCAGCGCGGAAAACTGACAGATAGTTACTCTCCTGAGCGAATCCTTCAATCAATGCGAGCAACGCAGGGGTCGTGCCTTCGCCTGAGACGGCAAGAGCAGCGGCATCTCCAATAAGGCCAATCTTGTCCTCCGTGCTAAGCAAGTGGAGGCTCTTTCCGAGTTTCGCTAATCGTTCTGGCGGGTAGTTCGTCCGATAGAAACCCGACTGGTCCTTGTTGATCTTGTAAAAGTCTTCGCTGATGCCTCGGAAAGTATCTGCTTTAGTAGTAAGGCCTTCCAGCTTGATGTTAGTTGGCTGGGCTCCTGACTTGATGCCCAGTGGAATCCACCACACTGTCTCATCCTCCTCAGGCTTAACGTCGCCAGATGAAAGGAACCTAGTTTGGCGCACAGATATTTGACCAGGTTCCTCGGCAACTGTAACAACTGGATAACCAATTTTGCGAATCCATGGATCCTATAATCAATTAGTGGAAGAGACCAGGCTGTAGATCCTAGATTCTCGGCGTACCATGAGGGTGTTGACATCCTGGTTGGACGCTTTACTGAGCGCTGACCACAGATCGTTTGTCGTGGCGTTCCCTAATACACATCAGTCACCTAGTATCAACATTTCAAATAGAGATTTGTGATTACCATATGCATGCTTTTTAAGGTAATCCGATACTCCCTTGATAAAAACATCCTGACCGAGATGACTACTGAGCATACGAATCACCGAACTGCCTTTCAAATAGCTGATATGATCAAAAATCTGATCCACTTCAAGTGCGTTCTTCACGGGAACTTCAATAGGGTGGGAGGCGCGTAGTGAGTCGAGTTGAGAAGCTTGTTGGACACCTTCAGCCTGGAAAATTCATCAATATCAATGTCTTCAAAAATACCTCTTGCATTGCGTACCACAAACTGCGACCAGACATTCCAGTCTTTCTGAAGTATTAGCAACGGATATATTGATATATTGACAGAACCAGTAAAAGCTCACCTGGATGAAAGTGATCAACTGCGAGCCAGCCGACCCATGTTGCAAATCCCTCATTTAGCCAAAGTTCACTCCACCAATCCATTGTCACCAAATTACCGAACCATTGATGGGCGAGTTCTAGTGACCTCGTCAGTGCTTGTCATAATTTTAACTTTGTTTGAAGTATAAGAGACATACCATGAGCGACCACATAGGCGATCCGATTTTTATAGCGGGAGTCGGACTTTCCCTCGTCGAATAGAACCGCAGTGGTACGATATGTGACCAATCCCCAGTTCTCCATAGCTCCGGCGGCCTTCACCCATGTGTTAGTGCTTACAATTAGAAATGAGCCAGTTTTACTTACAAATGCATGGACACAGAGAAGGTCAGATTTTGGCAGAGGATACTCAATTCCGAAAAGTTCTGAAAAGTAGTCAACAGTCTTGTGAGCGCACTCCAAGGCATATCGGGCTTGTTCTTCAAGGCCTTTGGTGGTGTAAACTCGAACAGGGATGCTAGCTCCGTTGTACTTGCGTTCTGTCTTTGCTTCGACGTATCCGAAATCACCGACTGCCCAGGCCAAAAGCTACACGAATGCATATTAGCCAGATAAATAACGAAATGGAAGTTGATCCTCACATAAGTGCTCATGATCGGAGTTCTTTCAAAAGAGACAATCTTCCATCCCTCTTTGCTTCCATCACGCTCCGATTTGACTGGCATATTACTCAAAGCTACGAGATCCTTTGGGACCTCGATCTCAAAGTCAAACTCGGCCTTCAAGTTTGGCTCGTCAAAGCATGGAAAGGCTCTTCTGGCATCACAAGCCTCAAACTGGGTGCTCATCATGTAGTGGTATCCGTCCAATTCTGGAGTAGCTGAAGATGGTGTCACAGGAGCTTTGTACTTGCAGCGCGAGAATCCTGCCATAGCTTCGTTAATAGTCGCGGTGAATTCGATAGTCAAAAGAGCTTCCCCAGAAGGAATTTCCTTGTCGAAAGCCAGTGTCACCCGTTCTGAAACCTTGTCGTAAAAAATCCCAACAGCTTTGACGGAGGTTGAGCCTGTAACTGGAAAAAAGCGACGTTAACCAACATTCAAGTGCAAGCACAGGGCTGATAGCATATTACCAGCTTGGACCTCCGCCTTTTCAACGCTGACCTCCTTCACGTTCAAGACAATTTCCTTGGTGGGCTTGGAAATAGTCGCATCAATCTTGACAGTGCCATTGTAGCCCCAAGAGCCTCCAAGCTCCAGATTGTACAGCGAAATGCCATAACGCTGAGGCTTCACCCTGTATTTTGTCGCACAAGATTAGCATAGTCCAAATAAATTCAACATCAAGCTAGGAGACATTGCGTATCAATGAGGTCGATCATACACATCAGGAAGCGTGTCACGGTCCGAGCGAGCCATTGTCTGCGCTTCGAATGAGCAATATCTCATAGAAGGCGTTCTAATTCTACGTAGAAAGGGGCGAAGTGAAGACCTTCGAGTGTCGTGTGAGGTGAAAGAAAGTCTAGGAGCAAATGAGGGGAAGCTCGCATAAGAGCGGCGAACAGCTGCGGGTGGGACTTTCCTTTGGGTTGCGTTTACCGTCGGCCGCGCTGACGACAATGCCCTGACACTGGCTCTGCCACATTTCCACACAGTAGTGTTCAACATTGACGTTGCATTATTCGTTTTGTGATTTTGCGCGTTTGGTTGATTCGGAACGAAAGCAGACCTTGCGCTTGCGGAGAGAAATCCTAACTAGTGCAGCCTACACTGAAGCTTGGATCATTTTTTGGAGCTCCCGCAGCATCAGAAGACCCTACTCCAGACAACCTTCACAACACCGTTTACTACGAACCGTATACCCGGAAACATGGCTGATTCGGACGAGGAATATGTCGGATCTGGTTCGGAGGATGAGATCGATGCCCACATGGTATCGAGTGGTGCTGGAACACGCTCTGCTCGGAAGAAGCAGCGCGGAGGTGCCACTTTTGAGGTCTCGAGGACTTGGGAATCCGTCATTGAAGGTGCAGACGGTACGATCAGCTCGACTGTCGAGGGGCTATTAGAAGCTGGAAAGAGGAAGAGGTAGATGACCCTCCGCTCTGATACTGTGGATATGAGGCTAACAACACATTTCGAAAGGTTACTCCGAGATACCACACCTTTACAACGAGGAATCATTCGTCACCTCATCCTAGTCCTTGACCTTTCCCAGTCAATGGCGGAGAAGGACATCCGGCCAACACGTTATTTATTAGCTCTACGATACGCCCAAGAGTTTGTCATTGAATTCTTTGAACAAAATCCTATATCCCAACTCGGAGTCATTGGCATGAGGGATGGTCTGGCCGTACGAATAAGTGATATGAGCGGGAACCCTACGGACCACATCACTGCAATCCATGCTTTAAGACCAGACGATCCGAAAGGTTTACCTAGCTTGCAAAATGCTCTGGAGATGGCGAGAGGCGCACTTTTGTACGTTTCTCTTAACTTAAGATGCTATCCCTTTGGACGCTTACAATCGCAGTCATACCCCCAGTCATGGCACCCGTGAAGTGCTAATAGTTTTTGGATCACTTCTTTCTTCGGACCCAGGAGACATTCACCAAACTCTAAAGTCTCTCGTTGCAGACAAAATCCGCGTGGGCATCGTCGGGCTGGCTGCACAAGTCGCAATCTGTCGCGAACTATGCGCAAAAACGAACGGTGGAGACGACTCTGTATACGGGGTAGCTCTCAACGAGCAACATTTCAGAGAACTGATGATGGAAGTTACAATCCCACCAGCGGCATATTCCTACAGAAAATCGAGCAGTGCTCTCTTGATGATGGGATTCCCATCGCGCACAGTAGAGTCCTTTCCATCTCTATGTGCCTGCCACTCAAAACCCTCTTGCGGTGGATATCTGTGCTCGCGTTGTGGGAACAAAGTGTGCGGTCTCCCAGCGGAATGTCCTTCTTGCGGCCTCACATTGATTCTGTCGACACATTTAGCCCGTTCTTACCATCACCTTTTCCCTCTCATCAACTGGGTTGAGGTACCCTGGAAACGAGCATTACGCAGCACCCATTGCTTTGCCTGCGGCATACGGTTTCCGACTGTACCCCCGGCAGATCAATGGGGAGCTTCAGAGAACCAAGCCAAGGGAATGAGTGTGAGCAGTCGTTACGAATGCTCAGCTTGTAAGAACCATTTCTGTATAGACTGTGATCTTTTTGCTCATGAGGTTGTTCATAATTGTCCTGGTTGTCAGAGCACCAATCTCATGAAGCCTCATCACAATGGAGATGCCACGTTACCGCCAGTGGAGAGGATGGAGGGAATCACAAGCTGAGCGTGAGAGCTTGCTTCGACATCCCCTTCGTCGAGAAACTGAAGGTCCCTTCCGGAAATTGACTAAGCAGTCAAAGCACGTATTATATGATCAGCCGGAGGCCGACTGTACACAATCTTTCATATGTTTGCAGCAAGCTGTGGTCGAGCGAAGCGAGACCAGACAGCTTGTCTTAAACAATTCCACAATCTCCGTGCTGTGGTTATAAATTCAGCACATCGATTCCTATTCACGGTGGTCGTGTTACGACTTCAAGCGGACACGGGACGAGAACATCATCGATGTTCTTGACATGATGAAGAGTAGTTCCACGCACTATGCGTTACACAGTCTTGTCAACATACAGCCAAGCGAGATGACTCGGCTCAGACAAAGTTGCTACTAGGGTATTGATGGCACCTTACGGCTGAGCAATCCCGAGTGTCTAGAACAAATTTCGTGGATATTTGGTGGCGTTAAGAGAACAAAAGCTACATATCCGGTTATCTTACTGTAGTCGCGTGCTTCAAGATAGATGAAGGTACAGCCTGCAATTCATGAGACTCTGTCTTCGGGTAAATTAGTTTACGTTTTATAGTCCTTATACGCCATCCTATAGCTACATATTATATCTGATCAATTCTATTGCTGACGTACCTTTAAATAATCATCCAATCATGTATAGCTTTCACATGCTTGCGGATCATCCCCTCATCTTTAGATCTCACAAGGTTTCTTCCCCACAGTTTGCTCACTCCACTTTAACTCAACATCAACGTCGGAAAAGAATACGTGCTTTCCATAACCAGAGTACTCTACCTGATCGACAACTTCACACTTCCTCGGTTCAGCGACATAGTATCAATTCAAAGAGTGCTTTACAATGATGGCCACCGAACAATCATCACCACCGCCAGCAGAAGCCGACATCTACAACTTCATACACACATACGACTTCTCCTCAGACCTAGAGTTTCGCAAAGGTCTCGGCATAATTCTGGGCCATCCAGAACCAGCCTCAGACGCAGACGTCGCCAGCAATAACGATGTTGTCTTACAAGCGAAATGTTTCTATATTTCTCGGTTCGTCTTGATCTGTCTCAAATTGGAATTCGCGGTCATTTAAACTAATCTTATATATGCGAGGTTTGAAGGAAACGGAATTTGAGCTCGTCCCTAGACTTCAGGCACTATAAGAATTGGCTCAGTGAACATGGGCTCAATATAACGACAGAGACGCCACCAGAAAGCAGCAAGACTGAAAATCCCAATGCAGCCGTAGGAACATCATCAACACAACCAACATCGGCACCCTCTCAAGAAGTTAAAAAAGACAGCAAGGATGCTGAACCGGCTTATCCGTCTTCTTTTGCTCACATTGTGGAATTGATCACCAGCAATCAACCGATTCCTGGAATTGAGGAGATTCCAGATACGATATTGGCTGGKCAAGATGAACCCAGCAAAGCAACAAAGAGGCGGAAACCTTGGGAGAAAAATGTTGAAGCTGAGGTGGTCAGTAGTGAAAATCAGGCCTAAAGAGTTCCCATGACTACTTCCAATATATCGCTACTTCAGCTCTGATTGTTTTAATTGACTGTACGTCTGTTCTATTATACACATGCACAATAACTGCACTAAGCCACCCGCAAACGGAAAAAGTCAAGAAATCCCGAGCAGATAGTCAGGGCACATCTCAAGATACAATGTGCCTGATATTGACGAGGTCAACAATCACTGATACATATGAAAGCTGAAACCCCCCTGTCAACCGACTCTGAGACACTTGGCACATTTGATAAGATAATACATATGAAAGATATTTGTTGAACAAAGAAAGCAAACAGCAAAGAAATTCCATGGTAAACCAAAGCCCTCGATACGCTCGCGAAGTTGAGTGACGTTCTGGCTGGACCTGGAAACTTATGTATCTTCGGATATGTGYTTTTTTAAAAAAAAAATCGATCAYCCGMAAGCCGAAGTGATGCCCAATACAAAAATTGTAAGATAAAAATTTTGATGCTGGACATAACGATCGCTTTCTCAGGAATCCAACAGAAACATGGCATGCTAGAGATTGACAAGTCAAGGGGAACATCTTCTGTGCATCAAACCAAATGGAAGAAGAAAGTTCGTATAAGAGTCGGGTCTTTATTCATGCATATCAATAAATCTGGCTGTAGTTGCCCCGAAAAGACGTATCGGAAATGAATGGTGCCAATTTCTTAGCGAAACGGTGGATAGTTCTGGGTCCAGTGATTACCACGGCCGAATCGGCTACCAGAAGTACCTGCAGCCTGCAAGCGTTCATCGTTTGGCGTTGTGAATCGATTCACTTGAAGGCCCGCGCCAGGACCAGGTCGAGTCGCGAGAGAAGGATTGCAGCACAGCATTGCAACACGAGAACCGAACTTTGAGCCGCGAAGAGAGACCATGTGCTTCCTTTAAGACGTTTCATCAGTGACACTTCAAGCGAAGACATACTAATCTATAATCCTTACCTGATATGGGTAGCTACCAATTCGCGCTGATGAGGTGCAGCATTGACCAGAATCCACTGAATCAGGTAGTTACCATACTGATCACCAGCAACTGTGTTCTGTTAGCCAAATTCGTCTCAGACTACTGTCAGATTCTCTTGACTTACTGTCGATGAGAGGCATACGAGGGCGATCTGCACGCCCAGTGCAAACACGCGCCAAATAGCGATCCAGAAACTCCGGTCCTCCAATTTTCAGGCACTTTTCGACGACTTTCGAAGCGAATTGGTCCATGCTATAGTCTGCACACCATAGAAGTATGTGCTCGATTGCACGATTCTTGTCACGGGGGACACCATGTTCGCAGATGTGCTGGATGCACCAATTTCCAAATTGACCGTGAGAGAGAAGATCGATATTTGCCAGTACCTCTTCGACGGCGGGACGCTACGGAATAGAATAATTAGTAGGGCAGTACGAAGTAGTATTCAAGGGTGCTTGCTGACCTTTTCATCTTCAACGCAGTTCTCAAAGATGTTCTGGACCACCAAGCTTCCGGTTTCTCCTAGAGCTACCTCGTGCCACATGCCGCGAAGCGCTTCGTTGACCTTGGTCATGATTTGAGGCGGTTCGTTGTTCCACCTCAATTCGAAAAGCTTCTGCCAAACATGGCACGCGTAGCGATGGATGACAGTTTCAGGAATGCGTCGCAGCAGTTCGTGAACCATCATAGCTTTGTGCTCTTCGGGCACACAATCAAATGCTTTTTGGATGACATGGCAACCGAAAGCGTCCATGCTGAGACTCAAAGTATTACCTTTGATGGAATTGGCGATTGCAATAACCTGCTCGGGGGTTCCATGCTCAAAGCAGCGCTGAACAAGGAAATTTCCGAAACGGTTGACCATCAAAGGATAAGCCTGGCTCACAATTGCCTCAATGATATCGAACTTTTGTTCTGCTGTTCCCACTTTTAGTTTTTGCTGGAGGAATATGGAAGCCTGCTGATCGCTGTTATCGACAATTTTGTCAACAATGTACTTCCAGTCACAGGACACGTTCTTGTCAAGCAAGCGCCGATAATTGAGTGGCTCCATCGGCATAACATAGGTTGGCGAGGAGGCCCCTCCAGTCTAGAATTTATCAGTATGAGAATTAAAGTGTAACCAGTCGATTATAAATACTCACAGATATTGCTGGCCAGGGATTGGGGCCTGGGCTATTGGAGGTAAACTCGGCAGCTGTAGGCGATAGAGGTGTGCCAATAGGACGCGGCTGGTATTGAGGTATGGGAATGAGTCCAACTTGCTGATAGGCATTGAAGGTGGTGTTCAGAGAAGCCTTGGCAGCGGCGTTGTTTGTGACTGCGTTGTTGAATGCTGCCCATGTCGACGGCACAGGTTGAAAGTAGGCTGGTGCTCGATTCATCTGCGAGACAGAGCGTCGTAAACCAGGGCCAATGCCCCCAATGAAAGAGGGTTCGCCTATCAACCTTCCATCTACAGCAGGAGATGGTCCTGAGAAGATCCGCTGCTGTTGAGGGACAGCAGGTGCAGTCATGCCCGTGTTGCTACCTGAATGCGTCCAGGCTTGAGATGTAGGATCTTGCATGCCGTGAGAAGCACCATGATAGGCCTTGTCGGTGCCTTGGATGCCAAACGCCGTCTGGCTAGGCAACCCCCACAAGTTTCGGTTTGCATTGAACGCTCCAGCGGAGAAAGATTCAGAAATGTCCGAGTGAGCATCATCTTGCGTCCAAATATCGTGTTCCTGTTTGAACCCCTTTGCAGAAGCGTTGAACGCAGTTTGAGAATCCCGAATGTTGTGGTTGGTGGTGTCGCGATCAACGAATTCAGCTTCAGATGGTGGCCCAAGGGCTTGGTCCAAAGTGTGTTTGATGACGCGGGTCTCTGCCAATTCTTGTTCTTGCTGTGCAATACGCGAGTTGGCTGCAATTAATTCTCGTTGCAAACGAAGCATTTCAGTTGCGTCGATTCCAGATCTCTCGTTCATGTTGTCAAGCATGCCGGGAGCTCCAGCGGAGACCATGATACCTTGGTGCGTGGTAGCTTTAGCAAAAATCGACTGATCATGGTTGCTTCTTTGAGAGGGGCTGCTGATAGAGCGTGATTCGCGAGATTGGTCCATATTCTGCAAAGGCTGCTTATCATCGACCTTCCCTGCAATACCTCGAGGCAACGGTGTCTTCTTTCCAGCTGACTGCGAACTGGAAGCTAGTTTTGCAAGTATCTTGTCCATACCGGTTTGAACAACGTCCATCTTGTATGAGTAACTTAGTCAGTCTAGTGTGTACAAAGATGTTGAGGGCATCGACAAACCTTGCTTGAGGGCTCGTCGATTGAAGGTTGCTTGTTCCCAAGTTTCGAGGATATTAGAGGACTAGGTGCGTAGCCAGCACCAAGATGCTTGCTTCCCTGAAGGACACACGTTACATTCAATATCACATGATGAAAGAAGGCAAGTTCAGGACTAAGACAGGATGACTTACTGCTATTTCCTTCTCAAATGATGGGTGGCTCATGTCGACGCCAATCTTCGAAGACTCCAGAGGATGATCGGAGCCAGACTGCGAGAGTGAAAAGACTGAGATAGTATTTGCAGACGACTGTGGTATTTCAGAAGGCTGAGATGACTTCAGAACCGGATTTTTTCGAAACGAGATTGTGGAAAGTAAGACAGAAATCAAATGACTGTCCGACAAGATAAAAAATGAATGACTGGCGAAGTAGACAGAGCAGATGGTCCTTCAAAATAGGAGATGATGGCAATAACAGAGTGTGTCTATGACAGAAGAAGGGAGCAAAGAGAAGAGTATAAATGACAGGAACTAAATTCGGGAAAGAAAAGGCTCGTAAGCCTGAGCAAAAATGGTTGATTTGACAGAAAAGGAAGGAACGCAGTTCAAAAACAACGACGAGAGAAGGTGGGATATTTCCAAGCGAAGATCAACGAAACATTCTCTGCAAATATGGTATCTGCAAAGCTCTTGATGAGGTAGAAAGAGATAAATTGGAAGGTGCTGATCGAGGAGGATAGTTGAAAGAAAGAAAGAGTCAAGGAATGACTGTGGGTCAGAAGATAAAGAGGGCGTGAGATGAAGAGGAGGACAATAAGAGGAGAATGGAAAGAAGAGAGGGGAAGAAGGGAAGGTAGGAGGGAACGAAAGAGACGACGACACTGGCAGATGCGCCCAGGAAGGGAAGGAGCACGCCCGGCCAAACACGAGCAATTAGCTGCACTTTACAATATACAATACAGGACGTCAACTTGTCTGTTTTATTACAATCTTATATTGCGTTACCATCTATTCCATGGTAAGTATACAGTACAGACAAGATGAACTTCAACTCACACAAAGTATGCCAACCCCGTGGGGTTGGTTCGACTTGGTTGATGGGCTTCGAAGCTTCGTCTTTTTGCAATACTCACTACGCTTGATAACACCATTGTCTACTCGGTGTAGCAAGATGGTTCAGACGTTTTATAGAGTCTCTTGTGGCTATACTCTGGCTGCTTGGGCGCATGTGAAATCCCATTTGACTAAGGCTTCTCTGTCGGAATAACAATTCATTTCCTTGTGTATCACCACTGCATCCATATTCACTTTTGCAAAGGTCGACCACGAGTTGGGAACGACTAGTGAATACCGAAATCCTGGTAATTCCTTAGGCTGGAATCCGTCTATAATAGGAGAAAAAAAGGGAACATTGTCTCTGTCTTGAGCACGTTGATTCGCAGCAGATAAAGCCTATTCGATGAATTGATGGTATAGTAGCTATTCGATCGCCAGCATGGTCCTGGCATGAGTTCTAAAAGGCAGCGAAAGGCCATCTATCTCCTGCTGAATGAGTATGGTTAGGGCTTTTCTCACTTCAATGGAGTTGCTATAATAGGGCTACTTGTAAGATTTGGAGTTCATCGTCACAATCAAGTTCAAGAAGTTTAAGACAGTAGATGTCACCGCAAGCTCTCAACTAGATTGAACCTTGTCCGCTGAAGTATATCTCTCCATTTTCACATGGACGCGTCGTGTCGTTCAGATGAGGTTACCCAGACTGTTGGACGGTAGCAGAGAGTAAAACGCTAAGCCGTATGTGGCTAGACATCGCGCCGTTGGACGAATCCAGATACCGCGCGGTGACCTCCGTAATCCGACCGACCGGCGCTACAAGCCGTTTTGGCCCAGTTTCATTTCAATTCATTATTACGTGCTTACTAGCTGAGGTTATACTCATCCATTCTAGACTTCTGCACCTCGATGATGTTTTACTTGTCGCCCGACGCAACCACTTCACCTCCGAATTATAGCCACTCGTTTCGCCAAGTTGATCTCTGTTTCTTCCGGTAGTGGTGGTGGACGATCCCCCTCTTTCTATGACCGCCGTCGTCATTTCCGCTCGCTAGTCAAGGCACGTTCCGTAAATCGTCTTTTTGTTGAATACGCGGCCTCAACGACGCCAGGCAAGTTCGCTGAAGATCGCGCATACGTTTCTATATAAGTGACAGCAATCGAATCTGGGCGGTGTCCTGAGCTCCGTATCATGAGCACAACTACTCTAACGGGCATTGGACGCCATCCGTCCATTCGGCATCCTTCCACATGGACACAACCGCATAGGGATTCAAGTCCGCACGCGCAGAGCAGTCCGATAGATGCCTTTCCCGCTTTTGTCGATGAGACACCCGAAGCCACTACGAATGGGAAACCACAGGAGGAGCAGAATGGCCTTGATCATACATGGCAACCCCGGAAAGCCGGCTATAAGCCTGCGTCGAAGCATCGACCACGCAAAAGTATCAGCGAAACGATCACCACGATTAGGAAGCGGAATGCTAGTATGAGTGCAAATGCACATGACATAGCGGAAGCATTGAAAGCTCCGGTATCATATAAGCTGATTGTAAGAGAAACCCCCTGCAACGTTTTACCGCACGCCCGGCTCCCCGGAGGACACATCGCTTACAGGGACTTAGGGCCTCTGTATCATTTGGTACATGACATCGGCCGTCACCAATACGTCCTCCAAATCCATATTGACTGCGCTTCCCAAACCGGTCACTCTTACCATCATACAATTCGCCTTCGTGTCGTTTTGGTGTCTACTTCTCACATATTGTTCGTCCCTTTTCCCCGGGTTGAAGCAAGCTATACCTGCTCTTCGTAATGGCATATTGCCACCATCACGGGAAGTTATCATCACGACCCTACCGCTTGCAGGATTCCAATTGCTCGGACATATCCTGAGCTCAATGGCGACCTCGCAAATACCGGTTTCGCTCGTCCATACCATCAAGGGTCTTTCGCCGTTATTCACCGTCCTAGCTTATCGAGTATTCTTTCGAATCAAATATGCAAGAGCGACATACTTGTCGCTGGTTCCTCTCACTATGGGAGTGATGCTGGCATGCGCCACAGGCTTCTCCACGAACTTTTTCGGAATTATTTGTGCGTTGCTTGCGGCGCTGGTGTTCGTGTCCCAGAATATCTTCTCGAAGAAGCTCTTCAATGAAGCATCACGCGCAGAAGCAGACCCTTCTTTAGGTGGGCGACGCAAACTCGATAAACTTAATCTGTTATACTACTGTTCAGCGCTTGCTTTCCTCCTTACGTTACCTATTTGGTTATTCTCGGAAGGATTCTCCCTCATATCCGACTTTTTCAGTAATGGCGCAATCAGCCTCACTGAGAAAAAAAATTCGCTGGACCACGGCGCTTTGTTTCTGGAGTTTGTCTTCAACGGCGTATCTCACTTTGCCCAGAATATTCTAGCTTTTGTCATTCTGTCGATGGTTTCCCCTGTTTCTTACTCGGTGGCATCGTTGATCAAGCGTGTCTTTGTTATTGTCGTGGCAATCATCTGGTTTGGTAGCTCGACGACATCCACTCAAGCAGTAGGCATAGGTCTTACCTTCTTTGGGCTATATCTTTACGATCGAAACAGTCACGACGACGCCGCCGATCAACGAGCCAATGCTGACCACTTCCGCAACCGCGACTCACTGTTGCCTCTGAATGCAGTGGCTCCCAAGAATCGAGATTCTAAGCCTTTTCATTTCCTACCTATTACCGGAGACCACGGTGAACCCGGGGCTTCCATCGACGAGAAAAAGGACGACCGGTCGAACTCTATTCGGCCCCGGGGAGCCAGCGTCTCTCGGAATTGGCTTCCGCCAGGCACCAAGCAAGAGACCACTTGGCAGCGTGGGGATAACTAAAAGATTTCTTGAGGGACTATCCTTCTCCCTTTGCGATGACTTATATCATGCCCTTCTGATGGCTAAACTGTGAGATAATACGGATATTATCGGCGTTTTGGGTACACGTATATGTGGTTTTAATTCTCCTGCCTTTTCAATCCTGATCATGTCCATCTTCCATTCCATGCATTCATAGGTTTACTTATCTGTCCAACTTGCATTTTCCGCCCTGTTCAGGCTTCTGCAAGACGTGTATGTACTTATATTTGAAGGCAGTCAGTCTATATCATTGATAGATATTCATTAGAGAGCCGTGGCAGTAACTACTGCGGCTGAGTATCACGAGAAGATACGAACAGATACGAGCGATCAGTCCAGAGTCCAGGCACCATGCTGAACACATACATAGTAGTTAACATACATACTGTCAAGTTGTACGTACAAAATAACCATCAGCCGGTGCCAACCCAATCAGGTTAGGCAATGGGGTCCGTTACGGCCGCATTGGGAAAGCGCCTGTTTACTAACCCAAACAGGAAATGGCTGGATCCACGGTAGTGCCTTAAGGCCTGAGGCAGGCTGAGAGAGTGTGAGAGTCTGGAGTCACCGAGTGGCTCTTTCCCCGTTGGCCATTCTGATACTGCTGCTACTATTGCAATAGTTCGCATGCTCCGTCCGATCTCGAACTCTGTCCGAACATCAAAGTATCTCCCATTCTTGGTTAACCACAAAAGACCAGACTATTCATCCGCTGATCTAAGCGTCAATCTACAAATTTACCATCCTCGTACAATACGTTCCCACCCCGCGCGCGCCGCTATTTGGAGAAGGCCGACCTAGGTTCCGCTGTCCGGGTTCCTGGTCGTCAGTCAGTCAATCGATATACAGCCCGCCGCAACCGCGCGTGTTTGTATCAACAACGTCTCAACGTGAATTCCCTCGTCAAAGCAACGTCCGCTCGACACGCGATCTACGGAGTCGTCTTATCCTTTTCTGGGCAGTGAGCTAGCTCTCCATGGACGCTGCCATATCACCGCAATCTCGGCTGCGCCTGGCCTTTCGCATCCTTTACTAATTGACTCGAAAGGAACGATAACAAAGACAATTTCGCCTACGATATACGAATTGACGAGTGAAAACAAAGCATCTATTTCAAGATCGCGCTTCGCGGGTGGAATTCCTTAATTACAACTGTTGGAAAGTCGAAGATTTTAGTCATCATAACAATCGCCAGCTCTTATCGAAGAGGTAATACATATCGGCAATTTGTTGCGACTCGGGCTTGCAAGTGAGAGCTAGCTGGCAACAACTTCTCTTTATGCATTTAATAAAGACTAGTGACGAAGAAGTAAGGCCATGTTCTATGAAAGCCTACAGGCATAATCGAGGTCGTTGCAACTCACTCGTCTTCTTGTCCCTCGGCAATGTCAGCGAAATCGGTGGACCGGCGACAAACAGATTCCTCTGGGCCCTCACTTAAGCAAGAAGAAGAATCCTCTGGCGTGCCTGCAGAATTAGAATCAGTGAATACCCGCCTTGGCCGCCTGAAAGACGAGGTCCTGCCCTCCGCGCCATACCTCCTCACTGTTCCCACAGACGTGCCTTTTCGCCTCGGAAATAGGTTCGTCAACAATTGGGCAGTGGGGAAGAAGGGCCCGTTTGCGATCGAGGAACAGCAACTTCAATATATGACGTTTTTGATGCACCACGACGCGGACTCTCTACTTGTTGCTGTTGGAGACTGGTCGGATAACGACGGAAGGGTCATGGCAAAACAAGATGATGGGAAACCGCGGGTGGCTACACCCACTACCCCTGCAGCGACACAAGGTGGTGCGGCAAAGAAGAAGATCAGTCTAAGCGACTACAAGACCAGGGCGAAGGGAGATTCGACAAGAGAGCATTCAGTTGACAACCGAGAACCGCCTCACAATGATAGCCGAAAAGAGAAGCGCGATACCCTGCAAGTACCTGCTTCTCGTACAATAAAGGAACGAGCCTCTAACGATCGACTGAATGAAAGCGTAAACACGACCTCCCCAAGCTCTAAACGACCACTTAAGGATTCCTCGAAGCCAGCAAGCGACGCTCCTGCCCCGAAGCGCGCACGATTAACTCCTCCCGAGTCTGCAGAAGAAAAGGTCCCTGCAGACAAAAAACCAAACGGCATTCCCGCCCTTCTATCCCCTACACTCCCGCCAGCCTCTTCCAGTCCACGTCTACCAGAACTATTGTCTCCCACCCTACCACCCGAACTTGAGGCAGAACTTGCCCATCTAGAAGACGAGTCTCCTATGCCTCTAAAGCGTGAAACAACCTCTGTCGCCAAAGTTGAAAGCAGGAATGGGACTCCGAGCATAAAAGCTCCGGTTTATGATCGAATACGTACTGAACAGAAGTCGACTAGTACACAGCCCAAGGAGACAAGCAAAACCACTCCACTTTCTACTAGTGGGAAAACGAACCCTAGACGCGATTCGGATCTGCGATCTACATCCCCGTACGCCCATAAATCGCCGGTACCAAGCACTACGACTAAAACAAAAGCGGCCCCCTCAACTGTAACAGGGTCCACAGCAACCAAAAAGCTTATAGTCAAATTGAAGTATGGGCGAGCGAACAGGAAACGAGTGGGCGCTCTACTCAAGTTCGGCGGCAAAAGCAAACTATTCGACAGTCTATCTTCCAGAGCATCGAAAGAATCATTATCTGGAGACGAAGATGGTGAAATCTCACGATCTGAATCGAAGTTACGAGGAAGGAAACGAGAACGCTCGCCAGATGACGATGGGATAGAAGAGCACCCACCGCGAGAAACGATTAGGGCCGGCAAGACTGTTCCTTCTGACAAGATTAAATCTTCAAACGCCACTTCATTCAAATCACCATCGAGCAAGCGACCTGCTGTTTCGAAACCAGAGTCTGCTGTTCCAACACCGGTCAAAGACAGTCGAGCCAGACATCAACGTATTACAGATGGAGATGCGGAAGTGAAGACACCTTCAGGCGTATTGAGTGGAAAATCCCTTCCACCAAAGCCAGACAAGACTGTACAAATGTCACCTACAAACGGCGACGTGATGAAGGCTCGAGACCAAGAAAGGAGGTCGTGGCGCGACGAGTATACCAAATACACGGGACTAGGTCGGGAATTGAAGCACACCGCAGATGGATATTCTAGAGCAAGAGCCTCCAGCAACGAGAATGTGTCAAGCTTAGATGGGAAACTGGCGGCAGCATCTGCTGTTGAATCAATCCTCTGTTTCATTGTCGCGTTTGTGGCGAATGACCATCACAGATCGTTAGCCCGACAGATTGGTGATTCTGAGACCTGGAGATCCATCATCCCGTATTGGCGTGTGGTGGAAAGGACTGCGTCTGCTTACCCTCATCTACACGGACTGTGCCTTGTTCTGGGTGCCGTGTCTCGCGATACCATAAACAGCCTAGATATGGAGCGACTCGCAGTCTGTCCTCTGCCCGGCGAACAAAGTCCCGTCCCTACTCCAGGCAGTGACGGGAACACTGTAACCTCTGACCGCAACAGCAGCAACAGAAGCCACAATAAAAAAGAGTTCTTAGATATTCGCAGTCGTCTCCCCGAAAATCACAAAGAAGCCAATCGCCTTTGGCTCGAAGGCTGTCGCGAGCTTTCAGACGATGTCCTCGCTAAAGAGTATCCAGAGACATGGTCAAGTCGATCCCGCAATTATGCAGAACGAGGCCATGACAGCTTTAAGATTGGTCAATATGCCGGTGGCTTTTTCCTACCGTTTGGCCGCACAACGACGCCCATGGAAACAGTCCGGTTTGGAGTTGCATTGTTACGAGAGTGGTGCAAGAAGGAGAATATAGATTTCAAAGCTCGGTTGAAGCTTTGATTATGATTATACATTGTATCGTTTTTGTTTTTTTTTTTTTTCGAGCGAGCGAGCGATCTAACGAGATTACTGTGCATAAACTACTCCTTTCCTGCCTGCTTTTTTCCAGTTTGCCGGTCGTCTTTTATATGGAAGTTTTGATATCCATACCCATCTGGTCTGCTATTTGTTCTGCGGTTTCTATTCTTCATTTCTGATACTTGTATGACTTCTTTCCTTTTTATATGATACCATTTTGGCGGGTTCCGAGTCTCTTCTCTCTTCGTTAAGAATGTGATGAATGTAATCTGGAGTCTGGATTCGCGCTAGCAAGCTCTTGAGATTCTTGTTGATGCTAGTTCTTAATAAAATATATTATTTTGACTTCTTCTACTCAATGAATAATAGAGCAACAATAGAAAGTAGTTAGGACTGTCAAGTTGTGTAGAATTCTCATAAATTGAATTCATTGAGATGTGTGACATGGCTAATGTAAATGAATCTGATATGATCTTGTCCAACCCTCCGTCTTCGTACATGCATACAAATGATCCTTTTATCTAGCAAACTCCAAGTCGCAGAAGGAAGTCGACTGAGTCGAGGGAAAGAGAAACCGCTTGCAAAGGGGGGTGAATGGTAACGTGTTGAAAAATCGGCAATGAAAAAGAACTCAACCCCTATTCCATCGGTTGTCACCCGAAACAGCAGCATAAACATCGTCTCTAAACAGCCACTCTGCCTCTCGACAGTATGTAGCCTCGCGTCCCGAGTTACCGACTTCACTTGCCCAGCAGACCAATGCAGAGTCCACAACGCATGCTAGCACATTCTCCATTGACCCTAAGACGCCCCATCCGATTGTACCTGCAATCAGACCGATGATGTATGCGTACAAACTGCCGCGGATAGTGCTATTGCTGCCAGTCACGTCGAGGTTGCGGGCTGCTGTGACCCAGCCGCCAAAGCCGAGGGCAAGAGACATTGCGAATCGGCAGGCGTGAAGGATCATTTTTGAGAGTCGGTAGGATATCAAGGAATTGGCATTTGAACCGCTGCGGGGTATGGTTGACGGAGCATACAGGCCACCAGTTGTGCTGAAGCTGGAGAATACTGCCATTTGGGTGAAACCGCGGGCCGATTGAGCCAGTGGTTGGGAGTGTATTGAAGCATATGTTAGAGTCAGAGGGTTGACCAAAGCTGCGATAGGCGAGGGAATTAGAGAATAAGCGAATAGGGCAATGATTGAAGCAACGCGCCTATGCAAAACCAGAAGAGGGAGTTTGAGAAGTAGGACTATCAAGGAAAACAGCGATATCGAGCCGAAGAGCGTAGTTGAGGCATGAGACATCGCAGCCTTTACGATCTGGGCGGACGTAGGCGCGGGAAGAGCCAAACGGTGGAAGTACCATTGGCTTACTGTGGCTGCTGTCACGGCTCGCTGGATACCTGCGATAACACCAAGAGACCATAGATAGACTAAGATGAAATAAGCACCTAGCCACCAGCTACTAAAGCTTATGACAAAGGAGTTGTCTGAGTGGATAGATCCACCAAGGAAGATTCGCGTAAACATTATCATCCACAACCAAGTCCACGAAACGGTCACGACAAGAATACCCAGACCAAGGGCGAGAAGAGCTGGGTTTGAGGCCAAAACCCGACATGCAAACTCCAGTATGCTGATCGCTTTCCCGGTGGAGTGCCGATTTCGTACAATGGAATATACCCAGAGCGTTGACAAGATAAAGGGGATAATTGAGCCCCATCGCATAACATGATCCTGGAAAGTCTTACCGTGCCAAGAACCACGGAAACTGGAGATGAATGTATATAATGAGAAGGAGTACAGAATGGCCGGGACAGCAATGATCATTCCGTGAACAAGGAATCGGACGTAGGACCGTAAGAGTGCGAGCCATAGAAGGGAGACGAGGATGGAGACGATTGTGTAGATACCAAGAAGGAAGTAGGACTTGTGGATGGTGGTGTAAATTGTGTCCACGAACTTCCATCTACCATCCGATGGAGGTGCTGTATGCAACCACACGAGGAATGCCGTAGCGAATAATCCGATGAGACATATCAGGAAAAGATGACCCCAAAATGCATCGTGAGCAGGACGTTCCGAGCCAGGCGGTTGTTCCATGGTATTGTGAATTGAAGAAGCCCCCGAACTTGGTGGACGATTGTAGAGTAAACCTTGCCTATCACCATCTTGGACTAATGAAGCACTAGGGCCGTCTATGTAATCACTCTGAGCTTCGGGCTGTCTGCGGAATTTCTGGATTGGGGCATCTTCGTCGTCTGCGACATCAGAAGTAAACGAGGCTGTGGAACTAATCGGATTGTCAAGTCCAACATCCACCATTTTCCCCTTTCCGAACGGACTTTCGTGACTCTCGTTATCCTCATCACGTTCATTAAGGTCTGATGTTGGTGGCGAGGCGTTCCGCGTTCGTCTTTGAGAATGCAGTAGCCTATCATCCCTCCATGAGCTCTTGATACCCTTTTGCGTATACGGTCCGTCTTTTCCACCTCGGCTTTGGAACGTCTGAGATTCGTGATCAGCATCGTCAAGCTCGGAAGATTCTTCTAAAGGTATATTGCCGAAATTTCGGCGTGATCTCTGCAAAGCATAGTAGTCTGCTATCTCGCGCTCACGCTCGTGTTCGTCGTCTTCGAGAAACTCATCCGTGGCGCTGAAGAAAAGAGGTGCGGGTTGCGCGGAGGCTCGAGATGCAAAGGGGAGATGCGGTAGCTGTGAAGAGCCGGACTGGTACGGATGTCCATTTCGGTTCAGGTAGGAACGAGAGGCATTGTTGTATCTGGAGAAGTTGAAGTTCGGCCTCCGATCACGCTCATTCGGGCGGTTCTCTTCGGGTCGTGTGGTGATTCGTGATTGAGACTGGGCTAGGAAACGAGACGCATCTGGAAAAAAAAATCAGCTTTACTTCTCTTGAGCAGCTAGAAATCAAAGGCGTACATTCAGAGAACATGGTCCCATTTATTCAGATGGGGAGTCGTGTGCTCGGAGATAAGAGCGCTGCGGTGTAGTGTGGCCTGCAACTGCTGGAGGATAAGTGTTAGCAGAGCAGATATTTGTCGAAAGTGAGAGCCAAAAAAAAAAATTAGAGTCGAACCTTGTGAAGTGGAGAGACAGGATGATAAGCATCTACGAGAAGTGGTAGGTAGTCAGTCAGCGTGGTGGTGTGAGGAAGACGAAGGATGACATGCGTCATGTGAGAGGCCGATAACTAATTCAGAGATAACGCTAGGCGCTGCCACTTTCCCGCAAACATCGCTCCCTCTAATTCTGTTGCGCTGCGAATGCTACCTTGTTGATCTGTACGTGTATTACTGGTTTCTTCAACATGCTATTTACTGGGCGGTCCTTCACCGAACAAGCTTTATGCTGACCTATAATGGGTGTGTAGTCAAAATATTCTCGGAATGTCTCAGTAGCGAAATATATCGGCTTKATCACCTCACCATGTACCACCGCCCGCAAGCTTAGAGCAACCACCCCATAAACAGCATATTTCGACCAAAGACAATACAAGTAGAAACAGGGCTTCGAATAAAAGGACTGGCATAAATGTTGAGTAACATCTGTGGAGCATAGAAAATCCAAGATAGGGTCACGTGAGGGGTTCGGCATCTGCATGTAGAGCTACCTGGAATTATTTACCTTCTTCGTGCATGAGAATCTATAACGAAAGCACCTGTTCCAGCCTATTCCAACCAAGAAGCCCGTCGTATACGTACACCGTGTGACCGTCTTGAGATATATAACCCGCAATTGTCTCGCTCCAGATCGACAATCGGAGAAGCTTCCGAGGAATCTTTCGGCCCATCTTCTGTCGACGTCACTTTGCCGCTCTACAAAAGGTCACAGAACAGAACATGACCGCGTGAGAAGCAGTCTCTACGATAAAATACCAGGCAGAACAATTTTCCATTGACAGATCTTAATCGACAAGGCTCAACGCTTTTTATCAAATGTCACTACCATGGGACTACATCGCGAAGCTCGTCTGCATCGGTGATTCAGGGACGGGCAAGTCTAGCGTAAGTCACCACTGGATGTGCCTTGCGCAAGGTTCTGTCCACCAGGACTTAGTGTGCTAACTTGTTTCTAAAATAGTTGTCTATACGACTTTGCGAAGGGCGATTCTCACCAACCCACGACGTGACCATCGGCGTCGAATTCGGCTCGCGCGTAGTCCCAGTCGGTCCTCCAGCATCTAAGAGTCTCGACATTGATGGAGATAATGCCACCAGCACACCATCGCATTCACAATCCCCACTCAATGGTGCCCCAGAAAAGAAGGACTCAACACAAAAGAAAATGAAATTGTCCCTATGGGACACCGCAGGCCAGGAAACCTATAAATCCGTCACTCGATCATACTTCCGCGGCGCATCCGGTGCCTTATTAGTATTCGACATCACTCGTCCGTCCACATTCGCTTCCGTGACGGGCTGGCTCCATGATCTCCGCCAAATAGCCGAGGAAGGCATCGTCGTGGTCTTGGTGGGCAACAAGTGCGATCTCGCCAGCGACGAGATTTCCGCCGACGGCCAAGGAGGAGAAGAGGGACAAAACAAAAATCAGAGAAGAGTCACCCGCGAAGAAGCGGAAGAATGGTGTCGGCAGAATAATGTAATCCGCTACATCGAGACGAGCGCGAAATCAGGCGAGGGGGTTGAACGGGCCTTTCTCGAGGTCGCGGAGAGGATATATCGAAATATCGAAGCGGGGAGATATGATTTGAACGATCGCCGAAGTGGCGTGAAGGGGTATGGTGCGTCGAATGGAGGGATGAGTACGATGCCGCCGAGGACGATTACGTTGGGATTGAATGATGCTATGGATCGGGGTGGGAAGGGTTGGAGTGGTGGGTGTTGCTAATCGCACATATCCATCGTCTATTGATCCTTTGATCGTTCATATTTATTCATATGTGTGTTATTTGATACCCTTTTCCGACTCCTAGGACATGGGAGGAGTCGGATCGCTTCTTGATATCGGGTGTGTTGTATCTAGGTTGTAATCATAATCAATATATAGGCTATGGCACCTTAATTTTAAATGCAAATACAGCAAAGAATTAGTCGTCATTTTATCTACATATACGAAGACTCAGCCCAAGTAGATAATGTGCCCAATCACAATTAGCTAATAGCTTTCAAAATATCGAGTCATGAAACAAACGAGGCATAAAGCTGTCTAAAATACAAGAGAAGAATCATCTCAACCAAAGAGAAGAGATCCAGAGAGAGAGAACGAGGGGAAGAGAGAGTGTGTGAGTGTGGGCATGTGAGCGTGAAGTTATAGTAATTTTTCAAACTTCATGTCAAGCAACTTAGTCGCTGATACGCCATGTACTGAGCCACTTCAAGTATTGCCATTGCCTGTTTGGTCCCTCCATACCAAAGACAATGTCCTTGAAGACGATGAACAGAGCGATTATAGCAACATAGAGAGGTATATAGATAGCCCATTGCACCTTAGTGCTGAGTTTTCGGGTGACCCAGTCAACGCAGAATCCAGCTGTCAAGATAGCGAAGTAAAGCGCAGGGTAGTAATGATGAACATAGGTGACASGAGCCATGACGACGAATGGGAGGTAGTGGAGGACCCAGCCGATCAATGGGTAGATACCAGCGTAGTGGAATTGATCAATTTCACTAGGGCTGAGATCCACGTAACCACGCTGCCAACGGATGAGATACCAAGCAAAGATTAGGCCAAAACACAAGAGACTGGCGGTACTTCCCCAGTAAACGAGAGGATTTCCTAGGAGGAAATATTTGACGATATTGTCATCCCAAGAGCACATTCTCAAGCCGACATGCAAAAGTGGCCATTGCCAGAACTTGGAAGCCAAATCATCCTGTTTATCGGGATCAGGGACGAGGGCATTGTTTGATGTCATCATGGCAACATTCAAGTGAATAAAGTCCTTGAAGAAGGGCGATTTGTAAGAACCCGGGTCTCCGGGGGGCACTAACACGATAAAGTTAGTAACATTGCACCATCGTCTGATGTCCAAAACTTACGTCTCTCGTTAACATGGGTTTCAACATTCCAGTGCGTGTAAACATCGCGGGGCTTATTTTCCTTGACACAAGTTGTTTCGATCTGTTTAAAACCCCACTGAGGAAGATTGACAGTTCCGGCTCTCAAATAACAGCCGAGAGCTTCATGGCGGAGTCGGAAAGCGGTCGTCAGGGTGCGGATCTTGCTCTTGTCTCTGGATGCAGCATCACTGACGACTTCAATCTTCCAGTGATCTTTTTCATCGCCAATAGTGGTATTACCGTAACAGGACACTTCCCAGTCAGACTTGGTGATAGGGGCCGCAACGCTGTGCGAGTGTAGGTTACGACCTGTTTGAGCGTGAATTAAACGGATGACATCTCCGTCGCCCAAGAATCTCAATGGCGACTCCGGGTCGTATTCCTGCTGGTACCGATTCGGGTACATGAACCAGTCATTGTTGGCATCCTTGTGATGGTAGCAGGTCACTTGCTGTTGACTTGATCCTTCTGGGTAGGTTTGTACGTGAGAATGAAGAAGTCCTCCACCGTATCCCATGTTCTTCAAAGTAACCTTGGAGCCAATTGCCACTTCAAGAGGGCTATCCCGGCCAACCTCGGTTCCTTTGAGGTTGGCCTGGAAGAGAGAACTCATTTGGGCATCTCCGGGTCCAGTGTTCTCGAGAATCAAGAAATGGAGATAGAAGGAGAACATATAGACCAAGAGTGGCACAATGATCAAGCAAACCACACGCGCAATAACATGGCGTGCTAGCGTGGTCTTCAGAGAAGGTTAGCTTGACTACCTTATAGCTAATCAACCAAGGCACTTACCACAGGCATCTTGACGTCGCCAAATTTGTTCCATAGATCTTCAGCAGTATGAAGACCGACGAGGGCGGTGCAGAAAAGACCAACAAGCTTGATACTGCAGACACAGCCGATACTAACACCTGTGAGGAAAAGCCATGCAAACCATTCGACAGAGAAGCTCTGGTTTCGTAGACGATGGAATCGGGCCCAGCAGAGGACAGTCGTGAAGGTGAAGCAAAGAAGCATTGAATCGAGAAGAATGAATCTGGAAATAGTCGCGTATGAGTTCTCGAATAGAACCATCAGGGTGACCAGCCAGACAGTTGGTCGACGGAAATTTAATTCACGAGCTGTGTAGTAGGCGAGAGGGACGCAGACGGCCCCAAAGAAGGCATTGAATACTCGCATAAAGGTATAGTTGACATCTTCGGGGTAGTGTTCTCCTGATTTGAATTCGAACGAACCGTTGTACCCGGCCAAATAACCTGAGAGACCAACGAGAATTTTGCCGAGGGGTGGGTGGACATCGAAGTAGAATTCACGCTTGAGATAATGAGAACCGAACTTTCCGAAGCTGTGGTAGAGAGTGGTCAGCATGGCGCGTAACGTTTGCAATTGACGGATGGTAGACATACTGAGCCTCATCCCACGTCACGATATCGGATAATCCAATACGATACATACGGGTGAAGAACGAAAGAGCCGTGAATATAATAGGAGCGATAACAAATTCCCACTCATCAAAAACATCAAGGAACGTGTTTTTCTGCCACAAAACCGTTAGTTTAAACTGAAGGTTGGCTCAAGCATCAGTACACACCTTGGCAACTCCCTTAGTGTCCGAAATGGCAATAGTTGGAACATTGTCACTTTTCGTGGCTTCTCCCACGTTTCTACGTCGGATATCTGATTTTTGATCCCTTCCGGACGCAAATGCCGAATTGGAAGCCATCGCTGGCGGTGCTTCTCAACTGAGAAGCTAAGGAATTATCGTTACTAACGACCTTTGTTTTGATCGTGCGGGTTTAGCTTGCAAGGCGGGACTGTCGGAATTAAATCTGATTGAAGGTATCGGGCGCAAGAATCATCACTATAAAAAGTAGAAAAAGGACCGGAGGTCGAAGGGAGGTATATAAAACGTCGCTTTGTGTTACGTCGCCAGGGAAAGAACGAAACAGGAGAGGTGGTCAAAACAATATCGCAACCGAGTAACAGATCGCGAGGTGGTTGAGAAAGGATAAGATCGAATAAATAAGGAAAGAAAAGAAGTAAACGAAGGAAGAATCGAATCAATCAACTCAAGAAGAAGAATTAACTCGGAGAGAGAAGAAGTGAAGCAGGAGGAGAAAGGAAGGAAGAGTCGAGATCATCGCAAGTTGTCCACTTCCCAAAATCCTTAGCTCCGTTCGGCGGGAGCTATTTTAAGCGGCGGACCCTTATCGGCTTACGTACTCCCATAAACGAATCATAGTTACCCTAAAACACTAGAAACAAACATCAATCATAGCAATCTTCTATTGGGTATACAGCTGAAACTACACTCACACACAAACACACATATATATATACAACATGAGGGATATCCAACTTCACGCAGCAGACGATAAGTATGTAGTTAGATGAAAGTGAACATGCCTCGACTGTCACACAAGATGCTGGTCACGCTCAACAATAGGAAGGTGGATGGGAGGGTACTTGCGTGAACTGTGAGTCTATCGATATGTAGATCATCATTAATATAGACCGAGATGTACGGTGGAAAAAATGCAAGGAAGAGGAAATACATGGAAGCAAGTAAGCGCAAAGTGGGAAGGAACTAAAAAAAAATAGATGAAGTTTTAAGCTTGCCAAGCAGCAAATGTCTCTCTATGATCGGTGAAGAAACTTATTGAAGCGAAAGCTTGAATCTTAGCTCTCTTCATCCTGGTCGACACGGCGATATTGACTCCTCTTTGCTGGATCTCTGTTGCGGCTAAGCATGTTCGATATCCAGCCACCGAGTCCTTGGGACTCGCCGCCTTGATCGACGCTGCTGGGCTTGCCGTTATTGTTTTGGCCAATGGCAGGAGGGTCGATGTTGAGACCTGGAATGGCGTTGTCGGCAGTGAAGTGTCCATGCTGGCGTTGAAGATCAAGCGAAGGAACAGGCGAATTGATTCCAATCAAGGAATCACGTTCTCCTTGTGTAACAGGCGTGGGCATCGCGGTAGTGGCGTCGCCGAATAATGCATTCATATCCTCCAACCGAACGCCACTTGTTTCGGGATACAAGAAATAAACTGATAGCTGTTAGTACTTCTCCATATGACTATTTCCAAAAATTAGTAGAACACATACCCAGAACAAAACTACAAGCACAGAAGAAAGCATGGATGAGATATAAGCGCCATTTGATCAGGTCTTGCAGAACAGGAGTAACCTCTCCAACCAAGAAGTTAAATGCCCAGTTCGCTGCCGTACTTAAACTAGCCCCTTTAGCACGAATGCTCAGGGGTAGAATTTCGGGAGGGTAGAGCCATGGAATCGGTCCCCACGATGCTCCGAAAGCAGCGTTGTAGACCATAACGCAGATGACGGTGAGGTTCGCTGTGGCTGGCACATCGATCAGAAGAAAATAGGACATCAGACTCAGCGAGACCATCATAGCCACTGCTCCGGATAACAGAATCGGACGTCGGCCCCAGCCATCAACAAGATACCACGGAGGAATAGTAGATGCTAGGTAGGTGAGGGCATTGATACCAGTCATAAGAATTGCCGATCGACCAGGCCATCCAGCAGACTCGAAAACGAGCGGAGCATAATACGAGATAACATTAATGCCGTTCAACTGAGCCATAGCCTGGGCAGACATGGCGATGAGAACACGTTTATAGTATCGTCGAAACATGTCCACATAAGATCTTTCTCCTTCCTGTCGTTGGGTAAGAACGTTGAATTTTATGTCTCGATATTCTTGCCGCGCTAGCTCATTGTGAATGTCTCCCCCACCATATAGATTGGCGATAACAATTAGACCTTCTTCATCATGATCATTATCTAATAGCCACCTAAAGGAAGGAAGTTAGAGTTGGTTTCAAGTAAGCAGTACAAGGCGACAGCAGTTACCTAGGAGATTCGGGAATGAGAAGACTGCCAGTTGCAAGTAGACCACCCATAACGCACTGGAGCAGCAATGGAAGACGCCATGAATAGTTGCTATCGATATAACTGCAAAAGTAGTCAACCCATACACTTGCAGCATATCCAAGTATATTGCCTGTAAACTCAATACAAGCGAGTTTTCCGCGATTGTGCGGAGGACCTGTCCCTAATCAGCAAAAGCATCAGAACGAATATAGAGAAACGACGTACTAATTTCAGATTGAAACACGGGAACGATAGTGGAGAGAGCACCAACTCCCAGTCCAGCAATAATTCGACCCAGCATCATCATAGAAAGACTATTAGCGAATGTCTGTAAGGCTCCCCCAACGAGGAAAATCAGAGATCCATATAAGATTGTTCGCCTGCGTCCGATTATATCTCCAATCTTGCCGACTAGTAACGATGCAATAAGAGCGCCAATTTCGAGAATCGCAACGACCGTACCGATCTCCGCTTTCGACGGTGAATTGAAATAATCTCTAAAATGCGAACCGCTTTCAAAAGAGTTAATTACAACTTCTCAACGAAACGAGCTTCGGTCACTTACGTTATGATACCAGACATCACACCTTGGTCGTAACCAAACAGAAACACACCGAGTGATACAAACACACTTGTGAAATACCTAGATAGGACAATGTCAGTGAAACCCAACTCCAAAGACTCCAATTGGTTCAACGTACAATAGTGGCTTKCCCACCAACCCTTTGGTACGGGCTGTTGACATGTCGTTTGGCGACATGATGGCTGCTAGTATGCAATGTGCTCGGGACACACGCCGAAGGGTAATGTTTGGTATGTCGATAGCTTCCTTATCTAAATCGCCTTTCAATAACGTCTCATCGCCGTAATGGACTCTCCTCGTACGCGACCGGGGCTCCTGTCCCCTGTCGTCTTCAGACTTCCGGAGCCTGATCCGAAGAGGATCCTCTTCGCTGGCGAGTTGCTCTGCTAAGTCGCCCGTGTCACTCCAGATTGAGAAGTCGGACGCTTGTGAATTGGAAGAAATAGATGCTCGTCGGTTACTGCCGCCGTATCTGGGCTTTTCTGAATCTAATCCCAATCCCGAATTTGAATGCTCGGCGGAGTCTCTAGAATGTGAATGGAGAGGTTGAAGAGGTATAGCCGGAGTAGTGGACCCCTTTTCCTTTGGCGAAGAAATGATGGCGGTTTAGCAGCGGGCTGAGTTGATATCAGCCCTTTCTAGAAGAGAAAAAGAGGGGAAGGAAAGAAAGACAAAGTGGAAGAAGCTAGGTACGTAGTGTACCCAGATAAAGCCACGAGGGGACTTCGGGAGAGTTTGACGACTCGGAAAGCAGGAAGTGTCGTCACAGGGGATTGAGTGGTGGAGCAGGAGTCAAATCCACGGTTCTTTTTCCGATGAGGAATGCTATGCCGCTGGTGCAGGGTTAGTAGGTTGTAAAGAGCGTAGTTTCACCGTTTCAGGCACTTGTGATACCAAAAGATGCAAGGAGCAGGTGACCAGTTTTGCTGTGTCGAGGTGTGTATGTACGTACGGGCTTGAGTGCGGATCAAGAGAAATGCCACAATATCCAGTTGATCCACTAGCTAATCCCAATAAATACTATGAGTTGTCCCGAGTGAACGCGGATTGGGGGAGATGGAGAATGGGCGCGGTAGAGTGGATAGGAACGAAAAGGGCTCTGATAGGACACAGCCTGCGCCAGGCGGGTACAGTTGTCGATTAAGCGGGGACGATATAGTCGGTCAAGGCAGCCAAAATGCGGAACCATGTGTCATGACAGGCAGTTCAGTACAACTAGATAGAGTAAGAAAGAGAGAGACCCGAGAATGAGGCTGTAGCAGGCTGACAGCTCTCTCCAAATGTTCCAGGACGAACAGAGACACACCAAAGTCACGTTCACGGATCGGCCCCGGATTTTTCCAGATCGGGAACAGCGTGCCGTGCTAGATTGCTTAATTAGGACTAGTGTTGCCCGGTTCGGGGAAAGCGCGATGAGCCACTTGATCATCGTACATTACTAGTTCCTGCGAAGTACTTCTCCATACTATCTGTGCCTCCGCGGTACTATAGAGTACTTCTAGTCTTCTATCCGATCACTGAGACACACCCAGTGTGACATCACACATCTGCGCATGGCTCTTTGTGGAAAGACTTTGCATGTCCCGAATGGCTGCATTATTACCGCATTAGAAGGATGGCTTTCGTGATGGTTATGAGAGTTCTAATTCATAAAGTCTATATCTATAATTTGGCTATATACATGTTAGAGATTGTCGAAAAATCACAGAGCCGTTGGAGGTATCACCAGGCCAAACGACCCGTCTATTATAGAACGAATATGTGCAGATGATGCTGCTGCTCAATTTATGGTTTCGGTTTCCCAAACTCGTTGGTTCTGACCTTAGTTAGTCAAAAGGATATCAAAGCCATCCTTCTCTATAAGCACCGTGTCAGCCGCACTGGCATATTTCCTCCGCATAAGCTCAAAAATCACAAGACCGGCACTAGTACTAGGCACCTGACGGATGCTGCTTCGTAAGAAGCCTCTGTATAGCCATCGCATCCAACCTCCGCTTCTGCTGGCTCTCTTCTGGCATCGCTTGAAAGTCTCTTGGTAGGCGTGATAGTAATGTTTCAACATCTGCGGCCGCGAGTGACGCAGTGAAGCTTGATGATCCAGGTATTCCAAACGCCCATAATGTAAATTTTGGATAATTCCAAGAGGATACGAAATGACCTGTTGCGAAAGAGACGCAGCAATCCCTGCGCCTAGCAGGAAACAAGGTTCAAGAGCGTAGTGTGGTTTGATAGTTGTTTTCTTGTATTCTTGGAGAGCTGCAATCTTCGAAGGGTCTTTTCGTTGCAGACTTCCGTAATACCAGATGATGTAGGAGTAATATGCCTGCGATTTCACATATTCAAAGGAGGTGAAAAAGACAGCATACCCGAAAGAGTCGCGCATAAGGGAGAGCGACCATCCTGCAAATATTCCACGGACGCCTATTTCCCTTAATTTCTTCCATCCATATTCCCACATGTTTTGATATTGTCCTTCAAGTACGCCGCTTGTACGTAGTCGAACTTGTAGAGCATCAAGAGGGGCCGCAATCAATGACTGTATCGCTCCTGCTGAGAAACCTGCTGCGAAGGTACTGGTAGGAGGTGCTGGCGGATAAATTCGTCCTTTGCCTTCCTTCGCCGGGGCATGGAGGGCACCTAAGGCTTGTAGATAGGACGTGTATAGGATAGCACCGACACTGACATGTCCAATTAGTTTTCCAGAACACGAAAGGAAAAGCCGGGCAACTTTACGTGGTGTTGGCAAGTAGAGGTGGAAGTACTTGATTTGGCAAAAATCTCCAGCCGTGAACGCGCACAGCGTGGGCGATCAAGCCGGGTGTAGTTGTATGAAACGACCATTTATTTTCCTGTATTCGAGGATTTATCGCCCGGGGAAAGGCCTGAAGAAGTGAAGAATTGTGAGCCCACGGTTGGCACGAAAGGAGATAATGCAAAGTTTAATACCATATAACTATTGATATCAGTTAATGACTACTGTACAAACACTCATCTTGCTTGCAATCTTACTCAACACGAGTTCGAAAAAACGCTTTGACTGGCGCTCGAAAGTAAAAGGCTATGAGCTGTGCACTGAGGGCGCGAGTGCCTGCTGCAGAGGCTCCAGTGGCTGCATGAGAGCGAGGATTCTGTCGGAAGCTGTCGCTATCTGGCTCTGGCATTTCAGCAACTCTTGAGTTGACTGAGGAAGCCATGTCTTAATTACGATCCAGCCGAGCTTGTATGAGGGGGAAATCGGGCGCTTTGTATAATCTCTGCATAATGTACACGGGCGAATTTCCAATCTATTTAGTAAGAAAGTGCGTTATCCGAGGTCAAACTGCCATGATGAGTAAAGCGAGCACAAGGTGATCTTCCAGGAGAGCGTCTTGTAAAACAGTCAGTTGACACGAGCAGAACGAGGTACTATCATCCTCGAGAAAACAAAAGTGAATCGATGTTTGCTGTGTTTGTTTGCTGGCCCGTTCTCCGTGACGCTAAACCAGATTAAGTATGATTGAACGCGCCTCGCGTCTTCACTCGCTCAACTTTCCAACTTCAATAAGTCGACTTTCCAGATATCCTCGCTCTTGCTACCTCACTTCGTCCTTCGAATCTGCAGGACATCCTGTCGTCTTTCATCAAATTGATCGCCGTATTTTGACAGTTTCTTCGAGACATCGGTCGTCTACCTATTAATTCACTCTCTCGTTTCGTGGCTTTCGCTCAACATGGCGGAGGATATCGTCATAGACAAGACGCTCTTCTTCGATCGCTTGTCGACTTTTTACAATGCATGGAAGGCAGATAAACGATCGGGAGCTGGAGTATTCGGCGGAGTGGGATCTATCGTCATTTTGATGGGGAAAACAGATGAGGCAAATGCTTTTCAGAAAGCTAATGCGATGCACGTAAGTCTCGCAAAATTTCTGTCCCCATCCTGACACGCGGCTGATAATTATTCTGATTAGTTTTGGCTTCTCGGTTATGAGTTCCCTGCCACTCTTTTTGTGTTGACTTTGGACACGATGTATGTCGTGACCACTGCGAAAAAGGGTACGAAAGGCCTTTCACAATAACCTGCTGACCTATCGGTAACTGACTTGGGCCAGCGAAACATTTGGAGCCTCTCAAGGGGGGCAAGGTCCCTGTCGAAATTTTAGTCACATCAAAGGACCCTGCAGATAAGGCAAAGGCCTTTTCGAAATGCATAGAAGTCATCAAGGCTGCCGGAGTAAGAAGCGTTACATGCAACATCCATCCTTTGGGGTTCAATGCTGATCTTATCATCCTCAAATAGAAGAAAGTCGGAACTCTGCCTAAAGACAGCGCCCAAGGCCCTTTCGCCGATGAATGGAAACGTGCTTTTGCAGACGATTTGAAAGATGCGGAGGAAGTTGATATATCTCCTGCTCTTTCTGCAGCAGCTTTCTCAATCAAGGGACAGGAAGAATTGGTATTTTCACACATTCAATCGTCTACAAAGTTATAATCAGCTCTAATCAGTTCTAATCAGGTGTCGATGCGCAACGCAGCCCGCGCCTGCAGCGGTCTTATGTCCGAATATTTCGTCGACGACATGTCGCAGCTTTTGGACGAGGGCAAAAAGATAACCCACAAGTCTTTGGCCGCAAGAATCGATGCCAAGATTGACGACTCCAAATTCTTCAATAAGTTGGCAAAACTTCCGCCAGGATTTGATCCTCAACAAATTGACTGGGCCTATGGACCAGTAGTTCAAAGTGGAGGCAATTATGATTTGCGTTTGACTGCGACCGCAAACTCAGATGAGCTTCATGCGGGCATCATTATCGCAGGCTTTGGCATTCGATACAAGACATACAGCGCCATCATCGCACGTACATACCTAGTGGACCCAACAAAAGCTCAGGAGACGAATTACGGATTCCTCTTGAACGTCTACGATGCAGTTATCAAAGACATTCGGGATGGCGTGGCAGCCAAGGATTTGTACAACAAGGCCATTGGTATGGTCCGTGCTAAACGACCTGATTTAGAGAATCACTTTGTCAAGAATGTTGGTGCTGGCATTGGAATTGAACTCAAAGATTCCAATATGATTCTCAACGGAAAGAACAGCAGAACTTTGAAGAGTGGCATGACTCTTTATATCTCTATCGGCTTGACAGACGTTCGGGACACCGACTCAAAGGACAAAAAGAAGTCTGTTTATTCTATGGTCATAACTGATACTGTGCGTGTCAGTGAGACAAGCGCCCATGTTTTTACTAAAGATGCAGGTATTGATATGGACTCGGTATCCTTTTACTTCGGTGATGAGGAAGAGCCTCAGAAAGCCACAAAAGAGAAGGCCGACGTTCGATCTAGCGCTATCGCCAGCAAGAACATCACAAAAACCAAGCTGCGTGCCGAGAGACCGTCTCAAATTAATGAAGGTGCTGAAGCACGTCGTCGAGAGCATCAGAAAGAACTCGCTTCCAAGAAAATAAAGGAGGGTATGGAAAGATTCGCTGGCACTACTGGCGATGGTAACGGCGAAGCTCAAAAGAAATTCAAGCGATTCGAGTCTTATAAACGTGACAACCAGCTACCCCCCAGTGTGAAGGATTTAACCGTACACGTTGACCACAAAGCATCTACGGTTATTGTGCCAATTATGGGCCGGCCTGTGCCATTCCATATTAACACCATCAAGAACGCCAGCAAGAGCGACGAAGGTGAATACGCGTATCTGCGAATCAACTTCCTCTCTCCTGGTCAAGGTGTTGGACGAAAAGATGACCAGCCATTTGAAGACCCCTCTGCCAATTTCGTTCGAAACTTGACTCTCCGATCAAAGGACAATGATAGATTTGCCCGTATTGCTCAGGACATTACTGAGCTTCGAAAGAATGCGTTGCGTAGAGAGCAAGAGCGCAAGGAGATGGAAGACGTGGTGGAACAAGACAAGCTCGTGGAGATTCGCAGTATGTATACCTGTTTCCTCGAACTATTCGGGATATTGCGACATGCTAACCAACTGAAAAGACCGACGACCTGTGAAGCTACCCGATGTCTACCTTCGCCCACCCTTGGACGGAAAGCGAGTTCCTGGTGAGGTGGAAATTCATCAAAACGGTCTACGATACCAGTCACCACTCCGAAACGAACATGTCGATGTTCTATTCAGCAATGTCAAACACTTGTTCTTCCAGCCATGTGCGCATGAACTGATTGTGATCATCCATGTGCATCTCAAGACCCCGATCCTGATCGGTAAAAGAAAGACAAAGGACGTCCAGTTCATCCGAGAGGCCACCGAAATGCAATTCGATGAGACAGGCAATCGTCGCCGCAAGCATCGTTATGGTGATGAAGAGGAGTTCGAGGCAGAACAGGAAGAGAGACGCCGCCGAGCAGCCTTGGATAGAGAGTTCAAAGCTTTTGCCGAGAAGATTTCAGATGCCGGGAAAGATGAAGGTGTTGACGTGGATATTCCATTCCGAGAAATTGGATTCAGTGGTGTGCCGAATAGATCTAATGTTCTAATTCAACCGAGTACGGATGCTATCGTCCAATTGACTGAGCCACCCTTCCTGGTGGTTACCTTGAACGAAATCGAAGTCGCTCATTTAGAGCGTGTACAGGTGAGTCATTATGTTTTTGTCGGTCCAGGATTTGTACTAATCGAAGGACATCTAGTTCGGTTTGAAAAACTTTGATCTTGTCTTTGTCCTAAAGGACTTCAACCGGCCACCCATTCATATCAACACTATTCCGGTTGAATCACTGGAAGGAGTCAAGGATTGGCTCGACTCAGTAGACATTCCATTCACTGAAGGACCTCTCAACTTGAACTGGAGCACCATTATGAAGACGGTTGCTGCTGACCCCTACGGCTTTTTCGCCGAGGGAGGTTGGTCATTCTTGGCTGCTGAATCCGACTCTGAGGATTCAGAGTCAGAGGAAGAGTCTGCCTTTGAACTTTCTGAATCTGAACTGAATGCGACAGAGGAAAGCTCAGAGGACGACAGTGACTTTGACGACGATGCTAGTGCTGAGGCCAGTGATGAGGACCTCAGTGCTGATGAAGAGAGTGGCGAGGATTGGGATGAGTTGGAGAAACAGGCAAAGAAGAAAGATAGGGAGAGCGGACTTGACGAGGAGCGCAGTAAGAAGCGTAAGCGCTAGTCACATTTTGGAGTGCTGAGACTTGCCATTTGTTTCATTTCTTCTTCAAAATATGTCTTATAGTTGGTTAGCTTGTATGGCAAGTGGCGTTATTCAATTCCGTCCCTCGTACTTTAAAACTCTAGGGTCGGTCAAGGATCCGATTACAATGAGAATCTCTGTGCCATATTTCAGCTTGCTAGCTACACCAAGTATAAGTAACACTATATAACTTATGACAATAACACGAAGTGATTACCGTCATGCTGGACACCGTATCCACCCCATATGAGACAGTCACATGGAATTATGTAGTAAATGACTACTTTCCTTCCCTCATCGTCGACCACATACTCCTCATCCTCATAGCCTGCTCCTTCGTAAAATTCTGATAACAGTCATCCGAAGAATAGTCCATAAAATTTGAAATAGGATCCAATCCCGGTAAGTTTGGACATGAGTCTTTTGAGGCAGGACATCCCTCCGTTGGCGTTGATTGTTGCGGCGTATCGGAAATGAAATCCCCATTTGCACCCGGAGCGCAAGTCTGGTCTTGGAATGTGTGTAGCAACCCGTGCCAGTGACCTACTTCGTGAACTGTGGTGCCACCGCGGTTGTAATGCTCAATTGAACCACCGGTCATCGTAGAGGCAAGAATATTGCAGCCATCGTTGAAGTATTCATCGAAAGAGCTGGTGCTGGTGATATCGGGGTTTGGAAGGGTGCAGAAGCCGAGCAGATTTGGTGACGAGGATGATTTTACATCTCTCTCGTGAAGATTGTGGCCTTGATGCTGATGGTGATGTTCGAAGGGGGCACCAAGTCGGGAACTGGCCCCTGCAGGATCTGACACCTCAAGATTCGTCTGGAAATAGATATTCAGTGTACTATATGAGCCTTTGCGCAGAGTCCGTTTCATAGCCGCCGAATCCCCGTTTCGCGCCCAGATGTCGTTGATACTGCGATCTACACCCACGAGGTTATAATGTATACTCGTATTTTGGTATGCTTGTTGGAGATACATGAACTAGTCCCCCTGGTCAGCATGAAGTCTGCAATCTCGCGTAGATAGCCCAATAAACCTGAGAAGCAATCATAGAATTCGTCACCAAGTCAACCTGTTCACTTGTGCTAACAACGTGGAACCACGTATCGACATAGATCCGCGGCAATGACTCGGCAGTAGCCCGACTAGCATTGCCATCAACACTTCCGTCTTCTGCATGTCGATATTCCGTCAGGGACAAACGCTTATGAGCATCTTTCAGCTGTGAGCTTGGTTCTTCTGTGCCGCACACTCCGCGTTGAGGGAGCCATTGGCGCTGCTGAACATCCTCCGAGTTTGAGTTTTGGATCCTGTCAACTTCGTTCTCTCTTGTGCGCTGAGCAGAGGCTGAGACTGAGCCGGTAAAGACTGTGGTGGAAACTATCGCGATAATGAGCGTGTGGCGTAGAATCCGATGCATATTGCACAAAGCGTTGAGCTATTGACACATCAATAATCCACGATGATGTATATATTCAAGTATATATACTTATATGTACATATACAGGAGTGTATAGTAGTGGGTGACGGTAATTGTGGTGAATGGCTTGACAAAAAACACGTCCAGGAGACACAAGAACCCCCGGACAACCCTAAAAGGAAAGGAAAAGAATGTTTACGCGAGTCATGTCCGAGGAATAGGAGACTCATCTGCACAATCCCGCACGGTAGGAACGATGATGATGCAGTTGGAATGTATGGCTGGTCGCGAAGAATGTCAATGTAGCCCATTTTGTTCCGGACTATACTTGCAGTATGTATTTATAGAAAAGCCTCTAAGTCGCGCACGTAATAGAAMCCCACACAGTACTAATATCAMAAGCCAATAAAATATAAATACAAAAAAAGTACAAGAAATACCAGCTGCTCGAATAAACAAAGTGAGAGGGGAAAATAGATGGATCAATTTTCCGTGTAGTAAAGGGAGATAAAGCTATGCACGTACACCCGTAGAATGGCCGAAAAAGAAATCACCAGTAAGTTGTCATCGAGTGCGTAAATAGAAGCCAGAAAAGTAATTGAAAGGTCGAAGGATTAGGAAAATGTGGTATTTTGAGCCAGATCAACGCTGATCATGTCCAGTGGCAGCACCCGTCGAAGGTTCATTCCACGTGAGGTAAGTATGATCGCCAAGTTTCCTGTCAATGGTTATTTAGTAGATATTAAGCGTGAAACAGCACGTAGGATTTTGTACCTTGGTTTGATTAGATTGGTAGCCGTGAATAAGACGCCAATGAGTACACAGACACCTCCGACCACAACATATGCAATTCCCATGAATGAGTTCTTTCCACCCATCACGGTTCTAGTGGATATCATGATCGATTTGGTGCCACCATATTCTGTTACATTGAAACCTAAAATGACCAGATGAGTACACATTGCTGAAACCGGAAATTGTCATATACTTACTGCTTTGAATATCCAACCTGTATTGACCGGCCGGCATTGCAGTTGTATCATTCCTACGAGCCAGCTTGCTGAAAGTTGGAAGACCTGCAGTTCTCATCCAGACCATGAATGCCTCGTCATTGCCAAGGTCAGGGAAGTTCTCGGCAGTGTATTCAGGGTACTTCACTCGCCAGTTTGGAGGCGGTACAACCTGCCAATATTTGTAATCAGTTGTCTTGATGATTTGCTTATCACTAGACCAGGCTATGCCCTTGTCTGTCATATTGTAGGTTTCCTCGTTGACCAGCACTGGGCTCGAAATGGTATCGTTGAAAATAGAGTTTGCGATCAAGCCACAAGGATAGTATGCTTTGCCAGTTGCCGCATCTGTAGTCAATGGGTCGCAAGTGCTGCCTGAAATAGTGGCATTCTCGACGACTTTACCCTGCAGTTGATCTGTATCGAGCGACTGCACGTACTTTCTGTGATTTTGGTAGAAATTCGTCAATCTGTAATATAAGAACACGGGAGGTCCGAGGGATTCTGGAATATCGAAGAATAGCGAGCAACCGGTCGTCTTTGTCGCCTCGTCCGTCTCATTGCGCTGCCAGGTGGTAACAGAAGTCTGCGCCGAAGATTTGAATGAAGTAGTGACTCTGCCCGATGGAAGAGCTGCTGTACTAGAGATAGGCGCAAGCGTGTCACAGTCCGTATAGTCGATAATGATTTCTTGGACCTATCGACATACCGTTTAGCAACTGCCCGAAACGCTTAATGGGAGCTTTCGTACCTGCCCACTAGCCCATAGTAACACACCCCCAAGAGGCGCAAAGATGATTCCAATCACAAAGAAAATCGGAAGAACGGATCTAGGCGTGAGAATTGGTCTATGCTAATTATTAGCTTTCTTCTTGTTCGTGGCGATTGAGGTTCAAAGTGAGCCTACTGCCATGCTCTGAGACGCTGTTGGCGAAACGCAGTATCTGGGGTTCAATTGTCAGTTATGAACTCCTAAGGTGCGTCCTTTCCTCCTCCATGGTATTATCTCTTCCACCGCTGTGATTGATGCATGGTCAATACGCACTTGCCGGTCTTCTACTCTTCTTCTTGTCTCCGTCATCGCTTCCGTGGTGATCCGGATCATCCTGAAAATCAGGCCGAGTCGCTGCTGCTTGCGACATGATGGTATAGTCTTCGTCGCCGGTACTCTTGGGTTATGTTCGGTGAAATATTGAACAACGACAATTCTGTCCTGTTTTGGACAGGATGGCGGCAGATAAGTCGAAGTAAGCAAGCCCCCGTACTGAGGTGGTTTGGCAAGTGCACGAATGGTGGTATCGTCCGCCGGACCAAGGTCAAGCACGGAGTAGGACTGTTACGGGCGAACGTATATTACAATACGCTCTGCATTCTGCATGTATCACTCCGTACCGGATGAAAAGGCAGCAGCAAAATAAGAAACATTTCAGCTGTGGGCCCGCGCCACACCTTTTCTGCCTTGCTATCTTTAGCAATATGACGCATGGTCTGTCACCCAATTCATGGGTCAGCCTTAACAAGATGGATTATGTACATAGTATGTATTATGGATATGCAGTATGATTCATGAGTGGATCTAAGCCTGTAGCATTGATTCAACATCTACGGAGTACAATTGTCGAATAATATACGGAGGACACTACACAGATCTACGTCCTCTAAGTGTATAGCAATTGTGGATCGTTTAGAGAAATCAAAAGTCATGTAGACGAGATCTGTCAATTTGGGAAATAGTCTAATCCGGCAACACTACCAATCAAGAGAAAATAGAAGTATGCTCAAATTGTTATGCAAAAACTCCAAATCCAAAGCCACGAGTCTCAAGCCATGCACAAGCTGTGAGATCAATGCAACAAGAATACTGTATCACATAGGTATAAACGCTCGATGAGTGAAGAGCCCCACAAAAAAACTCCTGAGAAGACAAGTAGACCAGATCATCAATCATATGCAAAGCGCATGAATCATATAAGAGGAGGGGAAAGCTTTCTGAATGCAAATAAACGTCTAGCGATGCCAATAATCAAAATAAAGAGCAAGAGGGAGAATCTGGACAGTCCAGCTGTACCAATGCAAAAGAGGATATCTTCAGAATTATGCCTTCAAGAATCTGATAAAATGCTCAGGCTTGAACCAGCCAACTCGATCGTATGCCGTCCACAGCTTACTAGCCTTATTGACATCAATTTTGCAAGCCTGCTGGGCGTCTGTCTTGCGGAACTCTTTACCGATACTGAGGGCTTTCACGCGCGCTTCAAAGATCCTCCTCTTGCTGCAAAGATAGGTTGCACATGACAGTCGCAGAGTGGCGGCGAGATTGACCTCAGCAGGGTCAAGTAAACTGCGGTCTGGGTCATTGCTGAGATCAAGCATCTGGCCCTTCCATTCTGCTTTAAGGCCCTTCGTATTGCCTCCGAGTGTTTCTAGTGGTGGAGAGTAATCCTTGAGCGAATTGTAGTCGGTATCATCTCGATTGGTGCCAATGACTCGTAAAGGTTTTGAAGAGGGCGAATACTCAATATCAAAAGTGTCCATCACACGTTGTTGTGGAGTTGATTTCGGTGTCCGACGAGGCCTGGATGTTTTGGCAGCACGCGACTGAGCGGTACCAGTGGTCTTTTTTGAAGGTGCAGGTGCCAAACGCTTGAAGTTGCCGGGCCGATATTCCACGCGATCCATCATTGCCATTTGCCGTTCCAGCGTCTCTCTTTCTTCCCTTGCCCAAGCCATTGGGTCCCGATTGTATTGTGCCGCCACGATAGGTACGCAGGATAGAGCTAGCCTATATTCGTCCCGAGTCGGCTTGTTGACCTTGTTGTGGAACCGGGCCATTTGAGAGTTCATGTGCTGATCGATCAAAGCCTCAGCAGCTGAGGCGAGGACTGGTCCAAAGAGAGGCTCATCGTTGTGAACATCTGGGACCGATTCGTTGCGAGGAAAGAGCACTGGATCCCGATTGTTGTGAACACCCACTTCAGCCTCCAGCTGCTCGGCATTTGACTTCCTTTTCTTGTTGCCTGCATATGGAGTGACTGGTGGCGAGGGCAAGTCGATGTCAGACCGACTGCGTTTTCGATCGTCTGAGATGGGTGGCAACTTGACAGCGTCTTCTGAAGACATTGCCAATGACGAAAAACCAGAGTTGAAGCTGTCGAAGGGTTTTGGCTCGGGGGGAGACATGAGGCTGGAGACGGACGGTAGGCGATTCATCGCGAAGGTGAGTTTGTAGTGTTGATTATGAAGCGGAGGCAGTGTTGTCATGCCTAATTTGGTGATTGTTCTAATTGCTTTGACGCAGGTAATAGCGCCAGGGCGAGTCAAAAATTCGAAAGAATTTCAAAACGGGGACAAGAATGAAAAGCAGAGAAAGGGCGATTTTATGACGAAGGTTGAGGCCAAAGGCGATGTGGAAGACAATGGAAGTTGAGTGCACGTGAAAGAAGGCTGAGTTGATTTGTCAGGTCAGGCTGCCACTCTTTGTCGCTTTCCCTTAGAGGCTGGTGGCGATTCGGCGTTTAGAGCCCTTCTTCGGCGATAAGGACTGACCGACTTTGTTCGTCCGAAGCAGATACGGGATGAGAAAGTGAAACTGCGTTCAAAGTTGGATGCGCACACGAGATGTCGGGAAGCAGTCTCTTGACTGAAATCAATCCGCTATGGAGGCAGGGTAGGGGCCTGGTTCTTATAAGTAGCGCAGGACGTATGTGATTTGCGGGGGGGCGATGTGGTGAGGCGCAATTGGGGTGGGGTACAGCCGGAGATAAGATTGATGACTGGACAATTGGGCAGTTGCCTAGAGCCACGCTCTCAATTCAGCCCGGACGCGGTTCGAAAGGCAGAATTTGGAGAAGAAGTCGGAGAGAATCAACTTGAGCAAGTGAAGAGAGGGTGCACTGCTTTAAATAAACCTCCAACCCAACTCTTTGTGTGCCAACGACTGCCGAGTCCACATTGCTCGTCGCAGAGGACAAGATATCGCGATATCGATAAGCACGCTAGTTTCCAGTCTGGAGTGTGACACTAATTCAATAGGCGGCTGGGTCACTAGATCAATGACGACGCACAAATCACGAGCGCGCAATAGGCGGGACAGGGTGATTGGGCTGTCGCTGTCGTCAGGCTGCGAGATTTGATTCATCGTGCCAATCATCTGCCCTGCTAATTGGCGGCCAGGATTGGCTGAACCTGCATAAACCATGAAAGTAGTAAGTAGTGGTCAGAGATGGAAGCGATCAATTGAGCAGCCATTACTTGTCAATGCCAGCATGACCGCGCAGGATGATCTGAGTTCTGCGACGACTTGATAGGATGGTGGGCAAGCCGGCCAACCAGCGCCCGTGGCTCTGCAATGGGTTCCTGCTGACCAGTCACTAGTGGACCCACTGGCCCACACCTGTTACTCACCCGTGACTCACCTGTCTAGACGCGGCGGAGGGGCAGATGACTCTTAATTACTCTGTGCGAGAGGGTGTTCAGTTACTATTTACATACATAGTGATTACTCAATGCCCGTCGCAGACTCGACTTGTGATACGTACTGTTAGCCATTGTCGAAACACGGAGTCAATTGACTCATTTTCCAGGGAATTGCTGATGGTGGTATCCGAATGCACAATTACAAACACGCATGTACATAAAATCAAATAGGCTGCCATCGACAGCGCTAGGCAGCATCGGCACGGGCCCACCACGGAAGCCTATCTCAATACGAACAGGGATCTTGGGTACGGTACATGCGTACGTACATACGCACATACATACGTACGTACGTACATAGTACATACCACTTACGGTAATTTAATGCCTAATGTCGTCAACGCAGATGGACTGATGGACATAACTAACCCTTATCTTTTCTTATCGTCTGACCGGCTTAATCCGTATATATACGAATATATGTACAACATGCTCGTGCAGTGTCATCTATTTAAATCAATTGAGTATTGCTATCTGCTTCCTTCACTCCACTAGCTGGTCGGTCATGCGCTACCTTGACCGCGGCCACCTGATCGATCAGCGGGCAGTTCTGAAGGGCTCTATTGGCAGCCTCGTCCCCTGCAATCGCCTTATTTAACCCACTGCCAGATCCCAGATGCTGGTCTTGCCAACCCCAGCCTGTCAGATACACACCCATGTAATATGTCTGCATACCTCCATCTAATCTTGTCGCGGGTTGTTCTTCTACATAGCGAAGTTTAACGCCCTTGCCCATGACCTTCTTCGCTAGTTGTTCCTTGTATCTAAGCACCGTCTGTACAGGCTGGACTTGAGAGAGCCTCGGTAACCACAGCTCTCTGAGCCATTGCTCAATCATGGCAAATCCACGGTCAGGGCTGGAAAGAATCACCGCCGCAACGTAAGCTTCAAACACATCCCCCCGTATTTTTAGCCATCTTTTAGATTGCAACTTCTGTTCTTCTGGGACGGAGAGTGATACTCTTTTATCAAACCCGTATTGTGACGCGAAGCTAGCCAAGGTTTCATTCTTCACAAGATCCTCGCGAATTTGCGACATGCGCCCTGCAGGCATATCTTTGAACTGGTCCCATATCAGCCTAGTTGCAATTACTTCCACATAAGCGTCCCCGAGAACTTCCAATCGGTCGTAGTTATGCTCCACGCCCTCCGGTGCGATGTTTACAGGCGCTCCTGGGTGCGTGAAGACGGCTCGCTCTAATACAGCATCGTGGATGGGAGGAAGGTCGGGTAAGGATACCGGCTGTACCGCTGATTTCGTCGCCTTGAACTTTTTCAGCTCTGAATCCGTATTTCGTTTGATCGCAGCAGCCAGGATAGTGTGTAGTTGTGTCGTCACTTTGAGAATTTCTGAGCCTTCAGGTATGCTGTGTAATACTTGTGGGCGGTGGACTACCTGATCAACTATGCCTTGCAATTGTTGAACAAGCATATTTTCGTCCACAGTTAATTTGTACTCATATTCTGTGATGTCACAGTCGCTGCTGGCGTGATTGGTCTAAGACGAAAGGTATATAAGTTGCTGAGAGACTCGATAGTTTCTGGCTGCATTTAGAGCCCACCTTGTGTCTTTTATGTGAATGAGAAGTCTCTGCTCCATCTTTAGCATTATTGAAGAATCTCTTCGCAGCCATTGTAAGTATGCAAGGATAAGAATAATCTTGGTTCGGGCGAGGGGGATATGAAGAATTGTCACAGTCGCGACGGATACGGTAGGGCCCGATAAGTTTGGCCGCAGCGGGCACGTGATTTCATTCCGAATCTCTACCATCAACGTCCGTCTCCAGACCATCGCAATTGATCTTTAAATACATCTCGCGTTCCTCGACCCATAGCTGGTGGGGGCAATCAGAGACGCCAACATGGCCGTACCGCGGAGCCGAATTCTAGATCTGGTGAAGGTTTGTATAACACTGTTATCTCCTTCTTTATTTGGAATTGATTACTGATGAACGGTTACGCTTTAGACCCAATGCCGAATATTCGCAACAACATTCAACCCACAACGATTACGACTTGGAAACAAGATTTTACGGCAACGACTGAAAGGTCCTGCTCTTGCAGCATACTATCCCCGCAAAACCGTCTCCTTCCGTGATTTACAAGATACATACAAACCTCTGGACTTGGAGACTTTTGACGAGGGACAAGACGACCGGGAAGAAGCTATTCAGATGTATGTCTTTCACATTATAAAAAGCAAGCTTGATGATTTGGCACTGATTATTCGGCAAATTACAGCGCGAAACTACGCGGCAAAGGACGGCCAAAGAAGAAGAGAACTGCTGCCGGTAAGGAACAGGATGCACCCAGACACACTGATGCTTTGATAAGCAAATCAATTGGATGGATCTGCTAACTTTCTGACTTTTACTTAGAGTCACGATCAGCCAAAAAGAAGAAATAAGCTTATTAACGCTGTTGCATCGTGTGTCTATTGACTTTTATCTTTTGCTGCAAAACAAACACAACGCTTGTATTTTGATTGAAAAATTCCAATGTATAACACCTACTGCTAAAAGGGTTCTTGTTTGTGTTAGAGGCTTACATCTGTATACTAAAAAAACTTGTTAAAGTGTAGAATAGAGATTTTCGGTCATTATTATAGCAATAGAAAAAACTTCTCCTTCTGCGTGAATCGGATTTCTGAAATTGCATGCCCAGATCTAGCTAGAAATAGCTATAATTAAAAAAGATCTCCTTCCACGTGAATCAAATTTTTGAAAATGCGCACCTAGATCTAGCTAGAAAAAGTTATAATTCTTGTAGTTTATTGTCGTAAACTGATGATTTATAATTGTCTAGATCGAAAAACAACATCTCCGTCCGCGTGAATCGAACTTTTGAAATTGCGCGCCCAGATCCGGCCGGAAACGGCTGTAATTTTCGCAGTTTATTCACTGAATCCAGTGCTATTGACTAATCCTAGTTTGACTAGGTAAGTCGCTAGTAATAAAAGAGAATATAATAATAATACTATTAATAGACGAAAACCTTATTCTATAAGATATTTATTATAATATATTAGAATCACTATAATAAAATATATATAAACTCTATATATAAGAACAACATCAAGAATTAGAATAGCTTAAAAAGTAATTTTTATAMTATATAAAAAATATATAGTAGAAATTTAAGTAAAATTAGATTTAAAAAACTAGATATTATATAATTAATATTATTAAAAATAAGATTATAATAATAGAATAACTTATAAAAGTGATAGATCTAATTGTCGTAAACTGATGATTCGTAATCGTCTAGATCGGAGTAAACTCGTCACTTAATAGTGGTTAGGTGGTATTCTGTTTAGGAAAGGGTAGTATATCTAAGTAATAATAAGATAGCTTTAGTTAACTAGATCTATAAGTAATAGTATATTTAAGGTTAAACAGTTAATTCAAAATAATAGATTAAAATTAATTATATAGTATAAATAAGTATTCTTATATATTCTATTATTAATAGAGTTAATAAAGTATTTTACTAATAGTAGCTCTACTAGCTCTATTTAAGTAGATTAGGCCTTACTTTAATAATAGCTTAATTAGCTCTATTACCCTAATCMTAGTGATTATAGATAATTTTTTATTCTATTATATATTAGCTTCTATATATAGAGATCTAATTTATTAGCTATAATTCTTTATTTTTTTTAATAATTTTCTTCTTTAAAAGCTAGTATTTTAATAATATAATAAATAGTTAGTGTCTTTCTTCTATATTATAAGTATATTTTAATTTCTAAAAAACTTATACTATAATAATAAGCTAATTATATCTTCAAAGAAAATTATTAATAAAAAGAATTTTATATTCTATATTAAGAGTTCTAGAATAGTCTTTTTTATTCTATGTAGTTGTTATATAACTAAAAAGCTTCTTTATATAAAATCTAAATTATTAAGTTAATATAGTA